ATCGACCGTCTAGTTACTGCTTGCCAAGCTGTCTCATCGAGGATCCTGGTGAGGGGTTTTCTGCGTCGATGGGATCCCTGCTCTCATCCCCCGAGCTTTTTTTTTTTTTTTTTTTTCTTTTCTCTCGCGGGATGACAAGCAGCAGCTAGATACCGAGATAGGCTCTAGCAGCTAGCTAGCTAGCCAGCAATGGCATGAGCAGGATGACCTGGCATCCCAGAGACCGTAGTCTGTCCGGAGTACAGTACCGAGTAGATAGAGACTAGGAGCAAGCTGATTCCTGGCGTCAATTATCTTCGTGGGATTGGATGCCTTCATGAGCTCCGCGAATTGCACTCGGGTGTAACTCTGCTTAAGCTCGCTGGAATCATTGACCGGAGCGACAAGACATCTTGCTAATCCTCCGTCATCCCGCTCCCTGACAAATCCGCGGTGCGAATAGTGTTTCGTCGGAGAAAATGAATGGAATAATCATCACTGCAACGTGACTACTGTCACTTCCACTGCTGCGACAGCGCTACTACTACTGTACAGATTGCGGAGTACACGAGAAGTGTGTAACTGACAGGCTTCAATCTCGCCCGATTAGGCAATTATCTACCGTTGGGATCTGTCCTCCGTTCCCCCCTGGCAATATCGTGCTTGAAAGGAAATCCCGCACGCGGGAGAGAAAAAAAAAGAAAAATTCGTACTCTTCCTAGCCAACGACGACAATCCTAATTGTTCGTCCTATGGTGCCACGTCCCGCTGCATGCCACAACGTCAAGTAATAATGAGAAGTCGCAGGGACGATCAAAATACAACGGCGAAGTGACACAGACAGACATACACTCCGCTCGCCCGCTGTCTTATCTACTATCTACTATCTAGTTTCCGACTGCCCCGACTCCGAGTCGGGATTTTCTGAGCTCTGGAGATATCCCCTCGGGGTAACAAACCTTGACTACGGAGATAGCTCGAGTTATACGAGTTATACGAGTAAGACTAAGCAGTCTCAGACTCTCAGACTTCTGCAGGTGGAAAAATGTACACCACATGGATGGAGGAGCCGAAGTAGGTAGATAGAGTATGGAGAACAGTCGCTAGAGACATGCTCCATCGCATTAGACTTAAACAGACGACCGGTCTGGACAACTAAGCTAAAACCACCTCGTAACTCGTAAACCACTGCGGTTATATCTCCGTTGATGTTTGCCATGGACACAGACAACCCAGAAGAGCAAAATTCACCATCGCCATCTTATCCCGAAATGTCATTCATCAGACCTATATGGTATGGCTGGTTGGCGACAATCCTATCGGGATGGGCAAAGTGCCACCAGTCACCACCATCGGGAGGCACGAACGCTCAAGGATAAAAATCGGTGGTGGGAATCGGCCTGGACGGCACGCGGCAATCGGCACGTCGATTGGAAATGGACTCCCCTGCAAAATACTCATGCACTTGTTCATTGGTCAATGTCTTCTGGGTGGTATTAAGATGATGCGAATGGTTTCCATGGGTGAGGCGAACCTTTGCTCGGTTGGTTTCGGTCCTTTGAGAAGAGGATGATTGGATGATAGACGCCTGCAGAGAACGTGTATGAGGGATTATTTGCCTGTCTGGAGAGAGTTAAAGACAGAGATTGACTTGGTTCCATTCATTCATTCATATTCATCATTATTTGGATATTTATGCTTAGGTAGGTAGACTGGAGCAACGTTGGAGAGGATGGAGTAAACAGGTCACGTTGACTTGCTTGCATATTCTGTGTCTACCGATTTTATGCCAGGATAATTGCAGTCATCAGTCATCACATCAGTGTCCGAGACCAGTTGAAACGGATCAGGTGCACATCTCACTATCATTCTCCTTGCGTACGGAGTACGTCGCATCGCATTGATCTCGAGCTGCAGAATAAGACCCGTTCTCATCATGGAAAGGGTAGAATGACCAGGTACCTCGTATGTTGAAACATTCAAGTTAAATCCGCATCCTCAACTACTTACTGCGCAGCTCCATCCGATGACAACATAATCATCAGACACACAGTTCATTCATGTCTATATCGCTAAACGAGGTGCTCTCCATACATACTTTGATCATGGCCATCTCCGGAGTACCGCATGGAGAAAACCACTACTTAGCCAACTGCCAAGTCCATGCTGTGCGAAGCATACTTCCCAAACAGGCTGATCGACATGTTCGTCCGGAGACTATTGCTTTTACGGCGTTGATCACTATCTCTTGCAAGATGAATCATGAAACAATATCCCTTGATGATGGAGAATTGTCCGATTGCACTCTGCATAACTATCTACATACTCCGTACTCCGTACTTCCTGCAGTCTTATCATCCTGATATGATGTAAGAGTATGGAGTAATCATGAGCATCAGCATAACTCTATCCTGTGTCTATGCTTCGAGGCTTAGTTTTGGCGGCACCCCCCACGAAAAGACCCTTTCTCCAGGAGACTATTGACGGTGGCTGGCTCACAGGACAGCCTGTGACTTGCGGGATCATCACGGTTTCCAGTCAGGAAGAGTTACAGTTCTCCCAATTCAAATTAAAAAAAAAAATGGGTGGACTTGGCGGATTGACAGTGCATGAGGCTGTGCCTGCATCGTCAGTTGAAAGCATGAAGGCCAAGCAGCCCCTGAATTGAAATCCGGAGAATCTATCAAAATCTGCTTCGTATTCGATCCGAATCCGAATCAAGAATGATCCCAGATGCAGATCACTGAGCTCAGAGCCCAAGAATCAATGTCAGCCTCGTTTCAAGAGAGTCGTGCTTGCAATATGATGTCAGGTAAGGCTCTTCCTTGGGTCGTTTCTTCTTTCCCGTGTGGAGTAGATAGCTACTTGTATCAATTTACTGTATAGATATCGAATGGCTGGTCTAAAAATATCGGCATTGCCGGGGCAATTCATCATTGATTATGACCTTGAGCTTGAGGGTTGAGAGACTATCATTATGATCATTGTCATATCACATCGTGATGATCCAGGTCAGACCTGACAGGTTTCACCACCACCCCATATCTCACTTTGAAGAGAGTCAAATCGAATTAACAATCCCCAAGCCAATAGTTCCAGCGCCAAGCATACCTCATTCCCCTGATGCTGCAGCGTCAGCAAGGAACATCCTTGGCATATCAGTCTATCTTCATTAATATGCAATAGCACTGGATATCCATATTTCATTATTCCAGAGATAAATCTCAGCATCAGCTGAATAAGCCTCTATCGCAAAGCTTACTAGTTACTACTCCTTGTCTCATTCTCGATTCCCTGGTCATGGCCATCCACCTGCATAGCCAAGCATACAGAGCAGAGCACATCCATACACAAGTATCGACATATCTACATACACCCTGTATCCATTCCCATTACATACAGTCCTACCAGTACCACCCAGGGTAACACACCTCGCCCTCTTGGCAGCATCGCTTGCTCAACAGGATCCTACACAAGAATCCCGAATCACACCGTGACCCAACAGCCTAAACTCTCTCCTTCCCAACCAACCATCGCCCTTCCATCCCATCTTAACCCCCCCGCGCCAAGCCCTGCCGTCCTGTCCTGTCCTGTACATTCCCTCCCTTCGTTATCGCCTTGGCGCAGCCTGTCCATTTACCCCTAGAGGGAAAGAGAAGAGCGCGTCACGGACACCTCACTTCACTTCACTTCACCGTCCCGGATCTTCGTACCACCCCAGCTCAGCTCAGCCCAGCCCGTCCCCGTCGCCCCGGCGCATGAGCCAAGCGAAGGGATAAGGAGAGGAAAAGGGGGAGAGAGAGAGAAGATTGAGAGATCCATATGATCGACGTGGCAGAGGTGTGAGGTAGGACACGGCGTCTTGGCGTGGCGGACAGACACAAGTTGCCCAGTAAGAGTAACAGTTACAGCACACACTCTATCAGACGCAGGACTACTGGGGCGCCTGGGGGGAAGGGGGAGGAAGGACTCCCGTACGTGATGGCGACCCGGGGAATACTGAACGGCGAAGGGCTTTTTTCAAGCTCCGTTACACGGGACGAGAGAGCGCTCTGGTGTAAACAAGTATGGGGTTCTGCATAAGAGTACGTAGAGTTGAAACTATCTAGACTCTTCCATGGCGACGTGGATATAGTCTTTAGACTTTAGTCTTCTGAAGGAAGGGATCTTGGCGCAGGACGCGGTATGCAAGGTGGAATTATAGTTGATGGGTGGTGGAAATGAGTGTCTTTGTGCCGCTTGACGCAAAAATAAGTCAGTGGCTTGTGGGTGTGGGTGTGTTGTGCATGCAGTCACTTATGGCGAGATTAAAGATGAGATGAGGTTACGGAGTGCCGGAGTTGTTGCTTTTAGTTAAGGTCTATGGTAGGTTGGCAAAGTTGATTAAGGAATGTTTCTTGATGGGAATATACTATTGTTTGCTATGTATTTATCGTTTGATTGGCAGTTAGGGATGGTTCAAAATATATTGTGATTGAGATATGTCAACGCTAGATATACGTTGGACTACACTTAACAATATATAATGGTTGTCCGTAGTAAATGTCAACCATGTGCCACTGTCAAGAGAATATATATCTAGCTAAACAAGTTCATTCTACATGCACAATCAAAAGTAGGGCCATTCGGCAGAGACAGCCACACATGGGTATGGTCGAACTTGTGCCGTTCAAGTTCAGTTTGCTAGATATCAGGCCAATATTTAGTAGGTCGTGGTGACTTAGACCTGTAATCGCCTACATCGAAAGGTGCTGAGTGTCATTCACAATGATGACTGTCTGGCCCTGAGGTTGGTGCGATCTCAGGACATGCTTAGCTGGGACGTCTAGATATCATGAATATCATTCCATCATTTGCTGTATGCCAGCCAACGGTAACACTCGTTGTATGCTGGTGTTGCGAACGCTCATATACCACGATCGACATGCCTCGACGTTCACTCAATCTGTCTCCGAGGCTATTAGAGATCCGACGAAATCAGTTCGTTGTGCCTCTGGCTCAATATCTCGTCCGCCCCAAGGTCAGAATGCGATCTTGATGCCTACCGTGCACGGCACCAGCGTCCCAGGCATAAGCCGCTCAATGGCAAACTTCGCCCGCCAGCCCGTGCAATGGCCCGGCAAGAGCACGGCAGGGTCCAGCTTCCTCAAATCCTTCACCGTGCTCTCCATCTGCTGCTCCTCGCTCGTGGCCAGATGAAAACCCCCAACCACAGCATGCAGGGGTACAGTGCCGCCTAGAGATTCAACCGCGTGTATGGCCGCGTTGACGACCCCGGCGTGGCTGCAGCCCGTGAACATGACAATTCCTTTGTCTAGTGCCGTCAGCATGCGACTGGACACCGGAGAAGGTGCAATACACCAACCTTTCAAATTACACATGAGGAACCGCTCGTCGGCGATACGTTCGTCTGAGAACCAGTCGTCGTCCTCGCGGCTAAACCGCATCCCGCCCTTTAAGCCATTCTCGTAGCTCGTTCGCCGGGGAATCTCCCCAGAAATCAGAAAGAAGTCGTCGAGAATGGTATGCATCTCGTCATGCTTATCGACTGTTCCACCAGCCGCCTCGATCTCCTCGAACGACGGGTCCGCCTGCAGCGAGATGATCTTCTGGCCGATGGTCATCCCCCGATAATCTGGACGAGAGGGGTGAAGGTCAACAGACAGACGCGCCTCCACACCCTTGACTCGCTTGGCTTCGTTAATCATGCGAATGGCCCGCAGAAGCCCGCCTGTATCACCGTCAGCTAAGGAATCCTCCGCAAATAATGCGCATAAACAAACCAGAGTGATCCCGATGCCAATGCGATAACTGGATCACCTCCACCGACGCGAGATCAGCTTGTAACCGCCTCGCATTTCTCTCCCAGGCGTCCTCCTCCGGGCCTACGTCGAAGAGCACCGAATGTTTCACGGCGCCTTTGGTAGCAGTCTAGGGAATATGTTAAAATATGGCGTTACTCAACTTTCACCCGCCTGCGGAAATACCACAAGAATCGACAGCCCATGTGCCGAGCAGCAGATATCGTCCATCCTTAGTTCTTTATGCGCATCCACTCTATCCTGGAGCTCGTGGGGCGAGCCTGTCGCGAGACTGCCCATCAGACCCGAGACCTGGACGGTGTCCGGTGCGACGGGTGATAAGGGGTCGAGCTCATTGTCGATGATGACGAGGGCTTCGAGGGAGTCAATCTCTACGAGTCTTGAGCTGGGCATTTTTATCCCGGTGACAGGGATCTATATGTTATGAAGATGGTTGATTGTGAGAAAGCTCAATGTTGTTGTGTGGTTGAGTGTCAGCGAAACTCGGAATTGCGGGCAGGTGACGTGGCTGGGCAGGACAGATAGTCAGAATCCTCGTCAATCATCGATGAAACTATTTGTTTTTTAGAATCTGATTTTAGGATCGCTATATTCGAATTATGCCTGAGACTGTACACTAATGAGTCTCGAATGGTCAGACTCTACACTTCATCTGCACATTACCATATACTGAGGTCGCGTCCCGGCCCACTCCCGCATACTCCATCGAAGAAGTCATTGTCAGTCAACTCGATTCAGTTGTTGGCTCAGTGCTTGTCTCGGCATGGGATGTAGCTCTGAAGACCTCGTAAAGAAGGACTAATTGAGTTGTTTGCGCTTCCAACGTACACCATGTCACTTCAGAAGAGATGTCACCCTAGATAGGCCTCGATCATATCACAGAGAAAGTCGAGATGAACTTGCTTTCGCAGCTTGGATTTGGATCTATTTGATCTCTCGCCACGCCGTTTTATACGGTTGGATTCTGTTGTGCGGTGTGAGACTTGACCCTGGAGGGCAGTCAGCCTAGAGCAGAGTTGGATGAGCATATGGCCTCAGATGGATGTTCAAATATCTACTCGCAGGAGCGAGTATAGCAGCATGTTAATGCTTGTGGTAATATGCAGTTAGTATGACGGCGTAGGGGAAGCCCCCATGACGCTTACAGTCCCACGCACGAGTACCGAGATATAGAGACAGCTACCTCCAACTCTCCTAAGCCTCTTGATCGAAAGTCCTGGACTGATTTGTCTTGGTAATTCCTACTCTCGAGCTCATCCGAGTATTCAACATGTATCTGCTCACGGATTCCACATAGCATTGTGGACGGAAGGCTTCGAAGGTTCTTTGTCAATAGGAAAAGGAATGGACAAACGATGAGGTTTTGGAGCATGTCTTGTAGTCATACACCCCAGCATGCATTATCTCCTGTGAGGATCATGGACATGTGCTTAATTAAATTGTTTCTTGTTGACCATAATCTGGTACCACCCAAGAGGGACGGATTCGCCCACACAACGCTTCTGTCTTTTTAGATGAAGTAGGAACATGTACTGTCTTGCGTCCAGGTACAGTCCTTTTCACCAGACATGGCACGTCTCGATGGTTCTGAGCATCATCGCCCTGGTCCTTCTCCGAAAATCAGCTTCACTGTGGATTACACTGCTGCGAATGCACCAATGCACGGTAGTTAAGGATCACAAAGCAACTTCTTCGAACATGGGAGACGTTCACCCTATTGAAGACAGTATCGTCCAAACCGACGAATGAGACCTGGGGCGCATGCACATATCATATCCCTTTATCGAGTATGTCTCTGCAAGGCATATATACCAAGAGGTTTCCAAAGCGGATCGACGCGAGTTCTAGAGGTTGACTTCTGAGATTTTCCGTCGCGTATGTCGTCTTAGCGAAGATTCCATGGTCGCAGAACCCCGTTCCGAGCGACTCACACCATTCCTGTCATCCCTGATGACCACTGAGGCTTTAGAGCATCTCGATGCATACCCAAGATCTCAGATAGAGCCGTGACTATTCAGATGCAATGGTTAGCCATAAATCGTTTTGACGAGTTCCGATTATCGCCAAACACAGTCCTGAGACAATGGGATAAAAACCATGGAAATATTAACAATGCCATGAATATCATCAACCCCCAAACCCCCAGGCCTTCATCGCCAACTTCCAAATATGTCTGTGCTTGGTTAAGATCGTTCCAGATCTCGGCATCTTGAACCCACGGTGGGGAAGATCCAGCAACTAAAAAAGTTGGGATTTGGGCTACCATGGAAGCCATAGCCATTGTTGACCAAACTCCAGGGTGAACCTCTTGCTGTGTCCTTTCTCAATCTCATGCTAATTTGAGTATGATGCTGATCGAGACAAACTGAGACAAAGGGGAAATTGGCCACACGACAGTTTCAATATTATTATACTCAAACAGCGCTTGAACAAGCGGCAGATCTGACGCTTGATTGTCACTCCAGTGGCTCCCAGTGCCAACGCATCAGGGCCGAAGCGGAAACTGGTTCGTCCAGCAACCATGGAGAATAGTCACCCTTAGGTTCCAAAGTCGAGGTACTCGAATCTCAACGGTACCACCGAACTGCGTGTTGAAACTTGAAACTGTTGATCGTTGCAGTGGACTGATCGTATGCTATACTTGGTAGCGAAGCTGGTCGCAGCTCGCTAATGTCAGCAGGATACATGAGAGAATTCAAGAACGGCGTCATAACCCCAAGCGTCTAGATTACGCTGTCGGATATCCATACATATGAGAATAATAATATCCGAATACTCGAAACACTGACTTGGCTGGAGTTTTCCTGAGTGTTGGCAGTTTGGCACCCGACACACAGACACAGTCCCCAAGCCTTGCGTGCTTAGGCAATTTCCGACTTCCCTCGATCACCTCTTTCCTCTTCTTCCCCAGTCATAGCATATTGACTTGTCCAGTTCACCAGCCATTGAGCCCCGTCACTCAACTCCATGACGGCTACGAGCCTTTTTTCAAATGCTCGTGGCGGTCTGGTACTGAGCTGACCAGGGCTGAAGGTACGTTCATTCGGTTTCTGTTGTGCGTTGGATTTCCTTGTTCTCTCGCTCTCTCCTCCCAGCCATCTCATTTTCGCCCTCCCACGCCTTAACTTCCCACCCCGTTATTCGACCAGCCACAGTTGTTCGGACCCCCTTCCTCCTGGTCGCTCAATTCTTTCTGCACATGTTGTGATCCCATCTGGCCCCGATGCTTATTCCTGTCTCCATCTTTTACCCACATTCCTCGTCCGAATTGCAGTTGCTCACCATCTTCTCAGAGTGCTGGACCAGAGGGCCTCCGTCATTTCGGGATCTCCACCGAGCTGCTTGAGAGGATCTCTCTGACGTCGGCAAAGCCCTCAATCGCAGCTGAAGATTGAGGGAACAATCCAATCTGCCCATTCTTCACGTTGTCATCGTCTCTATTCCCACATCGTCGCCAGCAATCCTCAGCGGTGTCTCACCACGGCCACGGCTCAATTAACGAGATCTACGAAGTTCACGACCCATCAACCCTTACGACCTTTCCACGGCAACGTCAGCAGCAGGCTGCCTCTAATCCTGCCTCTAATCCCTCCCTTAATAATCCGGCAGATCGACCCTCGAGTGCGTTGGGAAGTCCCCGTTCGTTACGCCGAACGCCTCGTCTGACCCATCAACGAGCTGCTTCGGTAGATGTGTCGGGACGATACAACCAGATAGAGCAATCGATACCAGTCTTGGTGGAATCCGCGACTGTTCGACGCAATCGCAATCCCGCTATCCGTCCGGCCCTTTCGGAAGCACAAACAGACGACGCGGGAGAGTACGATTCCGAGGCCCACGAGGAACGGGCGAGACAAGCCGGGGAGTCTTTCTGGCCTCATCGATCGGCCCGTGTCTCTCCACGGACGGCTTCTGCGATCCTTTGGACTCTCGAAGAGGCAATCCGAAAACCTTTCCCATTCACCCCAGACTGGGAGGAAGCGAACGCCTCCATGTCGGATCTTGCGGGTCTCCCAGTCACCTCTGCCGGTAGCGGCCGGACACAGAATGGCGCGACACGCGCAGCGCAGGGACCTGTGCCGTTGAACCCGCACCCTGCGAGCGGTGTTAGGACGCCAACTGATATTATGAGACAGCGTCGGGATCGAGAAGCTCGGAAGAAGGCAGAACAAGAGGCGAGGGCGCGAGAGCAGGAGGAGGAACAAGTCAGGCAGACTCAACAGGCTCAGCCATATGCTGCTGGCGTTGCCGGGGAAAAGACTGCGCAGCGGCGAGTAGCCCCTAGACCAAATACAGCGTCGGAAGCCCCGACCAATGCTCCTGGGACGACTCGCCGCGCTGAACCCCCAAATCATCCCCAAATGACCCGGCAACCTCTATCTAGCACACAACCTCAGGCCGCCCCGGCGAAAGGTGCTGCTGCGCCCGGTTCATTCGCCAAGCCAGCACCGGGACAAGCTCCTGCAACAAACCAATCGGATTCTTCTCAATCCCAGCAGCAACCGCGCCGTGTCGGGTTCCCCCACGCCTTTGAGCGTTGGGAAACCTTGTCTTCGCACTGGGAAGGCTTGACGAGTTACTGGATTCGCAAACTAGAGGAAAACAACGAGGCAATGGAACGAGACCCTCTCAGTCAGCAGATGGCTCGTCAGGTGACGGATCTCTCCGCTGCTGGTGCGAATCTTTTCCATGCGGTCGTGGAGCTACAGCGCCTGCGAGCATCGTCGGAGCGGAAGTTCCAGCGCTGGTTCTTCGACACTCGCGCGGAACAGGAGAAAGCCAAGGAGCATCTAGCCCAACTCGAGAAGCAGCTCCTGAGCGAGCGCCAGGCCCGTACTGAAGCGTTCGCTTCCTTGCAGAAGACCGAGGGTGACAAGACTCGCGCCGAGGAGCTGTTGAAAGAGATGCGGCGTGAGCTGCAGATCTCAAAAGAAGAGGCACGTCGCGCGTGGGAAGAGCTGGGCCGCCGCGAACAGGAAGAACGTGACCGCACCAGCTCTCTGCGGAACGGCGAACCTACGCTTGTCGGGGGTGTCCAAGTTGTGCCTATGGTCCCGGGTCTTTCTCATCGGCCGTCGGCCACGAGTCGATCCCCGCCGCGGGAGAGTCCATACTCTGGCAGCGAAGTTGCTGGGAAACACCCAGAGGGTCAGTACTACGACGAGACTCCTGTGTCTCCCATTGAAACGGACCCATTCACTGAAGGAAAGGACTTTGCACATCAGCCTGCTACCACAACAGCCGAGTCTCAGGGTCAACATGCCAGCCACTACTACCCGCAGCAGGGCAGCAACATGCAAGCTGGTCGATCTGCATCCGCGAATGATGATCGGTCGTACGACCCTAGCGTAGCCAGTAGTGAGCCAAGAGATGAGGAGTATGGCGACTACAGCCGCGGTCAGGGCCGTCCAATTGAGTATCCCCCTGCGATGTCAGAAGAGAGCGATGACTATGAGCATGAACCTCTGGAGGAGGGCTATGGATCCAGTTCCATGCCACCGTCGTCGGGCGCGTTGTACACGCCGACCAGCGTGGATTACAGCGGTTCGGGTTGGGGCGTTGGCTCAGGTTGGGACTCTATGACCCCCCGGCACCGTCACCCCACGCGCCTCAGCGATGTCCTCGAAGAGGACGAGCCGAGGACCACACCTAGTCGGGCCAGTCGGGCCAGTCGTGCCAGCCAGGCCAGCCGGAGCGTACAGTGACAGTGATGCCACTGAATTCTGAACCTTCCACGAATTTGACGCTTTTCTTTTTCAACCTCGCACGTACATAATTGCAGGTCCACCGGTTGAAGCAAAATTGTGTTTTCCTTTTTTTTTTTTTTTTTTTTTCCCTTTCCATCTTTTGGTTACTGCGTTCTGCTGCTTTCCACTCGGATATGAATACCTGCTTCGGTTAACGCTGCTTCATTCTTGACTTTTTTATTGTGTTTCACTAGTTTCGCCTTTCCACTGTTTACTTAGAAAGGTTACATAGGGCAATTATTGTAATTCTAAAATGACGAAATGAAGTTCAAAGGCGAATTCCTCATGCTTGTGTAGCTCTGGCTCCATCGCCAGTATCTGTGAACCCCATCATGTGATCTGCAGCCTGAGGCAGCCAACCTAAGCCATCCCGGAGGACCCGCAGATCCTCAACTCCATCGCGTCAGCCGAAGAGCATCTGTCAAAGCTCTATCCTCTCCAACTTCCACACCACTCGCACACATCATCACCATGGCCTCATCAATGCGACCGATTTCCCGGGTCCTCGGCCGCCTCGGCCGCACAACACCCTCAACCCTCGAAGCCAGCACCACCCGCCTCCCCATCCGTACCACCCCAACCGTCCTCACTCAGTCTCGCCTGCACAGCCAGCGACCATCCGCGACAGCCCAGAAGCTGAACGCACACATCCACACCGGGCGCCCCTTCTCGACATCCAGCGTGCGCCTCCGCGCCAAGACGATGGGCCAGCTGCGGGCGCGCAACGCGACGGGCCCGTTCTCGTGGAAGGCGGCGCTGCTGTTCGTGCTGACGGGTGCGGGCATGATTGTGTATTTCCGGGTGGAGAAGGAGCGGTTGGAGCGGAAGCGGATTGCGGAGATGAGTAAGGGGGTGGGCCGGCCGAAGGTGGGCGGGCCGTTTACGCTGAAGGATCTGGATGGGAAGGAGTTTACGGCGGAGGATTTGAAGGGGAAGTATAGTTTTGTATGTGTGCCTGCTCTTATCAGTTTTCTTGCCGGGGGGCAAGGAAGGACTGGATGGTATGGTTTTGCTGACGGGTTTGGCGTAGGTGTATTTCGGGTTCACGCACTGCCCGGATATCTGCCCCGATGAGCTGGATAAGATGGCCGAGATCATTGATAAGGTCAAGGAGGCGACCAAGGGCGAGAATATCTTCCTGCCGGTGTTTATTACATGTGATCCTGTGCGGGATACGCCTGAGGTGCTACGCGCGTATCTGCAGGAGTTCCATCCCGATATCATCGGGTTGACGGGGACGTATGACCAGGTCAAGAATGTGTGCAAGCAGTATCGGGTGTATTTCAGCACGCCCAAGGACGTGAAGCCTGGCGAGGATTATCTGGTGGATCACAGTATATACTTCTATCTGATGGGTAAGTGTCTTATATCCTTGCTGAAAGTGGATGGGCCGTGCTGATCCAGTCTGCAGATCCCGAGAACGATTTCGTCGAGTGCATTGGCCGTCAAGACACTCCCGAGTCGGCATCCAAGGTCATCCTGGAGCATATCAACGACTGGAAGAGGGAAGGAAAGCCGTTGAAGAAGGATTAAATTTGCGTGATTTGTCGCTGTTGCTTGTCACTGTATAAAAAAGCACCTGCATACTAGACTTGAAAAGCCCGTGTATATTAATTAGACCGGACCTCACTTCCCACTCCAAAAGGAAAATCACCACTCACCACTCACCAGCCCCGTCTCCACTTCTCTCCCCTCTTCTCCTCTACTCCCTCTCCTCCTGCTTCTCAGCCACCACCTTCCCCTCCGCATCCCTCTCCCGATTCTCCCTCCACTCCATCCCCCCATCCACAAACTCCTCCCGCTTCCAAACCTCCAACCGTGCCTTGACTTCCTCCAGCACCTCCTCGCCAGCCCGCCACGCCATCCCCCGATGGCCCGCACTAACCGCCACGACAATCGACGATTCCTGGATCGGAACCACCCCCAACCGATGCGCAATATACACACCCTCTAGACGGAACTTCTCCGCCGCCTTCGTCGCGATGTCCAGTAGCGTCTTCAGCGCCAGCGGCGGGTAGCACGTGTAGCTGAGCTGCGAGACGGCGCGGCCCTCGAAGGTGTCGCGTGTTGTGCCGAGGAAGAGGACGTTGGCGCCCGCGGCTGGGGAGGAGGTGTGTGTGAGCGCCTGCGACGGGTTTAGGGGGGAGTAGGTCAGTTCGAGGTGGATGTTGTGCGTGGGCGAGGTGAGGGTGCGTGGGTATGTGGTTGGATCGAGGTGTGGGGGGAGTGACGCCAAGGCGGAGGTGGAGGGTGTTGATGTTGCTGTAGGTGTTGGTTCTTGGGGCGGTTGGGATGCCATTGTGAGGGATGTGTTTTTGATTGAAGGCCGTATGTTGGCTTGGTGGGGGGTGGGATGGGATGAGGTTAAAGGGAGTCAAGTCACCGGTGATTGTGGAGATGACTTGCTCTTATCGCTTTATCGGTGCGGGGAAGATTTGTGTGTCTCCCCTTGTGGTTTATATATAGGGAGGGCATAGTGTCACGAAAGTCATAGTTCTTAAGATAAGATGAGATTGACGTTGCACGTCTATTCTAATATCACTCTGTTGCAATTATTCGTATCATCGTGTCACAAACAAACGTGGACTCCATCTACTGCACGAGCACCACAACCGCTTCATAAGGCCGCAGAGACCAGCTCTCTCCTGAAAACCGCTGTGATGCTTTCTCTACTCCTTCATAGGTATTCAGCAACACCTCTTTGACGCCCTTGATACCCCGCGCAGCAAAGCTCCAGTCCAGGGTCTTGTCGGTGAAGTTACCCACAACCAGCGCCTTCTGGTTCTCATACTGCCGCGTATACGCAAAGATCTCCTGGCTGTCACGGTCAACCATATCGTAGTTGCCGTACACGAACAGATCCAGGTATTTCTTGCGCAGTCCCAGCACCGCCGCCCAGTAGTGGTAGGTTGAGTTTGGATCCTCGACCTCCGCCTCGGCGTTGATGCGGACGTAGTTGGGGTTGACCGACATCCAGGGCTTGACGTTGGGGCCGGTGAATCCTGCGTTCGGAGCGGAGCTCCATTGCACGGGAGTGCGTGCGTTGTCTCGAGATTTCTTCTGGTACTCTCGTTTGGCAATCTCTTGGGCCTTGGTGTCGAAGTGCTTGTGTTTGATCAGCCTGTTGATCGTTGTTGTTAGCTTTATCCAATGCTTCAGTGTGGGTAATCGGGTTGTACATACCCGTGCCAGTGGTTGAGACAATCGATGTCCTTGTATTCCTCAATGCCCCATTCAATCGGGACATTGCTCATACCCAGCTCCTGGCCTTGGTAGATGAACGGCGTACCGGCCTGCAGGGTTAGAAGGGTAGCCAGAAGCTTGGAGGCAACCAGACGATGCTCTTCCTTCGCATTGGTGTACCGGTCAATCGACCGGGGTTGATCGTGGTTCTCCCAGTACAGGGCATTCCAGCCGTCATTCTCGTACATGAACTTCTCCCATCTCTCAAAGAAATCCTTGAGATCAGTGAGCTTCCATTCGCCGGGCTCGAACTTGTCGTATTTGCCATGGTCGATATCCACATGCTCAAAGTTGAAGATCATGTTGAGCTCGTTCCGACCGTAGCGCACGGCTTTAAGGACTTCTTGTGTGTCTTTCACGAAAGGCATCTCGCCCACGCTGAACGCGTCATATTCTTTGAGGATCTCTCCCAGGCCCTGCAGATACTCATGTAGGCGAGGTCCGTTGGCGTAGTATTTGTCGGCCCACTGCCAGATGCTGCGGGGATCTTGAACAGGCGCGTCGGGGAAGGCCTGGTCCTTGCTGATGAAGTTGATCACGTCCATTCTGAATCCGTCGGCGCCCTTGTCCAGCCAGAAGCGCATGATGTCATGTACGGCCTTGCGCACCGGCGGGTGCTCCCAGTTCAGGTCAGGCTGCTCTGTGGCATACAGATGAAGGTAGTATTCGTCTGTGAGCTCATCGTACTGCCAGGCGCTTCCTGTTTCCATATTAGAACTTGCGTACAGACTGTACGGGTATACCGGACATACCTTGGAAATGCGAGACCCAGTTATTCGGGGGATGGCGGTTCCCCTGCTCGTCGTATTTGGCAGGCTTCCAGATGTACCAGTTCCGATATTCATTGTCCTTGGAACTGCGAGACTGCTTGAACCACTCGTGCTGGTCACTGGTATGGTTCACCACCAGATCCATCAGGAGCTTCATTCCTCGCTGATGGCAGCCCTGGATCAAGTTCTCTACATCCGCGACCGTGCCGTACTCGTCCGCGATGCTATAGTAATCGGAAATGTCATAGCCCATGTCGACCTGAGGCGACTTGTAGGACGGGCACAGCCATACAATATCGACGCCGAGGTTCTTGATGTAGTCAAGCTTCGAGACGATGCCGGGAATGTCTCCGATGCCATCATCGTTGGAGTCCTTGTAGGAAGCCGGCCAGATCTGGTACACGGAGCATTCCTTCCACCAGGCGCGATGGATCTGGGTAGTGTCGGATCGGGTCATCGTGCAGAGCCGCAGTGAGCCAAATGGATTTTAATAGAGAAAGAAATGAATGAGATTGTGCTCAGCTTGTCTCAAGTAGAAGGAAACTGCGCATTCTTATAGTTCGGTGACCTGCACCGCGGGGCAGCCAGCGATCATCTCCTGCGGAGAAATTCTCGGTGGATTATGTTGCTGTCCCAAGCCACCAACGGGTCCATCATGCGCAACTGAACAACTATAGGATCACAGAAAGAAGAAATTATGGGTCGGACACGCTGATCGAATAATGATGAGGCGCGGAGACTTGATCCGAAGGTTAGTTGCGTTGAAGATGATTCTCTTTGGCTTGCGGGCAAGCTGTGGCCCACTAGAGCGCTCCGAATGTATAGAAACCGGGGAACCCTGGATCGACCCTCGAAGAGAACCCCAAAGTGAGACAGTTTGAAAAGATCGTCCGAATTTGAGCTATCTTCTGTTTCAAATGGTGTACATGACCAAATCATCTCCTTCCCTGCTTATGTCCAAAGTTTGCATTGTAGTCGTTATAAACGCTTGAGCGATGAGCGAGACATGGGCGTAACCAGTTCAACGCTCAAAGGTATCGCTAGCGAATTCATTTGAACCCTATCTGTCCTGGTTTGAGTTAGTTGACTGTGACTACCGTTTGTAAGTAAGGAACAAGTAGATATACTAACTCGAGAAACCTGAGTGGTAGATGACGCTGCAGCTCCCTAATGTTCGTTCATAGAGAAAGCCCCTCGAAGCTGAAGATGAAAATGGGATAGCAGAGGTTTGTTGAAGGCTGTGTGGAGGCTCAGTCCTTTGATCGAAGAAGCATGCAGTGGAACGACAGCCCTATACCCTGGTTAGGACTATTTATGCTCAATGTGAAGCAGTAGGCTTCTTCGAGGAGACATTTAAGGGAAGACATACGTGCCAATGAAATGCGTCCGGGATTTATTCTTCATTGATCCAACTGAATTCTTCTTTTTGGAGGAAGCTTCCATGTCTACCAGACGATCCTGTCTCGTCAGATGGTACCGGGAAAATGAATTGCAGGTCGTCTTGGTCAAGTCAAGCTGAGATCTTTGCGCTTCTCACGTCTCTATTGAATATGGTTAGGAGATTGAGGATGGAGTGTAGAAGAGTAGAAGCAATCAGATGTCAAAAGTGTTGAAGACAAGTTGCACTCACATACGAGAACTTGAGAATCTAGGCATGAGAGGATATGTTGCACCCAAGAAGTGGTTGCTCTACTTCTGCTCAGTGTATCTCTTTGCTTAGATGCATTCCTTCAATTGCTTAGATGACATTCGACCTCGTTGCACTCTGCACGTACTGAAGCCAGACCACATCTCCCCTCCCATACCGACAGCATACCATCGAATCCAGCTATCTCAGGGTTGTCCCTCGAGAAATTATCAGAGTAGACTTTCGCCAACATCAACACCCTTCTTCTGGCTTTCAGCATGTGTACCTACTACTCTGAATCATTTGACCAGAACACCTTTTTCCAGGAGAATTCTTCCAGAGTTTGTCTGTAATCAAGCTCGCGGACAAGCGATAAAGTATACTGTGTAGATCTAAGAGAACAGAAGGTTAGAAAGAGCAGAAGTAACGAAGGTATGAAATTTGCGAGTAGACAGAAAGCTCCAATATGAAGTGCAGAGAAGGCAGAGGAAAATCGATATACACATAGAGTAGGCATAGGGAAGCAAGCTCACCTTATTTTCAGGCCTCCCCTAAGATGACTTTGGCGAGAAAAAGACCACCTTCTGGTATCCGTCTTGATTGCTAGTACCGCGTGGATTGCTTCTTTTGACGGGTGGGGATTGTGTGATTTTTTAAAATCATGTCCAGTAATTGACATAAAGTGATAAATACCTGGATGTCCAATGAGTGATGGCTGGTAGTTAACTGCATTGATATCTATACTGATGTGGATATATATTGCGGTGATGCAGCATCACTGCCCATTAATTAAATTCTACCATCTACTGTGTATCTCCTTTCTCTTAAGCACCACACAATCTTCTTCTATCAAACATTTGCTACAGTTCAATGGCAGCCACTAAGCCTAATCCAGCAAAGTAACTTTACTTTGTTTTCCAAAATCAAGCATTGGCCAGTGCAAGGATGATGATCCAGATTAGCGCACGTGCCTGTCTTCTTCATTCTACTCGGACTACATGCTCTACCACTTACGGTATCGAAATAGACTGCTTGAGGAGTTCCCCTATCCTGATATATCACTTTTATGCCATGCTAAGGGTAAAACTCATGTTTGGTGCTTGGGTTCTCCTTCTCTTGGCCGTTGTACGTGCAGATGCAGATGCACAGCTTCAAAGGTACGAGCACTTTGTCCCTTTCCCATCTACTCTACAGCATCAGAGATATAGAACCAACATGGAACAGAAAAACCGCCAATCTCGAAGAATGCATCCATCCACATCCCAACAGCTGCAATTTCTACGCACAATGTCTCGAGTCCAAGTACCACTGCGGATCATCCGGCTACCCAATCGGGTTTGGACAGAGGTTCTGTGCAAAGTCCCTCATCTGGAAGCCAAAGATGAGCCCTTCAGGTCAGAAATGGATTACAGAGACGATGCTGTGCTTGCAAGAGCAGCTGGTGCCGTTCGCTAACGGGTCCGAGAGCTCGAGCTGTGGTGAGCTGGAAGAGTACGCTCTAGGCACCCATGCTGGGTGCTATGTGAAGAGTGGCGTATGCACTCTGCCAATTGAGGACTGGGGGAAGATCTTGGAGATCGTCTTTCCGGCTCTGGTGTCTGATCCTGAGAATTTCCAGTCGGCGTTTTCTACTGCTAGGGACTGTGTGATGTTGTATATTTGGTTGATTGGGAAGGAAATCCTATGACTGTGTGGTTCCACTGAATGTATATTGCCGAATTCTACAAGGGATTTACTCATATGAAAATACTGGCTACTTGTTCACTGCAAGATGTGGAGACAACGAGAGAGGCCATGCGTAAGGGTTTAGGATTTCGCGCTTCCCCCCTTTTTTTTGGCTTTATCTTGGATGCGAAACAATGGCCCGATTTCGATTTAAGCTCCCGTCCCTGTCCCGATCTCTAGCCATTATTAGGGAACTTCTGCAGGAACCACGGAAATGCGAAAACTTTGTTCTATCAAGAAGCTTTGGCCACAAGCCAGTTCCCAGAGCAGACTCGCATACAAGTTGGGTGCCAAAGCGGATATGAAACCAAGCTATTGAGAGTCACAGAGAACGATGCTTCCAATGTCCAAAGCTTTGTATTGAGATCGACCTGACGGCGAAGGACCGTGGGCAGAATGATGTGCTGTATTGAAATTCTGTGTCTCAGAGTTCATATCAAGGTTCTTTCGTGTCCGGCAAGATCGGTTTTCTGTTTATCAACAGCAAGCGATTAGTCACTGTAGCTATGGGAGTACACATATACTCGACGACGTATCCTTGCTCCCCATGCCTAGACCGAGGCTGACCATGAGCAGATCTAGTGAGAGTGCATGAGGGAATTCTCACTCTGCACACCTGCGTTGCGATTTCAGAGTGTAGAAGGATCGCGCTTCTTGAGGAGGTATTGGTCTAATACAATCGTGTGGAAATGGACTATTTCTTCAGAGGAAGGCAAAAGGAATACCTTGATGCTTTCGACTATCGTCCGAATTAGTGTAGGAATTGACCTTATCTTCAACTATCGAGGGATGCACGCTTGGGGAGCTGTGTGAACATACCTCTGCACACAGGTCATCCCGCACTGTACTTTTTGTCCGCGCCTGGAGGAATATTGGGGAAGATATTCAGATACAGAATGTCTGCGATAGCTAGAATAGTCGTGGTTCTGCTGGATGGCAATTTTTAACAGAGGCTTTGAAGGAACGACAACGACCAGAGCAGATTCAGGATAGAGAAGAGGAATACGTCGTAAAAAGAACCAGTATACTGGAATATTCGCGGCTCCAGATTATGCTCGACACCCTGTGTGGTTTGGAGCTCGCAGAGGGAGGGTAAGCTTTGGCTATGTTTCTTCTGATCGCCCTTGTACTGAGGTCAACGTACGGAAGAGACCACGAAATGCTCTTTGACTCGAGTTGGCATGCTTTGATAGAACAGATCTACCTCGCTGAACAAGCCTCTTTTGCTTCAAACACACCCGCCTTCTTCTGCTGCCATTATCTGGCCTGTAGAACTGTACAATGAGCCTTTATTTCCTAGTATAATGAACTATCTTATCCAACCATGTCTTTATGCACAGCATATGAAGCCTAACAATGAAAGAAGTTAACCCATGGGCATCAATCTGTACAACATTGAATGCACAATCACCTTAAGTCTCTTCACCCACCCTCTTCCATTGTCCGTCCTTTGGCGACGGTCCAATTTTCTCTATGACGACAGCTTCATTCACTGTATCATGTATCGTCCTATCTGGAAGTCTCTGTTCCGAATCCAGAAATGACGCAGGCTGCCACTAGAGGCCACTCAATAGGCTAGTCTAATGTGGACAAAGGCAGATTCTGTGAAGCTATTCACTGTTGACACCCTCTTGAAGGCGCTAGAAGAGAGAATATCCCTGATTTCCTTGTTTGCTATGCTGTTAGCGCGCTTGATAGGCCCCAAAAGAGTCATATCCCCATCATATCCACCTCCAGCAGTGACGACAGCAGAATTCTCTGCACTTGACATTCACTCCATCGACAACTAAGCGAGATGTCTGATTCTGAGGCTATCTCTAGCGTCATATTGCCCAGGTATAAAGCTACCTGGCTCACTCTGCCTCAGCTCTTCTTCTTCCTTTCTCTCCTCACCTTGCTCCCATCGATTCTCTCTTGCTACCTCCTAGTTACTATTCTCCATTCGATCAACAACATCTCCACATACAAGCACGCCTCTTCTTTGTGATTACAAAGTCAAGTCTTCAATCACAATGAAGCTTTCCACTCTTGCCCTTGGCATCTTCGCCACTATGGTGGCTTCTGCTGCTATCCCTTCTGATAACGGTCAAGGTATGCTCCTTCCTTTCCTTCTGTGTGGCTTGGGTCAGCTCAGGGTGCTCTTTCTTTTGTCTGTCATGTTTTAAACCTTCGAGTTCATGCAACTGACACATACCAATTGCATCAATAGCTCCTGTCAGCTCTGCTGATCCCGTTTGTCACAAGCATTCTGACTGCGGCGTCGGATACTGCGATCGCGGCATCTGCGTTGCTGACCCCCCCCAAGCTGGCTCGCGATGATGCTTCTAACGTTCCTTGCGGCAATAACAAGGATTGCTTCAATGGTCTTTGCGTTGATGGTATCTGCCATTTTGGTATTGGAGAGGGTCCCTCCACCGATGTTTCGAAGGTTAATCAGAAGGTTGAACGCGCCGACCCAGTCTGCCACAAGCACTCCGATTGTGGTGTTGGTTACTGCGATCGTGGTATCTGCGTCGCTGATCCTCCCAAGCTCGCTCGTGGCATCGATGCCGACCCCGTCTGTCGCAAACATTCTGATTGCGGTGTTGGTTACTGTGACCGCGGTATCTGTGTCGCTGATCCTCCCAAGCTCGCCCGCGACATCAACGCCGACCCCGTCTGTCGCAAACATTCCGATTGTGGTGTTGGTTACTGCGATCGTGGTATCTGCGTCGCTGATCCTCCCAAGCTCGCCCGCGACATCAACGCTGACCCTGTCTGTCGCAAACATTCTGATTGCGGTGTTGGCTACTGTGACCGCGGTATCTGTGTCGCTGATCCTCCCAAGCTTGCCCGTGATATCAATGCCGACCCTGTCTGTCGCAAACATTCTGACTGTGGTGTTGGCTACTGCGATCGCGGTATCTGCGTTGCTGATCCTCCCCAGTAAAGGGTTCTTCGAGCTGGCTGAGCACAACTGGATGTTGTTGGTGAGTCTTTTCTCATTCTCATTGACATGGTTTTTTTTTTTTTTTTTTGCTAACGATGTGGTTACAGCAGCACTAAACGCTCTTTTGTCACTCTCGCCCTTCGATGTTGACACACTGCTTCTCCTTTTTCTTGGCTCATGGTGAACGTGGCTCGGTGGATGATCTGGATCGTCTTGGTGGCTTGATGTTCTTTGGGCTGTTGAATTTGGGGGATGATGATTAACGAATTTCTGGCTTTGCAATTAGTTTACTTTCTACTTCAGTCATCTGAGTAGATTAATGAAAGTATTTGATTTCTATCTTGTCTTCTTCATCTTGCTTTGCGGTCGACTTCGTTAAGTTGAGAGTATTGGTCGTAGCTGGTTCAGATAGACTTCGACGTTGTTTTGACTATGGCTATACCAGTTTAGTCGTAGTCGTAGTTGGTACTGTCGACAGACAATTCGTCTAAGTAACTCGCTCATAGATCAAACAGGAACTTGCAATGTGGGAATCAACTTCCTCTCTCATCCAAATTCCAGCTCTCTTCCAATAGCTTCACTTTCCCACCGGGGTATATCATAAGAAGGCAACCGCAGAAACCATCCGATCTATGCTTGCTTACACCTCGGATGCGACAGCTGGTCGAACAGAGAGTTCATAAGATTATACGTATATTCTTTTCCGATGCTCTCTGGTTTAGCCTTTGTGATGATGAGAGGGGCCGTCTTGTAGGATATCCCCTTTTTTTTTTTTTTTTGGCTTAACGCTACACATAACTCTGTCTATACATGCGTGTTTGTATTGAAGCAGTAGCTGGGCTACAAGGAGTGTGACGAAGGAATCAACGAAGGATAAGCCAAGAATACGAGGAATGACAACGCAGCGGTGCCGGGACGAGAGTAGGCTCTTCAACACGGTATCGTAAGCATCTATTATTATCTAGGAGATATAATGACAGGTATATATACAATAGGCGTTGGGTGATCAAGGGTCACACAACGCTCTACAGGAGAGAGCACAACGGGCCGTAGTCCAGTCCATCCAGGTTCTTCTGGTAGTAGAACATGCTGCCCACACACTTAGGGCAGTAGAAGACTCCCTGGGGATCGTACTTCTTCTTGATCAGCGCAAGACGCATGTAGTTGATGCCGAAGAAGTCGCTGGCCCAGAGGGGATCGTTGCGGTCAGCCTGGTCAATATTAGTTATGAATTCGTCAGATTAATGAAGACAAGGGCGGTTAGCATCGTACCTCGTTCATGTAGCTTCCTAGGAAGGGGGTAAGGGATCTCATGGCTCCTCCCTTGACGTAGGTGATGTCGTCCTTGACGGACTGAGCGACGGCGGCGCTGGAGGTCGCAGCCCAGCCGCGAGCGACAACCTGCACGATGTAGGTAGAACGCCAGGCGGGATTGACGCTGGAAAAAGGGTCGGAGCCGTCGGTGAGGACCTTGCCACCGCCAACCATCTCCATGCTATTGATGGTGTACTCCTGGGGAGAGCCGGCGATGACGCCGATCATCTTGCGGAGACTGGCGCGGTCGGCAGTGAGAGAAAGCTTGCTGAACATGCGGGAGGTCAGGGCAGAGTTGGCCGTTCCGGCGGGTTGGTGCACGCCAGACATGGCGGTGTAGTAAGCCGCATAAGTAGGGAACTGGAAGTAATCGACGTTGACGGACAGAGAGGTACCGTTGTATTGCTGCAGCTTGGACATCAGGGGGGCGAAGGCGGCTTGGGAGGCGCTCAGGGACTTGCCCATGGTCGCGATGGCGTGCACATAACCAACGTTCTGGTTGCCGAAGATGGTCATGGGGGCATTGACAGCCCAGGTACCGTATCCAGAGTAGCCAGCGTCAGAGAGAGCGGGGTACTGGCCGTAGATATCGGTGACGGCTTCAAGGAGAGCATCGAGATCGCCATTGATGGGGGCAATGGTGAGCGATTGGACGACGACTGGCAGAGTGGGATAGGCCTTGAAGGTCATGGAGGTGACCACACCGTAGGTACCACCACCGCCACCACGGATGGCGTAATAGAGGTCAGAGTTCTGGCAAGCGTTGGCAATGGCAATGCTGCCATCCGCCAGGACGACTTGAGCTTCGAGGATTTGGTCGGCTCCGAGACCATAGTCGCGGCTGGCAGGGGAATGACCGCCACCCTGAGGATAGCCACCAATGGCGCCAACAGTCTGGTTCTTGTTAGGCACTGTACTGCTGGAGAACGCCTATGAGAATAAGCATACCGGGTCCCCACCACCAACAATGGTCATGTTGCGCTTGAAAACTTCAGCGTACACTTCTCCCCAAACATAGCCACCGGCCACGGTGAAGGCAGCTCCACTCCACTTGGTGTTGGCACAGCCATCGGAGGGCTGGTAGGTCTCGTGGTATGTGATACCCTTCTTGAGATACTTCATCCAGACTTGAAGGGCACCGTATCCTTCCGACCTAGTTCCGTCAGCACTTGTATATCTAGCGGGGGAGCATGAAAGCACATACTTGCCCAGAATATCATGTCCTGTGTTTCTCACAACCAGGCGCAGATTATTCTTCTTTGCAAAAGAAATACCCGCTGCCACTTCCTTAACCTCCGTTGCGTTGACGGTATACAGCGGCGCTTGTCCCAGGGTGCAGTTTCCAGGCGTCTGGCCTGCCGCTACGGGAAGACATGAGTCGACCGTGGGGTAGACGTAGCCAACGGGTGAGAGTGACTGGAAAGTGGAATTGCGCCACTGAGAGAGAACATAGGCGCATTGCTCCGCATCCTCGTAGGGGCCAGGATAGCAGGAAATGGCAGGTGGCGTGTCGAGAATGAGCTTTCCTGAGACCGTAGTGTTCAGGGAGTTCCATGAATCGATCGAAGGCCAGCAGGAATCACCTGGTACCTGGAAGAGATTAGCAAGTACGATATAAGAGCCATTCCAGAGCAAAGGGGACACTTGCGCATTTGCACGAGGGAACAAAAAAGGTAGCATAGCTGAGCCCCGATAGGGCCAGCAACGAAAGGAGCGTGGAGCCCATCTGGAATACAGGAGTGGGCGGAATTACAGATTAAATAGTAAAAGAAGGTCAAAGAACGAAGCAAGGAAATGAGTGAGTGACAGACGATGAAGAAGAAGGAGCATCAACCCCGCGAGGAGAACGTCGAAGGCCCATGTTTAAGTAGTATTGCCAATCTGGGGGGCATTTTCACAACCCGCATGGCACAATGATCTGATAGAGTTATGCATGTTAAATGTCATGCTTGAAAGCCCTGACCAAGTGCACGACTCTTGTTGAAAGTAATGGCATTTTTTATTTCCGTCGTGGCGACCACTCGGTTTGTCGGTTCCATCCCAGTCCTGAAATGCCGCGTTTTAGTCGCAAATAGGTAACATCCCCTAGCTGCTTAGTTTTATTTTTTCTTTGCGACGGTGCCTAGTGAACGGGGAGGACAATCCGGATGGTCCTCAGCGGGATGGCTTAAATGGACCGTTTGTGTGAAGTGATGGGTGTTGTTCAACCCGGTTAGGACGATGGAACAGAGTATGGGATCTAGATCCGAGCTTTTTTGGTACTATGAGAACCACAGTGTCACTTGGGAGTTGGTCAAAGTCTCAAAACTCAAAGACCCAGGGAGGAAGATAGTAGTCTATCTATGGAGTGGACCGAGGATCCATACCTGCCAGACTGCCAACAAATCCACACTTCCACAGTCCACTTATTTGGCGTAGTGGATCCAGAGGCGACCCGACGAGACTTAACCGAGGAGAGGACGGAGATACTAGTATGATAGCCAACAATCCTAGTTGAAGCTAGAGGCAAGTTCATTTAGAGATGCCATCTGAATGGACAGCGGCACGAAACGACAGCCCCAGGACGATGAGAGCGTTGATATGATACGAGCAGCATCGAAGTGATCCCACTCCAGGTGTTAGTGTCTGTATTACTCCTTCTCATTTCCTCCTCGGGAGTTACTTCATTTCCGTTACCTCGCTTAGACTGTAGTGCGGCATTAGACTTGGGGCTGGACACTCCACAAGACACAAGTCCACATGCGTCCGTGCCTCCGCGGTCGATGCGTCGGTCTTTGAGCGTGCGATGATCTTGTTGATCAGCGTGATCGTCGATATCATCGATATCATGATCGCTATATGGAGTATTATTCGATCTAATGAGTATAGATCCCGTCAGAGATTGACTTCATACATTGCAAGAGATGAGATATTGGGAAGGGGATGGAAACACCGGTCTTTTGTTCTTCTGGTCTTCATCAACCTCGCCCCGTCCATGTGGTATTGGGGTTCATATTTGGGCCCGAAGCAGCAGAGTGACCCTGTCTAGTTTCAACTAAATCCTTGCTATGTAGTTAGTCAATGTCCACCCCTGCTGACGGTTAGCCAGCTGAGTGTTAATATATTCTTATTAGTTATCGATGGATGCTGGGGATTGAAGCCAACCACTCAACCAGTGACTAGAACGCACCGACGGGGGTGCTGAAACTGCTCCATGGCCAGTATCATGCAACGGTGTAAAAGAAATGGGGAATGGAGACGCAGTGGGTTTCGCCTTCTGGATACCCTTGGAAGCAGAATATTTCTTCATTTGCATTCTCTCCTTGCTGTTGGTCAATTGTTCCGTCCAGATCACCAAACAAAAAGCCAAATCGGTACTATGCATAAGAAGGAGCCTGTTACTAGTTTGTGGGAGATAGTTCGCCTGAGTCTGACAGTCTCGAATCCTTGACCTTCGCTCCCCATACTAAGGTAGGCTGGTAGTAGCATCAGTTCGTACTCCTGTTATGGTCACGTTCATATTACAACTAGATACATACCCTGTCGAGATATATTCTAACTATCGTCTGGGGTGTCTTGCGGATCCTTGTTCCTAGATACTTGAGTGGTTTCTTCTCCACCTTCAGTCCATGCGCCTCCGTCTTTCATCATGAGCACCTTAGCCCCTCAGGGCGTTGCGAAGAGACTTTCTGAGAATGGATTGATAGCAGTGACTTGGGTTGGTGCTGTCTTGGGCGTCGTCTTCGCCAGTGTCCGCATAGGAATTCGCCTCAGACGGATGAAACGCCTCCTCGCCGACGATTACTTTGTCCTTGCGGCTCTCGCCTTCCTCATCACCAACGCAGCTCTCCAGACGGTACAGGCGCCGCATCTCTACTACATGCTGTTGAACAAAGGAGGTCCTGATATGCGCTACCACGCCACTTTGTACATACGCTACGAGTTTGTGATTATCGGTATCTTCTGGTCGGTCTTGTGGTGTATCAAGGGCTCATTCCTGGCGCTGTTCTGGATAATCTCGGATGGACTGCCGCAGTATCGGTGCGCGTGGTGGGGGATCTCGATCTTTACGGTGTTGACGTACATCGGTTGTTGGCTGGGCTCGGTGCTGAACTGTCATCCTCCCTCGAATTATTTCAAACTTGGTATGGCTATCGCATCACGGGTGAGGTTTGTCAGTTGATGGAAGTTCTAGGAAAATGCACCAAGCCAATCGATATCCAGGCTTCGTTGATCTCAATCTGTTATAGCACGGCTGTTGATATCAGCACTGATTTGATGAGTATGTCCATGCAAGCTGAGAGTCCAGCGAGATTTTTGTCAGAATATTGACCGTTTGCAATAGTCATGTACTTCCCTCTGCGCATCCTGTGGAAAACCAAGATGAACCTCCGCCAGAAACTCGGTCTGGCCACCGTCTTCTGTCTCGCTTTTATCATCATCGCTGCGTCCATTGTTCGCGCCGTCGCTATCACCGGCAAGTCATACTCGGATCAGGCCGCTCTGTCCGTCTGGAGTATCGCCGAATCTTCCATCTGTACGTATACCGTCGCTTTGACGGAGTAAACAAGGAGCTAACCAGCATAGCAATGATCGTTGGATGCCTCCCCCCCTTCAAGACCTTCGTTTCTGGAAATAACAGCAGCGCGAACTACAACTACAACTATAACTCGTCAAGGCTTGCTGGGAACAACTACGATCGCTCCTCCGCCCGAATCAAGAGACGCTCTGTCACCACGGGCAGCTGGAGTGAATTGCCTATACCCCTGCAGGAAAGAAGCCGGAATACATACCAGAACCTGGAATATGGGGCACAAAGAAAGAATGATGTGCATATCGTCACGGGAGGTGTCTCACCTTCAGACCACTCTCGATTGAGCATATCGGAGGATGGGTCTGGACATAATGAAATTAGAATGGTCAAGGAGTTTGTAAGTGCTTTTCTCTTTCTGAATTGGATCGAAATGAGTAGAAGACTGACTGACCTATTCACACAGAGTGTGGTAACCTCAAAATAAAGCATGTTTTGAATGTCAGTCTGTGAATGTTTTAGAGATGGCAATAATGGGTGTAATAGAAACGATCTAAGGCTCTCATATAGAATCTAGCAGTCACTATCTAATCTAAATATCGGTTGCTGCGAATGAGCAAAGGAAATCTGGCATATATATGTCATCTTACCTGAGTGATGTAGATTCTTCGCCTATTATCTTCTCGACAGCTTGTGCACTAGCAGCTATCCTCTCCTCACAACTTTTTCACTAAGGGTAATAGTCTCAATTTTTTACTTGTCCAAGATATCACTCATATACTATGCTTTATCTGCTACAAGCAAACGTCTGTCGCCTCGCACATGGACAATAAGTCTTTACACATGACTCTTTTCCCTTTCTGCTCTCTAGTTGAAACAGAGAGCCATACCACGATCCCGCTTCGCCCTCTCCACGTCAGAAATACTGAAACAGACGGGTATGAGGTCTTAGAGGAATATCGCAACTCAAAGCTTTGAGTCGTACTATGTTCCTCTATGCACCCGTATTTCGTTGGACAACTTACAGCCTCACATGGCTCAACAGAAGCACTCATTGCATCCAGTCAAAATTATACCCAGAAGCCAAGATCGAGGACCAGAGCGGATGATTGTATAATGAAACACTGGTGGGTGACACTTAGCGTCGAGGCACTACCACCGCTGGTCGCACTGTGCTCATGAACCCCCTCGTGCGGATGAATGAGTATGTCTTAGGTGACAGCCGATGCTGGCGCATGAAGCTGCTAGTGGGCGTGGTCTGCTTACAAGCTGTCCATTCTGTCTCGCATTGTCGAGAAAGCTCAAAACATATTGCGAAGGACAGTGCTGAATTGACCATCTCAATACAGCCTTGGCGTTGCCCTGGAATGACGAGCCTGAAGACTTTCCATCCGGCAGGTGGCCGCCACCACTCGCGCAAGATATTTTCAAGCTCCGTCACACCTTACAGAACAATGTTCATCTGGTATGAGATCTTTGGCTGCTAGTACCAAGTCATGGCTTGACTAGCTCGCCAGCGGCCCCTACACGCTGCTCCTCCATCTATACCGAAACCTGAGGATTCCCCAAATTTGCTCGATCGCTTGTTGGGTTCTGCTTTAGGTCATCAAAATCGTCAACAATGGCACTGGTGTCTTGCTCATACCGTTTCGACACCATCTATACCTGGTGTAGAGCATGGCTGACGATGAGGAGGAGGTGTTGGTTGAAGAAGGAAGATGGCGTAGGAGAGGGAAGGGAGTATTCAAGTTAGTCAGTTCTGTGTACTCACTGGGCTGAGACGGCCATTATTGTATCTAGTGTGAAAAGCGTAGAGAATTTTCACTCTATTCTTAGTCTTACTGTCTTGGAAGGTGGTACGGTGAATGCTGTGTAACATGTGAAGGGGACCGCATCCCTATCTTATCTGATCTTTCTTGCCCTTTGATTTTTGATGTAGATTTGGCGATAGAACAGAGATTCTGCCGTTCGTTAAGAGTCTTTTTGAAGACTCCCATCGGCCATGGGTAGGATTCGAAGTCCCTTCAGCAACGGGATCTACAGGTCTACAGGAACACCAAGTTTTCAAGACCAGTTACTAGCACTCGTTAAGCTATCCAGCTATCTTTATGGAGCACCACACGTGTAACTTAATCCGAAGCAGCCCTGCAGACACGAAAGCTCATTTACAGCTGGCCGCAGTTCTCAATGACGATCTTCTTCTTGGTAGTGCCAGACGAGGTGCCAAGACCCTCGATCTTCTTGACGAGGTCCATGCCGTCCTCAACCTCGCCGAAGACGACGTGAGCGCCATCGAGCCACGATGTAACGACGGTGGTGATGAAGAACTGGGAGCCGTTGCTGTTGGAAGAGATTTGTGTTAGCTTTGTCCCGACTCTCAATCTGGTTTTGTAGAAGCGGGGAAGGGGCCCGTGACGTACGTGTTCTTGCCAGCGTTGGCCATGGAGAGCAGACCGGGCTTGTTGTGCTTCAGGGTGAAGTTCTCATCGGCGAACTTCTCGCCGTAGATGGACTTGCCACCAGTGCCCTGTTTCCATATATTAGTTTTCTGCTATCTATCTATCGATTGCGGAGGAAGCTTAAGAGGAACTCACGTTGCCACGGGTGAAGTCACCACCCTGGAGCATGAACTGGGGGATGACACGGTGGAAGGCAGAGCCCTTGTAGCCGAAGCCCTTCTCGCCGGTGCAGAGAGCGCGGAAGTTCTCGGCGGTCTTGGGGACAACATCATCGAAGAGGTTGAAGGTGATGCGGCCAGCGGGGGCTGTGAGGATAGAGGTCATCAGCAATCAGCATTTCAACTAGACAGTGCCCCTCCATCAGGACAGACAGAGACAGGAAGTAGTACTACATACCGCCATCAATGGCAATATCGAAGAAAGTCTTGACACCCATGGTTGCTAATGTGGTGGAGAGTGAATGGAGGAAAGGTGAGAGATAGATAGGTAGATAGATAGATAGATGAGGATGAGAAAGAAGATTGAGGAGGAAAAATGTGAAGGAGGGGCAGTTTTGAGAGTCCGACGTATGACTTTAGTTTAGCGTCGAGGCTAGAGATCTCCAAGCCACCCCTCCCCTCCCGTCTCTTCTTCTCCCACTTCCGCCCGCCGCCAGTCCGCTACGTCATAGCTCTCCGCATTCACCTCATCTGCAGCAGTTGACACTGTATTTACAAACAGTCACTTAGGGCCGGGGATAGAGAGATCGTCTATCAGGCGTTGGTTATCAATTGAATTAACTTGGATCTACAGTGGAATCAGTTTGATATCGACTTGATGTGGTCGGCCGTTGCTGCCTTGATGCCGCGTAACGTAAGACCAGCTGCACGTGATCTCGCTTACGATTCCCGACTAGGAAATCAGCTGGCGAGCTCTTGGAAGCTCTCCGAAGCTCCCATCATTCCACCTCCACTTGTGTCTAGATCGTGGTTCAAACGGCTTTCTCAGCACACTAACAACAACCTCCATTCTCTGTCATTGCAGCATGTAGATTGGTGCTTATTCAATTGATTTTCTCCGCGGTATTTTTTGGACCTACCATAATCCCTGCAAACCAAGGTGGTCGAGCTTGGTTCCTGATCAACCATGAGCTGCTAGCAGCTCTAGCCCAATACTCGTACGGCCGTACCTGATGTGCCTAATGGCATGCAGAAGAAAAAGCAATGAATCCCCAACGTCGATCCACAATCATGTGCCTGACTGTCAGGTACCCATCAGCTTGATACGCAGAGCTAAGCCACCAAGCCACTGTCAACACTAAGTCAACGTTGTCAAGAATCAGGTTCCTCCAGAGAACCCAGCCGTGCCGCGAGTGTTCGCCTGGTGGCAGTTCGACTACAATCTTCCATCTGACTTGCTCGCTCATTCTCTCCCGACTCAAATTCTGTAGGAAACAATCGCTCGGGCAATCCCTACTCTTGGTCACATACCCATTTTCTCGGGCGCTCTGTTGTAGACAGCTGGGATTGATGTGGAAACCAACGCGATCTATCGTATCGCTAAACTAAGCCTATCAAATTATTGACTGTCTTCTGCTTAGCTGAATGTTCGTATCAGTGATCAAGATAAAAGCCGGTTCCCCTACAGTTCTCTCAATGTCTAACCATTTTAGAAAAAGGCAGACAAGGCTTTCTCAGTTTGGCGCTTCTCTGCCCGACCTCCCAACTCATTGATTGATATGATCTTTGTCCATGTGTGGGGAGTGACTCACTGAATCTGTACTTCACTTCATTTCTGGTTGTACAAGAAACAACCCGCGCCGGCTTCATTGCCCATCGTCTTCCAAGCTTCCAATACCACTGATATATGGGTTGAATCACCCTCTCGCTAGATGTGAGCAACTCAGTAGCCGCAGGCAAATTTGTCGCGCAAGGTATACTAGGATAGGATTGGACATCTTCCACACAGTCAATCCGCAGGGCACATGCTTTTCTCAAGAAATGGCAATCCTGTAATCATCAAGGTAGTTTGGGTGCAAAGATAAGCCCGCTCTGCAACAGAGGACGTTAGCAATCGTCTACACGATCAAGTCGGGATTCCAATGTCATACATAGACTAGGGAAAAGAGCTCGTCACTCAAATGGGAGTTCTATACGAACCAGCCCCGATCATGTAATTCGAACGATTTTCAAAGACAGAAGGCGGTCTATTATTCTGCCGATTGCTTGTATCAATTGTCCGCATCTCATCAATCCGACTCCAAACCACCATCATAATTCCTAGCTCGCGTCATCATGTCTCATCTTAATCCGGACGAGAACAGATTTCCCCCTGGAGCGCCACACCGGCCTTATCCCCGCCGTGATGATCGGGACGGCCGGATGTACGATGACCGTACGCCTTCCCGATCTCGTTCGCCTGGTGGTAACGCTCTCTTCCCCCGCACGGATAACAGACTGGATTCTTCTTCGACCGAGATCTTCGATAGAAGAATATGTGGCTGACATGGCTTGGGGACAATAGAACACCAGTATTCTCCTCCGCGAGGCCCGGCCGGGGATCGAAGAGGCGACCATTCCAGAGATCAACTAGATTCTAGATCTCATTATCGAAGGGGCGACCGCGATGAGTATCGTCGGCGATCGTCAAGATCCCCCCCTCGGCGAGGCAGGCCAGGCTACCGAGATCGCGATCGGGAAGGGTACCGTTCGCCGGGGTACAGCCCAAGTCGAAGCTACAGTCGCAGCCGCAGTCGCAGCCCTCGGCGCAGTCACCAGCCATACTACGGTCAAGAAAGCAGAGAGGTCATGATGGACGGATTGCCGGTGGATATGGTGGAAGAAGACGTTGGACAACTCCCTCCCCTCTTGAAGCATTCTTCCATCTGGAGTTTTCGCGCTGCGCTTCATCCTATAAATTCGTTCTTGATGGCAAGAGGCTGAGATATGCATGTCACCGGGTGTCCTCCGGTCGACGTGTTGAACAGATATCGAATGAGTTGAGAGACTTTTATTATGTCGAAGGGCTGGAAGAAGTTCGAGTGATTCGTGATCGGCAGACCAGTAGGTTCGCGTCCTTGAGTTCTGGTTCGATAAGTTTTCTGACATTTCTAGAAAAATCTCGCCAACTCGGCTTCCTCAGATTCCGGAATCTCGACTTTTCGCGCGACTTCCTAGAACGCAATTTTCCTTCCATTTATCTACACGGACCGGATGCTACTCAGAATGACCGAGGCACAAAAGTTCGCATTGCATATAGCCGTGAGCGGGAAGATCGCACTCGTGCCAGGGCTGAGGGTGATTGGACATGCAAGATGGTAAGTAGCAGACAGGGTAACGCCCAGCGGACTGAGCTAATGTGGGTGGTTGCAGTGCACTATTGTCAACTACTCGACTCGCTATAAGTGTTTTCGCTGCCAAGCACCTCGACCCGGTAGGTCTTCCTTGTCAACCCAATCGATGCTGTCTTTCTGACAAGCAGTAGAGGCTGGTCCCGCGGGCCCCCCAGGAATTGCTGCGCCGAAGGTTGAGAACAATGGCGACAATGACGCAGCTGCGGACAATCAGCCATCACAATTTCTTCTATTCCGAGGACTTGAGCCCTCGGTCACAGAAGAGCTTCTAGCCAAGGGCGTTGCTAAGCTATACAGGCCTTCTCCCAATGCAGATGGCTCTTCAGGGACTCATAAGAAAGGGGCTAAGGTGGCATCTACAACCGGCGACGCGAACCTGGGGGCTAGAGATGGTTCTATCCGCCGTGTGCTGCTGGTCAGAGACCGTCGAAGCAACGAGAGCTGGCGCTATGGATTTGCCGAATTCGCTACTGTTCAGGTACTTGAACCTGTCTTTCACCTCAATTGCTAAAGCATACTGACAGTCACCTAGGACGCCCAAGCAGCCGTTGCGCGACTTCATTCGTTTGAGAAGTTTACGATCTCGTCTAAGCCTGTGCTTGTAAGCTACATTCACGCTGGTGTATTTGTGCCCGTTATCAATCCCTCGGCGAGCACAGACCAGTTCACTTTTAGTCCTCTCAGCAACCCATCCTTGAAGCTTATGTACTGGGACGAAGAAGCATATGTGTCGGAGTTAACAGTGTCAACCAAAGATTTAGATGGCAACCAGAGTTCGTCTGGCCAAGGTCAAGCTGAAAGGGATGCAAAGAGCGCAAAGGATGCGGACAAGGCCAAGAAGCGAAAGGCGGAGATTCCAGCGAGTGCAGCGCCTAAGAAACTTGCAGTACCGTCACACCTACAGTTCTGGAGCAATCGCCATGCTGAGCTGCATGGTATCCAGCGCAAAGAGGGCGATGAGAAAGGGGGCGAAACCGCATTGGAAAACAATGGATCGCCTGCTGAATCAACTGCACCCCCAGCACAGTCATACGCGGATCTGAATAGGAACTGCTGTTATCTGTGCATGCGGCAATTCAAGAGCTCTGCAGATGTCAACAGACACGAACGACTCAGCCAGTTGCATCGGGAGAACCTCCAGAATGAGGACTTGAAGACCAAAGCAATGGGCAAGCTCATCAAACATGGCATTGTCCAGCCTACTCCAGAGTATAGAGACCGTGCGAAGGAACGGCGACAGGCCTTTGGCAGGTCTCGGACGACGGCGAAGAGCAAGCCGGCCGCGGCCCCGAAGGAGGAAGATGAACCGGCGGTGGAGACGACATCGAAGGGCGCCTCGCTCCTTAGTAAGATGGGCTGGTCTGCAGGCTCCGGACTGGGTGCGCAGGGTACTGGCGTGACTGCTCCCATTGCCACCGAGATCTACGCCCAGGGAGTCGGACTGGGGGCGCAGGGAAGTAAGCTGGGCGATGCAGTCGAGGAAGCAGGACGCAACACACGCAATCGGTACGACGAATTCTTAGAGAAGACGAGACAGACGGCGCGACAACGCTACGAGCAACTGGACAAGTAGGGCGAACTCGGGAGTACTGTCTCATGTACCATAGCCTTGAACGGAACAAATGATATGAGAAGTGGTAATTCATGACTCATGAGATGACTATAATACAGGAGTAGAGGATACGAATTCAACATGCACGGGTTTTATACACAGACATGCCATGCCATGCCATGCCCATAAAACTATCTACTTCTCCCCGTTCCCTCCACCCTCACTCTCACTCACAACCACATCCTTCTCCCTCGCCCTTTCCTTCTCCTTCTCCTTCTCCTTCTCCTTCTTCAACTCCACCCCAAACTTCTCCCCCAGCACCTTCTCAACCCACTGCTCCACCTCCTTCTCCACCGCCTCATCCCGCACCGTCCCCTCCCCCATCTCCTTCTTCACATACCGCCGCATATCCTCCAAACTCGCCACGTCCAGCGCATACAGCACGCCCCCCGTCGCCATCATCGCAAACGAACACACATTCAGCGTCGCCAGGCTCAGCGCCTCAAATGCATCCCCCGCCCCGTTCGCCGGCGGCTGGTGGTACACGGACGCCGTGTAGTACGGCGGGCGGCACGCGAGCACGCGCTTCGTGAACGCCCGCCGCGTCACGAGCACAGAGAGCGCGAAGAACGTTACCCCGCCGAAGAGCAGTTTGAGGTTCGTGTAGTGCCGTGGGAGGTTCGGGGGTGGGTTGGTTGTGGTTGTGCTTGTTGGTGAGGAGGAAGGTGGGTTTTGAGTGTCGCTGGGGTCGGCGCTGGGGCTTGCGGCCCGGTTGAAGAGGGAGGAGAGGAGCATTGGGAGGTTTGTTTGGTAGGATGTTGGGTTTTGGTGTTTTGATTGGGTCTTGAAGGGGGACTGTGAGGATGGTCTGCTGCACGTGTGGACAAAAGAGTGGATAGATTATAGAAGGATGAGATTGAGATGTTGATGTGATTCAGGCTCTGTTGATTCTGGGGCTTCTTGGTTGGAGATATCTCGGAGTTAGACATTTGCTCCGAGTCATGTGACTTTTCGTGTCAGTGCTGGGGCGCTTGAGCGTCGAGATGATTTCTAAGCAATGATATCGTCTAGTTTGGTACCGGAGTACGGTGTCTATTATTATTTGCTATGACTAACTAGAAAAGACGCCCGTCATGAGTGTATATCCGCATAACCCGCTGCATCTGCCCTTTAATCCACGCCAACTGGTCACCGTGCAACCCAAGTCTCGGTGAGCAGAGATTATACAGATACGACATGGCAAACCATCCGCCCAGCAGGGGAGCGCCTTTTCGGTGCGATAACGATGCAGGTTTTCCATCCACCCCGGGAAACTCGACTCTGAGGGGATCCATCACGACGGCTTTCGTCTGGTTGCCCAGGAAGAACGGGATTGATGCGCAAATGTCCGTAGCGAGCGATTGGATCGTTGCGAGTGCGGCCTGGGTCTCGTCGGCTTCATCTCCGACAAGTAAGCGGAGACAGTCAAGGATGGTATTATGCACCACGATTCGCGAGTCGCGGTAGAGATTCCAGGTAGAGGCGACCCAGATATCTAGGTAGCAGTCACATCGATCTTGGAAGATGCCTGCCTCGCGCACGGATTGCGGGATGTAAGATGCTGGGACTGGAGTCCAGCGTGGGGGAACCGAGTCGGGCCAAGCAGCCAGTTGGGAGTCCACTCTAATGGCTAGAGACAGGACCTTGCGGATTTCATCGTGGTCGTGCGCTTTCGGGGATGATGCAAGTCCCTCCCAGGCCACTTTGAGACCAACAATCTCCGATGCCGCGACGGTCAATTTCCATGGGCCAGTTTGATCCGTAGAGGATAACCGAGGCCATCGCTCCGGGACTTGGATCATCGGGTGCCCCAGCCCCATGGCTGATCTGACCTACGATCCAGTCAGCTTTATAGAAACAACGCAACCAGACCTCAAACCCAAGAACTTACAACCTGAGTTTGAACAGCATGCGACAAAACCGCATAGAAAGGAGATTCTTTCCGCTGAGCCCCCTGGGTATTCAGCAAGGCAATGGCTCCAGCCAGGTGAGCCTTTGTTGGTGTCCTCCGTTCTTTCAAGGCAGCGAGTTGCTGAAATTTCTTTATTAGACCACATTTACGACCATCCAAAGATACAGCGTTCGTACTCACCTCAAACGTTGAAAGCAACAGCACCGTCATCAACATCGCATCTGGATTCTCCTCTACTCCTTGCAGAGCAACACGAGTTCTCGCCAGCGCTCTCACGAAGAACTGCTCGGAATAGTGCAGCAAAGGCCGATGGCCCGTCCACGCAGCAACCGAGCGGAACGCGACAGCCAACGAGGCAAGGTGCAAATGCGATCCGAAGTTCGTCGTCGAGTAGAACAGCGGCACCAGTTCCATGAAGCCGATCTTTAATTGCGGATCCTTGGGCAGATACATGTACGAGCCGAAGAATAGCGAAGTCACCGTAGCTTCCAGCTGCGGGTTCACCCGGCGCGGAATCCCAGGATTGAGCCTGACAGGCGAGATTGGAGCCGCAGGTAGTAATGCCCCGGTTGGGGCTGATGAGGACGGCGATGGGGCTGGCACCGCTGCGTTGTCCCCGGCTCTATCGGAGGATTTCCCTGCAGCGGCATTGTTCTTCTTGCGCTGGAAGGCCGTGCGCTCTCGCAGCACGACATCGAACGGGTGCTTGTATCCCGGACAAGTCCGGCCTGTCCGGAGGCAAGCTTTGCATGCTGGGCGCGTTTCATCACACTACAGCAGTTAGCTGATTCTGGTTTGCACAAGGATAGCATGGCATGATGCATACCTTGATGTGTCGTTGTCGACAGTTCTGGCAGCCTGTGCTTGGTTTCCCGCCATATACCATAGTTGCTGGTCGCAGTATAAGGGGTTACCGGGCGTCTATGGGCAGGATTTCCAGCTAACAGATGCCGATTACGTGAATAGAGTGAGCAAGCCGTCGGCGAATCAAGGTTAAGTCTGGTTGATAGGTGTAAAGGTAGCCAAGCTCAAGTCCGTGTAGCAAGTAAGAGGATCCATTTCTAGGCTTCTGACAGTCTCCCAGATATGCAGTACTGTTACAGAATAGCTAGGACATGAAAGGTCATATTGAAAGCTTCTAGCCGCTATACGAGTAAACCGATGGACTCTGGATAAGTTGACCCTGGGAGCCTTGGAGTCAATTGTCGACTAATCCTAAAACATCCTAATCGTGGTGGTTGAGCACGTGTCCAGATCTTATCAAGATAAGATACAATCACATGATATCATTTGACCAAATCTATTTATTCGATGGCACTTGACAGCCCATTGCTGATCAATAATCCCATATTGAAAACATTATCATAATGACAATCCCGGGGTCGTGCTTCATCAAAGGACAGGGGTAAAAGTTGGAGTAGACTGTATACAGATAGAGAAACACCAGAACATCGCTAATAGGAGAAAGCAAAGAGCAAATAACCATATCAAAACATATATCGTCACTATCATCAGTGCATCCAGTCGTTTTCGTAAGGAACATTCCATACATCAGATGTCAGTCGTAGTATCATAGAGAAGCCATAACACCGTCGGAAGAAGAGAAGATTTGTTGCACAAAAATGTCGCTAGAAGAGTACATGGGTGGGAGAAGATCTTGATCAGGCAATTCGAGGCCAAGGGGTGGGGGCGATTTGAGACGGAAACATGAGATCAGTGTTTCACTGTCCCTGTTGTAATGAGCATATCGGATCGACCTGGTCGTCGAAATCGATCAATTCCAAGATGCTCTTTTCCATCGCGGCCAACGTAGATCCCAAAGCCGTATAATGGATATTCGCGATCTCCTGGGGCCGCTGTGACCAATCGAGTAACAAGGTCCGCCTTGCTCCTAGGTTCTCGAAGTAAGCTATCCGCGAGCAGGGGACTTTGGTAGACAAAGCTCATCTGGTCGGCCAAAGTACTGATATCGTGGGGGAGATGGCGGCGTCGTCGAGGCCAAATACACAGAAAAGAGACGGTGTATAAAGCGCAAAAGGCAACCAGCGCATAGAAAGCCGGCATCAACGCGGCAATCCTCACTTCGTCGTGAGAAGGATACCAAAGAGCGATGAAGACGCCCCCGGCCAAGATTGGAAGGGCAGCCGAGACGATACCCATCAAAGAGATCCAAGCCACCTTGTAATGTTTGTTGAGGACGGCCTGCACAGTTACCAGGAGAGGGAAGGAGGCAGGGTATCCGAGGAGCAGACTCTGCTCTGCACGCGCACCATCTGGAGAGGAGAGAGCAGCGAATGGTTGCAATGCTCGGAAGTAGACATCGACAGGTTGCCAGGCGAGGAAGAGAATGTTTCCGATAAATGCAGGAACCAAACTGTACAGGAAATTGGAGGACGAGAAGGCGCCTGTCGATGGTAGCGTTGGCAAGCGTGGAGGGAATCCACCTTGAATGGCATCATGGATAAAGCTGACGAGCACAAAGGCAATGAAGAGCGCGCCAATGATGACTGTCCACGCCACCACACAGGTGTCCTTCAAAAACCAAGGTGTCCAACGATGACGGACGGCCTGAGAATATAACTGATGTTCGGGGTTATCGCCCGCATGCAAGTTCTGTCTCTCGACATCAACGGCAACGGTTGAAAGCCCATGCGGCTGTTTCTCACGGGTCTTCTCCGTGTGATGCAGGGATGGATTCCGGATTGGAGCGTCGACCTCGCCAATCCCATAGAACGCTTCAGTGTGGTTCGAGACTCGCCAGTATCCTAGCCTGAGTACTCTAAGGGGAAGAGTCTCGCCAACATCCGTCACCGTTTCGGAATGTTCAAAGTCGTGTAGAACATTCGATCGTTGGATGATAGGGATCAAATCAGCCAGGCTGACAGGATCCCACATCAACCCCGACCATGTCCGCACAAAGCGGACCAGGAGCGCCATCAGGCCGATAACTAGCACCCCGTACAGAGCAACGAGTGTCCACCCCACAGCAATGACTGCATTCCACCGCCACTGTCCCTCCCCATCAATCCGATACCACTTTGCTTGAAAGAAAGAGCCTAGCAGTGGTAACGTGATCAGATTGGACAGCCAGATTGCAAACAGAGAAATCCCAACCAAGGGCTCCCCGTGGCTGAAATAGGACAGGTCCGGAAGCAGGAAATTCCGCGACAGGACTGGAAGCCGTTGTATCACGCGATCTTGTTGTTTCTCAGCGGCCATGATCAGAAAAGGCATCACACGATACACAGCCGCCTGGATCACAAAGGTCCAAATCGTAATAAGAGCTGCCAGTATCTGCGGGAGGAATTGCACGACGAAATACCGGGGGCCTCCCTGTCCATTGTAATCCCAGAGCCCTTGATGTCGCTGGGACCAGACATTGCAAAAGACAACACCAGCAATCATGAGCAGGGAACAAAGAATGATCAGAGCTAGCGCCCACGGCCGTAATACAACTGGCATGTAGGTTAGGGACGGGTATAGCAGGCTATCATCTGGAGAATCGACCGCAACAAATGCTTCTGGATCGACTGAATTCAAAGGAAATCTGTCGGGACGTAAATGCTCCTCTGACGGCCGTAGGGAGCTCTTTTTTGGCTTGGGCGACCGAGTGAATTGGCCCAAGCCTTCATCCCACATGAGCGGCTGTGCTGGATAATCAACACTGGTGATGGAACTCTGCCTTGAGTCAGGCCTCGGCTCATCATCTCGCGAGAGTTGGTTGATAGCGAAACGGATGTAAGGCGAGTCGTCCATTCCAGGTGTTGGGGAGCGACCGGCATAACTGTCGTTTGGCAGGTGTCGAGTTGACCCAGCTGGCATATCAGTGGTGGAGGGCACATTCTTACCCCGAGATGGGCCCAGAATGGAATGCTGCGATCGAGAACCAGCCATATTGGGGCCTAGATGCGTTCGAGAGACCGCGGGAGACGATGAATTCGAGACAGGGTGTGAATTCGGTGTGGCATACCGCTGAACGGTAAGCCGACTACCCGCACTTGGAGATCTGGAACTGGAGGATGTCGTGCGATCCGAGAAGGAATAGTAATCGTCCGATGCAGCAATAGACTGTTGAGACTCGGTCCGAAACAATTGTGGTCTGCTTGCTGTGAGGAACCGTCAGTATTCCGCAGCCTCTTTATCCTACTTGACCGATTGGAAATATGAGATAATGAGAGGGTTGGTGAGGAAGAGAAGACAAGGTTGTGAAACATGAGATATGATACATCTCACTTGCCTCTCGGTTTTTATCTACTTACAACTGACGGTTCTGAGACTCACATTCCCAGAGCCCGGAAAATTCATGATGCCTGTACCCGTCTGGACAACCAAGTCAAGGTATATATGCGGTGAACTGGCACTCGCAGGCAGTGAGACACCCTGGGGCGGTCCAACGACGCAGGGACTCGACCTTGACAACGGCAAAGAATAACACCCACGCGAGGGAGGAGAACAATTAATCAAAGATTGCCATGGGGCAAGGAGGCTGTCATGTCTGTACTGTGGATATTGGGTATCGGCTTGGGTGGTTGGACTTTCGGAGTCAACAAAGAAAGACTCCCCAGCCTCCTCATCCCAGCCACCTGGACGGTGTGACTTGACCTCGGGAAACAGTCGATCAGGAACAACTGATTCGAGTCTGACATGGCTGAAGATGATTGGGATCTTGGAATTTTATGGTTGGATCCGGTTGGATGATGAACTTGCATGATGGTTTAGTTCAAAAAGGTCGGCTGTTAGTGGTGGTGGTGTTGTTGTTGTTGTTGTGGTTGAGGTTGAGTTGGGGATTATTCAAGCCGAACACTGCAGTCTCCGCCCAAGATGGATTGCGGCCTGAGCCAGCATGGATGATGGACAAGATCACAAAGGAGAACAGTTCAAGGTAGATATCGAGTAATATAGTTAGTTCATATTTGCACAGCTCAGTCGGCATCTAGTTTCTGTCTCTTTCTCAGCTTGCCACCTCCCATGATATCCTTGATATCTCCAGAGCCACCTTCTACTCCAAACATCTCCTTCCATGCCCCATCCCTCACCTCTGGATCGTCTCCATGCAGGCCGATACTATACGCATGTTTCATACCGTCCAGACATATCCGTCTTCTTTCGTCGAAATCGAACATCGGTTTTGGGTATACTGCTAGTCCCTCGTGCTTCGAATCATCGCTCCCACTGCCGTCTCCTGTGACCCGGCACCCCCATTTCTTCTGATCAGGCAGAGGTGCCTTCCACGGCTCGTAGATGTATTTCTTGTCGAAATTGGCGAGCTCTGGACAATATCGCCGAACAAATTCACCCTCGGGATCCCATTTCTTGCCGAACGCGATGGGTGAGTAGCAGTGGTAGTATTGGGAGTAGAATGCGGTGCATGAGAGCCATTGCCAGTTACCCACGTTGCACGCTGTTTCATCTATGGCTGCTCAGCAAGAGCTTCCTCTGTCGCAAAAAAAAAAACAGAATAGCAGAACTTACGGTCAACCAGCCAGTCCTCGAACACTTCCGCCCCCCGTTCCCAACTCACGTAACAGCCGCCCCGAGTCAGAAAACACGCCACGCTATGTCTCCCCAGATGATGGATCCAGCCCTCCAGTTTCAGCTGGCGCATCAGGGCATCGATCCATGGGAACCCCGTGCGTCCTTCCTTCCACCGCCGAAACCAATTCTCTGCCTCCGAAGAATCGACGGTATAAGTCCCGTCGGGTTGATACTTGCCCTCCTCGGTGGTGATGTAGTTTGTCGGCAAATGCCAATCAATGAACCTCACGTACTTATTCCCCAGCGTCTGGCCAAATGCATGGCCAATTGCCGCCTGCGCCGCGAAGTACATATCACGAAACAGTAGCTGACCAGGCAAGTTCGTCGGAATAGACGCATTGGCCTTCTTCTGCTTCCTGCGCTGCTGCAACACACCCTGCACATCCCACCAGAACTTCCGCACAGACAACGACCCGAAATGCAAATGCGGCGACAGCAGCGTTGTCGCCTGCGGTTCAAATGCGGCCGGCGACGTCTTCGGCTTCTCAAACGTCCCCACATACTCCCCGTCCTGAATGTAACCCGCCAGCACGCGCAGCGCCGCCGTCTCCCCGCCGCGATGCGGCGAGCGTGCCAGTGAGCCATCAATCCCAATCTCCTCCATCGTAGGAACAGCAAAGTCCCGCCCGGGGCCCATGAGCGCGCTATACTGCACATCCGAGCTCGTCCGGTACGGCGCATTCAAATCCGGGCGCGCATCAACCACATCCTGGCCCAACCCATCCAAACCCATCTTCTCCCACTTCCAGGGATCGGGAACGCTCTGCGGCGCCTCTAGCGGCTGCGCAGGAGTCCCATCCCCGATCTTCTCCGCCGCCTTCTGCACCTGCGCGATACTCATCGTCGGCTTCCCGCCATTCTTCCGCACCAGCTCGTCCGGGTCGAAGAGCGTCCGGCCCATCTGGACAATCACCTCGACGCCGGCGTCGCGCGCCATCCGTAGCACGGCTTCGTCGCGATCCCGCGCGTACGCATCCGTGTCCTGCTCAAACACGAGATGCGTTATCTGCCATTTCTTCCAGAGCTTTGGGAGCACGGACTGCGGGGCCTCGCGCACGACCCACAGTCGCTGCTTGGGGTTCAGGGTGGTGTAGGCGGCGGAGAGGTCGGATTGGCATTCTAAGAGGAATTTCCAGCGGTTGGGCCCAACGCGGGTCCGGTAGACGTAGTGCGGGTCCCAGGTCCAGATGGGGATGAAGATGGATGGGTTGAGGGCTAGAGCTGCGTGGAGGGCGGGCGAGTCGTGGAGTCGGAGGTCGGTGCGATGCCAGTACAGGACTACAGGCTTCATTGTGCGGGATGGAGTCGGGAGTTCGGCTCGGGGAGTCTGTCGTGAAACTGTCGCGACATTTTGGTTTGAAAGTGCTTCCTTTTATTGATCTTTGATGGGTCGTATCGATCGAGATCGCGATCTGGAGATGAAGTTTGATCCACGATCTGTGCTTAAATGACATCACCACCTGTTTCGGTTTGGGATGAAGGAACAGGGCGTTTGTTCTAAAGTCGAGGCATTGTTGGAGCCATAAGAAATCCAGATGTAGACTTTTTGCAGTCCATGCATGTTCTGATCGTGATGGTGATCGGTGATTTTTGTTCTGCCTCTCTGGCTTCGCTGCATCATTAAATAGCACAACGGAAAGGAACTAACAGCTCTACCTATCTAACTTCCGTCAAGGGGCGTGATATTATGTATCGGTGAGCTAACAGACCAGAACTCGGTTTATTCCCCAGCCATCTTCCGATTCGATCTCATACCATACTTATTATGCATACATCCCCTCTTTCACGAACTATACAAATAAGCCGCAATCACTCCTCCCCAGCCACCGGCATTATCACTCTCCCGGGCAATGGGTGTGTTTCCATTAATAACCATATTGGCCATACTCTTCGTGTTTGTCCCGTACAGAAAAAGCGACGATGAATCTAGCGTGCGGATGGCATTCTGCTGACACGCGCCCTGGCAATTCTGCTTGTTGTTGAAGAAGACCCAGTTGCAACCCCCATACAGAAAGAGATCGGACGAGTTTTGGATCAGCTCAAACAGGGCCATGCGACAGGTCGCATCGTCCGCGGCGCAATGCGAGTAATCCGGGTCGCTTGCGACTAGACTCTGGTCCCAGGGCGCAGGAGCAAGCATGTTGCCTGGTCCTTGCCAGTAGGGCGACTCGCTCTGCTGCAGGGCAGAGAAGACGTTGCGTGCGCGTTGGAAGTTGTATTGGTAGAGAGTGTTGTGCTCGAAGCCCGTGCCCACCAGCCAGGTGCCTTTGGTGGCCTCGACCAGCAGACCGCGGCCAGTAGCGATGGTCTGGTTGCGGTTGCCGTCCAGGTCGTGGTCTGCTGTCCATCCCCACATGTTTTCAATGTATGCTGAGGACGTACTGGTGAGACGGAGCAGGCCCCAGGCGGCCTTGCATTCCGCCGGTCCGCCTTGACATTTGGTCTCCACGAGGCTGCCAGCAGCACCCCCAATGCGGAAATGAGTATTCCAGAATCCCACGTCTCCCCGACTATTGCCTGCAATATTCACTTCCACCTAGTATACTAGTCAGCAGGATGTCCCCAGCCTTCAGTGATATGCACCGTTTCTCGTCGGCAGACTCACTAATTGGCAACCCGGCAGCACATCGGCTACTGTGAACATCAGGTCACTAACATGGAGAATACCGACATCTCCTGGATAACCAAAGCGAACCATAACCCGTACTGCGTTGGCATCGGCAAACTTGGCGCCGGATGCGCTGATGGTGGACGCAAAAGCGTCTCCGACAACGCGGAGACCAGCAGGCACGAGAATGGTGTCTGTAACGATGTATGTACCGGCTGGGAAGTAGATAACTTTGCAGTCACGAGCCTGTGCCAGGATTTCATTGATGTGTTGAGTATCATCGGTCACACCATCGCCGTAGACGGGTTTGTCTGGAACACTCTTGATATTGAGGACTTGCTCCACAGTGTATTCACTGTATGTCGGAGGTGCCATGGTGAAATAATCCTGCCCGCCCATCAACAGCTCAGCTGTTCTTCGCGTTGACACGCTTTGTCCTTCTGCTCGTTGTTTGTTTGCGTTTCCAGGTGAATACTCGGATCCTGTTAGCTCACACCCACCCAGTGCATCAATATGGATAGTCCTTACCATATCACCGTGTACCCAAGTCTGCAACATGTCTCCGTTGAGCACTGTATTGTTGCCCATTCGGACAGTCGCGCCACTATTCTTAATGTTCTCTAAGATAATCGCGTTTCCAGCGCTACCTGAGTCGCCGGATACAACGAATGCATTCAGACCAAAACCAATCGAGTCGATAACGGTCAGCGATCCAGATGTCCCACTGGCATCGATACCAACATTGCCATTTTCAAAGCGGCATCCCAGAAAGACAATATTGGTTCCTCCGGCCACCACGCCAGTGGATGTTCCACTGAAGGTAAGGTTCTTGAATACCCATTGCTGCCCACTCAACTTCATACCGATAGCACCGCCATTGAAGCGGAGGTCATTCTGCAGCCAGTCAGCAAGTCGGCTAGTCCCAAGATTCGAAATCTAAACAGAGGCGGTCATACAAAGATGATATTGCTGTTATAGTCATATTGCGTGGTCAGTCCAATATGGGCAGTGGAACCAGTCGGCATGTTGAACACAACATTGGCCAACTGTGTTGCCTGACTGACAGTCCAATCAAGAAGGGCGATATTCTGCGCTGGATCCAGCGCGGTCGAATCAATGATGATGTTCTTGATGCCAATATAGAAGTTATTGGTACCCTCCACATTTGGGTCTTTCGCATAGATGATATGATCATTGGAGAACCCCGGCGCAGCTTTCAAGACAGGTGGGTTCTTTGGATTACCAACTAAAACTGTCCCCACGTAGAACTGTAGACTGCTCCGCATCAGATAGGTACCGCCTGGAAGATAAATGATGGCCGGTTGGCCTGTTGTGCCCATGCTTCGAGAATTCCGCTTGGGGCCGTTCGATGCTCCTGCTGTTTAGTTTTCAGCATGGTTCGTTCTGACGGTATTATTGCCCTGGATACTGGAATACCTTCGATCGCATTTTGAATCGCACCAGCCGAATCATCCTTGCCAGTGTTATCTGCGTGGAAGTCCGTTACCACGTTGCGGAATACTCGATAGTTTTTCTTCATATCGACGCCCAAAAAGGAGGACTGGCCGTTGTGCTCTATCTTCTCGTACCAAAAGCCCGAGGATCCGCTTCCTGCAGCTGCACAGGAGATACTCTGTTGGACCGGCTGATGAGTGACGGCTGTATGTGGATTGTGCCATGGTTGCGGAGTGTCATCCTGGGCGGGAAATGGAAGCCCTCTGCTGAAGTCAGTCGGATGGCGAGATTAACAAGACCGCAGGAGACTTACAGCAGTTGAGGGACATATGATAATGAGGGGAAGAAGAAGTCCTTGGAGTTTGTGCCCCCCGTGGTTGCCGAAACATGTCTAGAGAGAATTGATAGTGCAACTATACAGAGTAACACAGCCATATTCAAGCAGCCTTATCTTCAAACAGATGACCACAGATACACGCAAGTCTCGTTACTATTTTCCATGCCGCATAGGAAAACACCCCCAAACCAGCACTACAAGAAAAATAAAGAGAAACGAAGAAGAATTGTCGGGGTATGGAGCTCCTAGAACGAAACCCTTCAAAATGAACATGGCCATGAAGATGCTTTATTGCAGATTCGTCATTAAATGTCAATTTACTTGTTTGTTTCTTCCAACCATGCAGGCTGGTCGAACATATTTGAATGCGGGTCCAACGTGCCGTTTGGATTCCGCTATCGCGACAGCCATATTCACCTGGAATTTCGATTTGGAATCCGTAGATCTAGAACGCTGACCAGGCAAGCACAGGGTCGTGGAATCTTTGGCGAATAGCTGGGCTTGCGAAATGGGATGTTGTGAAACAACGATCAAGATCTGACCTGGGCAGACAACACCATCGGCTGTAGGTTCTCGATTGATATGTTTACCTTATCGACGAAACGGCAATTTCCCCCGATTCCAATCGACATTCTCCCTCTCCAACTCATTTCGCCAGCTGATCTCTCATGTTTGTCAGCGAGCAAGTTCGACACAGTCCTTGAACCGTGCGTCTCTCTTGCTGGCCCCCGAATGCACCCCTTGCATTGCGCTAACCGTCGACCCTTCGGCTGCGAAGCAAGTCGGACCGTGTTCATCAGACATCGAGCCGGGAGACTCTGCATTTCGCGGGATTAGTATAGTTCAGAATGCATGTTATCCATCCGCTGAGGCACAAAGACAATAGAATTGATAGCGATGGTACAGAACGGAAAGAAAGAAGTCAAAAAGGTATGCCTGACTTCTGGGTGTTCCCAGCACCACCAATGCCAAAGTGCACGTAACGTTGTCGTTGAAAACTCTCTGCTGCACGTCCATGTCTGTCCGAAGAACTATCTGACTTCAGCTGTAGGTTGTAATCTCGCTCTTTCGGGAGGAGTAGATGTTGGTCTTCTTCCAAGGCGTGTCTGGATCGAAGCCAAGACGACGCCTTCCACAAGCCAAGCATGTCGAGAGCGTGCAGGCAATTGGTATTCGCTCTTGAAAGTAATAGTCTCAATCTAGTTTGCTTGCTTTTTTCAGAACGAGTCTGTGTAGCCAAGCTGAGATGGTCGAGTGGTGATAATTATCTTCCGTGAAAGGAGTCAACGTGACAGGAATAGGCAAATCAGCGGGGATATATATCTATGCTGTCCGACGTGTCGATGTGTCGATGCACACAGTTGGTGTACCTTTCGAATGAACCGAGCCTTGGATGCGGGCTGTAACACCCTTATGATTTGCTCAAATGCTAGTCGGAGGATGAAGTTGTCAGTGCTTGTTCTACAGTCACATGGGTAGTCTGTCTACCCCTCATACTTAGTGTATTCTGTACATGTGCTTCTGTCTCGAGTCAATAATGATGGGACACCCCCCAACTCCTACAGCTCCTACAGGAATGCGACGGGATTGATCATTACGTTCACACCAGCTGCGCTAAAGACGAGATTGACTGAGTGCTGGCTAGTGATTACACTTTGATGGTTCTGTATATGTTTGCGTAGTATGAAAGACTGACGCCAGATATATTGCACCGCGGCGCAGTCTCTTAGACAGCCTCTTTCCAGGGGATTTGATTAAACCTCACAAGATCCTTTGAAATATATGATCAGTTGACCTCTTCTCTTTCACACTGTGATCGCAACCCATCTCTCGAGTAGTGTCAGAGTCAACTGGATATGAATGACCCCATTCTTTGGAGTCTGGAGAAGATCCACCATCAAATGACCCGTTAATCCAATAATGAAGACGGAGTACGGAGTCCAACTCCACTAGGACTCCTTTGGTGGAGCTTCATGCTGTGAGTCTGGGCTCTGGACTCTGCCAAAAGTATACAAGTTTAAAAACATCCAAAGGAATGAGGAGATCACTCTAATATTCCAGGTCTTTGCTTATACTCGCCATTCGTAAATATGTGGTCTCAAATCTATCAGTCCAGTCAAGAGCGCCAGGGAAGGATGGGCCAGGCTATGATTAATCGCGAAAGCTTTTTGCTCTTATACCAAGGAAAAAGAGCTTAGAACTAGAAGGGCCGGTCGAACAATTAGCTGGATACTTGAACAACAGCGAATCTGTTCATCGATTATCTATGCCATGATGCTGACCATCAAGTAACCTTCAGGTAGGCATTGGTCTGGTCTATCCGCAAGTCGAGAGTCTGCCATAGGACGGGAATTTCTAGCCCTAAAGGCGAATGCGAGAGTCAATAGTAATCTGGAAGGTATGACCTCTCTGCAAAACAGCGCTTGCAGGACCATCAAGATAGATAGGAAGATAGATAGATAGCGGAGGAGTTTCCCAACTCCAAAGCTTGGAAGGACCGAGTTCCAACTTCCAACACTACCGAGACCAAAGTCGCATTCCTTGTGAGTTGTGTGACCTTCGATGTAATTTCGCGGACCGGCTAAGTTCACTCGGTGCGTGGAGCTTTATCCACCAGAATGGTGTCAGCGGTAGAGCGAATAAGAACAGGGAGCCTTGCCTAGAAACAAGGATATGCTACCTAGGTAAATTATTGCAGGAGCGAGAGATTCCCATTAGCATGACGACTCAGCCACAACCAGGACCAGAGTCAGGGAGGGAACACTTAGTCTAGTTAATTTAGGCAACTGGGTTGGTGATTGGTATCCAGGCAAGACCGGTATACTGACACGGAGGCAATAGTTTAGGAGCCTCCGATGTAAGGTAGATTAGAATTATTATTGGATTGGAAACTGAAACTGAAGTCGATGGCGACAGTCAACAGATGAGACAGAGTGTGACAGCATTGGCTTTGGATGACTTTTGACAGGAGAAGGTGGCGATGGGGTCGACACCTAAGGCAGCCACCCGCTCGCTTCGAAGGCATCCAAACGAAAAGAAAGAAAAGAAAGCAAGAGAGAGAGAAAAAGGCAGAAGAAATAGAAGAAGAAGAGAGAGAGAGGAAATAAAACGCCTCCCCGCATTATTATTATTATTGCAATTGGAACTAAAAACCCAGCAGACTCACTCAACAACAGTCTGTCAGACTCAGATCTTTCCACTCCCTCAACCGCACTTGAGACTTTCCAACTTCTTTTCTCATTTCAAGTTGATACTAATACTAATTTTCCTTCTCAAAAGAAGAGTCAGTATCTAGTGAGGTTCGATTGCGAACAGACTCTCCTACCTAATCTCTTCTAGTCATCATCGTATCGTATCCACTCCACTCACTGTATCTCCCGTCTCGAGTTTCAGGAGAAGAGCAGACAAACCAGGCAAAGCAAAGCAATGTCACGGTCAACGTTGTGAACTTGTCCAGTTCGTCTTTGGATCACATGTGTCGCTGGCTGTCATCTTGATTCCTATCTTCTTCGAATTGGACCATCTTTTTTTTTTCTTCCTGATCGCTTTGCATTGATCTCACAGTCTTTTCCTGTTTTAACGGCGAACGTCGCCGGCCCCTCGCGCCATGTTGCTTAAGCCCGCGACGCCCCTCACTATCCTTCTCCTGGCCGCCTTTGTCCTCTTACTTCTTTCCGTTCTTTCGACCCCGATTATCCAGGGTATACCTCTGGCGACTTTTAATGATGTCGACTATGGAGTCTTCGGGTACTGCAAGTCTGGTCAATGCACTAATATTCACATTGGATACACGACCGGTGCGTAGCTTCTTGTGCATGGGGCAGAGTGGTGGACCGCAACAGCTGACAGCTCTTAGACGACATATCCAGTACCGATAACAATGAGTTTAACCTCCCGTCGAGCACGCGAAGATCGCTTTCGTCTATTTTGATTGTTCATCCGGTCGCCGCCTTTCTCACGCTCATCTGCCTTTGCCTCGCCGCCGCCGCTCATCTGCACGCTCCGTCGCATTCGCCCCGATATCTTCTGGCATTATTGATTCTCCTGCTCCCGACGCTCCTCGTCTCACTCCTCGCTTTTTTGGTGGATATTCTACTGTTCGTTCCGCGTCTGGGATGGGGCGGTTGGATTGTGCTGGGTGCCACCATCCTGCTGGTCATCAGCGGTGTGGTTACCTGTGCGATGCGCCGGACTCTGGTCAGTCGCAAGGCGAGGAAGAGGCGCATCGCGGAAAATGCTGAGATGAGTGGGGAAAATTACTATAACCGCCAGAATGCCGTCGCGGCGGGTGCGGTCAACGGGTTCACCAGCCCAAGGGCCGAAGCTTTGAACGGCGACGCGAAAGAGGCTCTCATCACCACCTCGCCTAATTCGGACTCGGCTCCTATGTTCACTAGCCTGCGCTCTACCACACACGAAAGCGACGATGATCGAGCGCCCCTGAACTCCCATGTAACCCCCAGCGACGTTTCTTTGCCAGATGTCCAGCGGTCTCTGTCAGGACGTGCCGATGGAATGCCTCCCAATGGGTCTCGAGACGAACTTGCAAACTTACCATATGCTGGAGCCTACGGCCCGGGATCCCGACCAAACCCTGATCCCTGTGATCCCCGCTTGCGCCCTCAATATTCGGATAATAGTATGGGTTCGCGTCGGGGACCTCCTCCTCCAGGTTTTGCGCCGCGTGGACGGGGTGGGTACCCGCCTCGCGGAGGTTATGGTCGCGGAGGGCCTTACGGAGGACCCCGAGCATCCCCTCCAAATGGCAGGGGCGGCCCAATGGCCCCAATGGGTCCAATGCGCGGGGCACCGTCAGCAATGATGATGGGACGAGGACAACGGGGACCATCGCCTGCCGGTTATGGTCCCGGCTCTGGTGGTCCCAGCCACGGCTACGATGCGTATGGTTACGGTCCCGGCCCACGGTTATCGCCTCGCCCCGCTGAAGATGGCTATGATTATCGCGGTCCTTCGCCCGTTTCGGCCGCGCGACAGCCTTCACCTGGCCCTATCGGAATGGCCGTGTCATCTCCGGATGCAGGGCCTATCGGTCAGGCCATCGAAATGATGCCGCAACCCAGACACAACGGTGCTGTTGAATCGGAACCGCTTGCTGTATCGGACGCACATGAGCCACATGCGGTTTCGAACGATGGATATCCGGAACCCGTCAGCCCCGCGAGTCTCTACAGTCGAACGCCGTAAGGCTTCCACTCTTCTCCTTTCTCTTACCTTTCCATGCTGATCATACACGTTCCAGGTCCTATGTGCCACCGCGTGCTGGTTGGACCCCAGCGGACCTCCGCGCTGGACCCTCGCCATCTCCAGTCCACGCCCATGGAGCTACTCACGCCTCACCCAATGCTCGCCCCAAGACTGGTGATGATTACTACGAAGACGTAGACCCTCGTTTCGCTGAACCTCAATTACCGCCGGTAGGAAACCGTGCAATACCGTCTGCTTTGACACCGGGTGCTGGTGAGCCACCCAAACCGATGGCTGATACACCCGAGGCCCCTGGCTCACCTACTACTAGCGAGATAAGCCATTTCACCTCCATTTCTGAGCGGCCCATCAACCCACGTTGGCGTCCGCCTCCACCTCCTGCTCCTCCTGCTCAGCACAGACAAAATGTGTTGCTGGAGAACAACCCCGATTTTGATCTACGAGCCGGTGCAGCTGGCGTGGGAGGACGCATGCCGCCATTGTCGGCTCCTCGAGAACCTACAAGATACCCTCTACCATGAACGTCCTTGATAAGTGTTTTGCAATGATTCGATTTCATTATACTCTGGCCATACGATTACGGCCCTGCACAAGGTATTTGCAGTTGATGGAGTTTTGGAGTTTTTCCTTGGTCCACCTTGCCTCCTCTACGTTTCTTTTCTCTCTCTTTTTCCCCTCCTTTCTAGGTACCTTTCTTCACACTGTCCTCCACACATGTGCCACTGCATATAATCCATATTGTTTCGACACCATCATCGCATTGGGATACGTGGGGTCGTGCACAATTTTGAGATGACCTGAGTGTCATGTCGGATCATTCATGAGTTTTGCGACATCATGAGGCCTGTATGTCTAACTGTCCTGCTCACCGTTTCATCGGCTTTTTTCTCCTTTCTCTTGTTTTCTCCACGATAGTCGCTGGATCTGTTCCTTTATGGTACTTTTCATGGTACTTCGAGTGAGTGTGTATACACGAATTAAAAAATCTTGGAATCACTCAAGTCTTTCTTTTTGACCTCGTTGACGCATGCCTGGGCAAATACTTGGCTGAAAGTGGCCACCACGTGACCTACGCATCCCAGGAATTCCCGGTGTTGACTTCCGAATGACGGAGATACTTCGCGTAGCAGCCTGCTGCAGCATGTTTCATTATTTGTCTTATAATAATCGGCTCACGAAACCATGTTCCAGTTTGTGTCGTTGAACGTGGACGTCTGCTCCTCAAGGACTACTATGATTACGAGCCAACCAGCGGAGGCTAGGGGTAAAGCGCAGGTCTTCTGGCATTAGCAGCATGACCGACCGAGGCCCCCATGACGATGCACGGAATATTATCGAGGAAATCCCCCACCATGCTCTCCCCCCTTGGTGGTGGCTTTCGAGCACTGCGTACCCTCTTTTAGCAGTACGTAGCCCAAACAAAGGCCGGAAATTGATACTGACACGGAAACCATAGGGCACACTCGGGCCAATGGCGAGCGCCTTCAATATTTGCTCGTTATCCGAGACATGGAGCAGGGAGTTTGATACTGCCAACGGTCGGATTAAGTCGATCCCGGATCCAGATTGGTATGGCTAACAGAGACCTCATTGCGAAGACGTCGTGTTGAGACTAATTTGTAGGGTAATCGAGGTTAATGCGGTATCGTTGGCCTGTGCGATTGTATCAAACCTCGTGCTGCTGTGGAGCATGGCACGGAGGATCTCGTTCGTGGTTGCGCAACCCATTATCATTATCGGGTGGTACATCTCATCCATCCTACTCATTTGTTTGCTCGGAATATTCTCTGCTTCCAGAAATGGTTCTGGATCGCGCACTGGGACTGGCCGATGGCTCACCGGAGCCTACTATTTTGGGATCTTTGCTGCCGGGCTTTACTTTCTGATATCCTCGCTTCTGTCGATAACCGTCTATGGGGCCTATCGGGGTCACTACAGCCGCGAATATCGACTCACGGCCAACCAGCGGAGCCTGATGCTCCAAACGATCCTCTTCCTCGTCTATCTTCTTGGTGGAGCGGCGGTTTATGCCAGAATTGAGAAGTGGCAGTATCTCGAGGCAGTATATTGGGCAGATTTTACGCTTCTGACTATCGGAATTGGGGATTTCGCTCCCAAAACGCACTTAGGCAGAGGACTATTGTTCCCGTATGCAGTCGGCGGGATTTTGATTCTGGGTCTGATTATTAGCTCGATTCGCGCGCAGATGCTCGAGAAGGGGCGCCAGAAAATGGCCGAGGCTGTGACGGAGCGAACCCGTAGATTCTTGATTCGTGGGACAGCCTTAGGCCAGGGTTCTTTGCGAGATGTGAGCCCAAGCTTGCGCCCGGAAACGTCTCAGGAAAGCGACCGTGAGAGACGGCGACGCGAGTTCCAATTCATGCGACGCGTACGGCAGATTTCCACGCTTCAGCGCAAGTGGATCTCGCTTGTCACCTCGCTAATAGTATGGATGATGTTGTGGTTATTGGGAGCAATCGCCTTCTGGCTTCCCGGCCAGAACGAAAAGTTGACGTACTTTGAGGCGTTGTATTTCGCCTACACGACACTTTTCACAATTGGCTTCGGAGACTTCCATGCAACATCAGACTGGGAGCGATCGTTCTTTGTCTTCTGGACGTTGCTCGCTGTTCCGACAGTGACGCTGCTCATTGCCAACGTCGGCGACACGATAGTGCGGACGATCCGCGATATTACCATCTATCTTGGCGAGCTGACCATTCTGCCTGGTGACAAACCGGTTCGAGAGCTGTTCAAGGATCTGTTCCGGGTGTCCTGGAAGGAGAAATTTCTCGCCGAGTCCGTCGAGGACAGAAAACCAGACGAGGACAACGTAGAAGATTCCGCTGCGACAGCCGAAGCAGCCGAAGCCGATACCGCAGCTGATGGAGATGAACAAGAAGCTCGCAATGCGATCGAGGCCGATGAGCACAAGAAGGAGGAGTCGGCTCGGGCGCGGGGCGACGTCGCGGCTGAGGAGACTCACCACCACCACTACCTCTTGTTTCGTGAAGTACGCAGGATGATAGACTATGCCACACGCAATCTCCACAAGGAATTTGATTACCACGAGTGGGAGTATTTTCTGAAGCTCATTGGGAATGACGAAGATGTATCGGATGGGCAGAGCAAGGATCCGAATTTGAACTGGACGAGTTACAAGAGCCCCTTGCTAGGACAGAAGACTGAGGTCCAGTGGTTACTGGAGGCGCTGACCGAGGCACTGGAGAGAGAGTTGAGGAAGGCGAGCCGGGGATACCATTCGCCTGAACCGAGTGACTCTGAACAATGAGCGAGAACCCCCACGCCGGCATATCCCATGGTCTCGACTGGTCTATCGCTCGAGCATCACACCTATCTGGTTGTGTCATAGTTCAACGAGCAAGGCACACCCTGCACATCTGAAACTGGAGGCCTGACGGAATGGTTACTCTCATTCGTATTGACAGCTTGATCGATATTTCGGGAATGTCATCGGCAATCAGAAACCAAGGGCAGTGATGTCGTCGTTTCTGCCCAATCAGCACCTGGATTCTGAGGTCCTGACTATCGGATCGGGTGGCTGACGGACTGGCTCATCCCCTACTGTCAGTGCCTTAAGGTTATTTATAATTGGCCTTGGTACGAAGCAGCAGAGATAAGACGAGCCTTGTCCAGTCGGATCAGAGGGCCCCTTTCCCCAGTCACAGCAAGCAGTCATCCAAAGCAGCAAATGCGGGCAAAAACCTGCACTCATTCTGGCCACATGACTCTTGGCTGCAGGATAGGCTGATACATTCTTATCTTTCAGGCTGATCACTGTGACCGGATTCAGAAAAAGCACATGGCTGAGGCTGTGCTTCAAAGATTGCATTGTGTGCATATGATACTCTTTGAGATTGCGACAAGACTCGCTAACACGACTATCTATGCTAGCGGTCCATCTTATGGCGATCATTCCTTGGCAGTCAACTTGTTGTCTAGAACGCGGAGGTTAGCAGCATACTCCGTACTACTCACCCACTATCTAGGCCGGCACTCCATCAGATTTTGGCTCTAGATGGAATGTTAGGTCTCTGATCTAGATTCAATGCCACCGCCCGTGAATTCTGATCGCTCGCAATTCAACCCAAGCCAAGACGAACAGCATCAGCATCACGTCTCTAGATGATCAACCAGTCTCTGTTTTCAGAAACAGAGAACGAGGATGCCTGAACTGAGCCCTTGGCATTCCCAATGATGGGCGCCCAAAAGCACTGCCTGCCTGATTTCTTGGTCGAAGATGAAGATCGAGCACAACGAAAATTCAACTTTGCGGTATTCTCGTGCCAAGCGGCGCCAAGACGAGATGCTCGCTATCTCTCCCAGAGTGGTTGGCACGGAGGCTGTACACAAACGAGACTGCTCATATGGACGTGTTCAGTTGCAGAGGATGCTGGATCTGACACAGAAGAGGCGTTATGACCGTATCGAAGAGTGCGATCTAGATGTCGGCTTGGCCGTCCTCTGGCATTCAGCGGTGTAACCCTGCGCCATCTTCTGTTCATTCAATGCTCTTGTGTGCTTCCGAACCACGAGGACCGCGTGGGATGAGCCAGTGATGATATACTCGCAGGGCGGTTACGAGAGGGATCATCCTGGCCGCGAGGATTCAGCACATCTCCTCGCAGTCTTGGCGTTTGGATCCGTCAAAGTCCAGCTGGGCATGTCTACCAATCTGATAGATGTATAAATAGGATAATCATACTTTCCGGTATGGCGAAACAATCAGTTTCCACATCGACAGCCTTGGAAACATCTATGACACCCTCAGGAATATCATGATGAATCCTCAGAACATTGTGTTTACTATACCTCCCCACTCGGACGACCCGAATGACCAGCCTGGTCTTTGGTCCACGGCGCAAAGCACCACCGTTTCCCTCCAACCAGACCCGGAAGACTCAGATTCGAATACCCTTCTCTCCACGCTCAAGCGTCACTTCGCCGCGGATGTCGACACTACACACACCGACCTCATCCTCGTCCTTTGCGGATTCGTCAGCGGTCTCGTCGACGGCCTCTCTTTCAATGCATGGGGCAGTTTTGCAAGCATGCAAACTGGTTAGTCCAAACCTTCCGTCTAGCACCTAATCAGATCCTGTTACTGACATCTCCTTACCAGGAAACACCGTCTTCATCGCCCTCGGCGCAAGCGGGCAACCCGCATACCCAGCCTACCTGTGGGCCAAATCCCTCGTTGCCGTGACCGTTTTCATCCTTTCCAACCTCCTCTTCATCCACTTCTACCGCCTACTCTCGCCCCGCCGTCGCTCCACCCTCATCTTCTCCTTCAGCACGCAAACCCTCGCCCTCCTCGCCGCGGCGCTTCTCGTGCAGACCGGCACCGTCAGCCGCAAACCAGAGGACCCCCGCGCCCCAATCCAATGGATCCAGATCCTCCCCATCTCTCTACTCTCGTTTCAGGCCGCCGGCCAGATTGTGACCTCGCGTATCCTCGCCTTCGACGAGATCCCAACAGTGGTGCTAACGACACTGCTGTGTGATCTGCTTGTTGACCGCGAGCTGTGGGCGCGGGGCTGGAAGTCAAACCCCAAGCGGAATCGGCGTGCCGGAGCATTCGTGGCGCTGTTCCTGGGGGCGATGACGGCGGGCGGGTTGAGCAAGGTGACGGGTATGGCGGCAAGTCTGTGGTTGGCGATGGGGTTGAAGTTGAGTATTGCGATTGCTTGGTTTGTTTGGAGGGCTGAGGGAAGGAGGAGGGGGAGGAAGGGGGAGGTGTAATGGTTCTACTTGGTTGTCCTGGATTCTATCGTATCTTTTATGCCTTATGATGACTTATATCAAGTTCAAGAATGATATATATTGAACCCATTGCCAATCTGAACCCTCTCTAGCCGTACTTCGTAGACTCCCCCCTCACTACGATGGCGATCACCTCGGGACCAAGCCTACGCTACCTCGGTCCATATCCCTCCATGAAACGACCAACGGCACTCCAAATCCCACATTCCCTACATAAGGTATATGCCAAACTCAACAAAATGACCCCGGAAACAGTCCTCTCCGCCACCGAAGATGGCATCACAACCATCACCATCACCATCACCCGCCCCCACCGCCGCAACGCCGTCGACCCGCCCACCGCCAAAGCCCTCTACGCACACATCCTCGCCTTCGAAGCCGACCCGGCCCAGAAGATCCGCATCCTCACAGGAATAGGCGAGACGTTCTCGCCGGCGCGGACCTCCACGCCATGGCGGTGGGGACTGCCACGGGCCCGCAGGAAAATCTCCAGCCCATACCAGAGGCGGAGGCGAAGACGAAGACGGCGTCTGCGGATCTTACACATGGCCGGGGCGCGATGGGCCCGTGGCGACTACAGGCCTCCAAGCCGCTTGTCGCTGCGGTCGCAGGGTATGCTGTTGCGGGCAGTCTGGAGCTGAGTCTGCTGTGCGACCTGCGCGTCGTCGACGAGGACGCTGTCTTCGGTGTGTACTGTGTTCTGCCGGCGGCGGGGTATGCAGCTCGTTGACGGCGGGACAGTGCGGCTGCAGGCGATTGTGGGGTTGGGACGCGCGCTGGATATGATTCTCACGGGGCAGCCGGTGGGTGCGGCGGAGGCGTTGGCGATAGAGCTTGCGAGGTAGTTGCTGGCGTTTCTGCAGGGCTGTATGAATGTGGATCGGGCGAGCCGCTATTATAGTGCGTATGGGGCGAGCTCGATGCAGGATGCGTTGAGAAGGGAGTTTGCACATGGGGCGCGAGTGCTGGATGTGGAGAGTGTGAGGGAGGCAGCGAGGTTTAGCGGTTGTGAGGGGAGGCATGGACACTTCAAACAGTCGAAGCTGTAGGATCGATTGCCTGTTGACTCACTTTCACGAAGCTATGAAAATCTAATCAAGTGCAATTCCCAATACCAGTAGTTTAGCTCACCTCAGTTCATCGAGCAGGGGAAGTCGACCGATGTAAAGCTCAGTAGCATTGTGGAAGTGTCGATGTCCGTGTCAAACAGTTCAAGCAGAGGGGACACTAGACATCACCACAAACCTCGTCCGACGTCTCAGCGGCACCGTCGCAACAGTGACCATCTCCCAATCCACGAAGCTCAACAGTCTCAACTCGCACCTCCTCACACAACTCCCCGCAAACCCTCCAAAGTCTTCGAAAAAACGCACCCAAACCTCCTCACTGTTATCTTCGCCAGCGAGAGCTCCAAATCATTCATCGGTGGCATCAGCCTCGCCGAGATCGCCGCGCTAGACTCTCCCTGAGCCGCACGCGAGTTCATCACGCGCGTCCACTGCGCCTGCGCCAACATCCGCAACTGTCCCGTACCGGTCATCGGCCGCATCAAGGGCTACGCACTAGGCGCGAGTCTCACGGGGGCTGCATCATGCGGCTTCTGCGTCACCAGCGCCAAAGCTGTATTCAGCATGCCCGAGGTACGCGTTGGGATTCCCAGTGTTAGTGTTGTCGAGGCGGCGCTGTTAGTTGGACTCATCGGATGGGTCTGTAGCCTGTACGCGTCGGCTGTTGATTCTGGTCGACAGTGTCTCCGCCCAAGAAGGTTTGCGATGGGGACTAGTCGAAAAGGTTGTGGAACTCGACCATAGCTTGGCCGCTTGATAACGTTGGACGCGGCGGTGGAGGCATGGATCCGGGAGCTGGAGAAGAACGGCCCGCTTGCTGTGCGAAACCAGAAACTTTTGAAGCGCCAGTGGGAGCAGCTGGGATTGGACGAGGGGACTGCCGCAGGAATCCCTACGTTTGAAGAGGCTTTTGAGTCTCAGATGGGCGGTTAGAGTGAGCCATCGAGGATGATGGTCGAGTTCTTCAGGGAGAAAAAGACGTCTGAAGATGTGATGGAAGTTTTCAATAGTATTTGGGAGTGACTGAGGCATCCATACTTCCATCCAGCCAATCAGATTACAATTACCTGGACGCCATTTTTGAGGAGGGCGGGTGTTTATTCTGATTGGTTCGAATCTGGTATCCACAAGACCACGCTAAAAATAATCTATCCCAGCCACACGCTAGCCGTATTAAGCAAGGTATTTACTGGGCAACACGTAGGCAGCGATCACAAGCCACTGACATACTCCGTACAGAGATGATAGAACAGACATTTCTCTCAGCCGAATAATAATTACTCTACCTACTCCGTACTATACATTGTAAACCTTTCAACTTCTCAGCTCCTTCGTCCGACAAAGCATAATCAACATGGCACCGTACACTGCCCTTCTCACAAGAAGCGCCCTCGAGGCGACACAGCCCCATGTATTCAAGCGCGACCTCACCGTCAACCACACCCAGGCTGTCACGTTGGGTGTAATGGGCGCCTACGTCGTGATCATTGCATTACTTTGGAACTTACCATACGTTCGCTGGTCACTCTGGCCCTTCAAGGTGCGTGGAAATCTATCCATCATAATCTGCAATCCGACTAACAAACCAGATGCTGGTCATCGCCTTCCATGAATTCGGCCATGCCATAACTGCATGCTGCACAGGCGGCAGAGTCAAGTCCATCTCGCTGGATCCTCACGAGGGAGGCGTCACACATATGCAAGGCGGCATCAGTGCCGTCACCCTGCCTGCAGGATACTTGGGCTCATCCATCATCGGCGCCCTGCTCATCTTCGCTGGATTCGACATCGTCGCGAGCAAAGTTGCCAGTATTGTTCTGGGGGTGTGCTTCTTGCTTACTCTGTGGTGGGCGCGCAGGGACTGGTTGACCATTCTGACGGTCTTGCTGGCCGTGGGCTTGCTGGTGGCGTGTTGGTTTATTGCGCATGGAGAGGCGTTGCGATGGGTTGTGGTGAGTGCTTCCCCTTCTCGACTTGATATAATGTGCACATAGCCGACTAGCCCTATTAGCTCTTTATTGGCGTCATGTCTGCGCTTTACAGTGTCTGGGATATTGTAAGCTTTCACTCTTCCCATTTTGTTTGACTCGACTAACAGTGCATAGTGCGACGATCTCATCATTAGGAAAGTGAACACTTCTGATGCAAGTGTCTTTGCGCAGAGATATGGCGGTTCTTCCCGATGCTGGGGTGTCATTTGGTCCATTATCTCGCTGCTTTTTATGGCCGTGGGGATAGTCGCCGGCATTGCCGCGTTTCCCAAGTCATTTAGCGAGCAGCAGGAGCAATCCAAGCATTTTATTCCGACTAGATGAGACGATGAGCCTTCAAGATGAGCGATGACTTATGTTTGATTCCCTTAGCTTTTTGAGGTACGGGTGAGTTGTTTCAGTTTATGGTAACTTACGGGAAAGAAGGAGAGGGCTGTACTTTTCTAGTTTGTTGATACCCACGATTATTGCTTATTATATACTGCCCGAATCAAATAGCTGTTGAGAAATAAGATTATCTATACACAGTGCAAGCAACCACCAAATATTGGACCTACTCCATCCCCTCTCATCGACATGATTCGCGCAGTAGGCACGGAATCTCTACTCCAACTCAATCTCTTGCGAGACCAGCTCTCTTCTACCCTTTATCAACCCTCGGGACATGCTCCAACCGAAGCTTGACCCATTGTGTCCCCGTCGGCAGATCATATTCATCCCGATCAAAATATAAAGCTCACAACCCTTGCACTCCATCCTCTGCAACTGTAATCCCCAGCTCCGCTGCTTCCTTCTCTTTCTGCTGCTGCTCGGGGAGCTTTACCGCCAGCCAGCGCTGCCGTCCTTTCAGTGTGGTACATCGTTCCGTGTCATTTGTCAGATCGAACAGTCCGCGTATATGATCTTGAGATTCGCCTTGACCCCCCTACCGCATTTCATTTGTGTGAGCATCCAGATACACCCATCGCGCTCGTACGGGTGTTTCCGCGGTCACTGCAATCAATCCGGCTGTATTGTTTGGCTGGAAGTCGGGGTGGGTGTAGAAATGCCCGTCGAAGGGGGCCATGGTTGGCGAGTGGTGCTTGGTTATGTATACCTAGCTCGTCAACTACTTCCTACTTAGGAGGTGCTTGGTTAAATACCTTCCCGTCTTGTTCGAGGTAGAATTGTGCATTATGGAGCTGTTCTCGTTGCCGCTTCGCTTGTTGTCGACGACCTTCAGCACTCTTGGAATCTTGGTTTGTGCCCATCATGGCTGGGGCCATGACGCCCATCAAGGCGAGGTCTATAATCATGTTGATGGCTCTTGTGGAGTGGGTTTGTTGAGGGTGTTGTAAGGTCAACAATTGTCTCGCTCTTCGATTATCTGAGCGGACTGTGACATTTTCCTTGAGAGGTCTCAAGAGAATGGAAGTAGAAGCAATTCCATGATTAATTGCCAGCTAAACGCTGCTGTGGAGGCCTGATGTAAAGTCACTGATGGTATTCTAGTACTCCCAAGGAAATTGAACGTGAATTAAAAGATTCAAACGAATCAAATGCAGGCACCATCGTGGTTGTGAAACCAGTCGTCGAGGAGACCACAAAGACAGAAGAAGTGAAGAAGGAGAGCATCAATATCAAAATCCACCTGAACCTCCATGCAAAAGTGAAATTGGATTTGGATGCTCAGCTCAGCTGGATGGTGATATTATCATTGGGTTATCTTGAACTCCTGCCTGTGATCATGAAGCATGTTTCTTGGGCAGGATGTAATGTTGAATCCGTTAAATGTGGTGTACCTGGTGCTTAGATCTAATGCTGGTTTCTATGATATTATAGGGATATAATCTCACTCACCTAAAGATTTGACTACTTAGCATAACACAGCATAGTGATCTATTTTCAGGTTTGTCCATCTAATACCATGCTCATGCAGCCCTAGTCATGTTGATGTTGGAGAGACGGGCAATACTCAAGCCTTCACAAGCGCATCTTGCTCTCCTTGTTGTATAATACACATAGTTCCCTGGTCAACTGATTCTGTGCTGGATAAAATGCTTTCTCTCCTGGATTTTTGACTTACTCCTCGCTTAGAGAAACACGACTTCTTGTCATTCACCGTCCTCAGTCTGCACGTGAGCCACAGACATATCAAAACATAGATTTCCTTCCTCCCACTCTTCGTATCCATTACATCCTGCTCTCTCAACCTCAAGATGGAAGGGGAGTGCGAGTGTGGCTACTATGACAAGAATTTCCCTGGTGGAAGCGTCCTGCGGAAGCTCCAAGGCACCACTTGGGACGTTGGCGACCATGCCGTCCTCCTCCAAGAGATTGTGTTGGAACACTATGACTATGGCTTCGCCCAACGTAAAGCCATGTTCGAAGCCGAGCTTGTCGGGGAGAAGAAGCCAGTATTTGTCACGATTTGGGTGCAGTAAGTCTCGCTGCCTGCCTCACCTTGGTCCAGTTTTTTTGCTAATCACAGGAGGATTTTAGGTCAGACCCCTTCCAGAAAGGGCCAGACCCCAGGAACGAGTTGAAACACCGTGCGCTTGAGCTCTTTCAATACGAATGCGACGTCTGGGAAGCCCTCTCGGGTTCAGGCCATACCCCCGATTTCTTTGGCGCCGCGGAGTTGGTTCAGGACAGCACGTTCGAGTATCCTGGAGGATACCTGCATCTGATTGCCCAGGGGCGCTATCCATTTGTGGGCTTGGAGGAGGCCTATGAATGGCTGTACGAATCAAACCTTCCATTCATCGAAAAGCAGCTGCGTGATATGGTGGTGTAAGTCCTCTCCAAGGCACCTGGCTGATATGAAATAATTTGACATTGGCCCTTCTGGCCGGCAGACTGTTCAACGAGCATGGTCTTGAATATGGAGGTGTAGACTCCTTCTTCAAATTTGACCCAAAGACGAAGCGAGTGTATGTCATGCTTGGTGAGTCTGAACATGGCCGAATATATACTAACGCGGGTTCAGGTACGCAACCGACATTGACGTCTTTGAGGAGACCGAGGTGTACGATGACCCCCTGAAGGATAACCAAAGAGCAGTCATCCGCATCGACAAAGTGATGGAGGAGGTCAGAAGAAGAGTTGTAGAGACGCACGGCCCAATCACCGTGGAACCAGAGGATGCCGAGTTCTTCGACTACGACTGGAAGCCGACTGGATGCTGATCAGGTCCAAACCAGATTTGACTGTTGAGAGAGAAACGGACGGAAGACTTGAACCATTAGAAAAGATAGATGTCTGGCAAAATAGATATATTTGTCCTGCATCGATCTGTACGTTTGCGGATAAGAGTAAAGAAGGTGGATGAAGGAAGAATAAGAGCAGCGCCAAAATCCGCAACTTCATTCTTCTCCGCCAAATCAATCCAGTCTCGCTAACATCGATATCATCCCTTTTCATCCACAAGAAGAGCATCATCCATCACAATTCTTCCAATACAATTTGCTTTGATACTAGAATATTATTATATCTTGTTAGAGAGCTTCTAACCATGACGGAAACGCCAGTCATGGTGGACCTTTCCGACCTCCCCAACCATGACCAACAGACACCAACAAATGCTGGAGGGAAAACGGCCAAAATACCCTCATGCGTTATCTGCTCCAGGAGAAAAGTCAAATGCGACAGAAAAAATCCCTGCTCGTCCTGCTCAAAACATGGAGTCGAATGTGTGTACCGCAATCCACTCCCTCCGCGCCGCGGTAAGAGGCGTGCCAGCAATGTCGCGAGTAGCCCCGAAATTCGTGTCGTCTCTCGTCGGCGTGCCGGGAGCCCTAGGGATGGGATGTTAAATTACATGGATGATAAAGAACCTCCTCGGCTTCATCATACCTCGCATCAAAGGACCTCTAAGCCAGAGCAGGGAATGTTGCTCACCAGCGGCAGCAATGCGGTCTATGTCGATGAGTATGTCTGAATCATCCGAGTCCACTGAATACCTACTGACTGGTATAGCAACGTATGGACAAGCGTGCGCGATGAGGTATGAGCGTGTAATTATACATTTACTACGAACCATTCGCGTCTGACCCCGTCTTAATAGCTCCCAGATGCTGAAGCGGCCTTATGCGACATGTCCGACAACGACTCAGATCACTCATCTAAGGATATAGATGAGGAGTTATCTCTTCTATTACGGTCCTCAGTTCGAAAGAGTCTTCTTGGACTACACCCTACAACGGTCCACATCTTTAGGCTTTGGCAGACATTCCTTGAGAACGTCAACCCACTCGTCAAGGTACTCCATGCACCGACTGTACAGCAGCGGATTCTCGAAGCCATGGGCGATCTAGCTTCGGTACCAAAAGAGACAGAAGCACTGATGTTCTCAATCTATTGTATCGCCTTGGTTTCAATGAGCGCCGAGGATGTGGAGAAAGCATTTGGAAAACCCAAAGCACCGCTTTTGTCAAACTATAGGCAAGGTGCGCGACTTGCTTTGAGCAATGCGGACCTGCTGCGCACATCAAATCTTATAGTACTCCAGGCCTTCTTTATCTTCTTGGTATGTGGTGATCATTTTGGAGAAAGACAATCATTGACGTGTCCGGATACATCAGCTCTCCATGCGTGCAATGTCTGATCCTCATTCGGTCTGGTCCTTGTGTGGGGTAGCAATGCGCATCGCTCAGCGTATTGGTCTCCATCGAGATGGTAGCCAAATGGGGCTCTCGGTCTTCGAAACAGAGATGCGGCGTCGCCTCTGGTTGCAATTGGTAATTCTCGATGCCACAGTCGCAAGGCATTCTGGCATCAACATGCAGATCCCCTTTGCAGCGACTGATGTTCAGACTCCATTGAACGTGAACGATAGCGATCTTGATCCACGAATGAAGGAGGCCCCTCGTGAACATTCGGGCCCTACAGAGATGATATTTTGCTTGACCCGCAATGAATATGGCGAATGGCTCCGGCGCTGGTCCCGTACCAATAACAATCAAACTGAATTCCCAAGCCCTAAGTTCCTGACCTCATCATCTCTGTCATTGAAAGACAAAGACACGGCAATTCAGGAATTGGAAACTGCTATGAAGACGAAGTACCTGCAACACTGTGATAAGTCAATCCCTCTGCACTCTATGACCACGGTCATGGGGCACAGCATTGTGAGTCTCATGAAATTCATTGCGCATCACCCTCGTCAGTACAGTGAGCGTTCACTTAGCATTCCCCAAAATGAAAGGGACCGACTGTTCGTTATCTGTCTTCAAGTAGCAGAGAATGGAGAAGCTGTTCAAGCGGAGGAGCTCACACGCCGATACTCATGGCACGCAGAAAACCACATCCCTTGGGACGCCGTGATTTACATGTTGTATGAATTACAGCATCGCATCTCAGGCGACCAGATCCAGAGAGCTTGGTGTGTTATAGACAAGTTGTTCAGCCGACAATATCAACGGCAGAGGAAGAGCGCTCGAAGCCCACTGCATTTAGCAATGCAGAGCCTTCTGATTAAGACTTGGGATACACATAGCCAGCAGCGCGCCCACCGGGGTCTTCCCACTTTGCCATGCCCCTTAACAGTCAGTACTATAAAAGGGAGAAGAATAACATCGGAATCTCATTGTTCCAACACAGAATCCTCTTCTCAGCCTGATATGATGGCGGAAGATACTCAGCGTGATCTCCAGGAAACGGTCAATACGTCAGTTGCTTCATTCGGGAACTCTGAAATAGACTTTGGCACATTTGACTTCAATGCCATGCCTTGGGGTACCTGGGACGATTTGCTGGCAAAGTTCGATCAAGGCATGACGGATGATGAAGTCTTCTGGTAACTTTCACGGCTGCCATAAAACGCCTATGTACTGCATCCACTTCGGACTAATTCTTTTCCATTCGATAAGCCGACTTCGTTCCCACTGCTTGATTTAAACGAACCGCTGTTTGCAGAAGCCCGCGGGAAAACCTCATGGTTATTGGCACCAGGCTTCAGGCATCATTGTCTGACACTTAAGATCAGAAACCACTGATTCACGGCTGCCAAAGCCTCCTCCGAATTCACCTATCTTTGAGGCATCGACATCTTATTTTAGCATATTTGTTGCGAGGAAGAGATTATCATCATTTATTTCAAATGATCCTCTGGGATCCCACGTCGCCAACAGTCCAGGAACAAGGTACCTCAACGGCTCAACCAGTGTTCGAGGTGGATACATTGGCCACATGGGCTGTTCCAGCCTTATTATAGTTGATCCACTCAAATCGACTAATTGGGTATGATCTGACAGTCCGGAGGTGGAACTGGGACCACATGAACAAGATTGAGCCAAGACATAACCTGATTTAGTTCGGTTTGTTGACGATCTGTGCGATTATTTCATTATTTCCTCATGCGAATTCGCGGTTGTCTTTGATGCCTTCTGCACCAGGTGGTCGAGCCACGACAATATCTGGATCGGACTCTCCCAGTAGCAAGGAAGGAACGAGAAAGTGTTGGTAGTTAGCCAGCCCTCTTTTCGGCAGCGCGAGACAATCATGAGCCATCCCGTTCTAGATCGTTTTCGGCATGCTTTCTCAAAACGAAGGCGTTCTGGCACGCCCAGGAGATTGACCGTGTAGGTCTACAAATAGCAACAACCAGTGCCTCTAGCTGATATGCGTTTGCCAGGAACTCCACGAGCCAGAAGCATACTGTCTGGGAGAGAATCCCTGTTGATATTCTTACTCGTATCTTAGCACACTGCACGCTGACGGATATCTATCACTTGATGCTGTCCTGCCGCGCGCTGAACCGCCGAATACACCGAGAGGAGTACACCATTTGTCGCGAATATTTGGAACATCGCAGGCGACGGTCACTTGTCTACTGGAAAGAGAGCAGTGACATCTCTCCGGGAGACGATCTGACATTCATCTCGGATTTGTTCCCTCCGCTCCCCCCTCAGTACTCAGGTACCGGATCTCATGATGATCTACCCGAGTATTGCTTCGGCTATCTGGCGGATCTCAACCGATGCTGGGTAACTTGCATCAGACTGTCATACTATTTGGCCGACTACGTAGTTCGGCATCACCTACAGACTGACTCCGATGCTCAACCTTTATGGTCGTCTTGCAAGACTGAAAAGGAAGTGGTCTACAGTAAGGGCGTGGGCACGCTCCAGTCCCGCCTACTATATCCAATGTACGTTTCCTGAGGAGTGATTTGGATTCTCTGGTCTAGGTTGCATTGTACTAATGCCGTGTCGTAGAGCATATCTTGCTTTCTTCCTCGAGACCCACGCTGCAGGTCGTGCCACATCAACGGAGCATGGACAACCACCTCGCCTGCATCACGCTCTAGAAGACCAACTCTCCATCCTCCAAAGGCCCCCGTTCACCACCACCGAGGTTCTTCTTTCTACCCACCACTGCATGCATCTCCTTTGCTCCTCAGTTCGTCACATGATGGTACCCGAGATTCCCTCTTCCTCAGCCGGAAGCTGGGTCAGTCTTCTCCTGACAACATCGACCCTCGAACGCATCCTCGACTTCTTTGTCGCCGCCGCACATGATCAAATTACTCAACCACGTAACTCGCATGCTTCCCCTAACCCACATACCCAGCACACGCATAAGAAGACCGTATCCTCCAGCTGGACAAAACGACGAGACTTTCTCCTGCAGATGCGAGCAGATTGGGAGGAATACCTCGCTTCCGCAGAAGGAGCCCATCCTGGCTATGAGGATAATCGCATTGCACCGCCTGGACTGCGACAGGTCTGGTTCGAGGCCGCCGAAAAGGAGATGTACCGGCGCGGTGTGATGCCCCACCGAAGCGAGGATTCAGTTCACATCCTCCATGGTTCAGCTGTCAGGTTACGATGTGAATTTTGCAATGATGAATGACGTGTGCCTTCTATAGTCTTTGTGGGATAGCCACTTGGCCTTGATATTAAGCCATGATATAGACATTTCTGAAAAAAAAAGTGTCATTCAACATGAGAGACGTTCGGTAGGGGTGTACACGATCTGGATGACAGAAAGCAGAAAAGCAGTGCACGTACATACCAGATCGCATGTGCACAGCCCATCTACTCGAAGAAAGAAATACACAGCATCATGAAATCTAGTCACATCGCCTGTAGAAGAAGAAAGAACGTCTTCGTGCTGAAGGAGATTGGATGCATAATTCGTCCAGTGCGCATACAACGGCGAAGCCAGCAGATATTGTTACATTAGTACAAGAAGAAGAAAAAAAGGGTATATCTATCCTGCTATCAACACCCAAAGAAGGAAGAAAATCTATCGTCACGTTAGTTTGTGTCTTCTTGCAGGATAGGGTATCAGCACACACCATTAGGACGCCAAACATTTTGGCGATCAACCATCGGTTACCCGAGACGCGGCTCCAATACTTCATTAATTCCCGTTGCGCTCCCTCAACATTATCTACCACATCTTCCGTGTTGGCATCGATGCGCTGGATCATCTCAGACTGCTCGCTGACCATCTGCGCGAGCTGGCCGAAGATCCCACCGAGCTCGCTGATGGTGCGCTCGATGGCGTCGATCGCTTCGCCTCGGGCTTGGATATACGTGTTGTTTGTCTGCGCCTCCTCCATGGCCAATAGCTGCTGATCTGTTTGGAAAGATGGCCGCCCTAGGGGTGAGGGATTTGCGGGATCAAGGGTTAGGAGGTCGGAAGATCCGCCCTGGAAGCCGGGTTGGGGTGTCCGACGCCCGGAGGGGTTGTACAGTGGAGAATCGGACCGTTGCGGTTCTAAGGCTTGAGACTTTGACGAGACCGATGAAACGAAGTTTTCTGTCCGGGATCGCGACGCTTGAATATTCTTCGTCCGCACCTCGAGGACTTCCTTGAAATTCGCGCCGACATCCGCCAACTTTCCCTGCAGTAAAACCACGACCTATACGCCCATTAGAGGTTGTCGCGATGAGTTCATCTCCGATGTGTCAACCTACGTTGTCATTGTGCTCCCCCTCCTGATCTGCCTTTGAGCGATTGGATTTTGGATGTTGCGATAATGTGAGCGCCTGCAGAGAAGCGATCTGCTGGTTCAGTGACGCCAGGTCCTGCTTGATGACGTAGGTCAACTCGGAGATTTCGACGGGTCTATCGTCGAAGAGTGTCTTTCGCTTGGCCACTATTCCCCCCTTCCCGTCAGTCTCAACGGATGACAAACTTCAACAGATCGACAGCACTTACACTCAGCCAATCGTTGTAACTTGGCCGTTGTCGCTGTGATTCCCCGTCCAATCTCCGCTGCTCTTTTGGCAAACTCCGACCGGGATCTTTTGCCATGCGCCTGCCCATCTGGATCTCCATGTGCCTGTCTCCGTTGCGAATCCGAGAGCAACGCCTGGCGTTGTGAGCCGACCTTGGAAGTCGCGAGGCGTTTCTGGGCTTGACCGAGGATGGCGTGGAACTCGCCTGTGCGATCCTGAATCGATGGACCGGCCATTTGGATCGCAAGAGTGAGATAAGGGCGTTTAAAAACGTAGTACCTAGGTCCTCGAACGACTCACGTTGGAAGCGGTTAATTATAGGTAGAATGCTGGGGGGGTGTGAGCTAATCGATAAGGGGAGGCAAGCGTTGAAGGTTGGTTACGGTCAAGGAAGTGGGTTCGGCAGCGGGCTGGAGTTCAATTTGGGATGCAGGGTCGACAAAGGGCTATGAAGATATACAGAGTGCCATATCACCGGTCTGAAGAGACAACATGGACAAAGAAGCAAGAGAGCAAGAGATCTGGCCGAAGACGTCTGCGTCTTGTCGCTCTGTCTGTCCGGGATTCGTGTCCGTCCGAAAGGGGGAAAGCGCGATGACACCCCCACGTGATGGGCCCGCCACCGTCACAGCCACACCAGAACTACTAGCCACACTTGATTCCCCAGGCCGCAACTTACTGTGTGTTCTAAACACCAGGGTCTGCCATTTAGGGGAAAAGAGATCAACAATCAATCGGGGCATATTGGGAACAGCTCATGATCCGCAGCTGCTTCGAACACCTATATATTCTGGTCATCGCTGGAGAGTCTCGATTGCCTGGCATTCCACCAGGCTGAGGATCAGCCGCTTGTCGCAATCGTTCGGCACCCCCCACGTCATCCCAGTGAAACCTCCTGCACTTCCACTTTAGGCACCTCGGTTTCATTACGCCCCTGATCATCTCTTTATTCTGCGCTGAGAATAACACCGATCTTCGAACGGGGAGTCTTTTTTTCTTTGTTTTTTTGCCGAGTTTGAGATGTCGACATTCTGATCCAGAGAGCTTGCGCGACCTATGTACCCAATCTGTTGACGTTAGCCACATCGCCCCCCATACCCCCGTGTCTGTACAGTAGCAATGGCTCGCCCTTTCCAGACCCCCTATGAGCCGGAGTTTGAGAAGCTGTGAGTGCACCTAGCAATGAAATATGATGCACCAAGCTGATGGAACTTGCCATGTCATCTATAGCTCCTCCCCCCGTACCAATAGCCCAAGCGCACCCTTTGCCCGCAGCGAAACCCCTGTGTCCTTCAAAACAAACGTTAATCGATCGAAGACAAAGCGCTGGGTTGAAGCAAAGAAATACTCGTATGACGGCAACGATTGGGGTGACGACGAGTACGGGGAGTATGACGACGACGAGCCACTGCCGGTCCCCCCAGCTTCAAGCTTCAGCCAAAGTACCAATGACCTTTCCAAAGTAGTTCCTCGGAACTCAGCCAGGCCTCCGCTTCCTAGTATGGATCGGTCGCGCTCAATGGATCATGTAGCGATACTCGGAGTAGGGCTTGCTGGAAGTCGTAGTCGTTCGGTGGAAGGAAACACTGCCCAGGCGCCTGCGGACAGCGCGGCCTCTGACAAATCCCTCCCTTTCGTGCGCCCGGCCGATCTATACAAACGCATGCAGGAGAGCCGTCGCCAGGACAGCTCTCACCATTTCGCCCGCTCACAAACCGAGCCCATCTCCCAGTCACCACCGCCTGGTAACGATCAGGGACTGCCCGAAACTCAAGAGGCCAGACCGCATGGGAGTGAACATGCCAATGACGACCGACTCGTGGCATCTACTGTGCCTCCGAAAACCGAGAATGATACGCCCACCCTCGAACTTCCGAACGTCAAGCGCCTGTCTGGGTTTGACGCTGACTTCGTGGCTTCTGACCCCAATACACACGGACGGGATGCTGAAGCCACCCCGCAAGACGATCATAATTTGCAACACAATCCTTCGCTAGGATTCCGCTCAGTCGTACACCAGGCCTTTGACGTTCCAGAGACTCCTATTTCCACTGTTGACAGCGTGGCTCGCTCGAATAGTGATGGCACATCGGTAATAAGCCTGGTTGTCGGCAATCGTGGCCCGAATGAAGACCAGACGCCGACCATTGTGGAAGAGCCGGGTGAGGTCTCGACGCCGCGAGACGCACCCGATTCCAACTTGGTCTTCAAACCCGGTCATCGTTGGGACATGAGCCTTCCTAGCCCGAATAACAGCCCTTCGAGGCAGCCTATCATTACATCCCCGGAGACCACTGCCCCATCGATGCTGGGAGAGATGTCCTCGGAGACGCCGACCGATTCAACTTCGTCGTTTCACCAGCCGCTGCCCCATAGGGCATCTGTGCAACTTCCTCCGGCTGCCGCTCTGCCTGCGCCTCTCAACATAAGCAGCACCCAGACCCTGGATTCTTCTGCGCAACAGCCGGGAGTCCCCGTCATCATTCCCTCAATCAGCACCGAGAACTCACCCCAGGACACCGAGAGCGACCGGTTGCGGAAAGAGATTATTCGCTCACTGAGTCGGGAAAATACACCGGGTGCAGAACCGCAGCAGCAAGACGAGGGATTCAGGCCCCAGGCTACGCGCCAGGATACGGAAATCAGCCAGCAGGACAGTTTGATTCCTAGCGAGTATGAGAGGTACTGGAGCGAACAAGCAGAATCAAGCCCTCAAGAGTTACGACCACCAGTTCCTGGTTACAGTCATGCAGAGAATACGTCCCAAGATCTGTATGCCAGTTCGCCTATGATCGCCCCAGCACCGGCTCCAGCTGCCCAGCTCGACTCCCAACCAAAACTGAAACGACGATTCTCATGGGAAACCTCATCTTCGGGTGACGAAGTACCTGCCGTAGATTTACAGTCTATATCCCCGTCGGCCGTGCCTGTCCCTGGACAGTTCCCCCCGGCGCACGACAGTACAACGGAGTTAGCCTCAGCCACTGTTCCGGATGCACAAGCGGTCGTATTGGATCGAGATCAGCCGGTGGACCATCAGCTGACGCCTGAGAAGCCCAAGCTCACGATAGTGCCGCCTGCCGCCATGGACGACAGCAGCATCGCGTTTGACGGGCATCTTCCCGAGGTCGCCGATCGCCAGAGCACGGAGGTGCCCCGGTCCCCTGCGGCCATTCTCAAAGTTTCGCCCTCCGTCGAGCCGACATTGTTAGGCTTCCGGGACATTCTCGGGATCAAGTCCTCAGATGAGCGTGTACGCGCTTTTGATCGGACCCGCGACCAATTTGCGACGATCGACACTGGTTTGCAGAACTGGCTTCAGATCGTGGTTCGCGCACATCCGGAGCACATGGATGTCGTCGAACAGAGCACGAAGGCGTCTTCCAGTGGTCCCAAAGCGGCGGTGACGAACAGGAAATTCCCCAAGTTGTCTTCTCTCGGACACTTCGTCTCGCACCAGGAGGGCCCTCCATCCGGGTCCGGCCACGTGAGGCGTCCATCGGCTCCCCTGGGCTCTATCATGAACAAGCAACAGGTCGAGCAACGCGGCAAGGATCTGTTGCATACGGCGGGGGCCCTGGGCGGCCGCGCAGGCGAGGCAGCCAAGGGCCTATTCGCCAAGGGAAGGAATAAGCTGAAAGGGGGAGGATCAGACAAGGTAGATGCTTGATTTCTTGGTTTTTTTTTTTTTTTTTCTTAAGTTTGCAGGCCATCTATTTTATACGAGCGAGGCTCATGGTCTATATATCATTCTCCATTCCTTCGTTTGCTTTTTTTGCCTTTGCCTTTGCCTTTGCGCGTGCCTGTGCTCTACGTCTTCTGCTTCTTCTTTTTGTTTTTGATACCATGGATGTAAACGAATGGCAGTCCCAGTGTGAAAACCGGACATGATGAATGCTCTCCTACCTCCGAACTGGTCATTTACTGTTTTCTTCGTCGCTCTAATTGAGTTATGCCGTGTAGGGTTTCCATCGCGTACGTGGTTATCGCAGAGAGATCCAGCTCTCCGATTTTGAAATCCCAACTGCTATAGATGACCCTGAATCTGACGCTCGTATGAACCAACGGCACACCGTCCACTTTGGCAGTCTTCCTAACTTAAATATTGGCGGATTCCCGGGCCTGACGCACGTCCACCGCGACCGAGAGCCCCGGTCGTCCAGCAGGGAGGGTAGAATCAGCGCTGGTGGAATGAACATGCCCACTCTGCATGATCCAGAGGGATTGCCGCTGGCGAGGTGCGTGAATCGCAAGCCTTTTGCCTGGCGACAGGTGGATGCAGACTGTTCTATTCCTGCCACTCTCCCAGTCCGAACCAAGCATCGAAATCAGAGACCACCGTGCCTCTTGTGCACCATTCCAGGAACAGGAGCATCGACCAGCGCCCGGCTCAAACCATGCTGACAAGCCAGGGCATGCGACGACGACGACGACGACGACGGATGCTAAGCGCTGAGCGCCCGTGAAAGAGCCAGCCAAGTTGGCGAATGCGAAGCGTGCGGGCCAAAAGGGTGAACAAGCAACTGCTAAGCCACGGAAACCAGGGAACGGCGCGATGAACGATGACAACTCGACTCAGCGACGCTCCAAATATTATGATTATTATTATTACTACTACTATACTTTAGTTATTATTAATTATTAGTATTAGTCCAGATAGTATGCAGTAGACGATGAGGCCAGAATGCGAGCTGCAGAAGCACCGCCACCAGAGAGTGTGCATCTTCAACCTCACGCATCCTGTCTCATCGCTGGGCGCACAGGAGGCGTATTCGCGTCCGCAGCTGGGGTCTGCGCCGGGACTGGGTGAGTCCTTTTTTTCCCCTCCTTCTTCTTATATCTATTCATCTGCTTGGACTTCGTTTTTGTTTGTTTCCAAAAGTCATTGTGTTTTTCGACAATTGATGAATGAATGGGCTCCTACGCCTTACTTACTCGACTCACGAACACGAGCTGACCAGGACTATCCCAGCACGGACATCGCCTTCTGCAGTCTCTCGCTCGCCAGACATGCATTCTACTGGCCAGACTCCTCCAGACCCCGGCAACATGCTTAATCCCGCAACGGACTCGCCCGGTCCGGCTGCGAATCTCAATCCAGCGATGCCCAGGCGGTGGTATGCGCGTCAGACTCGGGCGCAGAGCCGCTCGAGTGGCGATGAGGCTGAAAGCGTGCGGCCTCGTTCAAGAGGCCTCAGCCGCTCCTCTGTCTCGCCAAGTCGGCCAGTGACGCCTGGCGTTTCCAGTGACTCTAACAGCCCGCCGACGCGCTCCAACGCGGCCGTTTCGCGGGATGAGTTGTTCGACCCCGATGTGGCTGCTGCTGCTGCTGCTGCTCGCCGGTCCCCCCCGCAACTCACGATCCCATCTCCTAAGGGCAGATCGGCCATGGAGAAGTTGAATATCTTCAAGCGCAGCCGTGGAGTGTCGATGTCGGACGAGACGGTACCCAAAGAGGGCCAGCCGCGCCGGGGAACCTTTGATAGGCTGGGGGTAAGTTGGACCCTGTGTTCATCTTGCAAAATCATATCTGACAACGATATAGGGATGGTTTGGTCGTTCCCGGAATCAGCAGAGTCAAGCTGCAGGGATCGAAGTAACTTCACAGTCCTCAGTCGCGCAGACCATCGAGTGGCTTCGACCCGCCTCTTCGCATCCAGCCCTAGGACACGCACGCTATCACTCGGACGACCAGGGCAGCCGATGCCGGTCCAATGCGGAAAACGACCCGTCGTTCCAGGGCCAACGACCACCGCCAGGAGGCTATTTCGCGCCCGAGTCCTTCTCGCACTTCAGACAACCCCCGGACGGATCCAGAAACCCACAACACCCAGAGGCACCACCGTCGCCAGATCACGAACCCGACCGACTCCCCTCGCCCACAGGCTCCTTCACGCACACCGAGTACCGCTATCATCATCAACAACAACAACAACAACCACCACCACCCCTAAGCCCCGACCAACAACTCTCCCCAAACCCCTCCTCTCCCACCCCCCGCACCCCACCTTCCCGCGGCCGCACCATCGACCGCGCCTACGCGCAAGACCTGCACCTCCGCTCCCGCAGCCCCAAGGCCTTCCCCCCGCGTCCCGAGGAAGCCTCCTACCCGAGCACCGACACCTCCGACCCAGCCCACAACCTGGGCACCTTCCGCTCGAACCCGCGCACCAGCCGCATCGGTGACCAGGAACTGCCCTGGAAACTCACCCTGCCCAGCGACGAGGACGAGGAGGGCACCGCGACGGTGACGGTCCGCAGCGCCTGGCTCGCGAGTACCACGAAGTGCATGCTGCAGTCGTCGCGTCTGCCGACTTATACAGAAGATGAGGTCGTGCATCGGCATCCGGGTGTGGTGGCCGGCGAGAAGATGGGGGACGTGCGGCAGCGTCGAGGCCGGGGTCGAGGTCGAGGTCGGGGTCGGGGGCAAGCGCATGATCGTGACCATTATGAGCAAGAGCATGAGCATGAGCAGCCCCAGGGGCCGGGGTCGGGGTCGGGGTCGGGGTCGGGGCAGGCGTTGGGGCCGGGGGACCAGCATCATCCGCACCGCGGCGAGAAGGCGCGGGCCATCAATGCGACTGCAGCGCCAGTGGAGTTGCCTGTGCGTGGGGACGACGACACGGGCGAGGAGATCAGGATGTCGAGTACGGCGTATCCCGGGCAGGAGTGGCGGCCGCTGGGGCTGTCGGGGTGGGAATTCTGAATTCTGAACAGCTGGTCGCTGGTCGCTGGTTTGTGAAGGTGTGAATAATCAATCATTCGCACGGTACATTTTATGATAATGACGATGATGAGATTTTTTTTTTTTTTTTGGTTTTGGGTTGGGTGTTTGGGATGGGATCGGAATGGGACACGGCGTATATAACACTTCTGGTGACTGTTTTCGGCTTTTTCGGGGTGCTATTTCTTTTTTTCATCTTAGATAGGGGGGTTTCTAATTTCGAGATGGTGTTATGTCCGTCTATACCTATGACTATAATACAATGGAGGAGAGAATCTACCACTCTTCATTTGCACTTGCACGGCCCGAAAACAAGGGGGAAAAAAAAAAGAAAAAAAAAAATCTATCCCTCGAAAACGCCCTGGTTCAACTCCACACCCATATCCTTGGCCATCACCTTCATCTGCTTCTCAATGTCGTCCTCCATGCCACCGCCCAGGTGCAGGAGCTGCCGCACCTTGGTGAAGTAGAAGAACACGTCGCTGCTGAACAACACCGCCCGGAAGAGGAGGTAGCGGCCGAGATTATGGATCTTGTCCGACCAGGGCAGGTCCGGCGACTCGGCGAGCGCACGCGACGCCCAGATGCCCGTGATCTTGATGCGGTTGACCGGCGAGCCGAGGAACTGGTTGTTCCCCTGAACGATGCGCAGGTTGCGACCGATGAAGATGAGTTCCTGGGGCCACTTGTGCTCATCGGCGAGGATTTCACGGATGGCCTTGCGCGCGGCCTGCTGCGCCTCGTAGTGACGCTTGCCGCGCTCCGTTCGGCTGAGACCCTGGAAGTGACGGCGGGTGGAGAGGTCGCCGCCGCCGTAGGGCCGCATCATCGTGAACGAGGCGAACATGTCCGAGTTCTTGATGCCCCAGCTGGCGGCGATCTCCCCGAGGGCGCGGTTGTCGAAGGTCAGAAGCGCTTCCCAGAAGCGCGCGTACTGGTGCCGGAAGTTCGGGTTCATGTGGATGTAGAGGCCGTGGTCGATCAGCACCAGCTCAGCCTGGCCCGAGGGCTTGCGGCGGATGAAGATGTTGCCCGGGTGAGGGTCGCAGTGCAACCATCCCCAAAGAAACATCTGCGCGGAGAACAGGTCGACCATGGTCGTCATCACGTCCTTGACTGACAGGCCCAGGCCGCCTTTGCCGTTCCACCCGCGCCATTGCTCGCGCTCCGGCTTGGTGTGGGTCAGGTTGGGGTTCCGGGCCGCCTTGGCCACTGGATCTTCCATCTGAGGGGTATCCAGCGGGGTGCCATGGCATCCCGGGGTACCTTGACGCCAGCCACCCTGCCAGGGGCGGGTGATGGATTCCTTATCCCACAACCGGACACCCTCGATCCACTCGGCAGTCATCACGCGCTTCGAGCTGAGCTCTCGGTAGATTTTGGGGATGTAGACACGATCACGTAGGCGAGGCTCCCCGGCGACCAGTTCGGCCATCGTCTCGGAGTTGTTCGCTTCGTTCTCGAAATCCGTCTCCAGGAACAGGCGTTCGGTGATGTAAGGCACCAGGCTCGAAAACGGTATATCAAACGTGCGGGAATAAACGTCCGTCACGACCCTGAAATACTATTAGCATCGGCCTCGCAAAGAACCATGAAATGCAAGCAAAAACATACTTAAAAGCCCACAGATCCCACTGGATCTGCTGCGCAATCTCCCTTTTTTGGATCTTGATGGCCACTTCACGCCCGTCCGCCAGTTTCGCCCAATGCACCTGCGCTACACTCGCGCTCGCACGGGCCTTGCGCTCCAAGACTCCCTTGCTCTGATCCCCAGAGAAGGAAACCCCAAAGACTTCCTCCGCCGACTTGCCAAAGTCCTCGCGGATGACCCGCTCCACGTCCTTCCAGTCATTCTGCGGCGCATCGTCAAACATCCGCGCGAACATCTTCTGGAACTCCGGCGGCAGGATCGCGGACTGCATGGCGACCGCCTGTCCGATCTTCAGATACAGGCCGCCATTGTGCCGTAGCAGGTCAAAAAGCCGTTCCGCATTGCGGGCATGTAACGCCGCAATCGAGCTGGCGAAAGGCGGGTTCGGGCCGAAATTGATTTTGTAATCGAGCGCAACAAGCAGACCCACTGAGAATGTCCGTGCTGTTCGTGTGAGCGACGATGCGTAGAACTGGTTATCGATGGCATAGACAACGCCTGTGGCCAGAGAAAGGTATCCGAGCCGTCGGAGCCATTTGCGGGTCCGGGTGTAGGTCTTTGCGGGAGTGGGTTTGCCGAGCGAACTGGGTGACGGCGGCACAAATGGCTCGTATCGACCTGGATGAACCAAGCGACGAGGAGGAAATCGTAGAGTGGTCGCAGGAAGGCGTCGATGATGGACACAGAGGGGAGCTGACCGCATCAAGCGGGAAACGGACGTCACTGGCGACGCCATTCGGATGGGAGATCGAGATCAGCAGGACGGGGGCTTGCATACATCAGGACAAGCAGTTTCTTCTCATAGTGATGATGACGATAATGCCGGGGGGTGGGGGGTTCAACAAAGATCTCGATGAGATGGAAGCAATGCCATGATGATTGGAAAGCTGGGAAATGATGGAAGATCCGATCGACCGACGATTTTTCTGGCCGCTGACCGTTGCTGACTGAGGCTGCATTTTTTTTCGTCATCGGAGTCGGAGATTGGGAAGTCTGAGGCCAGCATCCGGTGCGATAACTCCGTGCCATTCTTCTTGAATCAATTATTATTGCTTTGCTACTGACAGAGAAGTACATCTAGATAAGAAGTCTAGGAGCAGTATAGATCATAATTCATCATTGTCATATCTCTCCTCCCCCAACTGCTGTGGTAAACCTCCCAGTCTCTGGCAGACCGCCGCGTAGTTCCTCATATTCTGAGGAATGGTTTCCTCCCACAACTGCTCGTCCTTGAGATACGCATATTGCTCCTGGCACAGCGTCTCCGACACCATCCCCAACAACGTCGGCAGATTCGTAACGGCCGACCGCACAAAGTTCTTCTTGAAGCAGTTCCCAAACGCCGCCAACATCTCGGGATCCGCGCAGATGTGTGTCCCCCGAAGCATCGGGCCGCAACGCCGTTTGATGGTCGTCGCGGCGTTGTCTCCCAATTTTACCATCGCTTCTTCCTGCTGTGGCACGTTCAACCGCTTCATCACGCTGCGGACGGCGGGGAGAAAGGTGTTGTTGCGGGTCCAGAGATCCCAGTGGGAGACGGTCGGCTGGCAGCCCTGGTCGCAGATTTCTTGCTGGAATTTATCGAACAGCTCGCCTGGTCGGCTGACGAGCGCAGCGACGACTTTGAAGCATGTTGGGCCGACTTTGGCGGTTGTGGTGTCGGAGATGCCGAGGAGGAGCACGAGGATCACAGGAAGCAGAATGAAGCGCATTGTAGGAACGCAGGTCTCTTAAGGATAGGAGATGGCAGAATTGCTAAAGAATCCCTGAGACTCTTGGAGATGTTGATGAAATGGTGAGTCGCTGGACTGTAGAGTCAGTCTAGATCATTTAAACCACTTCTTCCTTACTCGAGAAATGATCGTCAGGTTCATTTCATTTCCCCCGCACAATTGGTGTGGATGTGAGGATGTGATTGATGGTGGGAACAGTTACTGACGGGAGATGACGATGAAGCAAGGTCAAGTCATCTGTTCATCGGTTGAGACACTAATGTCAAAGGAAACAGAGCCACGCTGATCCATTCTATCTACTATTCCAAGGACCTCCGTGAGCCAGATATACCACGATCACATGTGGTTCAACTCTCTCGGGACTTCAAGAGACATGATGTGCGGCTACAGTCATCAGAACAGTCCCAAATGCATACACGCTCCAAATCGCCAGAACTCTTTTCTATTCACCCAAACATCTACTGCATGGACTGCGTCGAGCAGCCATATTCAAACTCGCACGGACGCAAGCCCTCATACCCAGTAGACAGTCTTCAAGGCTCGTTCAACGCCAACGTCTAAGATTGATTCGGTCGAGTCACCAGTGCCCCTGTTCAGAAAACGGAAATACTCGTCAACGAGCAGCGATGGGGCGTCTGTGTTCCCGTGGGCTTCGGATACGAAGCAATCTAAGTGCGAATGACGGGCGCAGAACTGCTGGAACTCCAACACGGTGATCTGAAAACGACGTGCGTCATGGACGGGCTTGTTCAAGATATGCCTGCCTTCGCGAATGGGAACTCGAAAGACTCTCCATCGAGACGGCTGCAATGCCATAATATGCACGGCCATGTCGTCTTCGAAGTTATACCGACTGATCTCCGTCCTAATCTCGAGTTTGACCCCGTACTTGCAGCACAGTCGAGCTGCGTCCTGAACGTCGGCCACATGCGCCCTCGTGCCGCGACCAATGTGGACATTGGCCCCTTCATCAAAGGAATCGCAAGACACGGCAATAAAGTCCAAATACTTGGCAGAGCGGATCATGAAGCGCTTCGTGAGCTTACTGCCGTCGGTCAAGATAGACACCGATTCCAGCTTGAGATCCGCCTTGCAATACTCGACCATCTTACTGAGAAGCTGCGGGTAGAGCAACGGTTCGCCACCGGTAAACTGAATCTTCTTCATCCCTGCGTCCCGCAACAAGCGCAGACCGCGCTGGATTTGCTCATAAGATTTTAGGTGGGAGGTCTTTTGCGTGTGGAAAGATCCGCATTCGAAGTTGCATTCTCGAATGAAGCATAGATTAACCGAGACCGGGATGATGGTGGTGTTCTTCCGAATGAGCTGCCCGAACAATTTGTCTTTAATCGCCTCGCGATAGAGACTGGACAATGCGATGGCAATGATAGCCCACCACAGCGTAGTCACCAGTTCCAGCAGATACTCTTTTGTCCTGTGAATGCAGGATATCAAATACTCAACCATAGCGGCAATGAAGGGTATAGTAGGATGAGGTATGTCTGAATGGGTAGAATAGCTCGAAGACAGGCGAAGGCAAATGGAAGATGTTGCTGGTGGGTTATTATTCTCGTTGTTTGACCAGCGACATATACCTTCGTTCACTTTATTCTCTCATGATTTCTTCTGCACTTTCTTTCCTTCGCGTGTATCCAAGCAACACGGAACACCCAGCAGGAAAGCAAATGCTGGTCGCCGTTTCCTCCTAGAACTCGGTGCTGTGACCAAGGAGAAGACAATCTTCCCTCCTCGAGTCGTACTCGTCGCTTCATCAACCTCATCGGGATTACTTACCTTCGTCAGTCTCGTGCATCAAGTCAAATGTTTTCTCTTGACACTCAAGAGCTTAAAGAAAAGGTGTAATGGCATCTCCTCCTGATCCCATTGTATCGCTGCTTTTATGTCACTGAAGGAAGCTGCTGACCGGCGATCTTATTCTTCCAGCTTTCCAACTCAACATCCAGGTGGAGCGATACTGGCTCAGTCCGGATCCTCATCGTTCGAGCATCATGTGAAGCAATCTCCGAAGACCACGGGCTCGTCCAATATGAAACCCCCCTTTATCCCCCTTCGGTTCGAATGGATGGCTTGCAGTCAATACCTCTTTTGCTGGGTCCCGTCAACTGGATTGAACAATAGCCCACAATAACGGCAGTGACTGGACAACCCGATGAGGAGACAATTGTGGCTCGTCGAAATGAGAAATTGACAAAATGGTTGACAATGCTTTTCGATCGTTGTAAGTCCATAGTCGCGCCATTCCCCTTGATGGTGTTTTACTATGTCATACTAACCATGTGCTTCTAGAAGGGCCTTTCGATGTACCTAATCGGTAATTGCCTAACAATCGCAAGGAAATCTGGATATTGTGAGACATATGATGACTTTCAATGGGATGCCTTACTTCTACCAGAGGATACCGAAAATGAGATCAGATCGTGAATTCGTGATCCTGTCAATGATCGACCTTCTGCTTTCCATGTGATACAAGTGCTCGTTCTCTTCACGGTAGGAGATCAGATCGACCTACTTCCGCTCCGATTTGCAAATATACCCGGGTTTCATCCCCACGCCCTTCGTAACATATATGGAGCCACATCTCCAGATTCGGAAGCATCAGGAGAGGTTACCAGTCCGTCAATGATTGATTTGACGTCAACGTGGCTGCTGCGAGGCCCCTGCACTCACTTGCTACAGCATGGAAAGTACTTTTGCCCGGCCTCCTTCGGACCAGTCATAGGGGCCAGAATCTAATTACTTGCTAGTGATACTCCTTTGATGACCGGTTTGACAAATCCCCCGGCTTGGTCCTTCCGTTCTTAGTCTTCATATCCATCTTAAACCGATAAAATCTGCCCTCGAAGAAGAACAGGGGACTTGGTCACTTAAATCAGCTTGACCAGCCAGGCTGTTCAGTGCACGTCAGAGTTAGGTGGCGTGTTCAGAAAAACTAACTCCCTGCTTCTTCTGTTCCTGCAGATCTAGGCTGGCGCAAGTACCCAATTCTGAACGATATTAGCTGTCAAATCGGCGACACTGCTTGGTTGTGTTTAGACTGCCTGATTTACACAACAACTGGAACAAGCTAGCTGGGAGGAGCCCGGAATGCGGGTCTGCACAATGCAAGAATGGCATTGACTGGCTGGACAGGCTGAACTATAAAAAAATACTAGTCTCGTCGAAGGGTCAGTGATAGTATCAACCATCTAACAGAACGTCCGACGTCAGATGCTGGGGGTGGATGAGACTTTGTGGCTGACTTGATCAGGGCCGCTGTCTGACTTCCCCTTCGGAACCTCCTCTGTGAACAATGGTGGCGCCCGAACTCGGGAGCTACGAGGACCGTAATTATTTACTCCGTACTTCCTGAAGGATATTAGCCAGAGATCGACATGATCAGCTACCGTTGCAATCAGAACTCGGGCCAGGGTTTAGCGGGGAATCCTGGAAGCCATCCGCGGGCTTAACTATGTCCCAGCGCTACCAATCCTGCATCTGATATCTCACATTCTCTGTCTTTCCGACCACAAATCAAAAAAGTCCGAGGATGTCGAAACGCTTCAGCCTTCTCATAGAATCTGGACCCGTTGCACCATACTTTTGATACTTGTTCGCTACCAGCCCTGTATCTTGTTACGGAGAGATGCACGCAACTTATGCATGATGTCAAGAGATCAAAAGAACCTCCCACATCCGCTGCTTGACGGGTTCACCACTTTGAGGCTTCCGCCATGCAGTTACATAGCCTGTGTGTGGAAACTTGCTTGGTTTATTAGAGACAAAAGGCTTTTACTCCATGTGATGTCTTTTTCTGAACATGGTGCAAGACTCACTCCAGCGCCTCAAAGCTTATTAGAACGCCGGACTCGAGAGATGCAGTGCAGTAAGGTTGATACTGCATCTCTACATCATTTGTTTCGGGCACTGGCAATTTAAGAGTCATGAGTGAAATCTGACTTTCATAGCTTCGCATCAGCCCAGTTGCGGATCGCTTTCCGGTGATCTCCCTTGCTCCAGGCTCGATGGCCGTTTTGCCTTGCAGAGCCTTTCCATCCCTGTGGAAGGGGGGCAGGCGATGTAAGGCCTGATAGGTCATTAAAGTCCGTGCACTCCGATCATCGAGCTTTGTTTATACCATATCCCGCTGGCATGCATGCACCTACGTCTTTGTGGTCTTCCCCGGCCTAGCCACCACCGATTCGCCGGTGGGTTGGTACTGGATCTTGAAGGAGGGGGAGACAAGTGCTGAAAAGTTATTTTGGGGGAGATATGTATAAACATAACCCCCTTCACCCCTTCGGGTTCTTGCCAATTGCCATCTTTCTCAGGTCTTCTGTCTATCGTCAACTTGAGGACTAGATGGTCACCATCACTCGCCGTGAATCACTGAGAACAGTGTATCAAGCCAGTTAGCTCTTGCAACCACAGCCCATGGCTGACACGTATTCTTTCCACCCCGGCGACCTAAACGCTTCGTATAGTTGCCGGACCAGAGCTCATCCAACAACCCACTTGCCTGCATTCTCACCTGCGAAGAAACGCTCCTCGCCCTTCTACCCAGACCACTGCCCGGAGATTACACAAGACGCCAGCCCCGACCCGTTCTACCTCGAACAATCATTGGGGGAGTCTGGCACCTGGGGGCGTAGCAGACGGGCCATTCGCGATGTTCGGTTTTGCGAAGAAGCTAATCAGTATTTCATACCATCCTCTACGGATCACAACAAAAAGGAATCGACCTTTTCCAAACCAGCGCGAGGTGATGCAGTGAGAACTCGTCCCAACCACCTGAATCGTTCAACACTGTCTATCGTCGAGTTCGAACATCAACAACACGTCTTCCCACAAGTTGCAACTGCGCATTGGGAAAAATACCCGCATCATCAAACCCAGGGCTCAGTCAGCTCTGTGCAAAGCGACACAACTCCGGATTTGACTCCGAGCAGCTCCCTCTCATCAAACTACTCCTCCCCCATCTACCCGGACAGTGGACTCCAAACTTCCGAATATCCCCAAGTAAGCTCCTCGTGCAGATCTTCTGAGCGCTCTCGACCAACTTGGTCGACCCCTGGGAGTGGTTCTCGTTCGGCGTTGTCCACCCGCCCAACGACGCCAGCGCGCGATATCGGCTTCAAAGATTCAACGGAAACCCTGATCATGCCACGGGCAGACGAACAGGACCTCCAATCCCGTCGGGGAAAACCGCTTCCCTCTCTTCCTATTAACCCGCGACATGGTAGCGGGATCTCTAGCAAGCGAGGTACCAGTTCCGGCCGTCGGCCTTCGATCGAACCCTCAATGATCTCACCCCCATGCCTCATCAATCCAGTGACCTTGGAACCACATACAACGCATTTTGACCAAGCCATGTTTATCCCCGCCAATGAATGTCCCAGTCCTGTCCCTAGTCGTGGTCCGCCCTCTCCTACCGCCATCAGTAATGTTCTCATCCCTCCGACTCTCTCAACCAAGAACAGACCATCGACCTCCCCCTCGGCGGTCCGCGGTGAACAGTCAGTATGGGAATCCGATTCTGACTCCGAGTCGTTGGGCCCGAAGTCCATGTCCAAAAAGCCGATGGACACGCTCAAGAAAGTACGCAGTCGCGTACAGCTCCGTGTCGCCAAGTCTGCTCCGAAGCTCCAAAATTCCACATCCAGTCAACCAAGTGCCCCTTCGTTAGAAAGGTTTCCGACGGTGCCTGAACCGCATTTAAAGGGACCATTCGGGGAGCCCGTGAAAGCCATGATCCCGACGTCGTCAGGCCACGAAGTCTTTCGACCCTCTGCCCAACAAACCCTCCGACTCGTCGCCCCATCCACTACTTCTCTTGTCAGGCCTCGGACTCCTGGATCTCGTCAGAACAGTGGCCAGCACTGTCAGCAAAGGGGAGAGCCTCGAAATCATGACTTTGATCGATCTGCTGCAGCCGCGCTGCAGGCCAAGTCCAGACGGAAGCAACGGCCAGACTCCCCGGCGACTTTACTCTCAACCGAAAGGGAGAAAGTATGCACGTTCTGTAGGGAAGAGCGATCTGATCTGGCGATACATCACAGCCTGACACTTGGTCGACCACCCTTATACAAGAGAGTGTGGGAATCATTGCGCCTGCTGGGCTGTCATGCTGATATCACTCCTCCCAAGTCACTGCCGCGCAAGCCTATCTGATTGATTCCTCCTTTCTTTTGGTTCTGGTACAACAGCAGCCGTGGGCGTCAGGCGTTGGTGTTTCGAAGCCCCTCATTTCAGGTGGTCCACGTTGATGAGGTTGGGCGTTACACTTGTGAATTTCTTTGAAATGATGTCTTACGATATATCTATACCGACATGCCGGTTCCTCAGATGTGAGCCTATGAATGCCTGAATGCAATGCACGATGGAATATGTGAAAGGATGAGAGGGAAAGAATTTTCCATGAGTTAACGAGCAGGTGCATACTGTCGCTTGTTTGCCTGCTATTTGGTACAAAATACTACAATATCCCACGAAGGCCATACGTCCTTTGTATGAATAATGAGCAACGTATGAAGTTATCGAGTTGGTTGCCAGTGCTGAGCCATGCTCCCTCCTTTTTCCGGTCTATATATCATTGACCTCGCCATTCTCTGAATTTCTTTTCATTCTCTGTGCGCCTCATGATTGCAGCTTTGCGTTACGTTCATTCAAAATGTTTCCTACTTGTCCGCCATATGTCCTCATCTCTCCCTTCTGCATACGCATATCACCGTTTCTTGTCTCTCACTATCTCACTCTCAGCTATCTTTTGAGTTTTGTCTCCTCAGCTCCGAGTCTCATTCTATACCAAGTTCAGCGAACCAATATGATCAACCAACTTACCTCCCCTCGTGCGGTCCCTCAACAGACATAATTCAAAACAAAACAAGAGGAATTAAGAAGCGGCCTGGGGCGGAATGTCAGGATTAACCAGGCCAATATGCTGATGCACACGTATGCAGGAATGAACACAGCTCCTTTGGGGTACTTTGTGCATCGGTCCATCCCTTGATATAGGGAAGACTGGAACAGCCGCTTTCGCAGCCACTTGGTCCTCGCCATTCTATCCCTTGTTCGTAGATCCCAGATGGATTTGTTTCTCGGAATGGAGATCCAACCAAGATACGCTCGTCGTAGATCGTTGCATCTCGTCCCTTTTTTTTTGCGCCACAGGATGTGTGGATGTGGTCGAATGACCAGGTTCTCCTCAATAGATGCGATGCATATGCCTAAATAGAGCAAAGATTGAGGAAATCGAATATGCAGTAGTCTAGATCCCGGGTTTTCGAAAGCTGCTTCCCCGTGTGGCCAGTTCCTTGGTCGTCGGCATATGCGCGTGCGGTGCAATGTCTTTGGCTTTTTTGTTTTTTTTAGGATGTATTTTCATTATGTCCTGCATCGACGTGCAGGTGCAGGTACAGGTGCAGTGATTACGGTGTAAGGGATCCAGGTTGATGGAACCATGAGACTCTAGGTTTGGGCGCCCTTGTTGGTTGGTACTGTTGCATTTGGCTAGCTAGGTGTGTCTAAGCAGTAGGTGTTAATGTCCATCGTTGCTTGAGAGAGCTTTATTTGATAATCTGTCGAAGCTCTGCTGTGTCCCAGTCACTGGGAACAGTCACTGGGATCATTAGGGATCATTGTCCCCGCAAGTCATACTGTGCCCAGAGCGTTCCCTGTAGTGCGACCGATGAGATTGCATGTTTTTTTTTTTTTTCTTGCCACGAAAGCAGAAAGGATGCATCCCGTGCTCACACCCATGGATCCAGCATCCCGCTGCACAGCTCGTGAGCTCCTTGCGCTGCCGACACGGACCGGTCGCTCAGCGTCTCAGGTCTGCCAGGGACACAGGCGACCACGGACGCATCCGCCCACCTCTGCAGGGACGGGATGGTCTTGCATTTGCTAGAAAGAGGAAGAGCAGCAGTAGGGCGCCGTATAGGCAGTAGGGGAGGCACGAATGAAAACGCACTCGACCGCTTTTCTGCTGCAACGCGCAAAAAAAAGCGATCCGGCGATCGAGCTGAGAAAAAAAAAAGGAAAAGGGCATGAGAAGAAGATCTTCAGCTCTGCTCAGACAGCGCCTTCTCCTCCTCCTCCTCCTTATCCCTCGGCTCCAGCGCATCCATGTTCTCCTCCCAGTGCGCCACACGCACCCGCTCCTCCCACCGCGAGACCACCCCATCGCCCTTCTGCCGTAGCAGGATCTCTGGCTTCTCCTCCTCATCCCCCTCCGTAGCAAATGCCCCATCCACCCCCGAGAACACAGCCCGCACATCTAACTCCTTCACGGCACGGGTATATAGCCGGAGAATCTCCTCTCGTCTCGCCTTCCGTTCCGCCGCCTCGGCGTCCCCCTCCCCCTGGCCCTCCGTCGCAGATGACGCCGTCTTCCCCCGCTGCAGCTGCGCCGGCTTCTTCACGCCCCCGCGGCCCTCGTACCCGCGCACCAGACCCTCCAGGATCCCCAGCACCGTCCCCGCTCTCATCCCCAGCTGTGCGCCGACGGGGAACCCCGCATCGAAGCCGCGCTGCACCTGTGCGCCCTTGGCAGCGGAGATGCCGTCGCGGTAACCGGCGGTGACGTGCTGGCGGCGGAGGGAGGGGAGGTCGGAGGGTTCGGGGGCTTGGGTCGGTGGTGGTTGGGGATGGAGGTCTTGGTGTTGGTGGTGTTCGTGCTCGTGCTCGTGGGGAGGCGAGGAGCCGAAGATGTCGTCGAGGGAGTTGTGGGTGTTTGTTGCCATGATTGTGATTTTGTATGAATTGTGGCTTTTGTGTGGGATTATGTTGATTCTTGATTGCTCTGGTGGAAGATGGAAGGATTATGCGGCGGATTAATCATGATGTGCGGGGGAAGAAAAATTGAGCGGTTCGGGATCAGCGGGGAGAGATCGAAGGTGCTGTATAGGGTCGACAGAACGTGGTATTTATATTCTGAGAGGGAGTATATGATGCAGCTCGCTAGTATATACGGATTGAATTATTTGAATTGTCTGGTGGGTATTATTACTGCAGGTTATTCATGCAATACTGAGCAGCAATATATCCATACATCCTGCCAGAGTCCAACCATAAATCACCATGAGAATAGTAACAGATGCTCTATTATACACTTCAATATACTGACCTCTTTTTTTTTTTTTTATCTCAGAAGACTCTACAAAGCTACACATCTAGGCAGTATCGTCGAAGAGGTGGCCTGGACATAGCCTCCTTAACTGCTCTACCTTCCGCCGCGTCCACTACCTGTACTATGACTGACTGACAGCGTATGGGTAGCGAGGAGACGCATCTGGAACGGGCGGATGTCCCATCAGGGTGCATGAATATGGTGAAAGAGCTTCAAAGTGCTGTCAAAGTATGGGAAAAATCAGTAGATGCGATGCTACCTGGTTTGGTACCATATGGCCATCAGTGCGCTGTCTCCTATCTACCGTTGACCCCACATGGAAGTGAAGACGGATACTGCGAGGTTTGAGGCGGTATCAGGAGGAGCCCATGCTGCATTATGTCGAAGTTGAAGGGACTGTATCTCTCAAGAGCGATACTCTCTCTATCCTAATAATAATAATAATGGACGAGACTCTTCAAGCGCGGCGGGGTGATTTGCCCTAACAGCCAGCCCTAACCCGGAAGAACCATCGGGCCGGAGTTCTTCTCCCTGCTGTGAGGCTGAAATGAAGAAGCCTCCAAAGAGATGATGTGAGGTTTTTCCCATCAACACACGTCAGCTAGCTCAACATCTTGCGGTCAGACTAACATGACGAGTGACGGACGACTAACGAGCCATGACCCATGACTATGAGCATCAGCATTGCTGGTGTTGTCACTTTTTGCTCAGCCTCCCGCTGTCGCTGAGTCGAGCTGTTTGAGCCAAGATTTTAACTTAACCCGATGATCTGAGAGCCAGCGTTGATCACTCATCATCATCGTTGGCACTTGCAGCGGGCTGGAATGATAGAATAATCATCAATCTGTAATCACGGTTTAGCTTCTCCATACGGATGATGCAAGAAGAGGGCTAGGAAGTCTCGAAAGAGATACCCGAACACACACACACGCGCAAACTCTTGGCTGCTCCCTGAGACTCAAGGCTGGACTCCTTTCTTTCACGCGCTAATTCGCATCGACTACCGAAACAGGGATTTTGAAGGTATCCACCCCGATCCATCTCGGAGCTGCTGATAACCTTGATAGCAGGCTGTTTCGGATGAAATATCATTCCGCTAACCGTTGGTGTCTGATGTGCCACTCTCCTGCTGTTGATACGAGTGTCCAGCACTTCCGGGTAGACCTTATAGATCTCTTCATTCGCCAACCGAACATTCAGCCATCGCCACGTCGGCCTTTGGATCACAACATCATCCGGGCGGTCCATAAGGTCTCCGAACTCTGTCAGCGGAACCAATGGAATATCAGTGGGCCTGAGAAAACGAATCTGGTTGTCAATGACTCAATAATACCCAGAGGTTAGGCTCGACGGAGTCGGCTTGTTTGCTCGCCGACAGGTTCCGTCGTATTTACTTCCGGTTCCACACCCCAACTCTCGGCATTATTGCATTATTCCTGCTTGTGTTTGCTATTATTGGGACTCCCCTAGGAGGCATTATACCGCCAGAATGCATTGCATAACAGGCTCCAAACGAAGATTGTCGGGCTGTCCGAGATCTGGTACGCCTTATCCATCAGCACGCTGACTCCAGGCTTTATTTGGGTTCCCCTGTCGGACAGCAGTTCGGGATTTTTTAACTGTCACCTTCAACTGATTGTCCTTCGTTTATATTGTCTCTCTTTTCCCTTTTCTTTTCAATCTCCTCGTCCTGAATGGCGATTAAGCGCTCTCGTTTCTTTTCTTAGACCTTGTATAAATCAACCATATCCTTCTCGTTCACTATATACCTCGGTCCCATTCGTGAATTGCGTAATGGCGGAAGCCATATTGGACGGTCATGAGAAACGACATGGCCGATCCCCATCACTTGTCAGCTCCTCAACAGAAACTGGAGACGATAGCCGGAATGCTACCCTGACCGAGCTGGCTCCGGTAGTGACCCGACGCGCTTCCGTTGCCCCCGACGAAGCCCGTTATCTCACTCAGTTGGCCAGTCGTGACAATGCAGTCTCGCGAGTCAACACCTTAGCGGAAATCTCACTGGATGATCCGGCTTTGAACCCTGACAACAAAGACTTTGACCTGTACAAATGGTTGCGGAAAGTGGTACATGTCCTCAACGAGGAGGGCGTTCCTCGGAAAAAAGCCAGCATCTTCTTCCAGCACCTCCGTGTTTCGGGAACCGGGGCAGCCTTGCAGCTGCAGCAGACGGTGGCAGATCTCTTTACTGCCCCTTTTCGACCAAAGGAAACCTTCAACTTTGGAAGCAAGACCCCCAAGACCATTCTCCATAATTTTGATGGGGTGTTGCACAGTGGGGAGCTGTTAATCGTGCTGGGTCGCCCCGGCTCCGGATGCAGTACCTTTTTGAAGACTCTTTCGGGAGAGCTAAATGGCCTGCATGTCGATGAGAAAACAGTCTTGCACTACAGTGGCATCCCGCAGAAGACTATGATCAAAGAGTTCAAGGGTGAAGTCGTCTACAACCAGGAAGTCGACAAGCACTTCCCCCATCTGACAGTCGGCCAGACGTTGGAATTTGCTGCATCAGTGCGCACCCCAGCCAAACGACTGCACGGGATGTCCAGAGCCGAGTACGCCCAGCTGATGACCAAAGTGGTTATGGCCGTCTTCGGCCTCAGCCACACCTACAACACCAAGGTCGGAAACGACACTGTCCGAGGTGTGTCGGGTGGTGAGCGCAAGCGTGTCAGTATCGCAGAGATGGCCCTGGCCGGTGCTCCTCTGGCTGCCTGGGACAACTCGACTCGTGGTCTGGATTCGGCGACTGCCTTGAAGTTTGTAGAGTCCCTGCGACTCGCTGCGGACCTGGGCGGCTCTGCACACGCTGTAGCCATCTATCAAGCCAGTCAGGCTATCTATGACCTGTTCGACAAGGCCGTGGTGCTGTACGAAGGACGTCAGATTTACTTTGGCCCCGCCAGCAAGGCCAAGGCGTTCTTCGAGCGCCAAGGATGGTTCTGCCCTCCCCGCCAGACTTCTGGTGATTTCCTCACCTCGGTGACGAACCCTGTGGAACGACAAGCCCGGCCAGGCATGGAGTCAAAGGTGCCCCGTACCGCGGCCGAATTCGAGGCCTACTGGCACCAGTCCGATGAGTACAAAGCACTTCACCGTGAGATGGCCGTTTATCAAGGCGAAGTGTTCTCGCAATCCCAGGAAAAGCTCCTCGAGTTCCAGCAGCAGAAGCGCGAGGAGCAGGCTTCCCATACCCGTGCCAAGTCCCCATATCTCATCAGTATCCCCATGCAGATCAAGCTCAATACTAAACGGGCCTACCAACGGGTGTGGAATGAACGTACATCCACTATCACTACATACATCGGCAACTGTATCCTCGCCTTGATCGTTGGTTCTGTCTTCTACGGTACACCCACGGCCACTGCGGGATTCTACGCCAAGGGTGCGACATTGTTCTATGCCGTGCTGCTCAATGCCCTGACCGCAATGACCGAAATCAACAGCCTGTACTCCCAGCGACCCATCGTCGAAAAACATGCCTCCTTTGCCTTCTACCATCCCGCCACCGAAGCTATTGCAGGAGTGGTCAGTGATATACCGGTCAAATTCCTTATGGCAGTCGCGTTCAACATCATCCTGTACTTCCTCAGCAACCTTCGTCGCGAGGCGTCCCAGTTCTTCATCTACTTCCTCATCACGTTTATCATCATGTTCGTCATGAGTGCTGTCTTCCGGACCATGGCCGCGATTACCAAGACTGTATCTCAAGCTATGACACTAGCCGGTATTCTCATCCTCGCGCTGGTGGTCTATACTGGGTTTGTCGTGCCTGTTGGATATATGAAGCCGTGGTTCAAGTGGATTCATTATCTCAATCCCATCTTCTACGCTTTTGAGATTCTAGTGGCCAACGAGTTCCACGGCCGGGAATTCACTTGTTCTGAGTTTGTCCCGGCTTATCCCGACCTCACGGGCGACTCCTTCATCTGTTCCGCGCGAGGTGCTGTCGCTGGTCGTCGGACTGTCAGCGGAGATGCCTATATCCAGGCTTCCTTCAACTACAGCTACTCACATGTCTGGCGAAACTTTGGTATTCTCATGGCGTTCCTCATCGGTTTCATGACAATCTACTTTGTGGCCACCGAACTCAATTCGTCGACCACCAGTACGGCTGAGGTCCTGGTGTTCCGCCGGGGCCATGAGCCCGCCTCTCTGAAGAACGGACAGGAGCCCAGCGCGGATGAAGAAGCAGGCTCCGAAAGAACTACCGTCTCATCGGCTGGTGAGGAAAACAAGCAGGACCAGGGGATCTCGTCGATCCCCCCTCAACAGGATATCTTCACCTGGCGCGATGTGGTCTACGACATTGAAATCAAGGGCGAGCCTCGCCGACTGCTTGACCACGTTTCAGGCTGGGTGAAGCCAGGTACGTTGACGGCATTGATGGGTGTCAGTGGCGCGGGTAAGACTACACTGCTCGACGTTCTGGCACATCGAACCACGATGGGAGTCATCACCGGCGACATGTTCGTCAACGGACACACACTGGACTCGAGCTTTCAACGCAAGACGGGCTACGTTCAACAGCAAGATCTGCATCTTGAGACGGCTACGGTCCGTGAGAGTCTGCGTTTCAGCGCGATGCTGCGTCAGCCCGCCTCTGTGTCCAAGGAGGAGAAGTATGCGTATGTGGAGGAGGTTATCAAGATGCTCAACATGGAGGAGTTTGCGGAAGCCGTGGTCGGTGTTCCGGGCGAAGGTCTGAATGTCGAGCAGCGCAAGCTGCTCACCATCGGAGTGGAACTGGCGGCCAAGCCAAAGCTGTTGCTGTTCTTGGATGAACCTACCAGGTAAGCTGATTCTTGATCGATTATGGATCGAGTGCTAATTTGTGCAGTGGTCTCGATTCTCAGAGTTCTTGGGCTATCTGCAATTTCCTCCGCAAGCTGGCTGACTCAGGCCAAGCCATCCTGTGCACAATCCATCAACCCAGCGCCATTCTGTTCGAGCAATTCGATCGTTTGCTCTTTTTGGCACGTGGCGGCAAGACCGTGTACTTCGGCCCCATTGGAGAAAACTCCCGGACGCTGCTTGACTACTTCGAGTCCCACGGCGCCCCCCCTTGTGGCGACCAGGAGAACCCGGCCGAGTACATGCTTGAAGTTGTGAATGCGGGCACCAACCCGCAAGGCGAAAACTGGTTTGATTTGTGGAAGGGAAGCAAGGAGGCCGCCGAGGTGCAGGCCGAGATTGATCGTATCCACGAGGCGAAACGCGGGCAGGGGGCAGGCAGCGAAAGTGCCAACCCCGATGACCGCGAGCTCGAGGAGTTTGCCATCCCGTTCTTCCAGCAGCTCCCCATTGTCACCACCCGGGTTTTCCAGCAGTACTGGCGACTGCCCATGTACATCGTGGCCAAGATGATGCTTGGCCTGTGCGCCGGGCTGTTTATCGGTTTCTCCTTCTTCAACGCCGATAGTTCGCTGCAGGGCATGCAGAATGCGATCTTCTCGGTGTTTATGCTGTGTGCCATCTTCTCCTCGCTCGTGCAGCAGATCATCCCCCTCTTCATCACTCAGCGGGCGCTCTACGAAGTGCGCGAGCGGCCGTCCAAGACCTACTCGTGGAAGGCGTTCATGATTGCCAACATCGTCGTTGAGATCCCGTACCAGATCGTGATGGGCGTCATCGTGTTCGGCTGCTACTACTATGCGGTGGACGGGATCCAATCGTCGGACCGACAGGGCTTGATCCTGTTGTTCTGCTTGCAGTTCTTCATCTACGCCAGCACCTTCGCCGACATGGTCATCGCCGCCCTCCCGGACGCCGAAACCGCCGGCGCCATCGTGACCCTGCTGTTCTCCATGGCCCTGACATTCAACGGTGTGATGCAGACACCCGAAGCACTCCCGGGCTTCTGGATCTTCATGTACCGCGCCTCGCCGTTCACATACTGGGTCGGCGGCGTGGTCGCGACGCAGATGCACGGCCGCGCCGTCCAGTGCAACGCGGCGGAGACGGCGGTCTTCAACCCGCCGTCCGGCCAGACCTGCGAGCAGTACTTGGCCAAATACATGTCCGTGGCGCCGGGCTACCTGAACAACCCGAATGCGACGTCGTCGTGCGAGTACTGCTCGGTCTCGGTGGCGGACCAGTACCTGTCGAGCGTGAGCATCCACTGGGACGAGCGGTGGCGCAACTTCGGGATCTTCTGGGTGTATATCGTATTCGACATCGCCGCGGCGGTGCTGCTGTATTACTGCTTCCGGGTGAAGAAGTGGGATTTCTCGTTCGGCAAGGGCAAGAAGAAGGAGAGCAGCAAGAAGCAATAGATGATAGAAACACCAGACTTAAGACAATAGCCCATAGTGATATCCATATCCATATCCATAGACTAATATATCTCCCTTTCCTTTCCTTTGCCTTACATACATACATACATACATACATACACTAAATACATACAATTTACACCTTCACCTCTCCTCCCTCCCCCCTTCCCCATCATTCAACACGCCACATCCGCAGCAACAACCTTCCACCCCTTCCACCCCGAAAACGGATAACAAACCTCCCACCCGCTACGCAGCACATCCGCCGCCGCCCCCCTGCAGCCCGCATTCCCGTAGATGCACAGATCATACCGGTCCTCCCCGGGGCTCTTCCACGAGATACTCTTGACGGAGGTGGTGTTGAACTCGCCGGTGTCGACGGCCTCGCAGGACGCGCCGACGAAGCCCGAGCGGTGGAAGAGCGAGATGTCGATGTTGGAGTCGTTGGGGTCGCAGCCGGGGCCAAGGAGGCGGAGGTCCCACTGTGTGTCGGCGGCAAATGGGTGAGTTCGTTAGTATTCCGCTGTTTGCGAAGACGGAGGGCAAGGGTCATGGGATGGACGTACGTTGCGCGGTTTGAGCGCGTCGCGGGTCGGGGCTTGGATGGCGGCTACGGTGCCGAGGAGGAGGAGGAAGAGGGTGAGGAGGTGCATTTTGGCTCTGGCTTTTGATTGTGGTTGTTGTGGTTTTTAGATTTAGGGGGAGTGGTTCGAAGGATGGGAGGGAGGGGTTGAGAGTGGAAGAAGGAGAAGAAGTGCGACTGGTGGAATGGGCTCAGGCCCAGACGATGAGCGTATTAATACTGCTGCTTAAGACAGAGGATCGAAAGTGACGATGGCTGCAGACTGCGGAGTGACAAGATGGAGAGACGACAGGTGCAGAAAGGAAGTCTTGCAGCTGATCAGGAACATGGCGAATGACAGATCACCTTTCAGGGGTCATGGATCATGGATGTTGCAGCTTGGGAGCAGTAGCGCGGTGGAGAACTATTGGTGCGACGCTGTTTCATCTTTCGCCCAAAATTGAGGCTGGAGGGCAGAATACGAGCGCCTGCAGAAGTGCAAAAGGGATTTCATAGCCCTGTAAATTCTATATGGAAAGCTATTGGTGTCTAGTGGTGTCTTCTATCGGTTCCCGTTGCTTAATCTCCAGGCCCTCAGTGGCAGATTCTGGAGCTTCAGGACCGCCGGCCTGATAAACATGACGAAGGTGACGGTTCCAAGGAGCACGCAGAGGGCGTTGGTGATGTAGTAGCCGTCGCGGCTGGTCTCGCAAACGCCACCGCCATTCAGACAGCGGTTCTTGTCGGGCTCCAAGGCGCACGAGAACGCAGACGTGACCAAGTCACCCTTGAGCTTCTCGGCTGCAGGCGCCACGGCGGGAGGGATACAAGTAGCCACGGTGAAGAAGTCGACGAATTTCAGGATAAAATAGCGCGGGAATGTGCCGCCCAGGTTGGAGACGCTGAAAGAGGTTAGTATCCTGGGAGCCATCACAGGAGAAAAGAAAGAGAGGGAGAGAGAAAAAAAAAAAAAAAAAACTTACGTAGCAAGCATGGTCATGTAGGTGCCGCCAATGGCAGGATCCGCAATGCGCGCATGGAACGCAGACACGGCAACAAACATGACCGTGTTCATAAACGTCGAAAACACATGCTCCCCAATCACCACCAGGATGTACCAGAATGGAACGGCGTCGCCAGCGGGGTAGACCATGACGGCTGCCTGAGCTAGTACCGCCGCGGCCAGTCGTCCGATAAAAGCCCAGCACCACAGTCGCATGGGGGTATACTCCGTCGACCACTTCCCAGCGTAGTATCCCAGGCCGATCTCGAACGGGAAATCGATCAGAACGACCAGGGCCATGTTGTCCGTGCCAAATCCCTTGTCCAGCAGCTTCAAGCTGGTGACCGCGTCATTGGCCTGGAACCCAATCTTGGCGATGAGATGGATCACAATGATCGTCTGGATGTTCTTGAGCTTCAGGATATTCCACATGCTCCGGTACACGTCCATAATACTGTCCCGTTCCCTCGTCTTGTCTTCCTTCTTCAGGAGAGCGAGACAGACAGTCACGAACAGGTAGGCCCAGCCCCAGAAGGTCAGGTACGTGCCCAACGACAGGAGACCGTTCTCCCCAGGAATTGCCCGGAACCAGCGATTCGCAAAGTCCTTGGAGTTGAACGCCAGAAACACCGTGTAGGACAGAAAGTGTCCCGCCGTCAATCCGACAGTCTGAGCCGTCGAGGCATAGGAGATGTTGGGCGGCGACATCAACGTGATGGCCCAGCCATCCACCGCAATATCCTGTGTGGCACAGAAGAACACCAGCAGGAACCACCAGCAGGTGAAGCTCCAGACACCCGCACCGCCATTGGCGCCAGCTTGGACCATCATATCCTCGATCTGGGTGCCCAGGTAGATCATCGCCAGGCCCGCAATGACCTGCACGGGAGTGATCCAGCTCTTCCGTCGACCGAACCTCCGGCTCCAGACCGCGTCGACGATGGGACTCCACAGCAGCTTCAACGAATACGGATAGGACGCCAGCGAGAAAACACCGATCTGGCCGTAGGACAGGTAGGGTTTGAGCAGGAACGGGACGGACCCCGTGGCCAACCCCATCGGTACACCCTGCAGAAAATACAACACACACAGCAGCAAAAAGTTCCGCCGATCGGAGGCCGGCAGGTTGGCGAAGCTTGTATTCACCATGGCCGGCGTCTGCGGGGTGATCGGCGGGTCATCATTCAGAGAGAAGCTCTGTCGGGACATCAACCGGGAGGCCCGGGAGGCGGAGGACTCGAGGGAGGTGTCCCTCTTGCGCATTTCGATGTTGGAGTGCATCTCGCCGCCAGCATTGCCGTTCTGCTTGCCGGTTGCCACAGTCAAGCTCGGTTTGGAGCGACGTCTGGAGACTGTGCGGCCCTTGGTCTTCATCTGTATACGACGTCGTCCGCGAGGGTCGTCAAGAAGTCGCGTGTCTGGCGTGTTGTCTGCGCTGTTGGAGTCGGAGTCGTGGTCGAGGTTGGAAGGGGGAGAGAAGGAGATTTGCTGGGGATGAGGTCTATCGCGATCGCTTTCAACTCTGCTATTGCATGCTAGATGCTCAAGTTCAACCTCGCCGGGAGTGTGCGTGGGTAAAGGAAGGTGTTGGTCGCGGTGATGCAAGGTAGAAGAAAGGGAGGAGGAAGGATGGAAAGGACTGGAATGAGAGGCAGGACGATGACTGGGAGAATCCTGCATCCATCTACTCAGGGTCTCTCATGTGGCGACAGCAGAGTGGAGGAAAAAGAATACTAATAATAAGAAGACGGTATTATTATTAGCACTACTCGGTAGGTAGTTTTTTCTCAGGGTCCTGAGTCCTGAGTCCTGAAGCTTGAGAGTGGATTAGGCAAGCTGGCCTTAAGGGGAGAGAGGGAGAGCTAGTTAGAGAATGACTGGAAAGAGTTTGGGGCGAAGCTTATCTTATTAGCACTTAGCAGTGGGTTAACTGGTCGACTAACGACTTGGACGGGGATAGTTGCAAGTCTTCTCGATCTATTTAACTCGATTTATTATTCAAAATACACCCCGATTCTGGAGCTTTCTTCTCTGTCTTCTCGAGTCTCTCGTGTCACTTCAAACACCTCAAGCCCAACTCCCCACGTGACTCCGCAGTTCTCTCGTCTCACGCGCGCAATAAACAAAGATTCCTCCTGCGCAACAGCCTCCAAGCGTTGCACTCACAATGGATTCCCCAGACAGCCACCAGGTGGAAGAGCAACTCGACTCGGAGATATCCTCCATCCGCCGAGAACGTGAGTCCTCATACAGCTACTCGCATTGCGACAACACAACCCGGCTAACCAACAGCACAGTCCGCAACCTCCAACGCCGCCGTCGCCTCCTAACATCCAGCCTCCTCTCCTCAGAGAACCTCCACAAACGCCTCAAAGCCCACCAAGCAGCCTCCACACCGACCCCGCTCTCCTCCCTGACCGAAGACGTCTCCCCCCTGGTGCAAGCCGCGACCAAGCACACACAATCCAACCACCACCGCGTCGCCTTCTCCACCACCACCTTCCCCTTCAAAGACCCCTCCCCGCACGCCGACCAGCCCAACCTCCTCGGCGTGCGCATCGACATCTGCCGCCGCGACGGCCGCTTCGCGAAACCGTACTACATCCTCCTGCGCCGCCTACCGGGCGCGGAAAAGCGGCTGCGCGTGCACCGGCACACGATCCCCGCGTTCATCGCGCTCGAGAAGCTGGAGCGCGTCTACCTCCCTGTGCCAAGCTCAGATGTCGACGAAGTCGGCGGCGGCGGCGACGCGGAAGCGGAAGCGGAGACAGCGTTGAAGCCGTGGAAGCGCCGGGCGGGGAAGCAGGATCTGCGGGGTCTGGTGCGCGAGGTGCGCCGCCAGTTGGTTGCGTGGCATTTGAGGCTGGATGCGGTGGAGATGTTGAAGGAGGATCTGGGGGGTGTGGATGGGCTGGATGGTGGTGGTGGTGGTGGTGATCGGCTGGAGCCGAACGATCTGGGCATTGTGTCGATGGCGCCTACGGCGCGGGAGGCGACGTATGTTCGGTTGGAGTGGGACGATGGGCGGGTTGGGCGGTTCAAGCTGTCCAGCTCGGGGATTGTAGAGCGTGCTGTGGTTATTGGTGATGGTGGGCGGGATAGGAAACTGGAGGGCGTGTTTACGGGTGGGAATGGGAGAGTGGAAACGCTGCTTGAAAGGCTACGGGGGCATGTCCTGTCCGAACCATGATGCGTGCATGCATGAGACAATACTCGGTGCTTTGTAGCGAGTGAGCTACTGAAGTTCATTTCGCACTACTGAAACAAGGATATATCACATAACAACAACAACAAAGATCTATTAATGCGCTCTACGAAGCTAACATATCTATTAAGGGTATAACAACCCCTGTCATGTCCAAAAAAATTATACACAAGGTCCACAATGCCGCCAGCTGTATGTAAAATGCCCGCCTGTCCAAGAATGAGAAGAGAAGTCTGGGGTAAAACCAAGAAGAAAAAAAGACATCAACATAATTACAAGAAAATATGGATCGACCATGGCGGGAGAGGGATATAAAACACATTATCTCCGCCATGGCAATGGATCAAGGAGGGGGGGGGGCGGCTGCAATGTATGTGCAAGGGAATATTCGGGGATAAGAAAGGGTATCACTGTGAGACGTCACGTCATAAATCAATGCACCAGTCCACTTTCCTTCGGATGCGTCTGTTCGTCGCCGCCTATACTGGCGGTGGTCTCTGAGACGCAGATGGCAGAATCCCGCGTCTCGTAAGTCGGATTGGAAAAGGACAGTGGAGGCAAGGGGCCGTAAGGCTGTCCGTGCTGGAGTTCGAGTTTTGTGCGCAGAACCGCTTCCTCCAGGTTCCAGCGACGCCGCAATTTGGCCTTCTTTGCGTCGAGGGTATGCAGTGCCAGCGACTCCTCCTGCTGATGCTGTCTTTGGAGCTCGGCAAATTCAAGCGCATGCTTGTCAATCAACGCGTCAAGCTCCCTTTCCATGCGCGCGACGGCTACTTGGAGTCTGAGCTCCTGTCGGTCCCGCAGGACCTTGATTTTGGCCGTGTGAAGCCGGTCCATGCCTTCGTGGTCATGATATTCCTGCACGAGCTGGGCCTTTTGCTGACTGGTATATGTGCGCGCAGGGGGGGTTCTGTCGGTGTCAGATACCGACTCGGAGTCGGATGTTGGTGGAGGATGGGCATTGCTGAAGTAGCCCTCCATGTATTTGATTCGTGTGCGGGAATTTTGCTTCTCTTTTTCGAACTCGCGCAGTTGGTCGATCTCCACGGCAAGCTGTCGTTCCTCCATGCGCGCCGCATCTGCTGCGTTCTGTTGGTTTCATTAGCTTACTTGCTCCTCCCTCATTTAGACAATCGTGGAGCCTGACCTTCTCCCGTTTCTGCTCCTCCGCGGCCTTGTTCTCCGATAGTCTGTCAACAACAAGAGCTTGTTGCTTGCGGCGGAGTCGGATCAAAAATGCGTCTTGAAATGCAAGGTGGCGGTCTCTCTCTAACGTGTGGGAATCACGTAACTGGGCCAACTCCGTATTTTCCAGACTCCTGTCGAGCGATTCCTTGTGGTAAAAGGGTATTTCGAGCTTCAGAGCTTCTTCTTCCTCGGCCGCGCTAGAATTAAGTGACTCGCTCGGTTGGGCCTCCACATATACCCTCTCCACCCCTCCTTCATCCTTCGCGACAATGATCTCAGCCGCGGGTGGCAGCAGAACTGTAGACGGCGTCCTCCTCTTTCTGAAGTGGATCTTTCCGATAGCGGATTTCAGGCTTGATCTCCGTTTCTCCTTCTTGTCGGACGACGAGATGCTCAACAACGAGCTCCGGTGGCTGGATGGACGCGCGAAGATCCCATTCAGACTGTGAGCCACTATTCCTTCACTCGAGCTGTACGACGTGGGACGCGTGGAGAGCGAGGCGATGGACCGGGTACTCCCGCATTTGGGGGTATCGGAGGATACAGTGAGTTCCGACAGCGACGAAGCGACCTGGTCGAGTGCAGGAGTGTCGTGGGGTGGTGCGACCTCACATATCGAGTTGCGGTCGGTCGATGAGCCAGACGATAGGACAGGCGAAGAAAGATCGATCATTCCCGAAGCGATCGATGCGGCCAGCGATGCGGTCACTTCGATTTCCGGCACTTTCAATCCCAGCTCATGCGCTTCATCGGCCAGCTGTTGATCCCGAGAGGTCTCTGAATCCTCTGTTGGAAGAAGAAGAACCTCATTGCGGTATTGGTCTTCGTCGAGACCGACCGACTTTATCGGCTCCATGGTGCGGCCACTGTTGTTCTCTGGTACATATGGGGGTGAAAAAAAGAACCCCCACAGGAACCGACCCGTGAAATCTCCTTTCCCTTCCACACTATTTTTTCTCCCTTGTACTCCTGTCCGAGGTCAAGGGCGCACGGGGTAAGATAGTAACACACTCGTCCACAGTACCAGAAGCACGGTGGACGAGATAGGAGCGCTCAAGAGCAACATCCGACTTGCGGGGTGGGTTTCACACGGGAACAAGCAAGAACAGGACTTATAGTCTACAGGAGGGAACCAAAGCCAAAGGAAGGACGGGAAAAAGGCACTAAAATCTATCAGGCTGGCCGTGATGGAGACAAATCGACACCGACTCCGACCGGAGCGAAACACAATAGGATGACCTGATTTATTATCCGGGGGCCCCTCAGACTCTCAGGCTCTCAGGCTCTCAGGCTCTCAGGCTCTCAGGCTTGTATCTGGCGACCCACGACTGAGAAGAGAGTCAGCGACCCGCCTGACTGAAGGACGCGCCATGTTGATTACAGCACGGATACACCATGGATACACCACGGCACAGGCACATCAGCTGTTGTCTGCCCAGGGTCAACCAGTATGCTGGTAATCTTAATACGCCCGTTATTCCTCGACCTCTGTTATGGACTTATGGTTTCTCGGCCTGACATCTGAGGTGTACTCCGTAGACACTACCTGATTGGGCATTTAGGGTTTAGGGCCCGTTGTTTTACTGTTTCAGCCACGCTGCTTCACCATAGCTTGGGATCAGACAACGCGGCTTCAGAATAGTTCAATGGCCCACTCTCCTGGTGAATTAGAATAGTCGAACTTGAAACCAGACAGTCGTCTTCCATCGCCGTCGTTCCAGATGATCAAGGTAGCAATAGTCAAACCCTATGATTGGACTCCATCACTTGAAGAGGATTTCCAGGGGGAAATAAAAGGATTTTTCTCGAAGGATCGTGGGCCAACTCGCCTGTCTGCATTCTGCAGCCATCTTCGCATCGCCTACTCCGTATTGCCTGAGCCTGAGCCCAACCCGCAAATTTTCCGACGTCTTTGGCTTAAACCCAAGTGCCGGAACTTATCACTCGCAGATTTCAGGGGGAGGCAAATGACACTGTGGATCATATCTACCACGTGGTGAAAACCACTCTTCACTAGCGCAATAACATGGCAACTGCCATGGCGTAGGCCTTGTCCTTTGCGTCGCCTTGAATGGTTTCTGGTGGAGCTTTTTTATCCCAGGCGTGGTTGCATCCTTGCATCCTCTGAGATACGACTTGGCGGTCAGGCAACATCTCTATCTGTGCTGCCAGCTTCTCTGCTTCGACTGCAAGGTTGTCGCCTGCTGCTGTCACAATAAGGACGCGGTTGGGGAAGCGGTCGGCGTGCGCAAAGCAAGGGGAGATGCGGGGATCTCTGGCATCCAAGGGGGAAGGAATGTAGCACTTATTGAAAAACCGAGTCACGAGCGTTGGCAGGGGTTTTCCTGCAGGATCCGGTGGGCTTTTGGACCCCGGGTCTGTGTACAAGTCGAGCGGCGGGTAGAACGCGAGGACGGAGCGGAACGTTTCTCTAGGAAATGATGCACAGGAAGCCGCGAGAGCGAGATTGCCTCCAGCGCTGAACCCCGAGACCGCCACTCGGGATAGGTCGAATTTGTCCGGCTGCTGGAGCACCCAGTTCACCGCATCTTCTACATCGTGGAGCGCCGCCGGGAACGGATGCTCTGGGGCCAGACGATATTGAACATCCAACACCGTGTAGCCTGTTTCGCGACTAATCTGTCGGCAGAACTCATCGTCGCTCCCATGGAGCGGTATTAGGAACCCGCTGCCGTGGAAATTGACCAAGACGGGGGCTGGAGATGATACTGCAGTTCCTGGTGGTTGATAGACATGTGTTTTGATAGATCTGCCCGCTTCTCTCGACTTTATCTGAAGGAGACCATCCGGGGTCGCAGGAATGCGCTTTCCACGAGTCGCGATTGCTCGAATCAACACGGCCAATATCTTCCGATAGACGTAAATCAAGGAAGACATAACTTCAACTGTGTGTTAAGATGGATAAGTAGTGGATCATAGCTAGCTTCGCGAAGAGAGTGACCAGAAGGTTTGATGGATGCGAGGAGTGTCAACTAGTTGTTGATTGTTGATGGGAACAGCACCATGGAGAGCGAGTTCGCGCTCATCTAATGTTTAAATAGTCTGATGTTGCAGTGCAATTACCCTCATTACTGAGTCCCTGACCAACCTCCACTAGGACAAGGGAGTCTCTGAGGCTACAGCATTGCCTATTGAACTTGAATAGCTACGCATAGCCCAGTATTCGAAGCTTCACTGGACATCTACATGGATTCTCTCTTCCTGATTACTATGGTGTTTGGTGTAGCACAGCTTCGAATTAGATCACTATTGCCTGTGTTATCATGGGTTGTGGAAATAGGGCTGAATTTAGCGCCAAGACCAGAGTATCCCCATTGGAGATATAAGCACACGCCCTAAGCTTGACACTGCAACGCACCTTGACTACATGGAAATGGCGACACTTCCATCACTTCGACTGTTTTGCTTGATCACGCCTTTGTCCACAACGTCGTTCTATCTCTGTTGATCACTGGTCTACAAGAGTTTCAAACATTTAGGAAACTTAATATCTGACTGGACTTTTGATGAATGGTCGTCGTATGAACTCACAATCAACCCTTACCCTCGATCATCATCCCTTGGGATCAGTGAACTAGAAGAATCATACTTGCACAATGACTTTCCATAACCATGCCGGCGATACTAGGTTTACAGTCTTTATCCGCCTTCCATTTCCCAGAGGCGACTTTGTAGATCCGCCCCCTGCAAGTGGCCATGCGGATTAAACTTCCTCTTATTCCATTTACTAACAGCTACAGGTTGAGTGGAACGCCGCCAAGGACCAAGCCCTCTGGGATATCCTTTCCCGTCCTTCGAAAGGAGACGATATAGACTGTATGTACTGTCTAAAGTCTTCTTCAAATCTAACGTGATACTGACTCTCTTGCAGGGAAGGCACTGTATGTTTCCAGGGCGACTCACAAAGACACAAAATCAACATGCTTACGACTTGACCGCTTCAGCGCAGATAGCTTCGATGTGACCTTGCAGTTCCTTCTGCAGCAAGCAGCCTGGCTATATGACCGGCAACTGTCGCAAGTTCGCGCCCAAATGCGTAGAGTGGTGCCTCACTCGAACTCGCCATCTCCAGCTCCCGGTTCAATGACTGGGAGCACAGCTCTTGGTGGACAACCTATCAAAGGCATCCCTGGCGCTGGTATTCTATTTCCTCTTGTTGAGTATGTTCAAAGCTTTCAAGCTAAGTTGTCTCAAAGGCCCGCGTGCTCCATCCCGCCTTACGTCGCAACAGAAAGATGCATTGCCCCAGCGAAGTAAGTCGTCTCTGCCCTCTATGATTGGGGCTAAATTCCAAATCTGTTACTAACTTGACAAGTGGAAGTCCCTGGACCCCGCCGTACGAGCTCTACAACAACTATCAACCAGATAAGAAGTCAAGAAAAGCCACCCCAGCCCGAGACGGTGGCTGCTGAGACTGGAGACGCGAAACGAAATGGCCACGGCCGACAGCCTTCTATCAACAAGAGCAGACAGGCTCTGCCGCCTCCGCTTCATAGATCCCCGACGCTCGAGGAAGAAGATCCTTCCTCTGGTTCATCAGAAGAGTCTGATTCGGACGAGGATATCATGATGAGCAGAACGGGACCTAGGTTCAAGCGCTTCAGCAAGTTCTCCACCCATCGACCTGGCTTGAGAGATGACGAAGATGACGAAGACGAATCCCCTGCTTTTCTGCCCTTAACTCGAGAGCCTGCCGCGATTCTACGTGACTCCTCCCGGCAGGATCTCAATGCAACGCTTCGGTTAGAAGCCGAGCAGGCTGCGCAACGAAGACGCCCCATACAGCAGGAACCCATGATACGAAGGTCAATTACAACTGAATCTTCGACGAGCTCTGTCAGTTCGGGGGCACTTGTCCCTCTCCGACAAGTAGACGACCGCTGGAGTTCCCATCCGCCGAGTGGGACATTCAGTCCCCGGCGAACAGCACAATTGGCGCGGTCAAGCCCACGGCAGTCGGTTGCGTCTGGAAACGACGCGAGCGATACGCCTAGCATGGGCAGCAGCTACGGCGATTTAGACGGTAAGGAGATTGTCCGTCAGAATGCACATCCAGATGACTAATGTCATGTGCGAGCAGATGCTAGTGTGACGCAATCGGCGCTCGAAGAAGCTCTGCTCAGTAACATGCAACACGGTGGCATGGCGAGTCGGATGAGTACTATCAGCCAGGCGCTACGTAGCAAGTATCTATGAGAATGGCTGGATCGGACTGGTGGGGCTACTTCCTGCACGCTGCGATGTGATGCTGGTCTTGACATTTCAATACCGAAGACTATGATTCTCTCAGTCACATCTGATCTGCTGTCGCACCATGTAATTATCACGTGAATACTCAGTTGCTTTTGACGTCAGCCCCCTATCAAAGGCGGTGAACAATATCCAACAAACCCCGAAGCCTCGGCGAAAGCAGCAGAGAGGCCGATGAAGTATCTCGATCGCTGTTTTGAACATCGGCATTACTCCAAGTAAGTTCCATCATGAGCATCTATCCCTATCCCTGTATCTAATCGTTGTCCTGTAAGGACGCCCGCCAATTCGGTTTTTTTGTTGTGTTGAGGAGGGCTTTCCCACCAGGTACTTCTCGCTCTTATCGGTTGACGTCGGTTCAATGGAGGAGGGGCTGCAACTCCGTACGGAATGGGCTAACTGATTTCCTCGGTGGTTGAGAAGCAGATCCCAACAGCAGTGGTTAATAATATAATACGATATTGCTTCTAGGTTCCTGCTGGCGATATTTCCTGTCCATCTTTAGATCACTCGACTGTACAACATATCTATTTGCTCGTCCTCTTGGTTTCCGAGTCATCGCATATTGGTCGAGTACAAGTCGATCCTCAAGCGATTGGAATACCTTCAAAAAAGAAAACCCCCCTACCCACACCTACTGCCAGGTGCCTCCGCGCTATTCACAATGGCAGCGGCAACGACAGAGGAGATGACGCCTGCGCAGCAAGAGTCGGTCTATTTCAGCAACTACCCTCCACCCAAGAACCTACCAAAACACGAAGCCCTCGCGAGGGCCTTTATTGAATATCATACCGAAGCGAACAGACGGGTTGTCCTTGTGACATCCGGCGGCACAACGGTGCCTCTGGAAAACCAGACCGTGCGATTCATCGATAACTTCTCCGCCGGAACGAGAGGTGCGACGTCCGCCGAGTATTTCCTCCAGGAAGGATACGCCGTGATCTTCCTGCATCGGCAATACAGTCTTCTGCCGTATTCGCGACACTACAGCCACTCGACCAACTGTTTCTTGGATTTTATGGATGAGGCGGAATCGCCGGACACCGACCATGGCCGCATCGTGGTGCGCAGTGAGTATCAGGACGAGATGCGGGATGTGTTGCGGAAATATCGCTATGCCAAACGAAATAACCTGCTGCTGCTCCTGCCTTTCACCACGGTCTCCGAGTACTTGTTCGAATTGCGGATGCTGGCACAGTTGATGAAACCCCTGGGCCCCAATGCGCTGTTTTACCTTGCCGCTGCGGTCAGCGATTTCTTCATCCCCCGCGAGCGGATGGCCGAGCATAAAATCCAGTCATCCGAGCTCCCCGCTTCCCTGGATAGCTCCCATGCAGTCGCGGGATCGGATATCTACACCGGCGGAATCGAGGCCCAACCACCCACCCACAGTAAGAAACTCGTGATCGATCTGGACCCTGTCCCCAAGTTCCTGCACCAGCTGGTCGATGGCTGGGCGCCTGACGGAAGCATGATTGTCTCGTTCAAGCTGGAGACGGATCCCAATCTGTTGGTCTACAAGGCTCAGACGGCGCTGAAGCGGTATGCGCACCACCTGGTGATCGGCAATCTCCTCTCGACACGAAAGTGGGAGGTTGTCTTTGTGACCCCGGAGCCTCCCTATGAGCGTTGGATCCGGGTGCCCAAGTCGAGGCGTAGCAAGAGTATTTCCGGAGCGGAAGATCAGGTGGGATTGGCGGAGGCAAAGAAGCAACTCAACGATGACTCGACGAACCGTTCCCGTGGGGAAACCCGAGGGGAAGATGTACAGGGGCAAGGAAGCAGTAGCCCCGAGGACGGAGTGGAGATCGAGAGTCTGATCATTCCCGAGTTGGTGAAGCTGCACTCGAACATGATCGCCAAACACCAAACCAAGCAAGCAGTGATTCAGTAGCATGTAGAACCAACGCGACAAGAATCAAGCATATTCCTATTCTGCAATTCATCCGTTCATACTCATAGATCCCCTCGTTTCTCTCTAATAACAATCAGTATTTTCTTGTGCAATGCTTGGCGTGGTGGCCTGTGTTGACAGTCTTCCCACAGACACTCTGTTATGATTATTGAGGCAGAGAACCCACCCAGAGACACACAGCTCTCCAGACGCGCGTACTCTATAAGATCCTCTCTCGGTCTCTGTCGGTGGGCCAGATCGTCCTCACTTACGTCGCTGAAATTCAATTCGGTCCAGTTGCTTTCTGGAAATCGAGCCCCCCAGAGCAGGCTGTCATGCCGCCGCTTATCCCTGTGTCGATCTCCCCAATTCCACACCCTGCTTCTTTCCTCTCTCTCCCTTCCTCTACTTCCTCCTCCGCGCCTCCCACGACTTTCTCCAGCTTCAAACCCATCACTTCTGTGGACAATAATATGCAATTGTGACAAGGAATATCTAAGAATCCCTCTAAGAACCTAACGACGATGCCCAACAGCGTTGCAGTCAAGCTGGAGGATCCATTTTAACCGCGCTGTTTCGCCCCTCCCCGCCCTCCCCATCCTCTCCGCCGCATCGACGCTCCTTACAACTACGTCCAGCTTCTACTTCGCTCGCGAGGATGATTATTCCCCTTCGTTATCGTCGACGTATCACCGTTATCCTCGCGCTGCTCGGATTATTTCTCCTATACCATTTCGTCTCGATCCGACCGGACCTGCAACGACCGCTCTCCGCCATCCGCAGCAATGGGCGCCAGCAGCAATCACAAAATCCGGAGTGTCCGTCGCTTCCTGGGATCGAAGACGTCCTGGTGGTAATGAAAACCGGCGTGACCGAAGCCCTCGACAAAGTCCCCGTGCACTTCGAGACCACTCTGCGCTGCGTCCCCAACTACGTGATCTTCTCTGACTTCGAGGAGGACATTGCGGGCGTGCGCGTGCACGACGCCCTGCGCAATATGGACAGTGAGGTGAAGCGCACGGTGCCAGACTTCGATCTCTACAATCGGCTGCAGAAGCTCGGACGGCCCGGCCTGGAAACGCAGGATTTCGCCGACGAGGCCAACTCCGCCATCGGGAAGCCCAACAACCGGGGCTGGAAGCTGGACAAGTGGAAGTTCCTACCCATGATCCAGGAGACGTTGCGCTACAAGCCCGACGCCAAATGGTACGTCTTCATGGAGGCGGATACGTACTACTCCTGGCCCACACTGCTTGAGTGGCTGGCGCATTACGACCCGTCCAAAGCGCTCTACATCGGCACCGAGACCCAGATTGCGGACGTCATTTTCGCCCACGGCGGCTCCGGCTTTGTCCTCTCCCAGCCCGCGCTCCAGCTCGCCGCCGACGAGTACGCCGGCCGCACCGTCGAGCTGGACATGTTTACCGACGGCCACTGGGCGGGCGACTGCGTCCTCGGCAAGGTCCTGCTGGACGCCGGCGTCCCGCTCACATTTTCGTGGCCCATTCTGCAGAACTCCAACGTTGGCGAACTTGACCCCTTCACCAAAGGCTTCTACCGGCAGCCCTGGTGTTTCCCTGCTGTCGCGTTACACCACCTTTTACCGCAGGACATCCGGAACCTGTGGCAATTTGAACAGCGCCGATGGAAGGTGAGATCCCTTTCCCCCTCCCTTATCAACCCTTTCCAGCACACAAAACAAAAACGCCTTGGAACAGAGGGAAAGGAAAGGAAAAGAAAAAAGGGAAAAGAAAAGCTAACAGCAATCCCACCTGTCCAGTCCCGCAAACGCCTCCTCCTCCACTCCGACATCTTCAAAGAACTCATCTACCCCGAACTCTCCAATGTCCGCGACGGCTGGGACAACCTCGCCAGCGACGAACAACCCTCCGCCACCTCCTTCCACGAATGCCAATCCCTCTGCCTCAACGACCTGTCCTGCACCCAGTTCGCCCTCCGCGACGGCGCTTGCTTCACCGGCAAGTCTCCCCGGCTCGGCGTGCGACGGCCCCAGGTGCGGTCCGGCTGGGTCATGAAGCGGGTCGAGCGGATGTTGGCCGGGGCGCCGTCGTGTCCGAAGCCCGATTTTGGCGTTTGATTTCCCGGGATCCGAAAGCGAAAAGTAATCATAATAATACCATATTTATTATACCTGTCATCTTAGAACGGGTCGTGAGGGATGACACATCGCCGGGGTTTCCGGTCTGCATGTCATGTATTTTTAGATGCTGATGTCGGTTTTGCTCTGCGGTTGCTGCTGTCCCTTGGCTATTATTCATGGACAGAGCTGCGGGATATACATTGGGTGGGCGTTTTATGGGTTTGTGCATTGGGCATCAGAAGAGGTTTACAATATACAAACTTCGATCATCACACTGGAAGATTTCAGTCCAAACTTGTTTCCATTGGCATAGATGCCGCACTACCCTATTTGAACTGAACATTCAGGCCCATCCTTTGCAGTGAATCGAGGCCGGCCATGAACAAAATTCAGCCCGTCAATGGAGGACTGGCAGGATCCTCAAGGCACTGGTCGATCCGCATGATCGTGGCATTCCTCGCCTTGACAAATCGGATCACCTCGGGAAAATACTGCACCGTGCTCGGACTGAGGTAGTGCATCACAGCGAGATTGCCCCCTTGTCTCACATCGCGATAAAAGGCCTCGAGCTGTTTTTCCGGCGTCTCGGTACCGGCCCACAGCCAGTCTTCGATGTCCACACTCCAGTTGACAATCTGGGGATCCGTGATATGTGCCGCCAGTCGTTGACGTAGCCTTGCACCAACCGTCCCAAACGGTGGCCGAAAATAGCGAGCTGCACTGGGTTAGTTGGGTGTGTCCGAATGAGTACAAACCATGAAGCCACGTACACTCGACTCCGAGCAAACCCTGGAACGTCTGTATGTTCTTGATGATCTCATTGTCGATGTCTTCGATGGTCTCAAGGCCCTCCATTCTTTCACATTATCAGTATCGTTCAAGTACTCCCATAGCAAAGAAAACATACTTGCGATGAGTGTCCGAATGAAGGGCAATCTGATGTCCTCTTCTCAACATCTCCCGGTAGACTTGAGTGAAATTGGTATCCTCGCTCCTCAGTCCCGCTCCAACAACGAAAAAGGTCACTAGAATCCCCTCCTTTTCCAAGATGTCCATGACCTGTTGGGCAAACTGCGGCAGCCCATCATCTATACCGAACGCAAAGGAGTTGGGCCTCGTGCATCTAAGTACCATGCTCCCGCTTTCCAACTTGTCTGGTAAGCGAAGTCTCATGGGGAGCTCTGAAACGATCTCCACTTTGTGCAGTGTCAGCGTCTCCCCAGTGTAGAATCCGTTAAATGATACGGAGAGGACGTTCGACAGGTCAATGTGGAAATGCGCCAGGGGCACGAATATATGATGGCCCAGCGCGTACCGGGCCGCCTCGACTGAGTCCCACGTCTCCGGGTACGGCTTGCGGCGCGCGTCACACTCCCTGTTATTCTGATTCAGAGAGATGCTGAACTTGTTCGTTCCAGAGAACTCCACATGCAGGTACTGGTCTTGGTATGGAAGCAGACTGAAGCACCCTTCCGATGCTAGCTGTGTGTGATAGTTGTGGTCCGGGTCCGACGGGAAGAAACGCACATAGCTCCCGCCATACTTCACGGGAAGATCTTCGCCTGGTCCGTGCCAGAACCCGAGATTATTGCGGTATGTGTCGTGGAAAGTGTCGATCATGACGGTTGGATGGAAGTCCATGCCATTGGGGATCGAGATATTCGTGCAATTTGGAGTGGTGCCGGCTGATGGTGGCGTGGAGTGCTGGTGAAACGGAAGTATAGGGATATAGGTGCCATTCTGGGTGGTCCTGTTGGATGGAAATGCGACGACGAGGCAGAGAAATGAGAGTATACCCACGAGCCGGGTCCACCTAAGGCGATACACTGCCACGATCGCTGCCATGGTATATTGAACACTTAGGTGTCGGAAGTGATACACAAGCGGATCTATAATAAGGTAAGAATGCAAATGAGGATCTGAGGGATGTTATACAGTTCAGAGGGGAATACTACTGAACTTGATGAATCTGATGATATACAACGAAAGACTGACAGAGCTCGGAGCAGCGTGCATCTCTGCTAAAGGGAGGGGGGGAGTGACAGGAAGTCGGTTGTACGTGGGAGGAAGCGAAGCGATGACTCCCAAGTGGAAGGCGCATCCTGACCTTTGCCAGCGTTCTTCATCTCATACAAAATTGAACATCCAAGCTATTCGGAGAAAAAGAGAAAAGTTTCGAATCAATCAGATAGTCTCCTTACGCATTAAATATGTCCATACCAACATAAGACACTAGCTAGCCATCTACCTTCAGTCATTTGAGAATCCCGAGAAAGACCTAGACCTCATCATCCTTGCTAAGACCAGGGTGAAAGACGACTTATCCAGTTGACCCTCTACTAAATTCTCTGGCCTGACCAAGGTCCCAAAAGACAGCCTGCCTGTATCCATCGTCTCTGGTGGACTAGCATACCGCGATGGGAGACAGCGGAAGTACCTGGCGACACTCAGAGAAGCCTGCTCTGTCAAAAGGTCTGAAGGACATCAACCGTCTACCGGCTGACTGTCGGACAAGCTAGGGTGATCGAGCATATCCCATTACTCCCAGCCGTCGCCAGCAGGGGCGGGCTCATCGGAAGACTCCATAGGGATGCCGGCCCAGACCGTTCCAGTGTCATTGTTGTCATTTACAGTTTCATTCTCAGCACCCTCATCGTCTGTGTCATCGTCAAATTTGACCACGTCATCGGCAGGCTTATAGGACTCCAAAAAGTCTGGAATCTTTTGGGCGCTTTCGATCAGGATCTTGACGAGATCAGGGGCAAGCTCAGCATTCCTGTCGTTGTAGAATGAGGTTGCGAGTCCTTCGTTTCCAATGCGTGCGGTACGCCCTGTCCTCCGTTAGCAAGGCGTCTTCTCTGTAGTAAGTAAGTCGCTGTGGGTCTCACCGATACGATGGATGTATTCAGTAATACCACCATGCATGACACTTGGAAGGTCAAAGTTGATAACGTGCATGACGTTCTTGATATCCAGGCCGCGAGCAGAAACGCCAGTGGCCACCAGGATAGGGCATCTAGCAGTGCGAAAGGCACGCCTGAAGAGTAATAAGTCCTGGCGCTCATCCTCCAAGGAAAGAAGATCCAACTTACAGTGCATCTTCACGTTCACGCTGAGTACGGTCAGAGTGGATGGAAGTGCTGGGGAGTCCCATATTGTACAGAAAATCATCCAAGAAATCTGCCTGGGTCTTGGTGTTGACGAAGATCAAAGTACGAGAAGGCGGCATGGCCAACAGCAAGTCGTAGAGACACTGCTTCTTCAAGTGATCTTCTGCAAAAATGATCTGAGCCGACATGTCAGTAATTTTGGCGACCATGGACATCGGAGACTTACGTTCTGATCCACGTTGACATGAGTGCTGCCGGGACGGCCAATGCGAATACGGACATGGTCTTCGGCAAGGAACTTGCGGGCCAGGCGACGACAATCTTTGTTGAAAGTAGCCGAGAACATCATATAACGATGATCAGCATCTTCATTCACATCTTCTACTTGTCAGCGCATTTCGGAAAGCGACAACGGACTTGCTTACCTCCACCCGACATGATCTTGGTGAAATCGGATTCCCAGTCGGAGAGAAGGAGCTCATCGGCTTCGTCAATTATGGTATACCTTGGAGGATTAGTCTGGGGGCAAATGAGGCAAGGATTCTATGGCTTACTTGACGCGGCTTAAAGACAAGACATGAGGTTTGTCCATAAAGTCAAGCAGTCGTCCCGGGGTGCCGATAAGTATATCGCACCCCTTCTGAAGCTCTTCACGTTGTTCACGGCTCGGAGCACCACCATAGACAACACAAGGGCGCAACATCGAGCGGTAACACAGACGACGGGCTTCGTCAAAGATTTGGGTGGAAAGTTCTCTGGTAGGAGCAACGATCAAGACGAGAGGCTCGGCACGAACTGCATCGACGGACGGATTAAAGCCATTAGCCAAGTTTGGACGAGGGGCTGCCAATTTTTTGGCCTTTCCCATCAACTGGGAAAGGGCTGGGATCAAAAAGGCAGCTGTTTTGCCGGAACCTAGTCAGACAATTAGCTGTTCGGCCCTTTGAACCTCAAGTTCAGTGCTTGCCAGTTTGCGCGATCGCGATGAGATCATGACCCGTGAGGACAGCGGGAATCGAATAGGCCTGGATTGGAGTAGGGATCTCATAGCCACACAGACGAATGTTTTCACGCATGAAGGGGTGAAGGCCAGCATCATCAAACTGGAAATTGTCAGCGACAGGGACGAACACGGTAATGCCAGACAATGACAGCTTACGTTTCTGACGGGGCTAGGGCGTTCTCTACTTTCAGCGACAACATCAATCTTCTGCAAACTTCGAAATGTTAGTGGTAGAGTTTTGACGATCTGGAGAGGAGACATTACTCACTTTGCAATCTTGAGGCCAGTACGGTTGATGAACTCGTTACGGAACAACATCTCCTCAAGCTCAGGATTGGCAGGGCCAACGTCACCGAACTCATCACTCCACTCATACTTTGCAGCATTGGCAGCCCACTCAGGAAGTCCACTCTGCTCAGGGTCGGCAAACTCCTCTGGCTTCTCGGAGGGGCCAGTGTTGTACTTGGCGTAGTTGTACTGCTCCGGAGGCGCCCATCCCTTCTCACGAGCGAGATTGACAGCTTCGGCATTCTTGTTGGTCTGGTCAGCCGTCACTTCTTCGAGCGCATTGCTCATGTCTGTGACATCGAAGTTGTCCATCTTGGAGGACGAATGGCCTGGACGTGAAAGAAAAGCTGTCTAATATACTCGGAGTGGATGGAGTTAACTAAATGTAGTGTCTGGTTGGAATTGAGATGGGAGAAGGTTAACACCGGGAGAGTATTAGAGGGATCACACTGAGTACAGTGTAGAAAACTGGTGACAGAAGAAAGAAGATGGGATGGGAAGAACATACTTGGAAGAGAAAGATGCCAGTCAGTAAAAGCCGTTGAGTGCAGTGATGAAGAGGGTGATGCTGATCCACATGGGAAGAGAAGAGCACCCAAGTTATCTCTGCACAGGAGATGAAATAGAAGAAGAGAAAGAAAGGAAGAGAGAAGTAGAGCCAAAACAAACGAGAGGAGCAACAGAATCTGCCGGAAACGTAGAGGGATACAGGCAACGACTAAGCAGTTCTTCACCCAACCTGACACGGTCCCTTCTTCCTTCTGAGAGCCTATGTCTACCAAAGTGATGTGTTTGCTCTATGTCGAAAGAAATAATGATCTTGGGTATAATACTTCATTGGTAACTGATGTTCTTTAGAATGCTCTTCAAGGCAAAGGTATGTCACCCAAGTTGTAAGTGTTCTGTCAGGAGCAACCTCATAGTTGATAGCTAACTATGCTCTCAAGCCAGGCTTCTATTGTCTTGTTGCATTAAGAGTGTGCTGTCTCCTGAACCTCTCAATCTTGAATGAAGAATCCTTCAAAGGGCGGAATCATTATCGCAGGATATCTTGAACATGGCATCATGCATGGGAGCAGCATTCATAGGCAGCCGCCAGCTGATAACATACTGAACCATTCATGGTCACCTTCTCCTGAGCAAACTGCTGTCTGGTTGATCAGGTAGTTATGGGCTCTATCCCGGATGTGAACGAAGAGCAGTTGCACCTGAGCAGGTATAAACGAATCACCATTTGCAGCTGATATGCATTCAGCCTTCCTCTTGTTGATGAGTGAATGACAGTACTCTCCTTCCTTCTAGTATACCTGCCTGTTCATCTTCATGTCCGCTCAAAGTAGAGGGTTGATCTCCCACTGCCATTGGTGTCTTATCGGGATCATACTGTCGTTTGATCAAACAGGGAGCAAGCCCAACCGCGGTGCTTGTCCGATAGGCTGTTTTCATCTCCATTCTCTTGGTCCCATCAGGGATATCCCTCCCTGCAGTGAAGATGCCTGAGAGATGATAAAGAAAGGCCCGACTTTGCTTGAAAGTAGTGTTGGCATTTTGGAGCGGTGATGATTTTTTGAGTTGAGTAGGTGAAAATATATCTATACAATCATGATGTGCTCATAGTGAGTGGAAGAAGGATGGGACTTTTGAGACGATCTGTCTCACAGAAAAAAAAGCCATTGAATACACCATGGTCCTGCTCAATCAAGGTAAGCTCTATCACCGTCCAAATAATATCCTCAATATCATATAGAAGCATGCTTACATGAAACGAATGCCTCAGGCATCCAAGGCCTGCCTCAATAGACGTCATGCGGCGGAGTTGAGATCCTCAGATCACCAGAGAGCACACTGATATTCATCTTCAGAATTGATCTCGCTGCTAGGTAAGCCGATGTAGTTCCTCCATGAGCCATATTCTTCCGATGCTATCCACCGCCGAGGTTGATTAACTACTTTCTCTCCACCGAAGTAAGGATCGGGAATGCTCCACCCCGTCAAAGGTACCACCCTATCTCGGTACGCTTTGGTTCCACTACTCAGCAAAAGCGGGCAGAAGGAAATATACGCAGTAGGGGTTATCACGGTGTCCCTTTACTCCGAAATGCGCATCTTCTGAGCTCCTGAGGTGAGCGCGATTGAACTTCCAAACATACCCCTTTTCTACGGTCGTTGCGACTTCATCATGTCTTCCACAGAATCCAATTCCACCGGGGCAGATGCGGTCCCTCCGAAGCGTGCGACCAGTGCCTTCACAGAGCGAACGGGTCGCCTAGAACGAGCGATTACCAACCCCGGAGCCGTCAAGATCAACGTCAAAGGGGCTTTCATTGTCGATGAAGAACCTCGATCGAAGAGTCCTGCATCCTCTACTGATGGCGTATACTACGAGAGCCAAGATATTCGTCTTCCTCATCATACTGGCCTAGTGAGCCATGTCGCTGTCGATGTGAGTCCTGTTTCTTTTTTTTTTTTTTTTTTTTTTTTTCTTCCGCAGTTCCCCGCAGAATCCTCACCCCGCAATTCTCACGCGACGAAATATCAAAAAAGAAGAGAGAAACAACACCACCAGAGAGGGGAGTTGTCGCACATACATGACGCTACAGTAAAAGAAAAATCACTGACTAGACCTTCTTTGGCGACTATCTTCAGATCGGTGGCTCGCTCGCGAAACTCGTTTACTTCAGCCGGGAACTGGACTCCCCGGATAATGGCGGTCGTCTCAATTTCATCAACTTCGAAACTCACCGCATAGAACTGTGCATTGACTTTATCCGACAGCTGAAGGAGGAGCATCTGAGGCTCAATGGTCCCTCTGAAGATGAGTTGTGCATTATTGCAACAGGGGGCGGGGCATACAAGTACTACGACAAGTTGAAGGAGGCATTGAACGTGAACATCATACGGGAGGATGAAATGGAATGCCTTATTACTGGTACGCGCCAAAAATTTCTTCAACTGTCCGTGTTGGATAAAACTCACTTACCCATGAACTTCCGACAGGTCTCGACTTCTTCATTACCGAGATCCCCAACGAAGTGTTCACATATAGCGAAGCCGAGCCGATGCAATTTGCCGAGGCCCGACCGGATGTTTATCCCTACCTACTAGTGAACATCGGCTCTGGCGTATCGATGATTAAGGTATCAGGCCCAAAGCAGTTCGAGCGTGTAGGTGGTACGCACCTGGGCGGGGGCACATTTTGGGGTCTGATGTCCTTGCTCACGGGTGCCCGGACGTTTGACGACATGCTGGCGATGGCCGACCGAGGAGACAACAGTGGGGTGGACATGCTGGTGGGCGACATCTACGGCATGGATTACGGTAAGATCGGGCTCAAGAGCACTGCCATTGCCAGCACATTTGGCAAGGTTTTCCGGATGATGAATACTGCCGAGCGGCGCGCAGAGGATGGCGTGGGCCTCTCGGTTCATGAATCGGATCAAACAAACGGCGAAGTCAAGTTCAGCCCTGAGGACATGGGACGAAGCTTGTTGTATGCCATCAGGTATGTTTGCATGTCGACCCCAAAGACACATGACAGCGCTCCTAACATGCCACAGTAACAACATCGGGCAAATTGCATACCTGCAATCAGAGAAGCACCAAGTCAAGCACATTTATTTTGGCGGCTCATTCATCCGCGGCCACCACCAGACGATGAATACACTATCATATGCCATTAGATTCTGGTCCAAGGGTGAGAAGCAGGGTTACTTTTTGCGACATGAAGGCTACCTCGGCGCTGTCGGTGCGTTCCTCAGGAGACAACCCGAGAACTGGGGCCGCAGAAACAGCATCCATGATGCACCTTCTGCGATCCAGGCGGCTAAAGAGGCTGTTCAAACCAAAAAGGAAGATCCCTCCAGCTCGTGATGGCTGGAAGAGGAACCAGCACGACTAGTACCGTCACGCTGGTCTGATCCGATGATCCGCTGGTTCATCGTTTTTTTTTTTTTCTTTTCTTTTTTAGATCTTGATACCCGTTTGTTGACGTTTGCATATTGCGTACCAATTCCTTTCGCTTTGGAGGCTTCGAATTTCATTTGTCCCCCTTCGAAGTGATCAATTGCAGCGACAGGAGCTTCTTCTTCTCCTCGTTGACCATCATCCCTGAGCGTTCTGTACATTATCGGTTGCCCTACGTCCAGAGTCTTCTCACCGAGGTTTCATGAACCTTGCACCAGAATTTGACTCGACATGCTTTTCATATCTACCTATTTTCATTTACTCCTCGTCGAGGCATCACAAGCGCCCCCGGTCCTTCTTTTGCTATTCCTATCGGTCTTGATATTTACTTCTGTCTCATCCATTGTTAACTGGCGTTCTCACACTACGATTAGAAAGTCGGTATCTCTATCGATAAGTAATAATAGACCATACTTGATATTCTTAAAGCACCTCCCACAGTGTGCTCATTCTTCTGTTCCTAGATATGTCTGATAGCATAGTAGCGGCTTTTTGTGTCCCAAAGAGGGCAACACAGCAGTATCTCTCGGAGAGGCATGCCTGAAGCCAGGAAGACGGGTTTCTGTACAACTTGGAGATTTAATGTAATTTATAACATCTCAAGAGAATTAGGTAGTTCATATCGCTGATCTCGAAAATCGAAATGCCCAAGACCTTAGACCACGCTGATGAGCCTAGGTAGTCGATAAGCCCACTTGAACGCGTCGAGATCAACCTCCAGCCAATCGAGACGCGTATAATGTTATTTTCTTTGTGCCAATGCACCTCCCTTCCACTGAAGACGCTATATGGCGATTGCAATCACGGCGTTTGTCCTGTTGCAAGGATTTATTTGATTTCTCGCTCTCAATGGACTCTTCTCTCCTTTACCCTTCTCTATTTTATATCAAAAAGAGCCCACTTCTGTGCATCTAAACTCACAGAGCTAAGCTGCGCCGCAGACATGGGTGACAAGTATGTATCTATCAAATGGCATGCATGTCCTGACACACGCTAACATGGACACGATCTCAGTTATGTTATGATTCGTGTCCGCTATGAGGAGGACCGAAAACCATCGCTGTCCGCACTCGATGAGGATCTGCAGCCTTCTCAGCGGACAGTAGAAATCAGCCCCGAACCTGAATATGGTCCCAAGCGGCCCATACCAGATCACCTCGCAGATATCCTCGAAGAGTGGCACCGGGAGAGGAAGGGATTACCGCCATGCGGATCTTACAATAGTTCTCGCCCCGTTCAGCAGTGGAAGGTCTTTGACCGCCAAGGCAGACAGATACAACTCTCTAAATACGACATCATCAGTCCGTGTACATATTCAGTCCTTGTCCTCCACCCATCCGACTCTCCCGAGATGTTGGTAAGAAGCCGTCTGCCGCACGGTTCAAAGCATGGAACTTATCTGGTGGCATGGCTGGGCCTCAGCAAAGGATATGAAGCTCAATGCTGCGCCATTCGCATGTTCGCTTCAAGCACGAAGGAAATTGTCTACACGCAAGAAGTCTGGAATAACAACTTCCCGGACCTGGATCCAGAGGGCCAAGGCCTGAAAACGTCGCTGTCGAAGGCGATATCGCAGACGCAGCCACAGGACCGGGGCCGAGAACGTGAGAGGGGGCAGGCACAGAAGAAAAGGAGCGAACAGATGAAGGAAAGGGCTCTCAGGAATTCGCGGGCTGTGAGAAACAGGGCAGATGCAGGGAATAGTCTCGAGTCACCGGACGAGTTTTCAGACACTGCGTCGTCGTCCTCGGAAGAGGAGGAGGAGGAGGAGGAGGAGATCGTTGCTGCATCAACTGCCAAGAAACGCAAGCTTCAGCATCAGTCTTCTAATGCCCCGGTGAAGTCTCCCAGGACGACCAACTCGGCCAAAGTGACAGTCAAACTCGTTTCGTACAAATCGGGCGCCATCCGCGCCTTTCCCCTTAAGGAATGTAAAACGGGGAAAGATCTTTTCCACAAAGCGCAGACATTCTTCCGGCTGTTTGACAGAGATGTCGAAGTGAAGATCCTCTCATGTCAGATCTCGCCGGAGCGCATGCAACATTATCTTTTCGACGGTAGCGAAGGCGAGTTTGATCTCCTCGTTGAGCGTGCCAAGGGCATCAGTAGCACAGATGATGGGCTGGTCACCATCGAGGTCAATCATGTCCTAGGGCTCTGAGAGCTTGAGGAATTCGGTTATTGTCGTATCAGGCGTGATTGGATACCCAGGAGTCAGAGGAGTCTCCCCGGGATCAAGGCGCAAAGCGGCGGGAAAGGTATATATGGATACCATTGTCTTAAGTGTAATTGTAACATATCTGCATTCTTGAATAATAATATGTATATTGTGTTAATTTAAAGGCTGCATCTAGTTATCGAATGTACCATCTCTTTGTAGTTATAGCCCTGGCCAGATGACTAAGTCACCACGTGGGCTTGGGCGCTTCCGGCCAATTCAACTCGAGCGTCGTCGCGATCTTTGTATTCCCCTGAGGGACTCTACAGAATTTCGACCAGGAAATAGCTTAGCCATGCTCCAAGCATGAATTCTGCGTCTGCTCGATGCCTCCTCCACCCGACTCACCTCCCCCCATCCCTCCACCGGTCCCCGTCGAAACCCACCCCAACCGAACAAGCAGCTTAAAGCCACCGTCACACCTCCGAACCCTCCCAGATCCCACTCGACTGGCTCCGGAAGATGCATATCTGTCATCGGCTCATCTAAGAGGTCGAGCTGCGACGGCAAGCTACGATGACTCGCTCCGAGCGCTGAGCAGCAACGCCGCGGGGTTGCGACCGCCGCCCGCCTTCTCCGACGCGGACCGAAAGGAGGCGCGCAAACGGAGAGGAGCGAGCCGACGGAGACGGCGAAAGGGCGCGTGGAAGAAGCTTCTCTGGGTGAAACAGTCATGTACGGGGACCAGGAACCCTACCCCCGTGAACTTGAATCAGTCCAACTGATGCGAGATCTCTTAGATCCGGACAACTACACCGACACCGAAACCTTCCTGGACCATCTCCAGCGGAACCCGCGCGTGCGGCCCTATGACTTCTGGCCTCTTGTGGCGGACTCGACGGTGATCGTGCAGCATGTCTGCTCGGTGGCGATCTTTGTCTGCTGCTTTGTGGGCATCGTCAAGGGACGGGTGAGCCCTGTCTCGGTCGTCTGCTGGGGCAGTGTAGGGACGGCGGTGGGCTGGATTCTGTGGGACTCTTGGGTCTGGAGAGAGCACCACGCGGAAACATCGCGGAATGCGGAGCGCGCTACGGAGGGAGACGATGGCTCGAGCTCCAGCTCGGTCTCCAGCTCGGTGCATCCGTCCTCGTCTGGACCTGGCCCGCTGAGCGGACCGAGACCTAGCCCGGGTCAGGGTCATGGCCAGGTGCACGGGCTAGGGTTGACCATGGCTCCCAATGAGTCCGGTGAGCTGCTTCGGCGACGAAGCACGGGGTTCGGCGGAGACACCTACGGCTTGGCTGACCCCGGCGCATCATTGAGTCAAGCCAACGGTGCTCCCGGCGGTGGTGGTGTGCATCCCGGGTACCTGGCGCAGGAGAATGATGAGACGGCCGTGTTCTCCTCGCGCAACCGCCAACGACTCTCGACGGTCAAGTCGGCGTTTCTGATCTACTTTTCGCTGCTGGGGCTGAGTCCGATCCTGAAATCCCTCACCAAGTCTACGGCTAGCGACTCGATCTGGGCCATGAGTTGCTGGTTGTTGATCATGAACATATTTTCATTTGACTACGGAAGCGGCGAGGGCGCCGGCGCCACCAAGTTTCCTGCTTCATTGTCTACCAACGCGGCCGTGATGGCGTCGACGGTGCTCGCGTCCCGCCTGCCCTCGACGACCCATGTCTTCAGCCTGATGCTGTTTTCCATCGAAGTATTTGGACTGTTCCCCATTTTTCGCCGACAGCTGCGTCATTTCTCCTGGACGGGACATGTGCTCTTGACGCTGGCGTTGGTCATGGTGGCCGGCGGTGCGGTCGGGATGACTTTGCGTGGAGGATGGACCGCTGCCGTGGTCGGATCGATCTTGGGGAGTATCTTGACGGCCTTCGCGATGGGAGGATGCAGCTGGTGGTTGATCAGTCTTCAGAAGTACAAGAATGTGGTGACAGGCCCCTGGGACCCAGCACGGCCGATCATCCGACGACAATGGGACTAGACACTCCAAGCGTTGCGTTACTTGGGTAGAGATATACATTTTTTTTTTTTTTTTTTTTATAACTTCTTCAGTTCGGTCATGAATTTTACTCCCAACCCCCCAAATACTCCCCTAAACCCAAACCCAAAACCCAAAGCCTGTTTGGTCCCCATGAGTGATCGATCATGGAATGCAATCAGGAATGTATGGGACTTTTTTGTCACCATTCACTATTCATCATTCACCCAGCATGCCACAAGGCGGATTCGTGAGTAGTTTCCACCTCGCCAACAATAGCACTATTCCGTCGCTACTACACGCCGGCCCTCACGATCCCTGCAAAGAGCTTTTTTATCCCCCCCCCAACTTCAAACAAGCAGGGCCGACTCAACCTGCGGCAGTTGGGGGCTGAAAGCGCCTCGCCTGCTGATTCTCGTTGGTTGTGTTTGGGGCTTCAGACTGCTGCTCTCCTCTGTCATCCATCTTATTTAGTCCGATCCAGCATACTTCAGGACCCTGTAACTGGGGGCCGTATCCCGTCTCTGCCTGGGCCAAGGCATTCTGCTTCCCCCCACTGTTTCATGTAGGGAATGAAGATGACTCCGTCATGAATGCTGACGATGCTATTGCTCGGTTGGCAGATCGGGGCGGCTAGTACTGCCACTGTGAAAGGGGCCCCATTGTTCAGAATGCCTGCCGGGTGTTACTTTTTAAGCGCAATGTTCCTCTTGTGTCTTGAGTCTCTATTTGTATTTCAGAGGGCCAAAGACAGAGAGAGCTAATTGCGCTCTAGTTTCGGGGCTGCGGTTCGGGTATATCTTGTCGCTGTTGCTGCTGTCTTTTTTCTATTACTATTGACGACCTACGTCTCACTTTCCTTGATTTTTTTTATTGGATTTAGAACGCAAGATGTTCAAACTCCTGTTTCTCAGCCTTTTGGCTGCCCAGTCCGTGCTGGCGATGAGATTCGCCATGTACATCGACGAGTTAGTCAAGGTCCCCATACTATCAGAACGAGCAACATGCTGATCTCTTAGATATCACACCGTTGATCTCCCAGGCAGTGATCAGACTCAGGGTATCACCCACGCGATCATGGCCTTTGCCAAGTCGACTCTGTTTAACTCTGATTCTCCCGCCCAATTCAAGCCCTTCGAACCCGTTGACACCATGCGGAAGCGCTTCGGACCCGATACAAAGGTTATGATTGCCATTGGAGGATGGGGTGACACCGCTGGGTTCTCCGAGGGAGCCAAGGACGAAGCGTCTCGCAGCCGGTATGCGAAGAACGTTGCGGCGATGATTAACAGCCTGGGGTTTGACGGAGTCGGTGCGTTCTTCCCTTCAGTTTCATGGAGTAAGCAAGTTTGATTTATGATACTGACAACCAGTAGACATTGACTGGGAATACCCCGGTGGCAACGGCGACGACTACAAGAAGAACCCCAACTCTGGGAAGACCGGCGAGATTGAGAGCTTCCCGCTCTTCCTGCAGGCGCTCCGCCAGGCCATCGGCAAGGATAAGCTCCTCTCCATCGCGGTCCCCGGTAAACGCGGGGATATGATCGCCTTCACCAAGGAGCAAGGTCCCAAGATCTGGCCGTCCGTGGATATGGTCAACGTGATGTCGTATGATCTGATGAACCGCCGGGACAACGTGACGAACCACCACACCAGCGTCGCCGGCTCGCTCGATACCGTCAAGGCGTATGAGGAGATCGGACTCGACCCAGCCAAGATCAATCTGGGCTTTGCGTACTACGCCAAATGGTTTACCACCGATCCCAGATCGGACTGCAATGATCACGCGCTCGGGTGTGCAGTCGCGACCCTGGAGAACCCGGATGGAACGGACGCGGGCACGTCCGGCGCGCTGACGTTTGAGAAGAGCACCATGTCGCCGGCGCCGGCGGATCTGAAGGTGTCTACGGACGGAACCTGCGGCTTTGCCAAGGGCACCAAGTGCCCGGCTGGGTCGTGCTGTAGTCAATATGGCAGCTGGTATTTTCATTTTCATTTTCATTTTTTTTTTGCCCCGGTGTTGTTACAAGTCCCATTCACTAACCCTTCATCATCATCGATAGCGGTACCGGCAATGACTTCTGCCAGGCAGGATGCCTTTCCGACTACGGCGAATGCAAAGGCATCTCGGTCATCGACTCCTGGCGCCGTGCGCTCAAGGACGGCAAGACGGACGAGAAGGCCGGCGGGCAGTACTACTGGGACAGCGAGACGCATCTCTTCTGGACGTGGGACACACCGGCGCTGATCGAGCGCAAGTTCACGGACATTGTGGACGCCGAGAAGCTGGGCGGCGTGATGGCCTGGAGCTTGGGAGAAGATAGCCTGGACTGGGGACATCTGAAGGCGATGCAGAAGGGGGTTGATGCCAACACCGGGGCTCGCGTCGGGGGGCCTAAGTGCCGTTGAAATCGTCTTCGTTTGTATGTACTTTTGTAGACAGAGAGAAGCCAGAGAATAAATCGCATGCCTTTATCAGTTTTGTTTTTTTTTTTTTTTTAAAAAAAACCCCCCGGTACATACCGTTGACTACCTAGTTGTTTGTGTATCTTCCTAATCTATACGTCAAACCATCAACGGATCCAAAGCAATCCGGTTGCGGCATACAGCACGGGGGTATTTTGACCGGCGTCCATCAGCCGCGCAACCATCACAACAGACAGCTCCCTTCTCGCTCAGCCATAAATTCAGAGAGGGCTCTGTCTGCTTCCTCGGTCGCGGAATTCATGCATTGCAAACGTCTCAACTTCCAACCAGTCCTACTGCCACTGCCACTACCGCCATGAAACAACCTCTCCTCTTCCTTCTTCACCTCTAATGACTCCGGGCCATTGACACGATCGACAGCGTTAAACCCGACACAGACGACCGTTCTGATCCGGCAGCCCGTCCGCGCTCCGGACGACCCAGTCCTCGCTCCCCACCGCGGTCGGCGCGTAGAACAGGCCGAACGGATCATACCGCTGCTTCAGCGCATACAAGCGCGCATAGTGGCTGCCATAGAACGACTGCTGGAAGTTCGGTTCCAGGACGGTGGCCTCGGACATGTACGCGCCGGCGTCCGGGCAGGTCTGGCGCCACCCGTCCAGCACCTCGGTGGCGAAGGTCTGCATGGTCTGCAGGATGTCGCGGGGCGAGGCGGCGTCGGCCCAGCTGGTGGAGGTGATGGCGTGCAGGAGGGTGGAGCGGAAGGCCGGGTTGGCGGCGTTGGCGGCGGCGCCGGCGGCGAGCTCGGCCTTCAGGTTGAAGGCGAGGAGCGGGTGGCCGGCGCGGATGGTGGCCTGGAGCGCGGCGAAGGTCTGGTTGAGGCGGGCCGGGTCCTCCCAGTTGGCGCGCGGGAAGAGCCGCGAGCCGGTCATCATGGTCGACAGGGCGACGGACTCGAGCGGGAAGCCGGCCTGCCAGGCGGCGTGGAAGGTCGGGTAGTAGGTGGTGTTGGGGGTGTAGGGGATGGCGAGGGCGTCGAGCTCGTCGAACCACGGCTGGAGCAGCGCGTGGCACTGCGCCACGGTGTGGTTGACGGCGAAGAACGGGTTCATCAGGAAGCGGAAGTCGCGCGGCCCCGTGGGGAGGACCCAGAAGTAGGCGTACGTGCCGGCATCGGCGTGCGCGGCGAAGCGATCGAAGTACGCGCGCACGCCGGCCCAGAAGGTGTCCGCGGAGACGGTCGGGCCGGTGCCAAAGGCGAAGGTCGACACCGTCACCCCGACGGGGGGGTACACGCGCGAGATGATCGACGTGACCACGCCAAAGGTGCCGCCGCCGCCGCCGCGCAGCGCCCAGAAGAGATCGGGGTCGGTCTCCTCGGTCACGGTGACGAACCGGCCGTTGGCCAGCACCACCTCCAGCGCCAGCACCTGGTCCGCGGACAGGCCGTAGCGGCTCGACAGGGGGGAATGGCCGCCGCCGAGGACGTAGCCCCCGGCCACGCCGACGGTCTTCCCCTCTCCGCCGACGGCGGTGAACCCGAGCTGCTGGGCCATGGCGTAGAGCTGCTCGGCCTGGACGCCGGCGCCCATCTTGACGGCGGGCCCGGTGTAGCGGGCGCTCTGGTAGTTGGGGAGGTACGCGAGGTCCTTGAGGTGGTGGGTCCAGATGGCCAGCGCGCCCGCGCCGGTGGACTTGCCGCTGAAGTCATGGCCGGTATTCTTGACGACCAGGCGGAGGCCCATGTTGCGGGCAAAGTTGACGGCCAGCTGGATCTGCGCGACGGTGCTCACGTTGACGGCATAGCTGCTGTACCCGCCGACGGTGCAGGAGCCCGACGGGTCGCTGGTCGGCATACAGGTCCGGCCTTCATACAGCGGCCACATGACGGAGGCGGGATCCGCAGCACTATCGCCCCCCCCCCCTTTCGTCAGAAAGCCGCACTCCGCGAGCGAGGGAGGAGGGAGGAGGAGGAGGGGGGCGCACTCACTGCATGTCCGAGTTGGTCCAGTTGGAGGTGACCGCGGCACATTGGGTCGGATTATACTCGGGCCACGACGAGTAGCACGGGGCGGCCAGGGGAACGGTCTTGATCAGGGCCCCGCCCAGGAGTCGGTCCACGAGGCTCCAGACCACGGGAGGTGGCCAGAACCAATCGCCGGGGAAGGTCTTGCAGACATTGAAGCCGCGGACGGAGAGGTTCGCGGACGAGGCGGTATCACCGAATGCGAAGAGATCGGATTGGTTGGCGAGCACGGGGGCGAGATGGGCCAGCAGCGAGTCGGTCAACTGCAGGGTCTCTGCCGGGAAGAGCGAGGCATCTGCAGCGGTGGATGCAGCGTCGACGGGCTCGGCTGCCACTCTGGACGCAGTGGTGTCGGCCTTGCACAGGGTGGTGAGGGCCAGCGTGGCCAGGAGGACGACGGATCGACCAGGCGCCATGTTGGATGTCCTACTATGTACGTGTCTACCGACGAAGGTGGAGAGGGAGATGCTCTGCAGGAGCGATTAATGATATTTATACGAGATCGATCGGTATTGCTTTATTGAGGTGGGTTGGGGGGATTGTCCACCAGGCAACAGTAGTAGCAGTAGTAGTTCCAGCCCTACTGCATACTAAAAGCGTAGTGCTCAGAGTCTTCCAATCCGGCAGTTCAATTGCCGGGATATCATCATATCATCAGGTGTAGTCAATTCCCATTCTGATCCGTGACAGGTCGTCAGTCTTGATGTCCCGTCGAGGATGGTGGTTGAGCCTCTATACGCGAGCATCGAGGACATTCTTTGGCCTCCATGGTAGATACCAAGGCAAGAGGATCGTATGATGGACTGGAGAGCTCCGGAGTGTTAGCCAGCTGGTGAAAAATGGACTATCTCTTTCCATAATCCATAGTCAAGCCTCCAGCCCACCTTTTTTTGTTTTTTTTCTACTCCACTGGGGGGGGACACTAATAGTTTCATCATTTCAGGTCTTAATTGGCCGTTCTGTTCTGCACAGGCTCAAGACTACCAGCCAGTGGGTTTTCGCTTTTCGCTTGAGGGATCCCCAATTCCCAATCGTCCGGTTCAGGAAGGGAGAGATTTTTTCCTCCATACGAACTACTGAGCGAATGGTTCTAGCTCGCAGGGAGTTGCAGTTAGTTGCACTTAGTTGCACTTAGTCCGGGACTAATTCGAGGCACTGACCCCCTCTGGAGAGACATGTTGATGCTTAACTGACAGTGACAGGCTGACAGCATTATTATTATTATTTTTATTCTTCGTATTCTGTTCCAGTTTCGAACCTTCCGGTGGAAATTCGACGGGCGGTTCAATCATCCACGATCGAACTATCGAAATTCCTACTCTCCTCTCGAGATGCCATTGCCCTTCCCTTCCCTTCCCTTCCTTTCACTCAAACAACACCCGACGATGAAGTCACGGTACAATGGTCATCGATGACAGTCACCAGAAGACTGCCTTGGGGGTGATTGTGGCCTTCCCTGTGTTGGGAGGCATTGCCGTGATTCTGCGATACTGGAGTCGCTTCCTGTCCAAAACCTCGTTTGCGGCAGGTGAGTCGAATCGCATAGACGGAAAAGAAAGGAAGAAAAAAACGAAAAAAGACTGACATCGGCGTTGGATGGAAGATGATCTGTTCATCGCGCTAGGATATGTATGTCGATCGATCTCCGCGAGAGTGGAGGCTTCATTGGGAGATCAGAGGCTGATCCGGGGGATGTCTGGTCTGGTCTTCTTTTAGATTCTCGCCGTCGTCCAGTCCATCACTTCGTGGTACTGTGAGTCTCTGCCATCTTCTCGCGATCTTCGTATCTCTATATTGACTGGTCGTCCTTTCTCAACCCCCAGACGTCAAGGCCAACTATGTCGGGATTCACATCTGGGAAGTCCCCCAGGATCGCGATATCAAGTCCGGCATGATCGTAAGTGCCTGGAGACCGAGAGAGACCGAGAGAGAGAGAGAGAGGCTCAACGCTCGTGGGATATTATTTAGTGGAGCTTTGCCAACCAGCTCGTCTACAACCCCTGCCTGACCATGATCAAAATCTCCATCCTGCTGTTCCTCCGTCGCCTCGAATCCAGGTCCACCGTCGTCAACCTCCTCATCTGGTCCTCCATCGTCGTCACCGTTCTGTTGTTCGTCATCGTCCTTTTCATTGATATCTTTCAATGCACGCCCGTCGCGTACCTCTTCGATCCCACCATCGAGGGGGGCTCCTGCATCCACCAGGCCGCCTTTTACGTTTCCACCGCCGCGACCAACCTCTTCACCGACCTGCTGGTGCTCGTGATCCCCATCCTCATCACCTGGTCGCTGCAGATGCCGGTGCGACGGAAGGTCGCCGTCTGCATCATCCTCAGCTTTGGCGGCGTGTACGTTTCTTCTCTGTCCTCTTCCCCCCTCCCCACCCGATCCTACCGGGACAAAAGATAACGAACCAAACCCCCCTCAGGGCCACCGCCATCGGCGTCTGGCGCATCATCAGTCTGGCGCAGTTCTTCTCCGTAGCGCCCAACCCGGACCCGACCTACAACATCAACTTCTGCAGCTCCGCCATCGAGGTCAATGTCGCCGTCATGGCCGCCTGCGCCCCGTCCACCAAGGTCCTCCTCGCCAGGTACCTGCCGCGGCTCCTGGGGACGTCCAAGGGCGTCTCGGGGTCCCGCTACGGCGCCAGTGGCAGCTGGAATCCGAGCCACCGGCTCCGATCCGACGCCGGGTATTCGCGGACCAAGTCCCACCGGGAGGCCGAGGATGATATCGAACTGGCGGATCCGGTCCAGGTCAAGACGCGTGTGGTGGCGGCGGAACGGGATCTGCAGACCGTTCCGCGACGGGGAGACCGTCTGAGTTGGAGCAGTGAAGATGGTCTGGCGGGGATCGTGCAGACGATCGATGTGTCGGTGCAGTATACCCGCGATGGGGAGCAAAAGACGGGAAGTATTGATCGTCTCGTTTGATGTTGATCCGATCCCGTGGACTCCATGATCGAGGTCGACTGTGTACGGACGGAGTAGGATAAATCTACCGCGACGGCTCACCAACCAACTACACTAGAATCTAGTCGATCAGCTCATCCAGCTTGGTATCCGCCTCTTCTCGTCTTTGGACTCTTCCGTTCGTAGTCACGATAGCCTGGAGAGGATTGTGCCACGATCGATGGGCCGTGCTGTATGCCGTAATCACAGTGGTTAATCACAGTGGCCGCCATGGATCCCTTACACCACAAATGTGATCGGCTGGTGGGATCTGCAGTTGATTTGATGATGACTGATGACAGAAGAAGAAGAAGCCAGTTGTACAGCCGAGATGCCGAGTGAGGCGGGGGTGAGGGAGAAGATCAACCAAACTAACATCCTCTCCTTCTTCTTCTCTTCTTCTCTTCTTCTCTTCTTCATCCCTCTGGATTTCTATCAACTACGAGGAGCACCGTGGTGTGAAAGAAAAAAAAAATGCCAGAGTACAACCTTCCCTTCCAGCTGGAAGACCCCAGTCTTCTGCATTTCGACTCGTTTGTGGGAAACCAATGGGTTCCCGCCAAAAGTGGGCAGCGCTTTGAGGTCGTTGGTACGTTCTCCCCTGCCCTATCCTCCGTCCAGACGATCGAGTCGATAGACCAAGGGAACGAGCGCTCAGATCCAGTCAAATAGACCCCGGCTCCGATACCCCCTGGGCCAGCTGCCCTGCCAATCGCGTCGAAGATGTGAATCCGGCCGTGGAGGCCGCCCATGCCGCCTTTGAATCCTACAAGAAGACCAACCCGCGGCAACGCGCGCAGTGGCTCATGAAATGGGACGCGCTCATCCGTGCCGCCCGCTCGGATCTAGCCCAGATCCTCACCCACGAGACCGGGAAGACCCTGGCCGAGTCCTATGGCGAGATCGACTACTCCACGGGCTTCACCTGGTGGTTCGCGGGGGAAGCGGAGCGCATCCACGGCTCCGTCAGCGTGCCGGCCGCGCCGAACCGCCGCGTCTTCACCATCAAACAGCCCATCGGTGTGGCGGCCGCCCTGGTGCCCTGGAACTTCCCCATCGCGATGGTGCTGCGCAAAGCCGGCGCCGCGCTGGCGGCCGGGTGCACGATGATCGTCAAGCCGAGCCCGGAGACGCCGCTCACGGCCCTGGCCCTGGCCCACCTGGCGCACCAGGCGGGCATCCCCGCGGGCGTGTTCAACGTGCTCACGACCGACCTCGACAACACGCCGTCGCTGAGCGAGGCGCTGTGCAAGCACCCGCTCGTCAAGAAGGTGACCTTCACGGGATCAACGCGCGTCGGCAAGCTCATCGCCGCCCACTGCGCCGAGGGCCTGAAAAAGGTCACCCTCGAGCTGGGCGGCAACTGCCCCTTCCTCGTCTTCGACGACGCCAACCTCGACCAGGCGCTGGACCAGCTGATGGCGCTCAAGTGGCGCCACGCCGGCCAGGCGTGCATCACCGCGAACCGCGTGTACGTGCAGGCGGGCGTGTACGAGCGGTTCGCGCAGATGCTCAAGGAGCGCACGCAGGCGCTGGTCGTCGGGCACGGCGCGCGCGAGGGCACGACCATGGGCGCCGTCACGACCCCGCGCGGCGTGGACAAGGCGCTGGCGCACGTGGAGGATGCCCGGCGGCGGGGCGCCGACGTGATCCTGGGCGGCGGGAAGGTGCCCGGCACGCGCGGCTACTTCTTCCAGCCGACCATCCTGACAGGCATGACGCCCGAGATGCTGGTGTCGCGCGAGGAGACGTTTGCCCCGATCGCGGCGCTGTACCGATTCGAGACGGAGGAGGAGGCGGTGCGCCTGGCCAACGACACGAGCATGGGGCTGGCGAGCTACGCCTTCACCAAGAACGTCGACCGCATGTGGCGCATGCTGGAGAACCTGGAGGCCGGCATGATCGGGATGAACTCGGGCAACTCCTCGGCGGCGGAGTCCCCATTCGGCGGCATCAAGGAGTCCGGCTATGGCAAGGAGAGTGGCAAGGATGTGGCCGTGAATGAGTATCTGATCACCAAGACGGGGACATTCACGATCGAGGGACAGTATTAAACGGCAGGCGATGTGAAGGCTACCTTGGGGGGGGGGTGGATATAGAAAGGTCTGAGTAGTAGGAAACGAGACCATTTGAATGCCATGAAAATCAATCTCGTTACCTCGTCTGGCTATCATAGGTACCTAGTCGAAGTACATCGGGTTTTCTATTCACTTTTTTCAATGCTCTGTCCTGAGATGTTCTATGTTCTGATCATGATGTCCCGAAAGTGCTCTCTCTCATCATCGACTCGACTCCGCTGCATTCAGCATTCACAGGGATTCATTCTGTTGAATTGTTCATCCTCATCTTCCCTCCAACTCCTCCTCCTCCTCTTTGTTTTTCAAATCACGGACCACGTCTGACTCTATGACCTACTCCATCATTCATGGCTCTTCCTACCGCTCCACCGCCGACAAACCCCTCAACGACGGGCTCGTCCGCGAGGCCCTCACCCTCACTCACCCTGGGGCTTTGGAGAAGGTATTCCCCCTTCCTACCTTTTTATTGTTCCCCCCCCCGCCCGAAGGAGAGTAGGAGTAGGAGTACGGACTACTAGGGACGGTACTGAATGCCCATTCTCGGGTCTAGGTGTTCAGGCCAAGATGGCCGTTGCAAATATCCTTTTCTACAATTCGGATCGGTTGTATAGGCTTGGGCTTGGGCTTGGGCTTGGGCTTGGGCTTGGGCAGAAGCCCGTCTTTGGAGGAGGCCGGACAGAATGCCTAGCTCCTACGAATACCTCACAGGAAATGGGAATGCCAGAAATGGGACGCAGGACGCACACATACACATACACTTAGCCACATCATATCATATCATATCATATCATATCATGTCATCTCAAGATCTGCGGAACTGCAACACCATCTTGGCCGTAAAACTAATGCATCTAAACTAACAATATGGGGTATAACGTGTATAAACCTCTAAACCGTATACGGAGGAGTAATCCCAATATCAAGACAATCAAAAGAATGCAAAATATCGTGGTCAATCCGTCCTTTGGACTGGATGAGTGACCGAACCAAGTCGTAATATGCAGCCGGCCGGAACAGCCATCGGTGCCGTGTCATTTACATACCGATCTGATCACGTGTCGTTGTCGTTGTCCATGATCAGGAAGGAGACGCCGCCACCGACGACTTGCGTTCCTTCCATTCATCAAGTAGTCGCGAGACTTCTTTGAAAGACACCGGCTTGGTCAGGAAGAGATCCACGCCCGATGTCAGCGCCTCCGTTTCGTCACGCGAGCTGCTGAGACCCGTCAGCGCGATGATCGTCGCCGGTCCGCAGCCGTCGCGCTCTTTCTCCAATGAGCGGATAGCCCGTGTCGCCTCGAACCCGTTCATGACCGGCATGGACATATCTTGAAAACACGTTAGTCTGTTTGACTCCAAAACCGAGGGGCAGGACAACGGGGGAAGGATGACATACCCATGAAAATCAGGTCATAGCCCTGCTGCATCTTCTCCACCGCGTCCACGGCCAACTTGCCATTCTCGGCAGAGTCCAACACCGCCAGATCCCGTTTCTTCATGAACGTCAGCATGAGATTCAGGTTGATCGAGTTGTCATCCACCACGAGAATCCGCGTTCTGCGTTCGCCAAGCTTGGATTCCGCCATTTCGGGTGGCGTGGGCAGCGGTGAGGCAGAGGAGATGCTGGTGGAAGAGGTTTCGCCGCCGCCGTCACGCGAGCTTTGTGACCCGCTTGACCCTTCCGGTGGCGTCGTTGCCGCGTCCGAAGTATCGAGTATGGATTCAGAAGTAGGGAATTCCGAGGCGGGCAGAGACTGCACGGCCGAGGAGAGACTGCTATCATACAGGCGAGGCCGGCTGGGAAGCTCGATGCGCCGGGGTACGAAATGTCCCCGCTGCACATTGTCAAGACACTTCCTGATGCACCGGGCGAGCTTGTGCGGGCCACATGGGCGGCGGATGATGTCGACAAACGCGGCAATTGGAGACCACTCCCCGCGGATGGTGCTGTAGTCTATCGACTTGTTGCAGAGAATCAGGAGTGCCGGCAACATACCATTGATATCTTTCTTGGGATTCATGGCCAAACACGCTTCATCCGCAAGAAGCACGTCGATGGGCTCCTGGGACGACCACGAAACCAGTTTCAGACCGTACCAGTCGGTGAGATACCGGACGATGATGGACCAGAAGCGATGCTTAGCGGCTTCAGCGGGCTCCACCCCCAAGATCGCAACGCGTCGGCCGCCATGACTATCACGAAGAGAAAAGGCCTCGTTCATCACGCCATCCTCCCTCGCTGGAATCGATGGTGAAAGGAGTGCGTCCTCGGCGTATTCTTCCGGTCCAGGCCGTGTCAGCGGTAGAGACACCTTGACAGTCGTTCCTTCTCCCGGTTGACTGTGGATGTTAATCGTGCCATTCAAGGACTTGACGAGACTCCGAACGATGGAGAGGCCCAAGCCCGTCCCCACTGCCAGCGTATCCTCCTGCGCGAATGGGGTGAACAGCCGCCCACGCAAAAACTCTTCCGAGATCCCTTTGCCCGTGTCGGAGACGGTCAGAGTGACAAGCTCTTCCACACCGTGTCGCCGCGAACGACCTTCGGATGCCTCCGTCATCCCCAAGTGCACCGAGACGCGGCCAGAGTCGGTGTATTTCATCGCATTACCAAAAACATTCATGATGATACGCCGCAAAGCACCGGGCTGGGTCCGATACATCCAGTCGTTTTGAGCGATGTCCATCACCACCTCTACCTCGGCGTCCAACACATTGTCAGACTTGGTTTGTTGCCGCGGAATCGACCACGTGGCGGCCGACTTGGGCAACGTCGCGGATTGATCCGAGGATGCCATAGACTTCTGACCGTAGGTGTGGCCCAAGCACACGCCTTCCACGACCTCCTCCGCCAAAATGGCGAGATCGGTGGCCACGTACGTGTCCAGATGGGCCGCCGCTTTGTCCATGTCCCTGAACTCCGATGCGGAGGCCTTGTTTCGCTTGAGCTGGCGCCAGGTCCGCTCGATGGAGACAATCTTGCTGAAATCCAGAACCTGGTTCATGGTGTCCAACAGGGTCCGACCACACGCGTTGATGGTTTCGAGGAGTGATAGCTGAAACTCATCGAGCTCCGTGCCGTGCAGAAACTCGGCGGCAGCAAGAATGCCGTGGAGGGGGCTACGAAGTTCATGCCTGTAGACATCGATTTCGTCAATGATTATGATCTGGCGAGGAGAACTGTTGCGAGACATGGCGCTAGATACTTACGATATACTTCCGATGAAGTCGCCCTTCTGGCGGTCGGATATCAGCGATTGGACTCGGTTGCATTCAACCATGATGGACGAGCCGAAGCCCAGCACCGAACTCAGCTCGACCGAGGGGCTGAAGACTCGTGTCTCGATGGTATTCCAGCAGAAACAACCGGCAAACCACTGAGAGTTCGCGGCGTTCCACAAAGGAATAAACATTACTTGCGTTGCATTCGGGAAGAACAAATTGAGCATCGCATTCTCCGACTGTTTCCAACGCCTGCCACTGTTCCTGGGCACATCCGCCGGTTTCGTGCCCCGTGAGCGGTTCCGGCTGGGCTTTTTCTCATCGTCCGAGCTGGACAGGATGCCGTCCCGGTGGAATGACCAGAGCTTGCCCTTGGTGTATCGACGCAGCAGCTGGTGTAGGAATCCGCTGTCAAAGTTGGCCGCTGGATAGAGCACCGCGGAGCCGGGTCCCGGCGCAAAGGGCTCGTCCTTGGTGGAGATGGCGAGCACCGGGGCGGGTGGACCATTGTTGTCCCCGGAGCAATCACTTCCTGTATCGACATCGAGCATATGCCTGTTGTTGACCTCGAGAAACATAACGCCGCCGTCCCCATCCAGCTCGAGACTCTCTCGGAGGAGGTTGGCTGCCCTTCGGAACGCCCAGGAGTTGCCATGTGATTCATCCAGATTCAACCCTTTCTTCCGGCTGCCTGCCCACCAATCCGGAAGCGGTGTGTCCGGGCCGGACGACACATTTTGATCGCCCTGGTCGACTTTCGAGTCCGAGACCGAGCTGAAGGAGCGTGCATCGACGCTGTTGGATCGTTTACCGGGGTGTTCGAAGCTTTGGGACGAGTCGCCAGAAAGGTGATTGGTGCGCACATTTGAGGACGCGGGGGTGCTGAAGGTGGTGGCCGCACTACCGGAGCAGGAGGGAGGCGGATCAACAAAGCTCGAGCTGCCCTCGACGAAATAACTCAGACCTCGAGACAATCGCGCGGCACGTCTTCCCTCGGAGGCCTGCCGGCTCACCTGCAGATACTCCATGATCAGCATGCCCAGAGACCCCAGCGTCTCCTTCTCCAAGTCGGAGAAATCCTCACGGGGTTTGGTGTCCAAGGCAAAGAAACATCCAATGTTGATATTCGTCTCGGTGGTCAGCGGTGTACCTGCGTAGAACCGAAACTGAGGCCCTTCGGCGACGAAAGAGGTATTTTTGTAGAGTTGGCTGTCCTGGAGATCGTTGACGACTAAGAAACTATATTCTCGGGGATCCCTCGACGATGGCGGAAGCGCAACGGTAGACTAGAAGCGATACCCATCAGAACAGGTTCGGTGGTTACAGGTAGGGTTGATTTTCACGGGGCAGAACCAAAGAAGAACATACCTCACACATTGTCCAGGCGCTGGCTGGTAAAGTGGAACAGCCGTCCCATACGCCATCTCCGCCTGCCTCATATTCACGAGCGAAACTGCCGATGGGGGACTGACTCGCCTGTGCGAGAATAAATTGTGAATCTCGATCTGACACACTGCAGGGGTAGGAATAAAGTAAAATGTGTCAGCCACCAGCCATTAAGCTCTTGTCGGATTCAAGCCACCAAAAAAAAAAAAAAAAAAAAAAGTACCTGATGATGACGCGCTCCACATTTAAACGCAGAGCTGCCAGATGGGCGAAGGATGTCAAGGTGGCATTATTCTGGCCTAGAACGAGTGTTTCCGGCACAACTGGCGACGAGGGAGAGGAATGGTCTGAGGGGACATCTGTTGTGACAAGCGGTGGTGAGAGTTGTGGTGGGGGCGGCGGTGGAGGTGGTGCGGAGGATGCATGGATGGAGGCATCGAGAGCTTGCGCGACGGCTGGAGGGAGGACATTGTCGGCGAGAGGGGCATCGTTCACCTCTAGAGGAGTTAATCGTTCGGGTTGAAAGTAGCGATAGAGCTCACGAGCTCTACGACCGGCGCTATGGTCATCGCGAGAGGTCGATGGTCGTTCCATCACTCAGTGGAATGAGGATCGGGGATCCCGTGATATCATAGGAGAGATCGGATAAAAAAGGCGAGGGAAAAGGTTATTCCATCGATAGCAATAGGGAGTGAAGCTCCATCCTTTGGCCCAATGAGAGGGAGATGGGGCTGCTGGCGTCGCTCGGATTGTCTAGTCAGGGCGATAAAGTGTGGCAACAGGATTTGGACTGCAGGAGGAGGATGAGGACGATGGTGGGAGAGTCGAAGGAGAGTACTTTGATGAGAAAGGATGAGAGAAGAAGAGCAAAGGTGTGAATAGTAGTAGGAACAGAGTCCACGAAAGCAGAGTCCTCAACGCTGAATCTCCTAGTTAGGTGGCATGTGCCGAGATGCGGGTGGGATGGAGGAAGAGGCGAGTTTTTTTTCTCCCTCTTTTCTCTTGATCACAAAGCAGAGTAAGTGGTAATAGTGTAGAGGAGGTTTCGTGCATATGACGACTCTGAAAAAGAAAGGAACACGACGACTTTTTATTATGAATTCAAATACTGGACGGGACTCGTAATGAGGACGGTGTAGTAGTTACCTAGTTAGTAGGAGAGTAAGGATGAGTATCAGATAATAGTGAGAGAGATTCTCTCTAGGAGATTCTTTTTTTTTTCGGCTGGGAATTCGCAACGCAATGTAGCAACTCCACCCGTTGTCTCTTTCCGTCTGGCTCATCCAGGCTTTCAAGTTTTGGTCGTGGCTGTTGATCTTCCTTGAGGACATTACGGAGTACTTACTACTGGACGGTTAATAATGGGCAAGGGAAATGAAGCTGATTAAGAATCGGAGGGGACGGGGGGCGGTACTACGGAGGATAGGTACGTATGATGATATGATATCCTATGATACGATGCGGTATCCTAAGAGGATACTGTACTATGTAAGGTATGGGAGATATGATGCCTTATGATCTGATATGATATAACCTGCCGAATGCCTGGTCCAAATTCCATCCAGTGACTGCGAGTAGACAGGGAAAGACGACGACAAGTCACTACTTCGTACTACTTCTAGTCCTTGTACTCCGTAAGGTAGAAGTATCGTACCTAGTAGTAGTAGTAGTAGTAGTAGTAGTACTCCGTCGTAATAACAGAGATTTCGAGACATTAATCATTATTAATATTCCATCTAAATCATCTCTCTTGCCTTTTCTCTCTCCAGTTTTCTCCTATGAATCTAATCCTATCAGTCTATCACAAATCACAAACCGCCCCAACCCGACCCAAATCCCAACTTCACGATTTCCCTGTTTTCCTTCCCCAGACTAGTTCCCTTTTGGGTAAACAAGGGGGTTCCTCCCGTCCCGTCGGAAAAATTCCCTAGCCTTTTGATTGGTCTACGATGCCGCCCGTCGAATCAAACGACGCATTGGGTGGATTGTGGGGCTTCTCCCCTATTTTGATTGGCCCCTGAGTCCTGACTCAGCAGCTTTGATTCATAATGATTAATGACACTAAAGTAAGTCCATGCAAGTGCATAAGACACTTCTCCAGGACAATGGATCAAGGGCTCGGAGCTTATCCAGTCTGGGACTCTTGAGTCTTGACTCTTGGGGAGGCGAATACCTAGGTATTGATTATTCCAATGGTAACATATCAACAGCCCAATGCATGATGATCTAATGCTGCTAACTAGACTACTGCTAGTCATGATCGACACTCTCTGCCACGCTAACATCGGACAGGTCGTCAGTGTCACTGGCTTACTGGCTTACTGGCTTACTGGCTCACTGCGGAATTTCTGATCCATTTGTGAAGCACGTCCCAATGTGGACTGCGGATACTGTACGCCTCTCCTTGTGATTTGGGTACCTACTCTGTACACAGTAGTGAATAATTAGGAGTCTATCTAGTCCCTGCTTCATGTAGTTTAGAACATGAGCCAGAGCTAGGGGTGGTAATCAAAATGTCAAAATGACAAAAATGACATGTCATTTTGCCCTTTTTTTTTTCTTTCTGACGAGGGAATAGTTTATCAGAAAAAGTTGAGAATCTTACGGAGTACTACAGATGCCATATGCTGGTGGAGAACTATCTAAATCTCATCTCCTACGGAGTACGAAGGTGTGGTGTAAAAGTATACGACAGTCACGTGATATTGTACATACAATTCCTGAATGATAATTGGCTGGAGGTGTGTGGGTCTGCCAGATAACTTTTTGCACCACACGGTCCACACCTCTGTACTCTGTACTCCGTACGGAGTACTCCGTAGTCAATTCTACCTACTGTGTAGTTGACTACTGGAGGTACAATTCCGATGACTAATCGGGGGCGTGTGCTGTGGCGAGTTCCCTACTGGCAGTCAGGCTGACGCAAACACCCCCATGGTCAGGACGTCTGCATAAACAGCGACCTCGGTACATAAAATAAAAGAATCGATCATAAAATATAATGCAATATGTCCAGGTCATCTCCTGTAGAAATGTATATACCATGGCCGTCAAAATTTTTCCATCAGGCGCGTGCGCACCGTCCACATGCGAGCCCGCTTCCCGTAGATGTACATCGGTATCGAAAATAGCAAACAGCCAAGCTGGATCCCTCCCAACGCAAGAAACACCGTCCGCGCGCCATTCGCGTCCAGCCAGTCGACGATAAATAAGGAGAACACCAGCCCATGAAACACGTCTGCATTCAAACCAGTCAGTTAGATTCCGTTCAAATGTCAACAACCCTGAGGAACAGATGGATCACCCACTCTTACTCCAGTTCAACGTCACCAACGCCTCCCCTGCGTATTGCCGGTAGCTGTCCACGCAGAACGTAATCGACGTCGTGCTGCCCAGGCAGCATCCAAACGAGATCAGCCCGAAGAAAATCGTCGGCACGATCCACGAGTCCTTCACCTCCGTGCTCCAGCCGAACGCCATCAACCCCGCCGTCGTCGACAGCCCGATAGGGATGGCCATTACCAGTCGGAACTCCGGTTCGTAGACACCGCCATTGCGCCGAGTCATATACCGCACAATGATATCCGAGACCTTGCCAGCCACCGCCGTCCCGAGGAGCCCACCCACGAATGGCGAGATATAGATCAAGCCCGTTTGCAGCGGAGTGAAGTTGTAGGCGTCCTCGCCTTGGTAGAGATGCGCCACCGATTCGGACAGCACGATGAGCCAGCCAACCGACAGCGAATACACCACGGTCGACCAGAGAACTGCCGGATATGCAAATAGAATAAAAGGTCGAACCGCGACTCGCCACCACTTATCATGTGAAATGCGTCCGTTCCACGGTCGGAGGTAGTGCGTGAACGGGACCTGAGGCTTCTCTCGGAGACGGTTGGTATACTGCTGCGCTGGGAGAAGCGGTCCCACGGGATCCAGCGACTCACTCCGGGTCCGGGACAGACCGGCCTGCCGACCACGTTCCAGATCAACACTCGGCGATGCCGTCTCACGTACGACTGCCGGTGCCGGGACTGGAAGGGACGTATCAGTCTCCTCGGTCACTGCCAGAGGAGCCACGTCCGTGGGATGGTCGTCAACTGCAGCCGCTTCGCACGCTACTATTTGGTCACGGTCCTCAGATCTCCTTTCCTTCTCATCATACTGATGTTTGTGCTCATCCTCATTTTCCACGAAGCCGACATGGGCCAGTTTCCTAGACTTCCTGGGCGCGGGCGAGACTGCATCATCCTCGACCACAGCATCCGCCAAGCGCTGATGCGGTGGCCGACCACGGAGACCATGGGACATCAACTCCGTGACGCTCTGTATCACGTGGGGCCGCTTATGCGGGCGACGAGGACGCGGTGTCCGATCCCAGAATGTCTCGGGAACGAAAAAGAAAAGCAAGACAAGACAAGACCCAACGACAATGGCGACAATCCAGAACACCCACTCCCAACCGAGTCTGCCAATGATGGCAGCACTGACCAGCGGCACCAAATTCTTGCCGCCCAGTAGAAGAAGTGTGTAGATACCGATACGGTATGCACGCTCATGCAAAAAGTAAATCTCCGCAATCGTGGCGGAGGGAAGACACTCCACAGGGCTCACAGCGATCCCTTGGAAAATTCGAGCAACCACCAAGCTTGGGTAGTTGGGCGACAGAGCACACCACACTGCCGACAGAACAAAAAGCGTGGCCCCGAGTAGATAGACCGGTCGCTTTCCCCATAGAATCGCAGTCGGGGACATGATGACGGAGCCAATCCCGAGTCCCAACATGTACAGTCCGGTAGTATAGGCGACCTTTTGGGTGGAAACACCGTAACTCTCCGCGACTTGGTTAAACCCAGCAGCCAGTACTGGCGTCATTCCTCCTCCCATCAAGCAGTAGAAGCCTAAAGAAAGCAGTGCAGCGTCCCGCCGCCATACGGGCCAGTTCAGCGGATCATTGACCGAATCATCTGGCTGAGGATTCAGGACGATCTGTCCGTCCGAAGTCTTCTTCGGTACGGGGGCTACCGTACGCGAGGACGACCGAGACGATGGGTAGTTTGGCAGAGACGACGCCGATGTTCGTTGCGGCTGGTGTCTCAACCCGAGCGGTTCATTGCGGTTTGAAGATAGTAGAAGTACCGTTCCTGGGGCCGGATTAGAATTCGGGCACATCACTTTATACGAGCGGAAACTGCGCGCATACCTGGTACTTCATCGGTGTGCTTATCGCTGAGAATCCCCAACGTTGACTTGGCACGATAGTTCTGATTACGAACAGACTCGGGATCCTCCATTTGTCTCCCTTTCCACGATCGGCGCCACCAGCCTTGCCCCTGCACACGCTGCGAGCCAGGCTCGGTCTCCTCCTCGACCATCTTCACCGGATGGACGGCGGAGGCTTCTTCTTTTCGCCCCTGGGGCTTGGATCTGAATATTCTGAAGCAAAAACACATGGTTAATCCTGATTCATCTACTTGGGTTTTCAAAAATGAAAAAATCGCAAAAAACAGCTAGGGGGACAATCCCACAAAATTATAAGCACCTGTCACTGCAAGGATTTCTCTGGTGGCAGCCAAATCTAGACAATGTAGAAGCGCCACGAGAATGCAGGAAACCGCTGCACACTGCAACAATCTAAATTTCCGCCTCGATGGGTAGCTCTAGAATCACGTTTTGAATGACTCGAAAATGCGAAAAAGCAAGACCCCCTTTCCCCTTTGAAGCTAGGGTTTAGATCATGATCTGCCAGACGAGACCAGAGAAATCACCTGCGCGACCTTGCTGACAGGCATTTTTTTTTCTTTTTTTTCAGGGAGCGGGAGCGGCAGGCAGAGGTCGGGGGATTTAAAGAAGAGTAAGAAGCACAAAGGAAGACCGAAGTAAGATGGACTGCGACGGAGATAAAGATGAAAAAGAATGGCGGACTTGGGGAGTCAGTAAAACTCGAATACAGAAGACGGCCGGAGCTCCATGCCCGAACCATCACGCGGATGAAGGAGTGGATGATGGCGTTCTGCAAGTAGCAAATCTGAGGCGGATGACAGAGTGGACTAGTGCCATGATCGCTGTTAGCCTGGTTGCTCTGTATCGTACGAGTATATCTTTCGGGCGGTGAGTGTCGGGGACCGCGGGGGTACAATCAGACCACCAGAAATTCGAGAGGGAAAAGAGGTTACATGATTGAGACTATACCTTACCTTGGCGTATTCTGGGCGTAACACTTAGATCAACTTAAAGTTTACCGCCTAATGTCACTCAGAGCGATACGTGAATAAGGCATCCAGGCCACGGACTCCATGGAAGGGGAGGATAGACAGGGATCGGCATGTATGTAGCAGGCTAGCAGCCCTCCATGACATTCCCACATATACAGCACGAAAGAACCTCCGAGACGTTTTGGCTCCTTTTTTTTTTTCCGTCTGTCAAGTTGTCAACATCCAATCTGGTCTTGGAACCGATTGAGGGGCAATGCATTCAGCCAATCCCAATGATAATGCAAGAAATGTTCGGCTGATGGTGGCACTGCTATTTCAGTCCTCCAAAACTCAAAGCATCAAGCCATACCGCTTGGCACGTAGGATGAGATGTCAACAGTCTACGCTGAGAAGATCCTCTCAGGCATTTGATTCCTTCTGTTGATGACGGGTTTCACTCATCATACCAATTCTGTGGCAGTACTGTCTCAAGTATAGACAGGGCCAGCAGGAACATGCCGCACACACGTTGCTATATGCGCGCCTGTGCTGTCCCATAACCCATTATTCTGTTTGGCGGCTTGGCCTGCAAGTTCCGGTATGAAGCATATAAGCGACATGCAAGAAGCCTGTCGAGTGTCGAGTCAATACACACACATCGACGTCTATTAATCTGACTCGACGGCCGATGCTGCACACTGTCGTCATCTTGCAGAGGGTTTCCGCGCGGAGGGCTCAAGAAGGTAAAATATAGGCTCATTGAGTGTCAAGTGATCCGTGGGAGAGACTGGGGAAATAGTATCTCTGTCATGGGGTAGGTATAAACTGGCTTATCAGCCGATGTCAAGTCAGTGATGATGTCTCAGATCTTTGCTTCACCAACGCCGGAGCCGCTGGAAAAATCCAATACAATCGTCGTCACAAGGTCATTGGTTTTGGACGCATGCATGATTCTCTGCATTGTGGGTGAGGGGAAAAGTGTTATTTCAATGACCCTAGTTTTTATAGTGACCGAGACCGAAATTCATTGTGAAAGAGGCATCTATACATTGTGCTCTATACATATACAAAAACAAGACCTCTATGTACAGCATTCGCCAAACCATAATCAATCATGGTCACCATCCCTTAAAGCGTCGATTTCACAGACTCCAGGTACCCCTGGTTCGCATACATCGAGCTTGCATCCCAGAGCATCACTCCTCCGAAGCTGGAGAATGCCTTACTCCACTGCACAACCTCGTGGAGCTGCGCAGCAGCGACGAAGCCAGATCTAGCTGAACCCGCGCTCGCCGGCAGGCCAATGAACACCTTGACCTGCTTATTCTTCGACTGGCTCTTGGCCCACCCATCCCACAAGTCGAAGTTGAAGGCTCCCTGCGGTGCCTTGCCAAACGCAAACGCATTCGCGCCGCAGAAGTTGTTGTAAAATTGCACCCAGATCGCATCAAAGGCGACTGCGCCGTTCAGCATTTCCTGGTCGGCCACGTCGGGGAAGACGCACTGTGGCGCTGCAGTGAGGAAGTATCTCTTGCCCCCGGCTCCGTCCATTAGACTGCGCAGCTGATTGGCAAAGGGGACCATGTTGGTGACTGTGGTCTCAAAATTGAAGTCGAACCCGTCGATGACGGCGTCGCCGAACGGTCGGTATGCGGCGCGCTCTGCCTGAACGGGTCCGAAGACTTCCCACATTTTGTTCGCGGCTTCAATAGCAGCAGCATCTGATGCGAAGCCGCGCTCGGATGTGGTGGCTCCACCGATAGAAAGAAGGATGGTTTTGCCTTTCTGTTGGCATTGCTTGATATCCTCCCTGGATTTGATTGGTCTGGTTAGTGCACCAGCATAGCACTCACAACCTAGAAGTGCGACATACCCAATTTGGGGACAGTTGAGCAAATTCGTGCCAGGATAGACCGTGCATCCGGCTTCCTGGTTGGCAAAGTTGACTTCGGGGAGAGCCCCAGCGCCAGATATCCGAGTCACGAATGATATTTGGAATACCTGCTGGCTGTTAGCATTTCTATATTACCAGAATAGGACTCGACTGCCATACATCAATGTTCGGATCTAAGAAGTAGTCATTAGCACTTGCTCCTGCCCACTCAGCCCATTCCAGTATATCTTACTATCACAATAGAACCCTAACCGCTGTTGACCTGTATTCCCCGAGTTTTGACCTAGACAGAAAGCGTCAGCATTCGTCTCAGAAGACACAATTAGAGGCCCATACCCCAATACACAGCAACAGTGGATGATGAACTGGTATCCAAAAAAGAGTATACATCGTGAAACAGAGCAGCGAAGGCTACTAATGAGCACAACAGGGTTGTATAAGAAAACATCTTCGGGGACCTTGCCACGAACTCTCCAACTACAGAAGCGTAGAAGCCAGCGTGGAGTATGAGTGCACCAAGCGTCCACCACAATCCTGAAGCAAACAATACAGACGTCGGAATACAGACCTTTATAGAGTATCTCGGTATCACTGAAACGGAATCTTTGTTGGATATCTATTCAGGTCCGCCCACGGCATACTCGAAACCCGAGCTGCGCCTCGTCCTTTGACTGCAACGACCCTCATTGTCAAAAGATCTCAACGAGGCCAGGAACGCCATTACGGGCTGGAAATGCACCTGCATTAGTCGATAGAGTATACGATCTGATGCAGAAATCATAATCTGTAACACATTGCGGATCCATGAAACCTGCGCGCCATCGCCGGGCCCCCAAGTCATCCTAGTTGTCAGCATTGGGGGCAGTTCTTCCCAACAGCCCCCAACTCGAAGACCGTTTTAGTGTTCCATTGGGTTTTAACGAAGAGGCTGAGAACTGCTCATGAAGAATCGATTCAAGGGGAAAACAAGTTCAGAGCCTCCTATAGAACGATGCGGGTCAACTACACATGTGCAAGATGGGGCCCTGTCGCTTGTTTCTCGTGGACATCTAGTCAGCCTTCTACAAAGATTGGGTCTCGTACCTATTTTCTTCCTCAGTTTTAACCACTCCGGCATGATCTCACGGGTACGGATGACTCGTTTCAGCCCTTTGTTCTCAGGAGGATCAACACTACCCATGATTCTAGACTAGAGTCTGATGTTCATGGCCCGTTCCTCAAAATATCCTCAAAGGGTGGGTGGCTCAGGCCACCAGCTCCCGTCGCATTGCTCCTGTTCACCTCCGGCCTCAGTCATTATTGGAGGCTATGTTAGTCCATGGTCAATCATTACATCGTGTTCTGCTAATTTTGAATTCGTGTTAAGGATACGGAGAGGATTTTGTTCATGTTATTGCATCCAAAGCCATCAGGCTAACTAATGTGATTCTCTTTGATGACTAGAGCCCACCCTTTGCATCGCTTCACATATGAGCCAGAAATCCAAATTAAACACGGGCTGGAAAAGGGAAATTCTTTCGAGTTTTCTGATTGCAGCCTCTTGCTTCGACGTGTCTCGCTTCGAGGGTCGAGCGCTGCTTTGATGCGAAGAGGCCACCTCTAGATCGCTCCGAGCATATACCCATACAACGTCTTCGTCAATATCACTGTCGTCGCTCTCTGATTCACTGCAATCACCAGTTCGCTTGTACTTTATTTCCCTGAGGTAGTCGCGCTTCGCCCATTCTTCCTCAAAGGAAAGCTCATACCAATGTCGGAGCTTTGTGATGGTTAAGCAACAGTCCATGGGGTCCTCGTCTCGCTCTTTGCCGTCCGTCATTATCGATTCGTATCCAACCTTGTGAAGCAGGATTTCTGCAGTTTCCGGCTTGTATGCAGGTTCTCCTACAGCCTCGGACTCCATCAAGGAGAGATCAGTGTCAGGCTCCAAGCCGGGAAATACCAGCTTGATATCTCGCGGCAGCACTAGTTTGATGAACTCGCGGGCAGCAGTCCGAGCGACTTCCTCACAAAGTGTTCTGCTTTTGCAGATCGGTACCACAAAATCAAAGATATGAGCGTCGCTTGTGCCTCCCATGACTGCGGTCATCTGCGGATACGACCACCGGCCTTGGACAAACTGCGAAAGTGTTTTTATTAACCCTCGCTCAGATTCATTCATCAGGCCTGTTTTGTTCGTTCGGACAAAGAGCAGAGGTCGGTGCACTAGGCTCTCTGCAGAGACAACTTCCGAGCATATGGCACAGCGATAGTCCGCGGAATCAAGTATGTATTGCTCATAGAAGCCCGCAATGCGACAGTAAAAGATCGCATCATCTGCCTCATTCATAGCAACACCGGGGAGGACCGACCCTGGCCAGGTCGAAGCATAAACCGAACAAGTAAGCTGACCGCGTCGCGGGGCCTCGCTAAGTTGGAGGCTCGGTCTCCCAATGTATACGGTAGCACCGATGGTATGAACGCTGGTGCTAGGGGACCCAGCTGCCATAGACGGGCTTCTCAGGTAGATATTTCTATCGTTTCCAGCTTCGGTCCTTGGGATATACTTTTTCGGACTGCGTGCAGATATCAAGCTCAGACTTGTCTGTGAGTGTGATTTTCTCAGGGCCTCGTCACCCTCTTCCAGTTCCTTAGGTCGGATCGTTCCATCCCGGATCCTCTCAACGTATGTTTGCAACATCTGCGTCGCAGACTGGTGACATGTTTCCCCCGAAGAACAGATGGGCACCGCCACCAAGCAAATATATGGTCGATCACTCATCACACCCCCAACACTCCAATCGACCTCATCTCGCCGTGTGAAATGCGCTGTGTGGGACGCCACCGTCGTAACCAGTTGATGCACTTCCACAAAATCTGATAGTTCGACATATCCATATCGCGTGGCGCACAGAGGACGATGGACCAACGCCTGCGCTGGGGCTTGTCCACAGACCGTGCAGGATCCTGTAACACAACTGAGTATCTCATCTTCAAATTCACGGCACAGGGAGGTCATCGCTTGAAACACAGGGGCATTGTCAGATAGGCCAGAACGCGGCAGGGAGAGGCGACTCGACACGCTCGTTCTGAATGACGCCTTGGAGGGGCTGTCAGCGAGAGTGTGGGAGAGCTCAAACACGCGCTCTGATGCCTTAGCGTTAAACCGTGCATGGTCCAGCTGAGGAGACGGTACGCTGGGGTTTCCAAAGAATACACTGAGCCAAATGGGTATGACTTTGGGGTCAACTGTTTGGATCGAGATGCCTGTGGAAGAATTGTTGCAACTAATAAGAGAGCCAGTTTCTGTCCTGAAGAGGTCTTTTCTGGGACTTTGACTCTTTCGTTTCCAGAGCTTCTGAGGCTCGAACGCGGGGGAGCTAGCATGTGGGAAGAAATACATTCCGTGAGCTGTAATATCGAGGAGAAAGAAAGGATGATGAGGGGTTGAAAGAGAAATTGAAGCGTTGTGGGATATGGAGAGGAAGCAGGTCCCTCGTGAATGCTGCTGGTGTTCATGGTTGTTAAGTGTAGCAGTTATGTCACAAGCTGTTCTATTGATTCCTCACTTAGTTCTCTTTATAGCCTATTTAGTACACTCATAACTGATATCATTCAGTGTAACTATCTTTACTTGCATTGGGGATGCACAGATGCAACTAAAAGATACTCCTCTCATGATGCTTATTGGTCCCTCGAAAGGTTAGGCTCGAAACCATTATTCTCATAATGTCAAGCATGTCAAAGGCAGCTAGATCATAAGGCTGAACGTGTCATGCTTATTCAAGGCGGATCACTGATCACGATGATACTTGACAGCCGTGTCTCGGCTTGCCAGTAAGATTCCTGGACAGAAGACAGCAACTGCATAGAGATACATCAGATGGGGGGAGAATGCCCTACTCCCACACAGAACGATAGTAGGGGCTTCCAAGCCTCAAAAGCGTCTCGAGGCATGCCCCTCATGAAGTTCCTTACCATAGTACTCCGTAGTCGAGACGTTTGCGGAGGATTATCCTGAAGAGCACGTGACAGGGGTATCGCCCCCTTTGCGGCCAGAAAAGGCAACCAGTCTTTTTCCAGAAGAAACCTCCATGATTTTCGAGATACCTTATTGTTCCCCATCCTTTTTTAATATTTTATTCTTTTCCCTTCGTACTCTTCGAAATTTTTGCTTTCGGATCCATTTCTTTGCTTCTATTCTCTTTTGCGCTCATATAATAATCGTGATCAATTCCTCTTCTGGTCGTTCATTCCCAGTCCCGCCTGTTTCTCGATATCGTTGCAACCAGGGACTCTTCTCCCAGCCCATCGTGGGCATTGAAGCCTGATTCTCTCATACTGTCCTTGCGAAGCGTCTAAATAATTATCAGCGATTGCGTTCGCACCCATCGACGATGCGGTTCTCTCTTTCATCGCCCCTTGTCCTCTTACTGTTGCCTGTCATTTCAACGACAGTCGCCGACTCTCTCCCGACCAATGGAGCTGCGACTGATCAGGTTCTCGCTCAACGTGACTCTACAACCCCCGACTTGGTCGTTCCAGCCATAGATGGACTCGCCCCCAAGGCTACCCCCAAGGGGACGCTGGACGCTCCGTTCGATGGGAAAGATGGTCGGCCGCACGCTGGTCCGTGGGTCGAAACCAACGCCGAAAGGGATCGCAAGAAGTCGGGTACAGCAAGCAGCGCAGACAAACTAGAGATTGCGACTCCTTCGGCAGATCATCAACACACGGGCCCCGACGGCAAGCCCATCCCCCACTCGAATGACGGTGTCATGGATGATAGGCACAGGACAGGTCCCAAGGAGGGGACTCGGGGGACGGAGGGCGGAGTGTCGGAGAAGGTGAAGGGTACTACCTCTTCCGGCGAAAAACTCCCCGATGGTCCTAAGGAAGCGCCTCCTCTGCCTCATAGTGAGCAGCAGAAGCTTCCGACGTCGGATCAGAGCGAGCAGAGCACAGAGGGGAAAGGCTCGACTGGTAGCGCGAATCTGGGAGTTCTTGAGGTACATTCTCACGCCGCTGATCCTCTTTGATCTCGATTTTTGACAATCGCTAACATCGCTCTATAGAAACCAGATGACTTGCCGGAGAAACCTCACGATATTCCCCTTCCTAAATCGCCAGCGGCTGTGAATGATCACCCTCTCGGCCTTAATGCCGACGGTAGCTCAAAGACCGGCGGTAAATCGGGACAGGACGAAATCGGAAGCTCGGCTTTCCACTCTCTTCTTTTCTCCTTCACAATGATTGTCGTCTCTGAAATTGGTGATAAGACGTTCCTGGTTGCTGCTCTCATGGCTATGCGGCATCCGCGCCTGCTTGTCTTTTCTGCGGCCTACTCTGCTCTTATTGCCATGACTGTGCTTTCAGCAATCCTCGGCCATGCAGTACCGACGCTGATTCCCAAATATTTTACCAAATTCCTGGCTGCTATACTCTTCTTCGTTTTCGGATTGAAGATGCTCAAGGAAGGCAGGGAAATGTCGCCCGATGAGGGTGTTGGTGAAGAAATGAAGGAGGTTGAGATGGAACTCGAGGAGAAAGAACAGGAGCAGCTACGCAAAAGCCGGCGCCGCTCCTCCATTACTCCCCATTCTTTGGAATCCGGCCGTCTCAGCGGCCGTCGCAAGTCTCGCTCATCCGTCAACCGCTTCCCGTCGCCTCCCGAGAGCATTTCGTCGTCTTCTTCGCGGGCATCTTCCCCTAGTGCTGGTCGCCGTTGGAGCGACACGCTGAACGGAATGAACAATCTCTTTTCCCTTCTTCTCAGTCCCGCATGGGTCCAGACCTTCGTGATGACATTCCTCGGCGAATGGGGCGATCGAAGCCAGATCGCGACTATCGCCATGGCCGCGGGACAGGACTACTGGTGGGTGACGGTCGGCGCCATCAGCGGCCACGGTATCTGCACCGCCGCAGCGGTCATTGGAGGTGCCGCTATTGCTGGCAAAGTCAGTATGCGAGTCGGTATGTGCACTATCATTTTTTTCGTGACTGTTTATAGAACTCGAACTAACATTTTCCGCAGTAACTCTTGGTGGTGCCGCGGCGTTCTTGGTCTTTGGAGTCATTTACTTGATCGAAGCTCTTTTCTACTAGAGAGAATCCTATGAGATGATCATCTCACGATAAACGCCCAGTTAAACGGTTGAATTCGATTGATGATTTTGGTTTATTTCTATAGCTGTAATGTAGTAGGGAGCTGTAATATAGTAGGGATTGCGTTGACAAAAGTACAACAACCACAGAGCTTTTCTCTTTATGGGAGCAGTGAACTTAATATACCATCATAATTTCTCCCTCATACCATCTCTTACTGTTGCGGGGTATGAAATCAGGCCATTTGTCATAGGAATAACGGCGGACTCCTTGTAAAAACAATGCTTATTACTATTACTATGGATTCTTGAAGACAAAAAAAAAAAAAAAAAAAAAAAAAAAGACATGGCCGAAAATTGAAAGAAGAGAGATAAGATAGCAAATTTCTCCGCATTGTGGGGCCATGGGAATAACATTTGTCCGTTCATTCTGACCGCCTGGAGCTTTGAACTGTCCATCGACATCCAGCAGTCCATTCGCAGCCACTCTCCATGATAGCCTTGTATACCCATATATATGACGAAAATGTCCTTTAACAAGGTATAGAAACCATTATTGACCTGAAATTAACCTATACATGCTAAAAAAAAATTATTGCGGAATTATAGGCGAAAATGGCGCCAAGACAGTTTGCTAGGGTTGAGGTTAGGTATAGGGTTGAGGGTTTGGGGGTAAGGGGTAAGGGTTAAGAATAGGGTTTGCATAAATATTGCTTAGATACTGCATAAAATCGCCTCAAGCATCGGAGTTTGATTACATAATGACCCTAAATCAACCGAAACCCTTCCGCACCCTAATTCCCACAAACTGGCTTCTTTCCCTCAACATCCTCAGTCAAAACAATCCTAACGCAAATCTCCAGCCTTTCCATCCACCAGTCATCATTTCTCATCAAAATTGACCAAAAATCGACTGTTTATACAACGATATCGCTCAAAAAGACACTCGAGCTCGCCCCTGGAGCTGCCGCCCCGCTGACCGCCTCAGGACCCAAGGATGGCGCGCCCACGACAACGCTCTACATCAGCCGCCCAGGATGCCCTGGCGGTTGGGAGCAGGAAAGAAGTTGGGCCGATGAAAGAGCTGATCTCTGGTGCGCCGCGGATGCGTATTACTCGGAGTCAAAGTCGTGAGCTTGAGTCTACGGAGCAGCGTGAGTCTGGCAGCTCTGCTGGAATGCCGGGGGATAGCTCCCGTCGCCGGTGGGGGCAAAACAAAGGCAGAATGAGTAAGTCGGGAGCGGCTTCCGTTGTCTTTCGTTGAATGCATTATTATCCTACAATGTTTTTCTTCCTTCTTTGTGCAAGAATTTTATTTTTGTTCGGGAATTTGTTTGATCAAGTTCGACTTCTGAAGCGCAAATGGCTGCCATGGTTGATCATATGAGCTTCGTCATGCCACCATTCCTCAACTTTTGCCATGTCATATTGTTGTATACTCTTGCGTCGTTGATTCTTATGTATTCTCAATTCAATAGGCCTAGGCGTTGTGGTCGAAGAACCGACTGTTCAGTCACCCCGGAAATCTGGTCATGCCTTTGGGAACCGATCGTTTTGGGAATCCCAAGAGGATACAGTGAACATCTCCGGGACCACTATCCTTCCGTCTGAACCAGACACCAACCTAGATCCAGATATGATGATTGAGACACTGCCAGATCTTCAGCGGACAGCTCAGAATGTCTTGGACTATCTGATCCCCAGCTCAGGAGACCCCGTCAGTATCGTCCATGCTGCTAAAAGGCTGGCGGACCCGAAGAACACGCAAAGCAAACGGCTCCAGCGCGCTGTGCCGAATCTGGCTCGTGAAGCCGCGTACTTTGGACACCAGAAATACATCGACGTTAAGCTGGTCAACCAGCTGCTCGCGCCAGCTCTCGAGAAGAAGGATGCACAGGTCGGAGAGGGCTGGAAGCCAGATCTGGTCCTTCATCAGGCTAACTGTGCGCGATTCGCGCTCGAGGTCCTGCTGGCAAATGCTGGCACGAATTCACCCAAGCAAGCCATCAAGAACTTGGAAGATATGTTTCCATTGCCGTTCATGAGTGGCATTGCAGATAGCAACGAGCAGAAGGCTGCTGGCGAGAGCTCTCTCAATAAGGAGACGTTCGATCTGGCTCTAGAGATTCGGACACAGTCTTTGATATTGGACCTGGAGAGACAACAACATGAACCAGAATTCGATCCTAACGCTATAGTGACGGATCACTTTTTCGAAATGGATGTGTATGACGAAGACGAATTTGACAGCAGCATAGCCCCGCTGCGCGGCTTCGGCCTTGCTAAATGGGAAGACTCGGATGGCCATCTTTCGGAGCAGTATAGGGATGCGATCTGTGACCGGTATAACGAAATTCGGGTTTACTTGCTAGATGCGGAGGACGGGATGGCCGTTGTTGATGAGCTGAGAAGCGGTTATCGTTGGCAAAAATTCGTTCTACGGGCTGCTCAATGGGTGCGCAAGAGAATCCAAGAGATTGCAGCGGATTTGCAAGTGCAGAAGAGCGCAGAGGTTGTGCGCAGTGAATTTTTTGCGAAACCAGAACCTCTTGAGCGTGTCACTGGTACTCCCCGTCCCAGTGTCACTCCTGTCGCGAAAAACAGAACGCCAGTAATCGTTGCTCCACGGGTCGAGCAGCGCGAATCAGTTGCTCCTGCAGCAGAAAATAGACTTACTACGGCGACTACAGAAGACCGGGAGCGACGAAAGTCAAAACCGTAAGTGCCTAGCCTTCTTCTCTATGCAGTTCATATGCTAAGCCCTGCTCTAGAAGTTTCCTCAACCCCACATCGCTTCAGCGCCTTATGCAAAGAAAGCGGCGGTTGCGCTTCTCGCTTGAGGCCCCAGAAATTCGGAGACAGTCAGACTTTGTCACATCGGCTGTGGATCATGAGAGCACATCGTTCACCTCGCAAAACCGTCGACAAACTTTGCCTGCAGTCTTGCAACCTAGGCAGGAAGCGCAGGCTGAACCTCGTGAGATATCCGCGTCCCCCGAAGGGTCTCCAACGCTGCTACCCGACGATCAGGATTACCTCACTGTTGATGATTCCCAGTTGAGTATCAGCGAGCACATCGGTGCCGGACTGGAGCGATCACATAGTCCTCCAGTTAACAGAGTCAGCCGAGAGCCTATCTTCAGCCAGCGGACACATACACCTAGTAGACTGGCTACTATTCCTTCCACTCAGGATATATTGAAAGCAGTTCAGGAAACTCCTATTCCCAGCCAACCAGTCGAGCGCATGAATCCACATATCCGCCCGGCCTTCATTGACCGTCAGGATAATGCGGAGCGCGTCTCACCAATCAGTCAGGCAGGAGACCTCCTGAGTGCCTCAAGACGGCGTGAGCCACCACCCTCCAGGAAAAGGGCCCGTGAAGTATCTGAGGACGAAGAAACAGACAGCGACGATGATTTCTCAAGCTACGGCCGGGCCATTGACATCAGCCGCAAGCGTGAAGAAAAGGCGGAGCTGCAGCGACACAAACGCCAGAGAATACAAGAAGAAGACGCTGACGAGTCTGCTTCTCAATTGCAGCATGGCTTGGAGCAGACTGCTCGAGGTGAGGAAGCGCAAGGCCCGCCTTCCACGGCTCCTCTGAATGATTCCCGTTCCCCGGATGCAGCGTCGCCTGCCGGACAGCCGTCCAGAACCAGTGATTATGGTGTGAGGACGATACTTCGACCTTCGAGATACAATCCCAGGTCGCGCTGGACGCCAGCCGAGGACGCGCGGCTGATCCGGTTGATTGAGGAATACGGTTGCAAATGGGCAGTAATCGGGCGGCAAAATGAATGTCAGCCCCCGCTGGACGGAGAGGCCAAATTCGTAGACCGCACACAAGTCCAGCTGAAGGATCGGGCACGGAATATCAAAATTGCTTACCTGAGGTATGTCTCTCCCTGCTTGGCAATTCGACCTCCTCTTGGTGTTGTCTTTTACTAACACTCGGCGGTAGGGAAGGACTGCCACTGCCCACGCACTTTTGGAATGTGACTATGGGCCATAAAGACTATGCCGCGCTTGAGAAGAAAGGCATCAAAATCCCGAATCTTCGGCAAGAATCTCTAGAACCATCCGCAGAGTCTTGAAGAAGGGTCGACCGACTTACCAGTGAACCTTTGTTTTGTATTAATATCTTTCGTTTCTCCTAGATCCGTTTTGGTCTATACCCTTGCCTCCTAGTGATAGACTATTGGCCATTGAATTTCATATACATTAATAGATCACCACTCTTAATTGTCGTGGTATTGGCTTTATTTAAAGGAATGTTTTCAAAAGGGTATCATCTAGCCATGATATGGTTATCTGTAGAAAAATGAGCAACCAGATTGAAATCGACCAGCGATTTCCCAGTTCGCACGCAGCAAGGAAAATCCAGTATCTACTCTCGTAGTCTAAGATCTTACATCATGTACACCGAAAAACCCCGCCAGAAACAAATAGGATACTGAGGACTCCGCACTGGGAATTGAGGTCAACGGTTTCAGATCCTGCAGACGAGTATCTAGAGCAGGCAAAGGTAATGGAATTCCCGGAACAGTCACATATTCACAGGTCAAGACACTTGTCTCGGTGGTTCTCATTCGCTGCTACGCACGCAGGGTGGGTAACAAGGCATCGATTTAGAACCAAGACATAGCCAATGGGACCAAAGCCGCCCCCAAAACCGAGCCAGCGCCTAGGATCCCTGCGGCCCCAGAGCTAGCGGATGGCGATGCTGCACTGGATGGGGCAGAGCTGGAGGACGCAGCTGTCGACGAGGACGCAGCAGGTGTGGCGTCCGCGACGCCTGGGTGCTTCGTGAACGAGGCGGACGGCGCGGTCAGGATGTCGGCGGGAATAGTCGCGGTGGAATCCATGCCCTTCCCATTCTGGCCGGGGAGGATAGCGGTCGCTGTTTGCACGACGGTCGGGTTGACGGTCAGGGAGGTGGTGTCCTTGGAGTTACCGTCGTTGGAGACGAGGGTGCGATCCGCCATGACAGTCCAGGTTTTGGAGCCGCCGCCTGGGGCGAAGATTAGTTCTTACTCATCTTCGGAGGGGGAGAGTTGCGGAATTTTCGTAAACGTACAGAAGTCAGCGGGATAGCCTGGGCAAGCCATATCGCATTCTTTGTCGGACACCCGGGTATCAGATGGGGGGAGGCTCTTCCCGCAGTAGCAATCACTGCCTTGGACGGCGGCCACGGAATTCTTCGCTCCGCATTGTTGTTCGCAGTATCCGATGGACATGTATGCAAAGGTAGCGGCCAGTGTTAGATCGCCGGGGCTAGAGAAGCATCCTGTTTGGTTATACGAAGCGAGAACCTGGGGCGAGAGAGTCGCAAGGGAGATGAGTGCGAGATTTAAAAGGTTCTTGGACATGTTGGCCGATGTGGTTCTGCAAAAGAGGGAGGCTCTTCAAGATAGTTTTCCGGATGCGGAGAAATAGGTAGTAGGTCGAACGAATGTTAAGACAAAACAGTCTGCCGGAAGATAAGCAGCAAAAGAAAGGAAGAGTGGGTGTTCGAGGAAGAATATATTGTTGAAGATAAATCCGAGAGGGAAAGGGTCCATTGGTTTATTTAAATACGACCCAGTTTGTAGATATGGGGGCGAGCTAAACAAACGCCTTGAATGGAGGCATCGATCAGATAATCCTTCCAGTTTCTGAGGCAGATGTCAGCATGCTGAAACACCACCAGAATGATGATCCCGATGCTCCCTTTCTCCAGATTCCGCAAGAGTTCGTTGCCAGTTATTTGATCGACGAGCCTCAACCTCTGGGAAGTGGCACTGTGGCAGACGGGCAGGGCGTCCCAACGATCCCCTTGCAACCTCAAAATAGCATTCTCATTGCTCTTTGTGTCAAATCGCCGTCGCTTAAGATCGTCCGTCGAGTTTCGGGGCATTTTTTTAGCGTCGTTTGACTCGTTTGGCCTGCAAGTCCGAACTAAATCCTTCGTTAGTGGGCTGGTCTCAGTGGATGATGTACAGGATCGACACACTATTGGTTTCTGAGACCACCAACATGATCACTATTGATTATCCATTATTGTCTGGTTCCATTTATCATGGAATTGGATGATGCTGAGACATGTGAGATGGGAATAGGATAGATGGGATGAACAGTTGATTCTTGGTATGGCAGGGTGTCGATGTCACGAGACTGCACCTGATCAAAGAGAAAACCGAGTACAACTTCATCTCTTCGCATCCTGTTTTCTCTGCTTCTTCTTCTTCTTCTTTCTTCTTATCTTGGATGCTTTATTTACCAATTACCCACTCACTCATTCTGGCTGCATCTAAGCCTGCCATCAATGAACGATGCACAACTCACCATGCAGCTCTAAACCGAACCAAGAATTCGATGAACTCTGCTAAAATTTCATAGCAAGAATCTATCGAAAGGTTTGCATCTATACATCCCTGATTTGGTGATGCCTCTCGAAAGGAACTCGACTATGCTTGAGTTTGAGAAAACGCTCAACCAGGGATTCCTAAAGTCAAAGCAACATGACTGAGACCAATGAGCCGGATATCCAAACAAAGATGCTTCTAACAGCAGCGTATATCGAAAAGGACCTGTTATCGGCGAACGGCCCAGTCCGCTTTATCCGAGTGTTGACCTATCAAAGATCGGCTCGGAAACTCTGCACAGGCACGGACGGAATTGTGTGCGGAGAAGACGACTGCGACGATCTTGTCGTCAACAGCAACTCCCACAAGTGATAAGACGGATTGCCCCGACGGCGCTCGTCTTTCATTTTCGTTTCTCGGTGCACTACTGTGTTATTCTTCCAGGCCTCACCCTCGAGAACAATAGAAATGCGTTCAATTGCACACATCATCCCCGCCCTTGTTGGGTTTGGGATACCATCGGCTATGTCATTCAGCATCCCTTCTCCGCAGCAGATCCTCGAGTCATTCTCAGGTACCGGCAACGAAATCTGTCCGCAGGCATCCAAGGTCAGCTTTCCAGAGGATGGACTGCTTTCTGCTCTTCGATTTGTCCAAGACGAAGCTGTTCGCTCGCAACAGGCCGAGCGTCTCTCCAAAGCTATTCAGGTTCCCACCACAGTCAATGATTACATGACCGATCCATACGACGAGGGGTTCGCCCCGTTTGTCGAGTTCCAGGAACTTCTCGAATCACTTTTCCCACTTCTGTATGCTTATAATATCCGATCAACTTATGCGATAAAATACTAAGGCGAAAATAGCCACTCGCGTGCTCGCGTAGATCACGTCAACAGATTGGGCCTTCTCTTTACTGTCAACGGCACAGATGACTCACTCAAGCCATTGTTGTTCATGGCTCACCAGGATGTTGTACCAATCAATGATCCATCGGATTGGACATACCCGCCGTTTGCTGGCCACTTCGACGGTGAATTCATTTGGGGTCGTGGCGCCAGCGACTGCAAGAACGTTCTGATTAGCTTGCTGTCCGTCATTGAGGACCTGCTCCACCAGGACTGGCAACCAGCCCGCACAGTTGTGCTTGCGTTTGGTTTCGACGAGGAATCCAAGGGCTTTCTCGGCGCCGGCCATCTCTCCGCCGCCCTAGAGCAGCGATACGGCCGTGACAGCTTCGAATTCATCCTCGACGAAGGTGGGATGGGACTCGAGACCCTCGGCGACAACGACGATATTATCTACGCGCTCCCCGGAGTCGGCGAAAAGGGATACATAGACATCGTCTTCGCCTTGGATGTCACGGGCGGCCACAGCTCCATTCCACCCCCGCACACGGGCATCGGCATCATGTCGGAGATCATCTACACGCTCGAGCGCCAGGACCTCTTCGTCCCCGTTCTGAACGACGAGCACCCTTCCCGCAGGAAGCTCGAGTGCCAGGCACGCTACTCCCCAGACTACGTTGAGCCGTGGCTCGCGTCCGCCCTCAGGTCCTCAGACCACGCCGCCGTCGCCGAGAAGCTGGCCGTCGCCCGCGGCGACATGTTCCGCTTCAACCTGCAGACCTCCCAGGCCGCCGACATCTTCCACGGCGGGATCAAGTCCAACGCCCTGCCTGAGAAGATCTCCGCGCTCGTCAACTACCGCGTCGCCCTGCACCAGACCCCCGAAGTCGTCAAACAGCGCGCCATCGACATCATCCGCCCCATCGCCGAGAAACACAACCTGACCTGGAGCGCGTTCGAAGACCCCGCCACCGCCAACGAAGAACCTGCCCCCAGGAACAACCACCTCGCCCTATCCATCCTCAGCACCCCCCTGGATCCCGCGCCCACCAGCCCGACCAACGTCAGCACCGACGCCGTCTGGGCCCGCTTCGCCGGCGTCGCGCGCACCTCCTTCGAGTCCGTCCCTAGCCTGAAGGGCAAGACTGTCGTGGTCAGCGGAGATATCATGGGTGGGAACACGGACACGCGCTTCTACTGGTCTCTGTCGCGCAATATCTATCGCTGGAGCCCAGCGCGCAAGGACGCAAGCGTCAATATCCACACCGTCGACGAACGCATGTCGATTGATGCCCATCTCGAAGCGATGGTTTTGTATTACAGTAAGTTGATGAAACTCTTCGGGAGGTAGAACCCGAGCTGACTGGTATAGATCTTATTCGATCCTTCGATAGCTGGAAACATTCCGCCGAGGTTGTTGCCGATCTCTAAATCACAGCTCATTAGTGCTCCTGTATCTTCGCGATCCCAATACAAGAGTATCTCTGCATCCAGACTGTTATGAGCTCAAAATGGGCAGGAGAACGGCGCCCATATCCAGATCTAATGGCAACCTCGACTCTTACGAAATCTACGTACCCTTATCTCATTTTGCAGACGTAAAACGGGGTATATTTGCAACCTTGCGGGGTGCAAGTCCAGCTATATATGTGCACCATGATCTTCCGGAAGGCTCGCTGTCAGGAGGCAGCCAGCGGCGACATAGACGGGGTCTAAGAATGGCATAAAAATAGACATATCCAAAATTCATACACAAGAATAAGCTCTCCATCTCCAAGTCAGACAGAATGGTAGGCGACGGAGTATCAGCCTGATCAAAGACCTTCCGCCAACAGCAGTAGGGCAAAAGCGCCCCCCATGACGGGTCGCGCGATGAAGACATTCCCGGGATAGCTAGATAATTAGCGATGTTTGTTCTCGGGAATTTCGTGGGAACTTACTCTCCGCTAACTGTATCATAAAGGTCAGTCAGGGCGCGGTTTGTAGGCGTTTCATTGATCCATTTAGCAAGCAACTGGATGAACATGTCTCGTGTACTCGGTGAGGCAACGGCTGCTGCGAACAGCTCCCAATCACCTGCATGCTTGTTAGTGGGCCATCCATTAGGGGCGAAGGAGAGTCATAAACATAGCAAGAAAGGTAGGGCGTGCGAGGTGTTCCAGCAATTACCTTTGGTATATTGGTGTCGTGTATCTAGCGGAACACCATACTTTTGCTTGACAGTTGGGTAAAACTCGCTCTGCATGTCATAGACACTTTGAGGGACCAGGTTCAAGCCCAATTCACGATCAGCAAAGAGGTTGTATAAAAGACCTGTTTCCAGTCAGTCACTGTTCTCAATGGTGGGCGACGAGAGCGGACTGACCATGAGACTCATTTGAACCATATGACAATGTTGTATGTGGAGGATTTGCATCGTGTGCAACGCCTAAATATTGCCATCTATTGATATAATCGCGGGCAATGGCGGATCGATTAGCAGCCGCATCAGCATGACCGGTGAGATTGCTGATGGCTGCCATGGCCTCGATACCAATCATTCCTTTCAGAGCCAGATTTGTTTGGTTCCTGCAATGTTTCGTTACGGAAAATCATAAAGTCAAGCTGGAGATCATCACTTACGCCAAGGGACCAGCAAAGTCATCCGTCGAGATCTGGTTTGCTGGGTAGATAGCGTCATCAACAAGGTATGTCGCCCATTGCTCCAGCATGGAGTAGTGATCTGAAAGATATTTCTTGTTCTTTGATTTGAGCGCGTACGCGAGAGCCATGATCACCATGTTGCCGCACTCTTCCAACGGCATTGGTTCATCGTTGCCCTGAGGATGGCCAGTAGCATTTGGATAGTGGGTTCCAATATCGTGCATGGCGTATGCGTTGGGGTACTGACCGGACTCTTGAAGTTCGAAGTGAGGCTTCATCAGGAGTCGCAGTAGCTCTGGGTTGGTATACAGGAAGACGGGGTGAGCAGGGAAGATGACGTCCACCGTGTTCATGTTGCCATTGGATGAGATCTCCTTCATGAAGAGATATGGATTCTCACTTGTACCAGCCAGCTGTGTTGCAGCAAAGGCCTGGCGAGCACTAAGGGACGTAATCGTCAAGTAGTCCTGGCCAGCTGCCCGGATGGAGTCGCTCGCGATCTTCTGATCCAGAGCCGAGGATATTTCATTTGCCTCTGAATAGTCGTAATGGAAGAAATTGAGCTAATCACGGGCGTTAATGAACAGCCGGATAGAGATGGCGATATACATGAGGACAGGAATGTACTCACAGCCGCTAGATCGTCATCAAAGTAGCTTGTCCACAAGGAGGGTACTGCCTGAGTGCCTTTGGGACTGCTGTATTGGATGGCTTCGGTCTGGGCGAGGCCAATGGTAAAAAGTGTATCCACTGGAGACGAGCCAACGTCACCCAGGTCCACTGCAAAGCCGAACACTGGCCAATTCTTCGAAATAGTTCGATAGTTTGCATCTTGCGAGTTGCTCAAGACTCCATTGGCCGAGAATGCGCCTCGGACATCGACATCAGGGCCAGACTGGTATGTCAGATTATCGTTATCCTCGGTTGCCCAGTACCAGTTACCCCATTCGGCCTGTTCCTTGGCTTCGGAGAACAGAAGCTGGTTTTGACGATGGACCTTGTGATATGCAATACCATCGTTGGTGACACCGTAATCCCATTCTGCGACAGCAGCACGGTCTCCCGACGCCCATTCTACAACCTAGTCAGCCAAGTGAGCTTAAGTATAGTGGACGGACGAGCTTACCAGCCGCGATATCGGAATACAATTGCACGTCGTGGGAGTCACCATCGATTGACGAAATCTCCACATGGAGGTAAGAGAACACCAGCGACTGCCTGCGCAGATCATTGGGAGTAATGGGAGACAAAAATGTCACTTTCATTTCCACTGCATCTCCAACATTGAAAGTGAAGATGCTCTTCGTGGAGGTGTACTCATACTTAGTCTGATTAGCAGTCGTCGTACCGGGTAGCCCCATCCATGTATAGACGGAGCCATCGACGCGGATTAGCCCAGCCCAGCCATTGACCTGGCCCCTGAAAGGTAATCGAACTGATTAGGCAAGTATTCTTACACATTCAGCTGCAATCACTTACTCCCAGAAGGTCGGCCATTCGCCAGCCAGATAGCCACCATTACCACCGTCACGTCCTGCTGAGAGCCATGTGCTCAGGTAAGGAGACTTTACCGCCAAAGGCAATGCCGGAGGCCTTGCCGGGGAGAACGTGGATACTGCGCCTGCCAGAGAGGCGAGGGAGGCGGCTAGGACACCGAGAGGAAATAGCTGCATTGTGAAGTTGTTTGGGAAAGGAACGATCAACCAGGAAGCATGGCCGATTTATGAAGAGTCCGATCTGAATCCAAAACAAGCGATCAGCGAGTTTGCCACGAGAAACAAAGAAAGAAAAAATCTTTGACAATTCGAGAATGCCGACTGGTATGCTAGGGATGGTTTTATAGTAGCTGGGCGAGACCGGCATACCAGATCAAGGGAGGAACCTTACTGTCCGAGTACCGCAGACCTATAAACAATCCGAGACTGGGTCAGTCGAATAGTGGTCTAGATGAAGATGAGGAATGGAGGCACGCATGATAGAAACCACAACTGCCCAAACGTCTTCTGACCTGTCAGACACATGTGGTCTTCGGCCATAAGGCCAAGGACAAGGGGGAAAGACAGGTATGTGAAGGCTGACCGGACTATTTACCTTGCAATGTGTGGACAATCAATGTATTATCCCTCCCTTTTTTTCTTCCCTTTGCACCGGTGATACTACTGCTGAACGGTTGGTATATGGAAGCCAAGGACGATCTATGAAGCCAAAGCCCCGCGAAGCTAATGGTCGTGCTTGTTTAGGAGATGCACCTGAGCATAGGGTAGCAATATTATAAAGACTAGACAAAGTATGAGTCCGTTGTCTCTTGGCTACTGCGACATTGCGAGTCAGAAGACAACTTACCAGGAGATAAACGAATGGCACTGTCATATGCCGACAGAATGGAAGGGAAGAGTGAAGCAAGTGACAGCCTGGGGCCGGTACAAGAGGAACAAAACGAGTGTCGATAGTTGGAGACGGTTAGAAGAAGAAGAAAAGAGGAAGAGAAGACAGAGAGAACGAGAGAAGACGGGAAAATTGCCCAATATGCCCAAATAGGCAAGTGGCACACCACCTCGATCTCGGCCTCAATTATCCTTGACATTAGCCATGGTTCATGGGGGAAATTGCAGTGCTCAAGGCACCATGACAAGGTCAAGTCCCTCATCTTTCTTTCAGATCCGCGATCATTATCATCAAAAACTTGTCGGTGTGACCGAGATTTGTGATACCATCATGTGAGGCCCGACCTTCTCTGCTTCCCCTCTCTCTCTTTCTCTGGTGGACGACAAGCCGGTCAACGGACAACTGCATGACCCTCATGCAAAGGCCCTGGTCCAGAAGAGACATTATAACCTCGACTGCCAAGTTACGCTTTGAGGGTCCGACGCTATCGATAGTTGTTGGATACAGGGAAAGTTGTCGATCATCATTAGCCATGACAAGCCAGCCGTTCCGCTAAGATGCTTGTGGCCTCGGTAGGGGTTAGTTAGAGCATAGAGCACTAACTACTCCGTACACGAAGGATAGCTTACCAGTTACTTGTTACTTGTTAGTATATCCTCGGTGCTTATTGATCCTTACTGCTGCAATTCATAGAAAGCTACAGGCGATCCCGGTTGACCACGCCGGTAGTAACAACCTGTGCTTGAGCTGAGACAGACCAGGAGGGGATAGCCACCTGGCAAAAGACGGAGATTGGCTTTGATGGTTTCTTTCGATGGAGATGATTGCGACATTCTTCCATTTCTCTCGATAGCAAATGTGCTCTACTAGATAGTCTGCGTCTACAAGACGACTATGTAGTAACAACAACTACTGAGCTTGCCCCTTGCAGTGTCGCCCTACCTGCAAGGGACGACTTCTCATCTCGATCCCGGTTCGACTCGCAGAGTTCTCCTTTCTGCGCTGGATTCAGGGAGAAATACCCGACATGCATGTTATGGATGGGGATGGTTTAATTTCCTCAAAATATGGATCCATGGACGTTTTCCTCCAAAGGGAGAATAGAATAATACTTCCTCCTGTCACATCGGCATAGACTCCGCCAATAGAGAAAGAGATATCGTATTCTTTCATTTCTTGCCTCATCTTCCATAGAAAACGCCATCTCGGCATAGCAGAGCAATCAACTCATGATCCCATACATCCCATACATCCCATACATCACTCATTACCCGAAACCAACGTACCGCATAACACATCAAATCAACAAGACATCGATCGGATCACCGTCCAACAAGATTCTTCGAGCTGCGCGCCAACTCAATACAAAACTCTCCCCACTCGCTTCCGCCGCTGCTCGGCAGGATCTCTTCAGCAATCGCTTCCTCCAGCCTCTCCCCATAGCGTCGGCGGTATTCGTTCTTCACCTGTTCCAGGTGTCGTGGTTCCCAGTGCAGACGGACCAGACGCGAAATCAAGAGCTCGGAGCGCTCCTTGCCCGTGCGAGACTCCCGTAACGCTTGGTGCAGGAGCAGGGCATCGCGCATGGGCCGGTTGATTGCCCCGTTGAGGATGTGGGCAAGCGTTTCACCCTGTTATCGGTCAGGTTAGACAAGATGTTTAAAGACTGGGGGGGGAACGGTACGTACCACAAGATTCTGGGACTTGGCAATCATCGCACGGGCAAAGTTCTGCTTATAAACCTTCTCATACATGCGCAGCACCTCCCGCAGATGAGCATCGCTGCGTCGCACAATGATGTAGATCATCGCGGTCTCGCCCCCATGCCGTGACATCAACGCCCCATACAGGTCCCGGACGTCGCGCTGGACCAGATCAGGATCCACCGGGTCCCGTTCACTCTGACGGGTTTCCTCGAGGGCAAGTAGCACAGCGACTCGAAATTTGTCCGCCTTCAACTCCGATTTCATGCATTTCTCTAGACTGTCCAGGTACCGCGAATCGCGGAAGCATTCCTTAATCGCGCGGATCTCACCGTTGCTGCGGCCCATTAGGGACTCGATCAGCAGTTCCCGCCGGGATGTACTTGACTGGTAGTAGCAGTTGGCCCAGTACGCCTCGGACTCCCAGCGTCCCAGCGCGGTGGCGTAGCATACTTTGCCAAAGGCGCTGTTGCCCAACTTGAGCCGGATGTGCTTCGCCATGTTGATTCCTTTGCCCTGCAGTTTCACTTGGCTCTTGTATTCCTTCCGCAGGTCTAGCATTTCCTCGCTTGTTAGGTGAGGCAGGACCCGGGTAATGGCCTTCGTGTCAATATTGATGGTGTGTGACAGCGCCTCTTGCATCAATTTCGCATCCGGGCCGGGGTCATAGAACGTCACCCGCTTGCGGGTGCTGCTGGGTGAGATCACCATCACGGCCTGCTCAGAGTCCTGTCGCCCGTGCCGTACACGGCTGCTATCCCGGATCCGGCTGCTGTCCCGCTTCGGCCGGTCGGGTTTCAGCTCTTTGCGATCCCGCTCGTCCTTGGACTTCTTCCGCGAGTGTCTACGTCTCCCGTCGGTATCAGAGCTGCCGTCAAGGGGTTCGAGATCCGATACATCTTCATCGTATCTGGAGGGCATGACGATGGGCGATGGCATGGGAGATATGGATTGATAAGTTCCCTTGTAAGCCTCTAATAGAGGGCTTGCAGGCCGGAGATTCGGGTCTGCCCCCGCGACGTTAAGGTTGTTTGCGGATGAAACCGAGAGACTGGCGGGTCGACCGCCGGTTCGGCCTCCGGGCGTAATCTCAATAAATCGCTGTTCATTTTCCCGGCGGCTGGACGAGGTTGGTGTCTGAGGCGGCGGCTGTGGGGCTGCAGTGTATCTGACTCCCGGGTGTTGTGGCTCAGTCTTCGAGGCCGCGGGTTTTGGAGCTGCACTTGGCTTCGAGGACTGAGAGTTGACGGGGTAGGTATAAGGCGCCGAGCCCGTTTTCGAGGTATACTTGACATTGGGATCAATATGGGCATATTGAAAGGGCGCTGGGTTAGCATATCCCGGATAATTGCTCGTATCACTCGATGCAGCTCGCTGATGGGTAGGAGAGTTAACTTGGGGAGCATAGGCGTTGGTCGTCGCACCCGACAGTGGGCGAGTAGTCTGTGGGACGTACGGGTTGTGCTGTTCGAAGTTCGTGTACTGTGGCATTGGGAACACTGGAGCAGTTGTGGCAGCAGTCATTTCGGGATAGGTCGACACCGGCGGCGGGAATGCACCCGGCATATGCTGAGCTTCGGCCTGCGACGACGGCGGCACAAACCCTGGTCGTTCGCACTCCGGAATCGGTGCCCAGTTGGATGGTGGCACCGAGGACGTGGGCGGATAGCCTGGGTAACCGGGGTTCATGGGCTGAATATGACCATACTGATTCGGCATGACATATTGGAACCGTCCTGGCGCAGCATGGGTGGGTTGAGGGCCAGAGATATCCTCCTTCGAAGTATGACGGGAGCGCGAGGATTCCTGCTTGACATGCGGAGCGCCGTTAAGCGCTCCAGACATCACTGGGCCATCGACCCTGGTCGCGGAGGTACGAGCAGGGCTCTTGTAGCCGTAGTAATCGCGCTCCAGATCGCTGGGGATGTCGCCATATGCAAGTGCATCGTCTCCTGAATCCGAGTAGGAATCATCCGAGTGGCTGTCATACTTCACTGGTCGAAGGTGCGACGGTCGCGCGTAACTCTTCTGCTCGTCGCGTCTTGTAGTCTTGCTCTCCCCCGAATCGGAATGATAGTAATTGTCATGGCGGCGCTCAGTTCGCGAGTATTTGCCTTTGCCCTTGCTCCGATCTGGTCCCGACTCTGAGTCTGAGAGATCATAGCGAGAACTGGCCCGCTGGCCCCCTCTGTCTCGAGGATCGCGAGGCCGCGATTGTAGGTACTCATCTCCAACGTCCGAGACACGGTATGTTGATGATCTTGGAGTGTCCGATGGGAGTCGCGTGTCGCGAGATTTGGAACGTTCGCGGATGCGCCCGCTCGGAGACTTGGAACGGCCGCGCGACCGTGGGTCGTTGACTTGGAGTGACATGGATTCGAGTGACGAGGTCTTGCGGTCGGGAACCCACAATGTAGCTATACTCCCCGCCGATCGCACAAATCAGATTTAAACGATCACGATTGTGTATTGAGCAGCGGCACTTGTCGAAGGTCGAAGGCAAGATCGACGATTTTAGACGAAGGGTCGACTTGAAAGCACATTCACAAAAAGAAGCACACAGGTGGCAGAAGAGAAAAGAGCTCAGAAAGAAGTGGACATTGGCCAGAAGAAAAGAAACGGTCAAAACTCAGAAGCGACTCGAGGGAGCCGCTTTCTTCTGTTAGTGGTCCGAGGCTGAATCTGTGATCACCGGTGTTTCGCGCCAAAAGTTCAGCTGAACAGTTAGGTTGGCTCTGACACGGAAATGAATGAGAGCTCTAACTATCCATCGGTCAGATAAGCCCAGCCAGCGTCCATCCCATTCATTCCCCGCTGGAATGAACAAGGCTGGGGCCGCTGGGCAGCTCTTCATCATGGACATCATCTAAGAGAAGGACATTATCATCAACACATCTTGCTTTTCCGCGTAATTCCAAAGACAGGAATGAGGATATTCCTCTTAGTCTGGAGAATTTGAGCCGCACAGTGCTGAAGCTCAACTGCATAGTGCAGTAGTATGCGGCAGTCGAAGAGGGGCCAGGATAGTCAGCCCAATAAGGACGAGATCATGTTACCTCTGCAGCGAGAGTTTCTATCATTAATCGCCAGCATCGGCCGCAGTGTGCACGAATGGTCGAGTCAAAACCAGGCCCACAATCCTGTCCCGGCTGGATTGTTGGAGGTTAGACTGGCGATGACTATGATGGAGTCAAACGACCTCCCCTCTTCCGGAGTAGTCCTGTACACAGTAGTAGTAGTGCCTCGTATCTGGCTAGCGGGCAGCCACCGCCGCAAGACCGCCAGGCGTTTAAGGCCCTAGCCCCTAAGGCTGTCAAGGACTCAAGGACAAAGGACACAAGGGCCAATGGAGGCATTCTAGTCCAGTTGCTGCTGTGCTACGATTGGCTGCGAAGTACTCTGTGATACTAATTATCAATCTGGACTTCCGGGGCATTTGGCGACGTTTCAGCCTTATCTCATCCTTCACTTGGTATTATGGAGGGCATGAGAGGGCATACTTGAGAGACGTGAATGATACCATGCTCGTTTTACGTCTTGCTAATTGCGTTTCGGACGATTTGTTCAAAATACTAGCTCATTGGGATGAGGAAAAGTCACGAAGGTACTAGTCTAACAGCTTCAATGTCATTCAAAGTGGATGTCAAAAGAAGAACAAGACTTGATAGAGCCTCCAAGGGAATCGAAAAATACATCTCCTGGCGGTAAAAATTACCAGAAGCGAAGAAGAAAAGAATCAAGCATGATGAAGCCAAATGCCCCTGGGATTCGAGACGCTCCATGCATTTGGAATCACGAGGTATCAGGTCATCAGAAAGTGATATCACAGAAATAACGTAGGTGGTATAGGAAAGTCAGAAGTTGACTGATACAGAAGAAAATGAAAACAATTTCCCACCCAGTCGAATCGTACAACAGTCAACGGTGTATTCGGTTTTCGGCCGCCAGATATCCTGAGAAATCGATGGGGGCCACGGAAGTGGCAGGAATGGAGGAGAGTCCACTACCAACCTGGTTGTCCCTTTTGGGTTGTCTATGGCGTAGAAGGAGACTTCCTGCTCAGCGGAGAATCATGCCGTTCGACCAAGATCTCCAAGTGGGACGAAAACAAATAAGAAAGGGAAAATGTTGCTTAGAAAGTTATAAGTCAAAACAGACGCCGATCCCAGTTCCATGTCAATAGTGCCCAACATGGTGCACCGTGGGAATGACCCAGACGTTCTGGTAATCGGGTCGGGAAACGGACTAGGTGTAAAGTGTCCGTCAGCCTTGAGGAGTCGGAAGTCAACTACCTTCCCCGGCGGCCATCGTCGGAGGGACCGGTTCGGCCACCAAACGCCTTTTTCAGCGGTGTAGGCGAAAGACCATCACGGTTGAGACGGCTGGTTCTCCATCGTTCATACCAAATAACCCGGCTGGCTTCCCGAAGCTCGGAGCGCCAATCACTGAAGACGGAGTCCTTGAGCTTGAGAAAATCGCAGTGTTCGGGGTTGTACGGATCGGCGAAACCCCAGGGGAATCTGCGGCCAACCGGCTGATCCCCAGCTTCTAGGGAGTAACGATCGGGAGATAGGGTTGAGAATGGCAGGTGAGGGACCGCAGCCTGTGAACCGGAAGACCGATTGGTCTTTTCGCTTCCTTGAGATGGTGAGCCCGGTACGGCGGGTTCAGCCATTTGCTCCTTGTTTGGGCTGGTGGTCGCCTCTGCTGCTGCCTTCTCATCCTCATCATCGCTCTCGGAAGAGGTATACTCCTCCTGGTCTTCCAGAGTCAAGATCTCAAGAGGATCAATATTAACCTTCTTCAAGCTCTGCCAGACCTCTTTCTTCAGGTAGCTCATGTGCGCAGTGGTGATCGTGTCCGCCTTGCTGATGACAGGGACAATCGTGGTCTTTCCGAGCACGGTTCTCAGAACCTGGATGTCCAGGTACTCATCCAAGATCCCAATTACAGGGGTATCAGTCGCTTTAGCAGTTCCCTGAGCAGCTCGCCCAGCGGCAGCAATATTCTCATCCAGACGCACAGGATCCAGAAGCAGGAAAGTGCAATGGATATGGGTGTCGCGGAAGCCGGGCGAGCGGATAACTTTCATCTCTTCATGCAGTGTCTCTTCGAACTTGCTCTCCAGAAATCCCGTCACACCGCGCAATTGGATGTCAACGATGCTCTTTTCCAACCCTTGGGAATCCCACAGGGTCAGGCCCACACGCTCGCCGTCAATTTCGGTTTCGAGATATTGAGAGGTAAAGCCTTCGTTGGCGGGAATTTGGCGCTCGTAGGCTTCGGTCTCTTCAGGAGAACGGCTAGGATGCTTGTGCGGTGGCATAGTCAAGGACTTTCTGAGAAAATTCAAAAATGAAGTCTTGCCAGAATTGCGGGCACCGATAACGAGGATGCTATCCGATATGTCAGCCTAATTTTCTCTTTATTCTTGCCATAGCCCTGCCCTGTGTTACAACTCACTTGTATGGTGTAGGATCCTTGCGCCTCCTCATTCTGCGCGGGTTGTTGACGGTACTGACAGCGCTGCTGGCATAGCTATAACGTCCACGGTGGGTCATACTCTCCGTGCGCGCATAGGGATCGACGGGCTCCGCGAGAGCACTCATATTGCTGCGGATGGAAATGTTTTGCTGACCGGCAAATGCCTCGTTTGACGGAACAGGAGGAGTGTCACGGTGTTCGTCACCTCCAAACGACTCAATGGCTGGTGCCGGTGCGAGATCGGGTAGGCGAGGAGGCAGTTTCGGCATAACCTCGCGCTGACGACGGAGCTCCTCTTCCGGGGCCTGCGACCTCTTCTTGCTTTTGCTCCCAGATAATTTTCGATCGTTCAACGGCTCAGTGGACTTTGCGCGACGCAGGAACCCTAAAGATGACGCACGACGTTGATCCTTAGACTGACCATTGCCATTCTCCGTGATGGCAGGAACTTCTGAGGAAGGCTGGGTCCGGCTAGGGGTCCGGGGTCGCGACGCGGTTGCCATTATTAAAGTGCTATTGATGGGTATGTTCTCAGAGAAAAGACCTCTCTCCAATGGAGTCGCTTGACAGGGTATAGTTTCAGGTGAGAAGTGGGGAAACCGTGATTGAGGATTGTCTCAGATATAGATCGTCTCACCAATAGTGGGACGTCACACCAACACTTTTCTCTGTTGGCTGGTCCTTGTGGTAATTTTCGGACAGCGTTCGAACGTGAGAGTGGTGGTGACTCTTGAGAGCTCTAACAAAGGCACAGCATCTGAAAGTCAGCCAGAGCAGCCAAGGAGAACTAAGAACGAGGGAACTGGGTGGCTTCATGAACTCTCGTTTCTCGTTCAATTTTGCATTTTCCGCTTTTCTACCCATATTAAATAAGAATAGATTGCAGTGATTGAACTTACGAGCGTTGGAATTTAGCTCTGCGATCAAACAAGGCAACGTAAATTCCTCCACGTGGTGGTGGATTGACACCAGGCACGTTCCTGTTGACGTCTAGTGGTGACGGGTTGCTAACTTGCGATTGTGCGAGGGATCAAAGACCTCAAGTCAAATTGATCGGAAATCGCTGAACAAGAGAGGATCCGGCTTGGAGAAACGAATGAAACGATGGATGAGTCGATCCAAAGTGACAGGAATCAGGAGGGACCAGGTAAGATGACAATCACCAGCCCAGCAAGTGTTTGTTCAATCCAGCCCCGTGTCTCTGCTTGAGGACAATAATGAGGGATAAATGCAGTAACGAAAGACAGGGATTTTCGAAACCAGAGGTTGCTGAGTCGATTGCCGATAAAAAATTCTTTGCTCTTATCTCTGTTTCTTTTCCCTTGTTTTTTCTATTTTTTTTAGGGATTTTCTGCTCTTTTTGCCTTTCTTCAAATCAAAAGAAAGAGTGTAAGATACCTGCTTACGGCGTCCGGCTGAAGCGGCGCTTGGAGGAAAAGAAAAAAGTGGAAGGGAAAGAAAGACCGGAAGATGGTGAAGAGAAGGAAGTTTGCCCGGTCAAGAATCAGTTGAAATGGAGGGAAATCGACGACGGCCCGAACTGATGATGATCAGCTAAAGACGAAGACGGACGATGGTGATATCTAGTATGGCCATTGCAGCCCCTCTTGTTCTGCCTTCTTGTCGAAACAAACCAGGACAAAAGCTTCGAGTCAATTCCTGCTACTCCGTACATAGAGTGCCTTGATCACATTGCATGCTAATAATTCTATTCCGTCTACAGGATTTTCTCGACTTCAATCTGACTCTCTCTCTCTCTCTCTCCGTGAAGTTCTTGAGCTCGTCGGGATTGAGATTCAGGGGCAAACACAGAAGCGAATAATAACCTTGAAGGGGCTCGGCCTTTTAGTTAGTTCTCCACTGAAAACGAACCTGCTCACTTGGGCTTAGACTTGGGACTAATTAGATACCTTCAATAATAGGCTTAGGCTCGGTGACCGGTGCATGGGTTGTTTCCCTCTCTCCGTCTTCCGTTCTCTGAAGTTTGTACGCACTACGCAGTCTTACTGGCTGTGGTGTTGGTCTTACAGTGTACAGAGGAGGGGTCAAAGAACGGGCAATTTTATTCGCAGCTAGCCACGGATAAAATCGACGGCTCAAGGGCTGGTCGAGTATGGAATGGCATTTGTTATGAGAATGCGAATTCCATGACTGACATTCTCAATGGCAAGCTCATTGATGACCATGACAAAGTCCCTTTCAACAATTACTTCATACTTGACCCCGATCAATAATAAATTCAGAGTTCTGACACATCCACATCGATCAGACAATCACAACGGTCATGCAAATTAGTCCACTTTTTTTTTCACTTAGTCAGGGGTAATTGCTATGCCTACCCGTGTCTGGTTCGTAGTATGCCAAGATATGCTACTGTATGTAGTGTGTACAACTTGAGCCTGACCGGCACTAGATAGAATGATAGATAGCTCGCAATATGAGGACTGTGGTGGAATGCTATCCGAAGCTTAAAGACATCCAAAATGTCCTTTTTATAAATGCCATCTTGACTGTGATGAAAAGCGAGTCGACAATATAGTGGGTGGTCAACTGGTCATTCTGGGCCTGATGGGGCCATCCTGAGATCAAGCAGTGATCAAAACTCCCCACACGTGGGGCCTTGTCTTGATCTATCTAATATCTCCATATCTTCTTCAACATGCCTGATTCAAGATGGCATACAGATGCAACCTACAGAGGTATTCAGTATTGTATGGTGATCAGAGCTTCAGGCTGTATCCGAGCAACAGGTGGTCGCAGACCACTCAGAAACAGTCAGGTGACTCGCCATTGACACAGTTGTATAGGTACAACAACTCCTTGCTTGCTGGTATACCAAAGCATCATCAGAGAAACAACAGATACGATCTCTACGGAGTACAGTATATCCAGGAGATCGATCCAATAATCTGGATGGATTAGGATCAAAAAAAGGAAAGCAAATATACTCAAGAAGCAAAACAGAATAAAGGGCAGGTGTACGACCCCCTCAATATTCTGCCCAACCCCTGCTCCTATTTTTGAAGGGAGCAGAGGCTGTATTCGAACCGGGGACCTACTGCAGCTGTCGCGAGAGCCTGTCTCAATGACAGGCTGCTCGCAGATGATGACCGCTGCACTATCGCCCCCGGTTCCTTGCTGGGTAATAGATGACGGGGGGGCATATGCTGCCTGGTGGGAAGCCCAAAAGGGAAGGAAGTGAATGAACGGGGGTGGATGCCTGGGGAACGGGGCATCTGCTTCGTGCTTAAGGTATAACGATTTTGTTACGAGTCACAGGACCTGAGTATACTTGGGAGTCGCACTCGTCATCAGGGTCTATTCCTACAAGACTAGACCTTGCCCTTCCTAAGCATACTTCTCAGGTGTATCTGGTGAGACACACTTGCAAATTGCCTCGTCTTCTACACATCCTTCTATAGCCGTGGATTCAGACGCGGCGTTTCACGCCCTCTGTTGCTCTTCTGACGTTTCCATCCAAATCCGAAACGGGAGAACGGTGCATGGATCGCTCGGGCACACTTTCTCGCGAAGAAGCTTCTTGAATTTTGGGCCATTTGGGCCAGCGGTATATTTCGCTTGCCCGAAAAGCTCTGGTCCTCCAGGCAGTGCATCGTCTCCCCACTGACCGTTGTAATTCAACCAGTTTACCGGGTAGCTAGGGTCATATGGCAAGAAGGTTCTGCTGTTGGCATCATAGCTGTATGCGTAAGCGCTCAGCGTCGGATCCCACAACTTTCCGCGGTCGGTATGATCAACAACGAATCCTACTGGGAGGTTCAAATGGGGAATGGCATGGTCGTGGTTCCTGCACATGCATTCAGTATTCCTCTAATATCCATCTAGAATGGTTTCTTTACCCGGCAATAACGTAGACTGCATGCGTCCCGTTTGCCGAATATGCGTACGGCCGCTTGCCTTGCTTTTCAGTCGCGTTGTAGGTGAAAGCTTGTCCTCCAGCATGCTGGCTGTACCAGATTGCTTGAGGGCTGCCATTCTGGAACCGAATCATATTATGCTCCCTGCGCGGTATTAGAGCACGTAAACAACTTCAAATCTGGACAACAACTTACCAATCGCCAATATGATCGCCGAATTCCATTCCCAGAACGGTATTGCCTTGATTATACCTAACTTGTCAATACACACACAGCCTCGAGCTGAGAAGCTCTAAATCACTCACGCATAGAAATAGAAGTAAAAGGCATCTAAGGTTCCATTGTTGTGATCACGAACCACAATCACCGATGAGATCGCACCCTCCGTCTTACCTTGCTGGTCCGGGACGGTGCCACGGAACCATGGCGGTTGAGGCTGTGCATCGATGCCCTCATGCGATGTCAAATAAACGCTCGTGTTTCCCAGATCATTCAGGCTGTCAAGATTGTCCAGAGTCAAAGGCGACGAGGCCCCTGAGATGCCTTTCCAGTCCACCATCGGTGTAGTGTGCACCAGCTGCTGGCCAATGTCGGAAGGCATGTACACATCCTGACTATGCAGCCATACGAGCGGTGCTGCACCCAGTCAGAGGCCAAATTCACTGTGATTCGGGAATGGAAACGCACCATATTCCAGGACAAAACTTGGTATTTCTGTCGCAGGCAATTCCTTCACTCCACCATCAGTGATGGCCGTTGTCGATTGGAGCAAGTACGCTGCGGGAATGAAGATTGAAGTCCACATGTTGATGTGATGCAGGAAACAATCAAAGTGTTCGAGGTGCAGCCATGTGTCTACCGGTTATCTGGCAGTGCCGATGGAATATGCCCTTACACAAGACATCAGCGGCAGGCACCTTATAAAGCGTGTGGTGACAGGGATTCACAGATTTATACTTAGCCCTCCTGACCACTCTTTAGATCCTACCTTGACAATCCAGATATCTGCAGACTAAACTAGTAGAACACAGCCAGTCAGCAGCTGATAGTGTATGGTATCCATCAGTGGCCCCCGAATCAACCTCGTGCAAGAGCGAAGCGATCCGAATTGAACTTCCGTTGACGTGAAGTATATCAACTGCCTTATTGGTTTGGGGTCATTCCGTAGTGGGATTAGTATGAAGTGGATGGTGCAATCAAGCATTTCATTTCGAAGCCGAAGGGACGTGTGACTGCCCAGTCACATTGATGCTGAGTTACATCGTGGAGGGATCCTGTGATGCTGTTAGCCAAGCGCAAACAACGGCTTACAAGGGTTCTTTCTTCCTACTAGAGCTGCTCAAGGGATCCCTGTCGAGATGGAAATCTCGTCATTTCCAGCCGTCTGCTGAAGAGGAGTTGTGATACTTAAGATCCGTTCGGTATCTGGATGTCTTTGGTCACATGTCATCCTGTGTCTTGCCTATAAACTTAATCTGTAGTATCAACTCAACAAACAAGTCCCTGACTCCGTCAGCGAAGTGTGGCACAGTTGGCGAATCTGCATTGACTGTTCATATCTTTCATTCTATACTACATCCTTTCAAATCATCGTGACCAGATGCGTGTGTCTCTGCGATCATGACTTTCCCGCATTCTGCTCAGCTTCCAGCGCCCTCTTCTTCTCTGCCTCTTTCATCAACTTGAACACCCGAAGGTCCAACGGAATCCTATCTCCCAGCCATGTGGCACGCTGCGTATGATTCCGTTCCTCCTCCGAGTTTATCGTGTTCGGATGAACCAGGGCACTTAATGGCCCCCGATTGATTATGAGCCAGGGCACGAAAGCGCCAAACTGAGCGGGCGTGAAAACATTGACTTCGAACATGGCGACTGGATGAGGCCCGAGTGGCTTGTCGTAGAAGGTGTAGATGCGAAGCTCGGGAACTGCATGCTGTTAGCTGACCTCTGGTCTTTAACGCCAGTGGAGACATGACAAGCTTCCTATGTTTGAAGCCGTCAGCGCCACTAGACGGAAACTCACATTCTCGCCTGATTCTCTCCCATAGAGCTCTAGCGTAAGCGACTTGGTCTGGGTTATTCTACCCAAGGAAGTCAATATGCATGTTTCTTAAGAATGGGGAGGGGAGAGGAGGGCAGACTATTGGCAGTCACAGCCGATTTTCAATACTAACCTGGAAGTGGTAGATATGAATGTCGAAGCCCCCACGACCTCCTTTTGCAAGAGGATCAGGGAATTCCTCATATGCTTTACTTAGTATCCCATGTTGCGGGTTCTTGAAGGACTTTCCGTCTTCATTCCGCTCACTATAGAGTGACTATTAGCTCAATTTACCAGATAATCATTAATTGCTTGGAATGCAGTATCCCGTTAGCAGCAGGCTGCAGCTTACTCCGACAGTGGCTCGAGGTTTTCGTAGCCCTCAAGCGGGGAGGGATATGTGAATGCGAATGCGTCAGTCATCGTTCACTCTGGGGATATCAGGAAAGTATAGTGAGATAAAGTGAAATAGCAAGATAATATCCTGAGGGTATGTGGAAGTTACAGCCCAGCTCAAGAAATGTATAGTTGCAGCAACATTAAAGAGAAATAAAGATGAGATGAGATCACGGCTGAGCCCCCCGATGGTCTTTATATCTAATCAATCAGGCCGAGAAATCGCACGCTCCACAACATTTGATCCATTTATCATCTATCTGACTGTACTTCTGTATTAATTGTCAGCAAAGCAGATAGACTAATTCTGAGGTCTTTAGAGCCATCCATGAGGAATATGGCGTGTGCCATAAAATTGTGCAGGTGTGTCTCAGTTGGCTGCAGTCTGTATTTCCGCACTGTGACAAAGCTGCGGAATCCACGTCCCATTTTTCTTGGCAGGTAGAAGTGGATTCTGCGCTATGTGCAAGAGAATTGAAGAGTCTTGGGGAAGATGGATCTGAGCTTCAATACAACAGTTGAAATTCTGTACGCTGTCGTTCCAGTACAGAGAGAAATTATATTAGCGGACGTTGCTTGTATAGTGCTGAGGTTGGTCATTTTGAGAAGCAGTGGAGAGCATATATATATATATATATATTGCATTGCTACCTTGTCCTAATATATTTTGGATACCATCACCTATGTACATGGAACCCTCATACTCGTAAGATACTCATCAATCATAATTGGGATGCCAGCAACTCCAACTAGGCTAATTTACATCATATCACTATAGCAATATAAGCTTCTCAATGACCATTTCCCCCAGTGAATGAAACATGCTACCATGAAGCCTTCACATCAACATGTCCATCAGCATCAACGAACTTCCCCCGATCCCATTCTCGACCTTCGCCCTTCTTTGACCATTTGACGTCTTCGAGTCTGCCTTCATCATCACCACCAGGAGCACTGGAGCTATGCTTCCACCGGTCTACAACAGCATTATTGCAACCCGCCTCTCGTAATCGTTCCTCTCCCTTCTGTCTCCAGCGGGTTCGGTCGCGGAGCGCTTCGAGAGCAAGTTCCCAGTCATCGTCTCCTGTCATGAGACCTGCAACTGGACGCCGAGAGGGCCTGCTACTCTCAATCAAATTATCGTCCTCTAGCTGAACATCCAAAGTCGGGTCGTAGTCGTCAGCGAAGTGGGCGTCAATATTGCTTGCATTGGGTCTGTAGGCGCCTCTGCCTCGAGAGCGGATTGGCCCAGATCCATGAAGACCGTCTTGTTTGGGAGGTAAAGGCCCAACCAGCTCCTCAAGTGGATCCGACCCATATCCGGATTCCTTTTGCTGAGAAGCCGATGTGCGCGGTATGGAAATTTCATCCCTTGTATGTTTGTGTCTCCGCGGTGAGCGATCGTCATGAGTATTGCGATTACTCTTTCTCCCACCGTCCTCTCTGTTCCTATAATCAAGCCTTCCTCTCCGACTCCCATGTCTAACTGGCGATGAAGAGTGAGATCGCGACAACGATCGGGTGCGTTTTCGATGTCGGTGACGATCGCGAGCATCAGAACGCTCGCGCCGTGGCGATCGGCTTCTCGAGGTTGACCGCCGCCGCCGTTCCTTTCTGGAAGATCGATCGTAAGTCTCATCGGTGCCGCGAGATTCATGCGTTCGTCGGTGTCTGCGGGGCCGATCTCTATCTGGGGACGCTGAAGTACTTCCATATCTTTCTCGGTGAGTCCGATGCCTTTCATCACGATCTTCTCTTCTGTGTCCTCGAGATCTCGCGTCGTCCGACTGCATTCGCAAGCGATGACGATCGTGTGCTCGGTCATCTCGCGCTGAGGCAGAAACCTGGCCCCGTAGCTGTCGCATCCGTTCTCTGGCCTCTCTCTCTTCTTTTCGCTTCAGGGAGGCATTGTGACTATCCGTTTCTTTAATAATATTGCGTAAGAACCTTGTGTTCGGTTTTGGAGCTGCACCAGTAGGCCTGCGATAGACTATCCATCAGCCCCATCCCAAGCGTGGTGACACTATATATCAAGTATAATACCTTTTCGGAAGATAAGCGCCCAGCCCTTGTGTAGAGTACTTAAGTGAGCTGTCCCGAGCTTCGCTTGCTAGTACTTGTACGACATAGTCGTTATCGAGGTCAGCATTTGCCTCTGTAGTGTTAAAAGGCATGATCGTGGGGAGAGCAATTGCCAGCAATTGCCAGCCAGAGGAATAAAATGCGATTCCGGTATCTGGATTTCGCTCAGAAGATGTGACGCTATGCAGGGGTAAAGGGTTATAAATTGAAAGACGTATGGAGAGCTTTCAACTGCTCATCATTTGAAATCTTGTACAAATGAAAGAAGTGGTGGTGGAAGTGGCGCCAAATCCCATTCAGAGCGGTGTCGCTGGGTGATTGCCGTAATCGATAAGGATTTGTTTACTTTTCTGTTGTCAACCCGCCAACGCGTGAGCAGACTCATCTATTAACTGACGGTGACTTTCCTGTTGGGGGACATACGCATTTTGAGGAATCTTGATCTAGTGTCCTCTATTTCTAGATACCTATTTCTTGGTGAACATACGCCACTGGGAAGAAACATCGTCTGACAATGGCGGACCAGAACCCCGCGGGACTACTCGAGCAGCTTCAACAACAGGAGAAAGAAAACGGTGAATTGAACACTCGTCTTGCTATCATCCGTATAAGCGAGCCTATATCCTCGTCAAATGTCGAAAATTACAATCCATCACCATCAAAGCGCAGATCTGATGTCTCCGTTATTGACAATCCCTCTCCTGCGTCTCTCGAGGCAGACTTGACACACTACAAGGTACGAACCAAGCCTCTCCGATGTTCGCATCAATGCTAATGCGCATTCTCCAATACTAATTGTAGGAACTATTTTCCAAATTGCGCTTTTCCTACGTCGAGCAAGTGACGAAAGAAAAATTCCTACGAGCGATCGTGGGCGATCCGCCGCTAGTCGTCGGCCACAATGAGAACATCGAGTTAGAAGGGCAGCTGGCCGAAGTGAAAGCCGCGCTGCAAGCGCGTAAGGAAGAGGTGAGGGTGATGATCGAAGAAATGGAGAAGATGGGTCGGGATTTGGCAAGCCGTGAGTTCTCTATCTCTCAAAAGTTAACCTTCTACGCCGACGCGACTCGCTAAACCAATCGTCCGACAGGGTATAAGAATATCCAAACACAGATGACGCAGCTGTCCACTCTTCCCGAATCCATCGAGAACCTAGAATCCACCATCGCCGGACTGCGCGCGAAGCAGGTCGCCAATATGGGCTCTTCGTCGTCCCAGAACCTGCCGCTCCCGGCAACGCTGTCCCTGGTAGCCGAGCGCGAGGCAGAACTTGCGGCATTAAATCGGCAACTTGCCGCAGTACAGAATGCTTTGCCCCGGAAGGCACGCGAGGCCGAGGCAATGGAGAGGGAACTTGGTGTACTTGAAAGGAGAAGGAGCGAAGCCACTATGCAAGCGCGGGAGGCCCAGAGAATGAAGCAAGAGGGTGAGAGTGATGGATTGGAGGAAATGGGTCGATGGTATCGGAATGCGGAGGAGACACTCAAGAAGCTCGTCGGTGTTGAGGGATAAGGCTGGGGAGCGGCTTGATTGGAAAGGCGTCTACGGATATCCGGTGTTGGGGCATTTGAGGCATTATGTATATACGGCAAGTGTGAGATATACTCTTACGTGGTGAAAGATTTGACTTTGGGTCTCGGAATAGAGCCGCTAGGCCATTTGAATTCATTGACATGCACGATCATACAACATGATACGCTATGCTGCAGACACAATGGAACCCCGTGAGATTTTGGTTCCCAAAACGAGACCCGTCCGTACTCCTGACTTTTGATTAAACATTTACTCCTCATCCTCCTCACCCTCGTCACCCTCGCCACCAGCGGCAGCAGCAGCCTTCTTGCGCTGGACACGGCCAGGGCGGCCACCACCGTAGGGGGAGGTGAGAGCGAAGTCAATGTGCTTCTGGGAGTCCAGGCGGACCATGAAGGAAGGCACGTTGACGATCTGCTTGCCGACACTAGTGGAGAACGCCAATAAGTAAATAGTCTTAAAAGATGTTCTCAGGTGAAGCATACCGGATGTGACGCTGCTTGATCAGGACACGGGCGTGGTGGATGGACTTGGCGAGGCCGAGCTTGTAGACGCAGGTCTGCAGACGACGCTCCAAGAAGTCCTCGATGCGAAGGGCCAGGACGTAATCGAGCTTCAAGCGGGACTCATCGAGCACACCGATGCGGACCAGACGGCGAATCAAAGCATTACCTTCGAAAAGACGCTTGGGGTCCTTCTCGTCGAGGGTGAGAAGCTCACTGTATCAGGGATCGATTAGTCGTTGTTCCGATATGATTTCACCAGTTCAATGGGTGCATACCGAGCAGCACGACGGATCTTGGACAGGGTGAGCTGGACACGCCACACCTCACGCTTGTTGCGCAGGCCGTACTCGCCGACAGTCTTCAGTTCCGAGTCACTATCGACTACAGGTTAGGCATGGAACACACGACATAAACAGAAGCACGCTTCTGATCAGTGGCCGGAGAGTACTAACAGACGGGCCGACTCGAAAGCTGAACACAAGTTAGCGCTTGATCCGACTTTGACAATTTTTCCAATTCTGGATATCTTGGATTTTACTTACGACGACGGGGGACCTTGTAGGTCTTGGAGTAAACGCGACTGTAACGCAAAAATGGCGGTTAGAACGATGCGACATAATTTCAGCATTTCATCGCAGAGCTGTACTCACGGAGCGGGGGCCATGGCTGCTGATTCTGCGTTGTCGTGGGATTGTCGAACACACCAAACTTCACAAAAGCCGCGATGATGAGAAGTTGAAGGTTGAAGGAGATAGCTTAGCGAGGATCAAGTTGTGGGGCTAGACCCATTGTGGCTAGTGGGGTAGGGTTAGGGCTGGGAAGCACAACCAAGCATCTGAAGTCTACATCCTCACTAAGTGCGGCAGGACGAGGCACTTCTTCGTTGTCGACAATTTTTCAACACCAGCAACACCAACACCGCAGAAATGGGTCACTCCCACGGTTTGAGAGCAGGCACTCGCGTACGTTTGAACGACAGAATCTACCCGACGTTTTTTTTGCGGCCTCGAACGGAGCGCTGATGGTTGTTATAGTATGCCTTTAGCCGCAACTTCAAGGAGCACGGCCAGATCCATCTGTCGACCTACCTGAAGACCTACCGGTACGCCCAAAAAATTCGAGATACAACGGTGGAAAATTTGGAGAACAGGGTCTGATTAGTATGATTACAGGGTTGGCGATATCGTGGATGTCAAGGTCAACGGTGCCGTCCAGAAGGGGTCAGTACTTTCCCCTCCACCTGCTGCCATCACAAGGAGTTCGAAACGCGCGGATTATGTCGTGATTGTCGTTTGAAATCAGAGAAGAACGGTTTGCTGAGAATGATGAAACAGTATGCCCTACAAGGTCTACAACGGTAAGACCGGTGTCGTCTACAACGTTACCAAGTCCTCCGTCGGTGTCCTCCTCTACAAGGTCGTCGGCAACCGCTATCTCGAGAAGCGCATCAACATCCGCGTTGAGCACGTCAAGCACTCCCGTTCCCGCGAGGACTTCATCAAGCGTGTCAAGGAGAACGCCGCCAAGAAGCGCCAGGCCAAGGAGGAGGGTATCCACCTCCACCTGAAGAGACAGCCCGCCATGCCCCGTGAGGCTCACCTTGTCGAGGGTGTTGCCGCTGAGACCATCACCCCCATCCCTTACGACACCCACATCTAAACGAATGGATATGGTCGATGCGGTTGTTTGGTGTTTCTGGGTTTTTTCCATGTATGGGTGGACTTTGCATTGAGACGAAGCGATAAAAAAAATTAGGGTTCTCAGATGTTCTGGCACATCTTAAGCCTGTGCATAGATTCCCCTCAATGAAAGGAAAAAAGACAAATCTTTCGATTCCCTCCGAGAAACAGATGCGCCAGGCTATTTTGTCACGAATGCACGGTTTACCAAGGTTTCCCCGGCCTTTTGGCGTATGAAAAGTCCTGCATTGTCGGTAGCCCTTGATGGTACTACCTCCAATCAAACGCTTTGATTCCTTGTTTGGGAATTTCGTGCATATTAAGTCTATACTTGGAACCTTCGTAGTGGTATCCTGGCGGGAGGCAAGATGCGTCATGACCACGATTGACCCGCTATCCGGATACTTTGCCTTTACAACGTAGATCGGAAGCCGGCGTCGAATTCAACTAAATACCGGTAATTCAACCGCTCACCAGATTTCCTCCTTGGAATAATATTCTCAGAGCTCTATAGACGTTCCTGCATTAGTTGTAAAAGCGGCGACGGAAAAGATTTGCCAATCGGCAATGGCAGCTTGAGATCCGCCCAGATTCCGCCGAGCAAAAAATAAGCCATCCTCGAAAAATTGATCAAGAGCATCGGCACCTCCACGCTACACCCTCCTTATCTTAAGTCGGGGTTCATTCTACTAATTTGCTTATACGCCATTCTTGGAGCTTCGTATTTTCATGGTATCCGCGACTTCGGTTGATTCCAAGCTCCCGGCCCGAGACTGATCTTCCTGACTACACGCTCATCCCGATTATACCCCAGCTCTTGTTGATGCCTTTTTCAACCACTTCCCAAACCAGCTCTGCGCAGGCGCATCTGGGAAAAGGAGATGATATCGGTGAAGAACTCATGATACAGTCAAGGGAAACTGGTGAGGTTATACCGCAAGATAACGACAGGAACAGCCAGGCGAAGCCTTTTGCCCACTTTGTCGCTGGAGGGTACGATAACACTACTTTGTTCCATGGAGACTGATATTCAAGGCTTTGGAAGCTAATGATTATGACTCTGCAGCATTGGTGGAATGACAGCTGCTACGCTTACCTCCCCTCTCGATGTCTTGAAAACTCGACTACAATCCGACTTCTACCAAGCTCAGCTCAAGTCCCTTCGCGCCGCTCACCCGTTGCCACCATCCCATTCGATCGCTACACTTCCTCGAATCGCTTTGCTGCATTTCCAGGAAACGTTCCAGATCCTGCGCTCGATACATGTTCACGAGGGCTGGCGCGCCTTGTTCAAGGGTCTGGGACCTAATTTGATTGGAGTGGTTCCGGCCCGTGCCATCAATTTCTACGTCTACGGAAACGGGAAGCGAATACTGAGCGATTACTTCAACTATCGAGATGCCAGGGAAACACCTGTTGGCATTCATCTGGCAGCGGCCGCCGTCGCTGGCATTGCCACCGGAACAGCAACCAACCCCATCTGGCTGGTGAAGACACGCTTGCAGCTGGACAAGTCGAACGCTGAGCACGGCAAGGGCCGCCAATATAAGAACAGCTGGGACTGCATCAAGCAGACTGTGCGCCATGAGGGCATTCGCGGCCTGTACAAGGGCCTTTCGGCGTCCTACCTGGGAGTGACCGAGTCGACTCTGCAGTGGGTGATGTATGAGCAGATGAAGATGCACCTGGCGCGCAGGGAGGCGGTGAAACGTGCTGATCCCAACCACATCTACAATTTCTGGGATGATGTGGAGTTGTGGGGTGGCCGAATTTGCGCTGCTGGTTTGGCGAAGTTGATTGCTGCGGCTGCCACTTACCCACATGAAGTCGTGCGAACGAGGCTGAGGCAGGCGCCCACTGTGTCCGCCGGGGATGGCAAGGTCCAGATGAAGTACACGGGCCTGGTGCAGTGCTTCAAGACTGTGGCGAAGGAGGAAGGTATGGTTGGATTGTATGGCGGTCTTACACCGCACTTGTTGCGAGTTGTTCCGTCGGCCGCCATTATGTTCGGAATGTGAGTTTTCTTCCTTCATTCGTCCTCACGACCATCGGTTTCTGACATTCTTGGATTAGGTACGAGGTGATCCTGCGCCTCTTTGGAACGACGTCATAAACTCACTTGCCCATACCTCTGCCTCTCCACTGTCAAGCGCCATTCTAATCTTCTGTTTGAGCGTAAACTCTGTATCATATTACATCCCCCTCTGTTTCGGACGTCTTTTACTGATAGAAGGGTCAGCTGCATGTTCACGGCGCACTGTTTGGGTGATTGTTACTTTGGACTGGCGTCATTGCTCTTCCCTCATTGTTTGTTGATCTAATGTAAAGGCAGGGGATATGAACTCTGTATGTATCTATATGGCGGGATTGAATTTCAAGATAAAAGAGTACCTTGTAACAATAGAATAGTCGGCCATCACTGTGGTCTCTATCTCCTATCTCATTGCTGTTGAACTATGCAAGGAACCCCGTAGTTCCATACTTTTACATAAGCTACATGACAGTAATCTCCGCAATCTGACACGTCTCGCACATGCGTCTAAAGTCCCCCCTCAGATCAGCGAATCTTCTCTTTACTCAGCACTGAACATCCTGCCAGCCTTTCCCTCAAGACCCGGATACCTGGTACGGCATTCAGACGCTTTTCCTGTCGCGTAAGTTGTGTTGCGACGCCGCACACTTACAGGCAGTCAGGGACCCACTGCAGTACATATCTCGCGTAGGAAAATATGATACATCATTTGAACACAGCGAAACAGGGCACAATTAACACGTTTACCTACCAACTTCTGCAATTTAGAAGAACTATCTTAGTCTAATTTTGAATGACTCCGACCGGCTTTCCAGCAAAAAGGCTGGATTTCCCGTGCATTAAGCTAGCTTACATGATATATGCACGCAGCTTTTTATGGGATGACTTCTGTTTTGAAGGAGCAGCGTTAGCACTAAGATTAGTATGAAATTTGCCACCCAAGCGCCTTTGGGGCTTCTTTGGTCGTTGTACTGATTTAATCGCTAGCATCTCGAACGGTCATCCGAGCGCACGTCGTCGCAGCAGCAGCGCAGGTCATGACAACAAGGCTGTCCAGGTCCCTCATCTAGGAAACCAGCGGTGAGGAAGGGCACTGGCGCGGTTTCAAAGTGCGAAGGAGATGAGACGTTGGAGGATACTACGTACAGAATATCAGCATCTGACCCTGTTGACGACTGGGCAGGGGTGCCCGCGACGGTTGACGCTCATAGGCTGAGCTGACAGAATCTCGAGAAACCACCAGGTACCTGAGGTAACCGCTTCCTCACTGTTTAATCTAGTGCCGCTTTGATGTGTTCATTTGTTTAGGGCAAATAGGGATCTGAGATCTCCAACAGACAGAGTCAAACAACTGTCTGCGATGAGTGCTCCAATGTCTATACCGCCAGGGCAAAAGGGATCTATCGAGGAGCATGGAATGAGCTCTTGCCCATTGGCAAGTGCAAACTAACTAACGCCCAGTGCTTCGAAAGCACCCTCAGGAATTGACCAGTTGCTTTATCTAGCAGCAGGTACATGAGCCATTCTGATTGAGATCAGCATGCAGATTTACTTTACGATTTGGTAATTTACCAGTTCCTTCCATCTGAGCCATTGATGGCTAGCAGATGCTGGGCCTGATGGGCAACCTGTTGCCTGGGGCATTACCTCTAGGATGCCCCTTCTCTGGTGGGTTTGCCAGAGGATTTGATCTGGTGAAAGCCGACGTAACTTGCACCGGAACTTCTAAGGAGAAGACTGAGAGATAATGGACAATACTACATGTATAAAGACCTGATCCGCCCCTCGTCGTGAAGAAAGATTTATCAGATCAATAGGTAGCCTTCTCTCAACCTGATCATTCGTTGACTTTCCAAGATCTCACCTCAGGTATCTATACTTTCCGCCATCTTTTCTCATCGCCCATCTCACAAAGCTTTTACAAGAACCTGGTCAAAATGGCCAATCCAAGGTAGCCAGACTTATTTAATTCCTGGGTCTCCCACCTAGCATAGCTTACCGAGCCTGTTTGGTTTGGAGCTAATTGGTTCTTCTGAAGATACTCCCAGGAAATTGACCTTCAACATATCGGTTCCTGGACTGACGGGATCAACATTCCAGCCTCTACAACGCCGAACAGGAACCCACCGACTCGCTCAAGCGATACAGCCTCCGGCGAATCTCAAACTGGGAACTATATCCCGATGGAGCGGTTTCTGGGGCAGACCCCGAAAGAAGATTCTTGGACGCCGCTCGCGAGCCAACAAAAGCAAATCTATCGCTCGCGTGAACATAATACTTAAAATTTCTTTACACTCTATATTTCTATGTACCTGTCTCTTGGCTAATATCAGGGTCAGGTCAGAGACCTTGGTGTTTGTCGTTTTTCCTTCTTGTTTCTGGTTGGTCTAATGGTAAATTGTCCGGACCTCGCAAACATGTATACTAGATAATTGATGAGTTATTGATTTAAGCCTTGTGTTATCAATTGATATGTCTATCTTGAAACATAGCTTCGTCTTGCACCAAAACTGTCCCAGTGATACATCTCAGGAGGAGTTTGTCGAGCATCATCCACATCTTACCGCTCGTTCTGACAACTTGATCACCCAGCCTAGTAGTTGCATAGCTTTCCCTATTGACTCGGCGTTTGCACTGCCTCAGATCTTAATCATTCTGGACTTGATAATCCAGCCTTGGAACCAGTTTGGGCAGACATGCTTCTCGGCGAAGATCAGATGACTCCATTCCAGATTTCTCAGGATTGCTGAACGCCAAGGGGGAGGAATGGATATCTTGTATATTCATTAGTCGTCCAATCCTGGCTAATAACGGGGGATCATGATCTACGGAGCCGAATGATTGAGACTTCATGTATCTAATAACTGCGATCTTCCGCCGACGGTGGCTTGGCTTAAAAAGCCATCCTTGACATCATTATGGAGTAGTGATGATCTACTATGGACACACCGTGAAAGAATGGTGCGTGCTCGGGGATGAGTTCCCGAAGTCGTGGGTTCGTGACTGATGGAGCTTCTAGCCTTACACAGTAGATTGGAGTTACAGGGTCTTGTGACTTGTGGATCCGGTCAATGGTTTATATTAATATGTAAGTCGATATTCCTCCATGAGAGTATGTCTTGTACAACTTCACTTTGGTTGCCTGAGTCAAAATCCAACATCTAGAAGAATGGGATATGTACTTCTTCAGAGCTAGCCCCTTTTACAATGGGCTAGAGTGGAAAAGGAAAAGAAATGGAAGCGATGTACTTGTACTTCTGTGGTGTCTTGCGTACTCCTATGTCAACCAACTACGCTCATCCACAAAGAAAAAAAGAAAAGAAAAAGGGAAAAAGAAAAGAAAAGAGAACAGGAATATGATTAATTGGGGATTTCCCATTGACTTCTCAATCATCCCCAACGGTTGAGTTCAGGCATCCATCTCAATCTAAGAGTAAGGGCAACATAATAGTTTGTTTCAGCCTTGGTTTCCTTCTTCATTGACTTTGTTGACGGGAACCACTGTGACAATACAGATAATAGTGAAACATGGTTTTTTTTCTTTTTCTGTGGGATTGGAAAGTGACAACTGACAACAGCAGCTAGGTAATATTGATGGTACTCTGGATATAGAGCCTAACCTGCCCCATGCCCTGATCACATCCTTTCTTTACTAAAGTGACCATTCTAGTCTTATCCTCATTGACGCAATTGGGCTCATGTGACTCATGCATTTATATCAAAGCTTCTTGTGGCGGTTTGCGCATACACAGCAGTACTCCTTCATATTATTTTAGTTACCAAAAACTATATTCACAGCTTGCTCTTAGACCATACCAGATACCCTAACACAATTCATCAAGAGGGTCCAATAAGAAGCTTGGTAGTCAGTATTTGGAGCTGCATAGGTACTGTAGAGGCTTGATTCGTCCAGAATTTGCCCTGCTTGAACCCCGACCGAATCTAAATGGACAGAAACCAACCCCGAAAACTCTAGGCTTCTAGCACCACTGGCCTGGAACATCCGAAATTTAAATTCTCAAGGTGTCAGTCAGATGTGCATCCTTCCCAAGCTACCTTAAACGAAGCTTTTCAAGGTTACAAGTAGGAAATGTAAGGTCAAGCCCTCTTATCAATTATAGCCAACAACTAAGAGTCAGAAGTCCTCCGTAGAGCTATTCATTATTATCATCTCGAAGGATCCTCGTGATGGACATGCACGTGCGAACATGGGATCTTATTTACTCCATATTTAGTGTCGAGGATATTCGGTCTTTGAAAATCTGTAACAACTCGGTGCTTCCACCATTAAATTGGCCGATAGAGTTAAATCCCTGGAGACAGCCTAAGGATTGCTCAACCATATTTCGCTCCAAATCCTCTGTTGTTATAATATGCGTTAACATTATTTATTGGGATACAAGAACTAGTTAACTATAAACTATAAACTATATTACTACGTAGCTGACGATGTCGAGTGTGGGGCAGATGAATGATATTATGTGGATAAGATCAATAATAATATGAACTAAGGAGGAGTAAGTAGTAAGAACTCCTGAGTTAGGAGTTTTGATTCTTGGTCTTGACTTCTTGAGAGTACCTAGGATTCAGGAACGACCTAATTGGGAATAGTGGCTGGCGGGTCCTGGAGAGTGGGGAGTCGGGAACAGAGTCTTGGTACTCGGTAGTGAGACTGACAGTGACACCTACTTATCAATTATTACCGACCTTACCACAACGTCAGATCTCCCTGGGAGTCTACTTTGATAGCAATTCAAATCAAAACTTTCCAGGGGTGGTCAGGAAAAGACAGAAGGTGCATATCAAATGAGGCATGCAATATAAGAGTGGGATCATAATGGTTTGTTTGTATACTGAATCACTACTTGGGAGCTGGTCTAAAGCACTAGCCTCCTCTTGTGTGGCTTGGACAAGTGGACAACTCATCACTACTGTACAGTGTACCCAACTACTCAGTACTCACCCATTTTACCCTAGACCATTGATACCTCGTCTTCCTTGGAATTTGCGGGCTTCCTTCTTTTCTTCTCTCTCTCTCTCTCTCTCTCTCTCTCTCTCTCTTTATTTATTTATTTATTTATTTTTTAACTTAGATCTACTCCGTATGTGCTATTGATGTGATGCATTATGATCCATTCATGTTGGCAGTCATGATCAAACGGCAAACCTTCATAGTGGCTGTGCATGGTGGCTGTGCAGAATTATAGTGATGTGAATCGTTGGACATAATGGCGATAAGATAGATTTACCAGCCAAAGAAAATGCAGGGAAAACAAGATTGAAGCAAGGCAACTAGGTCGCCGAAAGGTTCTAAGCTCTAGCAGAGCTGCCCTCTTTTCCAAATGCAGGAATCCCCTCTATATGCCCCCAGTCTCAGTACAAACTACAACTGCATGAGCCTAGTCGATTATCATACACTGCCTGCAGTTCAACCCCGTGATAGTACTCAAGCAGCGTGACCGAAAAACCATTTTCTCCAAGCAATGATCGCAATGGATCCGAGACTGAGACATTGAGGAGCATAAACTCCTCGACGATCGACAATCGAGAGGGTTTGCCCTCTGATCCATAGGTAGATTAGGATTCGGAACATGATGAAGTCCTGGCCTGCTGGATCCGTGCATGCAAATAACATTTCTGCAAGAAGCCAGCACTCGTGACTGATTTAACTTATATTGCTCAAAGATCAATGGCGGTCGCAAGTTCTATTGTACTGTGTAGATAGGCCTACCCTACTATTAATCAGCACCTCCCTGCCAAGACTTTTACTGAGCTCACCTACTGTGTAAGTGAGCATCATCGGACAGCTGGTACCTAGATAGAAATCCAAGCATCTTACTGAGGGAAGGATGACTGACCCCTATGACAAGTTCCATGTTTTTCGCCACTTGAGGGAAGGAGTGAAATATACGACTACACTTGCTTGTCTGGATTGATGGAAACAGGTAAATACCGATTAGGATGGGTTGGAAAGCAACGGACATGCTCCTAGGCCTCCCGAGGTTGTACCTAAGTGATAAGGTACCATCCAGTTATGACCTCAGATCTATAGTGGAGTACTGTAAGTACTAAGTAGCCTACGGAGTAAGGGTGAGATCCATTCCACCTATTTCCGCAGATATCCAAATCCAATAACTCCGAACAATAGTAGTGGGGACCTTCCCAAGAACAATGCAGCCAATCATAGATAACTACTTTACTCCGTAGAGAACGACGGTACCAGGCTAGGTATCTTAATGTGTGCTCGGTCGACTATTAGTACTCTGACCACATCTCAATTGCCCTTCCCTCAGTCTCGATAGATGACTCGAATACACCACCTATTTTGTGAGCATGCTGGATTTTGCCCTGGCAAAATTAAATGCTCTGTCCATCACCTAGTGACAACATCTATCTCTTCATGACCTATACCTAGGTATAAAGCAGAGGGTCTGTCCTCATAATTTTGCTATCCTCCTCTGTCACTCCTGTTATATACTTGCCCAACACATGAGCGCTTTGTCAACTTTAGTATCTGCTATCTTTTCAGTCATTCTGCCTGCCAGCCTTGCTTATATAGCCGATCTTTTCTCATCCATTTCTTGTGCACTTACAAGCTGTCCTGTTCCTTGTTAGAATACTGCGATTCCAATAATCTCCTTTTCTATTTCAACTTAGATCTGTGTCTCTGCCTAAATACCTGAGATCATGGATTCATTCATTTTCAACCAAAATTTGCCCAACAAGTACCCTGAAAATTTTCCAGACCATATAAGTGATGACACGGAGAGCTCTCCTGGTGTACTTGACCGTGATGGACGCGTTCAGACACTTGAGAATTACCTTGTCCCGGGACCATTCTTTGACAACTTCTCGGTAAGTTGATCCCCCTAGGGACAATCGATAGACTCTATCAAGTTAGCCCGCTAATGTATTCTTAAGAATTATAGCAACTCTCCCGGCTACTCCCCTGTGACATTCTCAGCCGCCGCCAGCGTTTCTGGGGTCGCGCCGCCGGCCAACAACCAAGAGGATGTTCCGGGTGGGGACTTGACACCGGCTGGATCTGCATTGCTACAAAGTCAGCAATGGCAACCAACGGGAATCGTGGACCCAGGGCCCTCGCAGGTGCCGTTAGAGTCTTCGAATGCCTACTTAGACAATCTCGTGGAATTCCTTCTAATCAAGACTGCGTTCGAGTCAATAAGAGGATTGACTCAAGACATCTTGCCTCGACTTGATGACGAAGTCTCTTTGGGGAGCCTGAAGACTTTTCTGCAAGGCACGTTTTCGGCACTTGATGCCTCGATTCAAGGAAGACTTGACCAAATCGCTCCCACTCGGCCGGTCACAAGAGATAGATATCGCTGCAAACTTTGTGACACTCGCGCAGGAGCACGAGTATATCGGACTCTCGGCACTTTCAAGAGGCATGTAAGCCACACGCACAGGGCTGAACATATCTATCTTTGCCCTTTCAACCCATGTACCTTCAATAAATCGACTAGAAGGGACAAGTTTGGCCAACATTTGCCTCAGACACACAACTTTAGAGCATGGGACAAGAAGTTCCTCGATGGATGCCGGAAACCCTGCCCATCTCCTGCTTCATGTGATATATGTCACGCAGGAGTGAGCAGCTGGAAGAAGTGGTTTAAATGTGTTGCAAATCATTGTCGGTTGCCAATTGGAGCATATACGGCCACCAGTATAAGCCTGAGCAGAAGAGGTAGTGGCAGCAGCGGCGGAGATGGGTCTGAATCCGGCGATCAACAGCCATATGGAGGTAACGGGTTCAACGGTGTCGCGCCTGCATTCGGAGGTAATCACATGGGTGGAAATGAGAGTATTTACTTCAACGTCGGCCAACAATTTGGTTATTATCATGCCAGTCATTCTCAAAACAAGGTGCAAGCTCCACCTGGATGTGAGCCGTTGCATGGTGCTGATCTGCCCGCCGATTCTCATTTCGACTCGGCGTCAACTACTGGATCAGAAACAACAGACAGTCAGCTATCAGTCTTTCGTGCTACGGATCTCCGAAAACATCACTTCGGCCTGGTTTCAACATTGGAGCACTGTCCTTCAGCACTGGACAACTCCCGTGACTTGACACTGCAGCAGAAAAATTCTGAGCAGTCATCTGACCATTCCAACCGGAAGGATATCAAGCGCATACTGCCCACACCGAGGGATCGCAATCTCCAGAATGACTCGCCTCGAGATCTGGAAAGGTCGTTCAAAGTAAAGTGCAAGAACTGTGACCATGTTCTGGAAGGCTGCACCCGATGCGAGGCTTCTAAACGAGTTGTTCGCATATGTCATATTTGCGCAGGAGGAACACGCCAACAGATTCCCCGGCGTGGATCCTTGCATGACAGTGGAAGCCAATATCATGTGTGCAATTTGGGACCCGGAGTATCCGCTTCATCTGGAAAGTCGGTCGCGAAGACCTCACAAGCCCTACTAACCCACCCTTTCACAATGCTGTTCCGTAGGGATGGACACGAGTCCGGCTTGTGTACCAGCAAAAGTCTGTCACACAATCAGTCCATTTCCGTCTTTTCTTACACCGATCCTGAGGGAAAGGCTTTGTTGTTTACCATCTTCAAGAGATTCAATGATGGCCTTGTCAGTATTTTCACTGGCAGTCTTCCGATTCATGCAGATTGTCCTCCGCATGGCTACAAATTTGGCCAGGATATCATAACGATCTTGCATTCGCTTGAGACGGTCGAACTTTCTGTGTTCCCAGTGATGCTCATGTCGAAGGTATCTAGCCGATTTCATCGAACTTTATTGGGAAATATAGCCTCTCCGTCAACACCCTTTCCCGGAAAAGCGGGAAACTGGCCATTGACCAGTAAGTTCTACCTCACTCTGAATTCTTTCTTTCGAGCTACCACTAATCCGTCAATTTAGGAGTACAGCGCAATGCAGCCACCTTGCAAGCAGCGCAGAAAACGCCGCGTTGCTTTAGGACAGAAATTCGCGTGCAGCTTCTCGAAGGATCTCCTGACTCCACGAGCCCTAATTGCGCAGAAGCAACATCCCTCCCCAAAAAGAGACCTCACAAGCTACAAATGCGACTTCGAGTCATTGTCAGGTTGTTCAAATTGAAAACAACCATCGCGAATGCCCAGAATGCTCAGAATGCGCAGAATACCCAGACTGAGATCCAAAGACGTCAAATGGACAGTTCCACGGCCTCCGAAGTGATATTGGATTATCCTGATTCTTCTGAGATAATCTTCGATGTTCCAATTGTCGAGACGGAAGAGCCTTCAACCCTCTGGGATTCGCTCCAGAGCAACGCTAGATTCATCAAAAATCTCGTTTCATTAGCACGCAAACACTGCCAACTTGAAGCATATGATCTTCAGTCTTTTGATACACTTTTAGGTGATATCTTGCCGAGATTGCTAGACAGTTGGAACAACCCCGTTCGTACCATTACGCCATAATGAATGTTACGACCCTTTGTGGTATATGCCACCTCATTCCTCTTATGATAATAATAATCTTCGTCCTCTCTTTTGTTTTGTTTTTCTGCTGAAGAACAGCTTTCTGGAATTATTTACCTCTTTTTCATGATCTATCTCTTCCTGATTCAGAGGTTATGTGTTTAATAAGTGGATGAAGTAGCCTTTTCTGAATACTAATGATCGATTATTCTCAACACATCAAACCAAGTTTAGAAATGTTATGATCTGTTTCTGCATTAGAAGCCCTCAGATGCCTTCATAGAAAGCAATAGATGCGGCAAAATCTATCCTAGGAGATGAGCAACGAATTGTTCTATTGTATGATACTGTTTCTTCTACAATCGGCCTCCTGCAGAACAGAGAGACAGTCAACTGGCTCATGTTTTCCAGAGCGCGTACCTAAGGATAACCACGACCTATCAAGCTCCCCAGTGAATGCAACTTGACTCTGCCGCAAATCCCAGCAGGGCAACCAACAAACAGTATCCAACTTACAGCCTCGCCTCATGGTCTATTCTACTTAAAGCTTGCCCCTCATCTGCCTTCGTTCCTCTTCTTTCTTCTACTGCACTTTCGCTTCCCCTTTTCAGATGTCACAATGAACGACATGAGAGGCTGGTATTCTGGTCTCAGCGCCCAGGTCCTGGATCTGGTAGCCGATTACGCAGGGCAGGAGCTGTTTTGTCTGGACGGCGACTCCCTCGTGCTTCAGTGCCTCGACGACCCCGCTCTGGACTTTACCTGTATGTTTTCCTTCTGTTTCTAGGTAGGGTTTATCGTTGCACTTGATGACCGAGATGTTTGCAGCTGGATTCCAGCTTTTGCAGGCAGTATGGAACGTGGAGAGATTCCTCGCGAAGTTACTGGCGACCAAGTGTCGATTCCACATCGTGTTCTTTGATGGTAAGTACTCTCATTCATAGTCAAGCCTGTGCTGAGAGAGTGTGGGTGTGTCTATAGCTGACTATCCACCTCGTTTAGAGAATCGAGAGCTTCCCGCCTGCGCAGCTACTCAAGACATCCATCAGTGCAAGTATCGACTGGCGAGGGAGGTGATCTACCAACATCTCAAGATCCAGGTGCAGGCTCGATTTCCGGACCTCTTGGTCCGCCGGTTCACGTCCGTGGCTGCTCGAGAGTTTAAAGAATATGTTCAGACCTACAGCGTGTATTTTGTTATGTGTCATAATGGAGTGCTGCAGGGGAAGGAAGAGTTACTTGATGAAACACTTCTTATGATCTGCAACATGATGGCTCTTGGACTGGACGTGGCGGTCATGAATGAGATCGAATGGAGAGATAGCAAGGTTTGCGTCCTGTTTTTCAATTGACTGAAGAAAGGTCTACTCTAAGGCTTTCATGGATACTAGATCCTCACCAGAGTGGTTCGAGCGAGTTCCTCAACGCGTCCGTTGATCGACATCGAAACGAAGAACACAAGAAAAGAGATACCATACTTGGCTAGATGCAAGTCTGAGCTACAGTCCATTGCAAAAGCGAAGCAAAACGGAGAAGGATTGCCAATGACAGCCAGAGAGACGCTGACCATGGTCGTCATCTCGGCTCTGGCTACCGGGGAACAGGATCAAGCGCTGAGGCAAATGTTGGCTGTCTTACTACTGCATCTTGCTTGCCTAACCCAGCTATCTCTGCAGCAAAGGAGACTAACGATCCTTGAAGTTCCTAATAAGGAGATATACAACACATTCATGGACAAGTTCTGTCTCACTGCGACTGCTCTTCTCCAAACAAGCGAATGGGACAATCTCCGTATCAATGACAATACGAATGATCTGCATGATCTCATTGATGGAAGGCTTCTAAAGTCCTGCGCTGCACTCAGTATTGATGACAAGGTGACTCCCCTGATCAGCTTGCTTGGCGGTGGCTGGGATACGGTCCGTGACTGCTTCAACCATGTCAATGAAAATGGTGGGCCGGGGACGTTCTTCTCGCCAGACTATCAGAGGATAACCTCATTGCAAATTAGCGACTGTTCCACAGGTGAAGAAGACGATAAAGCTGACTTTTCCCTGTTGCCGTTTGAACATCCAATATTCGACAAGCATTTAGCCAGTGTTCGCGTCAAAGTCCTTAGTGACAATGAAGATGAATGCCCAGAGCCAAGCTTCGAAGACAGGACGCACTGGCATACTCGACGACCACTTGGGTCTGACCGCAGAAAGCTTCCCCAGAAACCAATAACCAAATGGAACAATCCTGCGAGATGGAATCAGAAGAGGGTCAGCGAGTTCACCAAATATGCGGCGAGCCTTACCAATGCCAAGGGTACTTCGCTGGAACCAGAGTCGATTTTCTCTTCAGAATGTCAACCACAGAAGGCTAAATCATCAATCAAGGGAGAACTTGTGAAACAGGAGAACGCAAGAAACGCGTCTGAGGCAAACGAATCTACTTACCGAGAGTGGTTGAAAGGAAGAATATCGGAGCTGCGAAAGTTTGACACCTCTCGCCAAGTGAAGGAGATCAGGGCTACCATTCTAGGCAATCATGACGCCGCCAAAGTAGCGTTCCTGGAGCCAGAAGTTCGCCTGTACCTATTGTCACTGCTTCTGCTCCAGTGGCAGAGCATAAAACCCGCTCAAAGCGAGGATAAATGTCTTGCGGCAGCAAGAGAAGTCTGGAACGAGATCAGAATCCTTCGCCACCTAATCAACCGCATGACTGCAAAGGAACATCGCATGTTCCAAAAGATATGCCTGAAACTGAATATCCCGGGCCTACCATTGCCCGCGTCGTCTTTACTCAAAGTGAAACTGTGTTTTGATTTTGACATCGAGGCCATTAAGCCCCGACAGCTGGGTGAGCCTCTCGACTTCCAAGCCTTCCAGCTGCTCCATTGCGGTCCTATGATGGATCGTCAAATAGGTGCTCTGCCGGACAGGCGTGTCCAGTTTGTGCCGGATGAATGGCAACGGCAAGTACTTGATGAGCTTGACAAGGAGCACAGCATATTCGTCGTGGCTCCAACCAGCGCAGGAAAGACATTCATTAGCTTCTATGCCATGAAAAAAATCCTGCAGGAAGACAATGACGGAGTCCTGGTGTATGTTGCCCCGACAAAAGCATTGGTCAATCAGATTGCCGCAGAAATCCACGCACGGTTTAGGAAGTCATACCCTGACCGATCTCATAAGACTGTTTGGGCCATTCATACCCGCGATATTCGCATCAACGATCCCATGAAATGCCAGATCCTGGTAACCGTTCCCCATCTCCTCCAGATTGTAAGTACAGCGCCCCCGTCTCTACACTAGCGTGTCACAGCTGATTTCCATTCCCAGATGCTTTTGTCGCCGTTCAATGCCACCACATGGGCTCCCAGAGTCAAATGCATCATCTTCGATGAAATTCATTCAATCGGCCACACTGATGAGGGACTCGTTTGGGAACAACTCTTGCTACTCGCTCCATGTAGGATCATCGCTCTTTCCGCAACGGTGGGAAATCCCGCCGAATTTGCGGATTGGCTTGAGTCGACACAAAGCAACCTGGATATCCCTATGAAGCTCATTCAGCATAGCCAACGCTACTCAGATCTCCGAAAATACTTCTATACTCCCGCCTCTAATTTCTCTTTTAAAGGTCTCTCCGAGGCTGGGAAGAAAGGAATCCTTGAATCTCAATCTATCGAAGGCTTGGAACCACTTCACCCAATCACTAGCATTCTCAGCAAGCAGCGGCAGGTGCCTGAGGATCTCTCTTTAGAGCCAAGAGATTGTTACATGTTATGGAAATCCATGTCAAGACATTCGTCGACTGAGTTTCCTGTGTCAGAATCACTGGATCCGAAGGTCGTGTTTTCGTCATTGATTCAGCGGGGCGATGTGCATGTATGGGAGGCTCGACTGAAGGAAGCCCTATCGACTTGGATGCAATATGACAATTCCCCCTTCGAAAAGGTGCGGAGCGAGCTAGAGACTACCTTTGCAACTGCGAAAGAGACCAAGCACACGGAGACCCGCGAAATATCGCTCTGCGAGGATGTCCGTTATGATGCCCAATCGATGAGAATGAAGCTTTGTACCACTGTTTTCCCGCTACTTGTTGGTTTGCATCACCAGAATGCGCTTCCTGCTTTGCTCTTTAACTATGAGCGAACAACATGCGAAGAAATCGCAATCGCGACACTTCAGCGCTTAGTCAAGGCCGAAGAAAAGTACAAAAGCAGCGCACAGTGGAAGGAAGAGTTGGCCAGATATGAGGAAGACAAGAAACTTAAGCAGAAAATGGCCCGGGTCGAAGCAAGTAAAAAGAAGGGAAAGGGTCGCAAACAGCCACACGCTGAAGACGAGGGTACTGCAAATGAGATCGATGATGATAACAGTTTTTTCGAACGATTTGATCCAGAACGACCGTTGGAGCAATTCTCATTTGCCAGGACTCGACAGTGGGCTTGGGATGATCTCCTGAAGGAAATTGAAAGAATGAAAAGACACAAAGTGAATCCTTTGCTCCTCGAAGCACTAAAAAGAGGGGTGGGTGTCCATCATGCTGGGCTAAATCGTCGGTATCGTCAGTGGTATGAGAAACCCTTCCTCGATTTTGAACCCCTTTTAATTCTCGTCATAGTGTTGAAAGGCTGTTCCGGGCAGGATTTCTTCGCGTGGTTGTGGCAACTGGGACGCTGGCTTTGGGTATCAACATGCCCTGCTCGACTGTGGTGTTTTGTGGAGATAGTGTCTACTTGACTGCACTGAACTTCCGTCAAGCTGCTGGTCGAGCAGGTCGTCGTGGCTTTGACATTTTGGGGAATGTCATCTTTCATGGTATTCCACGTCACAAAGCAAACCAATTGATCAGTTCGCGGCTGCCCGATCTGAGTGGCCATTTTCCTATCACAACGAGTCTCGTGCTCCGGCTTTGCATCCTTCACCACAATTCCAAGGGTTCAGCATATGCCAATCGCGCGATCAATTCACTGCTGTCCCAGCCGCGATTCAACTTCGGAAGCGCTGAGTCGAAGGAGAAGGTCCTACACCATCTCCGTTTCTCTATTGAGTATCTCAGGCGCCAGGGTTTGCTTGGGAGCCACGGTGAGCCAATTAGACTGGCTTCAAGCGTGGCTCACCTGTACCATACTGAGAACAGCGCCTTCTCATTCCATGCTTTGCTCCGAGCAGGGTACTTCGAGGCACTCCACGAGCAGTATCGAAACAACAGAGAGGAAAAACTGAGAACGCTGATTCTCGTATTAGCGCATTTGTTTGGAAGAAACTCCCTTGGTCAACGATATGGAGAACTCCTCGAGCGTAAGAAAGAGTTGAAATCTCCATCGATCGTCATGCTTCCATCTATGCCAACAAATGCTGCTGAGGCACTTCGAGCTCACAACAAAAGCATCCTAAGAACGTATACTTCATATGTCGCAACCTTCGTGGACCAGCACCTAAGCGAGCCAGAGCGCGAGTTGCCGCTCAGTAAGCTACCAGTCGGGGGCATGGGGAGCCACGAGCTCAGTCAAGGGTTGGGGGCGCTCGCGGCAAACCGATCGCGTTCCGCATTTGTTGGGCTATCCGGGCACAATGACCAATTTGAGACCATAGAGGATCTGTGCAATACCGTGCGGTCAGGCGTGTTCCTGGAAGAGAGCGTGATACCACATCTTGATATCTACCCGGAAGGAGGTATGGCACCACTGAATGCTTACCTATACGACTTTTTCTGCCACGGATCTGTGGAACCTCTTGAGGTTGCAAACCGTATTTCACGTTCGGATGTCTGGTTTCTGCTCAACGATTTTTCTCTCATCCTTGCTACGATACTTGTTTCTCTGGAAACTTATCTAGATCCCAGCCGACAAGCGCGTCCGTTTCTGGATGACCTATCCGATATGAATGATCCGCTATTGTCTGATTCGGAAGATGATGAAGAGGGAGCATTGGATGCTCGGCAGGGTGCTCAACACGCAAAGCCAAAGGAAACTGCTACCAGAGCTTTAAGTAAGCCAGGAAAGTCGCCTCAGGCTGCTAAACCGTCGTCCAAGAATATTACGCCTGAGAATTGGGACGATGATTTGGATGACACCGAGGCTTCTGCAAAACGGGATAGTGGCCCCGAGCTTCCTAGTAACGAGTACAAGTGGCAAGCTCCGATGGTGTCAATGGAGGTTCTGTCTGCGTTCAAGGAGCTGAAGGAGGAGTTTGACGAGAAGTTCCATGCTATTTTTGCATAAAGCTGGTTCTAGACTCGAGTTGGGAGTTGGGAAGGTGAGACAATTTGTTTGAGATCCATTTGTTCCTGACCAATTTGTTGTGTATCGGTCTTCTCTTCGCTCTGCTTGTGTCCTATTTGATTTGTCACTGTTGGTTATGTGCGTCACGTTAAATGTTGGAATATAAGTATTAAGTCGAAGCTTCCAAAATGTCTAGCAATCATGACAAGCAGCGCAAAAAAGAAGAGCAGTGTCCAGACCCTCTCCCACCAGCATTTGGTGTGGACAAAGATGTCCGATGGATAAAGATATCCGTGGTCTTCAGATTGGGCACCCTGTACCTGAACCATCTCGTAGTATAGGGCAGTATACTAGGTCCGTTCAGGCAGCTATGCACCACAGTGTTCACTGTCCCGAAAGAATAATTTACATGCGCCCCCGAGTCACGCATAACGGTGATCAGCAGAGCAGGACTAGGGATTTTTTGTAAAGTGCGCCCCTAGCCTCGTTCGCGTCCTGTATGTACACATTGCACCTACAGGCAGCGCCCGGCAAGATTTGAACCAGGGCGACTTCGGTGGGTAACAACAGTAGTAGCACTTCCACTCCGCTTGGCCAACAAGGCGTCTGGACATGGTTTTGTCCCGCGTATTGTTTGAGTCGGAGGTCACTACGGAGCAGTAAATGATTCAATGTGGGAAATTGATCTCAGATATTCCCCGCTTGTGCGAGTAACATGATTTTTTTTCCCCAGTTATGTGATAGAAAGATAGTACTGGCCCTTTGAATAATGTGCCAGTGTGGTGTCCAGTGTCAGAAAGAATTGACAAAGTGATTCCAGGTCACTACTCTGGAGTACTCCGTACTTACCGAGTACTTCGCTTCGGGGATAGGAGTTAAGAGATCGGAGAGTGGAGAGTCGGATGACATAACCGGGATACGGCGGCGCTATCGATAAGCAACAATAACCACAATCAGCATGAATGCTCTTGAACTTGTCATGCATTGATCTCTCATTGCTTGAGCTTTCTGCAACATTGGCATGATACACAGCGCTGTGGATTCAGCTGTACTAGCTTCCTACATACATTGCTGACTATGAATTCAGCCGGTCCGCCATCTGGCGCCGACCAGGCGGGAGAGTCTCCGCCTCGGCGAGCCTCTGGAACGATGTGGCACCCGGCCAGAGAGTGGCTCGAGGAGGATGAGGATGAAGAGGATATGGATTTCGAACCCGAATCTGAGATCTCAGAGTATAGGGATGAGTTTGGGGATGAAGATGAAGACGATGATGGTCAATTTGGTACGGTCCCCTGTTCGACTTCCTTATCTATCATCCCAGAAAACTAATCCTCGTTTGTCGTCATCTGGAAGACCCTGAGCTACATCTGGGAAATATACATATTGAGTTCGCCATGGAAGATCCTGATCAAGAGGACAATGGCGGGGAAGGCCAAGGGGGGCGACATACTCGAGGTACCATGGACCACCCAATCCTGCTTGGAGGTGTTTGCGCTGATTCACGCTGGCAGTATCGGCTGCTCGATTGTTGAATCTGTTGGCTTCCAATGGGCTACGGCACATTCTTCAATATGATGGGTGGCGAGGGACGAGACGAGGTGATGAGGACGAAGATGATGACCAATTCGGCTTCTTGCGATATCGAAGAAGGGCCCGTCGCTCCGGGTCTGATCATCTACCGAAGGTTCCAAGCGCTGAGGGTACAGAACTCATGGGATCCGGCGACTTCGGAGACAATCCGTACTACGTCGACGAGCTGAAGAAGCGTAAACAAACTCTCGCGACGAAGATCATGTGGAGGGAATTGGGCATCGATGTGCCTGGGAGGCGAAGGATGGCCGTCCAGTCAACTGCGCAAGTGAGTGATCTAAGCTGAAATGTCGCAGAGATGTGTGCTGCCTGCTAACGTTCTCTACCCTCATAGGATTTGATACCTGGCTCCGCTGCGGATAAAATCATCCACTACGACTCACGGTGTTACTCAGGCCAATTCTCCGACGACGGTAACTTCTTCTTCAGCTGTGCGCAGGATTTCAAAGTCCGAATGTACGATACGTCGAACCCGTACGAGTGGAAATACTACAAGACTGTCGATTATCCTTTCGGCCAGTGGACCATTACCGATGCAACTTTAAGTCCAGACAACAAATTCCTGGCGTACAGTTCAATTCGACCACTTGTTTGCCTTGCACCGACTGACCCAGCTGATCAATCCGAACCGTCTGTTCTGGATCTATCCTCAGGACGAGCAGGGCGGGGTCCTTACGATAGCTCGCACACTGGTGTAAGCTTACTAATGATACGGCATTTGTGTAATTGCTGACAGAGATCCAGATATGGTCCATCCGCTTTTCGGGAGATGGACGGGAACTCGTTGCTGGCAGGTCCGATAACGCCGTCATTGTGTATGACATCGAAACCCGGCAGTCCGTTTTGAGGCTGCAAAATCATGAAGACGATGTGAATGCTGTTTGCTTTGGTGACAAGTCCTCGCCGCATATTCTTTACTCTGGCTCAGACGACTCGACCATTCGCGTCTGGGACCGCCGCTCCATGGCGGATGGCCGCGAAGCCGGGGCGTTCATTGGCCATACCGAAGGTATCACCTATGTGGACAGCAAGGGGGATGGCCGATATGTTCTCTCCAATGGGAAGGACCAGGCCATGAAATTGTGGGATCTGAGGAAGATGATGACCACCGCGAAGCTGGACGCAATCGATATCAACAACTACACCACTGGTTATGATTACAGATTCGAACCGTATCCCGAGGATTATTACGAACCCCATCCCCACGACTGCTCCGTCGTCACTTTCCGAGGCCATCGGGTCCTGAAAACGTTGATTCGCTGCCATTTCTCCCCTCCCGGAAGCACGAACTCGCGGTATGTCTATAGCGGCAGTGAAGATGGTAAGGTATATGTTTATAACCTGGACGCGACTCTCGCTGGGGTTATTGATGTTGGACTTGCTACGATCAATTCGAGACCGCGTGATACCGACATCTTTACTACTACGTATGAGATCAGGAGCAGGGGTGGCGAGATGATGTGGAAGACCTGCGTTCGAGATGCAAGTTGGCATCCGAGCGCTCCAGTAATGGCCGGTACGTTCATCCCTATTCCACCCAATGAGCCTTTGACACACGGACTGATTGGACTCTAGCCACATCCTGGAACGGCTGGGGCATGTCATCAGGCACTTGCAGTGTGCACAGCTGGAATGACGGAGTCGGTGACGATGAGGGCATCCCGTCAATCGGGAAGAGCTACGATTCCAAGCTGAACTACGTGCCGGAATTCAACCAGTACCGAGAGAACCAAGTGAGAAGTCGGCCTGTCGGAAGGAGTCCGTTGGATGAAGAACTTGCATATGAATTGTGGTGATTTGCACATAAAAGCAGGATCTCGATGCATCTCTCTTTGGCGGTTTTTGCTTCCCTTTTGGAGTGTTTGTTATCGAATATACAGGTGAGCTAAGTACATAGCAATTGTCATTAGCATGGAAATACCAAGCCGGTAAATGACAACCCATCTGTTCCGGAGATATAAAAAAAATTGTATTTGCCTTTGAAGGCTCCTGGAAAGTCTCGTAACGAAGAAAGTGGTATTTATACAGAAAACAATGCAAGGCCATGATCACTCCACGACGATCACTTGCCAAGTCCCAATCGCATACTCGAATAATGGCGCTCCATTGCCAGAGGTATTTCGACTTGCGCAAGGATCTTGGTTCTTCACATATAAGGACTCGGCCAGATCCTACTGACGCGCGATAACTCCATGAATCATTGTCAGGACAACCCCCTGCGACACCCGTTTCACATTGCGATTCGAATTGTTGTGGTGAGATCAAGCGCCACCGACAAGGATGTTGTTGACCGGAATGTGTACTGGAGAAAAGCACGGTCAGCACGCCCTATCGCTCGTCTGTCGCATGTTCATGTTCATATGATCACTCACTTAACTTGATGAAGTACCCAATGGCTATCCTAGAAGTTAGCATCTGTTGCAAAGAGTAGCCGGAAGAGAGTAAAGGGCAAGATAAACTCACCACCCTACAAGAAGTTAGCACCATTCATCTCAGTTAAATTCAAGCGCAATGTGGCCGGAATACACATACCATGATAATGAAGCCCATGCCTACAGCCTGGCTGATCTTGATGAATTCACGCTTGTCGGCTGTACAGATGTTAGATCAAATTCGGTGCCGGATTGAAACCGAGGCAATTCGACATACGCTTGGTGCACTTGCGAACGAACAGCATGCCATCGCGAAGAAAGTCGCGAGGAATATCAGCGAGTTCCTGAATGGTATCGGACATGGTGATGTGTGTAGGAGGCGACGAGGCGTGAAAGAGAGAAAGGAGAACGGTGAATTGATTAAAATAAGGGGAGTCAAGGCAATTGATATAGAAATAGAAAAAAAAGAAAAAAGAAGATGAAGACGGAGTTGAAGAGAGAGAGGGTATCAAGGAATGAGAGAAGTGTCAGGACTCAGGAGCAATCACCACGATGCTTAATCGACAGATCATTCCTAACAGGAGAGCTGGCCTTCTGGGGTCCGGATTTATGGTTCCGCCGGTCCGTGGGGAGTCAGCTCCACCAGCTCCGTCGAGATCGAAGCTCTTGCTCCCTCTTGTTATCGCCATCGACGCGCTTCACCCGATCCTCCATCAGACACGTCTCACAAGGGATAGTTAATCCCGTCTTCCTCTAAACATTACGCTTCTTTCTTGCTTTCATATCTAGATTCTTCGAAATCTCGACGTTGACGGCATCATTCCAGGAGACCCAAACTAGGCGGAGATCCTGCGGACTGCGCCAGTGTTGACGGCCTCTTCACTGAACTTACTAACACCTCTGATCTATTAGCCCACTGACACCCCTTCGTTCTTTTGTCTCAAGTTTATACCATACTCGTGTTCTAGCACAAGCCCTGCCTGGCTGTGGCAGCGGAAACTCTGCGCGGCGCCGCAATAATCTGTGGATTATCTTCATATTCGTCTCTTGTATCCTCAAGACTTCTGATACCTATTTTGCCTGTACTTGGAACTCAAACTCAAGAGAGAAGTGAGAGGACTGCCTGCGCCCTTTGTCTCCATTTCGGAGCTGTCACCCCTACGGACTGGTGGAAACTTTGTTCCTTTTTGAAGCTGTGTTCGCTTCGGATTGTACGTATTATCGAGCCTTCTTCTTATTGTGTTACGCTCGTGCGCCTTGTTCTTTCCACTCGCTTTATACGCGCTCCCTTGACTCTGATCAGAGCTTTGCACTGCGTCCCGGTTCCGCTTCTTGAGGACAGCTCGTTTTACTCTTTAGGACACCCACTTGAAATGAACGTTCTCTTTTCTTTGCTAATCAGTGACCTGTGTGCGCAGACATGTACTTCCATTGACTCATCGAGACTGAGAAAGAGAAACAAAGATTGTATATTTGTCCAGCCAAAGCTATCGAGGTTTATCTTGATATCCCGATCTATTTCTAAACACGATGGCCACTGAGGATGATAATTTCGATATTGACATCTATGGTGACGGCGGTGGTTACAACGCCAACGACCAAGGGGATTATGGCAAGCATGAAGACACGGAGCTTATCCTAGATGCTCCGGATCAAACACAAAACGGCGGTGCCGGCCAGGGCAACAGCGCTACGAACCAAGGAGCTCAACAAGGGGCCGGAGAGGGCGCTGGTGCTAATGGGGGACCCGTAACACAGGGACAAGATGCTCACCAACAAGAATCAACTCATGAAACTCCCGCACCCCAACAAGGTGTAAAGCGCAAAGAACACGACGATCGCCCGTCAGATCCTGACGCTACAACCGCTCTACTCATCTCGGACTTGTATTGGTGGACTACCGATGACGACATTCGTGGCTGGATCAACGAAGCTGGGTGCGAAGATGAACTCAAGGATGTAACATTCAGTGAGCACAAGGTCAACGGTAAAAGCAAAGGGTAGGCCTGTTGTTTCCCTCTACGTTGCGCGTATTCTGCTGTGCTAACCCATTGCATCGCCACAACACAGCCAAGCATTCATTGAATTCACCACACTTCAAGCCGCGACGGCATCAAAGCATAAGATTGAGAACCTGAATCTGGCCGGCCAAGGCGGCCGCAAGTACATGATTCACTACACAAATCCTCACACAAACCCGTTCCGCACGCTTCCGAAGGATGCTCCCATGCGCAAGGACAACCAAGCGCGCTCCCTTTCGGGAGGATTCAACTCACCGAACCAGAACATGAACTTTGGCATGAATAACATGGGTGGGGGCTTCCGTGGTGGACGCGGAGGTTTCAGCAACCGTGGCGGCATGAATAACATGGGAGGCTTCGGCGGTAGGGGCAACTTCCAGAACACGATGGGCAATTTCCAGGGCGGCCCCATGGTAGGAGGTTTCCAGGGAAATCCCATGGGTGGGATGCAGAACTATGGCTTCAACAATCGTGGTAATATGATGGGCGGTGGTGGCATGCGCGGCGGGCCCGGCGGTATGCGTGGTCGCGGTGGTGGCATGACTGGACCGAATATGATGGGCATGCCCGCCATGAACCCCATGGGAGGTATGGGCATGAACCCGATGTCTGGTGGGATGAACCCGATGATGGGCGGAATGGGCGGAAACATGGCTATGCAAGGTACGTCTGATTCCCGTTGAGGTCTTCGCAGCTCTTTCCTACCGTGGATGATGGGAAAAAGGGTGCATTTCCTGACCATGTCTTGTGCCAGATACAGGCGGGTTCCAAGGCCCCAATCCAGCTTTCAACCAGGGCTTCTTCCCCCAGAACCAGGGAGTCAACGACGGATCATGGAATCCACATGGCGCAAAGCGCAGTCGGCAGGAGTAAGGCATCCCTTCTCGGGCAGTGGGTTTTCTTATATTTTTAGCTTTGGATCACGGTTCTTCCTGCGTGGCATCCGATTTTCTCAATTGAGCTCTTCTGTACCAAAGTCTCCTTTATAGCTTTCTCATTTGCACTGGGCTGTCTGTTTTTCCATCCTTATCATTGACTGTTTGTTCTAACCGGGTATCTGGGAATCTGGCTTTTGAGTTTCCGCGGGTTTGCAAACTTCTCCTCCAGGTGTATTAGACAAATTGAATGTGTTTCATTTCTTTTTCAACATGTCTTACTTGCCCGGCGTTCTACGTACCTTTTTTTTTCTAGCCTGTGATTTTGGCCCATGTGCTATCAGCTCCCACAAACCGGAGGCATGTGCATTCCTCCTGGTATTTTTCCCCAACGCAGTTTTGACACAAATATGAGACGATCTGTGAAAAAAGATATTGCCAAGCTGCTATCGCATAGCATTCATATCGTGTCTACAAATCTTACTGAGTTACTTGATACTAGTATGTATTTACTACTCCGTACTGGAGGTGGTAGGTACCTAGGTAGTAGTATCTTATAGTAGCACGTGATTTTCCCAATTCGGCCAATCAAAATGGCGTATCACTGATCTCACAACTACATACCGTGACCCTTCGAAAGAAGGACTCATTCACTCGTCACCAAAGGGAAGACTAAGAGCATGATGACGATTACTATCCCGCCGGTCCTTGACCCAGCCCTGGGAATCTTGGGGAAAAATCACAATCTCGCGACTCGGCAATGTTGGAGTCCTTGTCGTTCGAGTCATCAATCGCCAGTTCTATCTGGGGATGCATACTATGCCTTTGTTGACTTACTTCCCACCCTTTTACTGTTCTTCTGCTGGACAGAGAGACTCATTAACACCCCCACATTCAACAGAGGCTACTTTGAAATGAATGAGCAGCGAGCCGACATCTTCAGTTTATTGCTTAATGCCGAGCGTAATTCAAGAGGTGGAAGACATTATCATTTGTTCGGATATCGATAACCACACAGAACTATCATCTCATTCTTGCCTAGACTGAGTGAAGATGAATCCTACCCCACCTGTGAACCGCGATGGGTTCGAATACTACAACCATGAGTTCTACGCCGTCTCAAACAACAGACCTTACCGCCGTTACACCATCGCCGAACTTCGTGCGCATCTCAGCTCGTCCTCTTCCAAAGTATCCATCAAAGATCAGCCTGCCCATTGGTACAGAGCTCAGCTCCTGCATTATGGCCTCCCGCCAACAGATTCCAAAGGTACCGCGATGATGCGGCTCCTCGATGCGTTGAACCGCGATGCCTTGGAGATACCGGCGAATCTGAAGAAGTTGGAACGAGACTTGAAAAAGAAGTGGGATTCGAATCAGAAGAAGGCGAAAGAGACGTCCGAGAAGCCTATTGCTAGGACGACAGCCAAGCGCAAAGCCGATACTGCGTTTGACGATATCGATGGGGCTGTCGTGAGTGGTAACTTGGCCGCTATTATTGCTACTACGAAGGGTGCAGGGCCCACTGTGAATATCAATGTCAATATGGGGGGGATGGGTAGCCAGCATAGCCAATCCGCTGCAAAGAAGGAGGCAGCAAAGAAAGAGGCACCTCGAATGGTTGCTTCCAAAGACACGGCCAAAAGGGAGGCCCTCAATAAAGCTGCCCCTAAGACGTATCCTCCAAAGTCTACCTTTAGAAAAGAGACTGTTAAGAAAGAGTTGGGTAAAAAGGAGCTCAAGATGGAGCCCATACCGAAAGAACAACCAAGGCTGAATTGCCCTGGCATGGTAAGATACCCAAATTGGTTGCACTATAACTGTCTACAATGTATTAGCTTGCTAAAAGTTCGTTGGGCGCTTTCAGAATCTCTCACCTCCCAGGTTATCTCTTGGTCTGCTCAATGGATCATACAAGATTGACTCCCAGGATGTCAACACACGCAATTCAGGGATGATTCTCTGTCTAGACAAAACTAGTATTTGGGGAGAGTTTCAGATCGGCGAGGTAGAGGGCATCCTCTTCATGCGCCAGCGCCCATTTCAAGTGACCTCTTCCGGTGATGGTGGCTGCTCTTTCGAATGGCGTGGCGTGGATCAGGAAACGGGAGAGTCACTTGCTGATCCCGACTGTACTGGTAAGGTAAGATTTCTAGGAAACGGTGAGATTGAAGGAACTTTCTGCAACATCCCTGGGGCGCGCAGCTCCATTGATTGTGATTTCTGGGGCCATCGCACGTCTGCCAAGGATGAGACTCGAGCACCTCGAGATGCTTGGAGCATGAGAGATGAATGGAATAATAGGTTTTTTCATTAACAGTTTGTCATGTAGGGACCACAAGTTGGTGGCTTAGTCTTGCTCTACCACTGTGTCTTCGACGTGTCTGCAATTGTTTTTTCTCCACTTCATGAATTTCGTATCCTTGATCCTGAACTACAAACCTGAAGAATAGCTATAGCCACGTGACCAGCAGCTTGATAAGATTTGTTGATAAAGCAATATCAATGGCTCCCGAGGACAAAGACCCATTCGCTATCAATCAGCCCGCATTGACGCAATCCGGTAAACCACTCTTCCCGGCAAGTCCTAATCCTTTCCAGATTCCCCATCTGCGATCGCTTCATTGTTTTCCTGGGCAATCTTCAAGCTGAAAATTTTGGCTCGTTTTGGTAAAGTCACATATCCTGTCGCCGATCCGCCTTGATCGCCCAAGTCGCGACCCAGCACAAGCTTTCCCCGCGGTCCTTCTCTTTCTCCTTCCCCCCCGCCTATTTCAACCATCCGGTTTATCTCCTCCCAGAACCGCACGCGCACGATCACCTCCCCACAGCGCCAACAATGCAGGCCGTCCCGGAGTCACGACAACAAACCTTCGAGGAGATCTACGGACCTCCGGAGAACTTCCTCGAGATCGAAGCATGTTTCCCTCTTCCTTGGGGGTCTCCCTACCCTCACCCTCCCTCATCCAAACCCCCCCGACGACAACGAACTAACATGACCATTTCCTACCCCCCGCTAGGTCCGCAATCCGCAAACCCACGGCACATCCCGCAACATGTACACGTCGTACGAGATCGTGTGCCGCACCAACATCCCCGCGTTCAAGCTCAAGCACTCGGTCGTGCGCCGCCGCTACTCCGACTTCGAATACTTCCGCGACATCCTCGAGCGCGAGAGCACGCGCGTGACCATCCCGCCGCTGCCCGGGAAGGTGTTCACGAACCGGTTCAGCGACGATGTCATCGAGCATCGCCGGGAGGGCCTGCAGCGGTTTCTGCAGATCGTGGCCGGGCATCCGTTGTTGCAGACGGGGAGTAAGGTGCTGGCGAGCTTTATACAGGGTGAGTGTTTTCCTTTCCAATGTTTTCCGCGACCACTCCCCACCCCTCCGGGATGCTGGGGGTTTTTTGTGCGAGGTGGCTTGGGCTAATGCGTGTGTATGTGTGTGTATAGATCCGAACTGGGACCGGAATGCGTGGTGATCATCGATCGGCCTCCTGAGCTTCCGCGGAATGTGTTTGTGCTTGTGATTGTGGTTGTGTTTGATGAATTTGTTGTGGTTGCCGGTCTCGACATGCTCTACTCTACTCCCGGTCGACTATACACCCTGCAGCAGTGCAATGGTGTCTCTTCTCTCCCTCCCCGCCCCCCCCCCCCCCCTTGTTGATTTGCCTTGTTCAGCAAAAAATATGTAAAGCAGCGTTTTCCCTGTGTTTCTGATCAAGAGACCCCCCTTCCAGCCGATATGCATCCTGTAATTTCTTGTGGTTTCTGATCATCTTGCGCTCCTTGTTTCCCTCCTTCTTTATCCTCTTCTTCATTGTTGATAGTCCTTTTCCTAGCATGGCGAATACCATGGATTCACTACTTGGGCGCGGAATCTGTTCTCGGAATACCTTATCTACCTTACAATTGAAACACTGCGTGGTTCTGGTGTCTACATTCTGACAGGGACGGGTTATATTTCGATTAAAAGAACAATATCTTGATTACTGACAACACCCTGTCTCGTCCCCGTTGGAACGTGCTTCTGGTCTTCTTGTCTTTTTTTGTGTTTGTTGATTCCCTTCTGTGGGAGATATCTTGTCCTTGATATCCTTTTTTTTCTGCCTGTCCTTTAGCTAGGCCAATATGACTGGAGCCCTGGACCATAATGAACTGTCTGGAAAACTGATTAACAAAGCCATCGTGTACTGCGGGGTATAAGTCTGATATAATAAAAAAAAAAAAAGCAAAAATCATAATGAGGGAGGAAACGGGGAAAGAGACAAGTTCAGCAGGAGAAAGAAGAGAAGAGTGAAGAACGAAAGCGCGAATATATCCCGAAATTAAACCCAGGGAGGGCAGCGAGTGTAGGTGTGATTAAGGTTGTGAGAAAGAACGAGAAATAGAAAGAGAAGAAACGAGCGATAAGGAGGGTATGAAGAATCCGGAATAGTCAAAGGTCTAAGCCAGCTCGTCCCAAACCATTGGGGCGAGTGTGTTATTAGCCCAGGAGGCCTCCACCCCTGGAGGGTTGGTAGTGTTCTCATCCACAGGGAAATGCAGAATAGCCGTGCCCAGGGGTGCACCAGCCGAGGCTTCAAGCAAGCCCTGTGGAGGAGCCGGTGGGGAAAGGGCAGGGTCAATTGGGCCCATGGTGGCTTGTTCTGCGAGAACGGTCCTACCAATTCGGGCCGGGGACGTGTGTTGTCGGGTGGCTTGCGGGTTTGGCTTGCTAAAAGGTACATTATTGGCGTTCGCCTGGCCTACACCTTGACTTGGGTTATGCAGCGGTCTACCATTGACCGACCCTCCGTCACGGTATGCATGGGGGAATTTGGTCCGGAATCGGTCCCGAAGGTCAGTTGCCTTGCGGTGACTCAAGTTCAAGCGTTTGTCTTGCTGGATAAGGGTCCACTGGAACCCGTGGACGGCATATCCCTTGAGCAAGGCTTCGTCTTCCGCGACGGTAAACGGGCGCCGGGAGCGCCGACGAGATTTCATAGTGAAATGAGGTTCTGGAATACCAAGAGAGGCAAGAGTGGATTTGGATCTATGAGAAAGGGTAGGAGTGGCTTTGAAGGTAGGCCCATACTTCGAGCGAGATCTTGCAGTTTTGCTATCAGCTTCGGAGCTCAAAGAGCCACTCGAGGCGGAAGTCTCATTCATATTCGAGATAGAGCTGCCACTAGAGGTATGAGACTCGGAATTGACTGGCCGCGGTTGTGGCAGCAGGATCTTCCCCGCGGTGCCATCGGACCCTTCTGTTTCCGCCCTCAGGAGTGCATTGGCCAACGTATCGTGCAGTTGCTTTGTGGCTTCGTTCGGATCAGCAGCACTATGCGATGTTAGACGATTCATTTGAAAGAAATGGTCATGGTAAAACCTACCGGTATGCCCAAGGACAACAGACACGAAACCTTACGCAAAAAGTACGATTAGCTGCGGTAGTTCATGTGTAGGCGTTTACTCCGTTGCATACCTATCTTTTAGATTTGACGCGCTCCGTTTGTTGAACTTGAGTTCGGGTTGTGCTAGGATAGCCGTCCAGTTGCCGATGCCGCACTTGACCACGCCGCGAAGCAAAGCCGTCGTCTCCTCCTCGGTCCATTTGCGGAGATTCTTGCGGGAACGGCCTCTCGTTTTGGGGGAAAGTGGCTCCGCTTCATCAGTTGACGGAGCACGGGTTGGAGCGTCTTCGGACTCTTTTCTCCCGCCTTCGCATTGATCAACACTGGCGCCATCCAGGATAGCATTTCCCTCCCCGGTAGTCAGATCATCGCTAGGAGACTTGTCGTCAATTGGCGAGTCAAGGATATCTTCAATCCTCCCTTCCCTACGTTCCCCGCTCTGAGTAACAGCAGCGGCGGCGGCGGCGGCGGCAGTTAACAGAGCAGGCTCAACGGTCGAAGTGTCACGCGACGGTTTGGTCAGCAGCTGCGTGATAGAGCCTGGTTCGATAGGCGGGAGGAGAGCAGCGTTGGGCGGGGGTTCATTCAGACCATTGAGAATCGCAAAGGGTCCGAAGGGCGGCGGTCGCTGTTCTTTCTGCGCCTGGGGGATCGGCAGCTGCAGATGCTCACTAAAGGAATCAGTCTGGATGTCGAGGCGGCGGCGCTTGCGGACGAGCGAATCATCGTCGAACGAGGAGTATCGAAAGCGTTCCAGAGCACGAAGATTGACGAAGGCTGGTAAGATCGGCTTGGGCGGTGGCTCCACGCTCACAAGGGCGTCGACGGTGAAATCATTATTCTTCTTCGAGCTGGCGGCGTTCAGGAACTCCGTAAGAGTGGGGAGATTAGCGGGTAGATTCCCGGCGGGCGTATTGGGCTTGGAACCGGGATTCGAATCACGGATCCCACTGGCGTTAGGCTCCAGGGGGAAGGGAACGCTTAGGAACCGAGAGGAGACGGGTTGGCGAAGAGGAGCAATGCGGAGACTCTGAAGCTGAGGAAGCTCGCGGAATAAAGACTCATCGAGAGACCGAGATAATATGCCGTTGGTATCCATTGTTTTGGGACAAACGACAATCGGGACCATCTAGGATGAGACACTTGGGGGGTCACAAAGAGATGGAGGACATCACGGAGCAGTCAAAGATCACTGCACAGTCCATGGTGATAAAACACAGGACGCCCTACATGAGAAGAGGCAAAAAAAAAAAAGAAAAAGCAGGTTCAAAGGAAAAAACGGCCGGAAATCCTGATGGGAAATTCGATGATGGAATCCAGCGACGGTGTAGGGAGAGCGCGATGTGCCAGGTATGCAATTCCGGTTTTTGAGACGATGACTAAGACCGCCAGGCAGGGTCGATGGGATCTCGATCTCTTGGATACTAGAAGTTGTATTTTGTATCCAGACGGGAGCAGTCAAGAATCAATCAAGAAGAGTGAAGAGGAAATCAGATATGGTGGAGTGATGTTGGCTATTGGATCAGTGAATATAGTATCTCCCCTGTTGCTGAATCACAACTCCTACTATTCCATACTAGGTATCTATCTACTGTACTCCGTACTCTCTCCTGTAAACAACACCATACGAGCAACACCAGATCAGCTCATCAATCATTCGACTTCAAAGTAGTATCATCCCTCATACGATCCCGACTCTACATGCAGAGTTACCTGGCTGCACAATGACCACCATCTTCCCACCCTGGCCTCACATCCTCTTCGCCATCATCGAACCAATCACTCTGTATGCTCCCCCTCGAACCTCACTATTCAGACATAGTACCCTCCTCCCTGATCACGATCCCCAACTAACCCAATCCAGAATCGCCGGCTGGCTCCTCCCCTTCTGGGACCTCAACTCCTTTATCACGGGCCAAATTCCCAACTCCACGCCCCCAGGCACCATCCACCCCACCAGCGCCTCGCTCGCCTTCCAGCTCTCCAACCTCTACGGCCTGCTATGTCTGCTTGGCATCGGCATCTGCCACGCCACCACCGAGCCCAAGGTCCTGCGCAACTATCTCGTGGCACTGGCGATTGCGGACTTTGGCCACATCTACGCGACGTACGCGTGGATGGGCCGTGAGGCGTTTGTGGACGTTGCGAACTGGAATGCGCTTACCTGGGGTAATGTTGGGATTACAGGGTTTCTGATGGTCAACCGCATTGCGTATCTAGCGGGGATCTTTGGGGAGGCGAAGGCGGCGAAGGATGCGATGAAGAGGGCTTGAAATGGATGAAGAGGTGGGCTATGGTCCTGTAGATAGAGCGATTGGAATGAAGATGACGAAGATGGGAATCCCATGATTGTGATTGAAAATTGCTGATGCAAGAAAAAAAAAAAAAAAAAAAATAAGATCCATGCTCGAACGCAACAGATGATGTGAAAACCTAGAAACCCCCTGTCCCAACCTCAATTGTATCTAATGCTAATTTAAATGTACCAATGCTGAATGCCATGCATCTCCGCCGGAGAGATTAACTCTACCCTTGCTATCACGAAGCTCTATCCAATGGCCAAAAACGCCAACATGTCATACGAGTGGCCCGCACTTCGTCATTAACCTACACGAACCTGCATCGTCTGGAAGAACTGGAGTAACGCCGGTTCTCCACGCTGTTGAATATCCCGAAGATGCGGGAAGAGAAACGGGATGCCCGGGAATTCTTGGAACTGCCGACGATATGCCACGTAATTGTGAAGCGGGCTCAGCAGAAACAGCAAATTAGGGAGCAGCACGGGATTCAAAGCAACCGCACTGGCGGCGGCGTTGGTGTTGGTAAAAGTGAGATCTGTGATGCTGTATTTTTGGAGACCGTGTAGGACCGCCGTGAAAGAATGGTAATTGCGAATGACAAAAAGAGCCTGCGCAATCGGTGAGATTAGCTTGCACTGTCAATGCGCATGATGATGCAGAGATAGGCTGAATATGAAGATCTACACTCACCTCGACACATTCTTGTATATAGGGTATCAGATCCGGCAGGGCTGTACAGCATTCCCATGTTGCTGTGCTGAGTAGCTCCCATTCTTCAGCTAGCTGTGCAACCATCGGACTGTCCTCGATCATATCCTGGGGTGTCAGCTGCGAGAAGTGGCCTTCATCGATGTTGGTCAAGGTTCGGGCAAAGTCAGAGGCCGATGTCGACGCCAATAGATCGTCCAAAAAGCATACAGCCGTATTGAATGGCTGGTCCCAGTTCATTTCCCGAACATGCACATACGCTTGCTCAAAGCGTACCGCTAGGGCCGAGAGTACCTTGAGGATGTTATTGAGACTGGGAGGAGAGACTTGAAACAGGTTCTGGATGGGAGCCGCTATGAATCCAAACGCCGGTACATCACTCGGTGGTAACGGTATGTTGAGATTGTTTTTAGGCTCTATGGAGAGTAAACAATGAACTAGGGCACGGTAGGCAAAGGGGCTTCGACCCCGAAGATGCTGGACTGGGGATCAGCAATGAGCCCTTCGATATCAACAACAATCTAGAGACGTACCTTCTCAACCTCTACATACCTAGCGATCTGTTCGGGGAACGCATGTAGGTAGTTAAGCAGATGGATATAGAAGGCCGTGTGTTGTTGCAAGAACCACTCGACAGAGGCAACTGGGTAGCTCAACGAATAGCGGACGAGCTCTTCGAACCTGATCTGCTTGAACTGAAGATGACTCTCGGTATCAATGGCTTCTGCCAGCGCGTGAGGATCTCGATCTCGATCCTTTTGCGACGGGAACCAACTCCAGGGTACTAGAGGCGGACCATTGACCTTGGACCGGCGGAGGATTTCCTCCACCTTCTGTATGTGGGAGAGATTGGCAAGGTACATTCGCTCGTGCGGCTCGAGCAGGGAAAGCAGGAAACTATCGACGGTGGTTGCATTGCGACTCTGCAAGGAGGTGCGCGGAAGATTGGGGTCGCGAAAGAGTCCGTAACGGATCACGCGCTTGATCTCCTGCCCGTCAAACGCCCAGAGGACCGTGGTGGCCTCATCCTCCCACCACCGGTAGGATACGAAGAAGGGAGGAAGCTCGGCGTTTGACTGGAACAGAGACGGGTAGCTTGATTGCTCTGGCATATACGTTGCGCCAGTTCCTTCTCCTACGCCATAACCGGGCGAATACCGGGACATGTCCGCCGTGTGTGACAGCGAGAGCGTGGAATTCTCTGTTGTTACTGGTATTCCGGCCGAAGGATCAAAGGTCGTCTCGTCGTAGGCGCTGCGGGAGTACATCTTAGAGAGTCTGCATGACCAGATCAATCACCTCGAGAGTGTGGAGGGGTAAGGACCATCCATTGATACCTTTGCGGTTTCCCGAAGAGAGATTCCGTAACGTCAGGAACGACTTGGGGACTCAGAAACAACGGGTAGGACCTGTCATAACAGGCCTAGGGACTTGCAGAAGTCAATGAGCTTGAAGGAGCTTCGAAGCAATCCACCGCTATCGTTGGATAAAGCACAGTATGAATGGATATGAAGAGTGAGCAATACAAAGAGGAGGAGGAATAGAGTTTGAGAAAAAGAAAAGGAAGGAAAAAGAAAAGAGAAATTCTATGCAAGTAAAGAAATAAACAGAGAGACCAGCGAGCCAACTGTGGACTACCTGGGGAATACTGAGAATACTTAATATCGGTCTTTCTAAGTAGTTTGAGCACTAGAAGAAGTCCAGGAAGAAGTGGGACACACACTTTTATCAACGGCAAGAGCTGCAGTTTCTTTTCCTTTTTGTATTCTAAAAAAAAAAAAATCGTTCCCCATCTTCCCTTAGCTTCTTCTTCTCCTACGCCTTTTCCTTTTTCCTGTTCTTGTCCTGTGCTTGTCCTGTTCCCTCCTGCGCTTAGGCCGAATGACTATGGTCGAAGCAGCATAGGTAGAAATCTTCGAGCTTTTTTTTTTTTTTTGCCACGTTATACACATCACGAGAAGGCCATATGACCTTCCTCTCTATTGGTCTCTGTACGAAATAAGAGAGGATCTTGAATCTTTGAGCCTGCACCACAGCTAGACATGGAGGCGAAGTGGCGTCTTTGCCCAGAGACGAAAGGAAGCTGACCCAGATCCAGATTACTGGGTCCCAGGAGCCAGGTTAGGCTTGGAAAATAGGAGGGAAAACGTTGTGATTGACGGGCTGGTATGAGACTATCTGGTTTAGGGTAGATAGACTAGGTTTATGGAGTAGAATTGTGATGGGGTTCGGCAGCTCCGGGAGGTATCTCAGAGGGATTGGATTGGAGAGAACGGCGTTGATGCAGCGTCAGAGTAGTAAAGGGGTTGGGGGGGAAGATGTAGGGACTGACTGGTCACCAGTGATCAAGCTCATAGTCTCATACCCATCAGCACTGAGTGGTACTGCCAATTGCCATTGACTAGTGATTGTCAATCTGTTGGTGCTGTCGTCGTTGATCTTATGGAGTATCACCAGTCTGATATCCAATACTTTAGAGACACTGGTACCTTAGGGAGGGACCGTTGTTGAACCATGGAGCTGGGATGCCCAGCAATTAGCAAATGGAGACCAGGAAGAAGGGGAACTCCCAATGAGAGAGTGGGAAGCGAGCAAAAGATCCTTCGTCAAAGTCCAACCAACTATTACCGTATTATGATTGATTTATGAGAAAGTAATCTCGAGATCCACTCTGGCAATTATCAAACAAATTATTCAGTGTGGATTCGATTTGACTGGCACTACAGTGTATGAATTGACTGGAACTCTGGAACTGGAAGTGAACTGCATCCCCGCTGTTGGGAATTGGGATTTGATGGTCTGCGATAGCCCAGTTGCCAATCCTCACAGTGGCCAGTGTCATGCGTCTCATCGGTCAGACAATTACTGTCCGTATTTGCGACACACACACACACACATACATACACTCTGAGAAAAGCGGTCAGGAGCCAATGCGATCATGGCACGGTCATCCAACACTCACCTTTTATGGTTGAATCTGCACCATCTGTACTCGAACGTGGTCCAGGGGGAAACCTTGGGGAACCTTGAGCGGTAGCGGTGTAACTACTCCATATCTAACCGTCTCGGGAGTCTCCATCGAGAATATTAAATGGTGAAGATCTTGACTCCCAGCATTTTCACGCCATCTATGACACAATTAGATAATAATGGCCGTTAGAGAAAACTGGAGGCAATCAAAACCGGGAGTGAATCCTGGTCAATGGCCAGTTGAGTGGCATGTTTCAGGAATGAAGCTGAAAACCACGCTCCACCAGGAGTCTTCGCCACTTGCTTTCTTCATACGTTGGAACGTGATGGCTTAGGGGACATCAATGAGCAGCGGCTTTCATGCATCAAACATGGGCTCCATCTTTCAGCTCAACTCCTACTATCTAGATGAAGTGAATCCAGGGTAAAATTGAGCAAATGATACCAGCTCGCACGGGAGTTCTGTTTATCACATACTTACAATAAGATCTCCTAGTCCTAGAGAGAGCGATTCGGCGCCACTACAGATTGAAATCTGAGGTCCAGATCCTTGCTTGCGACTTTCGAGTTTCGACTAGATAATTAGCGAGGCTTCGAAGGACTCCAGAGGATATGGAGCTCTGCAACGCGGTTAGGCTGAAAGTGGTATCGGTCAGGGCCGCGTCGATCCGAGTTCAGTTTCAAGTTACAATCCGTGGATCCTTGATAAACTGCTAGTGGACGGGTTTGAGCCTTTGAGGACGGACAGATTGCGCCAGGAGCTCAGCAGGCATCCAGGTTCCAGTCTTCCAGAAGATAGCACCAATTAAGACCCAAGAGGTGGTTCATCATGATGTGAATACAATCATCGTTTCCATCAATAATATGCGATACATCCGTGTTTGTGGTTGTCCAACAACTTGCTTCCACTTCCCCTGCCTCTGCTGTCTATCCGTTCCGATGTCGCGAACCGGTTTCTGTGCGAACCGTCGATGTTAAACGCCGACGAAGAAGGGTTACGGGATCATGAGGACTTCGGGTCTTGGAGAGTCTGGGCTCTCGGCCTCAGCGTCCAAAGGCTGTAGATCTTGGCATTGAAGATAAAGAAACACGAGTTCCCACTTCCCATGAGGCGATCATCCAATCGCCCTGAAGCGCGTTTCATCGATCAGCAGATACTGAGATATATTACGGTCATCAAAATGACCGTGTTGGTTAGTCCTTGACCATGGGTAGCTTTATGCCTTTCCTGTGCGGCTGTGCCTGAAAGGATCCCTCCATGGAAGGGGATCCTGGACTCTACACTAACTCAACTGAGTACCCGTCGAAGCACTAGTTACTACGGAGTAAGTACTAACTACTCCGTAGACCGTAAGTAAGTCCTCGTCATTATTTCCTCACTCAGCCATGTACTGTGTAGGTAGCGCAGGGGTTGAATAATAATAAAAAAATAAGCAGAAAAAAAAAAAAAAAAAAAAAAAAAAAGACTAGTAACAAAAGCCAGTCGGAGTATCCGGTATGTTACGCTGGTTTCTGTACTCTGTGGTAGTGATTCCAGGGTTGCTACCCCAAACACTGATACTATCTAGTCGCTGGCAATTCTACATTTCAAGTTCCCAACTTTCACCTATGCAAGTAAGCCATGTCATGGGATTAAGCTAATCGGACCACAGCGTCAGAGGTAAGGAACCCTGTAGCAGAAATATAGCTATGGTGGCGGCTCTCTTGTCCTCCAGTTCCTCCGAGCTTCGACAATTGTATCTGTTTCAACTCTCCCCCTCCAGTCTCAATACCGCCGAAGACACCCGAGTCTGAAGCCACCAAGAAATCAAACTTCCTTTGAAGCAAAAATCCTCGGGGTGTCCAGTCTTGTGATTAGCGCTGCAAACTATGGTCTCCCGGTGGCAGTTCTTGGCTCTTAGACTGGTAGACGACGGGTGCACAGCTGTGTATGCATGTGTTTCCCACATTCTGTGAGCTGTCTGGCCATCGGTCATGGGGGAAAGCGCTTGCTGCTTCTTGCGTCGGGAAACGGCTCAATGAGAGTAGAGGTCATACTTCATATTAAGAGATGCGAGCTGCAGTAGCATCAACGGCTGAAAAGATCCATCCACTCTTGTTGACTGTTGGTATGTTGGGGGCGAGACCGGAGGCTGTGGCTGCTGCATGCATAATTGGCTCTGAGGGTTGAATCTACACGTAGAAATGCACGGATATCGATAAGTTGCGTGCATGATGTGCGTGATAGGTAGCTGAGATGATTACATCCTGTGTTATATTTTCTGCATGGCTTGTTAAAAGCTCTGGGACGCATTGTCAAAATGGTATAGCACGGATATGGATAGAGTTGGATTGGGTAGGGGATATATTCTCGGAGCCCAAGAGAGACGGAAAGTGGCACATCGTTTCCAGGTAGATCTTTTCCTCGCATGGACCAGTCAGTAACTCAATATACATAAAAAAGACGATCTCACGTTTACATACAAGCCATCATCATGCCAGATCCTGAAAAAGCTTACGCCCATTAGCCCTATCCACCTCTCAATGATTATGAATGTGCACGTCAGACGAAGCTTCAACAAGAAAAACCACCCCGGAGTTCTTTAACACAGATAGCCTATTGTCCAGATTCCTGATTGAATAATCAAGACTCGATCGATGAATGCAACCATGCAGACGATCGGAAATTGGAATCCTACCCAAGAGTTGGCCTGCATCAAATAACCCACTGCACGGGGTTGAAATAGATATGATCGCCCGGATGGAGTGACTTGTCAGTTGATATGTGGCAGCTGCAATTACTAACATGATGTTGTTCATGAGACCTGCTGGAGGCGATGATATGCGAGCTTGATATTGCATGAATTACTGTAGAATAGCCTGCCTCCGCGAGACTATAGTGCCAGTGCCCATGACTAACTACAACGTTACTATTTACCACACGGAAGAGGGCAGGACATCCGGGTGTGCACCTTCGGGATATAGCTCCAAGGTATCCTGCAACGGTTGCATGGAGCTCCGAAGTGGCTTTGGGTACGAGGGGAATGGACGCTACCATTACGAGTTCATCGCCCTGGAAGTTCTACAGAGTGATACAAGGGTGGCAGTGAACACGGGACGAGGGATTGAAGGTCAAAGAACGCTTGGAAACAGATAGAAATCATGTGGTATCATATCACAATAACAGTGAGACAATCTGTTCCTGTTTTGCTTCCTATGGAACGATCCTACGGGGTTTCTGGATCTGAGCTCCAGATCCAGGCATGCGACCTTGAGACAAATTTTTCTTTTTTTCGGGTTACGCATCATAGAATCGTCTCATAAACCGGCATCGTACAGGCCCACAAAGCAAGACAAGACGTTGCCCCAGCGGATTATTGAAGGCTTTTTTATTATGTTCGTTACCGATGTCACTTACCAAAGCACATCTAGTGGGCAATAGTGTGAGCACGGCGGCGGTCGCGCTCCTCAGCAATGGAGAGCTAGTGAATTGTCAGTAAACGGAACGCTGATTGAGGGGGTATCTCCAAGCACATACCTTGACACCCTTGCCCTTGGGGAGGGAGATCCAGGGCTTGTCCTGTCCAATGACGAAGACGTTGGACTCACGGGTAGCGAAGGTGTTGTCAATAGCGTCCTTGATGTGGACGATGTTGAAACCACCATCGTGGCGCTCACGGTGAGTGATGACACCAACACGACCCATGTTACGACCACCAGTGACCATGACGACAACACCAGTGTCGAAGCGGACGAACTCGGTGATCTTGCCAGTGGCAATATCAACCTTCACGGTGTCGTTGACCTTGATGGCGGGGTCGGGGTAGCGGATGCTAGATTTTTAAAGTTCATGTTAGCACAGACTGCCCCAAAAGCTCGATCTCTTACTGTTTCCAGCAACAGGGATATAGAAATCCAAGTTCTCTCGTCCTCCGCCGATCAACCAAAGCTTGGTCCAACGACTGAATGACGCGGAACTTGTGGAGAGTAATCACTCACGTTCTCGCATCGTGCGTAACCAAGAATGGGATCCCGCCCTTGCCCAGCTGCACCTTCTTGACCTTGCAGAGCTTGTACTCGGCCTCCTCAGCCTGGATGCGGTGGACGGTGAAACGACCCTTGGTATCGTAGATGAGACGGAAGTTCTCGCCGGTCTTCTCGATGCCGACGACGTCCATGAAGCCAGCGGGGTAGGTAGGATCGGTGCGGACCTTGCCGTCGACCTGGATGAGACGCTGCATCATGATCGCCTTGGTCTCACGGCCGTTCAGGGCGTACTTGAGACTAAAGAAGATAAAAAGTCAACTCCTCCATTCTGACCATAGTCTATAATAGTCTTGTTCGAAGTATCGTACCGGTTGCGGATGAAGACGATCAGAGGCAGGCAGTCCCGGAGCTTGTGAGGACCAGGAGAGGCCTTAGGAGCATAGGTTCCGGACATTTTGTCCAGGAGCCAGTGCGAGGGCGCACTAAGGCGCTTCTGGTGCTTCTTACTGTATAAATCAAAGAATCATGGTCAGTTTTCAGGCCCTGAGGATCTCTAAAATTTGCTCGCTGCAGCGACCACGCCCTCCTGAAATTCCGAAACAAATTCGATTTCCTGGAGCATTGTCGCTACACACGAGTCGAAAATAAATCATCAATGGTGTTTCACTCACGGTCCGCGAGGCATCTTGACTGCTTTGTCGACTTGAACCCGGTTAGTTGTCGAAGTGTCGCAGAAGAAAAAACACCGTCAAAGTCAAGAGGTGGTCGACTGATATCCGATCCACTCACGAAATTCGCTTAGCGGGTCATGCTTGTGCGCCGAACCCTAGCGCTATTCCTGATATAGGCCCGCCCGCAAAGTTATGTATTGACTTACATAATTGTAATTTATGTTCACAACTACTTTACTAAATGGCTGAGCAACCTATCAAGAAAGGGCTTCTGCTAAAAAAAAACAAAAAGAGTATCTCCGTCTAGAAAACCGCAAAGTGGTATTTAATGTTCTCTGAATCGCTATAGACAAAATTTTCATATATAATCCGATTGCATTAGATGTAACCCTTGATCACGGCAACCTCAGCATTGAGGATGGAAGAGCCTGCAGCACCAAGGACTGTGTTGTGAGAGAGTGCAGCAAATCTAAGGTCAAAGTGACCTCCCGGTGCACCTTCACGGACACGGCCTACACTGACAGTGTATCCCTTGGAGATATCTCTGTCAAGTCTAGGCTGGGGTCTGTCGGGCTCATCGAACACCTTAATAGCTTCCTTGGGCGCAGAAGGGCAACCAAGCTTCTGGGCCTCGGATTGATACTCTCTCATGGCCTGCTTGACTTCCTCCGCGCTGGGTACGGAACGGTTCTTGAACCGCAATGACACGAAAGCCATGTGTCCGTCGGTGACACCTACACGGGTGCAGGTGGCTCCAACCGTCAGGCCAGACTGCTCATCAAAGCCAGTGGCGTCGGCATTGAGAGAGCCCAGGATCTTCTGTGCCTCGTTCTCAAGTTTGTCCTCCTCACCGTTGATGTAAGGAATCACGTTGTCCAGAATATCCATGCTAGGAACGCCGGGATAACCTGCGCCCGACAGGGCCTGCTCAGTAAAGACTTCCACATCCTCGACAGGACCGAATTTGGCTTGAAGAGCGGCGAAAGGGATGACGACGCCAATGACGGCACAGTTAGAGTTGCAGACCAGGAATCCCTTCTTCAGACCGAACTCCTTCCTCTGGTGGGGGATAAGGTCGAAGTGGTGGGGGTTAACGGTGGGAACGATGAGAGGAACGAGAGGGTGCTTGCGATAGTTCTTGGCGTTAGAGAAGACAGGTATTTCGGCCTTGATGAATTCCATTTCTGCAAAATGAAGACAAGGTATTAGTGGTGGTTTCTTGTATTAGATGTGATCCCAAGGCATCGCCTACCAAGTTCACCAGCGACATCGCTGTTCAGGCCCGAGAAGACGAGGTCACAGTCGCTGAACTGGTCGGCCTTGCAATCGCGAAGAACGAGATTGCCCAGCTTCTCCGACATGGAGGTCGTCTGCTTCCACTTGACGGCATCCTTGTATTTCTTGCCGGCCGAGCGATTCGATGCACCAATGGCGTGCAATTCAAGGAAGGGGTGGTCTGCGAGGAGGAGGATGAATCGTTGACCGACCGAGCCGGTGGCGCCCAGGACACCTATTATACTGATAAGTGACTCTTCGGTATGAGAGGTAAAGTGGATGAAATGATCGTACCGCACTTCTTCTTGGGATACGAGGCCATTTCGGTTGATGATAGGGACAACGGGTATGCGACGAGTTTCACCTGGCTTCTCAAGTCAATTAACTATGCTTGGGAGATTGTGACGTAAAGTAAAGCATAACATAAAATATAAACAAGTCTACCCAGAGTGAACAAAGATTCAGCAAGTAGAAAGAGCGAGGAGTAATGCTATCGACTTCAGGAGGATGAGTCAAGCCTCTACCTAGAATCTTGAAGCCCCGCAGACGCCTGCGACCCTAATTGCTCTTCAATGAACGGAGATTTGGGCCGATCTTTTTGGGAAAAAAGCCAGGCAAGAAAGCCAGCAACATCACGGTCTAGGGATAGGATCAACTTACCACTTGAAGGCTCACTGAGAGGTTGAGAGAGGAATAGTCAGGCGTGGCAATGTCGAACATGCGACTGCGATATCGCTTCCATCCCACATCCAGTACCTGGCCCGCAATGAGTCAGCATCCGCTCATCGACGGGAACAGGCAGGGATTATCGTCCAACGCTATTGGCACGCTCCTCCGCACTCTTTTTTTTTTTTTGGCTGTTTTGTTTGTTGTAAGTTCACGTGACATCTATCTATACATCAGGAGATATTGTAGATGAAGGAGTCTTATGTTTGGAGTGATTGGGATGGATGTTCTATGACAATAAATAGATCGGTACTCTCTAATGGTATCTACATTGCATACGCTGTACGGAGGCGTAAGATGAGAAGAAATTTCAAGATCCCCGACTCCAAGGCTCCATGTCTATGCTTGACTTTCGTAATCGAAGATCTTCCCAGGGTTTAGCAACCAGTGGGGATCAAGTGACTTTTTGATGCTGCGCATCACATCAAGGGTGGTAGGACCAAGCTCCTTTTTCAAAGAGGACTTCTTGCCCAGCCCGACTCCATGTTCGCCCTGCATTGTTTATGGTCAACTTTGGCAGAGCAATTTGCGGCGGTCCAGGTGGGTCACTTACAGTGCAGGATCCCTCCATTTCGAGAGCACGGTCAACCATATCATGGACAACCTTCTCAACCCGAGCTCTCTCTTCGGGATTTTTAGGGTCGTACATAATACTGGAATGGAAGTTGCCATCTCCAATATGTCCCAGAATACTGGCAAACATACCAAGGTCATCGAGTTCCTTCTTAGAGATTTCTGGGGAAATTAGCGCAAATTCCAGAAAAATCAAATATCAAGACATACCAATAATGTCAGGCAGCCTAGAGACCGGCACGGCAACATCCGTGGACCACACTTCCGAACCTTCCTTGCGTAGCGCCATCATGCTCCATAATGATTGCTTCCGGGCAGACCACAGATCGTGAGCCTCCTTCTCGTCCTTAGCAAACTCAAATGTGGACGCATTGTTCTTTTTGGCGAGTTCCCTCGTCAAGTTGATACTGTCAGCCACCCCGGCCACTGTTCCAGAGAATTTGAAAAAGAGGGTGGGGAGCTTCTCCCATGATCTCCCTGTGCCGCCGGCACGGTTGATAACATCCATTTGCACATCGTCCAGGATTTCCATGCATTGTACGTGGATACCCTTTCGAATGAGCTGCATGGCAGTCGAGGCAGCATCGCGGATGGTGGGGAATGAAACGACTCCAACCCGAGTCTGCTCTGGAAGAGGAGCGAGCTTCAGAGTGGCTTCGGTGACAATGCCCAGTGTGCCCTCTGAGCCCACAAACATACCAGTCAGGTTATAACCTGCCGAAGTCTTGCGTGGACGTTTGCGAGTCTTCATCACGCGACCGTCAGCCAGAACAACCGTTAGGTTGATCACCCAGTCTTTCATGGTTCCATAACGGACTGCGTTCGTTCCGCTGCAATTTGTCCCGATCATACCACCGATCATTGCCGACGGGCCTGGATCAACAGGGAAGAAGAGGCCAGTGTCCTTGATTTTCTCGTTCAGGTCCATCCATTGAATCGATGGCTGGACGACGATGTCCAGGTCATCTTCGTGCAACTCCAAGATCTTGTTCATTGCGGCGAAATCAATTGTCATCCCACCATATGGAGCGGAGAAGTTTGCCTCGAGACTGGAGCCTCCCGAATAAGGCACCATTGGCATTTTGTATTTGTGGCAGACTTTAGCGATCTTCACCACATCGTCCGTACATGTTGGGTAAGCAATAGCAACTGGAAGACGTTCTGCGTTAACGCTAGACCATTCTGAGTACCCGTGTCGCTGGAGGTCCTCCTCATCGGTGCTGATTGCTTCATCACCGAGCTCCTTTCGCAATTCGGCAATGGCCTGAATCAGATCGCAGCTAAAATCAGCAATGTTGTTATTTCTAGGGACGTGATTGAAGGCCAAATTCGTACCTTATCAAAATCATTTAGAGATCCATACTGAGGTTGTTTTGAACTCTGCAGCTGGCTCGGCTGATTCGACGCGGCATATGCGTAGCCAACACCTGCGGCTAAGGCGGACAAAAGGAGCGCCTTGCTTGATGTCCAGAAGCCTGGGGCAGCTTGTGAAGAGGCGCCTGATTTGGCGGAATCCGGTTGACTGCTGGAAGTACTTTGCGAGCTACTGGAGCTATTGTACCTAATAGCTGTGAACGAAGGAAAGACTTGTGGCTGAGAAATTCTGTGCTGACGATGAAGCACGCGGGGATATGCGGGGAAACCCCGAGACAGAAGATGCCCTCTCATAGCGGTTCGCTGGAGCGAGAGGATATATCTATATGTCAAACAGGGGTTTTCTGAAGTTATATACTAATTGTTTGAGAAGTCCGCAGAAGAAGAAAGAAATTAAATTCAATTGACGGTGAAGAGGATAACAAGCATTGAAAGAGAAGTTTGGTCCTACAGCGCGGAGAAAGGGCGGTTTTCTTCGGTAATCTTGTATCTAGTCCATCAACGCCATTGCAGCTAAGGATGAGGAGCTGGTCGGGATTCGGCCGAGTGCTGGATCAATGGACCGAGAAGAGGCTGAATGATAGAGCCAGGGAGACCTCTCAGTAATACTATTGACCATTAGTTACTGATAAAGTACTACCTCATCCCCATCTGGTGATCTTCCCCACACTGATATGTGTGATATGGGCCTCGGTGCATAGAATTGTAGACTACTGGCCATAACTAGTACAGTAACTAACTGTTTTTATTCCTCAGTCGGAGTCGTCGCTGTGGGCTCCGGCGCTGCTCCAGATCGGCTTCATCTCCGAAGAGCGGAATTAAGACCACTGTTGACCTTCTTTATACAAATTCACACCAATACAAGCATGGTTGAGGCTCAATACTTCAGTGATGGAGAAGTTAGATAATAGTCTTTAATATATCTTTTTCAACAAAAACCATGATAACGAATTACAGTGTCAGGCAAGTAGGGATCTTAGATCTCTGTAACCCATCAAAGAGCCCGATGGCGGTTGATGGGGCAACCAGCGGCAAAGATCAAGTCCATCACCACTGTTGGACTTCAGGCACAATGGCAAAGAGTTTACAGCTGGGAGACAACACTCCAGAGCCTGGAAATAACGGACTCTTGCCCGCACTTACAGATAAATAAATGCGACTATGCAAGACAAGCTGTCACTTCTGGTGCGCGAAGTGGAGCGCTTGATTACAGCCCCATACGCGCCCTCCCTCCAAGTAAACTCATACCCCGCTGTCAACAATATCTAGATGAGCGAGCTGACAGTTTGAGGATAGAGCCTTCATGAGCTGATCCACAATGATTCCAGCCATTTGGTTGATGCATGGGCTATAAACAAGCCGTGCCAAATTAGAGCTCTGGTCGATATCCTTGTTGATGGACTATCTCGGTCTCGATTTGCTCTGTCGACGCTAGGAGCTTTTGGTAAGATGTCAATGAAAATACCAAACAAGCATCATGTTCTGATACCTTCCAGTATCTGTTACGGCTATTCGCAATGCTTTGCTTGAACGGTATCCAGCTCTTCTTGACCAGTTCCTCAAAAAATCCGTTGAAGATAATGATGCCGAGGTTTGTGCTCCAAGAATTCCACGCTCCCAACATGATTAACGATTGCTTCAAACATACGTATATATTCAAGCCCTCGCAAGCTGACAATTACAGTGTATGGCGGTATGCATCGCCATTCTCTCTACTCCTCTTCCCTCCGACTTCATTGCACCAGCTCGGCTGGCCATCTTCATCATGAAATTGATCAATGAAATGGCAGAAAAGCCATACTCGGAGACCATATTTCCATTATATCGAGTTATGACCGGACTACAAACAGTCCCCGGGGCCATGCTTGAGATCCCTTCGGAGACGATGTCTAGCCTCCAAGTTGAGCTAACCAAGACCCTACGTAATCTCGACGATCACATGGGGAACCTCCTCTGTCTAGCTACATTTGCCCGAATCGCATCATCTTGGACCGCTGATGCTGAGAATAAACACGGACCCTATCTTCCATCATGGTTACAGAGTGTGAAGGGATTTTTTGGCCAGAAGCGTGGATTGAAGACCCTGGACCTTGTTGTTCTACGCGTGATACTTGCTTGTTCAGCTAGTTGCAACAACCTGTCAGCAGACAAAGCAGCCGAAAGCATTCGATTAGCAATCGACGTTTGTGACAGCGTGGAACAAGACCAGAAGGACGGCTGGATAGCAAATAATTCTCCCAAAATCGCTAAGCTCTGCGAGAAAGTCACCCGCGAAGGTATCGACCACCAAGTGCAAATGATGGTAAGTCACCTATCGAGGGAGATAGCAGTGTATTCTCATTCGATTTGATACTGACTTTGATAGGGTGTGGCTTTTCTGGTCTCTCTACTTCCAGCAACTGCATTGTCATCCAAAATCCCGAAACTCGCTTTGCAAACGCTTTTGAGCAACGAGGAACACTTACAAGAAGTTGTACCTTTGTATCTTGTTCCACGTCTGGTAAAGGCGAATTCTGTATGTCATACGCTATCCAGTTCCAAGAAACCGGGTTCTGACTGACTTTTAATTAGGTTATTCTTGGAAAAACTGTCATCTTGGAGTTCGCAAACTGCATTCTCTCGAAATTGAGAGAAAATTGGCCTGATGACCGAGCCAATACCAGGGCAATTCAGCGAGCCAAGTCAATGCTTCAAGGCCTGCAGGCTTTGGACCCACAGTTCTTCAACACAGCTGTGACGGATTTCGGTCCAAAAGGGTCGTACAGTCAGTCCTTGGCTGAGCTGATCGGAGGATTTCCCCGACGCACACGCTCTTCAATATGCCAGAATGCCGAATTGTGCTATGCATCGCTTGCAGAAGCAGAGAATGAACTCCTGTTTGATCTCCTTGTTTTTACTTCTCACATGACGCTGTCAGTGGCAACCGATGCTGATAACAGCGACCTGACTGGCGTAAATGCCTTCACGCATTATCTTTCGAAGGCTAAAAGCTTGCTTGCGGAGAGTAGATGCGACTTTTCTGAAACGAAGCCTCTTGATCATCGAATAAAACTCTCTTTCCCTGGACTAGGCGAGCAACATCCAACTTCACGGAGCGACTGGAGAGCTGGGATAGCGGAGACAATCATGAACTGTTCGCGCATGTCTCATGATACTTTGATACGGAAAATAGAAGAGGTTTGCGTCGATCTCGAGCGGCGCTGCAATACCATCGAGGAACCATTGAGGGCAGTCGAAGAAGAGCGTGATAGAATTGCGTCTGAAGCCGAACAGCTTCGCCAACACAACGAAAAGCTACAATCAGAGTTGCAGCAATCTTCTAGTTCAATCGCTGGGCTTGAGCGGGACTTACATCAGCTTCAAAACCATGCCCAATCGGCGTCGGTTCGTGTTCAAGAATTGACAGCCGGCTTGGATACAGCGCGACGAGAAATTGAAGAACAACGCCATACGTCACAGGAAACCTCCATTAGTGAAAGAGAAAAAGCCCGTACAAGGGAGCTGGACCTCCTTGCCACAATAACAGAAAAAGATGATCAAATTGAAGAGCTGCAAGAGGAATCACAAGACCTTCGGGATGACAACGACAAGTTACGCCAAACATTAGATATGCTCTCAAAAGAGAATGGTGCCACTTTAGAGCAGACGGCTGTCCTCAAACAGGAGGCTTCGAGACTTCAGGAATCCGTTGAACAGGGTAGGCTACTTCTAGGACAGAAAGATGAGGAAATCAAGCGGTTGTTGTCGGATCAAGAACGAATGAGCTCTGACTCACAAGTCCTCCAGAGAAAGGTTTGATTGTTTTACGAATCTCAGATAGTATAACCTTGCACTGACATTTTATACAGCTGGATGCGGAGATTGCTTTAACTGAAGAGCTCCGTGGTGCCTTCCAAACTGCAGAGGAGCTTCACAAAACGGAGGTGACTACACTCAGAAAACAATATGAGTCGCAACTGTCAGAGATAACCATGCAGGTAAGACAACATAGTCGTCACAAGAGATCTAAGTTTCTGATTCAGGTACACAGCACACTAAGAACAAAGAAGAGACAGAGTCTCTGCAAGCCGCCATGCGTGCAGCCGCTTCAAACGCCGCAAAGAAGCTGCAAACAAGAGACCAACGGATCCAGCATCTTGAAAGAAAGGTTAGTCCAAAGATTTGTGCATTCTATCAGCACATCCTTATGCTTATCTATAGGTGCAACAATTACGCGATGAGCGGGCAACCAAGGCACGCGAGTTCTCGGAAGCTCAACAACATATTGGCCGTTTAATGAGTGTGATGGGTTTTAAACCCGACTCCAAAGAGCAGAACACGGCAAGCAAACAACAATGCTCGGCATCAACTCCACGGCCAACTCAAATGACCACAATGCAGCAGCAAACACCTCAACGGCAGGACTATACTGAAAGTCAATCCGAAAATATGCTTGCGGACTCTTTTGCCTCCGCAACACCCCAGCCTAGCCGGCGTAGTCCTAAGAGATCCAGAAACGCTGTCGCTGATCAAGACACAAAAGAATTAGCCTGTCGAAGCCGTGTGAGACCGCGACGGGAGCGCCCTGCTCTTGCAGATGCAAACCAGAATAGCCAGTCAGGCTCCCAACGAAGCAGCGCTTCATTATGCACCCAAGAGATGGCTGGCCAAGACACCCAGTATGGTGGTAATCTGGACGAAAATCACCTCCATGAAATAGATCTCGACATGGATTTGGACTTTTCAAAGGATTTCTTATTTACCAGCACTTCCCTTTCTGGAGCGAACGATAATATACTTCCGCCAGGAGCCCAGCAATGATACGAAGTCATGCTACAGCCTCTACTGAAACAAATGATGTCTGACTGAAATGTGAATCGCCTGAACGGCATATCATAACGGCCTCTCACAGCTTCCCTCTTAGGACTCCTTTCCACCCCTATTTCAGGTGACTGAGAAGTAATAAAGAAATATATGCCTAGAGAGATGTTTAGATACTCCACATTTGGGTCATTCACGTACATATTCGTAAGCGATCAGTTTCACTCTTAGCGTCATCTCTTGTGAACGCTTTGCTTCTGCATCTCTATTTTCTGTTCCAATAGTCAGTATATAATCTCCTCTGATATCCCATTGTTGTTATGGATCTCCTTGCATCTGTTCACATAATGAGCACTTCTGAAGTCTGCTGGCATATAACAGTATGATAGACAGCAGAACTACTAGAGGTATAACATCCCATCTCCTATGTGTCTTATAGAAAATTTGCTTGTCTCGGATTTTCTCTCTATTTTATTGTCTTTCTGCCAATTGCTGTGCGGTTCATCGATCTAATAACACTTGCTCCCTCTCCTCCTATGGCTCACCGGTCTGGCCTCTCTGGCTTTTGGATTCCCCTGTTCACTAATACATGATTCAGACCTTTAGATTATTAACGCTGTCTTCTGCCCTTCAGTTGCAAAAGAGATAAGAACAAAGCCTCTTTATGTTAGCAAGATGGCAGTACATATGGCTTGTCGAAAAGCTGAAATAGTACCTCCAGCATACTACGAGTCAGAGGCGGAAACGGACTCGAACGAACATGAGCACTCCACGGCAGAGACAGACTCGAGTGTGTTTACTTCTAGCACAGGGGAGAGTGAAGCAAACCTCGACATCCAACCAGGCGGTGGAGACAGAGGTAGGATCTCGCGAAAATCTCATGCAAAAGCTCCGTGTCAATCATGGTCCTCAACCCGCCGCCCTCGAGCTGAGGGAGGTCGTCGGCGTGAATCACATAACTTTCACCGGAGAGTCACTACTGCCGCTCCTCCGTTACCTTTACTCCCTTCACTGCCCTCGCCTGCCATTCCACTCTCATGTTCTCTTCCCTCGCCTTCCTCTTCCCTCTCTTCCCCAAACGCCCCCCCCTCTTCATCTCGTTCACATAGTACCTCCTCGAGCTCAGCTCTTCTCTCGACCACTCGAGCCATGACTCGAACCTCGCGGTCCAGAAAGATGCCTTTGCAAGAGGGGAGGCGTGCTGGTCCGAACACTAGACAAAACATCCCACCTCAGAGCTCCCGTAATCAAATCTCTTCTCAAAATCTGCAGCAGAACACACGTCAAAAGACACCACTCCAAGCCCCACGGCGGCAGCAACCCCTCCGGGCTTCTCGCCACCCAGCCGCACTCAATGCTCTGTGGAAGCAATGGGAGTCGGTGGCTGTGAATCTTTTCAACTTACCACCAGAAACTGACGCGTACACTGTCTGGCAAGCTTTCAGCAAAGAAGGCCGTGTGTTATCCATAGACATATTCGAGGACATACACGGAAATAAAGAATCAAAAGGAAAGCTGCGATTCAAGTGAGTTGGTTTGTATAAACCCTCTATTCAGCAAGCCGTCTGACCGTCCACCAGGCCACCACCTCAGAGAGATTTCTGGAGGGCCGGAACATACCAAATTGTACTCCAAGATGGAACGACGAAAGTGATCTCTGTAGCTCTTGACCCCAAACAACCCGACATCCAAGTACAAAGCCCTGTTCGTTCCAGCATCTCATATCCGGCAGAAGTGGTGAGTCTACAGACTTCTTTCCGCGATCATAAGAGATGATAGCACTGATATTGTTTTAATCAGATAATACCTATTGCTTCAATGGACATTGGGGTTCAGATTGATGGAACAACCATGCTGCCGATGCGTACTGTTGGAGGTGGAATGGACGAGCATGTGCATGCGGTTCTCGACCTCAAACGCAGGGACATGTTCATTTTCTTCCAGTTGCCTATCTTCAACGCTAGGCGCCGTCTGGCCCCAACGAATGAGAGCTATAACCAGTATCGCCTTAGACTCCCCTTTGTTCAATTGGCTAAATTGCACCAGATGCAGGATGCACAATCGGGAATGATCTCCCACTTGACCTTCCTGGACTCGCCTGCGATTTATCATCGGCGGATTCAAGAGACCCGGGCCACGTTTACCGATGATATCTCTTGGAGAGACTCAGATAGCTGGTATCGGCAAACATCTGTGGTCCACAACCCTGGCGAGCTCTCCGTCCTACCAGTCAGTCTAAAAAGATTAAAGCCTGTGGTCGACATTGGTATGTCCCTTCGTCTCTGCGTCACGCCTCTCTTTGTCCATAGTTGATGGTTCTTTTTCTAGGTCGCTGGAACGCGTTCAGAATAACTTATCCCAGGGATATCAATGACAAAGGCAAATTCTTGTTGTTTTGTAACATCCTGAGGGACTACAACATTTTCATTACGAAGACGAAGACAAACTCCTTCTCAGTGCTTGATTATAGCCGGGAGAGAGCTCCACCAATATGGAAATGGATCGATTACACAGACTCGCAAACGTCCAAAGCATTTTCCTCGCTGGAAGAACTGATAGACGAGACATACGTTCATCTGCCCTTCCCAGTTCGGTACCAGCTTGAGGTGTGTATCTCGCATAATTATCTCTCGGAGTTCACCATGACCCGTGGTTTTGCCATCAAACTGTCTGGACTCGGGGAAGCAGAAGCATTGAGGCTTCTGGAGCATGTAGCCACTAAGAAGGAGGTTTTTCATAATCCCATGAAGATCTTCGATCTGAAATTTGTGAAAGGGGTGACACACGCTAAGATCCCTTCATACTGCTGCTATATGCGGTCGGCCAGGATCACGCCCACTACAATCTATTACAACACACCTTCGGTAGATATCTCGAACCGTGTGATCCGCCACTATATCGAGTTTGCAGACCGCTTCCTTCGCGTACGCTTCACTGATGAGAAGCTATTTGGTCGCATCAATTCGACCATGGATGACACGATGGATGAAGTGTTCACTCGTATCAAGAGAGCGTTAGCAAATGGCATCGTCGTCGGTGATAGACGTTACGAATTTCTTGCCTTTGGCAACTCACAGTTCCGCGAGCATGGAGCATATTTCTTCGCTCCATTGCCGAATCTCACAGCTGCGAACATACGAGCTTGGATGGGAACCTTCAATGACATCCGCAATGTCGCAAAGCACGCTGCCAGACTGGGGCAATGCTTTTCGACCACGCGAGCCATTTCTGGTTGTCCAGTGCAGATTCACAAGATCGATGATGTCGTCCGGAACGGCTACACTTTCTCAGATGGTGTCGGACGCATCTCAAGATTCCTCGCCCAGATGGTAGCGTCTGAGCTCAAGATCAAAACCCCAATTGATGAACCTCCCTCCGCATTCCAGTTCCGTCTTGGAGGCTGCAAGGGAATGCTTACAGTTTCTCCTGAGGCTCAACGCCACGAGGTACACATCCGCAAGAGTCAGTATAAGTTTGCGGCCGCCCACAACGGGTTAGAGATCATACGCTGGTCCCAGTTCTCCATGGCAACACTAAATCGGCAGCTCATTATTGTTCTATCCTCACTTGGTATCCCTGATCAGGTGTTTCACGAAAAGCTTCAAGCAATGCTGCGCAGCCTCAATGAGGCAATGGAAAGTGATTCTCAGGCAATTTATTGGCTTAAGAAATATGTTGATCCTAACCAGATGACACTCACTGTCAGCCAGATGGTTCTTGACGGTTTCAGAAGAACTCAAGAGCCATTTGTCACTTCCGTTTTGAGACTCTGGAGGGCATGGCATCTCAAGTATCTGAAGGAGAAAGCAAAGATTGCCATCGACAAAGGAGCAAATTTACTGGGATGCATGGATGAGACTGGTATTCTGAAGGGCTACTTTGAGAATGTTCCTGCCAAGGACGCTCCTCGTGAAAAGAAACTGACCTCGTTACCCGAAGTTTTCGTCCAGATTCTTCATCCCGAAAGCGGGAAGTATCAGATCATTGAGGGAGTATGTATCCTGGCCCGCAACCCATCGCTTCATCCCGGTGATATCAGGGTTGTCAGAGCTGTCAATGTCCCCGAGCTGAGTCATCTCAAGGATGTTGTGGTCTTCCCACAGACAGGAGATAGAGATGTCCCAAGCATGTGTTCCGGTGGAGATCTGGATGGTGATGATTACCTTGTGATTTGGGACCAAGACCTCATACCCAAAGATTGGTTTCGCATTCCCATGAAATACACAAGCGACAAGGCCCAGGATCTCAATCAGGACGTGACGGTGGACCACATCACGTCCTTCTTCGTCATTTACATGAAGAATGACTTTCTGCCCAGAATTGCTCATGCTCACCTTGCGTGGGCGGATCGTCTTGAGTACGGCGTGAACGAGGGAAAGTGTATACGGCTTGCACAGCTCCACTCAGACGCCGTTGATTACAACAAAACGGGCAGGCCTGCTAACATGACGCGCAGTTTGCAGCCAAAGATGTGGCCGCACTTCATGGAGAAGAAACACAAGCCAAAGGAAAGAATCTACCGCTCGGGAAAGATCCTTGGACAGCTCTACGATGCCGTGGAGCGGGTTGACTTTGTGCCTAGTCTTGAAATGCCCTTCGATGAACGGATCCTGAAATGCCGCTTGCAAGTCAGCGACGATCTCATGCAGACTGCTCGAGACCTCAAAGCTGACTACGATGCCGCCATGCATCGCATCATGGCACAGCATGAGATTAGAACGGAATTTGAGGTTTGGTCCACGTTTGTACTCAGCCATGCAAATATGAGTAAGGACTACAAGTTTCACGAAGAACTGGGGATGCTCTCATTGTCTCTCCGCGGCATATACCGCAAGAAGTGTTATGAGAAGGTGGGGGGCCGCAGCTTTGAACTGCTGGCCCCCTTGGCTGTTGCGATGTACCGTGTCACTCATGAGGAGATGACCACCGCACTACAGAAATACCGCGCTGAGAATCCCCATGATGAAAAGCTGTTTCACAAGCCTACGCCCAAGATCGACCAACTGCCTTTTATCAGCTTCCCTTGGGTTCTGCAAAACATCTTGGGTAAGGTCGCGATGGGTTTGTATGATGAACCTGAGCCTGCTCCTGCTCCTGCTCCATTTGTTGCTCCTGCTGCTGCTGCTGCTGCTACAACACCTGCAGAGGTTGGCAACCTAGGCGTTGATCCCAAAGGAGCCGCTTCGAATGCTCGAGAAGATACCACCGGCACTCAGGTCACTCATGTTCCTCCTAACGCCGACCCCTTTGGGCTTTTCGAAGGCGACGTGGGGTCTGGAACATCCCCCCAACTTGCTACGGAAAGTTCGACAGAAAACAGACGGGAGAGCATTCTCTCCCTCGATCAGCTGCTCGACTTTGGTCTGATGGACTCTGGGGTCCCTCTCGCCCTCACCAAGAGATCCCAAGCTAGTGTGCCTACTCCAGCTCCAGATGGCCTCAGTTTGCTCGAGCTGGGCGACAACTCGGAAAACGTCAAGCCTGTGCAAGAGGATGAAGTGAAACTCGGCCCTGGTAATGTGGACTCCAAAGGCGTTTGCATTGACATCGTTGAGGAAGAAGATGAGGTCCAGCCGACTGCCTTCGATATGCTCAATGAGATATTGAACGGCTAAGGGACTCAGGGTTTTCTGACGGTGAGTTGCTCTGGACTCTCTTTCAGTTTCTGTTACTTCTGCTCTGTCGAAGCTTTGGGGGCTCTCGATTACTACTCCTGTGATTTCATGGAGATGTCAATACAGCGATCTAGTCTAGGATCTTTCGGTATCACGCGCTCGTAGCTAGAATGGGGTTTGTAGTTTGGTGATAATGATGTTGCATTTGTGAATCCAATTAAACTCTCAAATTCGTATGAGATGATTCAATTCAATCCTATAATCCCGTCCAAGACACATTCTTTGACATGCCAGTCTTCTCATAAACCACCAGCACCAATGTTTGTTTAGAACAAGATACACTCCTCTAAGGTGACCAGAATAAGATAAAGCCAACACCGTCCCCAGAATTACTCATAATTTTCAATGGTCTGTGAGCTTACCATTCCAAAGCACTCTGGCTCTGGTCCTGCAAGAGGTTGATAATGGGCTCCAGGCATGCCCTAGTATGTTTCCAATTAGCCAGATGGCGGGTCCGCGAGTAAAAGACAGGGCAGTCTTTACTATTGCATGTCACCTCGTCGCCGGGTGGAATCCCCATGCAGGACCGACATACACGGTGCAGGTCGGAGTTTTTCTTCTCCGCCTGCTGCTGGCGTGAGACCAGAGACAAGAGTGAGATATGCGGTTGCAGTAAACAGTCAGAGCAGACTGGGACGCCGGTATCGTCGAGCTTGGATTTGCAGACGATGCACGAGGAGGATTTCATATAGGATTCCAGTGTTTTCCGGGCGTCCTTCCCTGCAGACGTGGTTGCGCCTTCCACGCGGCGGATGCGTTGAAATTTGGGCATTTCCTCGTACCATTGGCGGACATTTGCGCCAACCAGGTTGAAGATTCTCTCGAGTGGAGGGATGAGGTTTTTTGTGATGTAATACTCAGCGTCCAGTTCCAGCTGGGCGTCGTGAAGGAGTGCCTCGGGTGCGACGCAGCGGTCGACTAACCGTGACCCTGGCGCTCCGGTTACCACTACGTAGGGAACGCGTTCTCCGTATTGTGGCTCGGAGCGGGGATCCTCAACCATCTTCTTCGTGCTTATCATAGCACCTGGAGGGAGCAGCCCTCTTTCACTGTAGGTGCCGAGTCGCACTTCTTTAGCGAAGCAGAAGTCCTGGATCGACACTCTTCCTTGTAGGATCTTGGCACATTGCTTCTGAAAATACTGTTTGACCTGGCTCAAATCTGCAGTTCTGAAAAGTAGCTTGAGTGCCTTCTCTTCGATCTTCTGTTCGGCGGGTGTGCCATCCCGTCTTACCGTTTCAATGCCCTTTGCGTCAAATTCGGGCTCCTTCTGATCTCTGTGCTCGTATTTGAAGCCAACATACCGCTTCTTCGCTAGGAGCACGCATGGATGGTAAACCTTTTCAAATTTGAGTTTCACGGGATGTGGGTTCATGTCCGTGACAGTCTTGGCAATCTCCTCCCCGATATTGAAGGCTTCGTCGCGTGTTCGCCCCTTCAGATACACGAAGAGGCTGTCTGTGTCTCCATAGACTACCTCCGCGCCCCATCTTTCTACAGAGTGGATGAGAGCAATCGCCTTTTCCAGCGTTTCTCGACCCGATTGGACAATACTGTCCGCGATCTCCGAGCAAGGCATCCGTCCGGAGAAAGAGGCAGATGTGTACCCGTATGTGACATTAGCAATCAGTTTGAGAGCAAGCTGTCGGTTGTTGAGTAGTCGTTGCAGTACCTTGTCGTCCTTGTCCATCTTCATGCCGGTCTTCACCATCACTCGAGTCTCCAATATTTCAGCAAGCATCCTCGCGAGAAGCGATTGCCGTACTTCCTGCTTCACATACATCATACCGTTCGGTGCAATGTTGATCTTGTCCTTCAGCAACTCCAATACTCGCGGCTGTCTCTTGTAGTCCATGAAACCCATCTTGTTCCGGCCTCTCCACTGACGTGCCCTTCCGAGAAATGTAGAATAGCAGTAGTTATATGCAATCATTATGCTAGGATATAGCGATTGGAAATCCAAGACAAGCAGAGGGCTTGTGTAGAAGTCGCTCTGGGGTTCCATAACCAAAGGAAGACATTCAAGGGCATTTTGCTGGCCGACTTGCTTCCTGCTCGGAGAAACGAGTAAAAAGTTCTCCGGCTTTGCGATTCGAAACATGAGAGACTCCACTTTAAACTGGGAACCTCTCGAAAAGACGGAGAAGAAGTCAATGCCGAGAAGCCTGGCCTGTTCGCTGGTTCTCGGGATCAACTCGTTTGAGTCGAGTATCTCAAGATTCATTTGTATGCGTGAAACAAAGTATTCCACGACCTTCAGCAGGTTCCGAGGTTTTCCACTCTCATACCACGCTGTGAGATCCCGGAACGAATAGTGCGGGATCCTGCGATGCAGTAGATGATATACTACATTTTCCATGGTGTACTGTAGCAAGTTCAGCTCGCCTCTCATCGATCGCCAAATGTTGATCATGTGTCGACCTGTCACTCGAATCGATGATGTGTGATTGAAGCCCCATCTGTCGGCCTCTTTCCCAAATCGCCCATGTGCTTGTGATTTCACCCGTGATAATTCGTCACAAAGGTCGAAGTCGTATTTCTTTCTAGCTCTCTCAATCAGATAGCCCCAAGAGCTGTTATGAACCTCATAGCCTGTGATAATGTCAGGATCGTGGTATCTGACGATATCTACCAATCGATTGATTAAATCAAGTTCTGTGGGCTCATAGTCGAGCTCGATACGTAGAGCCTTTGAAATATTTGGTTCATGATCATTTCCTTGAGCGATCATTCCAACGTGCACACCAGGAAGGATACCATTGGGATCGATATCCTCGCCATCCGATTGGATGCACCAGAAGATGCATGATATCTCATCCTCTTCTGGATTAGGCAGAAGTACCCCTCGTGTATTCACATGTACTTCTAAGCTCATGGAGCTCATATACTGAGTGTGATGCTCGACGCTGGTGGACTTCCCTTTCTGAGAGTATTTGAAGCCATAGTCATTCTTTTGGGTTGGTCCCTCGATCTGAGAGAGAGCATTGGGTTTCGACAATGGCTCAGAGGCTTGTTCTTTACTGGAAATAGTTTGAGTCTTCTGTTGAGATTGTTCTTTCTCGAACCATTCCATGACTTCGGCACGGCTGGGAGGTACAGGAGCAAACTCCCATACTCTGCTTGTGGAAGACTCTCGTAGTTGTTGATCAATTTGCTCTTGTTGGTACCGATCCTTGAATACTGAAGCTTGCTCACCATACATCGCAGGAGACCGCCCCGATGGATCGAATTGGGGCAGATAATGTATGCTGTTACCCTCTAGCCGAAATGTACGACCAGCGTAGTCTCGTGCTCGATCAGGTACATCCCGATCATTGCTATAATGTGCCTTTGTATAGACAACATAGGGATATCCATACTCTGCAAGCGTTGAAGAAACTTCGCTCGCGCTAGGGGGTAGATACCGCCAGCAGCACACCTTTGTTTGGTCAGAAATGCTGAACGCATCGTACAATTTGGGTATCAGTTCAGAAACATGAGTGCTTGACGAAGTTGACTCGGTTCCAGAGGAGGAGGATGGTAGCTGGGAGGAAGGGTCGCTTTCACTGGTCATTTTCGGAGCACTCCCATGGGATTCAGAAGTAGCCAGAGAGTCGAGTTCCTGCATCCCCTTGGAAGAACAGACGCCATCTTGACTGAAGCGCACGATTGTCATGGGATCATTGGGGTCTTTGACAACAGGAAAGTTGAGTTTACCATCTTCCCCGTTTATCCTCGTCCGAACATTCTGCTGTGAGGATGGCGGCGTCGCTTGGGGGAGCACTTTCTTGACTGGCGCGGGGTCGTCATTAGCGACGCGTAAATCCGCAACCTGCATTGACAGGTGCCTGTCTGATGAACGGGACGCATTGTTCTCAAGAAATCGTAGTCTTTTGTATGGGGCTTCACCAGCAATCTCCCCGGATTCAGACTGAGAGCGTTTAAGTCTTCTCTTGAATATTTCGGTTTCCTCGCCGATCGCCTCATCATTGAATTGACCATCTGATGGATTGGCAGGAGACCCGAGTGGGAAGCCTGGAAATATCATATTGCTGAAGCCATCCTCTGAACACTGATCAACCTCGTCACCAGCTTCTTCAGCTTCAATTTCCTCCGAGAAGAGATCGGAAAAATAGTAATCAGCCGAGCCCTCTAGGCTCATGTCTGTCTCGGCAGACAAGACTGCATTCTCGTTGACCTCCGCTTCTTCGTCTTCACCATTTGCAATCAGAGACTGTCGCATTTCCATCTGAGTGTGCTCAATCTTGTCTGGAAAGAAATCTTCAACACTTTCCAATGCCGTTTTTACTGTCTTCTCAAAAGGATTGTCCTTCAAAAACTTATCCGGGGTCATATCCCCATCGCTGTCTTTGCGCTCTTCAGCAACAATCTGCGATGCCAACTGACGGAATTCTTCTTCATGGATCCATCCACCCTCGGAATTGCTTCTGGGCTCCGCTGACAACGACATCAATTCCTCAGGACCAAACGGGCTACTGCCGAAATCATCTAATCCCATCCGCCTCTTGCGCCTGCGAGTCTCGTCTTGCCATAGACCCGCCATACTCGGAACCAGTCGTTCGTTTTGCGTGACTGGCTTCAGCATCTCAGTGAAGTCTTGATGAAGTGGTCTTTCTTTAATGTCGACTCGGTTCAGAATGTCCTGTACGCAGACATCCACTTCTAAGGAACAGTGGCTCTGCTTTGGTAGAACCGCTGCATCGGAAATGCAGTCGGGTGGAATAGAGCGATCATGCCACCGATAAGAAAGATCCGTTAATTCAAAAAGTTCTGGGATGCGAGATCGAAACTTGGCTTTGCTACATTTCATATACGCGCAGCCATACAAGTTATAGTCGCACATCCACTGCGGGACATACTGCAGGTGGCTTTCATATGGCTGGAAAGGGCGCTTCAACACAGCGCCCTGTAGCAGGAGGTCCGCTAGCCTGGTCACATACACGGGGTTCAAAAGATAGATCTTGAAAAAGAAGCGATACCCCACATGATAGCCGTAGAAGGGAACTCCTTTGACCAGGGTAATATGAGCAACAAACGCTGTCTTCTTGTCGTATGCATTGCGACGATAGTTCAGCGCCAGTGCATGGTCTATGGAGAGATGGAGGCTTCTGATCGCGGAGCTAACTATATGGATAGATGAGGCAAATAGCTAATAATGATATAGAATAGGACACATCGAAAACTTACCCTGCTCTGCGTTCAAAGGTCCGTCGTATTCGATGTATAGATAAGGGAATGCACCATGTACATGAACGCAGACCTTTTGGCCGGTTTCTGTCGCGCCAAATATTCTGATCACAGGTACCTTAGACTTGTCATATTTCCCAACTGCACCATCCCTGTAGGGGAGAGGGGGGTCAAATTCTGATGGGGTTGCTTGATAGTGATCCACGCAATTGAGGCGCACTTGGAAGGGCTCCATCGGATGGGTTGGGGACAGCGAGTGCTGTCTGCGACATGACGCGTGTAAGTAGATCGAATGTCATGTCATTGGCATGCAAAAGGTGACCGCATCTCAAGGATCCCCGGCGACTATGTTTGTCGCCTTAACTGTTGCTCGTGACAGAGAGTTTACGCGTTGTCAAAGCACATGGAAACGCCTAGTCACGTGATTCATTCCGGTATTATGAGCCGTTTTTGAACAACCTCGACCGGCGCAGGATTGGCAGTCTAGAGCAAGAGCGGAGGTGGCGGATCTCCACGAAGCGTCTTAATCTGAACCTCACATCCCGAAACTTTCAGCTGGCTGCAATATCAACTCCTCACTTTTTTTTAAAGCTATCATAATGTCGTCGCGAAAACCGGCTGACGTGGCGTCGAAAGAGCGCAACGAATATATCCCATCCTTCATCGCGAAGAAACCGTTCTATATCGACGATGAGTCGTCAGCTAACGATTACCTCGAGCATCAACGTCTTCAAAAACAAGCAACAGACCAATCGAGATGGTACGACCGTGGGAAGCGCGCTGGTCCAGCCGCCACCAAGTATCGCAAAGGCGCTTGCGAGAATTGTGGTGCCATGACACATAAAACGAAAGAGTGTCTAAGTAGACCCCGCAAACTTGGTGCTAAATGGACTGGCAAGGATATTCAGGCAGACGAGGTAGTACAGAATGTTGAACTGGGATGGGATGCCAAAAGAGATCGGTGGAACGGTTATGATCCCAGCGAATACAAGCAGGTGGTGGAGGAGTACGAGGAGATCGAAAAATTGAAGCGCATTACCAAAAGCGACGATCCTGACGGGACACGGTTGATTACAGATGTCGAAGGCGACGAGGAGGATGTTGCTACGGAAGAGGCCCGCTACGCAGAGGAATCGGATATGGGAAGACAACAAAGTACTGCGACTCGCAACCTGCGAATCCGAGAGGACACCGCGAAATATCTACTTAATCTTGATCTCGATTCGGCGAAATATGATCCGAAGACACGGCGAATGGTCGACATGGGTGCGCAGGATGATCAAGCTGCAGCACTTGTTGCCGAGGAAAACTTCGTTCGGGCTTCCGGCGATGCTGCCGAGTTTGAGAGAGCTCAAAAATATGCCTGGGAGTCGCAGGAGCGTGGAAATCGAAAGATTCATCTTCAGGCGAACCCTACGTCTGGTGAGATTCTGCGGAAGAGGGAGCAGGCTGAAAGTGAGGCAAAGCGTCAAGCCCAGCGGCAGGCTCTGCTGGCGAAATACGGTGGCGAGGAACATCTCCAACATACACCCCTACGAGATGCCATGGTCATCGAGAACGAGAAATTTGTTGAGTATGACGAGACTGGTGCCATCAAGGGTGCGCCGAAGAACGCAGTCAAGTCCAAATATCCGGAGGATGTGATGGTGAACAATCATACAACTGTATTTGGTAGTTGGTGGCAAGACTTCCAGTGGGGTTACGCTTGCTGTTACTCAACCGTGAAGAACAGTTACTGTACAGGAGAAGATGGCAAGAAAGCATTTGAGGAAGCCGAGATGAGAGCGCAAGGCTTGCTGCGTGGGCCTGAGGGAGACGCCAACCATACTCCCAAGCCAGACGAACAGACCAGCAACGATCCCGAGGCTGATGCTGCAGATGCTGCCGATGCTGCCGACGACCGCGACTCCCGCAAAGCGGACTCCAGCATCAACCCCAGGAAGAGAACAATGATGGAGTTGCAGTCCGGTATCAGTGAGGAAGAGATAGAGTCCTACAAGCGGAGCCGTCTAGCCGCTGAGGATCCCATGGCTGCATTCATAGGGAAGGAATGATGATAAGACCAGCAAGCATTCGTTCATATTCTGATTGTTTCACACATTGTTGCATATCGAAAAGGGCGTTAGGTGATTTCTTTATGGTTCGACTACTCAATACCCATTTTGATTATAAACAGAAATATAGCTTTACTTTTTAAGTCAAGATCAATATTAGTAGGGGATTCGAGCGTGCATATAGAACTGAGCGGTGCTGCTCTATTTTTCCATGCTACTACAAGCTTGGTACCTATCGATGGCAGTGTTCTCCAAAATGTTAGAACATACAGGACTAAGGACGAAGAAGGCTAGCATTAATTTGAAGCGGCTAGTCCCATCCTGGAATAGTCGAGTGCCTAGTCTGCAGGGCGGAAATAAACCTCGGTCATGTGACTGTCAGATCTACTTAGACAAGTGAAGAATCACGGGACCAGGGCACAAGCCCTGGATACCACAACTCGCTTAGCGACACCCGCCCCAGATCTCAGCGCAACTTTCGATACCGCCCAGCGACGACGACAACGACAACCAGCCCTTCAACGGAATCGCCAGGTAAGTTGCTGCTCAGGGTGTTGCCGTCCGTTTTTGAGACCTTAGGGGAATTCTTGTGCTAATTTTTTTGCGTCAATTCTGCAGTTCCTTAATTCAAGATGAGTACGTGCAACCTCGATATCCCGCCGAACGCCGTTGGCCGTCCATTTCGAGAGAATTTAGCAGACTGACACCGATCACAGCGAAGGGTACCTCCAGCTTCGGCAAGCGCCACAACAAGTCCCACACCCTTTGCCGGCGTTGTGGTCAGTATTACACCTTTTTTCGAGATTGTCTCGGCGGAACAATACATGCGGAACTCCATCTGGGAGACGGTGTTGAAGAACAGCCGGGACGAAGGGATACGAAACAGATGGGCTAACAACTTTCGTTTTGGAACATCCAGGCCGCCGCTCCTTCCACATCCAGAAGTCGACTTGTGCCAACTGCGGTTACCCCGCCGCTAAGACTCGCAAGTGTACGAAACTCCCCGATATGAATTACCTCTCTCTTGCTTGAACGCGTGCTCGGTCGAATGCCGGTCGCCCATTCACAGCACGATGTGTTAGGAGTTTGAGTATTTGGATCGTTGGCTTACGGATTCTTGATATTACAGACAACTGGAGCGAGAAGGCCAAGCGCAGAAAGACCACCGGTTCCGGCAGAATGGCCCACCTCAAGGACGTCCACCGCCGCTTCAAGAACGGCTTCCAGGCCGGCACTCCCAAGGGCGCCCGCGGCCCCGAGAGCCAGTAAATCAATTTCGACGTCGCGTTTTCGTTCTCGGAGGCTGGAGAGGGCTGGTATGATATGGCCTGGCATTTGAAGTAAACCGGTTTCAATGCAAGGCGGAAAATGACGCTTTCCCATGGAGTTGGTGTTGGGACGGGTCTTTTCTTTTGCCGTCATAGCATTCTGTTCTAGATCAAAGAATAAAAGGGCACAAATTTGACGACAAGTGGAAGACCGATGAAAAATTTCCTGGAATTTCCCCGAGCGGAGAGTCAAAAGGGGAATGCACGCATGGAGTTCCTTTCTGTGATTTATGGCTGGCGAATATCCCATGTGGCAGATACAGTGTTGCGATACTTTTTTCCAATGCTATGATCTGCCTTGCTCAATTTACCCATTTTCACGCATTGTACAGGTTCCTTTTTACTTCTCTATAACAACCAGGTTATGTCATCTATTTTGCCCACATCGGCTGCCCGAGTCGAACACTCGTCTATCATCTGCGACCAGATGCCTTTCACTCTCCTCTTCCGAAGAGCCTGACGCCTCCGTCCCGTTGAATGAAGTACAGGACTTCTTTCTCCTCCCAGACGCCTTCAACATTCGCTCTGTCACCTCTGCCCCATGCGCCTCCTTTACTAATCCTTAACACGCCGCTGACGTCCCGCGCTGCTCCCGTTTCAAGACTGCGCAGCTGCATCACAATCTCAGCCCGGTGGGCCGATTCAATGGCAAATGCAGCATGCTCCACTTCCAATGGCGTCGCGGATTGCGGCGCAGACGCGGAGGCGTTGTGTATCAACGGCGAATCGGCGGCAAGAGTCAGAACGGTTGCATACGCATGCTATCATTCCTGAGGTTAGCCAAGTCCTCGAACAAACTTCTTCGGGGTGCTAGGCCTGGATCAGCCTCTGGGTAACCGTACCTGTTGTAATCCCATGATCCAATCCCCAATTTCTGTAGCGCCGATGCCTCTGTTGGGACCCGTGGCCGCGAGTAGCAGATCCGGTTGGTCGAGAATCAGTAATACCTCAGCTTCTTCCTCGTCGCCAGCCTTGGGGGTTTTCAGGTGTCCAATCACACCGGCGATATCCCTCTCGATCGCATCGAGCGCCGGCACGCCATTCCCTGAAAAGTGTAGTCGCGTTGTAGACGTATTCTCAGATGTGGTCGGGATTGTATTGGACACCGCGGGGCTCGGCCGCGACAGAGGCTGCGGAACTCGTCCCGGGACAGCGCCAGGTGCGGAGCGCAGAGGGAGAACTGTTCTGGAAGGAATGGCAGAAGGCGAAGGCGAGGGTGGAGGTATTGGCGAAGCTCTTGTTGGGGTAGGTGTGTATAATAGTTCTGACAGTCCGTCAACGAAGGCGAATTGGCCTTTGTCTGTAAGGCGCGCAAGATCCAAGCCCTAATCGTATGAACACCGCGTTAGATCATTAAAGATATTGGACGAAATAATAGCGATTCAGCCAAATAAGAAAATTTTCTGGTAACTGAAGAAAGGAATCATTTGAGGGAGGCCGAACTCACCAATCTCTTTGCCTCTGTCTTCCAAAAATCCCAACCCCGCAAAAAACTTACAAGCACAACTTTGCGCTTTTTCTGCCCCTCTACCCCATCACTGCCAAATGCAACGGAGCCTTGGGACGCGCTTAACGCGGCGTGGAGGAATCGCAGGACGAGCCAGTTTCCTGTTGCATCTAGCACGGAGGACAGGACGGTGAGGGATGACTGGGGCAGGGAGGTAACATATGGTGAGAGGAGAGGTGGGATTGCTGGTTGGGAGGGCATGGTTCGAGGCCGCTCGCTTCTCAGTGATAGAAGGACCTGTGCGCGATTGGTGACTTGAAATGGTGGGTTTGACAATGAGGTCCCTCTAAAATTAATCGTGCAGTGTTTTTTTTTTTTTTCTTCTTCTTTCTGAATAGTGTCTGGAGGATGACGTTGTGTAGCAAAACGTCCTGTGAGTAGTATGACTGATTGGCTGCTATCTCAATTGGTGCCTTGGGTGCCTCAGGCACCTCACCGGTGTGGTTGTTGATGCCTCACTCAAAGGCGATGATAGATGTCGCTGAACATAGATTCTTTTAGTTTGTTGTGTAAGTTGCACAGAAACTAGAGCGGCCAATACAAATGTTGGTACCGTCGATCAACAAGGGAGATGGAAGATGGTTACCTATGGACTTCAAAGTCCAGATATATATGTAGACGGGGAGTTCTCTCAAAATATACTTCGTCCACTAGATGTGGGTTCGAGTACGCGTAGATCCATTTAATCGCAGGAGGCTATGACTACCATCAGATGGAGCAAATTGTCCAACACACTGATACTATCTAACCACGTCTGAATTGTCCAGATTACCGTATTATTGTTCACGTTGTAGTCCCTCTGCAAGAATACTGTAGCTACTGAGAACTATAGCCGTACCGATTGATGTATGCTAGCCCATACATAATTGGCTGTCGAAGGAAGCATTGCATCAATCAAGGAGAATTTAGTATTCTTCTAGTAACAGAATACTATATAACCGATGTCCACGAGGTATTTCTTCCTCGTCTCGCACAGGAAATAACAATTCTGTCCAGCTGTCAACCTGAACCTGGTACTCGAACGTGCCTGAGGAGAGAACATTTGCATTGTTGCGATTCGACAAAATTTTCCGCCCATCACCTGACTGCTGCGGATTCCCCCACACTCACCTTGGAACTCCTCAGTTCAGCTTGATCATGATCATGATCATGATCATGATTGTGATCGTGATCGTGAAGCTGTGATGCAGTACGCAGAAATCTAAAGCTCAATCATCAAAGGCAGCCTTCTCCTATTTCCCTCCCTATGGGTTCGGAAGGTCCGTTCATCTGTCCGTCTTCGTTGTGCGGTCCTTGAAGCGTGGATCATATACTCCTGTTCCTATGCCGATCGTGAGTTAGCCCCACGAACTCCTCTGCGGATGTCTATGCCTCTTGTCTTGGTATTGAGATCCAACTGAGGTCAGCCTTGGCCACAGAGGTGGCGGGGACAGTCAAAGAAAAGATGAAGGAAAGATCAGCTCTGATAGCTAACCATTCTGTTCCTTCAGATGCCACCAGTCTGGTGTAATATACGACACACACCTAACTTACTTTATCAGAAAAGAAACCACTTTCGTTAAAAATGGCCAGTACTCGTGATTCCCACTCCTATGCTGTAAGTTCACCGCGTTCGACTGTCCGAAGCCAGAAAGTCTCGGTTGTTGACTCGTCTTCCTTGAAGTGTGATGAGTGCCGCATGCGAAAGTCTAGGGTATGTTCTATTCCTTCATCTCCGCAATGTGAAGCTCAATTAACATCCGCCAGTGTTCCAAAGAACGACCAGTCTGTGCACAGTGCAAGCAATTGAACAAGGAGTGCAGTTACAGCCCGAAGATTACCCGGAGTCCTCTGACTCGACAGTGCGTTGTATCTCCAATGCTCTGCAGTTGTAACAGAACAGCTAACTGATGCGATTAGACATCTAACGTTCGTTGAAGAACGCCTGCAGGCTTTTGAAACAGCACTGGGGAGACTGTTTCCTGGCGGCGACTTGGATGCCACTGTTCGTTCTCTGCTCCAAGACCAAGATGTCGTGCAGAAGCCTGGGACTTCATCCAAGTCCTCGTCAAGGCACTCGACTCCGGCCAAAGTGGAGGCAGATCGGACCGAGCCAGCTCCAGAAGCTCTTCCGCAACAGGCGGACGGGTTTGACTGGGCAGAGAATAGGATCACAGTAGGCGACCTGACTGATGGAATGGCCGCATTGTCTATCAAACCCGAAGGAACTGGCTATTTCGGTCCGTTATTTTCTACCCTCTCCCCTTGTCCCAAATATCCTCCGTGGTTATTGATTCTTTATAGGGGCCTCTTCAAGTGTGGTGCCTCTTCGAGCATTGCTGAAACATGGCTTTGACCTCAACTTTCCTTCAGAACCGAACAAGTCAAACCTGACAACAAGAGTGCCGTTGAAAAGCCAACTTCTAAGCACTGCGCCTTCCGGGCTGATCGAGCAAGCCTTCATGGATGCCTTCTTCCTCAACTACCACACCAGCTACCCATTTGTACATGAAGCGACCTTCAAAGCACAATTCTATGAACAGATTCCCCGCCCACATGGACAGGCGTGGCAGATCCTCCTCAATGCGATATTAGCGCTTGGAGCCTGGAGCATTGGAGATGATAACTCAGACCTCGACATTACTTTCTACCAGGAAGCCAGAAGCCATCTGCAGCAAGTATCCGTGTTTGAAACGGGGAACTTAACCCTCATCCTGGCCCTGTTACTTCTTAGCAACTATGCACAGAAAAGGAACAAGCCGAACACCGGCTGGAACTTCCTGGGCCTGGCTGTCCGAATGGCGATGAGTCTTGGGCTTCACAAGGAGTTTCCAGGATGGAAGATCAGCCTTCTGCAGCGTGAGATGAGGAGACGGCTGTGGTGGGGCGTGTACATATTCGACAGCGGTGCGGCGAAGACTTTTGGCAGACCGATTCTCTTACCGGAGGATAGCGTTATGGATTCAAAGCACGTTCTTAACATTCATGATGAGGTAGCACGCATTTCCTCTACAGATACGGGTCCATGAACCTAAGTGCTGACATCAAGACTAGGCCCTTACATCAACCACCACCACGCTTCCACCCGAAGTAAACGGACCCACCGTCTACTCCGGCATGATCGCTCAGGCAAAATTCCACCTGCACTCCAACAGCGTCTACCAGCGCCTGATCTCCACCCCGAGCCTCACCGCCGAGGAAACCCTCAGTCTCCAGGCCCCCATGGAGGAGTGGTACAACGGACTCCCGCATTATTTCAAGCAGCCTATCACCACACCGGAGTCGGACAACTTCGCGCTCGTCCGCAACAGGCTCATGTGGCGCGACTGGAATCTGCGCATCTTGCTCTATCGGCCCATTCTCCTGCGCTGGGCGTCGAGGAGGTGGACGCCGAACCCCAACTCGCCGCCGGAACCCGAGGACCCGCTCGAAACGGAGTGCAGGATGCTCTGTCTACGACATGCACGGTGGACCATCTCCTCCATCTCTGATTTTGTCAATAATCATATCTGCACGAGACTGGGGGCTTGGTATATGCTGTACGTTTTGCTTTCTTCTTTTGGGCCATACCAACACGTGGAATTTGATTTCTAACACTTGGAATACAGGTACTTCCTCTTCCAGGCGGGTTTGATCCCCATCATCCTGCTCATGACCGATCCCACCAGCACAGACGCGCCCGCCTGGCTGCAGGATGTGGAGACTACAAAGAAGCTGCTCACGCACCCATCGCTGAGCAACAACCGACTCGCGACCCGCTGCCTGGACGTCGTCAATAGACTCTGCTCCCCCGCCTACACCTCCGCCGTGACCGAGGGGTCGACTGCGCAGCCGCCGATCCTGATGCAGTTCTCGGACCAATTGCTCAACAATCCCATGTTTGGGAGTATGTTTCCGGACGTGGACCAAGAGCTGAATATCGGGGGCATGGATTTCTCGGACTGGGTGAACTTTACGCCACATGCGGGGTTTCAATGATCCCTTATCCTCATCATCAATCATAAGCTTCAACAGAGAACATAGAGAATCTCCCCCCAGTTACAGCGGAAGAAACACTAGACGGCGTGTTCAGCGTGCTGCGCAAACGGCCGTTTATCGAGATCCTGATCCACAGATCGCGTCCCCCGTAATTCGGCTTCGATCTGCACGATGCGCTCCTTCTCATCGTGGGCAACCGTGTCGCCAAATATGAGATCCATGTCCTCGAGGGTCTAGCAGCCGTATTTGATGTTAGCCTGATATATCGATCACACTTCCATGGGCTGGGGCCTTGCCGGGGGCGGGGGAGGAGGGGACCGAACCTTTCCACGCGTTTCTGGGATGCAAAAGAACGTGAATGCCAGAGCCAAGAGACAGAATGCCGCGAAGAAGATATACGTGCCGTAGGTGATGGACTCGAGCATATCCGGGGTCACCAGGCCGATGACACTAGAGTAGAGAATAGTGTTAGCCAGCACAAGATGGCGCAGCCCAGGCCAGGCCAGGCCAGGCAAGCCACGGCCATGAATATATGAATTAAATGCACATAGCATTGAAAGGAACATACAAATTGCACATCCAGGTCGCAGAGGTCGTAATCGAGATGGCCTTGGAGCGAATAGAGAGATTGAAGATCTCCGACGGCAGGACCCAGCCGATAGGTGCTAATCACACATGAAGTCAGCAACGCCCTCCCAGGGGGCCCAAATCCCAATCCACAGAGGGTTACCGCGAGGGGGAAGGGGAGGGGGGAACCGACCAAAAGAATACGAGAAGTTGATATCGTAGATGTAGATGAACGCGATGCCGGCCCACCCGGCTGATTTGTGGTTTACGAGATCCGATCCGTAGCCACCGATGATCCCGCCCACGATCGCCAGGGAGATGCAGGTGCCCACGGCCCCCGACATCAAGAGCGCACGGCGACCGACCTTGTCGATCAGGAAGAGGGCGGGGAGCGTGCTGAGGCAGTTGACGATGCCGTAAACGCCGGTGGCGAGGAGGGAGGTCTGCGCGCGTCAAGAGATAGCCGTCGCCTGCGAGGATGGATGGACTTACTGTGTTCCCGTCGAGGCCGAGTTGGGCGAAGATTGTGGGCGCGTAGTAAATCATCGCTGTCATAAATGTTAGTGGAAGGATCCTGTGAGAGAAGCGGTGGTCGGGGTACCGTTGCATCCCATGAATTGCTGGAAGAACATGACCGTGCAGCCGATCGCCAGGCGTTTGAAGCGCACCCACGTCGTCAAGAAAGATAGATACTGGCTCAAGTTAGAAAAACTGTATCGACGGCGAGAGGCTACGAACTCACCTCGGCAGCATGCAATCGCACCCCAGACATGTTAGGGAAATGCTCCCGTACAAACGTGTTCTCCAGCATGATCGAAGCCTTGATCTCAAGATACTCGTTGACAAGGACCGGGGAGTCCCTTGCGCTCCGTCTCAACTTTGATAGTGCGTGCAAGGCCGCCTCGTCGCGTTCCTTCATCATCAACCATCGGGGTGTGTCGGGGAAGAAGAGCATGCCTAGTCCCAGGATCATGGCTGGTACGAGTTGAAGTGCCAATGGCAGTCTCCACGAGACTTCGGACTGGCCTTCGCAGCCACCAGACGGTACATCATGGTAGGGATCAAAGACAGGCGAAGACTTGGATGTACCGGTGTAGGGGACATTCGGGGCACAGCGCGATCCGCCGATGTAATTGGTGCCATAGTTGATCCAGTAGCTAACCAGAATGCCGATGGTGATAGGAACTAGCGAGTCTGGTTAGTATTGCAGTGGCAGAGCAAAAAGAGGGAACTTACGCTGCTGGATAACAACAAGACTACCCCGGATCTCGGCCACAGAAACCTGGTAATTCGTGAGTACCCTGTGAATTGAGCTGCTCTGGGGCTCATACCTCTGAAATGTAGAGTGGCACTACCATCGTTAACTGACCAACCGCCAGTCCTGCGATAGCCCTACCTAAACAAATCAGTACCGGCTATCGGGCACTTATACCAGGTAGCATACCAGCAAAGAGCATCGGAATAGTCACTGCACCACACTGGATGGCTGAGCCAACGACAAAAACGACAACAGCTATGTTGATTGAATGTTTGCGACCCAGTCTATCGGCAATGGGCCCGTTGATGAGGGAGCCCAACCAAGCAGCTTGCAAGACATGAGTATCACTTGCAGATGGGTAGCAGAAGGAAAACCCACCGAGCAGAAGTGTCGACACAAACCATCCCTTGAAGCCACTGTCTGTGTAGACACGAGGGAATCGCGCCCCGAAGGATTCCATCGTGATGACTCCAGAGATGACACCTTGGTCATAGCCGAAGAGCAACCCCCCGAGGGTTGAGAACTGCCGGTCTAGTCGTTAGTTCTCAGCCGTCTTTTCGTAAAGGAGAAAGCACAATCCGACTGACCGACGCGACTCCTAGGAGATAGGGATTCTGATAGATGAGCGAAAAGCCCCCTTGGGGCGTGTCGACCATGTCGGAAGGCATATTGCTCGCTTAGTAGCAGTAGATACCGCGAATAACACAACAAGCTCTCTGTCTCTGGCTTCCCAAAGTCGATGTCGGATATCATCGCACGAGGCAAGTTGTAAATCAACAACCATCTCCGCACTTCAAGGACAAACCCGCCATGATATCAACAACAACTCTCTCGGCAAACGGAGTTGTGTGCTCCGTGTTCCAAAGCTTCTAACTGACAGAAGGGCACACATGGATGATCGGATCGGCAGCGATACCACGTCCCACGAGTGACGACTGACGCGCTACGTTGGGGCAGGGAGAGTAGATAGTAGAGACATGGGGTACGAAATGCGGGGAGATGGTTGTGAGCCTCTGATGGAGGATTTGCTCCATTCGGGTTACATTCCTTGCTTGACGCCATGTAACCAGTTAAAAGTAGGTCAGGATGTCCTTGCTGCTTAGTGAGACGGTGAGACAGAGCGGTTGGAGAGGATTGTGGCTTGTAGACTAGTTGTGATGCGGTAGAGTGCTGATCGACATGTCTCACGTCAGAAGCCAAGCATGGTGGGTGGGAGAGAGAAAGAGCTGGGAGTGGATGGTTAGCCTCTAAGCCTCTTAATAGGGAGAACAAAGCAATATACTATACATATAAAATCCATGACTTACTAACAGGAATGTTGGGGATAAAGAAGTCCGCATGAGTCGGTCTGGATTGATGAAACCATTGCAAGCCACCAGACCTGTGTGATCTGCCTGTAGCATCACAAGGCACATTCTTAACCTCCTTCATCTTGGAGAATACTGTATGTCTGTATCCATTGATGATGAATGATAGAGAACCAATAACAAAAGATGATGATGATGGTGATGCTGATTCTGATTCGAAACAAAGAAAGAGAAAGCAGCTAAGAGATGTTTCCGAAACCGTATGATGTGTAGAGTCCAGTAATACTAGGCACCATCGGTCCTAAGAATCACCAGTGTCATAACTCATATCTGATATCTGCTCAATTCTGCGCATTCTCCCGTCCAGCAGGGTCGGAATCCCTGAGAGTCTAGCTTTCACCATTGAAACTACTTTCCCTTCCGGTCGATCCAGGGTTGAGGCTGCTGTCATTCTAACTCAATTGCATGTCATACCCTCACTCACTCACTACACTGTCTCTCTTTCTCTCTCTCTTTATAACCTCATTCTCTCCCCTCTCCCTCCCTCCCTCCCCCCCCTTCTCTTTATACCCCCCATCCCTCCCTCCCTCCCTCTCTCTCTCTCTCTCCCCCTATTCATCTCTACCATCTCTACCATCTCTCATCTCTCATATCTCAACCATCAAAATGTCCCCCCCACTCCGCATCGGCGTCCTCCTGGTCAACACCGTCCAACTCCTTGACCTCGCCGCCGTCGACCTCTTCTACATGATCGACCCCTCCTACCTCTCCGCCTGCTCCCTCCCCAAACCGCTCATCGACCTCGGCCGCCCCGTCCAAATCCACTACATCGGCAAATCCGGCCCCAACACCCACCAGGACACCACCTCCAACCTCTCCCTGCAACTCACAGCCTCCCTCACCGACAAGGCCGTGCAGCCCCACGCCCTCGACATCCTCCTCATCCCCGGCCCGGAACCCTCCACCGTCCCCGACGACGCGTACCTGGATTTCGTGCGCGCGCACCACGACGCTGGCACGCATGTCCTGAGTATCTGCACGGGCATCCTGGTCGTCGCGCACGCCGGTATTGCCAATGGGAAGCGCGCCACGGGCCCGCGCATGCTCGTGCCCATGCTGAGGGAGAATTTTCCCGACGTGGCGGTGTGGGATGCGTCGCGGCGGGTGGTGCGCGATGGCAATCTTTGGTGTAGTGGTATGTTTTCTCTCTCCCGTCTCTTGTCCTTTCCTTGGAAACACAAAATTTCATCGGTAGTGCCACGTATTTTGAGACCAGCAGTGGGGGACTGAACTGACAAACATAACATATAGGCGGCATTACCAATGGCCATGATCTCGTCGCCCAGTATCTCAGGACTATCGTTGCCGAACCCCTTGTCAAGACCATCCTCGCCATGGCGGATGTGCCGGAGCGGAGCCTGAGTTATGAAAGCGCCGTCACGACCGATAACTTTTTCTTTCTGTGGCAGGTGCTTAAGGCGTTGCCTACCATGCTGTTTCGTTCCATCAAGGGATAATTTGTCCCGCGAATGATGATGATGGTTGTTCATCTCGAATCACTCCCCTCTGCTCAAACTTCTCTCCTCTATTGTTAGCCTTTGGAGTTTTGGTGTTTCTTGGCTTGTCGTATCTAGAAATTCTCTTGTTTTAATCTCAATGCACCTGGAGGTGTCAGAATTGACTGGGGCCTGGTGCTCGGCTCAGCCCGAACCTGCCGAGTTAATACATCTCTTCAATCGCTGGATAACCGGTAGGACATGCACACTCAATCACGTAGACAGCAACCCGCTGGAGCACAGTATGGAGATGGGAGTCATTCTTGTCTTTGTTTGAGAAACTACCAACGAGAAATCCGCCTCCGTGCATTACTGGTCAGATGCCTCTGAAATCGCGACGATGCCGCCCTCACACGAACAAGGAGATAATATAAAAACAATTGGAAACGAAAGTCATCCGAGCACGCTCAACCGATGCAACACCCAAGGAAAGCGCTAAACGGGGAAACCACGCGAGATGCACCAACACATCTCCACCTCACCAGCAGGCTAGAGTAATGGAATAGACAAAAAGAATGCGTTGCGGCAAGAGCATAAATCATCGCGTGCATAAAGAAACACTGTTCGAAGACCAATAGTCACATCGGGATGGGATGGGATTGAGGCCTGGAACAGTCTCCACGGTCAAAGTCGTGACGGCACGGGTCAGTCGAGGCAAAATGTACCACCTAAGTGGATCCATTATCCGGCTGATTTCTCCTGGAGTTTTTCTACTTTCGAGACTCATTGGGTTCCCAATGGATCGGTTCAAAGTCCTGATTCTGAAAGTGGGCCTGGTTGTACGGGGAGCTAAACAATGGGGTCAGCATTCAAACGCTGGTCTTCACAAGAACCAACAGCCGACTCACTTTTTAAATGGTGTGGTGACAGGAAGAGAGTGGTTAAGGTTCTGTTTCATGACCAGGGGATTCAGCCGAATCTGGGGTCCATCAGACGACCGACTGGGTAACGAGTTCATTGGCGGCGGCGGTCCAGACATCCTGGGGGGTGATGGCGTTGATACAGGAATAGCAGATGGGGGACTCGGCATGGCAGGCGGGAACATCTCATGGGGCGAAGATACGCGGTAGGGGCTCGATGGTGCCGGGGACATGGGCGCGGGAGCGGCAGGTGCCATGGCAAACGAAGGGTCCATCATGAGGCCAGGAATCGACATCAAACTAGAGTTCACGTCGAACGAGAGAGCGCCTTGTTCCCAAGGAGAGAAATTGGTCGTCATTCCGTATTGGTAAGCAACCACGGGTTCCATATTCACAGTCGGTTCGACACGGTAAAGGATGTCATAATGGCCACTATGACACGGTTGTTAACTCGGCAACCCTTCATATAGTGTTCCGATCCAACTTACGGGCGGTACAAAAGTCGAATCGTTGCAGAGGTTGATCGGCTGGGTGTCAACAGGTGTGGGGTGACCGCATCGCCTGCGCTGCGGTCAAGATACAGAATCTCCACTGCGAACCCAGATCCCTCAATCACACCATCGACCAATGCTTGGAGCCCGACCTCATCGATCTCTGTTTTCACCGTCTCGACTCGTGTGGCGCAATACTGATCTAGGGGCAGAGACAAAAACGCCTGATACCGATGAGGATTGAGTTTCATCCAGGCGCTTGTGAGGAGCTGTCATTTACCAAGTCACAAATTGTCAGCCGTCAAGCTCGGGGCCTGGACAAAGCAGTGGGGTATAGGTAGCTCTCTGGGTTCACTGACTCTGAAATGTGTGATGATAGCGCTCGAATTATATTCAATGTTGAAAGCATCCACCAGAAACGACTCGTCGCGTGCGCCGTTCTGGATGGCTTCTGAAACTTGGGTGAAGACCTGCTCAGTGGCTTCCACAAAGATCTCATACAAATGTTCCTGTTGGCCGACCTGGTCGAGGAGGGAGCTCAAAGACTTAATCCGGAGTAATTCGCGGTGCACCTGCAGCGTATCCCGAAGATTGAAGAGACATTCAAAATAGCCGAACGCAACCGCTGTCGGAATGTCAGCATAAGGAGAGTTGTCAAAGCCAAGCTTCGAGGCTCACCTCGCCAGCCACAGTTTCCGTCCCCCTTCATAATACGCGAGAAAGGATGTGTCACAGCGAGCGCCTGTTCCATGACATGTCAGATCACACATTGTTCGATGGAAGAGAGTAGACCGTGAATTCATACGCTGGTTTTTGTGGCGTAGGTGGGATCGGCATTCGCATAGTCCAGTGCTATGGTACTGCTCGACTGTTTGGCAGACACCAGGGGACCCTTTCGTATTCGATTGTCAGCTGGGCTTGACTGTACACAGGGTCCTGCCGGCAAGGGAAGGCTCACCTGGACGTCCGGTGCGAACTCGTTCGAAAGCTCCTGGAACCGCTTCATTTCATCGGGCGATAAGGTATTCATGTTGTACCGTGGTGTAGAACGAGAGGAGAGGGAGCTTGAGAATCCGGGATTAAGAAAAGTAGCAGGGTGAAGATCTTGTTGATATAAGGTGAAGGCCAAGTCCTGCCTACCCGGGAAATGGTTCAAAGGGCCGAGATGATTCCAAGGAAGGTCCGATAAGGACATGGCACGTATCGAGATGAATTGCTAAGCTGCGCGAGCCTTGAGTGCCAGGTGGTTTCACGAAAGACTACTGACTATTAGATGCCTGGGGTAGGCAAGGTCGGACATGTCAGTCAGTTCCTTCCATTTTCAGACCAACAAAAGCAGGTTCATGGCGAACAATGAAGTAAACATACCAAGCAAGGAAGCATGCATCGTTCAGTGCAGTATTGAGAAGGACTTGGTTTTCGCTTGATGTTCTCGGTGGATGCGGCGCAGACAATCCGAGGTTCTATACTCTTTCAGTTAGTGAGGCCGATCAATCTTCAAGGAATGTTGCACAAGGCGTCATGAGTGGAGACGACAGTAAGATGGCGGACGGCCCATGTGAGATACAATCATATAAGATCGCAAAAAAAAGTGGCGGATAGGCCAATCATAGGGGGAGGGGAGGGGCATCAGTGATCTGAGAAGAGGGGAACTAGAGAGAAGCCACACATGATCTGGATGGCTGGGGAAGAAACTCGCAGTAAGAAATTGAAGGAATCAAGGCCAATCAAAGGAAACATGCAAGACAGAGTCTCTGTTACCAAATCAAACAACCGAAGAATAGGAGCAATGAGCAGGAGAAGGGATACAGGAAGAGTCGCGTCGAGGAGGGTGAAGAAGTAATGTGTCTTTTTTTCTTTTCTTCTTCTTCTTCTTCTTCTTCTCTTTCCGAGGCAAATGAGCATCTGCTGCGGTTCGATACGATGGATGAGGAGCTGAGTACGTTCCTCCTGTCGTGTCCAGCACAGCGACACATCCCTTTTGACTGAAAAATCAGAAAGGATGGTTTGTGCTCGACCCGTCAGGAGATAGGACCCGACCATTGATTCAGACCCGGTACCGGATGGGCCTGTGAGCTCGATGACGAACCAACAACATCTTACACCGGATACACTACCATGCTCCTTGCAAGGATTCGAAAGGGCACCGTAGGCCATAGGGAGAATGAGTAGACACATGGAAATAGATTCCCCTCTCCAGACGAGACAAACTAATGACTCGCATGCGGACCTCTTTTGATGATGATGCGACATCCGAACATAAGAGCCAAGTCCATCAAGGTTGTTGACCTGCTTTGCGCCGTCTCATCCTCCCCTCACATGGTCCACAAGCACACGCTGAATAGTATGCATGTGGGTATGGCTCAACCCATGGACCCCAGACATGAACATGAGAAGCATCAGGGGGGGGGTTGTTGATAAGAGTGATTAAACGGGCGAACCCGGGGAGGAGAGATAGAGGGAGGGAGAAGAGGCAGAGAGAACAAATACCATCCAAGAGAATGGCCAGGAGGGAAGAGAAAGAAAGGGAAAGGGGAAAAAAAAAAATCAAGCTCTGACCTTTAGGAATTATGGATGACTGATACTCAAACAGGCAATAATTAATTGCTGAGGTATTATTTCAGAGTCTTGTAGCTCGTCACCTTGGTTGCTCGAACTTCTACAGAGTGCATACATCCAGTCACCATGTGCTGGTGTGACAGTATGTGGTATCAGGGTGGTGGTATCCTTGGAAAAGAACCAGTTCAGGCGACGATGATGGCGGGAGCTCGATTGTTGGAACAGCAGACAAGCAGGGATGCGAGGGTGGGAAAGTCGTGATGGATGGAGTTAAAGGAAGATATATGTCAGGAAAGACATTACAAGGCAAGGATATATGAGTAGGTAGCCGAGAAGAGCAATGTAAATATGATAAGGAAGAAAGGAGGGGAAGAATAAGAAAGAAGCTGGACAAGAGACGGAGGAGGGTATCGTGAACCGGTGCCGTGTTCGCGGAGAGAAGGCTTCCTAGTGGGCAAGTCAAAAGGATGATTGATGGTGGTGGTGATGATGATGATGATGATGATGATGAGGAGGAGGAGGATGGCGATGATTGACTATTATTGAGTATGATGATACTTTTTGATGATTGATTATTGATTGATTGATGGGAATTAACTAGGACTTAACTGGGAGAGGGGAGGAAAGAAGCGCGGGGTTTATGGATGATTTAGTGGTAGTTTTAGTTGGTTGGAACTTGGAAGCCGAAGTATCTAACGAACTAGGTATGTAGTTGATACTTACTTCTCCGTTGTCCGAAGTGGATCGTGGAGGATAAGTTACTTATCGGTCAGAATTTCATGACAAGAAAGTAAAAAAGATGGGTTTTGGGTAAGGCAGATGGACGGGTTATGCAAGCTGCATTTGCTTCCGCCCGCATCAATATTCTGGACGCTACTTAATATCGACTACTATCTAGTCTACAGTTCTACTAATTATTACTTAGTAGTAGTGACTTGCAGTGGTAGTAGGATTTCCTTGGTTCCTTCCGACCTCCGTATCCGGGCCAGATGGGCATAGAACACTGATTGACAGACAGAGAGATACCTTAGCACATAATGACAGGCTTCGGACGGAAGATACTGCATGAGCAAAAAAGTGACACAAAGAAGCAAATATTATTGCACCAAAATCCATAAATCAATTTGTGTATGTGTGTGTGTGCCCATGTTGTACTCACTTGCTAAATACTTTATAGGTAATCAATAGTTGCAGCGGAAGAGTCGGGAGAGAAAAACAGGCGTCAAGTTTTTCTTTTTTTTTTTTTTTTTTTTTTTCGAATGAAGTCAAGCCGAGCATCGTCTCATCATCGACCATTTGCCAGGATGGATCCAAAGCGGCGGGTTCTCCCATTGGTAGCTCATTCAGATTCTTGTTGCTGTTGTGATTTGAGTGAAATATTATTATTTATTATTCCTCGCTGTCTCCGATTTCCTTGTAATCTGGCTTGATACTTACTACCTAGGTACTTACTTTATGTAGATCCTCCAATGCAGTCAATACTAGGTAGCTACTGTAGTATCATTTCTATAGGTTCTTCCTGATGGAGATTGAGATCGACTCGATTGACGGGATATCTATCATTGAATCATGGAATCATGGAATGCACTTTTACAAAGATTACAGGCTGAAGCAAGGTATCTCGATACAGGTTCGAGAATCTTGCCTATTGAGTCTCTCAAGAAATTGAGCATGCGTGCATCTGAAAAGCAGGCCTACCGTTTTCCCTACACACCGAGAGAGAAAGAAAATTTAAAAAACAACCAAATTATAGAAAAAAAAATACAGCGCTGTCATCACAGTCACAAGCTGCAAATGCCGAATCAATCTTGATTGGCGATGACCCGGGGATTGCTGTAGTGCACCCCAATCCCCAGGACATGGGAGCGATAGGGAGCCCTCCGTAGTCGAAACTCGAAAGACACAAAATAGGTTGCCTTCTTACTCGTTCGGTGATAGCGAGGAGCATCAATCGCGGGTGCTCAGATCGCAGCGTAGTCGCTAGACTAACCTCTGAAGGAACTCCCTAGCCATGCAGAAGACATCGGAGACGCGCCATACTGGTGGAAATCGTAGTCTCGTCCGTAGTCAAGTTTCACATAGTCCGAATTCCACACAAGATGAACTAAGGACGGAGTAAGATTCAATAATCCCAGAGCGAGAAAGGCCAAAAAAGGTGAAGCGGCGAGAGGGGAGGAATAATTAAAAAAAAAAATGAAATAAAATAAAATAAAAACAATGATAACAGACGAACGAGAGAAAAAGAAATGAGCATCAATAGGAATCCTCGATCTCGATGACTAGTTAGTTGCATACCATACCTCGATTTTCCATGCACTGAAGAGCGGCCACATGTCACTCTGTTCTTGACTTGCTGTTTGTTAGGAGCTAACTAGCTGTTGAGCACTTGAGCCTGTTGTTCAAGCTCCACCACATAGTGGGCCATCCAGAAATCAGGATCTTTCTCAGAGCTCGTGGATCACCATTGAACCTTTTCACTTTCGGTCCTACCAGTTACCTTAGCAGATGCTCCGAGATGTCATTGGCCATTGCATCATTTGCATGTTGCTTTAGGTTTGATTCTTTCTGCGATATCAGACTTGTGATCAATGAGGATACGGCTTGGCTTGGGATTTCGAGATCGAATCGTTCATATCCATCTTGCTTGATCACTCACTACGGACTGATGGATGCAACGGGATGTGTGGCAATGGCCTTACTTAGGTACGAGATTTACTACTCCAGTCTTTATAGTTACCTGCCAACCTGCAGACTCCTGCATGCTGATGAATGACAAATGCGGACTCTGAGAGGCAGCTAAATGTGTACTACAGTACTACTCTGGTGATCGCTGCCTCGTTATGATAACCCAGTGCCCATGCCAACCTGCTCAAACGATGATCCCGCCAACGGCCATCATTACCTACCACCAGGAGATATCTACTCATAAGCTGACATGTCAGTGCGTCGGTGCTCAGTGCTCTTCGAATCCTGACGGGAAATAAAGTTGAACCTATTGCTTCGAGAGGCTTCCAATAACATGCCCCACATCTCCAGTACTGTCAGTACTCAGTAGAGACTTCTAGGGAGAGAGTGCGGTTCCAAGTATCAGGAGCATCAGATGATGGAGTTCGTGACAATGCGCAACATCTCGAGGACTCTGTAAACCCCCAAATTTCCTCGCTGGTGGCTGGCATCGTCATCCGCGCTCTCTCTCGTGCTTATCGTCGGCCACCTCGTTCGTGAGCACTGACTGCAGCGGAAGTTTGACATGCACGGGAATCAGACCACCAATACGGGAGAGTAAGCAAGCAAGAGACATTTCTACCAACCTGGTTGTTGGAATCTCGGCGTCAACAACCCAGTAGATCGTCAAGAAACAGGATGTTGATGATGAGCTCGCCATCTGCCTGTGATTCTCTGTGATTCTCGGAGCGTCCGTTCGTTGCCCGACGCTCAAACCGTTCAACTGGTACATCATCATCGTCATCGTCATCCTCTACTCCGTATCTATCTACGAAGCTCTTCCCTCCATCGCCACGGAACACACAAAACTGCTAAAAACCAACTAAACGCGCTTGTATTCCACTCATCCAGAGACTCCCTCCACAATATTGGTTTATCCGTTTTTGGCTCGGCTCCGATCCTTCCAGAGTCTATCTCAAATCGTATTAGTACGGCGTATGCGCCATCCTTATCCTCACAGATGATGACTCCTGGGAGGCCAAGTTCACCAATCTCGATCTAACTAGGACGAGGCTTGCATATGCGGCCTCGGAAGCATCTCCGAAGCAATCACAGACCCATATCACATTGTAGGTCGAGACGCAGATTCTCAAACAACGATCGAGCTGGTGATTGCCTGGGAATCCGTCGGCTAGACGCCTGCCCTTTTCAACAGACTAGATATCAGTCCAGTTGGCTAGCGGTTGCCTTTTACCCCCTTGCCCCCGTCGAATTTCACTCTTTGGCAGTCAATCGCTGCAGAGTGCAGGGCCTTGATCGTTCATCATTGATGGCATCTGGCACTGGCACTGCCAGGGAATTTAGAACCAGACGGGGCGACCCCGGTCCGTGGGCCGGCGTTCTATCAAAGGAGCCTACTAGGTGTTCCCATCCTTCGTTCTATCGGCCTACTTACGTATGGATACTGTACCTTGGACTGTCTCTGTCGCAACTCGCAACCGGTGGCCGTGACCAATCCTTGGTTTTTCTTTTTGGGTTTTTTTTTTTTTTTTTTAAATCTTGTGTTTGCTTTGATTGACGCCTCGTGGGATTGTCAACTCCCATCTCGCCATGCAACGGCATATCTAACCCATTTGTAATCGTCTCCTTCTGGACATCACCGTGCAGAAGATGGCGATTCGAGTGATGGCACATACATGAGGCCCTCGTGTCATTGCTACTATGTGATTTGAATTCCAACCATCACCACCCTCAGGTAGCGATCAATGCCTATTATCCTCGGCGCGCATACAACAAAGTACAAATACCACGTACTTTCCAGTCACTCACTGGCCACTATCTACTGCTCAATGGGTGGATACTGGATAGACGGGTAACTTTCGTGCACGGGCGGAATCCTTTCGTTACGAGAGCAAGTGCTCCATACGGAGTCCTTCCCCCCTTGGCCTATATCACCCGGGCATCCTTGATCTTGCCAGCAAAAACTTCACCGATACGTTGAGGGTTGATTCTAGGCCATCTAAATTCTAATCATTATTATTGCTAACTGTCTAGTGGATGATATATCTTGGAAATGCGGAGAATTCTCGGTTAGCCTAAATGCAAACCCCGAACCTAGATTGCTTAGTTTTTTGTCCCTTTGCTGGTGGTAGTTGACTTGATCCATCAGTGAAAGGATTGGACACGGGGCAATTCAGGTACAGAGGAGGAGCCACTCAATGACAACACCCAATGTCAATATATTACACAAAACATTCGCCTAGCCAAGCCATCCAGGACAAAGAAATCTGTCTTCTCATACGAAGCAGACTCTATCAAAGATAGAAGCGTAATTTGTCTACCTAGATCTATACTGTCGTACCCCTGGTAACACTAACTGACTAACACCTTATCCAGTGGACACCACTCACCAGAATGGAAAGTTTCGGTAACAGCGGGGCCGCAAGGAAAAAAAAAACTACTCCATACGGAGTAGTCTGTACTACTACAGAGTACTAACGCGTGGATCATGGTATCATGATTCATGGTGGATGACAAGAGTGACAGACAGACAACAGACAGACCGCCAATTTCCAATCCCACCAGGGTCTTAGGCATAGGTAATACTAGGTAGACTAAAGTCTAGGGTAATTTCTACCACTGCGCAAATACTACTATGTACAGAGTACCAGGTAGCGAATCCTGTTGCCAACTTGCCACTCAAAACGTCAGTCACGAAGAGGGAGAAAAAAAAAAAAAAAAAAAAAACAACAAGTCACGAGTACACTACTTGCTGCATGTGTACCTAGCACTCATCAGGTAGCATATACCTCCAGGCTACAGGCACAGGCTACAGGCTCCAGCCGTAGTAGTGACTGGACTATAGTAACTCAGTAAGTCTCTACCTAAAATACCTAGGTACTTCCCTTACTATCTACCAAGATCCATACTACCTTACCTACTACCTACTCCGTAACTAGGTCCTCTCGTTTTGATTGGCATGTGCATGTGAGCGACAAACTTCCCGTCCGGTGAGCCCAGCAAGGCACAGGCGCCAATGTAATTGTCGCGGGGCTAGTAGTTTAGCATCCTCCCCTCCCCCGTGTGGGTATTGGAGTATGGACTCCGTATGTTAGTTATCTACTATATGTTGTACTGCATAGACTGGTGATTTTAATCTAATTCTTCGGGTTGGTTCATCCCATCAGTAGATACCAGATCTTACTTTACGGAGTAGACTAGATAGACGGATTATATATACATGATTTCATGGGAATATGGGAAAGGGGTTCTGGCCTAGATACAGCGTAGTTAGTTGGTGTCTGTCGCCAACAGAGGAATGGATTGCAACTTGCAAGCTAGGATGTTGGGAGGATGGATGGTGATCTCCACTGTGGATAAGTCTGTAGGAACAGATTTTGTTGATTATTCCGTAGGTCTATAACTAGTAGTAACTAACTACTTAACTCGCCTTTACGGAGTACACTCGCATCGCTAAGCAAGCAATTACCTGCTATGCTGCAGCAACAAGACGCGAAAGAGCGCGTACCACAAAATGCTCCCAAGAATAGACTACGGAGTACACGGCGACAATTGACTAGATAGATATGATATGTAGGTCTTGTATTCCTGAGGCGACGGTCTCTCACAGTCTCACTATCCAGATTTCGGTGATTCACTTGGCTAGCGCTCTGGAGATAGTTGCTTAACCGCTGCTTGAGCCTGGAGCTTTCAACCCGTGTTCTCCACCGACGAACGTGTTCCTCACACGATCAAACGGTCGCTGGACTCCTATTAGTTACTCCCTGGGGACGGACTGCGGACTGCGGACTGTTGAATTGTGGATAGTGGACTGTGGACTGTGGACTGTGGACTGTGGATACAAACTAGATAGATACAGCTCTGCAAGTTCAAGTTCAAATGCAACTCTGCCTGTCTGCCAAAACGCATCAAGGTCCGCAGCCCCCGACAGCCCACCGATCACCGGCGAATCATCATCCGTCGTCAATCTACATCTTGCATTATGGTACTGTATCTACGACTTTGCGCGTCCCTGATTTTCCGGGAGTGTTGATCATTCCGGGCTTGTGAGGATTTTTTTCCCCCCTCCTTCGCTTCTCCATGGCTCCATACCTGCAGCAAACAAGGGTGATAGTTTCGTTTGATGCTAGCTCCAAAAAGAGTAGGTGGTAGTTAGACTGCCTATCGTCACTCCGTGACTGTCAGCTCCGAATCGACCGTTTCGCTAGAATGCTCCCAGGCCAGCCTTGGAACCCTGGCCACCTTTGCCTTTCCATCCGGCCCGTGATCGGGCGTTGCCAGCACGTAAACCCGCCGTAGGCGCCTCGCCTCCTAATCCCGATTGGAGCATCGTGCCTCCTCGCATCCCATGAAGCTGCGATAGCTCATCGTTCTTGAATCCTTCGCCGTCAATCAAAGCCGCTCGCCATAGTGTGCGGAGCGATGCGGACCACTCCTGAAGAGCTCGCAGCCGCTCCACATCGCTAGCACTCTCCACCACGACCGTCCCATTTTCCTGGTCGATCTTGGCGTTCAACTTCTTGTCAAGGATCAGGAAACTGAGGATATCCTGAACCTCGGGGACGGAGATTTTGATGTGCTTGGAGATGAAACTGAGGGAAAACCGTGTGTACGGTGCAATAAACTTGAGAACAGCCTTGGTCCGCATGTTTCGGCTTACCTCGTCAATGTTCTCGGCGATGAAAGGGTCCGCCAGAACATCCGGATTCTTGCTCAGAACCGCCTCGTATGCATGGATGTCGTCTCGCTGGAATGCATCGACCAAGTCAGTCATGGCGGAGATGCGCGGATCGTTCTTGTAAGGCTTGGTCTCCTGCGAGTCGAACGGGTTGATGTCGGACTTCATCAACATCGTGGTGAGCACCAGGTACTTAAGAACCTGAATCCGCTGCATCGAGCCCGCCTCATCGTAGTTCCGAAAGGATTCGAAAAAGTCGCTCTGGGCTTCTTCCCAGTTCTCTTCGCTCATGTGCATTTTGCCTCCGCACTCGCGGATGATCCCCATGATCTTAGGATGCGGTACCGCCGATCGCACACGGAGCGCGCGCTGGTAGAGCGCCTTGAGGCGCTTGTTGTTCTTTGTTTCGGCATACATCTGAATTTCCAGAGCATACAACTCAAGCAAATATGTCCCTTTACTGGGGTCGTCCGATCCATCCTCCCGTTGGCATGCGCGATGTAGCTCGCGCACCTTCTTGCTCAGCTGCCCGTATTCCTTGCGCTCCAACCAGAGGCGTGCCAGCTTGATATTGGTCTTAAGCCACAGTCGCTCGTTGTTGGTATTCTGAAATGAGTTGAGCGTCAACGAATAGAATTCCTCCATGCACTGGTATGCCTTGTCATCGTCCGAAGCCTTTTCGATGTAGTCGAGCATGTTGTTGATCGATTTCTCGGAGTAGTTGCGAGTGACGGCGGATTTGACGTACGTAAGAAGCTCTCGGTAGTGTTCAACTGCCTGACAGTGGTTGTCAGCTGGTGTGAAACCCGAGAGCAACTATCAGAGAGTGACCTACATCGCCATATCTCCCGAGTTTGAATTCTAGCTTGATCGCTTGTTTCAGTCCTTTGAAGCCCCTGGTGAGTGCCATCAGCACCCTGCGACACTGCCATCGATGCAACGAGGAAACATCGTAATTACCAGTCGCCTTTCTCTTCTTCCAACGCCGGTACACCCAGAAACTCATCTATTGCCTCCTCCGGGTTGTCGATCTTGATCTGTTTCGCATTGTAGTATTTGTTCTCGATTCCAACGTCCCCCGACTCATCTTCGTCTGCGTCCTCGTATTCAAAGTCATAACTGTCCTGATGTCAGTCGACCGATGCTGATGAGCACGGCATGGGGGCTTCGGTGCGGCTTACTCCTCGTCACCAGAATCTTGCATGAAGTCATCATCATCAGACATTGTGACAGAACAGGCGGTAAAGCAATAAGGTCTTCAACTCAATCGGCAGTGTATTCTGGACGGCTGAAAGGCTTATGAACAAAGAAAATAATCGAGGATGGCGTCAGTCATTAATGGTTGATGGTAGTTGGAGATGTTAAAAGAGCTTGGGGTTGCTGGGCTGGAGCTCCCGCACCTATCGGAGCCTCGGGGCTACCATAATCGGCGCGCCCCGCGCCAACTGGTATATAACCTCCTCAACTCATCTCAACAACCATAATAATACATGATCATCATACGTAGTGATTGCGAGTAAAATATGTGAGCAGGAAAGATTTTGAAGGGTGAAGTAATTGATTTATAAGAGAACTTTGAGCTTCGAACTTAGATTTCCGAGTCAAAGTCGGATTATGAAATGACAGACTCCTCCAAGCTGCCAACTATATATAAATCTTGAGGATGTCGCCGACAGCTCGATCGATAATCATCAAACATCCGACAAAAGCGCTAGGGACCTGATATCAAGTTGAGCAAAAGACGCGACGAATCAACTATGCAAGATGACCCATTTGACAACCAGCCAGGTGTGATGATCCATAAGTGTATGGCAATTGACTCCAAGTAATTGTTCCTTATAAAATGCACTTGAGAGAAGACCAGGCTTCGAATCCCACGCTTGACCACCCTAAGTATCCTCAAGTCTGGGATGGCATGGCAAGTGGTCCAGTGGAGCACACCGAGTGGAGTGAGGCTATTGAGACTTTGAGCTCTATTCAGCTGCAATGTCTTAGATGATGGTGTTGTTCTTGTTTCTATCTAGCATAGACTATTGAGTATTATTGACCGTTGTACTATCCTATCCATAGTCAAAGCTCTGGTTACTACTCCTGCGGTACTACCACTAGATAGAGCAGATAAGAATTGCATCATTCCCATAGGATCTGGAATTCTGTAACAACCTGATCATTATTGGAGAGTTCTTTGCTTCTGGATTTGTTCTGCTGCACCTAACATGGCCATTATTATCGTTGAGCATTGGTGCAGACAGCCATCCCGAAAAAGGACCACCAATACCTTTGTTCCCTTTTTCCCGCTCAATCAATCATTAATGATCCCCTAAAAATTGCCCGTTCCCTTCTTCAGTCCCCCTCCATGGTTAGGATAATTTGCATGGTCCAGGAACCGTGGAAAGCGAGGTCAACTCTGCGCCCTTGGCAGATGGGAGATCGTCTATTATTCGTCGGCTGCGCATTAGGATCCGATGTCATCGACTCTGCACGGCCCACGAGGCACAACTGGGCTTTGCGCGGCCTTCATTTCTTGCTGTCCCATTGTGGTGTAACAAGTATCTAACAACTGACAACAAAACATCTCTCTCTCTGATCTATCTATTATTGCTTCAATAGGGGCGACATACCTTACTTACCACCCTTTTCCGTTATTCTGAAGTCACGCTATCGAATCTATCTATATACACGTGTGCCTATAACCAACTTACTTATCGTCCACCCCCCTCCCCTTATCCCACTTTTCTCCCTAGCACATCTCCAGGCAATCCTCGAAAATATACAGAATCGTAGAAATGGAACTGTGCGGGCGCCAGAAACTTGTTCAGCGCAAAATGGTGCTATTGTCAGTATTACATTTGGTCAGGGAGTGGACAGCAGGCTGACGACGACTGCAACAGAGGTGACGGTGCTTGCGGGAAGACATCCGCCTTGAATGTGTTTACCAGAGGGTCAGCAACTCAACCACCACCCCTCTCCGAGATACTGACGGCTAGGACTGTCGCTGACTTCTTTCATAGATTCTTTCCGACTGTCTAGTGAGCTCGTCCTTCCCCCGGACATCCTGGTGGTTCTAGAATTAACCTCTCCGGCTTCGATACAGCGAGCCGACTGTGTTTGGTAAGTGCGGCGCTCAGATGCACACCGATGGATTGTTATTGTGCTAACGGCTTGCTTGTTCCACAGAGAATTATGTCCACGGTACTCCTTCCCCCGAAGCCAGAGTCTGACATCCCTCGAGCTAATGCGTTACAGACATCTTCGTCGACAATGTACACATGGAGTTGTCGCTCTGGGACACAGCCGGCCAAGAGGAATTCGACCGGCTACGGGCCCTCTCCTACGAGGACACACACGTCATAATGCTCTGTTTCAGCGTGAGGACAGCTTCTGTGTCCGAACCCCGATGATTGGTGTACTCTAACCTGTTTCCTCCCCTGCAGGTCGACAGCCCGGACTCCTTCGAGAACGTCGCCAGCAAATGGATCGATGAGATCCGCGATAATTGCCCCGGCGTGAAGCTGGTCCTGACAGCGCTCAAATGCGATCTGCGCAAAGATGACGAGCTGAACGATAACCCGACCGCCATCACATTCGAACAAGGCCTCGCGAAAGCAAAGGAGATCGGCGCGGTAAAATACTTAGGTGGGACAACTTCCGTTTGCTTGGGTAATCGGGCCAGTTGCTAATGGTATATCTGGGATGATAGAATGCTCTGCGGTGCAGAATCGTGGCATCAGAGAGACATTCTACGAGGCCGCCAAGGTCGCTCTTGATGTGAAACCTGCAGGATCCGGTAGTTCCAAGGGCCAATGTGTCATCCTCTAAACAGTCCGCGTCTTGACCCTGGCCATTATCGGTCTCGGATACATGCGCCGGCTTCATCGAATCTCTTTTGCCTCGTTTTTCCATGGATCGCACAGCTGCAACCTACTCACGAACCAGACCCTCTTCCACCATTCTTTCCCCCCTTTTGGCTACTTGAGCGCTTCAGCGTGACTTCTCTTCTATATATATACTTTACGGCACCTACGCCTCTTAATTTTTTAATGTCTTTTGGGTCTGTTACTTATCAAGGTGTATACCCGGGTTTTGGATCGTGAAGCTTTCTGCCGTCTTGCAGTCTGTTGAGTTGAATATCATGTTCGCTGCGGGTTGGTATAGCAATGGATGGCTTGGAGAACAAATGAAGGTGACTCAACTCAATTCAATTGGCTTCTGACATCTCTTGTCCTTTTTTTTTTTTGGGAAATATAGACATCATTGTACTACCCTATCTAGTCCTTTTTCTATCTCTCCGTTGAAGTAAGTAATATTCTATCCCAAGAACCGTTGGACCGTCATATAGGAATTCCAGCTATATCATCAAAAAGGACAAGGCCTACGCCTCATGCTTCCCGAAGAAGATCCTCTTCTCGCACCCTGTACACCCCATCAATCGTCTCCCCGGACGCACTCCCACCACACGCAAAATCCGCATTGACCCTCTGCACAAACGCATCGACAAACTGATCCGCAACCTGCCGGATCGGCACCCCGGTCACCCCCAGACCCTCCAAGCTCGTCGCCTCGCGCCCTTCAAGCCCACACGGCACGATCTGCTGGAAATACCACATCGGCTCCTCGGTGACGTTGAACCCGATCCCGTAGCTGCTGATGTTGCGCCGCAGATGGACTCCCACGGCGGTGATCTTCTTCGGCAGCGGCAAGCCACCGCCAGCACCATCGCTTTTTTTCGACCCCGACCCCGACCCAGGCCCTGTCAGCGGCGGCGTCGGCCGCACCCACACCCCGGGGTCCTCCGTCACGAGGCCCTGGACGCCGTACCCGCGGAGAACGTCGATGACGCTGTTCTCGAGCAGCCGGATGTGGCAGCGCGGGGTGAGGCCGAGCCGGCGCAGGTCCAGGATGGTATATGCGACCATCTGTCCGGGGCCGTGGTAGGTCGTCTGGCCGCCGCGCAGGGTCGGGTGGTACTCTGCGACTGGGGAGCCATGGGGTGGGGCGGTGAGGAGGGCGCGGATGGGTTCGAGGGCGGTGGGGAGGGAGAGGGCGCTGGACTGCTGCGAGGAGGGGGCGGTGTTGGACGGGGGGAGGTCGCGGCGGCCGGTGGTGTAGACGGGGTTTGGGGTGAAGGTGATGAAGGTGGGGTCTGGTGGTGAGGTGGGGTTTGATCTGGAGGAGTGTGGGGTGTCTGCTGCGGCTGGAGAGCTGAGTCGTTTGTAGGCGAGGAGGCGGTTGGTGAGGATCTGCTGGAAATTGGCGACCCGCGCGAAGGAGGTGATGTCGGGGAAGTGCAGATGTGCCAGCTTCATGGTGGAGGTATTGTACAGTGTGTTCTATGCGGATTGTGTCAAAGTGAGTGTCATATGTATTTTGCGGGTTTAGTATATTGTATACAGTATTCGTAATTTGAGCAGGGTGAATGCAATTGAACAATTGGGTTGAACTTTGAAGAGCATCAAAGGACATGGCTAATCGTTTAGTTGAACTCCGTCGGAGAAGTGCCGCTGACGTGTGGTCATGTGATACTGTATGGTTGGAGCTCCTTGCTTTCCATCCCTTTCTGGTCTTTTGTAGCTGATAATAGGACGTTTTTGCTAAGTTTGATGCTGGTGATGGGTTCTAAAGCGGATTGCCTGCCCCCAAAACATCAGGTTGTAGTTGGTGAAACAAGAGATGATTTATGGACCAGAAACGTATGGTTTCAATCTCTACCTAGATGAACTGGTAAACAACCTACTCCCCTATGGAGTGACCGTCCCATTAACGAGATTTTCCCTGGGCTGATCCTCGCCCTCAGAGACCAACTGCCAATCCCTAACGCAACCCTTCCAGTCCGCAATGCGACCTTCGTGTACTCTGACCGTTACCACCCGCACATCATCATCGATCGATAGACTGGGCCTACGCTGGCCGGCAGCCTGCTGCTGTTGCCCGAATGTGCCAATCTCCTCCTCAAAGGTGTTATTCTCCAAATGCCTCTCCTTGCACCAGGCCTCCTCCTCCGAGCCGGCTTCCAGAAAGCGGGCGGTACCAGTGATGGTTGTTGAGATACTGGAGAGTGCGCTCGTGTTCAGGTTGAGAAGGAGACTAGCGAGGGACGATCGAGTTGCGGCTGGCGGTGGCGAACCGTCACGCTGCCCACTGGGGTTGGGGGCGCGGGTAGGCGGGCGGTGGGACACCCAATCGTGAACCAGAAGAGAAACCCGCGGGTTGGTCATGAGATGGTTGGTCTTGCGGGATGAGGAGTTGGTGGTCATGATGATTGTAGGGTTCGGGTCGAATGGGGTCGAGGGCAGGTAGGTGTAGGACATGAGGGAGATGTGCGGAGTGAGGCCATCGCTTGTTGCGAGATGAAGCTGGTCATAGCAGGGTCAGCTCATGTCGAGTAGGGACAGAAGAGTAGTACATAGGGTTAGGACGTACAAATCTGGAGTTCTTGAGACAGGAGATCACCTCTGGAGGAGGAGTTGTTCCAAGCAGAGGGTGAGTCGTGGTGGCCGACGCCTCGTATGAGAGGGGCGGGTTGAGAGAGTCCGCCATAATGTGATGCACGAAGTCGCAAAAGACTTGTCGATAGGGGAAAAAAAAAGAGGAATTGTTGATCTGCTGAAGAATAAGCAACAAAAAGAAGAAAAACACTGGTTTCACGTTGTTCACCTCTCTTGGTGACACACGAGTGGGATGTGTCTCTTCTGTCTGTCTGTTTTGGAGGGGAGAGCAAAGCAAAAGAAGAGGCTGTGGCGGTGTTTCGCAGTCTGACTGGTTGCGGCCGAGTCCGGATCGCCGAAATGGGGCTTGCCGCACTTTTTGGATTCTGGATGGTCTATGAAATATGATCCAGGATCCATCGACGTCACCAGATAGATAGATATCGGGCCAGAAAGGAGCTGGATGGGCTCAGGATGGGGGATACTTTCATGCTAGCTAGCTTTAGAGAGGCTGATGGAGCTCGCAGGAAAAGAAACTACCTTACATTTCACCCTAGATAGATGAAGCACCTATTACTATCTAGTGCCTAGGCGTGGAGATCGCACTCTACCACTGTCGTCATCACGAGGATCCATCTAAGGAGTACAGTACGTCCTACTACTAGTCTACCTTGTTAGCTGCGTGGTGGATGGGGGAGGTTTCAAGCATACTCAAATTGGTGGTATTAAGAAATATTCAGAGTTCCCTGATGGCTATGTGCAGTTAGAAGATTCAAATAATCACTAGGAATCCTGTGTACCATAGTACCATAGTACCATACACTATCGACTCTTCCCCGCACTTCCCAAACATCCAAACAGCTTTCCCCAGTTTCTGTCTTACCTCTTACCAGTTACCACTCAGCTTAGCAGCTAGGTACCTAGGTACTCGCTCATACCTGACCTACCTTAGTATCCTCTCCTTCTTTTCCACTGCCCATTGGTAGTTCCATCAATCTAACTACCTAATAACTTAAATACCTTATCATTGTATTACTGCATCTTAACCCGACTTTCTGTCTGCGACCCTTTCTAAGCTCTCCATTGGGGTAACCCATCACTTTCTCCACCTGCTAATGGAGTTGTTGATCCCTGTATTCGCTGCTGGATCGCTACCTGAGCCTGACGCCACACAGCAATAGCCAGTTAACCACAGCATTCGCCCTCCTGTACGTCCTCGACTGGATTTCTGCAGTTCTTAGTTTACTGTATTGAAGCCGTTTTCTCTGTCCGTCGCGTGTTAGCTTCAGCATCCCTTTAAATATCCTTGCTCTCTTCTCTTCTCCTCGGTTACATTACCCCCTCTCTTCTTGTCTACTCAACCTCTCTCGTTCTCTTTCTCTCTCTCTCTCTCTCTCTCTCTCTCTCTCTCTCTCTCGCTCCTGTGAAGCTTCCCTTTCTTCCTTTTTCAACCGACCGTGTCTACTTCAAATAGACCACCTTCTGTCTATCATTTCCCTGAGCCATAATTTCATTTTCTCTTTCCCGTTTTCTTTCTTGTCATTCGAGCGCCTGTTCCGTCCTGTTGGAATTTAGCCTCAACATGCTCGCTCCCCGTGTTGTCCGACCAGTGTCCTCGCTGGTGCGGCCCTTCAGCTCCTCGGCCGTGGTTCACCGAACTCCTTCCATCCGTGACATCATCCCCGAGTCCGCTTCTGAATTTAATGCGCGGCAGAAGGAGTTCCGCGAAAATCTGGAGGCAGCTCGCAAGAAGAAGGAACAGCAAGAGAGTCAGTCTGTCGATTCTTCTGGTTCTACCTCTGCTTCCCCTGTTATTCGTGATCGCTTCCGTGAGTACACTACCGCTCCCACTGCTCCCCGAGCGAGCAATGCGAGTGGTGAACTTAGCCCTGTTGTTGATGCCGCCAGCGTTCTTGATAACAAGGCATTGGGCTTACTTTCCACCCACCGATCTCTAGGAGATGAGCAGCTTTCGGAAGCCAACCAGTCTCCAAAGCGGGGTCCCTTGTCTTCACTCATTTATGGAACCAAGGAGGGCCAGCATTTCGACAAGGATATCGAACGCTCCTTCTCTCAAGTGCTCGCCCGCGGTAAATACGTTCACTCCATCGTCTTCCACGAAGTCAAACCCGACAAGGTCGATGATTACGTCGCGCTCGTTGGCGAGTGGTATCCTCGCATGGCCAAGACCAAGGAGAACAGGGTCAATCTGGTTGGAAGCTGGCGTACACAAGTGGGAGATAATGACACCTTTGGTATTTTCAGACCATGAGCCCCAGAACACCCTTTTCCCTCTTGGTTCAATGCCATTGTATCAATCCTTTCCTTGCTAACCTCTTAATCCTCAGTGCATATCTGGGAGTATCAACGCTATGAAGGTTACCACGCCTCTCTTCACAACATTTCTCAGCACCCCGAATTCCCGGCATTCGATCGCAAGTTGAAAAGCCTGATCAAGAGCAAGAAGACATCCCTGATGCAGGAATTCTCTTTCTGGCCCACCACTCCGCCCCGGCGTCTCGGTGGTCTCTTTGAGCTTCGATCCTACACTCTCCACCCTGGAAACCTGCTCGAATGGGAAACGCACTGGCGCCACGGCCTGAGGGCGCGTCGCGAGGTCATGGAAGGAGTCGGTGCTTGGTTCGTTCAGATCGGGGATCTGAACACAGTGCATCACCTTTGGCAATTCGCGAACCTGGAGGAGCGCAAGATCCGTCGTGAACAGTCATGGGGCATTGAAGGCTGGGCGGACACCGTTCACAAGACCGTGCCTCTCATCCAGAGCATGCAGAGTCGGATTCTGATCCCCATGCCGTGGAGCCCGGTGAGCTAGGCTTTTTTATTTTATTTTTTTTCTTCTTGCGCTTGGACTAGGGAGTATGCCGAATCTGTGATTGTAAATCTAGATTCTTCGGTCTGGAGAGGCCCGGCGAGCGATACCACCGCCGTAAACAAGCTTATTCACGCCATGGCCGGAGGTAAATTGCGCCGACAAGGGCACGGCCGACCGGAAGGATATTGGGAGTTACGGGGAACATTGACATTATTCAAACCGCTGGTTTGCGGAGGCCAGTGTTCCATGTCTGGGCCACTGGAATATGATTAACCCGTCTGGTGTCCACAGTGTGCAACTACCTGACCAACTTACTCGACAACCAGGCCATGGCATTCTAGTTGTGTATCAAGCATGTTTTCCGCGTTTGTTCTTGTTCTTGTTGTATCTAGCACTGAAATGGATGTCTTTTCTTTCTTACTATGTTTTGTCTTCTTCATGTGATTCTGAGCCTACTGCGGAGTACTACCGCGGTCTCCCACATTTGACCAGTGATCACCATTCATTTCATAATTGATATTGCTACCCCAGCTTTACCCCGCTTTCTATATTCTCCATCTTTATTCCTTTGAAGCGTTGACTCTGTCTAAACCCCCAAACTTCCAAACTTCCAGATTCCCATAGCACGTGATACGTAGGGGGCGTACCCAATTGATACAAACACCTCAACCGACCACATCACCATCTTCTTGCATATGATACTCTTGGTAGTCATATTATTAGAGACAAGCGACTTACTTCAACCTACCATGCAGGATATCGTCACACTGCATGGATACCTAGCTTTATTCAAAGACCCCGTAGTCCGTATCTATCTTTCTGCATTCTGCAGTGTATGGTAACTTCGAAAGTTCGAATACATGCGGTGGGTTTCGTTGGCCCCGCATCCCGCCTTCACGGTGTTTTTCCGCCGGCAGAAAAAAAAAATATGTAGACATTGGTGAAAATCCGGGACTAAAAAGGGAAACGAACATCGATAGAACTTTGACTATCGTGCTCCAGCTGTCCTCTTCGTCCTCTCCCTTCTTCTTGACCCAAATTCCCCTTCACTGGGATTTCCGACGGAGCTTTGGTTTCAATATAAACTCTCCGCTCTTCCTTTCTTCCCTTCTTCTTTCCTCCTTCCAAGCATCGGCTTCGTTCCCCCTTTGTGCTTGGAGTTTAGAATTCACCGCCGGCTTGGCTCCAGTCTTGTTGTAAAACCACGGTGAGAAAGCAGCGTACCTCTTACCGACCGTATTCCCATAGACGTGCCGGGGAAAACAGGGGCAAGTGCACAAAAGAGGATATAAGATGGTTTATATCCGGCAACAGCAGTTGCCTAACCTCAAGACATATCGATATGCGGGAGTAGATCACTCGTTGATCAGTCGATATGTCCTCAAGCCGTTCTACAGCAACTGCGTAATCGACTGCTTCCCCATGAGCATGGCGTGAGTAGTAACGCTTCTTGTTACACTCCCAGACCCGTCTCTTGCTCTTGCCTGGCTAACAAGTAGCTTTCCGCTTCCTCCTTTGCTTAGGCCTAATGCCGTAAGTTTCTGGTCCTGTCCGGTCAAGCCCATTGAGCATCTAACCTGAGGACCGGTAGATTACCCTGACCGGGTTTATGTTCGTGGTAATCAACTTCATCACCGTGTTATGGTACAACCCCACGTTAGATCACGATTGCCCGCCATGGGTCTATGCCAGTTGCGCCATTGGGTTGTTTCTCTACCAGACTTTCGATGCTGTAGACGGCATGCAAGCGTATGATTTTGGCCCCCGTCACCTCGTTGCTCTGCGAAGTAGATAAGTTTTGACTAAACCGTTGTCCTCGCAGGCGGAGAACAAGGCAAAGTGGTCCTCTTGGGGAGCTGTTCGACCACAGTAAGTTGTATAGCTCTGATGTTGTTGTCTCATAAGCGAAGAGGAGCGGCGGTATTGATTGAGCCGCAGGTGTCGACGCATGCAACACTGCCTTGGGAGTGGTGATCTTCGCTGGCGTGACCAACATGGGCCAGACCTGGGCTACTATCCTGAGTCTTTTTGGAGGTATGTCGGTTTGGATTCGGCTTTTCGCCCCAAAACTCCCACAAATCAGGCACTAATCGCGTGAAGCTACTATGGCCTTCTACGTCCAAACATGGGACGAATATTACACTCAGGTGCTGACACTTGGCATCATCTCTGGGCCCGTTGAGGGAATCTTGACCCTTTGCACCGTGTTCGCATTTACTGCCTATCAGGGCGGCGGTAGCTTCTGGCATCGTCCCATGCTCGAGACCCTTGGCGTCCCCAGGCTGGATTCAGTTCCCGAAAAGCTATACGAAATGCCCTTCACGCAATGGTACCTTATCTACGGCGCTATTATTCTCTTCTTTGCCACCGGATCTAGCATTGTGCATGTTATGAAGGTTCGATCCGAGCGTGGATTGGACCCTATCAAGCCTCTATATGGGCTGATTCCCCTGGTGACGCTGTGGGCACTTGTGCCTGCCTACCTGTACCTGCAGCCCGTGATCCTCGAGGTCTATACGGTTCCGTTCATGCTGTTTGTTGGCCTGATCAACGCGTACGCAGTGGGCAACATGATCGTTGCCCACTTGATCAAAGCCGACTTTCCCTTCCGGAACATCTTCATCGGCATTGCTCCTCTGGCTTTTGGTGTGCTTGACAGTGCTGGCCCGTTCTTTGGGCTTTGGCCCAGCGCTTTTGGAGACGGATCTGGCCATGTTTCATACGTCTTTGCGTGTCTCGGTCTGTTAATTGGTGTCTACGGAAGCTTCGTGGTATGTCTGGATCATTCTACCAACGTGACACGACAAGTACTAATGATTCTAGCACGACGTGATCACCACGATATGTGACTACATCGATATCTGGTGTTTGATCATCAAGCACCCACACGTGGAGGAGCGTCCGGCCGTGAACGGGCAAACCAAGAAGATCAACTAATGATCTGAATTCAGCTGCATATCAACTATGCATCGCATATGACCGAAAGTGGGTATTGGAGAAGACCTCTTTGGACGTCACAGTTGAGTAAAGAGACAACACCCTCGGTTCGCATTGTATTTTATTGTACCTTCCAGGATGCTTAGGCGGGACACACTTTTTCTTTTGTAATTTTGGCTGAACTTGAGCTATATACCACAGGTACATATCAAGTCGCTTGCACCTGTAGCTGGGCTGGACACCAGTCTATATGATGTTTGACGATTCAGAGATTGGATTAGCGATAGATCATGGTAGCTCTGTCTTGTTTAATATCTTTGTTCGCGCTTTCCCTGAGTCCTTGAGGCCTTTGAGCCCAGAGTATCTCGTTCCTCTTGAACTATGAAGCAGCCAAGAACCAACTGGATAAATCTAGAAAAGCGATGATGGCGACTCACCTGCTAGATTGGTACTAGCGTTACGGTATTTGCACTAGGCCCAGGTTGTCATAGCGCAATATATGATTGGGTTATTCTGAGCTAAAGCTGGGGCGAGTCTATGGGGCGTGCCAAAATTACCAGAAAAGGACAAGTAAGCGAGGGCTTGAGCCCTATTCTCCCCCAAACGGGCCCGGGCTGGGCGACGCCGTCAGAGAAATCCCTTCAAACCTCGCCATCTCCACGAGACCACCTCTTTTGCTTCACCACCCCCTCAAGCAGGCCATCTCCATCAGCGCAGCATTTCAATCCATTTCGCTGATCGACTTTTTGTCTCGTCAAGATGGTAGGTTTTGCTCGCATCCCAGACTCCACGCACCACGTCGAGATATCATGAGAGGAGGAACTGGTTGTCGCCTGCACATTACAGGACCTCGCTGTCCGTGCAAGTGCTCGCCGTCGCCGGGACAAATTTTCATCAAGATAAAGGGGTGAAGGGGAATCATGTTTGAACTTTCAGGGGGCTAACATATTTATCTTTTTTTTTCTGTGATATAGGTTCTCGCGGTCGACCTCCTCAACCCTACTCCTCAGGCCGAGGCTCGCAAGCACAAGCTTAAGGTATGAATGATGATTACCGAACGACCACCGAAAGACTTGCCAGCAAGGAAATACCCGTTTTCGAATCGATGGCTGATGTTGGATACTCTCGACCATATAGACCCTTGTGCCTGCTCCCCGCTCCTTCTTCATGGACGTCAAGTGCCCCGGCTGCTTCACCATCACCACCGTCTTCTCCCACGCCCAGACCGTTGTCGTTTGCGCCGGCTGCTCGACCGTCCTTTGCCAGCCCACCGGTGGTAAGGCCAGACTCACCGAGGGCTGCTCTTTCCGGAGAAAGTAGATGTGTTCATGACGCAAAAACCGATGCCGGAGCGATGATTTAAGGAAATGTGGCGTTTCTTCTTCGACGATGGAATAATCTTTTTTTGAGAGAGCACATTGCAGATAGAAGATGGAGTCCTCCGCCCCGTTCTGGGGAAATCTCAAAAAAAAATTACAAAGTTCGATGAATTCTTCGAAACACAAAAAAAAAAGCATTACCCGGGCACACCTTGCCATCCATACCAAAAGCGTTGACGGTTCTGTTAAGCTTTTTGTCACTTGTTTGTTCAATATCCATCATGGAGGGGAGTTCCGGATATCTGGCACATGAAATCGGTCCAACTATATGAATTCGTTTCTGCACAGTTCTTTCTACTCGTTGCTTTTTTTAACCTTGAAACGTTTGTTCTTCTCTTGCCTTGCACGCAGTTGACATTTGTACGACGATCTCTTCATTGACGGATTGTATCCCGGTTACCTTACCCCCATGACCAAAAAAAATCGACATGGACTATGATGAGCTTCTCAGACGACAACGAACAACATCTGGCACGAGCTCTTGCTGGTCGATCCGACACCCCGCCCTGTCGCAGAGTTCTGCAACCATGGACTCTAACGGCAGCGCTGGGAGACCTTCCGACCGGTACAGCGCGAGAACGGTCGATGTCTTCCGATGGATGGTGCCTGAGCGAGCTTTCGTGGCAGAGGAGCTTGCACTCGGTTACGGCCCCGGCCAGTCTGTCTGTAGCTGGTTGGAGCTGGGCTGTAAATACGTATCTTTTGTAGTGAATGCTAGCTCTTGTCCGGTCCTCTTGCCCTGTTAGTATTGCCGACTGTCTAGAATAAAGTACTGTAGCTTTGAGCTCGGGATCGACTTGTGTTCGTAACTTCATTCATTGGACCTCCCCGCTCGTAGGCATAGTATTTACTGTCAGTCTGTCCCTACCCCACGTATGACTTCTTATCGATAGCACCCTGCCCTCCCCCCTCCCCCCATAGCCCCACCCAGATATCCGTTGCCATGGCCCATGCTGTTGGTGCTGAATGCTTATGCAAGGTCCATTCAGACGTAAACTTGCAGTTGCAGCGTCGAGATCTCGCTGCATCAGTCTGAAAGAAGATCGTCCAAGCTACGTGTCATGCGTACATGCTCTACGGATAGAGAACCTACTCTGTACACGCACCGACGATAAAGAACCAGGAAGACCCGCACCACCGAACACGTTCGATAACGAGAGTATGTAATTGACTATCCAGTTCAATAGGTAGAAGAAGGATGTCCTCGCCCTAGACAAGAACCTAGGCAGAAGAACCAGCTTCCACACCACGTACCCATTCCATTCTCCTCGGCACTAACAGGCTACAGCAATCTTACCCATACCTGACAAGACAACCCAGACCTCAAGGGGGGAGAGAGGGGGGAGGGGAAGGGTAGGGGGGGTGTTTACATTCCACCCCGGAAGGCGCATCACCACCATACTTAAACCTCCGTCAGCTCCTTTGCCTTCGTGCGGATGTCGTCCCCGAAATCCACGGGGTTGGTTGGATCGCCGCCCGTCATGAGCGCCAACTTGCCCGTGGTGTCGTTGACGAGGACGTGGGCGAAGTTGTTACGGCCGAGGACGTCCTGGGCCTTGTTGCGGGCGTCGGCGTCGCCGGCACGGAACTTTTCCAGGTCGATTTGTTTGAGTTCGCGGTGCGTGTTGCGGATGAAGTCGAAGAGGAAGAAGACGGTGGGGTGGGTGTTGGGGGGTTGCATCAGCGGGTGGGCTTCGAAGGATCTAGGGTTATGGCAGGGTTAGTTTTTGGTTAAGAATAGATGGGTTGTGTGATAGGAGTGATGGGAATGGTGTTTGAACTTTTGAAGTATATAGAGAGTAGACAAGTTGACCGTTGCCAGCTAACTATGGGGAAAAACGTACGAGAGGAGCTCGGCCATCTTGGCATCGATGCGATCAGCGTTGAATTCGAGTTGTTCTGTGCTCATTTTGATGAGTAGGAAGGTCCAGTTAGGATTTAGCAGAGAGGAGGTTAGTTTGCCCTGCTAGAGGATTCAGAGGAGGATGTTCGATGCGAGGATTCTGATCAAGTAATAAGAATCATATTAGTAGTAAACTAGTAATTCTTGCCATTGATCGCTGCTTTTCTTATCTTATCGCGGCGTCTAATTTCCCTCTTTCAAGTCTTTTCAAGACTGCTGCTTCTGATCGTCTCGTCTGTCTTCTGGCTGGATTTCCTTCTTCTTTCCCTCCATGTAACTATTTTGAAGTGTGATGATCATCGTGACTCATGGTTTCGCCGATGTGTCAAGAAATTTCGATATCCCGGGTGTAGTCAAGCTGCCGCGTATCCACTACTCCAACAGATCTCAGGTTTGGACTGGTCGATTCTCACTCTCTTGCTCACCTCTCCTTCCGCCTTTCACCCACCACAGCCCAAGACCACAATGGCACCCCGTCAGCCCCTCAAGCTGCTTATGCTGCACGGCTATACTCAGTCCGGGCCATTGTTCTACGCCAAAAGCCGCGCTCTCATCAAACACCTGACCAAGGCCTTCCCCCTCCACGACGTCTCCGCCTCCTACCCAACAGGCCCCGCCCGCCTCAACCCCGCCGACATCCCCGGCTACGAGCCGCCCGCCGAACGCTCCCCGGCAGACCAGCAGCAAGAGGATGAGAAAATCGAGGCGTACGGCTGGTACCGACGCTCCGATGCCGCCGAATCACCCCTCTACGTCGGCCTCGAGGACGGCCTGGCCGCTATCGCCAAGGTCCTCCGCGACGAGGGTCCGTTTGACGGCGTCATCGGCTTCTCGCAGGGCGCCGCAATGGCCGCAATGGTCGCGTCGCTGCTTGAGCCAGGGCGCAAGGAGGCCTTCGCGCACTTTGCCGACCCCGAGGTTGCCTCGCACGGCGCCGGGCTCAAGCAGCCCGTAGCCAGTATTCCCTACCCGGCGTCCTTTGCTCAGATTGTCCATCCGCCTCTAAAGTTTGCGGTGTGCTATAGTGGATTCCGCTCGCCTGGTCCGCGCTACCGGTCTTTCTATGAGAACCCGCCAATCCAGACGCCGGTGTTGCATGTACTGGGGTCGCTGGATGCTGTTGTCGATGATACGCGCAGTCGGGCGCTGATCGAGGCGTGTGCGGGGAACCCAGAGGAGGAAGGGAAGGTTGTCTGGCACCCCGGGGGTCACTTTCTGCCGAGCCAGAGGCCGTACTTGGACGCTGCGGTGATGTTCATTAGAGGTCAGTTGGAGGGAAATAAAGCCAAAGCGGATGCGAAGGAGGAGGATGCGTGGGAGATGGATGTGCCGTTCTAGACGGATAGAGTTGGACTTTTGAGCACAGCGTAGATAATATCTGGCCTAGTTGTGTTTAGACCATGTTTATAGATAGAAAGGTTTAGACTACATTGGCATGGAGTTGGACAATCCGAGCAAATACATACAAAGACCTAACGATATTTTCGGCAATAGCATCAATCCATGGGTCATTCATCAGATTATTCTACACGCTACTGCATATCTAGCGCCCTGTTCATTCAACCCACCATTCAAATCTCTTCGTCCCCGGAGAGATTTCAGCGAGCCTTGGCCTTCTCGCCTCGGGACGGAAGGATTCTGGCCATCATCTCTTCCTTGGTAATCAGATGGTCGATGCGCTCCAAAAGTCCCAGAAGGCTCTTCATGTCGCTGCTCCATTCATTCAATACATCGTCTGCGTCACGGGGCTTGGCGAAGTTGACCAGCCGGGCAGGACGGTCGATCTTCGCATAAATAGTTTTCGAGGTGACCAGTTCACTGATGTACTTCTCCGTCTCCTCCTCGGTCAGATCCAGCAGTTCCGTCAGACGTCCCATCTGAATACGAGTGTAGTACTTGGCCACTACACGAACATTGTGCTCAATGACCCGCTTGCGGAGATCCTGCCACCTCTTATGTGCCTGATCCTCGGCGGACTGGCTGGGCTGGGAGTCAAACACGTCGGTGTTGCAGAGATGGGGGCCAAACTGCTCGGCAACCATGGGCCAGCGCATCAGCTCAGGAACGGTGAAGAGCTTCACCAAGCGAGCTTCGGTGGGAACCAGAGAGAGTCTTGAATCTTGCTGGATGCGGTGCAGCAAGTCGGATTGCTCATTGTCGTATGGAGATAGAACGATGTAGTAGACGATCCGGGCGAGCACCTTGAGACGCTCTTGTCAGTTTCTAGAATTAAAATGATGCAAAAGACAAGAGCTTACCGCTCGCAGTTGCTCTTGGTTGTTCTGCACCGAGTCTGTGTCCAAGACTTCGCGATAGTTTTTGCAGACATCCAGATACTTGTAGTCGTGGTTGGCGAGAATGATCTGCTGTTCGTAGTATCGGAGCTTCAGATCCGTAACATCATCATCGACCTCCATAGGGGCCTCATCGGGCGCACGGGTCTTTTCTCGCTCCTCCGCCTCCTTCTTCAGCTTCGCGATCTCCTCAGGTGACTTCTTCGGCTTGCGTGCAAAGTACCGCTTGCTGATCTTGCGACTCAAAATCGCAGCCTGTGTCCAGTCGCCACGCTCTATGCAGAGACCCACTTGCTCGAGAATGAATTCCGTCTTCTCACGTCTCGTCATGGATCCAAAGGTTTCTACCTGCAGCTCGCAAAGGATATCGGCGGCGGCATTGAGGTCGCCCTGGGATTTCTTGATGTTCGACAAAATACGCGTGACGCGAGCTCTCTCGACTTCAACGAAGATCTAAGGAATATATCAGCGAAAAGACCCAGGAAGATCGCGCAAGATGCCTGCCAAACGAAGCACCTACCTTGCCTTCGGTTACGGTCCGCAAGGTCTCGATCACGGACAACTTCACATCGGTGTTGGGTGTGTCATCCAAGAATCCCATCACCTTCTGGACCATCCTCGTCGTCGCCTGCTTAAGTTGTCCATGTTTCTTGGAAAGAAGGAGCACCTGGTCGTTGAGGAGGTTCCAATCGCCGGAGTTCTTGCTGAGGGTAACGATAGTGGTGAGGATTCGTGATGTGGTTGCAAGATCGGAAGCCTATGTTCATAGAGAGATCAGAGAAGCCACGATATGGGAGGCCGGAGAAACCAGTATGATGCCATACCTGTCTTGCTTGCTTCTCCAAAACCAGGAGCTTATCGATGGCGCCTTGAACATCGGTCTGCGAGCCGTCATCAGTAAAAGCCTCACTCCAGCCATCAGCTATTTCAGACCTTTGCCAACTGCTCTGCCTCCGGGATCAGCTTGTCCGCATCCTTGGAGAAATCCTTCTCCGGCTTCAAAAGGCCTCCGCTGGACATAGTGACGAATGCTGAGACGTCACTTCTTCGAAGGGTTGTATGGAGGCACGAAAATCAAATGAGAGAGGGTTCGATATCTCCAACGTATCAATAAATCCCGAGACAAAGAGGATGATGGGGTTTGATTAGATTCTAGAAGGAGATGGATATGAAGCTATGAGAGTGTCCTGCGCCTTGCTCTTCGGAGTTACTTGAGCTGGCGGAAGCTCTTTATCACGTGAGATGCGCATCACCGCCCGATCTACAGATGGTTGGCTGCAACTGTACACAGTATGTAAGTAGTGTTCTCAGCTCTCTCAGTCAACCAGGCTGACGACTGACCATCTTTCCTGCAGTCTTCATCATTCCTGAATGAGGATTATACGCCATCTGTCCTACATGGGGAAGTGGCCCTTTTGGAGAGACTGTGCTCCTCTTGACAGACCCAGATTCGATATCTGCACAGCATTATGCCGTCCAAATTGAACTGACATAGGGAACTATAACAACCACAGCCATTCATCTTCTTCAAGGCTATGATCACTCATCACATTCCTGAGCTTCAGGTGAACGTCAATGTAATGGATCTTTATCAATGCCGAGTCTGAATCCCCGACGGTGTACTCTGTTCCTGACTTCCTGGAGCATCTTCCAATGACTTCTTGGCGCCTGGTTGTACCATGATTGACAGGCTTAGATAAGCAAAGGTACGATCACGCAATATCGCATTAAACTATTTTGGGCTCTACAGACCAGAGCAAAGAATTTGTATAAAGAGTCATTATTTTCGTTTTACAGTGGGAAGATTGGCTTTGTCTCGATCTTTTAATTCTCAAGTTCTTTCGATTAGTTTATCAGTTCTGTCAACTGTGACAGTCACGGGGAGAAGTCGCTGTTATCTCCAATTCATTCTGCTTGGGCTTTTCCGCGGACATTGGATTGCTGATATTGGGAAGCGATCTGATTGATCGTGATAGTTCAAGGGTCTGAAGACAATTTGGCTCACGTATAAAGCCAGAATTGCTCCTTCCCTGAAGTCAGCTATCCCATATCCTTCATTCAAGTGTGAGAACAAGAAATACTTTGCGCTAAAGCTGATTGTGGTGGCAACCTATTACCATGAAGGATGCATCTTGCGACAATGGCTCTCCGGCGCCATTGTTGATGGCTATGAACGCCGACTCACAGGTCCATCTGATTATTGGGACCAATCCTCTGGCAGCCGCTCGCTGTGTCAAGAGCTTGGAAATCGGTGCAAAGCCAGTTATCATTGCACCAGATACGGTGGATGTGCATTATACCTTGTCCGAGCGTATTGAAAATGGCTCAGTGCAATGGATTCGCCGAACCTTTCAAGACGACGATCTAACAACCCTTGGGAGGGAAGAAGTCGACCGTGTTGTGGACATGGTGTTTGTCACTCTGGGGGGCCCACATCCATTGAGTACGTATCAACTATCTGCCGAGCCCGGGTTTCTATGAAGACTAATAATTTGATAGGCTCTCACATTTCAAAGTTGTGCCGGCGTCTGAGGATCCCGGTGAATGTAACCGACGCGCCAGACCTTTGTTCCTTCAGTCTGCTTTCAACATACTCAGATGGCCCCTTGCACATCGGAATTACGACCTCTGGCCGTGGTTGCAAGCTTGCCTCTCGTCTCAGGCGGGAGATCTCTTCCTCGCTTCCTCCTAACCTTGGAATTGCCATCGACAGACTAGGCGCAGTAAGAAGGCGACTCTGGGCCGAAGACTATGCGGCGGGCTTGTGTGATGGTGTGTTCGATGGCGATGAGGATGACTCGACAGGACAGAAACACACGTTCAACAATCTCGTCACTGAGCATGACAAGACTTCAGCCAAAACAAGGCGCATGCGCTGGCTCTCTCAGATTTGCGAGTACTGGCCGCTACGCAAACTTGCAGCCATCACTGATTCAGACATTGAAAATATTCTTCAGGCCTACTCTTCCAGCAATGATGCTGGAAGCGAGGTCAAAGGAGATTTCTCCTTGACGAAGAAAGGAAAGATTATCTTGGCTGGCTCCGGTCCAGGAAACCCGGAGCTGTTGACGCGAGCAACCTATCATGCGATCCAAAATGCAGACATCATCCTGGCGGATAAACTTGTACCTGCTCCTGTCCTGGATTTGATCCCACGCAGAACGGAGGTTCATATTGCGCGGAAATTCCCCGGAAACGCAGACCAAGCGCAAGAAGAATTTTTGCAAATGGGAATTGCTGCCTTGCGCCAGGGCCGCTATGTACTCCGGTTGAAGCAAGGAGATCCATATCTGTATGGCCGCGGAGGTGAGGAGTTCGAGTTCTTCCGGGGTGAGGGCTATATCCCCCTGGTCCTACCTGGAATCACTAGCGCGCTGAGCGCGCCCTTATTTGCCGATATTCCCGCTACCCACCGTGGGGTGTCGGACCAGGTCCTGGTGTGCACCGGTACTGGTAGGAAAGGCGCAGCTCCTGAGCCTCCTACTTATGTGCCCACACAAACAGTGGTCTTCCTGATGGCCCTGCATCGACTTTCAGCGCTTGTGGAGTCCCTGACCACTTTACCAGCGGAGGAAGATGGCTCGCGGTCCCGGACACTCTGGCCCAAGGATACTCCTTGCGCTATCGTTGAACGAGCCTCATGCACGGATCAGCGCGTGATTCGTTCGACGCTGGAACATGTCTGCTCGGCGTTCGAAGCCGAAGGATCTCGGCCCCCTGGATTGCTGATTGTGGGAGCCAGCTGCCATATCCTGCACGGGCCCAGCAAAGAGAAATGGGTAGTGGAGGAGGGGTTCCGGGGATTTGATGATCTGCACACTGTACTCGATGAGTCTTTGATAAATGCCGACGTGGTCAAGAGTTCTTGATTCATTCAACATCTGCATTTGGCGTATTCTGGGCACGGGTCTGCCGACGATCATGATCACGACGGGGTGTTTTTTTTTCAACAGGATTTGGAGTTTGAGATAGAGATAAAGATACCCATTTAGATAAGTTTCAACAATCAACACAATCATATTGATTAGAAATCTTGCCCCATTATCTGGTAGTTGTTTCTGGGTGTACCAAGCAGTAGACAAGAGTATGTACCACTATCAAAATACACAAAGATTACAAGCATGTGTCCCCATGTAGTATGGTTCCTTTATGTCTCTAAGAAAAGTTGATATATCTAGTGTTTCAGTTCTAAGAGGAAGATTTGAAACCGGCGCATTTTTATCAGATGAATTCGCTGATGACATGAAACTAGATTTATATCAAGCCGTTAGAAGGCTACCTACAGCAAATGTGTTTTAGTCGTACCTTCAGAAGACACAAGCCGAGAGAGAATCATTTGATACGAGAAGTCAGTTTCTCCATTTGATATCTCAAGATCGAATTATACTAGGAAAGCGCGAGATATATCCTAAGTCGTTGGAACTCTCCTGAACGTCTATACATGTACAAGTAAGATGAGGTAATGGCCGTGACAGTCACGAGTTACACAACTTGGCGCCACTAGGCCTCGGCCAGCATCTCAGCTCCATCCTCATTCCATCTTCTATCGATCGATCAGCCATTCTGCTTTCATTACCTATCAAAGCAGTAGCAACACCATGTCGTCGAACAATAAAACTTACATGTCCAACGGGGAGGTCCTGTCAAGGTATGAACCCTGTCCCTGTCGTGAGCAGGCAGAAGTCTAATGAAATCAACCTCGCCGCAGTCCTCCCCTCCCCGTCCGCATCTCGCGCTTCTTTGAAAATATCTACTTCTTCCTCGGCTTGTACTTTGTGACCCTCTTCTCGGTATGTGGGACTCGCTCCTTTGTTCCCATCATCGTCGCCAGTTTATGGGTGGCGCAGTCTCGCGCGAGATCCGTCGACCTGCGTGCGCCAATCTACCTCACTTTACTGACGCTCAGTCCAATTCTAGCTGGACCCATACGCTGCTGCTCAATCTTCACAGTTCAATGTCTCCCAGGCTGCAAATCGTCACGGTGCTCGGTCTCGGTGGGGAGGCGGGGGTGGCTCGAGCTCGGGAGGAGCTGGTGGTGGCGGCGGTGGACCTGGAGGGTTTGGGCCTCGCAGAATCGGAAGGGTAGATGATGTTCGAGGGCCGGAGTGCAAGAGCTGTCGCTAAGACGGGTTGTTTTGCAATTCTGTGGTCCGGTTTGGTATTTTAGTTGGTATTGATGGTCCTGTTCAGTGCGTAGGGATGCTGGCTTATCAGTGTAAGATGGGGGGGTGAGTATAAAGATAAGGATGAGGAAGGGGATTCTCCTTTACGTCTCATGACAAGCCCGATACTTTATTGGTTTGCGCGATGTTGATACTCTTTGCCGACAGTCAGCGCAAGTTGAATCATCAGCTGCCTGCAAGTCATCCGGATATTTTACAGCTGCAGCCACGTTTGTATCTGTCATGCTCCGTTGCAAGCAAGGCTTTCGGAGATGCCATCCGCACCCATAGGACATACTTCTAAGTACCTCTGGTACAACAAGATACAGCTCATCATGATGCAGCCAGTACTCTATCACGTGATGATATCTAGCTTCTCCGCAGTTGAGGGGGCCAAACAAGTGCTTCTACGCGCCTGACAGTGTATGAGCTGCTCTTTTTTGTTCTGCAGGCTATTCGGAAAACAAGAACTTCCTCTCTAGACATCATGCTTCTCCCAACGAACAACGAAGAATGGGGAGTTCTGATCTCCGGTATCAAAGACCAGCTCCCAGATGGGTACCCCATATACCAGACCCCGCTCCCCTCGGCGGTGCACCGGACCATCGACCACACCTTGCTATCTTTGGATGCCACGGAGGAGCAGATTGATAAGCTCTGCGCTGAAGCTATGGAGCACAAGTTCGCCTCTGTCTGCGTTCGCCTGCGGCACGTCAACCGAGCCATCTCCAATCTCCGGGGCTTCCCAGAGGGCGCCGTGGCGTGCGTGGTGGGGTTTCCTGAAGGCACGCACGATACAACGGAGAAAGAGAAGGAGGCACTTGATGCCGTCGAACTGGGAGCCAGCGAGCTGGACATGGTGCTCAATTACCTCCTGTTGAGGGAAAAGAAGTACATGGATGTCTACGTGGATATCCTGGAGGTGCGCAAGGTGGCGCCCTCACCGGTCAAGCTGAAGGTCATCCTGGAAACGTCGCAGTTGACCCGTGACGAGATCATTGCCGCTACGGTTCTGGCGATCATGGCCGGGGCCGACTTTGTTAAGACCAGCACGGGATTCAAGGGGGCCGGGGCTACGGTTGAAAATGTGGCTCTCATGCGAGCCACAGCTCAGTTGGTCGGGAAGGGAACCAAGGTCAAAGCCAGTGGAGGAGTGCGCTTGGCGGAGGACTGTGTCAAGATGTTAAAAGCAGGCGCAGATCGCATTGGCACCAGTTCGGGGGTAGCTATCGTGCAGCAGTTGAAAGGACTGCAAATTGAAGGGCGGGCCTCTGCAAGTTACTAGTCTGGTAGCGAAAGTCGAATATCAACGGGGATGTTGAGCTTTGCTTGCCTGCTGTTCGCGCCGTGTAACGCACATAGGCCTCTTTGCTTCTGCTTCGATGAAGGGGTAGCCCCTGTATGGTTAGCCGTACCTAAGTAAGTCTGGATGTTGGTGTGGACATGAATGTGGATTGCTGGTGGTAGAGCCAATTCTTATCAAAGCATGGAACACCAGAAAGTAATCAGGAGCTTCCGTAATCTGGGAGTGGGTATTGCGATGATCCCATGATTCCATTTTCACCCAGAGCGGCTTCCATTCTGTATGCTCAAGGAGAAGACCAGACGTGCACGCCGAGGGAGCTATGCCAGGAAGCGTCCACTGAATATGTCGAAGTCTTTCTCCACTCATACTCCTGGAGATTGCATGATAAATGACCCCTCCAATTCCAGTGTTCAATCAGTCGAGCAAACGACTCTACCGACAAGGACAAGGACTTGTCGGCAGCCGCTATGCTTCCCAATCCATCTGGCAATTCTCGCTAGGCAAGTGCCATTGACTTTGGATTGATGGATATGTAAAAGAAGCTAGTCCTTTTGATAGTCGGCTGTCCCAACCCGCAGGGGGCCCTTGTCTCCAATGTCCTGGAGACAAAACATGATGGCATGGCATCCGCCCCTTCACGTCGCAGCTATCGAGGCAGTCATTCAAAACGAGTGCCAGCTGAACACAATGAGCCTCCCATACCGAAAATGCGCATGAACTATTTTCAATGAATCACGGCTTTCAGGCCGACAAGCTTCAATGGGTCGAATTAAAGGAACTCGTCGCCCGAAAGAGATTCCACCGATGAGATATGTGACTGAGGCGTTCAATACGCCCCAAGAACATCTAGATTGTCAGCCACATCCTCGTCTACGTCCATCTCAACTGAGCCCAGAGGAATGTTGTACGGTTGCCACCCCCTGAACCTCTATCATTCGGCAAGCCGTCGTCGCTTAGGATCTTCAAAATTTTTGTCTTTACTGGCGATCTGACACGAGGATGTAAGCTGTGACATGCGAGGAATTCATAACAAGCCCTTGCGTCGCCCTACAGGTGTCCCATGAATGAAGGCTCAGAACAAGGGGAGAAACAAGTGACGTTTTGAGTCGCTGATTGATGGCTCCGTTGTAGATCCCATATTGAATGATCCTTTCTTCTTTTCCAGTCTTGAAATCGATACTTGGGTTAAGGAGTGATCATAATAATAGTGTCTTGTTCACATTATGAGCGACTGAGCGTATTATTCACTAGACAGATATGTGGCGGTATGATAGATCATTCTGCAAGACGACACTCGAGGTGGCCCCCGTTGCACCCGTTGCATTCATGCTTGGAATGTCAAAAATGTTCGAATTGCTTCCATACGCATTCGAAGCCCGGCAATACTAGTTCATGAAACGTTCTCGGGATTCTCTATTGAGTATGTGGTAGCTGAATTAGCAATTCAAGAATATAGATGTGCGCTATGTTCAGTAGATCGTAAGCTATAGATAGGCAATGAGCAATCCCAAACCAACTTTTGGACCCGTTGCGCCTTTCCAAGAATTCTATTCAGGCAATATGACACACTATACAGACATCGTAGATCGGCAATCATTAATAATGTCAAGATCAACATTTCAAGACCAGAGCAACGACTATTGCTCGTCACTGCTCTGATCATCTGAATCACTGGTCTGAGCGCTCTCTTCGGCCTCCATCCGTCGAAGTACGGCGTCCCCCTTCTTCCCCTTCTTCTCGGCAGCAAGCCAGGCTTCCCGCCTGCGAGCCTCCCGTTCCTCCTTCCGAGCTTGGCGGAGCACCTTTTCCCGCTGGGTTTGTTCTTGTTTCTGATGAAGCTCATTGATATAGTCGCGCATATTCACCAGGTCAGAGCGCAGCTTAGTCACCTCATCCGTGCTGACTTGGCGTGCTGTCTCGTTTGTTGCCAGTTTCTTCTTTAACGTCGCGATTTCCTCTTCCAACGATGTGACCTGCGAGTTATCGACGGTAGTGACCCGGTCAACGACGGATTGGGGAGCAGATGAGACCAGAACGCCGTTCGTTCCAGCGGATTTGAAGGAGGCCAACTCTGCGAGACCTTCTTCCATCAGCGACTCGGGAAAGAAGGTGTGCGTGAGAGCTTCAGAGAATTGGTTGGACGAATGACTCTTCGCAGTGGGCTTGGGTGTGTTTGAGGCGAGCAGATGTGTGCTGAACGTATACTCGGAGGGGACGGTGCCAGCCGCATTCGATGATTCCGAAAGTGCATGGTCGTATCGCGGTTTAACTATCGTGTGCGCCACCCTCTTCAGTTCGAGCGCAGGAGATGCCAATCCTCCCAGAGGAAGCATGATTAGATTTGTCACCGGATGTGTATAGTCCGCTAGTGTCGAAGCATATTTCCTTCGGCCTACGTTCCACGACAGGACCTTTCCATTCTGATGTCCAGAGAGTAGAGTCATCCCATCGTAAGAGAGAGAAAGTGAATGGACGGCGCCAACATCTGGGGAGGGCGGCAGCCAGCGGTCTTCTGCCGATGGCTGTGCGGGAGTGGATTGCAACGAGGGATCGTGTAGAGGATGCTGGATGGACTGATTTTTGTAGAAATCTACTGACTGTACGCTCCCATCTTCATATCCGACGTAGAAAGCACGGTCAACTGGATCGAGAGCCAAACATGATGCTGACGAAGGTAAGAGAAAAGTCCGCAAAAGCCGCCCTGTACGATAATCCCAAGCAATGGCAGTGTTGTCTTTCGAGGTAGAGACGGCGACGTTGTATTGCCCGCTGCTGTGACCCACAGCGATGGAGGTAATAGCTGCGCGATGGTTCGAGAACGTATGGATGGGCGAGTTGGGTTGCTGTCGATCACGACCTGACGGAGGCTTTGTGAAGGATAGAATGTCAACCAGCGACCAGACATGTATGCTAGCATCTGACGATCCGGATAGAATGAAATTAGACGTGGGATCGATCACCAGCGACGTTACTGGTTGCAAATGCGACGCTGTCGTAGCTACTTGTCGTCCAGTGCAAGTCTGTCATGATTGTAAATGTTAGAGAGAATCTCACGAATGCGCAACTCCAACATCTAACTTACCTCCCACAGGATCAACCTTCCACCTTCAGTTCCCAAAACTAAAATATCACCATTCTTACCACCTGCAATCGCGATGCTGCGAATGCGCTCTGGAAAAGGAACAATAGCTTCTTGATTTCCTTTCTCTCGACTGTACACATGGACGATAGCCTTCTCAGACTGGGCTGCAAACACATGCGACTGACTCACGGCCAGACAATTGGCTGCTGTTGAGCTCTTCTTGAATGTGGAGCGCAAATTGACCGTGGGTTGCCATTCCTGGACGCAGATTCCCACGTCTCTCAAGGTCGCAGCTGTCGGGGTCTTGACAGACGTCAAGGTCGACGCAATGAAACTCTCAGACAGCATCAGGGATAAACTATTGAAAAGAAGAACGGGTAAAGAGTGGAAATTGAGACCGCAACACTGGCATAAGTGATATTGAAGCTTTTTTTTATTTTTTCCTTCTTGGGATGGATCACCGATAAAGCGGACGATAAACGATCTGTTTGCACTGTTTGCTCTAGGTGCTCATTTACCAGTTGACGGCGATCCTGAAGTATTGTTTCTGACACAGCTGGATCTGCACAACCTACAAGAAGTGTCTCATCGCCTTCTTGGATCTATCAAGACTAACGAACAGTATTCCATCTGAGGAATCATCTTCTCATCGCTTGGTTCGTGTCCCCAATAAATTGACAATAATCCCTAGTCTCCCTTTCAGCTCCTTCTACTGTGCTAGGACCATACTAACAACTCCTCGTTGTTTAGCCCATGGATGGATCGACAACCAGTGAACCCTTCGTAGGGTTTCTCTCTAATGGCTTCGACTGTGATTTGGATTCAACTTGAAATCACCTTACTAGTTGTTCTGCAGTGCCGTCAGTCGGGGTCGAAGCCATTCAAACAGATTTCCGATCTGCAAGTCTTTACAGAGGGTAACTGGATAAAGCCACTGCCGAGATTGTGCGGCTGTCTCCAAATATGGTCACTGTTGCACCCACAGCAACCAATGCAAGGGGTTTCTTTCTAGGGATAGGCCTCCGCTTGCTTGGTGCAACCGGCCGACAAGCACACTCACTTTATACTCCAATAGACAGAAAGAGCGTGACGTTCTTATGGGCGATCATTAGGCCCCATGTCCCTCGAACTGCATGTCTCATTCCTTGAGTTTTGAGGACTTCTGACCAAATAGGACCGATCTGGGCAATGAGGCCATCCCACGTTGTGCTGTCCCTGCCGTTCGCGCACATTCAGGCCGTTGACCCAATAGTCGTGGCACCTTTTTTTCTTCGCTCTCACCTTTCTCTGGTATGCAAGGACAGTGGACGTCACAACCGCTTCCATTCGTTCATGTTCCAGGATCTTTGAATGTCCCTCTCGAAGGGGCAAGATATACATGCCCAATGTCTGGCTTGCTGTCACCCCAGGGCACCCAAGGGATGTTTGGGTAGTCGGGTCTCCTTCCTCTCTCTCTTTTTATATTATTCCGTAGTTGTAGGTCATGACGGTCTCGCTGCATCAATCCTGCTGGTTTCTCTTTCCCCTTTGGTTTCAACTTTTGACTCTATCCCAGAGGTGATCTGGACAAGTTTGCCTGTATCTGTGGCTTACTCGTGACGCTCTGAACAAAATGTCATCCATGGACCACTCCCCGCGAATGTTCTCGAGGCCTACCTACCATAATCACCACCATCATACAATGTCAGCTTACCATGCCCCTTCCTATAGTATGCCGTATGAAGACTCCGTTTCGCGTGGTACCTCATATGCATCGCCGTATCTTCCAGAAACTCGACCACCCCGGAGAAGGCAACAGGCGACCAGCTCTCTCTCTTTTATATCACCGGCAGTTTCCCGCCCTGAACAACAACCAGAGCCCACAAGTTGCTCTGCTAGGCGTCCAGCAGAGCGGACAGAGCGGGCACCAATCTGCATATCCCCTTTTCGTTCCGTGCGCAAGATGAAAGAGCCTTTTCAGTTGCGACTACCCAGCTCACCTTCGCTGGAAAGCGTTGTAGCGTCTGCCAGAGAGGTGAAAGCTTCACGGCCCATGTCTGGTCATCAAACACTTCGAACCTGGCGATCAGACCAGAATTTGGCAGCTACGAGCTTGGAGACATTTGGCTTGCTCCCCAGCCCTCCGTTGTCTGATTCCAGAGAGTCACGCCCGTCCACATCGTCGACCTATTTCTCCCCAAAAATTGATTCGGAGGTGGAGAGAGGCAGAGGTCGAACCCCAGTCTGCAGTTGCACGCTAGACACTGATTCATGCCACGCCTGCTATCCTTTGATTGTCAAGACTACAAAACCGGAGAAGAGAGTGACAGAGCCGACGAATGTCCACGCCACGCACTCGCACTTAGTCAAACGATGCGAAACCGACGAAGGACGATTCACGCCTGCTTCCACCGATTCGGAACGTACGCTGTCGCCCAGTGAATATTCCGATATCGACATTCCCGAGAGAGAGGACGTTTGTGATTCCGCCGATGTCTCCCAGAGAAGTCGGGCTGGAACGGTCTCGAGTGAAGCAAGTAGCTGGCTGCCGAGTGATCTTTCTTACTTTGAAAGGTGGCTACAAGGTGTCCCAGAAAGTGCCGATCTTAAGGATGAAAGATCAAAAGAAAGCAACCGGAGAAGATGTCAAATAGTGGGGGATAGTCTATTAAGACTGGATCGAAAATGTGAAATCAAGGCCGCAGATGAAGCGGTGGTAAGTGTACCCTGGAACTAGTCGTATATACAAAGAGTATGGTACTGATGCCGTTTTAGAGACTCGACTTGACCAAAACAAAGCCCAAACTGGTTGACATCTCTCGACAATCTTCTCTAGCAATGAGCCATGCGGTGGCGACACCACAGATATCAACACCAAAGCATCAGGTTCCTTCCACGCCCGATATGCGATTACAGGAGGTCTCTGCTTTCAGCCCGGACACTCCATTAGAGATATCAGATGGTACTCATGTCCCCCGTAGTGCAAATCCATCGGCAAACGACCTACAGGATGACAAATACACCGATTCAATCTCTTTACATTCGGAACCAGCCAGTGGAATAGTCGTATACGACAAATTGGTTCTAAGAGAAGGACCATCCTTTTCGCCACCCAAACCAAAACTTGCGCTGGCAGCCAATTCTTCCCCAAGGTCTTATGCCTCACCCTCACGATCATCCAACATGTCGGAGAAAGAGGAGCGATGGTGGTGGGACCTGGAATGGACCATCGAACAGCTCGAACAATCCGTGAAAGACTTCCCGCGAAACATGCTCAAACTGACATCACCTGTAATCATGTTCCTTCGCCAAAACAACGAAAAGGCACTCATACGTCCGTTTCGTAAGATATTTCCCGAGGTTAAGGAGAGCCTGCTCGACTGCCTCTGCGCTGTCTTGATTGCACGCAACCACCTCGTATCATTACCGTCTAGCAGTCGAGGAGTGAGCAACTCATCGCATCGGTCGGCCTTTTCCCGCCTGGATACAGTCCCGGAAAGAGCATATGCAGCCACGGCCGTGCAATTTTCTCCGGGGTCACCCTCGTCTATCAAAGACCGTTTTCTGGGGCCTCGGACTGCAGAACTACGTACCGACCTTGACCGAATCGTGGACAACCTACTGTTTGCTATATGTGGCCGGTCTGATGAAATTCTGAAGTCTGCTGTGCTTGTTCTAGCTCAAGTTCTCGAGACTAAGACATAAACGCAAGGGTCTCCCAGAGCTCCTAATTCACCCTTGTTCCTCGAATCTTTGGATCTTCTCTCTTGATTGTTAGGGCACAGTCCCTCCCTGAGGCAATCCTCCTGTTCTTGTCAGTCTCTTATGAGATTACCTTCTATGACATTTACCTCATTTCTTTCAGTCTCCCTCCGTCATTCGTTGCGAGAATTTGCGTCTTATATACCTGCTGTTTGGAATACAATGGCACCCTTTCTTTTGTGTTGCGTCCACTGTTGGTTTCTATTGCAGGGTGTGATATGGGAATATAGGCAAAAGTATAGAAAGGATACTCAATCATCTTAAAGAGTATCTAAAAGTATCTAATTCAATCAAATACCACAAACTATTGATGATAGATCTGTTGCACATGGATATAATCTGTAGGATCAATGTGGAAACCTCAGGCACAAAGTATGCCAAAGCAGGCTAGACTCGGCATCCAGTAGTCAGCATCGGAGACCAATCGTTATCTCACCGAAGTTGCTTAACTCTTTCCCGCGGAATAAGATTATTATGATGATAATGTTGGAAGGTCGATGGTAGTAATCTTCCTTCGAACTGTTCTTTCTCTGCATAACAATCAATACACTCATAATGGCTGCATCAACGAGCCATCTACGCTCTCTCTGTTCATCAACGAGATCCCTCTCTCGATCCGGGGTCATCGTCACCCCAATCGCCTGCCGGGGATATGCTACAACCGATCCCTCGCCGTCCGCCACCACTCCGACACCAGTACGCAGACGGACGACGTTCAAAGATAAACTGAACGCCGGCCCTTCCTTCTCAGATTTTGTCTCCAATGGAAACGACAATGCGCCGCTTGATCCTTCCGAGGCATACGCCCTCAAGACCGCTCTCGTCGGACCCGCCGGCCGCAAGAAGGAAATGACCCGGCTGCCGTCATGGCTGAAGACCCCCATCCCCGACTCGAAGAACTACCAGCGTCTCAAGAAGGACCTCCGCGGTCTGAATCTGCACACCGTCTGCGAAGAGGCCCGGTGTCCCAATATCTCCGACTGCTGGGGCGGCAGCGACAAGTCCTCCGCTACAGCCACCATCATGCTGATGGGTGACACCTGCACCCGCGGCTGCCGATTCTGCAGCGTCAAAACCTCGAGAGCACCCCCACCACTCGACCCGCACGAGCCGGAGAATACCGCCGAAGCGATCTCGCGCTGGGGACTCGGATACGTCGTCCTGACGAGCGTTGATCGCGACGACCTGGTGGACGGTGGCGCCAGACACTTCGCGGAGACGGTGATCAAGATCAAGCAGAAGGCCCCCAGCATCCTGGTTGAGTGTCTGACGGGTGATTACGCCGGCGACCTCGACATGGTCAAGCTGGTCGCCCGGTCTGGTCTTGATGTGTACGCGCATAACGTCGAGACGGTGGAGGCGCTGACCCCGCAGGTCCGCGACCGCCGCGCCAACTTCCAGCAGTCGCTGCGCGTCCTCGACGCCGCCAAAAAGGCCCAGCCTACGCTCATCACCAAGACTTCGCTGATGCTTGGCCTCGGCGAGACGGATGAGCAGCTCTGGGATGCGCTGCGCCAGCTGCGCGCCGTCAACGTCGACGTCGTCACCTTCGGCCAGTACATGCGCCCCACGAAGCGCCATATGGCTGTCCACGAGTACGTGACCCCGGACCGGTTCGAGTTGTGGCGCCAGCGTGCGCTCGAGATGGGCTTCCTGTACTGCGCGTCGGGGCCCCTGGTCCGGAGCAGCTACAAGGCCGGTGAGGCGTTCATCGAGAATGTGCTGAAGAAGAGACGCGCGGCTTCGGGCGGTGCTGAGACAATCGGAGAGCGTCCCGTTGCTGTGGACGAGGCGTCGCGTTGATTGTTTTTTAAAGTATTATTTGTGTTCTGTGATTCGCTTCTCATGTTCTTTGTTGGCGTAACTGGGCAGTCATTGGCATTTTTACTTGGGGTTTGAACATCGTTGCTGCAGCTTTTCTCTCTTTTGGAGTGTATCATAAAGATAGATCTATGGTCGTTATACGGCCGTCAAATGGACAAGGATCGTCCATGGCAGTGGGAGTGTGTAGAAAGCCAATACACAAATCAACGTCCTGTATATGCTAAGGGGTATTCGTGACATTTCATGCATATCTACCAACCAATCCTGCACGCACCCCTACGCCCGCATGAGATGCTATGTTCCGCTCGAACGATCTCCTGTCTCAAACAAAGCCGGTATCCGAAAGGAGCATTTGAAAACAAAAAATGGAAAGAAATAAAAAAGAAAAGAAGAAGGACAAGAAAGGAGAATAGAAAAGGCCTGTGCAAAGCGATCCAAGCTGATCAGCTGACTGGAAGCAAAATCTCAGGAAAAAGTGGCTTTGAGCCATTCTTTAGTCGCCTGCTGACAGATAGTATTGGATCAGAGGCAGGTCCGCGCCAGGCGGGAGGGGAAATTCGTGTACTTTCCTCTCGACCAGACAAAAATCCAGATAAGAACGATATGTACCAGTGGCCCACATACAGAAGCTGTGGAGTGGGAAAACAAGGTTCTCTACAACGCCGCAGATGGCCCTCAAGCATCTTCGGCAATCAGCTCCTTGATATCTTCCCGGGTCAAACCAAAGAGATAAAGGATGTCATCCATGCTCTCGCCATTCAGACGAGTGGGAGCCTCGAGCTGAACCTTGGTCTTGGCGCGCCAGGCAACTCCCAGACCAGCAGCGTGGAGCATGAGAAGGTCGTTGGCGCCATCGCCGACGGAAACTACTTGGGAGATGGGGATACCGTTGTCTGCGGCAAGGGACTTGAGGAGCTCGCGCTTCTTGCTCGCATCAATAATGGGGTAGGTGGGAACAAGTTTGCCAGTCAGAGTTTGCGATGCCGCATCAACTTCGAGCTACGGTTGGAAAAGATAATTAGTACGTGATGCGCTTTATGAAGGATGACACAATGCAGTAGGGGAGCTCACATGATTGGCGAATGCATAATCAATGCCGAGCTGCTCAGCAAGCCACTCTGCAAGAGGTTGGAAACCCCCACTCAGAACCGCGAGCTTGCAGCCTAGCTTCTTCAGAGCCCTGCACAGTTCGCGAGCGCCGGGTGAAATGGTGATAACCGACTTCAATTTCTCAAAGACATCGGCCGGAACGCCCTTCAGCAGACCAACTCGTTCCCTAAGCGATGCGGAGAAGTCAAGTTCTCCATTCATGGCCCGCTCCGTAATGTCCTGAACCTCATAATTAGCAATGCGAAACGGGAGACAAAGGCCTAGCCACACCCACCGAAACTTCCTTCTCGACACCAATGAACTTAGCGATCTCGTCGATCACTTCATTCTGAATAAGAGTGCTGTCCATGTCGAAGACAACAAGACGCTTGTGCCGACGGAAGACGCTCTCCTTCTGGAGGACGACCTCCACATTCCATTCACGCTCGAACCGCCAGATGCTCTCGTGTTTGCGGAGGTCTCCAAAGCTGAGATACTCGGGGTTAGGGGGCGGCGAAAGAGTAACCTCCACAACGCGCGGCTGATCATCCTTATCCAAGCAACGATGAGAAGTGTTCATGCGCTGGTAAGGAGTCGATAGAGATTCAATGATCTGAAGGAAGTTGGTTAAACACAACTGAGAGACAAACGGGCCATAGAGATGATCAAGCGGTTCGGGCTCGGGCGCTGGAGGTTCGCGCGGGATCTTCTCCATGTCAATCGTCGGGGCCGATCCCACAGGGACCGTGGGAGATGGGAGGTTATTCGCATTTAGCGATGAATCAGGGTGGAGGTGAGGATGGACGGGGTTGGCGGATTTGTAAAAGAGGGTCGCGACCAGCTTCGAGGTTCCGGTAGATAGCGGATTCGTCTGTTGATTGAAGATGGTATGTATGATGCCGCTCTCAGTGACATTCTCGGGATCGGGGCTCATGGAGTTGAGATGGAGATTGGACAGCGAGGCCAGGAGGGACTCGCGCGAAACTCCCAAGACATCCTCGATATTCTGGGTCACGGGAACCGGGGGCTTGTATTGCTGATGGTCCTGAATAAAAGAGTTGCTCGACAGAGACTGTCGCAGAATGGGACGCGCTGGACGTGGAGCGGGGTTAGGTGCTGCCATTGTGCTGAAACGTCGGACAAGATTTTTGATGAGGGACACAATAAGGTATCAGGCTAAGCAAGGAGATATGGCGCTGGCCTTGGACGGTCAACCGATACCGGTCGTCGTAAAAGCTATCCTCAGAGGACTGAAGACACGAGATATCCCAAGGCGGGGGCAGCCCAAGACAGAAAATTGATGATGATGATGATGATGATGATGGCGGCCAGTGAGCAGTAAATTCCCCTGCATCGATCGGCGAGTGAGCGGCACGTGGTGGGGTTGTCCCAAGCAGGAAAGGCGGAAGATATCACGTGCATTGGGGCTCTTGCATCCTGGGTTTGACCGCCAGGCAGAAACTCCACAAACTCTGATCAAGAAGAACTACGCGATACGCATACAGATTACACAAGAAGCATGTTGTTGACGGCTTCCGAAGAGGCATGATACACCCCGCGAAGATGTTGCCGGTGGGGGTGTATCATGCTTACAATTCAGTGACGTGTAAGACACTTTCTGCTGATTGCTACGTCCTTGCTAACTAGTTAATACCCAGTAGTAGAGACTAGAGGGTGATCTTGAACCAAGCGGAGCCTGGTCACTGCGGGCTCATCCGAAGTACTGGGAGCAGATTGGCGTCGGACATATGCTTCTTGCCTATTCTAGCTTGGACGAATCTTTCCAGCGACATTAATAATGTGTCTATTCTGTCGTGTTCGACGCTTGTTCCAGAAGGGCCAACAAAGAGTCAAAGCAGCGCAGCAAAATGGATGACCTAAGCCGGTGAGGGTGCGCAGAGACACCACAAATGCAGGTATTGCGTGATTTCCTCAGGACATGAGGAAATTGAATTTTTCAGCAATGCCTCTCGAATGAGAAGGCGGTCACAGCCAATGTCGTGATCGAGCACCGGCAGAATCAATCAGCAATGGCTCAAGTATGAGAACATCGAGAGGAGAACAGGATCCCGTGCCCGGATGATGTCGTGATCCCCCCCCTTGTCTGCCTCTCTTCTATATCAGTCTAGCTGTTTGGCATCTCTGTCCTTGTCCTTCAACGGTCCTCCCAGTCTTGGATTTGTCGTTTCTCTTTCGTCATACATCTGTATTCCAGTCTAGATCTACTACAAAAGCATTCATTCATACAGTCTTGTTGGACTCGTCCTCGTGTGTTGGTTGTCATCTCTTCTTCTAAGTCCCAAACCCACCAAGTCAAGATGCCTGCGAAGCTGCCTTCCAACTACCCCTCCGACTCAGAGGCGGCTATTGATTCCAGAGACCTCCAGACCGAGTCTGGCTATGTCAGTGGAGATTCGAGTGATGTTTATACGCCAGAGATCATTTTCACGAAGACGCACCTGCAGTTTCTGAACAGACAACTCCAGTTCCTCGAGCCTCAAGGTTCGTATTCAAGGCTCAATTGAGTAGGGACATCCTCGCTAATACAGGGTAGAAATCTTGAGATGGTGCATCACTTCCCTTCCTCACCTCTTCCAGACCACGGCCTTTGGGCTGACTGGTCTGGTCACCCTCGACATGCTCTCCAAGCTCAAGGTGCCTCGCCCACAGATGGTCGATCTGATCTTCCTGGACACTCTGCACCACTTCCCAGAAACCTTGGCTCTTGTTGACCGTGTCCGCAAGAGGTATCCTCTCAACAACATCCACATCTACAAGCCTGCCGGCGTCGAGAGTGAAGAGGAGTTCTCCAAGAAGTATGGAGCCAAGTTGTGGGAGACTGATGACCAGTTCTACGACTGGGTTGCCAAGGTTGAACCAGCCCAGCGCGCCTACCGTGAACTCAACGTTCATGCTGTCCTCACTGGACGCCGCCGCAGTCAGGGTGGCAAGCGTGGTGATCTCGATGTGATTGAGGTCGACGAGGCTGGTCTGATCAAGGTCAACCCTCTAGCCAACTGGAACTTTGAGCAAGTTAAGCAGTATGTCCAGGAGAACGATGTTCCCTACAATGAACTGCTGGACCGTGGCTACAAGAGCATCGGTGACTGGCACTCCACCCAGCCCGTCAAGGAGAACGAAGATGAGAGATCCGGTCGCTGGAAGGGTCAGGCCAAGACCGAGTGTGGCATCCACAACCCTCGCTCCAAGTACGCCCAATATCTGATGGAATTGGAGCGTCAGCGGCAGGAGGAGGCTTTATCGCAGGCGCTGCAGACTCAGCTCGCCGTCGGTTCGGAGTAGACTACTTTCCTTGTCTTCGTCTGTTTGTGATTTGCATCTACATTGGCGTTACATGGGGGGTTTTCTACTTTGAGCGGCGTTTACACACAACATTGTGATATCACTTGTCTTCTTATCTCCGAGCCTTTGAGCCGAGGGATTTATGCCGCTATGATCCGGGTTTTATTATTTTCGATGGTGGTTTAATGTGTTTTAAAAGCTTCATGCCAGATCCTCAACACCTTCGGTGGATTTTCTATTTGTACATAGCGAGGACTGGTATGGGGCATAGGATGGCTGAGGGTCAATCCATGATAATGATTAGTATGATAGACAATGATTCTTCTAAGCAACCTTTTGAAAGGATGAAGCAGTCCTACTTTGTCGTTTGTCTTGTATTATCATTGTGCTCTAGATACTGTAGGTGTGTGAGAGGCCTTGGTCTGTGCGGGGTCAAAGCGCAGCTACATGTTCCTGAGTAGCGAGAACTACTACGGAGTACTCTGTCCATGACAACCCACCCACACATTCCCTGTGGCTGAACTCACCCGTCTTTTTGAAGATCCAATTCTGAACATCGAGATTTGAGATTTGAGATTGAAGGTTCCCGCCATGACTCTACTTCCCCTCCACCTCCTCCTCCTCGTTTCATCCGACAGCGCCGGTCTCTACGAGCTGCCAAGCAGCAGACCGTAAGCGGTATGACTCCATACGCAAGTAAAGTCGCATCATCTGGTCAGGCCCGAGTATGGATAAGTCGACTCCCGGGGGGGGGGGTGCGTGATAGCTCACAGAGCGTTATCACTGCCGTAGTTCTCCCTGGGCCTGCAAGCCGGAGACTGGGCCAGTGTGAACCATTGGTTTAACATCATCCATATCACATCCTACCGTACCCCGAAGACAGTAGGGAATGGGAGCGTGACTCAGGCCAGGGATTTTGGTCCCGTGGACGCGGAGGCCGAGACTGGTTGGCATGGGTTTGCATCTTTGGGGGGGGGTTGAGTGAGGTGCGATTGCGTGCTAGATCTAATCTTATCAATCTAATCTCTGGGGAACGATGGGGGTGTTTGCTTCCTGCTGTGTAGTGTGCACTGTTGCACTGCTGGTAGAAATCGGACAGGGGATTCAAGTATTGTCAAACTCGATGGCTATGGGTCACTGTCATGGTGAGATGCAGATTCATGGATTCTGGAACGAAGCTGTTGAGTGTAACGCAAGTGTTGAACGCTGGTTGTTGTCTGCTTCAAGCGTTCCTTGACGCATACTTCATCAATTATCACTGTTACAGGTAGACCCTCGTTCCGAATTGACACAATGCCTCTGGCGGCAATAACTTTTACTTCATATGCATCTTTCAACAGCAGTGATGGGGGATTTGACCCTCGATGTACTCTTCGACGCTGAAGAACTGCCCCGGAGATAGGGCTGAATGAACCACGTGATCCCAAGGCGTCAATGCTGACAAAGCGACAGAAGAATCACGCAAGCGATGCGGAGAATGTCGTGATGGGCAGTGGGTCGTCTGATAGGCTTATCGGCGTCAACATGTGGCGTTTCAGGTGCAGAAGTAGTCTAGACTCTAGACTGATGCATGAAGTTTGGTAGTCAGATGGATGGATCATGTATCTCCGGAGTACGGAGTACTAAGTTAGTTCTATCAGATCTGATGGTTCTATATCGTTTCAATTTTCAAGTCCTTTGTAGAAGAGCAGATAGAGAGAGAGAGTCGATACTTGACAGTAGTGTACCATCAGGCAACGTAAAGAGCCACATAGTCGGCCGTTCTTGATATCCGCCTCTGAATTTCCACTTCCCCTGAAAATCATGGCTCGTTCTGGGGACTGCTGATGATTTCAGGAGGAGCCTTGTCGGAGGAGCACAACTGCACAAGAACTGATTTATTCTTGACTTTTGTGATATCAAGCTCCGAAATGATGAACCCTCCGGATTACGCAGAGCGCTGTCAGGCAGTCAGATATATTACCTATGCTGGATGTACTGTACGGTTGTAATGCTGTGTAACACTGCAAGTAAGGACTTTGGAGTATGACTACTCTGTACTCCGTACTAGTTACAGAAAGCATGGCATCGGCGACTTCAGTGTCAGCAAGAACAACAACAGCAACAACAACGCTGAACTCCCATACTCCTGTCCGTTTGATGAGAGAGTTTACCTGTCCTTCTTGACATGTTAATCATGAACTCGCTGGTGACCAGAAAATCACCATCAGGGGCCAGGGAGGAAATCATAGCCATATGTAGTAGCATAGTACCATAGAACTCCCGCCCATATTCCATAGTTGAAGCCTACGAGCGTCTGCTCCACTATGGGGATTTCTTGGGATGGATTCATTGCGCATTCTCATTAGTTACCGGTGCTGCGAGTTATTGTCTACGTAGTACTACGGTGTACAACTCAAGACTTGAGCAGAAGAAGAAGAAGAAGAAGAATAACAATAATAATAATAATCAAGGAAATTGATCCAAGGAGAGAGAATAACTAAATGAAATAAATAATAAAAAGACTGTCTGGTCCCTGACTTCCATTCAGTCTTTCTGCCAACCTTTTTTTTTTCTTCCTCTTTCCCCTCACAACACCTCTCTCTCTCTCTCTCTCTCTCTCTCTCCTTCTTCCTCTCCCCCTCCATACTATTTATTCTACTCTCGCTCCTTTACATTTTACCTCTCTGTGCAATTACCTCTTCCTTCTTCCTTCTTCACCTCTCCCTTATCCCTCACACCTCTCACATAATGTCCAACCCTCCTCATGGTGGTGTCCTCAAGGACCTACTCGCCCGCGATGCCCCCCGCCATGACCAGCTTGAGACTGAGGCCGAGCAGCTGCCTGCTATCGTCCTCACCGAGCGTCAGCTTTGCGATCTCGAATTGATTATGAATGGAGGTTTCAGTCCTCTGGAGGGTGAGTCCTTAATCTCTTCCCAACTCTTTGGTGTTTCTTACTGCATACGTGCATGAGCACGGGCACTCCGCTATCCTCGGCGATATCGGAACGAGGGGTAAATTTGTATGGGAACTTTTTTTGCTGACGTTGATTGATTCTCCCTTGTAGGTTTCATGAACCAGAAAGACTATGACAAGTATGCATTGGACTCTCTCTCTCTCTCTCTCTCTTTCAGACCGACCGATTTCCAAAGACTAATCCATACTGACTGTGATTTTCCACGATCAGCGTCTGCGAAAATGTCCGTCTCGCCGACGGTAACCTGTTCTCTATGCCCATCACCCTCGACGTCTCCAAGGCCGTTATCGATGAGAGCCAGCTCAAGGCCGGCTCCCGTGTCACTCTCCGCGACTTCAGAGACGATCGCAATCTGGCCATCCTGACCATTGACGACATCTACCGTCCGGACAAGTAAGTTTATTTCCTGAAGTTTCTTGGCATTTGCCGATCCTGTCTTTCACTTTGCCCCGAATGTGGTTTCAAATATGCAATGGGCGTCTATCTGGAACAGGATTTGCATGGTCAACGGACCAATCTACCACGTCCATTTCTCCCCAATTTCCCGGCGATCCTGTGCACGAAGTGGACTCTGGCTGACAACCCTCTCTTCTTGTCTTCCATAGGGCTCGGGAAGCTAAGCTCGTCTTCGGTGGTGATAAGGAGCACCCTGCCATCAAGTTCCTCAACAACACCGTCCAGGAGTTCTACATTGGTGGAAAAGTCGAGGCCATCAACAAGCTCAACCACTACGACTATGTCGCTCTCCGCTGTATGTTCTTTGCGCTCGGATTCATTGTACTGGAAGGAAAAATACTGATGCGCTCAATCCCAGACACCCCCGCGGAACTCCGGGTTCACTTCGACAAGCTCGGCTGGTCCCGAGTTGTCGCTTTCCAGACCAGGTAATTTTTTTTTTCTTGTGCTTGATCAGTTCGAATACTCGGAACGAAAACTAATTCGCAAAAGAAACCCCATGCACAGAGCTCACCGTGAGCTGACCGTCCGTGCTGCGCGCGCTCGTCAGGCTAATGTCCTCATCCACCCCGTCGTCGGTCTGACCAAGCCCGGTGACATCGACCACTTCACCCGTGTCCGCGCCTACCAGGCTCTCCTTCCCCGCTACCCCAACGGAATGGCCGTTCTTGGTCTCCTTGGCCTGGCCATGCGTATGGGTGGTCCCCGTGAGGCCATCTGGCACGCCATCATCCGCAAGAACCACGGTGCTACCCACTTCATCGTTGGCCGTGACCACGCTGGTCCCGGTAAGAACTCCAAGGGCGAGGAGTTCTACGGCCCCTATGATGCCCAGCACGCTGTTGAGAAGTACAGAGAGGAGCTCGGTATCGAGGTCGTTGAGTTCCAGCAGGTCACTTACCTGCCCGACACCGACGAATACAAGCCCAAGGACGAGGTCCCCGCTGGCGTTAAGACCCTCGACATCTCCGGTACTGAGCTACGCAACCGTCTGCGCACCGGTGCCCCCATTCCTGAGTGGTTCTCTTACCCCGAGGTTGTCAAGATCCTCCGTGAATCTAGCCGCCCTCGCTCGACACAGGGTTTCACCATCTTCCTGACCGGTTACATGAACTCCGGCAAGGACGCCATCGCCCGTGCCCTCCAGGTTACCCTGAACCAGCAGGGCGGTCGCTCCGTCTCCCTTCTGCTCGGTGATACCGTTCGCCACGAGCTCTCCTCCGAGCTGGGCTTCAGCCGTGAGGACCGCCACACCAACGTCCAGCGCATTGCCTTTGTCGCCGGGGAGCTGACCCGCGCCGGTGCCGCCGTCATCGCTGCCCCCATCGCCCCTTACGAGGAGTCCCGCAACGCGGCCCGCGACGCCGTCACCCAGGGCGGTGGCAACTTCTTCCTCGTCCACGTCGCTACTCCCCTCGAGTACTGCGAGAAGACCGACAAGCGTGGCATCTACGCCAAGGCTCGCCGGGGTGAGATTAAGGGCTTCACCGGTGTCGATGACCCCTATGAGACTCCCTCCAACGCTCATCTCACCGTCGATGTCTCGAAGCAGACCGTTCGCAGCATCGTACATGAGATCATCCTCATGTTGGAGACCGAGGGTTTCTTTGATCGTGCTTAAAGTAGCGTAGGCGCTTTGGAAACATTGTATTTTGATACCATGGGGATTGAATCAAATCTCTGCTTCAGATAAAATCTGTTATAGATAGTCCTGCTTTTATGTTCAATTGAAGCCTGATTTCTTGCACATTCATGAATTGCGACCAGAAGAAACGACATGAGCCATCCTTTGTAGAACTTGTCATTTAACTCCGTACCACCACGTGACATTCATCTCGGAACGACCGATGCAAACAGCACAAACATTACCTTGATCTCAGCTTCTCCAGCATCAAATTGGTCGTGATCTCCGAGCTCAAGGTCTCAACCATCAATACAACTCACATAGCATGCTGCCACCTCGGATTTCTGCTGGTCGAATACCGGCAGTTGGCCGGCCATTTCTGCCTCCCAGCAGCCATGGCCTGCGCCACCAATTCCGTCCCTTCACCCAGCGCTCCCGACTTCTGCTTCTCTCCCCGCCCTTGGGCCGGCCCCAGCTGCCCTTCCTCTCGCCTCTTTCCAGCAGCCGTGCACTCCCACCCCTATCAATCCATCTCCGGCAGCATTTTGCCCGCTTGATCTCGACTGAGCGCCGAGATTACTACAAGCGCCGTCTGTCACGGGGCCTGCGCATCGGCCTGACCTTCTACGCCATGCTCGTGCTGTTCCAGGTGATCCGACTCGGCGTCTATCAGGAGGAGATCGAGCACCAGTGGCCGACGCCGTCGGAGTGGACGTGGAAGAGCCGCTGGTGTTTGCGGTCGGCGCAGGCGCTGCAGAACCCCGAGCAGATCGGCAAGCTCATGACCAACTGGCCCATGGTCGCTGGGTATCTGCGGGAACTACTGGAGCGGCTGGAGAACCCCGAGGGCGAGGGACGGGGGATCCAGGAACAAGGGGATGGCGGGTTCTTGGTGGAAGGCGTAGGCAAGACCGGGTTCGACATCGAGGCGAAGAGTGAGCCGTGGCGGAGGGGGTACCACCGGGCGCTTATGGGCGCGGCCAAGGCGGCGGAGAACCTCGAAGGGTGGTTGACGGATCGGAAGCAGCGCATTTCTGCGCCTGCGGAGTATGTGGCTGGTCCGTCGAACCCGCGGCCGAAGCCGATGCCTGCGGGTCAGAAGCAGGTGCCGCATGAGGAGGACTGCGAGCCGGCGTCGCCGAGTCCCGAGGTGTTTTATATGAAGATCCTGACGACAAAGGGGTTTGATACGAGGCAGAAGCTGGATGCGGCGCTTGCGTATGCGGACTGGCTGGATTACAAGGGTCTGCAGGCCACCGCTCGGGATATGTATGCGTGGGCCATGGATATCGCCGCCGCAGGATCCCCTCTGGATGCGAGCCAGGTGGTCGACGTGAAGACGGGCGTCCTGAAGAATGACGGACGGACCCTGCCGTCTGAGAACATCCTTCGTGTGTCTACTGCGTTGGCGGTCCACCACGCCCGGCAGGGCAACCTCCCCTCCGCCCTGTCCATCTTCACCTCCGTCCTCAAGGCTCGCCGCTCCCTTCCCCCTCCTTCACCCGACGATACACCATTCGTGCTCCCATCACCCCCGAAATCAACCAGAGACCCCTTCGTCGCGTTCTTCAACGCCATCAAAACCATGCTCGTCCCTGCCGAGTACCCCCCACCCCCGCCATCCGGCGACGCGCCTCCCCTCCGCACCCCGACCTCCGCCTGCGAAGAAGCCGGCCTCATGACCTACATCGGCGAGATCATCTACGCCTCCTCCTCCAAGGAAACAGGCCTGGCCTGGACCCGCGACGCCGTCGACACAGCCGAAGCCACCATCCTCGAGCTCGGCACCTCGGAGGACCGCAACCCGCACCACCGCTGCGCCGAGTGTCTCCGCGTCGGCCTCGAGAACTGGAAGACCATGGTCTCGAAGCTGATCGCGCAGTCCGAGCGCGCCGAGCGCGAGAGCATCGAGAGCGCCAAACATGCCTGGTTCGGCGGCCAGAAGCGCGTGGAGGCGTCGGCGCTTGAGAAGAGGCGGTGGGAGGCGGAGCAGATCCTCCTCGACGACCGGATCAAGAGGCTTTGGCCCATTATCGATGGCGAGTCGGCTTTTGAGGGCATTGCGCCGAACAGTTCGCTGTTTGTGTAGTTTGTCCCTTTCTTTTCGCGTTTGTTTGGTGGAATCGGGTGCGCGGATCGTTATACCATGGCGTCTAGGCGGGTTTGTCGATTACATCAAAAGGGGCTGTTTCGTGTATATATATATATATTTTTTTTTTTCAAAATTGTATGTACACTATTGTAATCTCGCATATGGATGATTTCTACTTTGTAATAGAACCTCGGCCTACTCCACGATTACGTTCGAACCCCCGGAGGAAACAGCGTCTCCATTGATTTCGCAAATCTCAACAGCAACGGTATCTCAAACAGACCAACTCGCAAGAGGAGTATCTCCAAGACCAACATTATATACAAGGCGAAGGACAGCTCGAAACGAGCTTCTAGATCCACAAAACGCATTACCACATAACACGACACGAGACAATAACACAGTACACAACCCGCGACTTTTTCCACAGATCGGATTCAAAAAAAACAACACCAAAAGATATACGACGAGAGTTGCGATCTACTTCCCCCCCACGACCGTGCCATTCGGCATCGTAATGGTGAACTCGTCAAAGTTGAGCGTGAAATTGCCCTGGACGCCCGCGGCGCTGAGGTCGACGGCGTACGTCCCCGTCTTCGACGCGTGCGGCTTGGCCAGGTACGCCTCGATGCTCTCCTCGGATTGCATGGCGGCCTTGAGCGTAGCGGTCTTCTCGAATATGTACAGCACCGCGACGCGGGCGAAGTCGAGGGCGCGGCCGGGGACGGCCACGGGGGTTGGGGTGGCCGTGGCCGTGGCCGTGGCCGTGGCCGTGACCGTTGGGGACGGTGAGGTCTGGATGGCGTAGTTGGTGGACGTGTCGGTTGCCGTTGCCGTTGGTGCGGCTGTGGAGGGTTGGCTGGTGAAGGAGTCGTCGAAGACGATGCCGTTCACGGTGCCCATGGAGCCTCGGGCGGCGAGGGTGTGCGTGGGGGTGTCGAGCGTTGGTGCTGTGGCCGTAACCGTCGCTGTGGATTGCAATTGCGGCTGCAGATGCAGGTCCAGGATGAAGTTGGCGTCACGGCGGGTGTTGCTCGAGGACGACGCGATGCTCTTGAAGGCAACGAGCGCGTTTTCGGTCGTGCAGGACACGTTGTTCTGGCTGAACAGGGCCATGATGGTGAGCGACTCCAGCGGGATGCTGAAGTTGCTGCTGGACTGCTCGAACAGGCGCGGGAGATTGCTGCCCATCGTCGCATTCTTGGACGTCGAGCCCTGGTAGACCGCGGTCGTGACGCAACTTGGGTCGCCGGCCACGGTGCAGCGCGAGCCCGTGAAGCCGTTGGCGCAGACGCATGAGCAGATGTCTCCGCTGGAAACGCTGACGCCGCCGTTCTCGCACGGGGTGGTCTGTTCGCACACTGAGAGGCTGTTGCTGCCGCTGGACTTGTGGCGGGGGACTAGAACGAGGAAAACGGGGATGAGGACCGCGACGAGGATGATGGCAATGAGTATGATGCAAACGAGCATGAAGAGCCACGGGGGCATACCGCAACAACGGCGCGAGGGCTGCTGGCCGCTCTCCTCCCCGGCTTCGAGACCCGTTTCGTGGGATCGCAACTGCTGCATTGGCGCCCTCCGAAAGAAGTCTGGCCAGGAAGCGCGTACCTCTGGTGTTCCTGCTGGTGGAGGGAATGAGGCGAGGAGATCCTTGATAGATCCGGATTTGCGACCTTGGTGACCTGCTCATGAGAAAAATTAGTTCAGCTGAGCTTTACCGGTTTTTTTATGCAATAATACTCACCTTGACCTGCAAATCGACTTCCACCGTTGAGTAGGTCGTTCCTACTTGCCGTTCTCCCATGTTCAAGGTTCGAAGCGAGCCGAGTCGCCCGTCGAATCAGGTCAGGCAAGCTTGTTAGGCTACCTCGGGCTTCTGCTGCCCGAACAGCTCTCATGTCGAGACGTGGCGGTTTGCGGCCTCCTGGCCGTTTATCACTCATTGTTGGCGCAGCTCTGGGGAGGATTCCTAACTCCTTCTGCAGAGCATCCATATCATCGTCCGCGTCTTTGTATGCTGGATGCTGGTTGTGAAGATCCACTACAATTGGTGGTTTCTCAGGGTCGAGTTCGGAGGAGTCGGTCGATATTGAAGAGAGAGAATGTCTTGCGCCCTTTGATTCCACTGTGATCTTCGGTATGACGACCTCGGTCGTGGAAGATTGTTCTTGCTGAAGCACCGAAGGCGGGCTGCTGGGCTTCTGGATCGTCCGAAGCGAGGGCCTTCCCATTTTCCCAAGACTGGCCTGTCTGAGAATCATTCCATCTTTTGCTGGTGCAGGGGATGTCGGGGTGCGGCTGCCGTCTGACTCGATATCGAGGTACGCATCGAGGATATCGGACCCTGCTGGTGCTGAGCCCCAACTGGACGGGATAGCCCTGCTAAATGCATATGACCCGTTCACAATCGTTGGACTGTCGGCAAGCTCCTCGGGAATGGGCGACGCGGACGATTTACGCTTGGTAGGGAATTTCGTGGCATTCGGGGGGGCAAGTCGTCCTTGCGATGAGATTTGGGCGGAATTATGCTCCGCTGGGGTCGGCTGCACTGGAAAAGGGAAGTCGGGGATAGAAGGAATGGAGACGAAAGACGAAGCTGTGGATTGTCTGAACATGTCGTCAGGCGGTCCAGACATCGAATTCGCCGCACTATCTGGTCGAGAAAGAGGAAGGGCTCCTGTGAACGGCGGACGAACGGGCGGCTGCGCATGTAGTGAAGGATGCGAAAATGAGGCAACGGGCCGGTTGAGATGCAGTGGACTGGGCGCTACATCCGACATGCCTCGCTCAGAATAGACGGACGGGGATGGAGCATCCGGTCGTGGTGGTCGTTCTGGTAGAGGACCTCTAGGAAGAAACCGCCTGGCTTGTGCATCAGCAACATTAAAAGGCAAGCCATCATCAGTGGGTAAAGGCCAGTGTGTCATATGAGACGACTTCGCCTGGAATCTTGGAGGTGGGCCCGAGGGAGTACCCTGAAGTTGGGGAATCGCGACCTGCGGACGTCGGCCAGCCTCCAACATCTGTCGTGCTCGTTTGACGGAGCCTTCTCTTCCGGGCCCAAGAGTCTCTGAATTGGGGTCGGGGCCCGCGTTGTTGCGTGAGCTGGAATCCATGTTCGTGAGTATGGCGCGGTCTTGGATTTGATGGCAGTTATAAGTTATGCTCCTGCAGTAGTTGCCTTTTCAAGCCTACTCTTGCCAGCGACCAGGCTGGATACGACCCAAATGGCTGAGATAAAAGAATGAGATGATCGCCTAACAGGCGCGCAAAAAAATGGATATGAGGAACAAATGCCAGCTCGACTCTTATGTCGAGAATGAACGTATTGTCAAGCGAGTGTAGGACGATCAGCTGTTGGTGAGCTGCAGGTCCCAGTTAGAAGGATTGACTGGAGCTTTGGGCACCAAGCTTGAGTCGAGAGAAAGAGGTGTGAAAAGCAAGATGGGCAGTCAATGCCTCTGCTAGGAAAAGATGATTGAATGAGTCAATGACACTCGGCGAACCCATCATGTTCACCCCTACATAGGGGAAGGCATACCGAAGTTCAAAGGAATCAGATATGTAAAGACAGAAGAAAATACTCAAAATCGTCGATTGCACACGATCACGCGGTATCAGAAATGGAATCCCTCAGCAGAAACTCTGACCATCCATTGTTCTAAGCCCCTGAGACAGCGACGTTAGCGAGCATACATCTCTCTTTGGGAAGACATTCAAAGCACAGACTTACAGGTGCATTGTGAGAATCATATGACTACTAAAGACAGAGCATCAAGCTCTTTGAACAGACAAAGGAATGACAATAATGGTTGAAAGAGAACACATTCATCCCCAATTGTCGTAAGATGGAAGCGTCGTCCAAAGTCTGAATATCTTAACCTGGGTGGATAAGGTGGCAGGGTCTACCAGCGACCCGAAATTGCTCTGCACCAGGAACAGATGTAAGTCTGGTAGATTAGATTGCTTCCAGTATCATCTCCGTCCACATGATTATCTGGGTATTCAAGGAGCAGAGCACTAACTCAAGGAAGCGGAAGGGGTGTAGAATCAGGCTGTTTTGGTCCTTTTGGAGCCGGTCCAATCCTCATCACGTGGAGTTTGATACTAGGAGAATTTTTGATATCGGCTAGCGCGATGAGCCCCTGCCTTTAGCGCCTGGTACAAAGTCCTAGTTTCCTAGATATACTAAGACTTGGGTACGGAGTAGCATCGGCGTGATATTGCAGAAGTGTTGTGCCACCAGGCCATCGTACCAGCCTCTCCCTGTACATATGCAGGCTGCAGACCCGGAAATCCTGCCATGCGCATTTTGATTAGAGCATCATGATCCTCTCTGATCTCGAATAACGCGTAATAACTCATCTGGTGTTTCCCATTCTTTCCAGAACTCACTCCTCTTAGGGGGTGACAGAGGATGAAAGATTCTGAGCAAACTTTCCTCTTGAAACACAAGAAACAGGTAGGAAGGTTGGACTGTGAGTCTGTGACAGGTGGAAAACAGACGAAGATAGGAGATTGGCTGGATTCCTTCACTCGTATATATTCATCCCACGGATCTCGAGGATTATTGGCCCAGTGGAGAGGCCGAGAGACACTAAATGGATTTGTAGCTGTCTAGTCGACGCTACGTCTCATCCTAAGCAATTGGTGCATGGTTTAGATAGCGAGCGGCGCATTTTCACTTGAAACCGACTCAAACTATGCTTCCCGTGTGTCTGCTCCACTCTCTTCTTGTGGACAGCCTGAAGCTGACTACAAATGCGAGCGAGCCGCGAGGACGAGGTGGTTGGCGCGCATCTTTCAACGTCAATGCCCGTTTTTTTTCGTGCTAGGTACATGATCCTGCACGGTGTCAGCAAAGATCTGCAAGATTCAGATTAGACGCAAACAATAGAAAGACCCATCTTCCATACTGATATTCAGAGATAAGTGAAAAGGGGATCTCGGTCAATTATTGCACTTGGAAGCGGTCGTTTCGGGTCGGAGTCCTCGGTCTTAACGCCATCGTCCCTCATATCTACATAGTAATGCTCAGGGTAAACGGGCATTGACTATTGACAGGCTAGCTGGTTAGTATCTAAACCATACAGCATTAATCAAGAGGAGAAGAAGATTCACTAGAAGGAAAAAATAGTAACACATCGGATTCTTCCGTGACAATTGCGGAGGGGAAACCAAGAAACCAAGTGAGACATCAATATCTGTCGGTGTCGCCAAAGTCGTTACCAGGGAGTCAGGAAGTCAAGGGACAGATGCACTTCTCCAATTCAAGATCAATTCTCATTCGTATATCCCAACACTCAAGTCGACTAGATAGATATCCATTGCGATTGCTTCCCTTTATTGTGCAGCTTTCTAGTTATTTAGTCACTATCCAATGGTCCTCCACCACATCTCTTGGCCCATACTCGCGGTTTTTCTCCAAGTTGAAGCACTTGAAGTGGCTTCTGCCAGTCAGCCACCTGATGATCATGCTCATATCTCCGGCAGGTTGGTTGGATCTCCCCTGAATTGATTGCCTTCGATTGAAGTTCTAGATGTGCCTCCGAACTTATCACCTTCCTGCTTAGACTGCTTGTAGTGCGGCCGTGCCAGCTCTCTTTGCAATCGTATCTCATGAGAGATACTGAATCTTATCTTGGAGGCGGTGGCAGTGAGTCTTGGTCTTTGATATAGTCTACAGAGGGCGGTCCACCTTGTGTCTCACGTAGTCTGGTCGGACCGCAACACGCATGTGGAGAGTCTGATGGTGAATAAGAGCAAGCACAAAATAAAGGCTACTAGCTTGCATCATTGAGGTATGCTTGACCTAACTCGCTTCGCAGACGCTCTACCTCCCTTTCCACGGACTGCATCTGCACAACAACACTCGCCAATTCAGGCAAGCATTGGTCTACAGCCTCCGTGAAAGAGGCTTGGGCGCTGCGAAGAGAAGGGGGCACCAAGACACCATACCAATGGATGGGATTAGAGAAACGAGGTCGTTCGTTGGGCATCTTCGGCTCGGGAGCTGAACTTGATTGATCTTCATCCGTGTTGTCGATTTCTGATTCGGTCTCTTGGCCGTCGTTATTGGTTTCAGACTGATGGACTGGTGGGTTGCTCGTAGCAACCTCCACGGCGAACATGTGCTCGGAACCGCCCAGCTGATGCTTGTCATCCACTTCACCACTATCCTGATACATATTGCTGTTGCCTTCATAATTAGGAAGAGATTGTATAGTCCTAGAGATGCCGCGCTCGATTAGTCCCTGCCTGTGTGCACGGGATATGAGGCCATAGAAGCTTCAGTAGCACTGTTTGGTCTTACATCTTCCGTGTCGCCTTCATACGCTCATCGTAGTAGTCGGCGCCGTATCGTCGCCCTGGCGGGCAGGTATAATTCGCATGAGCGAGAGAAAGAAACCCCTTGCCCGCATCGTCAGTTGTCTCTGGCCAATATATCTTGCTCGAACACGGGAATGGCTATACCGATGATAGCTTCTTGGCCAGCTCTACCTGCAGCTTCTGGTGTCGATCCAGCAGCTCAAGATAACGCTCTAAAAGACGGTCCAGCGATTGTATCAGCTCCGTGCATGACTCGGCCTCGGAACTCTGCTTGATCTGCGCCTCAGGCGATTCAGAGTTCTGGCGGGATGCCGGAGGAGTGAGAAGGTCGGTCATTGAAGACAGTGAGATGACAATAGCGAGAATAATGAATTCGAAATATGAAATCGCGTGAGGGAACAAACAATTTCAGCCGGATGTCAAACCTGGGTGGATATGAGGTGTTGAGATGATCTGGAGAAGCACGCAAAAGCGGCAGCCGAGTCCGATAACTCCGTCATTGCGCTTCCGGGGAAAAGCAAAAGAATTTCCCGCCCTGCGCGATTAAGGTGGATATAGTCTACGACCTCAAGTTCTCCCTCTCTTCTTTTTCTTCTCCTTTGGATGAGGAGAGTCTGCTCGACTGATATTTTTGTCTTTCGGGCTTGTGTGCGTCTTGTCTGGACGTCATCCAGCTTGCTGTCATTTCCAAACTCCGCGAACCGCCACCTCCAGTTGAAGTTGAGACGAACACTGGAGCCTCGGTGAATAACAGTCTTCATCTCGGTCAGGTCTTCTATAGCAACAATAGTTCCATTGGTTATTCGGTTCTGTATCGCTTGATTCTCTGTTTCTGAAGGGGACTGCGAGGGGTGAATATCCAGAACACAGCCACACGCCTTTTTCGGTTGCTCTCCCACCTTGCTCTAAGATTATCGATACCTATCTCTACTCCAAATCATGTCTGTCGCAACATTGCAGCGGGACACTGCCTTCCAAGTCCGGTCATTGGTATGTCCTTCGATCAGGCCTTTGTGCCCTCTTGTGTGTGAGATCTCAACGAAGACTAACGCTGCGCTCGAATTCGCAGTTCCGCTCTCTGCTCCGTCAATCCTCCCAGTTCTCGAATTACAACTTCCGCGAGTATGCCCGACGGAGAACGAGGGATGCCTTCCGTGAGCATCAATCTGAGACCGAAGAAAGGAGGATACAGGAGTTGATACAGGATGGTCTGCAGAACCTGCGCACGTTGAAGGTCAGTCATTTATCTGTGATGTCCTGTTATCCGATCGAGCACTCTTCGCTCGACTGGGTTACGACTTATCACTGGCGATTGAAAGTCTTTTGGTTACTGACGGGGATTACAGCGCCAAACCGTAATCAGCCAATTCTATCAGATGGATAAGTTAGTGGTCGAGGGTCAGAAGACTGTAAGTCCAGCTCTTCAGGCGCGCCACTTGGGATGAATACTCATCTAACATTACATATAGGGCGAGCAAACTGGACAGGAAGGTGGTATTGTTCGCCAGAAGGATACTGGGTATGTTATTCCGTCCTAGTGCCTCCTTTTTTCAATCTCTAATTGATCACAGATGGGATTAAACGTTTCTAAGGCGTAAACGAGAAATTACTTGGGTTTGGGACGAGACTCGTGAGGGCCGTCCCGTCGACATCTATATCAATCCGGCCGCCCCAGCCGTCAGTCTATCGAATAGACTCGGGGTGATTTTGTACTTTTATTGATTTCGACTGCCTGTATGTAGCATTTGATGCTTATATCCGCCACAGAGACACGCACCTCTTCCATCACCTTGTCAATATCTATACTCAATCATTGACATGAATGCATTTCAACAAGCCTAAGATTATGGGTCCATAATATTGAAATTCCAATGCTCGTAAACAAACTTTGCACAGCTCTTTGTCGCTGATTGTTTTCCATTGTAGTCCAATCACGTGATTTGGCAATCCGCAATGTTTCCCGCGCCATCGTATCGCGACAGACAATCAAGACCACATCGCAGTTGAGCGCATCAGCAGCCTCTACCATTGAGTCTACTTTATACTTTGGTCCGGAATAATAATTACACCCAAGCTACTGAAAGCCATTTGACAATCCGTTGGATTAAGTGGCGGAGGAAAGCCTGCTGGCCAGTCGCTCACCATGCCGCCGACAGTATGTATCTCCTAGCGTAGCATTACTCGCGGATCGAAGCCTCCCTGGTCCCCAAGAAGTTCCACGATGTGTTGATTTCATTTACAGTGCTGACAACTCGCAGTTCAGATCCTCGCGCTCAGGTCGTCAATTCGGCGATAATGCCAATCGAACCAGAACCGGCCAGATCGATCACGATGTCTTTGAAGGACTCCCGGTGCGGAGGTGGACACGCCAACGCCAGACCATCTCCCAGATTCCCAAGTCCGAAGTCTCCGAATCGCTCTTCCAGGGGCCCGGAGGCAAGCAGGCTCTACCCGAACACCCTATGCCCAGGGATAGCCATCTTCTGACCCCGATGAGTAGAGCGCTCCTTCGCGCTGCTCGGGCTGGGTGTATCTACATCCGCAAAGCGTCAAAGGAACCAGAATACGAAGAGAAGGACACTACAGACGTGGAGGAACAAACGACAATTCAGAGCATGGACCGCAGTTTCACGGCGCGCAAGTGGGCGGCCTTACCAAAGCATCTGGAGCCCCCCGAGGTGGAATTCCTCGCCAAGAGACGACCTGGCTTGCCATCATTATACGGCGCGTCCACTACCGGCGTAGATGGTGCTGCCAACAATGCGCCAATGCGAAGGACCCGATTCAAGAAGGTCGACCCGGCTACAGGAAACATTTCAATCTACGAAGCATGGGTGCCGGAGGGACACAAGATCGACGGCGAGATCACCGATGAGGCCCAGGTGAGGGCAGAAAACAGTGAGGTTGCCGTCATCCCCGAAGCACCTGCTCCGGGAACAGTCGTCGAAGGCGTCGGAGTGGTCAACGCTGAGGGCGTGGTTGTTGCTGAGGCTGGCTCCGTTTCGGTAATGACGCCCCCCAAGAGGCGACCTCCCCCTCCCAAACGCAAGGCCAAGGGCTTCGGAAAGGGGCGAAGGAAGAAGGTCATGTTCGCTCCAGGTGATGGAGCGGATGCTGCGCTCGTCCACGGTACTGGCGCAGATACCGCGGAAGGTGCAGGTGCGATGGGGTATCCGAAAGGTGATACCGACACGTCACGCTTGTCGGTGGATCAAAGTGGCCAGGATGATGAAGATGATGATGGTGACGAAGGTGACGAGAGTGATGAGGGCGACGAGTCGATGCTCGATGCCAAGACACCGGAAACTCCTCTTGCACAACCTGAGACTGTACCAGCGAGTGATGCCGTGCCGAAGGCTGCATCTGAGCTTATTTCCGAATCTACGGTAATTCCTGCAGTAGACAACATTGAAGCACATCCATCGACTTCAGAGGCTCCATCGACTTCCGTTCAGGAGCAATCTTCACAAACGCCTTTGCAGGTACCAACGTCAACCTCAGCACTCCCAGATGCTCAAATTCCATCACCGTCGACAGCTGATCAATCCACTCCTGCTCCTTCAGCTCAGGTTGCTCCCACTCCTAAGCCTGAGGAGTCCTCTCTGGAAGAAGCCGTGTCGGAAGACGTCATGTCAGACGCGCAACCTCCAATCTCTACTGCAGATGAAAGTACACCAGTTGCTTCTCAACCCTCTCCAGAATGTCAATCGTTGAATGATGGAGCGAATGTCGTCGGAGCTGCTCGCGAAAATAGGACTTCACGATCACCCCATGCAGAGCCTCTAACTCAGCCACCTGAGTCCGCAATGGAGGTAGAGAGCGTCAAAGAAACGCAAGTCAAGCCCACAGATTCCACAGAAAAATTATCTGAGACAAGTCAAGTTGCTCAAAGCGAAACAGTGATGCAGGACGCAGATCCAGCTGAAGATGTTACAATGGAAGACATCGAGAACCTGCCGTCTGCCCCTGCAGAAGAGCAGGCTCCATCAAAAGAAACTGACCTGGAGCAAATCCCTGACCAATTGGCTACGCCTAAGCAAGTAGATGCTGAGCTGGAGAACAACGAGGTTGACCTCCTTGGCAGCCTAGAAGCTAGTCTAGGTGGTACAGCCAGTGAGGGCAAGGTTATGGAACAGGGTGCCACTCAATCCGAATTGCACTCAGAAGTTGCGGCTGAAGAAAGCACTGCCACAGCAGTAGCAGCTCCAGAACAACCTACAGAAGAGCCTTCTCAGCAACCTTTGGAGCGCGCTGAAGAGCAGAAAGCAGAGCAGGCTCCAGAGCAGTCATCCGTGTCCGCTGGTGCAGAGCAAGAGGCGGTCGAGCATGAACAACCTCCTCAAAAAAGCGCTATACTCACTCCAGAACAACCAGCACAAGAATCTGCAGAGCCTGCTCCCGAATTAGCGGCGGATGTCGTTTCGCAGCCCAGCAAAGAGCCATCAGTAGAACAGAATCCGGAACAAGTTCCTGAGGCGCAGCCAGAGCCAACCCCAGAGACTGCTGCACCAACAACTGAGGATCAGGCTCAAGAACCAGCTGCACCACAGGCGGCAGAATCCGTCCCAGAGTCGGAGACGGCACCTAAAGAATCTTTAACAGATCCGCCTGCTGAAGTCCCAGAACCGCCCGCTCAGGTCCCTGCAGAACAACCCACACAGGACCAACCTATTCCACCGACGGAGACAGCTGCAGCTCCACCTACTGAGCAATCTACTCCTCCTCATGACCCGCCGTCCGAGCCCACAGCACCCCCAGCGGAAAAACTTACACCTCCAAGTGTATCTCCCGAAACAACGGAGGACTCGAAGCCGAAGCAATCAGAGGAGCGGGCTGCCAACACACCTCCTCAAGAGCCATCCGCTCCGCAACCCGAGGAACCACAGCCTGACAAAGTTCCTTCGCCAGCTGCGCCAAGTGCCCTCGAAGAACCCCAGCCACAGCAAGATCAACCCGCGGCTCACTCCGCCGCGGCGCCTGAAGCCAACGCCAATGACCAGCCTACCGTCGATCAAGAAAAGGTAAAGCCGGTAGTCAGGAGCGCAGAGGACGTAGAAGAGGCACCCGCGCCCTCGACAGCAGACGCCAATGCCGCATAGTCTATTTGCTCCTTTCTATGTTCACTCCAGCGACTTGTTGCTCACTTGGAATCTCTTTGCTTTGGTTATCATGTAATTTACCCGGGATATCAGGTGTGAATGGGTGTACGGCGTTGTGAAATTTTGTAATGTGAGTAGAGAGCTTCTCTCTTCGAATAGTAAATACCTACTACACCTCTATGTTGAATTAAACATTGTCGATGTATTGTTTGCAATGATATGGGTTCCTTATGGGTGGTAGCCCTGGTGTATAGGTAGTAGATCGAATTTGATTCCGGTTCCGGAGACTCTGTATTGTGTCGTACAAAGAAATCACCCATAGCATTCAGGGCGATTCGTCTTCGTAAGAAGAATATACATTAGTGAGATATATATCAGTTAAGTGCATGCCAAAGAATATAGAAAGAAAACCAACCAGTCATGCATGGCTCGGACCATTCAAGAAACAAGCTGCCGGAGAGAAATATGTATATGATGCTTGTGCATCCTGAAATTCCCTACACTCTAATATGTACTGTAGTTCATTATTTCAATTGACTGTGTAGCTACAATAGGATACCTAACTAATATTTCCAATCCATATCAATTGGAACAGCAATCAATGCCAAGAAGCATTTCAGCAAAATCAGCGCGACAGCAATAGAGACGCCAAACACCTCCGTAGGGACCGAGCCGGTTGAACAGGGGAATAATACCAAGACAGTGACAGAAGGCAGGAGAAATAACGAACCAAGTGGCCAAGAAGATACAACTTAGAAGATGTCAAACGGAGCCAGAGGCCAGTCATCTGAGCAGATCCCAAAAGAGAGAGACGCCGAGTCCAAGAGACGGACCAGAAGAGAAGAGGCGACAGGGTAGGAACGCCACTGTCTGTAGAAGCAGATAAATATATGTCATCAAAAGGCAATTCAAAATAGCGAAGCGCGAGTCAAGTATAGCTCCAAAACGTGGAATTCAGGCGCGAAAAGGTTTGCTGCTGGTCGCATACCAAGATTCATTTTGGTTGCAGTTTAGCGGCCAGACTCTTCGTGCGTTTAGCTGGAGCCTTGGCCTGAGGGGTCTTTTTGGCATTATTGCTCTTGGGAGACTTGCGAGGTGATTTCGTATCGACCTTCTTCTCCTTTGTTGTCTGTTTCCGAGCATTTACACCTTTGGCTGCCCTGAGGATCTTCTCCTTAGCCTTTTCGGACGGGCGTTTCAAGGTAGATGAAGTCGGCTGGGAAGCCCGTGGTTTCGACGGTGATTTGGTTGTAGCTTTGGAAGACGTTTTAGGAAGAATAGCCGCTTTCACCTTTGTTTTGGCAGACTTGACTTTCGGTAGTTTGACAGTAGACCGGGGCTTCGACTCTTTGGCCTTCGCCTGCGCCTTGGGTGCCGGCTCTCTCCCTCTTGTGACTGTTTTCTTAGATTCTTTGGATTGTACTGTTACCGTTGTCCTTTTCGCGGAAGTTTTTGACCTGGAAACCGATGCGCGAGCCTTGGACACAGCTTTTCTCACGCCTTTTGCGATAGAATTTGGTGCCAGGAGCCTCCGTTTTTTGTTCAGATGTGATGAAGATTTGTCAAGCGCGGTCCCGCTCTTGCGCTTCGTGCCTGTAACCTTTCTGGTTGTCGTTGACTTCTTTGTGATTGAGCTCTTCTTCTGATTTAGGATCCTAGATTCTCTTTCTTTCGAGCGTTGGTCTTTTTCTCTAGGTCGTGGTCCCAAAATTCCACGACAGTTCGGAGCACCACATCGACACTGTTGAACATTCTTCTGTGAATATGGACTAGGATAATGTTAGCAAACCTAAGAAGCATGAAAGCCTGTAAGCTACTTACTCAAAGTTATAATCGTAAGTTAATTCTTCACCGGTCATGATCCCACGGTCACCGGCAAAAAGAGCCATGCGTGGTTTGCCTGCAACGGTCCATTTCTCCATTCGACAGTTTGGTTCACAAGAATGATTCACGAAGCGCGCGATGGATCCTCGGGTAGCGTCGATTATCATGTTCTGGTCAAAGTACATAAGGTAATAGCACTGGAATTTGTGGTCAATAACCGAATCAGGTAAAGACACTCTTCATGCAACGCACCTCATTGTTCTTATAGAGGGTCCTCATCCTCTTCTCACATTCCACCTGAGTGATGATTTCACCTGTATATTCAACGATGACCTGATTTGGCTCAAAGGTACGGTTGCTGCGAACGCCGTATCCGCGATCTTCTGTCTTGATGACCTCCACACCGATATTATACTTGCCTCCCACCTTAGTTCTTTGCTTGAGTTCCTCAAAGCTCCGATTACCACAATCAGGACCTAGTCCGCAATTGCCTTCGTCGCATTCATAAAACATGTACCGGTTTTGGCAGTTCTCATCGCAGCCGGTCTCTTCTATGCACATGCACTTAGATAACTCCATGTGCTTGTTGGCTCTCCATATACTACCCGCCTCCCCAACAAAGACATCTGAATCAAATGTGAGCAAAATCTTTTAAGGAAGAAAAAAGGGGAAAAAAAAGAAAAACAGATCAAACGTACTTTTGTTGGTTTTTCTCCACTCATCAGGCTTAGGTTGACCTGCTGGAAGAGGAGAGTAGATGTCGAAAGGCAACTGGAAATCTCTTCCTAGCTGTAAAAGCCGGTCACCTGCGAACATTGGCATTGGGAGAAACCTGCGCTGCAATGGCGCGCCTAGGGATTTTCTCTTTGCGCTCTTGTTCCTATTTTGACTGGGTCTAGAAGTAGTAAACTCTTGGCCTGTATACAGCCCATGAGTCAACCAGCGCTTTGATTTCACTTTCGGCTCGACTTTCCCAGGAGCATTTTCGGTTCCTGCTATAGGATCTTCAGGGTCCTTTGTGTTCAAGGGCAGATCGCTTTCAGAGACACGCCGTTTCTTTGCAGCTGGAGGTTCAGTAGTCGCAAGAGAGGCAATTTCCTCCTTAGGCGCAACATTCCGAGGTCGCAGACTGGATCGGCGATCACTGTCTTTCCCTTCTTTCATCTTATCAATGGATCGTTTCCCAAGAATGCTACTCGCTTTTTCAACCCAGTCGGAGGCCTTCTCCAATAGACTCAGACGGGTTGAGCGCCGAGGTGTTGGAAGATCCTCGGGTTGAGCTTTGATTGTAGATTTATTTCGGTCGGGACTATCATCCTGGGTCAATGCCCGTTCCACACGCTTCCTCAAGTTGCGATGCTGTAGAGCCGTGCTAAGTTCATTTGGCTGAGGCTCTTGGGATGAGTTGGAGACCGGTGTGTCCGGAGCCATTGGGTGGTCTTCAATCTCAAGCCTATCCTGTATGAGCGTTGTCTCGTTCCACAGGGATGTTTCCATGACTGCTATGCTGTGCCGTAGATGGGAGGAATGAGACCGCTTCAGCTTCGTGAGATTGTTTGCCAGGCTCCCCGGGGCCAGCGTACGATCCTCCTGGCCTGGCGAAGACGTGGAAATCCCATTTTCTTTCTCCAACGTTGTCTCAAATTGTGCCGACTTCCGTAAGGAGGCGCGTGTTACACGTGAGGATGTTCGCCGCAGGATCGGCTTCTCTTCAGTAGACGCGTTTTCGTTGTTGCTGGACGTTTCAGACCGACTGTTTTCAGGTGTAAGGAGTTGTTCCGGGATATCCATGCTCATGGCATCGTCGATGTGCTCGTGGGCATGGTTCTGCAGGTCCGAGAAGGTTGCGGGTATCGCGAGGGACGCGACGGAGGATTTAGTTCGAGTTTCCATCTCGTCCGTCTCAGCAGGACGCGCAGACGACGTCGCCGCTGGAAACTGGGAAATTTGCTGCAGGAGAATTAGATCGGAAGAGAGAAGTGTCTGAGCTCGTCAAAACTGCCGGAAGGTTTGTTGTAACTCGGAAGGTGAGCGTGATGACACCAAACAGGGCGATTGGCGCTTCCGATATCAGGAGTATCTGCACAGTGCTCTACGGCTCGAAAATCAGATCACCACAAGATTGTAACAGTCATGACGCAAGACAAACAAACACGACAAAGTGGGAGGAAAGGTCTCGCAAAGGCGATTGCCTGGAAATGGAGGGGAAAGGAAGAAAGATGAAGGTGCGGAGGAGGTTCAGTTCCTAATAATTATCCTGTCGTCAGCCAGCCTGGGACAGCCGGAGGGGAGGTACGGCCGCGGAATGTAGAGGGAAAAAGAAGCGAATCAACAGCGTACAAGGATCTCTCTCTCTTGTTGGGGTTTGATCACGGATGATTACGCTTAATTCTGTTTGCTCTTGTTTTCTTCAGGGAAAGTTGAACGCTTTCTCAGGGACTCCTCCGTAGCGTTCAGAGTAGAGGGCCGTAGCCCTCTTGCGCACCTTGCTTGATACCGGCCTTTCTAGTCACTCACATCCTACAGATGTCGACGAGCTCAAGAATTACTACAGCGACCGGGCCTCGTCCCCTCTCTTCAGGTCTTCTTCGAGTAGATTATTCATTGTCTATCTGAAGTGTGGTATCAAATATCATACATGTCTTCTGTGTCGCATGATAAAAACTCAACCCAGCAAATTGAACCAGGGCGAAATGTCCTCGACACAAGAGAGTATGGATGTTGGAACGAAATGGGAACTGAAAATCCTAGAATGAAAGAGACTAGAGATCGCTCAATTTGCGAGGCCTCGTTTTGGGCAGAGGGAATCTTGAAGGAATCAGAAAGGAATGCTAGAAGGTATCAAAATCAACCACCAGGCCAAGCAAAGCCAAGATATTTGGGGCTGAGTCGGTAAATTCGAAACTGTCAAAGAGAAAAAGAGAAGAAGCTCTTGAAAAACAAGATAGAAAGAATGTCATCACTGAAATGTGAATCACAAGAAAGATCGGAAGAAAAAGCCAGATGAGAATAACTTTGCAGGAGAGCCAGACGGCGGACTTAGCCCTGTTGCCCACTGGGAGGAACATCCTGCATCTCTATGTCTGTTTGGGCTTCGATATCTCGAGGCCGGTCTTTTCGTTTCAGCGTGCTCAAGCGCTGGTCACCCTCTTGATAGGGTCGCTTGAATTGCATGTAGGTTGGAGGACGTGGTCGTGCAAGTACAGACAACCAGTTTTGGAACACATTCCCTTGAGTGAAGGGACGATGACGGTCTGCTTTGGCGAATTTATGCGAGTTGAGGTATTCCCTCGTTGTCTCGCCCCGTCCAATCAAAAATAAGTGGTATGCCCACAGAGAGGCCGGATAGGGTGCTGCCACTGCCCCATAAATGACCATGGCCCAAGGCACCCGCAACTTGTCAATCGCAGCACCGAAAGAAAGCCCCTCCTGAGACCGATACACCAGTATATGTGCAAGACTGGCTCCAAGCAGAAAGAAGCCAAGTAGCGTCGCGGCGCTGACAAAAGTAAAGAAATAGCGATAGTTCCGGCGACCAACGCAATTGTTCAGCCAAACACAGTGGTGGTCCAATGTTTCAATGCAATTGTCGCATACACGACAATGATAGCATCGTGGCGGACGCCAGATATTACAGGTCTTGCAGTACTTCACAGGGACATCCATGGCTGCGACTTCAGATGTCGCCAATTTCACCATCACCCAGTCATTCGTTGGCGGTCCGATAGCCAGTGGATCATTAGCGGGTTCTGACGAGGGCATCGAATGAAGATTCCGTGGGATGATCCCGGGGTCGACTACCGACGCGTGTATAAACGAGGAGAAGCAGATGTAGAAGAGATAACCAAACAGAATCGGAATGGCAGGCGATATATGATGCCAAAGCCAAGGTGCTGAATATACGAAGAACAAGACCGAAGGAAGCACCACGAATATGCCGGTTGCAATATTGATTGGCTTGTCTCTGGAGTTTTGAAAGCGACCACCGCCGAAGAAGAGAGTATTGCCATTAAAATGCTCATAGTTCTTGCCCAGATGAGCCTTGACCGTTGGAGGTTGTTGCTTTTGGATGGATTCTGGGGAGGAGTCGGCTGACGATAACCGTTCATGGGTTCGACTGTCACCGCGGTCTGGAGCACCCCTGTTTTGCAAGGATAGAAACGAGAGGGGAGACCTCTGTGGAGGATCATTGTGCTCAGGGCCATTGCGAATAGTCCCTAAATTGAGATGCTGCGGCGGTATCTTATAGACTCGGGCCCTATCGGTCAGGAGATTCGCACTTTCGCCTAGGCTTCTCACTGTCGTATTACCAATCGGACTAGCATTCGATGTGTTCCGATCTGGAATTACAGGGTCTGTGAACTCGGTGCCGCGCGATGGAGGCGCCTCCTCCTGGGGTATAGAACTTTGAGCAAATGTGCTATTTGAGACCAGGCTTTGCCGATTCTGATCTAACTGGTCGGCCCAATCCTCAGAGGACACCGCAGTCTCTTTCGTAACGGGTCGGCCTCGATGCGCCTGAAGCCTCTGAGATGACATTGGGCGAAAGAAGCCTTGCGCAGTGAGCGAAGGAATATGCGTCCGGCTCAATCGGCTTGCAGAGCTTCCTGGTCTGCTTGTCACCTGGCTTTGCGCTGTGATGGAACTTCTTGCGGGTGGAGGCCCCCGGCGAGAAATGGAGTGTTGCCGCGACTGAGGGGCATGAGACGACACCCCGGTATATGCCTGTGATTGCGCCTGCGATTGCTCTCCATCCTCAGAAGCCAGATCCGTCACTCGAGATGAGATGCCCCCGACGGAAGGCGGACGCGGGATACCGAGGATATGTTGTGAGATTCGCGCCCTAGGCGCATCGCCCGGGTCAGGGTTGTTCGACGAAGATGCCATGATTGTCCGCAAGACGAAAGTGAACTGTGACTATCACGAACTCCGAGCATTCATGGCGCCGCTTAATGGCAGAAAGGAAGCGAAGGTATCTTGGATCGTTGCAGTGTCGTTATAGGGTAATTCGGTGTCAGAATGTAGACGCGAGATAGTGGTCTCTATCAGATGATGGAGGGACAAATAAGGAGCGACAATATGATATGGTTGTTTCCGAGAAGTCTCCGCGGCAGATACAGTTGATCATAAAAGAAAGAATGGAAGCAACCTAGAATGCAGCGGTGTGGTTAGTCTTGTATGAGGGTTTCCCATTATATCAAGGGAACACAGCCAGCCCCTGGGGGAGCATATGTCATGACGGAGCCCCTAACAGGACAAAGCAATATGGTTGGGGGGATAGCGGACCTTTTGAAGGGAGAAGAGTTGCAGAGATCGCGATAGAAGCAGAAAAGACTGAACACGTCACATCACGGGCAGGAAGAAGTCGACCATGTTGGTTCAGTTTGCGAGTGTGACCAGAAAAAGCTCCCTTCCTGTGACTTGTACAGCCCTTGCGCGCGGCGAATCGATGAACGATACGGCAATAATTTTGGTTCCTCAGGCGGCGAGCCATCCTTCAGGCAACCCGCAATGACTAAGCGTCGGGAGCGGATGGGCCAACGGGAGGTCACCTGATGATGCGCCGGCAACATCATCGTTTGACACTCACACCATCGGTTCCGCTCTTCCACTTCCCCCAAAGCGATCACCTCCCCCCTCCCCACTCAGTCCTCGCAGACAACCCCAGTCTAACAATCTGCAAAAAATCACCATGTCTTCAATTGCTGCCATGGCTTCCCGTCGGGCCTTCGCCCGCCAGTCCGTCTTCCGGGCTGCCCCGCGACGCCTCTACAGCTCCAAGATCGAGGAGGCCAAGCTCGACAAGGCTGGCAAGCGCGATCCCGAGCTCTACGTACGCTCTTCCGGCTGAGTACAAGTCCAATTGGCGGGATACAATATCTGATGGGCGTTCTTTTAGGTGCTTCTCGGTGTTATGTCCGGAGCTTTTCTGATTGCTGGATGGTGAATAATATCCCTCTCCACCCTATTGTTCGCCATGATATGTCGACAAGGACCCGAACCATCGCCAATTGCGCGCCGAAGATCGTTTTTCTACTGGACCGAACGTCGCTTACCACTTGTCGTCAACAGGTACTTCGGCAGAAAGCCCACCTCCGTCACCTCTGAGAGCAACGTTCGCATCGGCGAGAGCGCCATGCCCTGGGAGCGCGATGACGATGGCAAGGTCTACAAGTACCAGTACCACCCCCACGGTGATACCAGCCAGCCCCTTAGAAACGCTCCCAGCGCTCTGAACACCGTCATTGTTCCCAATGTCACCCTGCCCGCGGTATATATGGATCCTGACCCTTTTTTATTTTATGGCAAACTTGATATTGGGTAGTGATTGTATAGATTGCTGATACGCCATACCTTCTCTATAGGATCTCCACGAGCGCTTCAACAAGTACGGAAAGGAGGAGTGGGACTACTAGGTCATACAGCAAGGAATGGACCGCTAAACAAACATCGGATGCTTCCGATAGTGATTGCTGTACACTAAAATTGACTGTGAAGACTAGAGTTTGGAGTGTGGATTCGTCAGTAGGGCTTTGTGCATAGTTCGTTTTTTACTCGAAATTGATCGGGGATTGGTGTTTTCGTTACCAAGCTACTTTAAGCCAGGTGATTCACGCAGCAGGTACCTAATAATTTAAAGTAGGCACGCACTCAAGTAGTTCGTAGAGGTCATATCATTTACAAGAACATATTTCGTTCAATACCAGAGAAAAAGAAAGGGGTTCAACAGAAGACAAATATGGAATGAGAATTTGCTAGGCTTGAATATTTGAAGGATAGAAGAAGATAGAGGCAGAAAATGTCCCAACCAATTTCATCTGTCATTTAATTATACATCTATGACTGTCACTGTTGGGTCGCCTCGTTAGCTTCACTAGCCGGCTTTGGCTCAGGGGAGTTTGGTTGCTCAAGCGAACTCTCACCACCGGCTACCGAAGCTGGGCTATCGCCTGCAACCTCAACGTTCCCATGTTTGACGGTCTCGGGATTCTGTCCTTCCACATCTGGGTGCGGTGGTGCAACTTGGCCGTTTATCATGTCTACTTCGTGGGCATGTTCCAGCCGTGTCCGAGTCTCATGCCGAGTCTCGAACGAAACTTTGCCTTCCTTGGCCAAAGAGGCGACAAGTGCCTCGTCCAAAACGTTGCCCTGCTGATCCCGATACTCCACCCGGGCTTTGCCGCTGTGAAACTGCTTGGCCTGGGGTGTGACTTGGGCTTCTTCAGTCTCTTGCTGCAAGATCTCCTGCTGCTGTGGTGGCGGGACCACTGGTGGCGCCTGAACTGGAGGCACCTGCGCAACGGGTGTGGGCGATACACCGGGATTCGAATTGACATATTGGGTCACATATTGACCAAGCTAATGTCATGTCGTCAGTGGTCGGACTTTCATTTATGTCTAGTACCCTCGTCGCGGAGGTTGCCATGCTGGAACACTTACGTCAGTGTAAAATGTGTTGCAATCGAAGTCCCAGGACCCAATGAGTTTCACTTTCTTGCAAGCATCTTGGGTCCAGGGATTGCCATAAACCAATGGGGAGTAGAGAGTGAAAGCGAAAATGCTAAGGGCCAAGAACACTGCAACGAATCCTCTGCCAATGACCGGCCTGGAAGATAATCCAAAAGCCTTAAAGCGGTTGGCGATGAAATCAAACTCTTGACAGAGCGCAATGAGCGCAAAGTACAGCGCGGGGAAATAATGGTGAAGGAAGAGTTGCCGAGCCATAAGGAAGAAGGGGAAGTAGTGGAAGGCCCAGCCAAGCACACTCGTGCCAACTTCATAGTCGAAACGCTTCAAGTTGACATTTCGGTAATCACCACAACTGCGCTGCCAACGGATAACAGCAAGGCCTTTGAAGAGGAGGTAAACGGCAACGGCGACAGTAGAAGACCACCAAATGAATGGGTTGCCAAGAAGATAGATCTGACGGTGGTCTCGGCCCCAGAAGTTGATGCCTCTGAGCAGGGTTGGCCATGAAGGCGGACGAGAATCCCAGGCATGGGACTCGGTCAGACCGGCATTCGTGGTCCACATGACCTTCTGGAGTTCCCAGAATTTGCCAAAGAAACCGGGATTCCGATAGTTGACCTTCTCCGCATCGGCAGGTAGCATTGGATGAACATTGGATTCAATATACCAGATACTGTTTGGCAGAGTACCCCCTTTCGCACAAGTCACTTCTTGCTGGTCAAAGCCCCATTCGGGCAACTTCACTTTGTGAGAGAAAAGGACGCAGCCAGTCATGACATGCACGAGCCGAAATTTAGTTTGAATAGTTCGGAGTCTCTTCTTCGCTTCTTCCCCGTCAGACATCGACTTGACTATCTCGAAACGGAAGAGATCGTTCGCGTCGCCAGGAAAGCCTTCGTAACCATAGGCAGATACCTCATACTGCCAGTCGGCTTCGGTAACAGGAGGTCGCTCATCGTGTGAGTGAAGCCTTCTGTGCGTCAACGGGTGGTAGAGTCTTACCACACCACCATCCGGAATATACTCGGTGGTGATGTTATCCCAGGCAAACGGGCCTTCCACCGGTCCAAAGGACCCAAGAGGTTGAGTCTGATTCTCCAGGATAAAAACATTGTTCTCATCCTTGTGGGGGTAGAGAGTAATCTGTTGCTGCTTGCTTCCTGTGGGGTACATGTGGGCATGGGAGTGGAGGTAGCCACCCTGGGTGTTCAGGTGACGGATGCTCACTCGCGAACCGAACACAACATCGGCAGGGACGTCTTGCATTCCTTTGGAGTTCAAGGTCGCCTGGAACTCCGATGACATGAATCCGTCCCCATCCCCAGGGTTCACCAGACACAGGAAATGAATTGCAAACATTCCGCAATAGAATCCGAGAGGAATAATGATCAGACAGAAAACACGGGCGAAGAAGTGCTTAAGCCATAGACGCTAATAACTGATCAGTTTTCGGCATCAACCCACTCGGAAGGAAACGGACACATACCGGTGTGACATTCTTATAGTCGCCTAAGAGCACCCACAGTTGGAGCACTGTGAGAGAGCCGACCCAAGCGACAGTGAAAAGTCCAACCCATTTGACACTCAGAGTGGCACCCAAGCAGAGCCCCGTTGCGACCAGCCAAAACCACCAGGATGCACGGAAGGCGTGGGATGGCCCAAGCTCTTGCTGGTTTGTGAAACAGGTGAATGACAACGCCGTGAGCGCCGTGAAGAAGACCAATGGCGAATCTAGCAAGATAAGGCGAGACTGTGTGATAAGACCATTTTCTGCATGGGGTAAGTATGGGTGGTTGGGCCGAAGAATGCAACGGTGTGGACTTACCGAAGATAACCACACCGGCGCCCAGGATAGCAGTAACGGTCCGGCAACCAGTCGCTTTCAGAGTCAGGAACATCAATGGAACAGTGAGCACACCCAGCATAGCTGGAAGCAAGCGCATAGCAACATAGGGTACTCCAGGTTCGAGATAGTCCTTGCCAATGTCCTTGAAGTCGAAATTTCCGTCAAACCCAGCCAACCAGCCAGCAAGTGTGATCAGGAGTTTGGCGAGGGGAGGGTGGACATCCATAAAGAATTTGCCCTTGATATATTTACTCGCGAAGCCGCCAAAGCTGTTTATCCGAGGTCAGCGACAAAGGCGTATTCAGAGTTTGTGCAACGAGAGTAACGAGAGAGGACGGAAACACACTGGACTTCATCGAAGACGACGCTGGAAGGCTGGTAGATGCGAAACAGGCGAACAGCCATGGCAATAAGAGTTACCAAGACGAGCGCCTTATAGTCGGAGCCAGGAAGTTTGAATATATTGTTGTCCTTGACGCCCTCCGAGCCATAGCTGGACACTTCGACCGGCGCTTTCTTGCGATTCTTCGGTTTCGGCGAGCGGCTTGGAGAGCGACCTTTCCTCGGTAGAGGTCGGACCTGCAAGGTCTCTTTGGACTTTTGTGTCATATTGAATGATATGCCCCTGGAAGGCAGGACCGGAAAATAGGAAGATCGAATGGTAAAATAAAGAGATTATGTCGTACGACAGCGAAATGACCAAGGACGAGGTGTAGAATGCTCCGACTCCAGAGGGGAGCGCTCAGACAACCCCACGACTAACAAATCCAATGAAAACGGGCTAGATGATTATAAACGAGAGTAATGAATCGAGGACCGATTCGCCATAACAGAAGTTATATGGAAGAAGAAGAAAGATGATGGCCGCCGTCCAGAATGAAGCAGCAGAAAGCAAGACAACACGTGTGGGACAATCAGGAGGTTGATGAAAGCGTCCGGCTAGTTTAGGCCAGATCGTCGGCGGAGAGAAATAAGAACTAAGCCAAGTAGTATGGAGCTATGATGAACAACCACTGTCAGCGCAAACCACTTAAGATAGAAGTTATTGTTGTGGACCCATAGCAGGGGAGAAGATTGAGCATACAGCCTCGTCAAGGAAAATAGATTCCTTTTTTTAAAATTCCAATTACCTTGATAGTTACTGGGGCTGTTCATCGGCAGTATTATTATTGACTGTTGACAGGAACAATAATAAACCATATTATTCTGATTTCTGACTTCATGTGATGGATACTTACGGAGTTGGTTCCATTACTATTGATTATTCGGTGGACTGTGGAGTTCGTACAGAACGTTACTAGCGGTAACTTTACACTCGATCCATCTGTCGCATGAGCCAATCATAGTATCTGTTCGTCGCGCGCGCTTATCTAACAGCCGCCGACAAACGCGCCTGGGTTCTTTCCCAATGAAGTCAGTCTCGGGGCAAAAAGAAGGACGTCTGCGGTGCTATTGAGGCCAACCACAACATCCCTGAATCCAAGCCATTGCTCGTTTGGCTGTCAGATCAATCATGGCTTCGAATGGGAACACCCCGGCTCCTGCTGATGAGGTGAGCAAGCCACCAGAGGGTGTGGTATTGCCACCTAAAGACATTCGAGGTTGGCTTTGATCTTCCCAAGCTTTCGCCTAGAAGCGCCTGCTGATACTCTGTATAGCTATTGTAGAGAAAACCGCCGGCTATGTCGCTCGCAATGGCATTGTCTTCGAAGGTAGGTTCCTATCGTCACCATTGCAAGTTTGCGGCGAGAGACGGCGAGCTAATCTTTTGCGTTTCAGACCGGGTGCGCGAAAAGGAACGAAACAACCCCAAATTCTCCTTCCTCAACCCCGATGACGCTTACGCAAATTTTTATCAATGGCGATTAAACGAGATCAAAGAGGGACGAGGTACCACGGTGGCAGCAGGCAGACCGGGAGAGCCAACAGCAGCTCCTGAACCCGAGAAGCCCAAGGGTCCCGCGGAGCCCCCAGAGTTTCACTTTTCGGCGCGGATGCCCATCATCAACGCGCAAGATTTGGAGGTCGTCAAGCTTACCGCGCTCTACGTCGCCAAGAGGGGGAAATCGTTTATGACCGCGCTGTCGCAGCGCGAAGCGAGGAACTTCCAGTTCGATTTCCTGCGCCCACAGCATAGTCTCTACCAATTTTTCACTCGGTTGGTCGATCAGTACACAATTCTCCTGAGAGCGGAGGGAATCGATGGGTCGACATCAGAGAAGAACAGGCTTGCTGAGCTGGAGTATAACGTGAAGAACAAATTCCACATTCTAGAGCGGGCGAAACAGCGTGCCGAGTGGGTGAAATTTCAAGAGCAACAGAAGCAGAAGAAGGAAGAAGAGGAGGAACAAGAACGAATAACCTATGCGCAGATCGACTGGCATGATTTTGTGGTCGTCGAAACGGTTCTCTTTACGGAAACGGACGATCAGACCGACCTTCCTCCCCCTACTTCTCTGAACGATCTACAGTCCGCCTCCCTAGAGCAGAAGGCCATGATGTCGCTGAACCCGCTCCGCATTGAAGAAGCAATGCCAACAGAGGAAGAGGCCCCAACATATTACAACGCCTATCCTGCACAGCAGCCCGAACCTATGGTACACCCTGCTCCTCCATCTGTATCACCATATCCTCCACAGACACCCATCCCGCAACCCTACCCGATGGCCACCGCAGCCGCTCAGGAAGAAGAGCAACGGATTCGTGAGCGCATGGAGGCCCGCGAACAAGCAGCAGCCGCACAAGCCGCCGCGAGAGCAGCTCCCGGCCAGCAGCCCATGCGCATCCGGTCCGACTACGTACCGCGCGCCCAGGCGCGCCGTCTCAATCCTTCGGGTGCCACTGCACCTTGCCCCAACTGTCATCAGCAGATTCCTGTGGCGGAACTCGAACAGCATATGCGTATCGAACTGCTGGATCCCCGGTGGAAGGAGCAGCGCGCCAAGGCCGAGTCACGTAGCGCGACCACCAACCTGTCAACTGCGGATGTTGTGAACAACCTGAAACGCCTGGCAAGCCAGCGAAGCGACGTGTTCGACTCATCACTTACCGCGCCCCTCGATCCCGAGGAGGAAGCACGAAAGAAGAGAATGGCTTTTGAGAACGTCCCCGGTGCTGGTCCTACACCGCCGATGGTCGGTCCGACTGGGGGAGCTCCCAATCCTCAGAGCTTGAACATCGAGGAACAGATCAGACACATTCACGAGCGATACAAACATGGCTAATCAATCTTTTGGCGGTCGTCGAGATGCTTCAAACCTATACAAGGCGTTGCTTATCTAGGAGTTCATGGTTCTTACGCTCGAATTCACTTCAGTAAAAAAGAGGATGTAAATTATACCCTTTACTCGTCGATTCTTGTAAGATTGGAACTGGCAGAGCCGTCTGCGGTGTGGTCTGAATATCTTTAGTTTGACTCAAAAAGTCCAGCGAACACTTCTTTCACTAGTGTAATGCCGAGCCTCCGCAGAAGAGTGAGTTAAGAATCGACAAAAGTGTCGTCGGTTGTATATGGTAAAATTAAATATCATTATTCCGACACAGATCATGCCGTGCGTCATTCACTCGATACATTAGACCTTGAGATTCCCATGATCATAAAATCGAAGTCGAAGAGTAAGAAATAACAAAAGCAAGACGCTGTCTAAGAACGAAAAAAAGCCAGGTGCAGGTTTAATGCTCTGATTGCGCCATGAAGGGGGTAAAAAAAAAGTAAGTCAATGATTCCCACAGCCGAATGAAATGTGAGAATGGCAAAAAGAAGGAAACAGATTATGCGTACAAATTGATTAGTAATACATGTAGTATGCTGCATTCAGCAATGAGAATAGCAGCTGTGTGGGAAATGAAGAAAGATGATCTAGGATATCAAAAGACACATGGTATAGAAAAGTTCAAATAGAAAAAGGGTATGGTATCGTCTTGTCCAGGAGAACGATAATTCAAAGAACTTGAGCTTGGATCATGGTTTTCGTTCCTGTTCACTGCCGTTTAACGTGGTCTCGTGCATGTGCGTATCTTCAACATGAGTGACGGGATTCGAGTCACCATTGGCCGCAGAGATAGTCACCTGGCTCACATTCTCCCTAGAGAAGTCGTCTTTGGCTTGCTCCGAAGCATGGGATTCGGTGCTATCGTAGAACATTGGGCCGGCACCAGATTTGGAAGTATATCCGCTCACAGAGTTATTGTCGTAATCGGAATCCGAAACTTCATAATCGTGAAAGTCCCGCGCCTCGAAAGGTGACGGATAGTGGCTCTCCTCATCATTGAATGGCGTGCTTTGGTTAATGTGCTCCATGGACGCAGGACCGCTGTATTCGAGCTCATTCGCATGAGGAATGGCAGGGATAACGCCACCACCAATTCGAGACCAAAACATCCGCTCCCTCAAGCGAATTGTTTCTTCCCACGCGTCTTTTTCTTCCTCAATATCACCGCCACGAATATGCCCATCAAGGATGAGGCGCAAATAGCCGGTAAATTCACAAGAGGAGCGCACTCTCTCAAGACACAAGACGCACAGGGGATACCGTTGCGCAGTCTCGTTATCCGATGTTCTGAAGCGATGAGTTCTCTCGTTGTCCGTACCAGGCCTACGATCGCCGCAAAGGGAACAGGGAAAGTCGAATTTTTTCGCTGCGGCTGGCATCGGTTCAACCACGAGGCTTCCTTCGCAGATGCTGCTCAAAACCGTGCGTCGCGTTAGCCAAGAGATCCCCGGTGCTGCGTCCAACCTGAGTGTTGGTTCAATATCTTCCATGAGGACGCGTTTGTAAAAGCGAGTCTCTTTGAGTGGAATGTGAGAGGTGGAAGGCTGCGGAGAGGACATGCTTCCGTGGGGCGAGTGAGTCGACTTGGCTGGGGAAGAGGATGCTGAGCCAAATCCGGCCCCGCCAAAATTGGCCAAGCTCATGACATTGAGGCCGGCGTAGGAGCCACTCGCTGCCCTGCTTGGGGGCTTCGAGGCTTTCGACAGAATGAACAGCTCCCGAAAGTCTTCGAAAGCTTGGATATCCGTCCGGCACACCGACTTGATCAAATGTGGGAAACTGGTGGATGGGCCCGGCACGACTTCTTCAAGATGGGGTGATGGTTCGAAAGTATCCGTAGACTCGAAGTCCTTCGTGGTATTTCCCGGTCCTTTCTGGGGCCCGGTTGGGGAGGATGGTGCCGTGGAGTTGATAGCGTGAGTATCGACATCATCCTTAGCTAGGTTCATTCCTTGCATGACCGACTTCAACTCGGCCAGTTGCTCTTGATGCGACGCAAGGAGCAACTCCGTGTCTTTCACTTGGGCACGTAATTGCTCATTCTTCTTCTCAACTGCCTCGCGTTCCAGCTTAGCAGCGGCGACCATCTGTTCATTGCGAAGATTAGATAAGGGTTTACCACAGAGCGACGAATGCTGATGGAGAGAGAAATTACCTTGTTCGCTTCTTCAAAAAGCGCCGCGGTCAGAGTTTCCAATTCTTGTTCAATGGTCTTTTTGCCTTTTTCAACGACGGCGCGCTGAGTCTTCTCTTCTGCCAGAGCGGCCTGCAACCCTGAAATTTCAAGGTCCGCATCAACCTTCTTGATGAGGATCTGTTGTTCAATATCCTGCCGGTACCTTTCGTTTTCCGATTCGAGGGATTTGAGTCGGTTCTGCGCTTGTTCCAGCTCCTGGCGGGTGGCGACTAGGCTGTCATCCAGAGTAGTCTGATTGTTGATCGCCTGAATCAATTTAACACTCAACGCAGCCACTTCGCTACTCAAATCCGGATGATGAGATGGCGTTATGCACGATTCGGGAGTCTCCGAATCATTGGCCAGTCTTGGATCTTTCAGTGTACTGAAACCACCATCAGGGAAATCACCTGCACTGTTGGAACGGGAGGCAAGTGTTGGTTTCTGAGTCGTGACCGATAGGAGGTCATTGGTAGACTTCGTTTTCGTGACTGTTCTATCAGGAGAGGGCGATCTATGACCAGACGAGAGAGATCGCTTGTGGTTACTTGAACGGGGGATCATGTTGGAGGGTGAGAGGAAGCTGTGACGTAAGTGATAGGTCTGAAATGCGATTAAACTGTTCAACTCAGTCAGCGACTTGCAAAGCCACACACGGAGAGCCTCCAATTAATGCATCACGTACTCGGCCATGGTGGTCGCTGAAAGAGACGAGAGGGTTTGTTCCAGGCGGTGGAAGAGGCTCAGTGACCCAGACCGGGTATCACAGCCATGCAATTAGGTTATTCACTGTGCTCATCCAGAGACTTCGATTGTGGATGTGTGATCAAGAAATAAGCGAGGTGTATGATCAACTGTGAAAATACAGCTGAGGCACGGGTGCCTGCCAGCGCGCGTACTCCGAATGTAGAACGAGAAGGACAGGAGCGGAGATTGGGAGAAGGAAAAGTCGGATTTAACGGATACGACGAAAGAAAAGGAGAGGACAGATAGAATTGAAGGGAGACCAATATATTGAACAAAAGAATCGAGTCAAAGGAAGGGAGTGATAGTCAGAGTAACCCCTCTCTAGCTGGAAAGGATGGCGGTTGGGATGGCGCTTGCAGGAGTACGGAGTAGGCTGTTTCTGTCAGAGTACTACTACCAGTACCAAGGTCCAAGATCCCTGGAACCTCAGGCTCGAAGGCCAAAGTGTTAAGTGAGGGATGGGATGACGGATGTCGTACTGAAGAATCCCAGGAGCTAGTATAGAAGAGGACTAGTGTCTGACAGGAGGCAAATCCAGATTGAGCTTATCTGATTCGGGACACCCGATCTCAAAAAGGACTAGACCCAGCGGCTACCTATCAGGTGACAAGTTGACAACCCAGTAACTATACAGTCTACAGTACGCCAGTACGGAGTACTTACTTTAGGTATCTACTCCGTAAGGTAGGAGTAGGTACATCCCATTGGCCATGTGACTCTCTGATGAATCCTCCAATGGAATTTCAGCTTCTTTTATCTGGCTGTTCAGCTTATAATATCTTAAATCTTAAGGTAATAAATATCTACTGAAACAAAATTTGTCTACCCCATCATACCATACTTTTGATTAACCAAGAGATTGATCAGGTGAAACATCTAAGAGACGGATCACTCCATGGATACCTTGACTACTCGGGAGAAACCCAAATCCATAAAACTTCTGTCCTGTGTGAGGGTCTGAATCCTTCTCACTCCTAAATTGCCCTTCTTAAGAACGAAGACTCGATAGTTCGGGTCTATCCCTTTCAAAAGGGATCAATCCTGTTTGCAAATAATATCGAATTCTAAAACGAGGTTCTTGCCAGACAAGTGGCCGAGAGCTACAACACCAAGCTGGATCGCTGATCAAGCGAGCTGATGGTCTGGGAAAAGCCACAGTTCGTTGCCCCCCAGCATGGTCAGCATCTCCCTGCTTGTATGCTTAAGCCGACATTGTCCTCAACACGCCCAGACCTGGACAACTCATAGTTACAACAAATGACTCCTACGTTTTAACTGCTCGGTCGAAGTCACCAAATGATAGAACCTACCCTCTGGTAAGAATGGATCTGGATGCGTTTGTCAGGTCAGCATTTGCAAGACCCAGAGCTCGATCCCTTCATCCGCGGAAGACAATACCATCAGCTGAGAACCAGAAGATAATTTCGACAGAAGCAATCTATATTCTGTGTAACTAGTACTTGCTCAGTCAGCCTGTTCAGCACTACATACCTACCCACCTACTCTGTATGCATGCTAGGGAGGAAATTGTAAGGTGTGGAATGAGGCTAGGCTGGCGCTTGATGACGACATTTCCCGTTGGAAAGATAGATAGAACCTGTGTATAATGTATATTGGCGAACACATGGCTGTTCAAGCAAGGTAAACCCTGAAGGCCTGAACAACGCTTCTCCATTCAAGGATCAATGCATACTGTGTAGTACTTGTGGATCATCTAGACCTAATAGTGTATCTACTCCGTACTTCGGGGGAGAAGTTGAACCGTGATTGTCATGGAGCCCCACCCCCAACATGACGGCCTCAGGCCACAAAGTGGGGTACAAAACTTCACTATCATTCGATCTGGGTAGTCTACCCCTCGATAGAGAGAGAGAGAAAGAAAGATACAGTTGAAGACCCAAGCAACACTATCTAATCCATTTTGTGGTTTTCGCTTTCCCGGATTGATTCGGTCTTCAGATTTACTACAGAACCAGGATTCTAATATCTTCTCAATACAAAAACCCTTGCCTCGAACACTAAATCCAAATGGCTGACGCAGAGCTGGAAGAGGTGCGTATGAGAGGCATTTTGAACTACGACATTGGAACTATTATCTAAAGATCGGAATAGCTCAGACGGGCCCGTCTTGCACAACTACAACAACAGGGTGGCCCCCGAGGAGCTGGTGGAGAGGGTCAAGAGGAACAAAGAAAGTAAGTCTTGCGAGTCACATTCACCAGACAGTCACCGATACCGTACCTTCTCCCAGTCAAAATGCATGTGTGAGATACTGACCGTCTTACTTCCAGACAAGCTGAAGGTATGCCATCATGATTTTCCTAACCTCCGCGAGATAGTCTCCAGCAACCTACTCACCCTTGACCGACTCGCCAGCCGAACGTCGCTCTGCCATCCTGAGCCAAATCCTCGAGCCCGAAGCCGCCGATCGTTTAGGTCGGATTCGCCTCGTCAAAGAATCGCGCGCCTTGGACGTCGAAAATAGACTTATCATGCTGGCACAGACGGGTCAGATCCGTCAGAAGGTCACCGAAGATCAGCTGAAGGACTTATTGAATGCGATTGCGGAGAACCAACGGAAGGACGAGCAGGAGAAGATCGTTTTCACTCGACGGAAAGGCGGCTGGGACGACGATGATGACCTGCTGGACTTGTAAGAATGGGACTTTGGACTACAGTCGTGCCGCCAAAATCGTGCTTCTAAAGAGCATGGAAGCGGCATTTTGCGGGATGAGCTTATTTTGATACCTCAGCTCTCGATCGAGGATCTTCCAGGCGTTACCACTCGCGCAGCTGATTTCTTCGTCTAGAAAGCTGCCTTTCCTATCTTCTACTTCATGGTCTTTTCACAAAAAATTCTCACCGCGAGTCAATGCAGCTATGACCTACAGCCAGCCGTCTTTACAATTCTAGGAACGAGTCCCTCCCAGGCTTTACCACGCATTAAACAACAATTGGGGATACAGTGTATGGAATTTACCTGGATAAAAGAGCCTGACGCCAAGCTCAAGTGTAATATACATATCTTAACAGCCAGAACAGCCCGACTTCGGCAACATTCAGGAAGTCAAGCATCAAGAACATATCATGCTTGCTGCTCCAACCTCTCCTTCTCCCGCTTCTGTTGTTGCCTCATCATCTTCCGAATCTCCCGTAAATCGGGCGGCCTTTCAATGTGCAGCTCCCGTCGTAATTCATCAACATCCTTCTCCAAGATTTCCTCCCAATAGACGTTGATCAATTCCTTGCTCGCAAGCCCGCTGCGAACTGCCCATGGTAGATGGAGCGAGAAGAACCTCTCCCGTTCCGCAGGCTTCAATCTCACGAATGCGAAGATGCTGAGACCAGTCATGGGGATAAGCGTATTGAGAAACTCAAACGCCTTGAGCGCCAACTCTCCCTCAACGAAGATAGGAAGCCCAGTCACCGCGTGGTAAAAGTCGTGGCACTCCCGGTACCGCTGCATGACATATGCACATTCCTCGTCATCAATGTACTTGACGCTGTTGCGAGTGTCGGGAGAAACCCCCTCGCGATCAAGCCAAGTAGCGTAAGTCCGGCCCACGGAGTTCTCTGGCAGAGAGCGGAGGTAGGACATCGGGAGGGTCTCGGAGGTTATACGCGGACGGTCCCGAAGAATGCGTCGGCCCGTGGGATCAGATAACATCGCATCGCGAAGTCTGTATATAAAATAGGGGGTTGCCGTAGCCTCGCCGCACGCTGCAATGAGATCTATGACGCCGCGTATTGTTAGTCCAACCTTTTGGGACGAGAGCGCTATAACCAAAAATCATAATTTTGGAAGATTTTGTATGTATTTCCTTACCAGCTCTTCGAGGATTTAGAAGCGATCCCACCGCAGAGCCCACAGCCAGAGCACCACGCTCGAGGAAAGTCAAGGGGACATGACCAGGGTACTTCGGCGGCGGGCGGTTCACGGCGGAAAAAGGCCGTACATAGGCTGCAATTGCTGGTGATGCTGGTGTCAGTCCCCTGGCAGCCAGTCCTGCTCCACGCCTCCCAAGGAGTGACATGTTGTGAGTAGAGGGCGTAATGTCGTTATTAACATGACCCTTTATGCGACAACAGGTCGAGATGGTCTGATGCTTCGGGAACTTCTGACGCCGCGGAAGAGCTCCGGCTGGCGCAAGTGGTAGTTTTGGAACGCCGTAGAGCAAACGATAAGCTTTCGATAAGGATTTCTTATCACTGAATTTATGCCGCTATGTGGTTCACAGATAGCTTGGCTCTTTTTGAGCAAGTTCACCATACTTCGATGAAATGTTATAATGCCATTTTGAGATTAACAGATTGATATTGGGTCTAAATATACGAACAACTGAAAATGATCAACACATCTGGATCCATCCCTTGATGAGAAGCAAGCACACCGCAAGTACATCAACCCTGTTTGTCTCTCTAGCACAGACCCCACCACATCCATTGCTGCTCAGCCAGAAGACTCCAAACCATTTTACAGTTATGAGGCCAGACTGGTGGCCTGGGGAAATTCATGAGAGCTTCACCGAATGGGCCATCTCCCAAGGGGTCATTGTGAATGGAGTTGCTCCGGCGCGGTTTCCTGGCCGCGGACTGGGAATGATATCTACGAGGGCCATCAAAGTTAGTAGTGGACCATCCTCCTTAAATTTCCAGACGAACTGACATCCACAACATTAAAAGAAAGGCGAGGTGATCTTGACAGTGCCACTGAAGGCAATGTTGACAACGAGGCGCATCCCTGCATCCTTTAAGCAGCAATTTCCCAAGGATGTCTCCGTCCATGCGCTCCTTGCTGCCTTCCTAACCCTCGGGGAAGAGGAGGACTTGCAAAAGTATGAGCTCTGGAGACAGACCTGGCCTATTCGCCGGGACTTTGAGGATAGTGTGCCCCTTCTGTGGCCATCGTCCCTCCGGGGGCCTAATCCATGCTATGATGACAACGCCACTCAATTGAATCTGCTTCCTCCTTCAATATCCGGCGCCTGGAACACTATTCGGAAACGCAAGATTGGGTACGAGTATGAGACGTCGCACCAAAACCTCCTTGCCCAGCAGGAGCAGAGATTGTTGAAAGCTTGGAATAGCGTCATCTCCGTTTTCCCCGAAACAGATTGGGAGGCTTATTCATACAACTGGTTCATCGTCAACACGAGAAGCTTTTACTATCTTATGCCTGGCCAACAGCCACCGGAGGATCGAAACGACGCCATGGCCTTATTACCTTTCGCTGACTACTTTAATCACTCCGATATAGAGGTACGGACTGTCCTGCCCAGCAGCATGACACCTCAATTTCTTCTGGTTTTGACATTATATGCCGCACAGGATGATGTAAAATTCAATGGCCAGAAATATATCTTTCGAGCGACAAGGAACTATGGTACGAGTCTATTTTATCTCCATTGGCAGATCGATTCGCTGACCCTAAACAGATGTCGACGAGGAAATATACATGAGCTACGGGCCACATCCGAACGATTTCTTACTCGCTGAATGTGAGATCAAGACACCATCGTTTGTTCCATGGATCACACAGCTTACGTCAATTAGATGGGTTTTTCCTCGAGGAGAACGGATCGGAAGCGATATACCTTGATGATATCATTTTTCGAGATCTGAGTGCGTCCCTCCAGGAAGAGCTATATTTGCAACAATATTATGGGTATGTTGACCATGAGATCATTGGCACCTTCTTGGGTGGCTATTGTAGCGCCATTGATGCTAATATATGGTCCAGCAACTACGAAGTCACTGCCACAGGCGCCTGTTATAGAACCGAAATTGCTGCTTGTATGAAATACATGACTCCAAGGGATTGGCGAAACTATGTCCTTGGGTATTCGACAAAGGGTTTTGACGAACAGAAATCGGCTGCAATTATCCAAGAATGGATACGCGCCTATGTCAAGGAGGCGGACACCACACTCGCTGCTCTAGAACATCTTGGTCCCGATCAAGTGGACCAGAAAGATATTGAGAAAGTGTCAACACTCGTCAGGCGATGGGGACAAATCAAGGCCCTCTGTGATAAGGCTCTGATAACTGTGTCCTGCTGACAGAGCAGAGTATGGCGATCCATAGCCACAAGCATTCTCCGGACATGATGAACATTTCGGTCAGTGGTTCCATGGCGAGCAGATTCAAAGTTTTGAACCGCCAAGGACATCGATAGGGATAGCCCCGGACACTCTCTGCTTCGCCAGTTGCTGTTTGGCAAGGACCAAATTCTTAATCATATAGTTCACTGCGCACTTGATGCCAAGCTCCTCGCCCCTGCGCACAATGTAACCATTTATATACTCGATCTCCGTGGTTTTCCCAGATCGTACATCAGCCAGCATGGAGCTGGTATTCTTGGCAGTCTTGTTCGCAAGTTGAGTGACCATCCATCGAAGACGTTCTGGCGAAAAGCGATTTTCAATACCAGGAATACCTTGCAGTTCAGGCAAGGCGCAAATGACACTCGAGATCTCAATCAAAAGCATCCGCATCACGCGAGTAAAGCTGTAGTTGTACAAAATCTCCCCGTTTTCACAATCCATGATGGCCGTCAAGGGATTAATGATAGCGTTCATTGCCAGTTTCTCCAGCTGATATAGAAGAAGGGAGGACGGAGTCTCGGCCACAGCAACCAGCGGCGGCGTGAGGGTCAATGTACGTGTGAGGTATTTCGTACTCGGAGCCCACTCTAGCTCCTCCTCATCCGCAGATGAATGTGCCTCGCGCGGCAAGACGGGACTGATGATGGTCGTTCCAATGCCTGTATGACTGACATGGAACGCGTCCCGTTTCCGCGCTAAGCCATGTGAAATGATACCACACATGTAGTGCGGACGGTGGAGAGGGTCAGGGAAGACCTTCTTGTTAATCTCCTCGATGGTTCCCATGCCATTTTGGAGAAGAAGGACTGTGGAATCAGGGGTCAAGCGATGGCTGACCGACTCCAGAGCTTTCGCAGTCATTGGAGCTTTGACTGCAACTATCAGGCATTCGATATGCTCATCATCCTCCACTGACTGCGATAATGACTCTTCCACCCCGGCTTCTAAATTTTCTTCCGCAGCTCTGTTACCGCTGGTATCGGGCTCTCCATTCTCTTTCCAGTAAGGTAGCGAGTACCATGTCCGGTCACTCAGTACGTTGACATCGAAGCCGGTTTTAATATCATCAAGACCGTTAGTATTGACGGCTAGACACTTTTTTTTCGCCAACCAAGCTCCGTAAAGGCTCCTACTGTGCAGCAACAGGGTGATAGGAGGCGGTGACGGTCGACTTGCAAGCGAATGCGCAACAAATGTTCCGACATTTCCAAGTCCCAGGATATGTATCCGGCCCGATAGCTTGCGCCTCTCGTTCGCATGGGATGCATCAACGGCTTTCTGTATCCATGTAGATACGGATCGACTCTGCTGCACGCTTCGAAGGCAGAGCCTTGTCAAGGTCTCTACTTCGCACACGCCAGTCCGCAGAAGCGGACGGCGTCCTAGTATGTAGAGCGACACTTTGAAGAATTGCACGAGATTCGAGGAGCGAGTTTCGTTATCGGAGAAAATTTCCTAGCGAGCTCACTATTTCCTCAATTCCACTCCAACAATACTATGTGGCAAAGCATTTCAATTCTTCGTTCAGCTAGTTCGTCTTCTGGAGGCTGCGACAAGGAATAATAATGACGGTCGATCAATAAGCTAGGAGAAATGGGCTCTGACCGCCTGATTCACCGCCCACTGATAAAAAAAATCGCCATTATCAGTTGGATTGATGGAAAAGGTGATTTGATCAAGACTGCGCCAACTTATACAATATGGACGCCGTTGATCTGATTCCGTTGCTCGAGCAGCTGGATGACAATGTGGACGACTTGGAAGAGGCTCTGAAACCCATCTTGAGCAATTCAGTTCTCGAGACCTCAAAGAAACTTCCAGTCCTAGACAAGGCGAAATTCCACGTTCTTGTAACCTACACTCTGGAATCTCTCATCTTCTGTACGATTACCCAAGTTTCTCCCGATTTATGGAAATTCTATGCTTACGTTGAGGTAGCTTATCTGCGTCTCCATGGCGTGAATGCAAAGGAGCACCCTATCTTCCGCGAAATCACCCGGGTGAGGCAGTATTTTGCAAAGATAAAGGCGCTGGAGACAGAGCCGGAGCAAAGGACTATGACTTTAGATAAGGAGGCAGCTGGTCGCTTTATCAAACATGGGCTTGTAGGTTCCTCCCTATGTCTCTTGACCTGCAGTTTACACCCCCCTCCCCTTCCCCCAACTCTCTCGTTTCTTGTATAGTACGCGCTAATATCCCCCAGGCCGGAAATGAGAAGTTTGATATACAACGCAAAGAACAGGAAGCCAAGGAAAAAGCGCGTGCCCAGCTCAAGGCGGCATTGTTAGCCAAGAAAGGCGCGAAATCCGAGACCTCGTCCAAGAACGCTACAAGTAATTCAAACTCAGAATCAGACCAAGACGGCAGTGACTCTGATAATGAAGACGCTATGGCTGTGGAGCCAACACAGCCGTCCGAATCTCCCGAAACAACCCATGCAGAAGATACCAAAGAAGGAAAGAAGTCGAAGAAAGACAAAAGTAAGCAGGAAATTTCCAAGGCCACCAGGAAGCGCAGGAAGCGAAGCAAAGAGGACCAAGATGAGAGAAAGAAGGAGAGACGGCAGAAGAAGTTGGAAGTTCGGAAGACGAAGAAGACAAAATGAAGAGGAGGGAACATAAGTTGATCACCCATTGTAAGACAAATCTTCGCATCCTGGTCGGCTGGCCCGACCATGGCCCAGTGTTGGATGTCGACCGTCAGAATGGTGGTAAGACTTAGCTCACCTCTACCCCAGATGCCTCATGCCAACACTTGGGTTGTTGGCATATACAGCTTTGTGCTGAAGCTTGGCACTTGATGGGTTTCCTGACATGGCATTATCGAAATGTCTCGATCTAGATACCCACAGCCCTCCTCCTACGTCAGAGGGCATGTGCACTTGGAATCACTTATAGAATAGATATCCATTATTAGCAATGAACATTGAGAATGAGTCAGATGGCGAGTCGACACTCCTGTAATATTACAGCGTTCTGTAACATAAACAGGTGCCGATTGATACAGCACGTGATTTCATCCAGCAGATCTTTAGGTACATACTTACATAATCAAACAACAACCAATCGGTATCGAGGTATCCATCAGCTGCATCGGAGTTTGTTCTCTTTCTCCGCCGACGGGACATTCGAGGTTCTTCTTTTTCGCGCCTCCAACCTCAACATATAAAAGCCTCCAACCCATCAAGCTTTCGCTCCTTATCCAACTTTTCATCAAACTATACCCCTCTTTTTTGTCGCCTTCCTCACAAACACACATCAAGATGCCTCGTCAACGCCGTGGTGCCGCCCCTGCGCCTACTCCTGCCCGCAGCGCTCCCACCAGACCTACCGTTGCTCCGGCCAGACCGGCCGCTGCTCCCCACGCTCAGCAGCACCAGCCTCACTCGACGGCTGCTCACCCTCCTGCCCAGCAGGCTCCTCCCCCCATGGCTCCAGTCCAGCAGAGCTCCGGCCCCGGACTGTTCGGCCAGATGGCCTCGACCGCTGCGTAAGTTGACAAGCCTACCTCCCCGACATCCTCGGCTCAGATATGTTCTGGTGGCAATAACCCGATATGGCATATCGAAGAAGTTGCCATCGCCAGCTTTTGCGCCGAGTCACATTTTCAGTATGAGAAAACGCAGTGACTAACTTTATTCTTTTCCTTTCTAGTGGTGTCGCAGTTGGTTCTTCGATCGGGCATGCCATCGGTGGCTTCTTCAGCGGAGGCTCTAGCAGCGCCCCTGCTGAGACACAGCAGGCTGCCCCCGCTCAGGCTCAACCCATGGACAGTGCTCTGTGGCAGGGCAGCGCCACCAACAGCTCCTGGGAAAACCCCGCCTGCGAGACGGACGTTCGCAACTTCCGCAAGTGCATGGATGAGAACCAGGGAAACATGACCATCTGTGGATGGTACCTCGACCAGCTGGTAAGCAGCGCGTTGCATTGTTATTGTATCTGGGAATTATTGCTGACTGCATTGTATAGAAAGCCTGCCAGGCTGCGGCTAAGCAGTACTAAGCGACTGTGCTTGTATCTACGTGCTTTTTCAATTTGGGTAAAGACTTCTCGGTCTTTGGTGCAATTATCGACTTGTCTCAGGTTCATTTCTGGGATGGCGGGTTGATGGGTTGTGTTTGCATAGCGGCGTAATAACCTTACTCTACTGTATACCACTCTCCCAAGGGAGCCATATCTGTCTTATTTGTCTTCCTATGCGTCTCTGTGTGATTCGCGAAGGAAGAAGGGAAAAGATAAAAAACTAGAAAAAAATTTGGAGTAACGAAATTCCACTCTTCGACATTGAACTCCTCCAATCCAGTTTAATAAGTAGTAAACAAGCAGCGCCTATACACGCTGCAAGTTATGAATCCAGTGCCAATCATGAAAAGAACGACTATGCACAAGTAGCTCAACACCGACTTTGGCACTCAGTATCGCTCTTATTGGAATTGTACCCCTGCCCAGTCCTCGTGATAAGCTTGGTCAAGGCGGCCAAAAACATAGATTTGTTAAACAACCATAACGCCATATCAGGACTACAGCACCAAAAGCCTTCGTATCTATCGTTCATCTGTATCTCTCCGTGGTTCGAAATTCAGCTGCACACGAGTAAGCGAGGAACTCCTTTCGCAAGTCCTGTCAGCTGGGTGACTGAAACCACATACCTGATTCCCGTTATAAAACTGACTGTCGCCCCGTTCTTCGCGCTGGTCTCTCAATGTTCGGATTCTAGGACCACTGGAAGCAGTCACCTGCGGTCTTCGCGCGCCCCTCTCCGATGCAGAGCTGGAATCAGGGGTTGTCTCGGAAGAGGTTGACGTTGTGGAGTTATACCCAAGGAAGGAGCCAACTAGGCCTGTTGCAGTACCCACGGCAGAGGAAAGCAAGCCATAAGCGGAATATGCAGCACGTACGGGTAGGCTGGTACCTGACCCTGTATACGCCTCCGTATAGGAGTTGATCGGAATCATCACAAGGTTGGCGGTAGAACCTAATCCAAGATCTTCAAGCGTACGTTCCTCTTCAGCGATAGTGAGCGTTCGATTGGGCAACGGGGTCAGAATGTGCTTCAGGTTATATGGTCGTTTCTCGTCTTGTAGTAGACTGTCTAGCCATGGCCTAACATCCCCACGAATAGTCTGAGATGGTGTAAAACTGCGACGAACCGAGCTTCCGTCAAAAAGTCGGACTTGAAGACGATATTGTTTGGGAGGTGTGGACGTAGCTGGTTGGCGCATTGCTGGAGCTTCCTTCGGCGAGCCTGTGCTTATTGTAGTGTTTGAAGGTGATGTTGTTTTCTTTTCCGGCTTCGCCTTGATAGTGGTATTTTGTTCTTGGATATTCGTGTCGTGCTTCCTAATTTGTTGTCCCCTCTTCGATTGTTGGGGCTTATGTGTTGATCGGGAAGGCGCAGGGTTGGCTACCCTCGAGGATCCTTCATTGTGTGCAGCGCCTGGAGTTTGATCTGGTTGGCGGTCCCCGATATTTTCTTCTTCGACTGGTTTCGGTTGTGATTGATTCAATATCGAGGGGGCAGGTGTTGCTGCAGTCGTGGCAGCGGTTGAGGATACAGGGCTGGTCGAAGGATCAGGTGAGGGTGCGGCAGAAGGACGTGAGACAGGAGGCGCCGGAGCACTCAGCTGTGCTGGTTGATTCTCCTCGAGAGAAGCTCTCAACCGAGTGCGAAAGTCATCTTTGGAGATCTCAGGCACAATGTATTCCCGCAACATGCCATTTCTGTGGACCACCCTGGTCAGCGTACTGTACCCAGTAGTGTCAATTGGTAAGGTAACCCCTACTTAATCACCACCACTGTAGGGAATCGAACGATGGGACAGAAGGAAGTCAGGAATCCAGCTTCATTGCTATCTTTCGTGAGCCGCAACAGGACAGATTTCGTCTGAAGCGATTGGGCAAGTTGCTGGATAGAATCCAAGTCAGAAATAGGCGACTACGCATCCCGTTAACCAGGAACATACTCCATCATCCACGAAATATTCATCCTCCCAGAGAGTACTGGTCTCTTCATCATCTAAGTCAATCCCACCAAATTAGCATGTAACCCCAGACTGCCGAAGCATCCATTCACATGCAGAAATAGCCGTGCGGGGATGACAGACAAACCTCGAACGAAGCAGACAACAGCCTTTGCCTCGCTGACAGCGAGAGCAATTCCTGCCTGTAGACCTTCTGAGTAAAACATAGCGGATCCTGGGTACCCCGAAAGGAAGAAACTGAAGTGCAGGATCCAAGCGATGTAGCTTTATCGCGAAGTATAAGGACAGCGTAACTTATCGGGGAAAGCGGTTGGAGCTCCGCCGATCACGGGGTTTTCTCCAAGTCTTCCGGCCTCAAGCGACTTCCATCCCGCATCTTCTCCTCATAAGCAATTCTGCGCCTCAAGCCCCCAGGCCTCAACTCGTCCACGATCGCCTTGGTTCCGACTGCCGGGAATTCATCCACTATCAGACATGCGGTCGATCTTCTCCGTCCTCCAGCGGACGGCAGCGACCTCGTGGCAGCCGCAAATCTCCACGGTTCGGAGTTCTCGTGCGGTGTTCCGGCTTGATTCCATCTGTGCCAAATGTCGCCGACAACAGATTCGGTTTACGAGTAATCGACAGCTTGCGGATGATCCTAGATGGCTCTCCGTCGTCGATCATCCGGCGCGAATTGTCCGCACAGGGCGCAAGCACGGACCGGGCTTGATCATTCTAGGTACGTACTGTTCATTGCAGATGATTATATCACAATTATTCCTTTGCGGGATGGACGAATCAAAAGTTCATTGGCTAATTGAAAGCAATCCTTATAAAGCATTGATCCCCATCATCTCATTCGCCTTGGGCACATGGCAAGTCCAGCGACTGGATTGGAAGACCAAGTTGATCGCAAAGTTCGAGGACCGTCTCGTAAAGCCTCCACTCCCGCTGCCTCCACGCATTGATCCAGATGCCATTTCCGAATTTGATTACCGAAAAGTGTACGCCACAGGTCATTTCCGACACGATCAGGAGATGTTGATCGGGCCGCGCATGCGTGAAGGCCACGAGGGTTTCATGGTGGTCACCCCACTGGAGAGAGGCCCTGGAGCAAGCACCGTGCTTGTTAACAGAGGTTGGATCTCCAGGAAGATGATGAACCAGAAGGACCGGGCGGACGGTTTGCCCAAGGGCGAGGTCACAGTCGAGGGTTTGCTTCGGGAACCATGGAAGAAGAACATGTTTACGCCTGAGAACAAGCCGGAGCAGGGGAAATTCTACTTTCCCGATGTTTACCAGATGGCTGAACTGACAGGGAGTCAACCTGTGTGGATTGAAGAGACCATGGGTAAGATAATCTACCTATGAGAGCGAACTTTTTCCAGGCTGATTGCGAGTCGCAGTGCCCGATATGGTCGAAGCGTTCAACAGGGAGGACAATGGTATTCCCATCGGCCGCGCAGCTGAGGTCAACCTGCGGAACAACCACAGCCAGTACATTTTCACATGGTAAGTACTACCCCACGACTGATTCGCGTTCGGGTGTCGTTTCCTGTTGCTCATTATCAATAGGTACGGTCTGTCGCTGGCAACATCCATTATGATGTGGATGGTTGTCCGCAAGAGGCCGAATGAGGTCACTCGTCGTGTTGTCCAGAATCGGAACTGGTCATGATTCCCGGGTCTGGCATCATTATATGCATTATTGACGGCGTTCAGCTTGGTCCTTTCAGATTTTTGTATCATATATCCTCCGGTCATGGTGGCATTGCCAACCTCATGTCCTGTAGGAGTTCTTTTGGCAAGTACTTTTGTGCGAGAGAAAAAACGGTGGTGGCATTGTTGATGTGCCGTTGCCTGGGTAGATTAGCATCCATGTACGTACGCACAATCAAGAACATTTCTCAGCTCACCTTCTCATGAGAGTTGTAACGTCCGATTCATCAATCGTCTTTCGCCCCGCATGCTTAGAGTATGCCGCTAGGTCTTCGCTCACTTGCTCAAAGTACCAAGCCGATGCTTGCTCGATTGCAGCCAACGTAGCCTTGTTGATTTTTGGCTTGGATCCGGCTTTTGCACGGGCGAAACGAGTAGCGAGTTTGCGAACAACACCCATTGGCATGTTGGGCACAGGGATACCATGGCGCGAGAGCTTCTTCGGCTTGGCGCCTGGGCCTACATGTACGCTGTCGTCGTCTCGCAGGCCGCCCCCCCGAATACCCGGGCTCTCACTTAGAGAGGCACGGTTAGGTATGTTCAGTTCCAAGCCGAAATCGCCAGCAGTCGCGCCGAAATCATCATCACTTTCCTCTGAGGCCGGGTCCATCTCCTGCTCCAGGTCGACTGGAGGAAGCTCGAATCCTTCATCGTCCATAGGTTCGTCCTGAATGAGATCGCCTTCACCGGGAGGGGGTGGGGATGGGAAGTTGAAATTGAAGTTGAACCGTCCAAGGTCCTCCGTCTCGCCGCTGCATGAAGTTAACCAGGCTGAACTTGATCCAAATGAGCACTCTCCATACTGACCCTCGGTCGAATGCACCCTGGCTCATGAGTGTCTCGTCCATTCCTTCGCCCACGATTCCCGTATCATCGCCCTCGCCGTCTTCGGAACCACTCTCCAATCTGGTCGAGTCGCCAAAGTTTTCGCTCAGACGAGGATTTCCGAAGCTCATCATGGACAATCTTGCTCTGTCATGGTCAGTGGCAGCTCTGCGCGGATACTCCACAGACACGTGTGTGATGTCCTCTTCATCGAAAGCCAAAGACAGCCGGGGCGGGCGCATCTCAGGACTTCCTTCATCCACCTCCTCCACATCATCCAGCGGTAGAGATAACCTGGGTCGTTCCAGTTCCGGTTCATTGTCGAGTTCCTCGATCTCGTCTTTCTCCTCTTCGGGTTCCGGTTCCGGTTCCAATCTCTCTTGTGGCGACGATTGGATTGGTTGAGAAACGGGTGCCAGAGCTATTCCTCACCGTTAGTAAAGCCCGCAATATCCTTAGTCTAACAGGCTTAATCTTTGTGGATGATAAATCCATACCCTTTCCCAGATTCCGTAAAATATCGAATGTCGTCTCGCGCTCGATCCGCCCGCTCTTCCGGCGATCACGACCGGGCGTATTTGCTGCGCGCCGTTGCATCGCACGCAAGCCGTAGGGTGTTGACGGCGCGCCTGTCACTCTTCTTCCCGGCGTCCGTCGATTTGCGGACGGGGTTGTCGATGCCGCAAGGCGACTCGGGGTAAGGGGATACCTCGTATGAATTGGTAGTCGTTGGGCCTATCGGCGACGAAAGGGTCAATTTGCGTCCGCGAGGGCACCTGCTGTTTCAAAGGACGACTTACTCCGGTCAATGTTGTGTCGCGTATCGGTGTATCTGCATTTGATCCGGAAGCCGTTGAATCGCGCGATGGCCGGCGGCCACGCGGTCTGGGGGTTGCTGACATTGGCAATGGCAGAAGGAAGTGTACAGCTGAGTGAAGGATTCAATTATCAGAAGTTCTTATTTCTTGGTAGGCATCTGCCACTAAAAAGCTGACATCAACTTCGTCATTGGAACAACCACCAAATAACGGAGGGGGTTTGATGAACAAGCGGAGAGCGCGTCGCAGAGCATCGACAAGGGGTGTACCCCCAGGTCGGTCTCTAATTGGTCAATCCTTATCGATAAGAGCAGCTGACTCAGCACAAAAAAGTTGTGATGTCTTGAATGCGACGAAGTAACAACTACACAAGGATACTTGCTATTTTGTACAATCCGGAGATTCAATTTTCGCTGGTGTCACTAGCATACTCTCACGAAGATTCACAATGTCCGACTCTACCCCCACGCCATCCGGCCTCGCCGCTAAGGTGGACAAGAAGCGCAAGAGACAAGCCGAAGAAGCTCCCAAGGAAGACAAAGCCGCAGCAGCCCCATCGGCGAACAATAGCACAGATGGGCCTCAGAAGAAGAAAAAGAAGAAGAATGCCAAGAACAAGCTGAAGCAGAAGCAGAAGGAGGCGGAAGAGGATCCCAAACAACAGGAGCGCAAAGGCGGCCTCGACGAGTCCATTGGCAAGATGGACGGCCGGTTACTGGCTGACCACTTTGCTCAGAAGGCGAAGCGACATAATAAGGAGCTGACTGCGGTTGAATTGAGCGATCTCAGCATTCCAGGTACGAATGCGTCTGTCCTCGGTCATGATGAGGACTACTACTTTTTGCGTATGGGAGGAGACTAATACGGCTGGACGCAGACTCTGCATTCCTCGACACTTCCTCGTTTGAATCATCTCGTTCACTCGACCAGCTTCCCGCGTTCCTCAAATCATTCAGCCCGGACAAGGGAGCAAAGCTCTCCCAGGCGTCGGAAGAGAAGGGCTCGCCGCACACATTAGTTGTCTGTCCCGCTGCGCTCAGAGCGGCCGACGTCGTGAGGTGGGATAAATCATATACAGGCACTTTTCTACTAAACCTCATGGCCGTGCTAACTAAGCACACACAGAGCTCTCCGAACATTCCAAAGCAAAGATTCCACCGTCGGAAAGTTATTCGCAAAGCACATCAAACTCGAAGAAGCCAAGCAGTTTCTGCAGCGCGCACGGTAACGCTAACTCCTCCCCGCGACTCTTGACCAGCCCACTAACCCATTCGTACAGGACTGGTCTTGGAGTGGGAACACCAGCCCGAATCTCAGACCTGATCGATGCCGGTAAGTTCTTCCAAGCAATACCTGTACTAACTCCCAATGGACCCGATGCTGATGAGACGCAGGGAGTCTGAAACTGGGCGAGCTCGAGCGCATCGTCATCGACGGATCTTACATCGACCAGAAGCAGCGCGGGATCTTCGATATGAAGGAAACGCATCTGCCACTGCTGCAGTTGCTGACGCGGTCCGAGTTCCGTGAGCGATATGGGGCCAAACAGAAGCGGGTTCAGATCTTGATTTTTTGATTGAAGGGGGATTCATCACTGCGTAGCATTGGCGTTTATTCAGATGGGTATATATATCTAAAGAATTTCCGTACATATTATCTTCCAATTTTGCGTCCTCGAGTGGATTCCTTGAAGTGATAGAATCTTAGTGCCTGATATCCAAGGCATAAATGCATGTGGAGTCAACCCCCACCGCCCAGAGCAACCGCCCGGCAAAAAAGTAATTTTCCATCTCTGCTAGTAGGTAGTTTTCTACGAGCTTCGTTTTTGTTTTTATCAATTTTTTTTTAACTTTGTATCAAGTATCTGAATTCCGATTCAATCCCTTCATCTGTTGACGGGGCCTTTGAATAAGTACAACGGATATAGCTCACACACCGCTAATTCATCCAATCTCACACTGCACAATGGGCGACAAGAAGCGCAAGCTCGCCGAGGAAGCCATTGCGCCCGAAGGCAAGAAGCTGAAGCACGAGAAGTCCAAGGAGGAAAGGAAAGAGAAGAAGGAGAAGAAGAGCAAGTCGAAAGATGCGGTTGATGCGGTGAAGGCTGAGGAGGTTTCCGCGGTGGAGGACAGCAAGCCTAAGGAGAAGAAGGAAAAGAAAGACAAGGAGAAGAAGGACAAGAAGGAGAAGAAGGACAAGAAGGACAAGAAGGACAAGAAAGAAAAGAAAGAAAAGAAGCAGAAGGAAGTAGCGGAAGAGAAGGAGAACACAGAGCCCTCGAAGGAGCAGCAGGAAACCGCCGATGCGATGGACGTCGACGCGGATGTGAAGCCCACCGAGAGCGCAGAGTCCGACAAGAAGACCGAGAAGAAGGACAAGAAGGATAAGAAGGATAAGAAGTCCAAGAAAGAAAAGAAGGCAGAACAATCAGAACAGCCCGCTGCGGAAGAACCCGCCCAAGAACAGCAGGAGGAGTCGCAGGAGCAACCATATCAGAAGAACAGCCGGTTCATTTGCTTCGTTGGTAAGTTGGAGCTGAGCTCTGCCAAATCCTCCCCGGGCTATGGCAATGCTAATATCTTATGTTTTCTCCTTCAGGAAACCTCCCTTACTCCGCAAATGCCGAGTCGCTGAGGAAGCACTTCGAGAAAAACCCACCAGCCTCCGTGCGCGTGGCCACTGAGAAAGACAAGCCCACCAAGTGCCGTGGATTCGGCTTCATCGAGTTCGACAACTACGACCGCATGAAGACCTGCTTAAAGCTGTACCACCATTCCATGTTCGATGACGGAAAATATCCTCCCCGGAGAATCAACGTCGAGTTAACGTGAGTGGAGCCTTCTGGCATGCCGAACGGGACATGATACTGATAAGTACGATAGTGCCGGCGGCGGCGGCGGCAAATCCGAATATCGCAAATCCAAGATCGTGGCCAAGAACCAGAAGCTCAACGATGAGAGACAGCGCCAAGCCAAGGAAATTCAGACGGAAAAGAAGAAGGTCCACAACAGAGATAATGGCGACGACGCTGGGGACGCCTTCGCCGGTATCCATCCCAGCCGGAGAGCTCGGATGGCATAATGGACGGACATTGAATCAGCTTAACGGAACCAAGCAACTCCGTTGTTTTTTTTTTTTTCCAAACGCACTTTTTTGGGGACTTTTCTGGTCCTGTTGTTTTCCGATTTGAAAGATATCCTTGTTCTCGTCATGAATGTGAATACTCGATGGATTGTGTTAGACGGTAGTATATATAGAACTGAGGTCAATGCATAACGCTGCATGCATCGCTCCGTAAGCTGCACAAAGAACGTTTTCCAAGACTCGCCAAGTCTATGTAACGACAAGAAAAGAGAGAGAGAAGTAGAAGAGAGAAGAAAAAAAAAATGACAACCAACCGATCAAGCGACAGTTGCCCGGTATTGCAGAGCATGTTACAAATTTAGACTGCATTAAGAAGGCGAGAAAATGAGGCAAGGGTGTCCTGACCCATGGGAAAACGCATCAGGATCATGGCAGGCAATGACAAGGAGAAAAGAGATATGAACACAATTGAAACAATCATAAAAGGGGATCATTACAAACCCCGACTGCCCAGACGCCGTATTAGTTGTTTATGATTATATGATATGACGAAGTTGGAGAAATTTGCGTCTACAAGATCAAGCATTTCTTGCTTTTTGGTTTCGCAGCAGGTCGCGGGTTGAGCACAGCACTGTCAAGATGTATTAGCGTGGGGGGATCTTTCGAGCCGGCGCTTTGACGCAGGCTGGGGCTGGGGCATACCGAATAGCTTCGTCAAACACGCTCTTGAGATTGCGCTGTGTCAGGGCGGAACACTCAAGATACTTGTGCGCGCGAATCTCCTTGGCGACGGCCAGCGCCTGCTCATAGGAGACGGGCTCCATCTTCCTCTGGCGAAGGGACTCTGCAGTCGCGCGATCATCTCTCAGATCGAGCTTGGTGCCGACAAGAATGATGGGGACATTAGGGGCGTGGTGCTCGATCTCGGGGTACCACTACACAGACAAAAGGGTCAGAAAGGTCTCTCCACCAAAGTTTGGGCCGTCGCACTTTGCGAAAAGGGAGTAATCACCTTGGCCTTGACGTTGTCAAACGACGGGGGGCTGACGATGGAGAAACAGATGAGGAAGACATCGGTTTGGGGGTAGGACAACGGTCTCAGGCGGTCGTAATCTTCCTGTCCAGCAGTATCCCATAGTCCGAGGCTGATAGGCCGGCCATCTACCATCACACTGGCCGTGTAGTTGTCAAATCTGCAAGTCGGGTCAACAACGGAGTTCGAATGAGACGAGCGCAAGGGAGGAGAGCCACGGACACGGTAGGGATGTATTCCCCGGGGAATGCGTTGGTTGTGTACGAGATAAGGAGGCATGTCTAGCAACCATGAGATTAGTATTGACTTAGGATCCAAAAGAGAAAAGGGATTATTGGACTTACTTTTCCAACAGCACCATCGCCAGTCACTACACACTGTACAGGGTCGCCTATTAGCCGTGGTCTGGTCAACCGATTGACGATCCATGGGAAAGCTGATAAATGCTGACCTTCAATGATTGGGTAGCGGGACCTGACGCCATTGTTTCTTTTGTGGATGGTGAAAAGGATGAAAGGCTATAGTCGATTGCACACAGAGGCAGAGGAGGTTGAAAGTGAAAAGATAATATGGACGAGCAAGGATGAACTCAAATGACGCTGATCGATTAGCGTGCAAAGTGAGATTGATGGGAGGTTTAGCGTTTCAAGACTAGGCGGGTGGAGCGTTCGATTAATCAATGTGAAGGGTATAACTGGAATCTGCCAAAGGAGAAGTGACAAGGTCAGGAGAAGAAGACAACAAGGTGCTAACAGAAGAAGAAAGACTTTAGAAGGAAGAGTCGACCGGCTGGGAAGAAAGAGAAAGCAGAGAAGAACGACAACGATTCATCTAGCACAGAGGGAGAGAGAGAGAGAGAGAGAGAGAGATAGATATCTAGTCGAAGTAGAAGTAGGAGCGGGAAAGGATTTAGTCGTTTTGAATTCGAGGGGCAAAGGTCTCTTGTTCTGTTCTTCTCGCTGTGGTTGGGCTTTTGGGGGGGGTGGTTCAGAGGAAGAGAGGGGGGGCAATCGGGACGAGCGAAGTAGCTCCAAAGTAGTGTGGCCAGTCTAAAGAAACACGCAGACTGGATGGATAGCTCACCTGAGGGGGAAAATTATATCAAAAAAACTTTTGTATAACGAGGTGGGAGAATTATCTATCGTCCAAGTGAGAAATGGTACTTTTATGTATCAATTCTGGGATGCAAAGCGATGCAGAGTTCAGACATGGTGAGTTGTAGAAGAGATATGAGAGGACCAGATAGACTGGATTTTGAGAAAGGTAGTCTATGGCGTCTATGGAGTAAGTAGTTACTATTTTCTCTCTCTCTCTCTCTCTCTCTATTAAAGATCAGCAAGCAGTCCAGCAATCTAATTCTAACAATGGATTGACGATGGCTGGTAGTCCATTGAATGACATTAATATATTTATTTATTTATTTAGTTGTGTATCCATCTAGACTACTAACTACTAAGGCAGGTCAGTGGGAGGATGGACCTTCAGTTAGGCTAGGGAAGATCCTTTAAAATAAAAGGCGCTGCGGTGCCAGTTCCCAGCCTTCACCCTTAGTGGAGTACTACCTACACAGTAGATAGAATATAGATACTACTAACGGAGTACTCCAGACTCTGTACGCCTTCCATGGATTGAGCACTTCCAAAGGGAATGTATTCATTAACCTCTGTTGACTATATGCGGGAGATTGAGTATCATCTTTACTCTTCACATTCTCCCACCGGTTTGTTTGTGTCTCTGTTAACCAAACAATGGACTACCTACCTACCTTAGGTTCAAGGGGGTTGGAGAGGAACCATGGATGGCTGGCTCCAGGCAAGGTGCTACCCAACTTGAAGTATTCCGTCTAATCTTAGATTTCTTAGGTAGGTCAGTAGGCGTGCCTTATCTATCTAAGAGCACAGAACTCGCACAATAATAGTACAATCCACCTCAATTAACTCATTTGCCCAACTAGATACAGTATCGACTACTACTTACTTCCAGTTCGAGTCCCTCAAAGCTAGTAAGAGCTTACTAGACAGAATAAATGCCCAACAATGCTCATCACCATTGGACGCCGTGGCCGCCAGTTCTTGACCGCCACCAAACCCCATCCAGCCAGTAGAAGCCCAACCCGCAGCCTTTCTTGACCTAAATATACCTTTACTCAGGACTAAGGACATGGGGTTTTGCTCATCTTGCATTACTAGATCAGGCGCTACAACACGCCTTGATAGGACTTTTGTAGTTTCTTAGCCTCTTGGACTTTTCGAGGCTGGGCTACCTAACCACGTTACTAACTGTTGACTGGAGGCGGGGAGGACGGTCGAATCAACGTGTCAATGCTGGGATTGGATTCTGGATGGCCTTGAGGACTCCGTGTCTAGCAGTAGTAGCAGGAAGAAAGTATCTACCTATTGGGTGCATTGACTACTTTATCATAATGTCAAACTCTATAGGTGGGGCAGAACTCCATTTCTTCATCATGAGGAGACTGAAACAGTACGATTCATCCATGCTCTCTCTCTCTCTCTCTCTCTCTCTCTGTCTATGTACAGTCTCGGCAGTCATGATCTGGGGAAAGTGGCAGATCTTCACAAGTCCGTCTCATGTTGTGCAACGGGGGGGGGAAAAAAAATAAGATAAAATAAAATTAAAATCCAAAAATTTTCCAACTTTTAATATCCTCCAAATCAAATGGTATCTTGCATGGAACTATATGCAGCGCAAAAAAAAAAAAAAAAAAAAAATCACCAAGAAGCATCTCTCATAAGAAGTGATCACAGATGCCACTTGGTCCCGGCGTTTCAACCATGCGAGAGACGGCCTTACATGATCGGAGGAGCAACGAAAGAATCCGGAAATCCATCAAATACCCAGTTGAGGGAATCGAAAACTTCAGAAAATCCTGCTTCGCCGATGAAGGCCCCTTGGTCGTAGTTGGGGGAGTAGATCAAACCGGACGCATCCAGCGCCTCGTTCTGCTGCCGTGGAAGAGGACCCGCTGTGGACGATATGGCGGCATTCGCCATAGGAACTATACACCTGTCAGTCCGATAATCTTCTTCGCAGAAACGGGTCCTACATACCGTGCGTTTCTTCAACGCTCTTCACGGGCCGGAATCTCTGCCGCCAGCGCCAGACCGTATCATAAACATGGCTCATGCTCATTCGGCAGCGGACCTTGAGTTGTAGAATATCCTCGCCAGGTGAATGTTCCGCGTCATTGGCGTTCCACATCTGAGCGAGGATATCGGCAAGGCGAACGGGTCGATCATGATCCATCACGCTAATGCGCCGAATGGCCGAGATGGCTCCATTAAACAATAACTTGCCATGGTCAAAGTCAATGTGTCTGCTGAAATCGCTCTTCAGCAGTTTCATGAGAGCAAAGGCAGCAGATACTATCATCTGCAGGATATAGTTGGTAGCATGGCCGATTAACTCTCCAGGAGACGTCTCCAGATCCAGGACCCTTCCAAGGAAGGACGTCGTAGCAATGAAGAGCTTGGTGAGATCTTCCCCACGGGGGTTGGAACCTAAGAATACGAAATATCTCAGATGCAACTCAGCGGCTCGCAAATGGATCATGTTGATATCTGGGAGAACACGTTAATAACGGCTCAAAGATATTTCCAGGACATTCTTACGTGATATGTCTCGACCAAAATCAACTTCCATCTCGCGCAGTTCACCCTCCAGGAGCTGCACAATCAACAACTTCTCGGAGCTGATGAACTCCGTCGGCTCTGGTTTACCATTGTACAGCGCCTTCGTCACTCGGTCACAGAACTTTTCAATCCGGAGCCGAGTTCGTAGATCCTCTGAGGGGCTGTACTCAGCGTCCCGCAGAGACGCTGGCTCAAGTGCCCAGTCGTAGATGGTTCCTGGAGGTTGTCCATAGCCAGTTGCGACACTTCAGATGATCATATGTTACCATCCGAAATCCAATTTGCGTTCCTGATCGGAAGAGCATTTACTTACTTTTGAGCCACAATGTTACAGATAGCCCATGTTTGCAAGCGATCTTTCACTGCTTCACCTTGAGCTGACATACGGAAGGTTGTGAATTCTTCGGCTTGAACCGGGCGGTGCAAGCCCAATTGCATGGCAATCTGCATCATCAGTCCGCTAAGCATGAACGTTGCATCTGTCCTCTGACTCGTGGTAGGTAGAGGCCACGTGCAAAGTAGACAAAGGGCTTTGACCACACGGTAGTCTTGCGGAACGCCGGTCAGAGTTGACCAAAGAAACCTGCTAAACGGTCCACTCAAGGCACTCAGAAGACCCGGCTCCGATGGGGCTCGACGGCTGGCAATACAAATGATTGTCCAAGCCTGGAGAGCATTCCGGCGGAGGTATTCCTCAGGCGATTTCTGAGGGTTCAGCAAAGGCAAAAAGGGGTGGTAGTATGTGAAGTACCTAGGGTGTGTTAGGAAACGCCAGAGCTTCAGCCGCAGAAGAAGGCAGGGGGCAGGGAGCAATTACTGATCAAACAACCGCGCTACACGATGTCGTGATAGCGTGATATCTTCCAGTCTCCATAAGCTATCTTCCTGAGGGAGAATGGAACTTTCTCTGGGTAACGCTATCGGAGCAGGCATGGGTGGCTGCTCCAAGGGCGCGGAGAGAGGTCGAGCCCTCTTGGTGACAGTAGGGTCCGGACTGCAGAATACGTCTTCTGAACATTGTGAAATGTCATCACTGGCATTGGCATCCAGCGTCTGGGGGCGTTCCCCATTGTTTGCAAGCCGGCGACGGAGGTCTGCGATCTCCTTTTCCATCTCAGCATTGCGCCTGTCAAAGAATATCAGTTATCGACGTAGGGATCCGAGAAACAAGGCATGTTTTGTAAAGTTACCTTCGTTTGGAAATTCGCTTGAATGTAGGTTCAACCTTGCATTCTATCTGAAGTCGCCGGCAGCGCGAGCATGCGGCCGCCGGAGTCTGAACAATATCACAACGAAGCTGTTGAAACCCAACATCCCATGTTCAGCTAGTAGTCGAAAATAGAAAGTTTCGACATGTATATCAAGGTGGGCTATTTCATCTTGGGCCATTCAACACAAGAAAGCCCAGGGAGGGCATGATTGGCTCACCTTCTGCTGTTTACATTCATTACAAGCCTTTCTACTTCCACCCCGCCGTTTCCCAGTGATTTGCGCGGGAACCTTCTCCATCTCGCAAGATTCCGAATTCCTATTTGAGAAATCGAAGCTTGTTACCGGCCGGGGGAGCCTCGGGTTGCTCCGAATGTCGCTGCTGGTGCCCGGGGGCGTTATCAGACTCGCATGTGCAGGCAGCCCATGTGGTGCTAAGACACCCCGGAATTCCAGATCCATCAGTATAAATTAAGAAATTCACCCGGTGGCCCTGAACCGCGGAGTCGCATTAACACATGCGAAAACGAGCTTGGAATCAACAAGAATGCCCATAGGTGCCGGAAATCGGCAAAAGTTGGGGAAATCTCTAGACGCGAAACTCGGCGGTTCTTGGGGTAGCTTGCTGACTCAGTGCTTAATTGATGCCTGAGGCAGAGTACATGCATTGGGTTCGGAGATCCTCAATCGATCTTCGGGCTTCGAGATGTCCAACCTCCAGACCAAGGTACATGTAGATATAGTGCAGTCAACAGTTATTGTAGGTATCTGCTCATTGTTCAATGGTTGATGCTCGTTTAGGAAAGTTATTGAAAGATAGCAATTTTATCGGAGGTCAACATTTAGCTGTGTACAGTTACGACTTGGTCTATTGTCTAGGATGTAATATTATCTGTCTAACTTGCATTGTCCTCAAACATGAGTGATTCCCAAGACTTCATCTCGACAAGCTGGATCTTTGATAGTGGCATCCCATCAGATACTCCATCATTGCGACAGCGTCAATAAATTGCCATCTGTCTATCGCACTATCCAGAATACCTATTCAGTTATTAGATACCTTAGTTACTAGTATCCTTACTTCTCAGCCTCCTCTGAATGACGTATGTAATTGTGTTCGTACAGATCGCATACAGTCTCAATACAGTCCTCTCCAATGAGCACGCCTCTATTGAGTTCGTCCGATCGACCGTCTGTACCTGTTCTGTACCTGACCGGACCAAGCCTCCACTAAAAGCCCTCCACTCTTTCCATCAAGCCCCCCACTGGCAATACTGCCACTGAGACTATCTGGACAATATTATTAGGCTTCCACAATTCAATAGAGCAACTTCTCATAAAGCTCCCCTCTTACATCGATATACACAATCTTCTGCCATCGTTAAGGCTATCGCACACATCAGGTCGCTATCTACGCACAAGCGCGCACACAATTGTACCTTCCATGGCAGACGTCCCTATCCCTGATGGCTCAGCACCAGGAGCCCCATCACCCAGGGATTATGATGCGCCACCATTAAGTGCTGACTCTAATGGACAGCTCGGAGCTGCCGAAGTCCGTTCAGGCCCTCCAGCGATGACAGAAGAGATGAAAGCACGCTTGGACAAAGTCATTTATTCCGATGTAGGTGGATCATACAATAGCTTCAATCTAGATGCGCGATCTGAATCATTTGTGACTGACTCGTCATTCGAAACCAACAATAGATAGGTATCACGACATTGTTGACGCGATTGAAGCAAAGTGTGGCATCTGCTAAGGTGCGTTCTATCCTTACCATTACGTTCACACTGTCCTGTGTGGGGGAATGTAGGGAGGGTGTCTAGGTTTGTGGCACGCTGACCAGAGGGCACGCAGGATTTCTCCGCCTTTCTCAAGAAACGGTCATCTTTAGAGGAAGAGCATGCTCAGGGATTGAGGAAACTGTCCCGCTCTCTGCACGATGCTGCCTTACGCCCCGACAACCGTCAAGGCACCTACGGCCATAGCTACAACGACCTTAATCGGTTCCACGAGCGTATGGCGGATCACGGTCTTCAGTTCTCGGTATCCTTGCAGCAGATGGCCGACGACCTCCACGAGTTAGCCAACAATATCGAAAAGGGGCGCAAGCAATGGAAGCAAACTGGATTGAGTGCAGAGAAAAGAGTGATTGAGGCGGAGGCGGCAGCAGAGAAGGCAAAGGCGAAATACGAGTATCTGGCGGAGCAGTATGATCGCGTGAAGACGGGGGATAAGCAGAGTGGGAAGTTTGGCTTGAAGGGACATAAATCCGCTGCCCAGCATGAAGAAGAGCTGCTGCGCAAAGTGCAAAATGCCGATGGAGATTATGCGACCAAAGTTACTGCTGCACAGGCGGCTCGCCGAGAATTGATCTCTACTCATCGGCCACAAGCTGTGCACAACATTCAACAGTTGATTGCAGAGTGCGACTCCGGCCTGGCCTTGCAATTACAGAAGTTCGGTATGCTTGATCATGCTTCCCCTTGTCGCCTATGCTTTCTTTTCTGTGCCGCTGCTGACTGATTCTCAAAGCGACATTCAATGAGAAGCTACTCTTAGGTCAAGGTTTGTCCATTACACCTTTGGATGACGGTACCGGCGGTAGTGCCATTGCACCAAAGAGTCTCTATGAGGTGGTCCGTCAAATCGACAACCAGAAGGACTTCCAAGATTTTATTCTTAGTTACGAACATAATCCTGGTGCGGTGACTTCGGATCAGATCCAATACCAGCGCCATCCAGTGAGTCTGCGCGTCGAATTCATAACCTTTCCATACTGATGTTTCTCTAGACTCTTGGAGGTACATCCGCTCCCGCTGTTGCGGCCTCTCAGACCAGCACCCAAAACAAGCGCCAGTCAGCCGTGTTTCCTTCATTCTCCCAGCAGAACGTCCCTAGTGCTCAACCCTCTCCAGCCCCTGCCCCGGTCACCACCCAAACTCATCAGCCATTGCCGTACCAGCCGCATCCTGACTCGTTCTCATCGCAATCACCTTTCCAACCACCCTACCCGACCTCTTCAGGGCCGCCTGTTCACGAACAGCACAATGTGAATAAGCCGCCTATGACAGCACCGAGCTCCTTACCACCACCTACAACTAACTTCCAACAAAATCTACCACCTCTGAAGCCGGTATTTGGTGTTTCCCTAGAGGACCTATATGCCAGAGATGGAACTGCTGTGCCCTTGATCGTTTATCAATGCCTCCAGGCTATAGAAATCTTTGGATTGGATATGGAAGGCATCTACCGTCTCTCGGGAAGCGCCAATCATATCAGTCATATGAAATCACTTTTCGACAATGGTAAGCCTGAGTATCCTTCCAACTTGGTGGGTTGGACAAATCCTAACTTGGAAAATTTAGACTCGTCGCAGGTGGATTTTAGAAACCCCGAGAGCTTCTATCACGATGTCAATAGTGTTGCAGGGTTGTTGAAACAGTTCTTCAGGGATCTGCCCGAGCCTTTGTTAACTTCGCTGTACTATACGGATTTCATCAATGCAGCGCGTATGTCTCCAATCAATGGCTTGCGAATGCGATTGATAACTGCTGACACGAGCACCTATAGGGATTGATGACGATATCCAGCGTCGGGATTCACTCCATGCACTTGTAAATAGCCTCCCGGATGCGCACTATGCCACACTAAGAGCTCTAGTATTGGTAAGTTCTCCCGGTCGTGTCCATCGTCTGTTCGAGCTACGTCTAATATGTCGACTTGTAGCATCTTAACAAGATTCAAGAACATTATACAAGTAATCGTATGAATGCCGGAAACATCGCCATCTGTTTTGGGTAAGTCCTCACAGTAGTATCCTTGTCTGTCAGAAATATGAGAATCTAACAACACATATTCAGACCTACTCTTATGGGTGCTAGTTCTGGCGGCAACATCGCCGATGCTGGGTGGCAGGTCCGCGTTATCGAAACAATACTTGTGAACACCTTCCAGATTTTCGACGACGACGATTAGATCGTATTTTGATTTGGAGATCCATCTTGAGAACTTCGAAAGATATATCCAAAATGTTTGCTTTTGCCAACCAGCTTGTTACTTCCTTCGCCCTGATATTTACACTGCAGTTTCCGATTGTCTTTCGTGATTCCCCTGTTATAACCTGATTTTTTCCTCCTCGACCTTTGATGTACATATTGCTTGTGACGTTGGGCAGATATTCTTCTGATGAGATACCACGTGTGTCATACTTCAATTCTAGCCTGGGACATGATACGGACTCCTCGCTGTTTATTGTAATAATACACTCTAAATTTTGTAGAAACGAAGAAGAGGCAGCCTCCACTGATTACAAGATCAAAAGGGGCAATGCAAATCTGATATAGTACAATTCATGACAAGGGGTTTGCTGATCCAGACTCCCTGATATCTCGCTGAATAATACAAAACGTAACAGGAAGAGCGAGGGGGAGATTTTGCGACAATACAAAGACAACACCAGAGAATCTGTATAATTGTAAGACATCCAAGAACAGAAAGCAGCTGGCGTATAGCAGTAGTGCGGTCGCTGGACCGAAAGCATCTTGGGTCCCCACAAAAAGTACAGGGGATTGTACCGAAAGTCTTCAAGGACCGATTGGACTAACAGTCCGAAAAGGGAATCCTAAGGTGGTTTTGGCGAGGAAGTTGTAAGGTACGAAAGACCTATTGTGTTAGAAGACGAACAGGAGATGATGACGATGATCATTTCTTTCCAGTCATCATGTCCTTCATTGCGTCCATGCGCTCAGCAAGTGTGAGTCCCGAGGCAAAGAATGGGCTGTCGAGATCTTCAACGGTTGTGGGAGTCGCATGGCCCCAGACGCGCCATTCCTCCTCTTCGCCGGTCCACCGGAGCTTCTGGATGACGATATATTCGGTGCAATCCTGCTGCTTGGCTGGCGCAGCCTCTCCGGCACCAGCAGCCTCAGCACCGCGCTTGGTGGGAGCCTGGGCCTTACTTGTCGACTGTCGGCTCGTGATGCGGACGACGACTTGGCGAACTCCAGAATCGGGCAACTCTGGAATCTGAGTAGCACGGTCAGACAGGACACGAACTCCTGTGAAGAGGGTAGCAGGCGTGCGATTGTATTTGTCTAAAGTCCAGGTCACTTTTTCATCCTTCGAACGGCTGTTTATGCGAGAGCTCAGGCTGTTCGCGAGACCGGTACAACAAATTTTGCGCAAGGTGGTGACATCCCCACTATATACCAGAATATGTGGTTAGCAAAGTCCACGAAACCGCGAGGAAGATGGAGAAGAAAACTGACTCTGCGAAAGCACTGTACATTCGCTGATGAAGCTCACGAGCAATCTGCCGCCGTTCCTTCAAGCGCAGTGGTAGCCCTTTGTTGATCCATTTGCTATAAGCAAGAAGTCTAGTATACGTTAGTCGCAAACCTTGCTCACACAACCATAGACGGGCACTTGGTGGGCATACCCGAGGAAATTTTGAAATGCGTTTTTGAGCCATAACCATTCCAATTGCATGCGTTCTTTCGGCTGTTGGAAGATCGAGGGCATGTCCCTCCATAGAGGTCGAACGTAGGTGCCGGGTAGCAGGCCAATGTCCTGAGGTAATTCCGATCTTGACATCTCTCGACCTCTAGTTCTCATACTTGGCTGTGCAGGTTGCTTGACCGAGATATTCTGTGGCATGCCGGACAAGCCGCGCTGAGCCACCGGGGACTGAGAAAAGTACCGACATTGGCAATATGCGGACCGGAATGGTGAACTGGTTTGGCTGGGAAATTGGGAGACGGAAGCGTTGAACCGGACGGCCGCGTGAATTGAGCCCGAAGGCAGCCGCAAGGATGAGGCCATCATAGGCGAAGACAACAGGGAACGGTCAAAGGGACTGGGAATCGAAAGCACCTGGTGAAGCCGCAACAAATTGTTCCATACAACAATGGAAATCACGGGATGGGGCTGACCACGTGACTACTGCTCCGCTGCGGGTCTCCAACCGGCGGTTTGGCATTTCCCATCATAAACATCACTGAGGTTCCTTTTCCGCCGCGACACACCCAATCTTGGATGTGTTGGAGTTCTGGCTGCATTGCTCGGACCATCTTCAACTAGCTGGGCTTGCCTCTTCAGAGTCGTCACCTACGTGTTGCTCTGTTGTATAGCCAAGAATACCAACCATACCCAGGTCAAGACAAAAAAAAAAAAAAACAGACCAGAGATCATCCGGTGTCGAACACAGCGAATCGATCTCCACATAGGATAGCAGATCAGACGCTATCTCCTTCTTGAAATCTTGAACGTTCCTTACTCACCATTCTTCGGTGTCATCGCGCAGCGGCCGCATATGCCGTACTTTAAGGCTGGCTCCTCCTCGTCGTGATGCCGCTCCTCCGCCCTTCCTTCTCCATGCCCAGTCTCCTTCCGACCCTAATCTGACCATTTCACGCTCGGACTCGAATCCGTCACCTCTTCCGCCCTCTTACTCCTCTGTGCATACCTCAGCGAGAGAGCTCCGAGACAAAAGCGTGGCTTCGTCATCCCCCGCCCCCTCTGCAGCCCACCCTCCCCACGGCAACGATGCAGGTCACGATGCCGCGCCGTCAGCCCTTCATCCTCGCGTGGCTGTCATTTTGGGAGTAGACAGGAAGTGGTATGTGCCTTTGCTGGTTTGTCGTGCGCTAAGCACGGTGCCTGCTGCTTGGTGGGGGTTGCGGTGTGCTTTCACCTTTCTCGCCGAGCTTCTTCACATACGGGCAGGGATGGGCAGTGAAGGGTGGGCAGCAGCAATTGTGGGAAGTGTCGGACAAGATTGGGATGTAGAGAGAAGATTTAGGGTGACGGAGGTAGCTTTGGCTATTATGTGGGTAAGTGATGGCCTATCTATTTCCCTCAACTCGCTCCGACGTCTGATACCGGAGCTTCGCTTGTCCAAAGATTCTTCGCTAACCACTGGTTTCTATCAACAGTGCTGTGCATCTGCATATCTTTCTTACTTTTTTGCTGATTGTATGATGTCTCGATGGTCTGTTGACCCCAGTAACTACCTGATACCTCCTGCCGCTTGCTCACCTCTCCCTCCTTTTGCAGGCTTTTGAATTATACCCCACCGGCTGTTGTCATTCGTCTTCTCACAACAAATGGGCTGATTGCTTATATTACTTCTTGGGTGCTTTATCTGTCTGGCGCGTCTTCAGATCCCCGCTGTCTCTTACCCGCCTGGATATCCATCACCACGGTGCGTTCAGTCCCCGGCTTTGATCCCTGTGCTTCACGGAAGCGCTGAGTACTGATATCGAGCGAAAGATCCTTACATTCCTTTACCATGCCACCCAAAACCATTCCAGAATCAAGCGTGAAACGGCCGCTTCGTTGCTGGTAGTCTCTGTTGCGAGTTTCGTCAGCATGTCCTCGCTTCTTCTGCAGCTACACTTGACCCGCGAAAACGAGCCGGAAGTGCCCATCTTCGTGTTTACACAGAAGTTGTGGGACTGGGCCGTCACGATATTTTTTCGCATGCGGGTTGCAGATGCTAGAGCTGCGGCTGGGGAGTTGTAAATACAATATACTACATAAACGACCTACTTCAAAAGGTTCAAGGCTCTTCGTTGAATTGCAGCCAAATTTGATTTGATATTTTTCAATTCTATTGCGTGTTCTGTCCGGAAGTAGCTGGAGAGCTCATACACTTGCGTCTGCGGACAAATGCTCTACAGAGAGGAAGCATTTGTTCCTAGGTTCCATATCTGCGATAGGCATCACGCTAGTGAGCTTCAAAAAATAGAAGTATTAAATGAATTGATATTCTTAAACTGAGGAGGGCAGCTAAGGAAACATCAAAAAGACAGTGGATGGCTAAAGGAACGAGAAACAGGAGAGTCCAAGAGGAACGCAACCTAATCATCGCTATCTTTTGGCCCTTCGCAACGTCGATAGTGTGGATCGCCAGTATTGCGACAAGGCGAAAGCACCATAAAACTGAAAACAAGAAGAAAAGCATCTATGAGCATAGTGGGTATCTACCAACGCCTCGTTCCATCATGGTCCCGTTCTTAAAAATAGCAGTCGAGTCAAAGAGACAATGAAGACTAAGAGCTCGCTTCACAAAGTCGCCCACTCGCAAATGCGAGGGATCGACCTCCGAAGCGCGTCATTTCGACATGGCCCAAGTCCAGCGTGCCGAGCACAGATTGTTGGGAGAAGGCAGGAAGCTTGCCGGCTCCGCGTGAACGCTGCAAGGAACATGCATGTTCAGGCGAAGGACGGACAAGACATCATACTCCCTATCCGTAACTTTCTGAGGGCGACATAGACTGGGAAGAAGGGACTGGAACGGTAAACGGCGTCGATTTTAGAAACCGTGGACTTTGATGGTCTTGGCATCAAGCTCAAGACCTTCCTTCTTGTCGGTCAAGAACTCCTGGACATCTTTACGCTGGTCTCCTTGCAGCTGAATCACCTCGCCCATCTCGGTGTCATTGACGATGGTGCCATTGCATGCTGTGGGGTTTGTTAGCCATGCATCACGAATTTAACGTCCAAACCCGGTTGGCAAGACGTACCAAACTTCTTCTTGATCACCTTCAAGATCTTCTTCTGGTCGAACTTCTTGGGGAGACCCTGAACTGTGGTCAAGGTCTTTCGACCATTGCGCTCTGTTGAAGCGATGGTTAGCGCCTGACTTATTTTAAAGAGGAATCATTTTGCCGTCGTCGTCGACGACCAAATCAGAGAGATTAAAGGTGAGCGGGATATATCGTACGTTGAATCCGTATGTGGATGTAATTTTGAGACTGTTTAGTCTCGCCGGTGTCTTCGTCAGCTTCGGCGAAGGGGTCTGTGTTGGAGCACGTGTCAGCCTCAGGCTCTCATGACCTCAAATCTACCCCACCAAGATGACATGTAGATTGTGACGGTAGGGGTAAAGGGAGTAACAATCCACAACAAAATGATACGAAGCCCAGAAACCTCGCATCACAGCGATATGGATTGCCAAAAGAATATCTAGATGTTTTCGATCGCAGTTCGAGCAGCGAGTGATCACAAAAGGGAGGGTGGCGAAAGGACTCACCGAAGGTCTTGAGGTTTTCGATGGACATAAACTCGGCCTTTTGACGTAAACGGCCCTTAAAAGCGGTAAAGTATAAGTGAACGAAGTGAGAGATCTAGTGTCTCTTTGTAGAATCGAGCGATTGCAAGTCTGTAGACTGAGCAGGTTGCGATGGAGGCAGGTAGTGGTGTTAAAGAAAGAGATAGAAGGAGGAGCAGAAGAGCCTTTTGAGGGGCGCATCTTGATTTAGCGCCCTTGTGGGGGAAAGCGGTGTGGTGGTGACTAAGCCACCTTGACACATAGTCTCGTTGTTCCCTTTCTCATTTCGGACTGGGCCACCATTCCATCAGAAGAGTGCTGTTTCTATGGTTATTATTGATGAGATTCTCAGACTACTGGTTGAAAGCTGCCCTGGCTCGTGTCTTACGATAAAGCGTTTTGGGATGTCGTGGCGACCATCGTATTGGGCCGAAGATTGGAACGTAGGTGATTGATGCTACAACTGGCAGAACGCCCACCACCCATATTAATTGCTATTACATGAGATGAACTATTAAAATACAAGTATGTTGCCACAGCGTCGCTGTGTGGATTTTAGAGGCAGAAGGGGCCTTAGTAAAAACGTGTGGTATAACCCAATTCATGTCACTAGTCTCCCCATCGGATCCATGCTATCCATAACTTCAAGAGTAGTCAATGATGGTATCTGAGTCCCAGCTAAGGAGCGTTGCGATCGGCATGTCTTTCGGTATCAGCTCATCGATATTCTAGGGCGAGGGTACAGGAGAAGGAGCGGCGGCGGCAGCAGTGCCCCGTGCAGCTGGCGGTGGCATGAATATAGGGAAGTACGTCTGCGCAGGGTTAGTTGTGGAACAGATACGTCTGCTAGGATACTCTACTATGATGCTCAGAATAGTAGGGATGTATCGGTAACGTACAACGACGAGGGCCATCACTGGAGATATTATCAGCAATTAGTCACCATGGCTTTCACTTCGCAGGGGGTATTGGGGAGACGAACGAGACATCAAGACGGACATGTATGCGGGAGTAGATGCCGATTTCTTCTGGTCAGGAGTTTCACCGAGCCAGGACTGGAGCGAGAAGACAAGGGAGACCCTGTATGTATGCAGATTAGAAGCCAGTTGGCACAGTACGTGGACAAACACGCTGAACGTACCATCCGATCATCCTGTATCCGCGGGAGTAGAGTAGTTAGACATCAAACCCAAGTCTGCCAGCTTGTTGGATCTTTCTCACCGATTCCTAGTGAACATCTGCCCAAGAGGTCAGCGCGCGCATAAAGTCGCAAAAGAGGAATGTTCACCCACCGCAGCCATGGGCATAGTGCTCGACATCGCTCCTAGTCCAGAGGATTAGTAAATTTGTCCATCCATGCCTTATAAATAGACAGGTAGAAGGATGAGTCTTATTGTACCCGACATATCAGCCTCATTCTTTTCCTTCGGTGGATCGATATAGGGGATGGCTAGAGTTCAACACCGGCATTAGCAAAGCTCCGTTCTCATGATTGAGACTGTGATGATGTTGGGAAATCGACTCACCGAGGTCTAGCCTCCGCATATCTTTCTTTGACGCCATGATTTATTCTGATGACTGTCTAGACAATCGAATAGTATGTTGGAATAGAACAGCGTGATAAGGGACGTTGTAATTATGGCTAGCCAAGTGATCATAGTGACGCCAAGACAAAACTGGCAAGGTTGGATCCTGTCACTCGATCAACTATCGATCGCGGAGATCGTTCCGCTTACAGACCCGCGTATCTACAGACTTCAATCCACCGAAGAGCTTTCTATGAGCATTGCACGCACTACCTCCTATGAAGATATATCCATTGACTGGTTGCTTGTTCTGAAAATTAGCAAAATTTACGCATGAGGGGAATCGCTCAACTATCAAGCAGAGCACAGAAACACCGTCTAGGGGTACGGCTCTGAGAACAATACGATTCTGCCAGAGATGTTGCTCTGATAAATGATACAACACTATTCAAAAGCGACTTGAAAATGAGTGATGTCAGATGAACCTGACATTCATCATACTTCTTTGAAGTTTGGAGCATTCTCACCCAGTCGGTCGGTTCTCAAATGACCAATATGCGACAAATTTGCGATTGTGATTCTGGGCCATTGGTAGCGTTGCGAGGCTATATGATGGCACCCTCTGTTCATCGAGGTCTTTTCGCAGCTCTTGACAATCTGCGCATCGGCTACCTCTTGTGATCTCCCTTCAGTTACCCCAGGACCCTCCCTCTTTTTGGCAGCTTCATCCATTGTCAGGCTCCAAAAACCGGCTGCTTCTTTTCGCGCTGCGCCATCTAGGGCCTCCACCGTGGCGAGCTTGCAGGGTCTGTTGCCACCTATATGCTTTGACTAAGAAGCGTGATCCTCGACAGGGACGTTAGTGAGGAAGGTTATGAAGTCCGCACCCCCAGCAACTCTGAACCCGGCTATGTTTCTGCGGTTTTCAGTAGGGACACTGGATTTTGGGAAGAGAAGCTGCCATCTAGATTGAACCTGCTCTACATAGACACTAAAATATACTAGGTCGTCGCTGGCGACCAACCAATATCCGCATCGAGCCGGCTGCCTGTTCTTCAACATATATTCTTGGGGCACAAGTATTCAGTCTTAATGGTGAATCTTATAGCCATGCCAAGTGATTACTTAGTGACGCTATCTGGGGTTGCTCACGTGCTACATTCATGAAGGCAGTAGTATGGACTTTTCATACTCACTATCAAGTATTATTACTGAGACTAGGGAGTATTAGGGAGATTCTTTCGCATAATCATCTAGATACAGGGTAGCAGGGGTATTGATCACTGGCTTTATCTTTCCCCCGATGATTCTGCATTTGAGATGGCGTAATATATCTTGGCTAGTTAGGGTAATCTTCTCTGGAGGGCCACTCCTACGACTGAATGCTGATCGACTTGCTCTACGCAGGAATATATAATCGGAGGTGATACAATCCAAAAATCAATAAACGATTAGAAGATAGGGTATCAAATGTGTTTCGCCCCAGTTCGTCTTTCTCACCTTTACCTCTGTTACCCTCGACTTGAGACGCCGTTCTGCCTAACTTTCCTTATCCCTGCGTCCTGCATGCATCCAGATAACCAGTCCTGGCTATCTTCTGACCACTCGGATCGCCTTGAATTGTGCTTTGCCTATGTTTGACTCTGAGCGCTGAGGTCGCACTGCAGCCTGCAACTAGGATCGATCATTATTAACGCAGTCCGTACTGCGTGAAAAGGTGACTGAATGATGCCCATGCACAGCAAACTCAGCAGAGTCACCATCCCCAAACATGCGCCGGAACCCAGGATCTTCAATGCACTCTTCAACCAGTCCAGTCCTACAAGAACACCCCCAATCCTCCTGGAAGCCGATCTGATCCACAGCGGGATATGATTGCCAAGCGCCAGCACGAATGTTTTGGACAGAATATTGAGCAGTAATCACCGAATGCTTGAAAAATATTTTCCCGTGCGGTTGCCAGGATGAGTGATGGAAATAGCATCATATTGCGCCCGTATCATGCCACTATCTCGTAAGTTACGGGTAAAGGTAGGTATGACCTACTAGGTACTGATGATCTGATCTGATCTGACCTGGCAGATGGGATTCCGCAGTCTTCCAAGTTAGATCTCGGTTATTCGGCTTTCTTTCTACTTGTTTTCCCCCGATGCCTTGATAACCGTAGCAAGTAACTAGCACGCACAATTAGAGAGATAAGTAGGACTTACGATCTATGACTGGGGAGAGTGATAGATACATTGGAAATTCCTTTCCATGGCGTTGAAGTCTATCAGACTATCGGTATCACTAATTCACTATACCAGTCTACCTAGGTACCTTAGACTGCTCTAAGGAGGTACTTCCGTCTTCCAAGCGATAAGTGGTGCCACACAGACAGTCATATCTATCTAGACTAGCTAGTAGTAGCTACCAGTCTACCACAACCTAAGCCTGTATGTATTTGGCCCCCTTCTCCTAGGAACGGCAATCTGTCACTTGATGACGATAGATAGACTGGTCAGATCTTGATCTTCAGTGGGGTAAAGATGTGTTGATCCAGATTGTCGTTGACAAAAGCGAGTCGGTATGATTATTACTTATGGTCAAGTCTAGATACGGAGTAAAACCGCCATAAAGTGAGGTGTCGATGTGACTGTCCCTATAACCTAAGTCCGAAGTAGTTCCTCCGTATGAGCGTCCATCGTGGATATTGATCAGACACTTACTTACATAGAGAGACCTAGATGATAATAATAATACACTATCCCAGAAATAATGATTCTACTGTAGAAAGGAGAAACTCGCTAAAAAATAATACTCCAGGGCCTTACGTGATCTACTCCGTACTCCGTTCCAACTGTGCTAGGTGCTGCTTAGTTAGTACCTATGTGACTATGTGTATTGTGTACTATCTCGGCCTCCGGGCTCGGCTGGATTCCTGATCAGTCTTCTCCTAAGTCCTATATTGCTTTTTCATTATTTTCTTACTCACTCCCCTTTTTCCTTCTTCTTTTTCATGATTGCATCACGATCTCTTCTATCCACCGAACTCTGCACGAGAAAACAAGACTCTTGAGCGAGATATTGCCTCCCTTTCGACCCTCCGAGACCTGATTGTATCCTCCACCCCGTCTGTTATTTCCCGGCCGCCATCCCCGTCCGAATAGCCTGATCTCCCCATCACCCATCACCCATCACCCTGCGACGAAACCAATCCATTCTCTCCTCCGAACTCTTCCATGGTGAACCAACCGCGCAACATAACCTTGTTTTCTAGTATTCGGTGAATCGCTTGGCGTGATCATCGCCCTCAAAGACCTGCTCCGATGCCCCAAATTTCGATGCTTGCATACACCATGAAGCTGAGATGATACCCCATTCTTCCGCCGGCGTCCAACCGTGGGGTCATCCACTGCGCGCCGTTCACAGTGCCTCCGGACTTACCGACATCCCACATGCTCTGGGTCAGCCCGATCTCCATCCCGAGCAGTCGTCAATGCCTGCGCCGCAGCCGCAAACCGGACCGTCGGCAGTCATCGACCTTACAGCGAACGGCGGAGAGGCGCAAGAGCGAGAACACCCGGCGAAGCGGCTGAGGTTGGATATTCATAGTGGTTCCAACGCTCGGGATGGAAGTCCAGCCTCTGCAGGGCTTGGGGAGCCCAAGAGCACTCCAGTTTCCACCAGCTCGAAGCCACCTCCTCTGTCATGGCGCGGACGCCCGGTCTGGTCCTTCCAGGCATTACTCTCGGAGGTTCCTGGAGCCGGAGAGCCAAATGTTGAAAGTACAACAGCTGCAGCGCAGGACGTCAAGCCTCTGTCGCCGCCGTCATTTCCTGCTCCGCCTTGGAAGCATAGCCCTGCTGATCCTACAGCGAGTAGTGCTGCAGGATTACGGGGGGTTACACCTGCCAAGGAAGTCCGCACTACTCCATATCACATTGAAGTCCCATCCGTCGCGCCAGTCCTGAGAGGTGATAGTAAGTTGTTCCGCGCCTTTCCCATCTATTGCAAAGCATTCTCTAACGATTTTATTTCTCTTATAGAGGTCGCGGATTTTTTGCCATGGACCGGAAACCATCCAGAAGACGTACTCAATGAACAGACAGCAAAACAGGGATACTACGATCGCACACAGGTGTCGCAAAATGAGTCTAATACTGCTCGCCCTTCCCTATACGCACAACTTAAGCATCGTTCCGGTTTGCAAATGCTCTCCTCTGTATTTGCTGCCGCCCTTGAGAAAAGACAAGGCCATAGCATGGTCACCGCGCCTTCTACTTTCAAGCCACCTCCGCGGGTCACGCTTACGGACAACAAACGTGAAGCTTGGCTTCGGGACCTGGCCAATCCGACTGTCCCGTTACGCCGGCTCAGTCGGACTATTCCTCATGGTATCCGAGGCAGGGTCCTTTTGGACCAATGCTTAACCAAGTGGGTGCCTGTCGGGCGGGCAGTATGGCTTGCAAAGTGTGTCGGCGCTAACGAGATTCGCGCCTTCAAAAGAAAGGGCACCAGTGGCGCCCTGGCTATTGGCCTGGAAGCCAAATGGGTTCGTGATTGGACCACCAACGTCCAACAGTTCCTTGACGGTGTAATCACGAGTTGTGGAGTGGCCGACTGGAAGTTGAAGATGACCTACGCGGTTAGCCTTACCGCTCGCTTGTTCTTCGAGCAGCTTCTCGACCATGATCAGTATCTTGGATGGTTTCTCTCCTCGCTGGAAGCAGCACCGCTCAACACCTTGCCAGTCTGGCTTCTCATGCTAGGGATCTACTGGAACCACCTTCTACGGTACAGAAAGCGTGGAAGGCGACTGGCTGAGCTGCTGCTCGAGAAGCTGTCCAAGGCCAACAAGCTAGATTCGTCCAACACACTTCGTCCTCTGGCGGATCGATTGTCGCTGCATATTAGGAAGCTCACACTCGAGCATACGTCATCGGCAGTGCTTCCGCATTCATGGGATAAGTATAAAGATCTTCTATCGTCTTGCTTGAACATGAAGGATAGTGTGCACAGGGCGGTCATCCAGAACCTGAGCGAGCGAAATGCGCGGGTCCAGCGGCCGAGGAAGTGTCAAGAAACTGCAAACCAACCACCACAACAACGCGTAATCCAGCTATTCGACTCCATCCGCTCCACGCACGATGTCACGGCTGTTTCCATTGCCTCTCTCAGTGCCATCGACGACAAAGCCGCGTTGGTTTTCAAGCTCTTGGAGTGGGTCTCTACGCCGTTTCGACATGGTATATGCCGTGTCTATACCGGGGCACGCCTCCTGCGGAAATGGAAGGTAGCTGGGGTTGACGTGGACTCCTGCATCATCTCATTCCTCGCCGAAGGCCATGACGGCAGTCATCTGAATATGGACAACATTTATCATATTATCTCGGAACTGGTTCGATCTCAGACATTCTCCGTGGGTCGATATCTCCAATGGTTGATGGCGAAAGGAGTTGCCGACTGTTCAAAAGATTCTCACCAGCACCACAAACATCTATCTGACGATCTTGAGCTCCTCCTCCAACTTCCGGTCAGCCGCCTTCCAGACCATGTACGCAATCTTCGCAACACCCTGCTTCACCGCGCTGGGATTGAAGTCTCGAAAGAGGAAGCAATGATTGCGACCCTCAAGGCATCCATAGCCCAACGCCTTCCCAATATCTTTTCTAGTGTAACGGACAGTGCCATGTCCTGTGATGTCGCGCAATCAGAGTTGACATGGGCTGTCAAATCCGAGATCGGTCAGTGGATTCGCCGTGGAGTTACAGAAGGTCGACGTGGCTCTACCGGGAAGTTTCAAATTGCCATTGGACAACCCGTGCTCTCTGCCGATGAATTCTACTCTATCCGGGACATCTTGGAAGGATTTGGGGATTTGTCTATGCTTGCGGACGTTCTCAACCAGGCTACTAATTGTGATGACGGACTAATTTTGGCATCCGCAGCTGATACAGTCAACTACCATTTCCAATCTTTTTCTGTCATTGGTGCTTCGACAGGCCTTTTCAGGAGATTTGTTGAGTCTTATGCTCGTCTCAAAAGACTTGGCGTGACGAGCTTGGATTTGATACTCTCTTTGATTGACCTTGGACTTCATCTACCTGGAGAGTTTAACACGGTTGCTCTTCTCCGCCAGGATCTTGGCCGGATTGAGAACAAATCATCCATGGCAGCACCGTCGCCGCTTTCCGATCACATCCCTGCTACTTTCAATGAAACTGATTCATTGTTTCCGGAGAAGTTAGATCAACTCCTGTTCTCTGGAGGTGGCATGGATGAGTCCACTATGGATGCAATTTTCAATGCGCTTATCACTTCGTTAGGCCGTGCTGAGGATCGAGTCAAGCTGTCGGCTAATGATATTTGCCGGTATCTAGCGTATCTAAGGCCCTTCCACCCGAAGCATTTCGACATCATGCTAATTCGCTGGATCTGTGGCCTTCTGAAATCGTCCACTCGAACAATGCTGTCTCGAGTATTGCCCCCTCTAATTGGCGTTGGATGTGTTACCATCCAAGCCTTCATCTTCCTCGTGCGGAGACTTCTGCAGTCCGAGAAGGTGGCATCGATGATTCCACACCCGAATGACTTGAAAATAGATCTTCTTCAACTCCTTGTACCACCGCCAGCAGGGCAGAGTCGGTACTTCGATATGGTCACATATCGGTTCCACCTTTCACAGAAAGAATTTCTATCTAAGCATCCTGAAGAGACTTTCAATATCATTCGCGATGCTATCGCCTTAATTGACTCTCAGGATCAAGATAATCATTCTGATCAAGGACAGATGAACCTAAACCAGAACGCCATGGTGCTGCTTCAGATTTTGCTCACCAAAAATCCGGAGAGTGCTGTACAATACTGTACTGAAAAACTCATCACCCAGCATTCCACATCAATGATGGTCTTAACTAAGGCGCTCGATACTCTTCTGGGATTTGACACAGGACCCGGTAAGCGCGATATTCGGTCTAATCCAAGATTCTCGCTTGTATTGTCACTGACGTTGTACCGTCCAGACCCACCAAATGTCTCCGTGGCCGAGAAGGTCATAGAACTCACCAATGATTTTTCGCTGCCATTCTGCCAACTGAAGCTCCAGACTCTCTTCAATGCTGAAGCTGGAAGCAATGTGAAAAACGAGATTGTAGACGTGATGTTCAAGGCTGCGATTGCAGATTCTCGTTCAAGACGATCTAACTGGGTAGGTCTCGTTCGTCTCATGAACCAGGATGCAGTGCGACAGGTATGGTGTCGAAACCCTTCTACCAGGAGCGCTCCTCGACTGACTTTGTCCAGATTCGAGAACGAGCTGAGAAGAGCTTCTTTGCTATACCTCTGTTCGAAGAAGCTAATGAAGGCCGCTCGATGAATAATGGCACCTCTCTTGAGACGGCAAAGCTATATCTGACTATCATTGAAAAGCTGGCGTATAGCATTCCTGATTCAGGTGTCCAAGGGGTTGGTTCTGTCCTTGTGGAGAAAATGGATCTTCTACTCCACAAGCTCGTCAGCATGCAAACAAGTTATAACGGTTCCACTGAGATGAGACATGGTATTGACGCAGAACAAGTGATCCAATCTCGCACAGAATTTGAGCGAAGTCTTGCATTTTGGTTTTCTGCGTTGCTAAGGATGATTGTCCTCCACCGGAGTGCCTTTAGCATTCCGCCAGCACCTAAATCCAGCGCGTCCCAAGAACAAACGCGCCTACTTATATCTATATTTTGCATCACTCTTGCACGCCTCCCGGATAGTGTGCTGCGCCTCTTTCCAACGGCCGATTACTTTCCACATTCAATGAGACAGGGGGACCACCGTCCCTGCCCAGGGATCCTTTTACAGACACATGCACTGGATGTTGCGGCATCCCTCATTGATATGTTTCCGGATGAACTTCGTCATCAATGTGCCCGGTTCCTCAAAGACAAATGCTCCCCTTTTGCACAATCTCAAAACGATTCTCGATTTCTCTATCTTCTGGGCCCCCTAGGGGATGGCCCGACCTCGAACGCCACACTTCCTGTATCGATCCCATCACCTGCAGCATCGGGATCGACTCCCGCCCCTACCCCTTCAGGTAGTCTAACAGCGGGACCCTCCAACCCTCCACAACCTGCATCAGCATCCTTGGGGGTACCGACAGGATTGCCGGAAGGACTGAATTGCGGAGCGAGTCATCTGTGTCTCCAATATCGCGGCCGTGCCATTGGAGCCTACCCCGTGCGTCCTTGGGAACTTCTTGAAGACGCGGCTCCCATTGCCGGCACCAACGACACTGCAGTCAGCCTAGGATACTTTGACGCCCGGCGTGTCAGGGCCTAGGCGCATTCGCAATCTAGGATGTACCTGGGGGCTTACGCAATGATTATGATTATGACCGCTGTATATATTCCTTTGTCCTGTTTTCATTGCCTTCGTTGATTACCACGTATATTTGCAGCTTGATACCATCTATATTTGCATTCTTCTCTCTCCTCTCACTTGCCTCGTTTTGTCATTACACCTTTTCGATTGTTTGTCGAAGCTATCTATATCACCTCCTCTATGCACTCTGTTTACTGCATTCTCATCGGTTTTCTACTCACTTGTGCCTCTCCCTGGGACTGTGTGTGTGTCTTTTTAATGTCTGGCATTTGAGATCTGAGCGCGCAAACATCTTCCTTGTTGACAATGGCATCTGGCATCAATTATGTGGTTTGACGACATGCATGGCTGTGTATTTAGAGCCTGGCGTTCATATCGGATGGGTGGTTCAATTGCACTTGGCAGGCAGCATATGCATATACACCTCACTCGTGGCATGGTCTCGAATGGTCTTGACTACATGGAGTATTGATGATGATATATACCTGATTACTTGGATCCGTCTAGGCACGAATGTCGACTCGACGGTTGACCCAAACCCAGACCTACAGACTGTGAATCCCCCGAATCTTCCCGCCCATTACTCGTTCATTGTCGTCCCGGACTTAAAGTAGCGGCTGGCCTGATAGGCAGCGCTCTGCTCTGAGATGTAGGTGTCATTGGTGGCAAAGTGCTGGTGCCTGAACCGGACTAAGCATTACGAGGAGTACACTACTTTCAGCGGGGAAATAGGGACCCCCAAAGGCACAAGCTTTAGAGTGTTGGAAAAAGGTGAAATAATTTGTATTCGTGAGTCATCTCGAGTGTAATGAGTGTGGTTGCAACTATACACTTCCAGCCTCTGTCATATCCGATATCCAAAACAAAGTCAAGATCAACATAGACAATCTCCCAATTATTCCTTCCATCCAGTATTATAAATTCCTCATGACAGAGCAAAGATAGTGAGTATAGAGCGTAGATATATTATTTCCTTCGAACCGGGTTGTCGGTTTTTCGTTTTGTCGATTTTTTGTCGTCGTTTTTTATTTTTGCGCAACTGAGTTCGAAGTATATAGACCGTAAACGCCAAACGCCGTAGAAAACAACCAGAGAGGTTAGAGTGCCGTTTTTTCCCGCCAACCCGCCCCGGCACCCTCCCCAGTAAGGACTGGAAGTTTTTGACTTGCCTCTTCCTCACAGGGACTGGGAAGAGGTCTTGTGTGCATGCGTGGAGTGCATGGCGTTTAGATGGACTTGGAGCGAGATCGGCTCCGGATAGTGCTTGTGGACCTGGGCAAACCCGCAGTAGACGAGTCGCCGGAGAGCAAGTGGTCGATTGTGGATTCGAGATACTCAGGCTGAGGTTGAGTCTGGGGCCCAGCTTCGCTGATTTGGACATCCGTAGAGAAGGAGTCAAAGGCCGAGCCGGACGAGTACATTGATGCAGAAGGCGTACGAGCGGTGGAATTGTCTGAGGACGGCGTGCTCCATTCTTCCCGGAGATGCTTTGCGCGCTGTTCGTTCTCCAGGTCCTGGATCACATCGAGGAGGAGTTGCTCGTCCTGGTCGTAGCCTCTACTATGGGCCTCTTTGCGGACATATTCTTCGACGGTGTGGCCGGTCTTCGGCTGGAGTTCTGCCGGTAGGGGGACCCGTGTGTGGCCCTTGTCGCGCATAAGGTCAGCAATTTCCTTGGTGCGCCGGCGCCGGGTCGATGGGTCGTTGCTGTTATTGTAATACGGAGGTTGTCGGTAGGGTCTGGGCACCAGAGGACTGCCCTCGATATCCAGCGGAATGAGGTAGTAGACTGGATTTTTCTTGAATGCCTGTAGGTGTGGGAGTTAGTCATGTGCACCAAGATAACAACATTATGATGGTGATGATGATGATGATGATGATATACGTACCTTGACGGCGTCTTTGAAGTCGTCAACAAAGGCAAATGTCACTTTGCAGATGATAGTCCACATTCCGAATTGGTTGAGAGCGTGTTCGAAGCCACATGCTTCAATGGGACCCTGCCAGCCGAGGGCCATGGAGACGTGGTCTTGGGTGACTGGCGCCCCGTCCCGGGAGCCGAAGCATGCCGTTCCTGTGTCGATATCAATAGGATGGTCCACAATAGGACTGGTCAAAGGGCAATGAAACTTACTCTTTCCCCTGGCTCTTTCGATGCGCAACCAGCGGTTGTGAAGCTTGATGTTTTCTCCCCAAGCCAGTGCAGTATCGGCATCTTCGACTTTCTAACAGGGGGTCAGATGATGTTCAGGAGACAGTATCAGACAAAGACAGGAGATATGAAGATACTGACCTCAAATTGCACAAAGGCCCCAGGGAGATTGCGTTTGTCGAGCTTGATCTTGACATGGCATCTTCCAATCGAAGAGAATTTCTCCTGCACATCTCGTGCGAGTGTCTCAGGATTGATACCAATTGCCAAACTGATAGACGTCAGTATCCATATGATTGCCAGGAAGACGGATAGGGGTACGTGCTTTCCAACGAAGACACAAGCGTCTGGAGGGAATAAGCCCTGAGCGTTTCTAGCATTGGGTTCTTGAAACTGTCTATCCTGGCGACGAGGATAGGCTTGATATGGCCCGTTTGGGTTCGGAAAAATGAAATGCAAAACCATCTTGAGCGAGGGAAAGCGTGAGGTTTTAGCGAGTGGTATAAACGAATGAATGAAGGTTTTTGATGCTTGTGTGTGTGAAAGCGTGTAAGAATCAATGTAGACGAGTACTTGCTTGTTGATCAATCGAGAGGTTTGAAGTATGAAGAAAAGGGGGCCCACCAGCGCGAACAGGCTAGGATTTTAATCCCAAAGACTCTACTGTACTTCCTGCCTAGCCCTGCTCGTCTGCCTGGCGGGCGTAGAAAGGATGTAGAGGGGGTCATAGTACTGTGGTTTGCAGTTCTATTTTTGATATCTGAGCCGTTAAATTCGTGGACGCGGAGCCCTGAAGGGGAAAATTATGACGCCAACAAGAGGTCAAACAATGAAAAACCGTCAGACTGCAGATCATTTGAGTCAATCCCTCTTCCGTCCAGTCAAAAAGACCAATAACTCAGTCAAGCAACCGTCTGTACATTAAGCTTATCCATGTGTAGCTCTTGTTTGGCCCAGGGATGATCAGCGGTCTGTGGTTCAGGCCCCAGCAGAGCATCCGTCAGATTTTCATGACTCTCTCTCCCTGATGAGAAGACGATGAAAACGGGACATGTAAACATTAAATAGTTGGCCAAGCTGCCAAAAGTTGGTCCTTGGATGCCTTTCGCTATTGACAGCTTCGAGGGAGTTCTCATTGAACTTCGACTTGTATTGAATCATACTGGGGTACCATGTGCAGCTCCAGCTATTTGTCACAATAACGGCGTTGCAGACATAATTAACCGCCATTTCTCTTCCTTTGTTGACAGTAGTATATGCTACTAGGCATCCAGTCAGTACACTGTTTTCTATCCATGGATCTCAGAGGCATTACCAAATTTGAGACTGCCCGGCAAGACTATTGCTAGGGAAATACATTGCCTCAGATTAATGGTTCTGGTGTTTGTTTTTGTTGACTGAATATGAATGTTGAGAGTAGATATGTAGTAGTTTATGAAGCATGTAGTTCCTGATATGCCCTCAAAGCCTCAAGCGAGACTCGGGGTTATCGATCAGATCTTATCGTCGGGACCGATCAGCTTGGCGTCACCAGAAGGCGACATCATCCCAAGCTAAACAACTCTACGCTCTTTGAGCAGTGAATACTCTCAAATTCTCGGGCAGAATTATTTCCATCTGATTTTGCAATAATAATCTGTTCATTGACTGAACCGCTTCCAGTCATGTTTCCCACCGCGAGGTGTCTGTCCGCGAAACCTGCGGGATTCTTCAAGCGCAGTGCAGGAGAGCTTTCGCGTTTATCGAGGATCGGTAAGTATTCTAACGTCTGTTGTCGAGCTCCTTTTAAACTCCCCATTCAATCACTCACAGCTCGCTGATGATATGGATGTTATATAGCCTGGAATTCCGAAGGCCTCCATACTCCTACCAAGCCGTATACCCTCCTCGACTTTGAAGATGAATCTGCCGTTTCGGGCTGCAAAACCATGGCGGATCGTGCCGTAGGCGGGTTCAGCACAGCCAGCCTTGATTATGTCCCTGCGGATCCTTCAACGGGCTCCCCTGCTCATGCAAGATTCCACGGGAGCATCTCGACAAAACTCCCCAACAACTGGAGGGTAGAGAGAACTGGTATGTTCGACTATTCTCGCTCGCATGGCGCGCCTGCACAGAAGGACTAAGACTCAGCGGGACCAAAATAGGATATGCGGCTTTCCGCAACAAGGACCGAGGGCTCTGGCTCTTTGGTCGGCTCTATTGGGACGTGGACCCTTTCTCGTACCTGGCTCTACGAGTGAAGTCTGACGGCCGGCGGTACACCGTGAACCTCCAGACCGATTCCATCGTCGAGACAGATATTCACCAACATAGACTATACACCCGTCACCACCGCGTTCAGAACCAAGTCAATGCAGATCGCCTTTCGTCATTTGCATCGAGTGAGACGGCCGAACCGCCCGAGCTCGCCGACAGCCTCTTCTCAGGCGGAATTCCTGCTTCTCTCTCCGACGTGCCTCCCGAGTCTACAATTATGTCCTCGACGGCCACAACATCCGGCGGCACCGGCTGGGAGACAATTCTTCTACCTTTTAACTCGTTCGTTCGTACAAACCACGGTCTCGTCATGGAGCCGCAGACTTCTCTTCTCCGGCAGCGGGTCAAGAGCATTGGAATTGGTCTCACAGATCGAATCGAGGGTCCTTATGATTTACGAATTCATCGCATCTGGGCGACGAACGGGATCAGCGAAGAAGAGTTCAAGGATGAGCAGCGGATTTGCGGAGCGGGTGCGTTGCCTATCGATGAAGGTGTCAAAACGGGTTGGACGGGCGACTCTCTTTCTAGCGAGTCAGATGGAAAGGGGCAAGAAATAGAGGGCGGGAAGAAGGCGAAAGGACTGAAGGGCCTGCGCTCAGAGTGGGAACCGTAGTTGGACGGATTCCAGGGAAAGACTTGTACTATACTATTTGATCATCATACTTCGTTTACACTCAAAATTTATTCAAATTTCATGGATTTATTTATATGCCATTATCTCATCATTGGAATCTTCTTCTACACTACGCTGTCGCCATCTTATGCAAATGCTAAGTGGCCTTAGTTACCACCGGTAATCTTCTCCCAAGCCTCCTTATACTTCTCGGTGGTCTTCTGCACAATCTCGTCGGGCATCCGGACGCCCTCCTTTCCTTTCAATCCCTCGCTAACCAGCCAGTCCCGCAGGAACTGCTTGTCAAAGCTCTGCTGGCCACGGCCGATTTCGTAATCATCCTTGGGCCAGAAACGGGACGAGTCGGGTGTCAGGACCTCGTCAGCCAAGACGACTTCATTGGTCTCCTCGTCAACACCGAACTCGAATTTCGTGTCGGCAATGATAACACCGCGGGACAGGGCGTAGGCGTGTGCGGCCTTATACAGCTGTACGGCAAGATTGGCAACAGTGGATGCGTGTTCACCAAGGATGGCAGCAGCTATTGTTCAGCAATTCATTAGTTTTGAATTGATCAAAGAACCAATTTCCATAGGTCCTACAATGTCATGTACAACCATGGACCGGACGGATACATACCTTGATCCGGGTGAATATTTTCATCATGCTCGCCCTGTTCAGCCTTGGTGCTGGGAGTGTAGATTGGGCCATCAGGGAACGCCTCGCTCTCTCTCAGACCAGGAGCGATCTTGATGCCATGGACAGTACCCGACTTCTTGTACTCATTCCAAGCGGATCCCGTGATGTAGCCGCGAACGATGGCTTCAATGGGCAGAATTCTGAGTTTGCGCACCTGCATGCTTCGGTTCTGAAGCACTGGGCGGAGGGAAGCAGGAATCTGAGGGGGGAGGTCGAGGGTGATGAAATGCGTGCGCACAGAGGGGATCGCATCGGTCAAGATCTTGAACCATGTCTTTGTGCATAACGTGAGAAGAACTCCCTTGTTAGGGATACCCTGGAGAGACAGACATTAGCAGACCTGACATGAAGTGTAATTAGAGTATTTGATGTAGGTCCATACATTCTCCATGATCACATCGTATGCGGAGATGCGATCAGTCGCAATGAAGAGGAGAGTCTTATCATCCACCTCATAGAGATCACGGACTTTTCCCCGGGCAATCAGGGGCAAGGCGCCCTGCAAATCTGTGTTCGTAAGTGCGTCCGCCATGATAATAATGATTGCAATGACAATCTCAGGATGTGACTCAGGAACAAGTCGAGATGCGATAAAGATAAGTTTTTTGGTGGGGTATATCTATGAGTGTCTGCCTCAGGCACAAACTGAGTGCCTTAACAAAACTTCCTCCCTTGACATTGCAGTTGCTGTGTTGTTGGACCCGGACAGGCTCAATCTCACAATTCAACAATCAATTAGCGAGCTTGACGGGGGTTGGTCGCGTTACATTATCCTTTTTGCGTGTCTTTTCAATCAAACTCGGTTGTTTGGACTTGAAATCTTATTACGCGGTCTGATTGCATACAAAGAGACGCGCTGATGTTTCCATCACGAAGGAAAGGTCCAGCATAGCTCGTCCATTCGTGGGCCAGACTCATCATTCGACGAATAATGCTGAATCTATAAAGAAAAAGTATAGAAGATACAAAGAGAACAAGCAAAATGAGTCGTTACCTGACCCCCTCGAAGATCGCTCTTCTTTGCCTCATCTCCATCTATACTGAGGGAGTCGTCCCAAATTCCTCCGCCATCCATGTCCTCTCCTTTCTTGTAGCTAACCTGAGTCCCTTGGAATCTGGCTCAGTCTCATTTTCAGGCAAAGGAAATCAAGGATGTGCAGTCTCTGTTGCTGATTTGGAGGATGCACTTTCGTCTAAAGCTTCCTCAATACCCGGCCGCTCGGTATGGGATTTATTTCTCAAGAAGATCTGGTCCATTGATTCTTGCGACGCTCTGGAAGTCTTCTTTGCCGATATATGTGACATACTGGCCAAGTCTCGTGAAGAACAAATCCGCGACAGGGATAATGGCCTTGCTCCTGAAATCGGTTGTATGCGCCTCTCGAGGTGTTCGCCGTTGGGCGCATTTGTGAGAAGGGCCCAGCTCGAATTCACCAGGCTCCAGTTCCACGATTCCGTCAAGCTCTGGAAAGGCTTCGTTCATTATCGGTTGCCAACCTACCGGGTGTGGTCGAAGAAGAACCCATCGGCTGAACGGGATCCCGTGGATATCAACTTACTCGAACTCAAGTTGGACACATATAGTCAGCTTGCTCAGGTGGCTTACGGTAACATCGAAGCTGATGCGGAAGATGAAACATTTGTCAGTACTAAGGATGTGGAACGACTCCTAGAGTTCCAAATTGGCGAGTTGCAAAGTATACATGTCTTTCCAGGTCTCGAAAATTGGTTAAATTGTTCTGACAGAATGTAGGGCTCGGAGGGAGAGTTCCTGACGGCATGAAAGTGCAGCTGGAGCGTATAATATCATCCGGCGTCACACTACCAAATCTGGTCTATTACTTGAGGTGAGTCTCGTTTGTTCATGTTACAATGACTCAGAGATTGCTGACGGGCCCTAGGTTTCTCGATGCCTGGCGTGCTGGAGATTATCCATCATCCTTCGACAACCTCCACCGCTATTTTGATTATACTATGCATAGCCGTGACCGAAGCTCTTACCAGTACGCGTTACTCAATCTCGCTATTCTCCAGGCCGACTTTGGGTGCTATGGGGAAGCAGTTTCCGCAATGCAGGAGGCTGTCTCCATAGCTCGAGAGTCCCACGATATGAATTGTCTGAACTTCTGTATGAGCTGGCTGTATCATTTCGGGAAAGCCTTTCCAGAGCAGATGAAGGATGTCCAGAACACTGGGATGCTCGGAAACGAGAAGGAAGGTCTTGCATTCTTAGAAGCCAAAGCAAAGGAAACAGAGATGTGGAGTCTTTTGAGCACGACATTGTTGAGTGAGGCCAAGCTGGAACTACAAAATGTGGGTATCGTCATCAATTTTCTCCTCAAAGTAGATTCTAAAACTTTCCCAGGGAGAGAGCCTTGCATCTACCATCGAGAATATAGTTCGGGCGTCACACCTCAATGTCACAAAAAATCTGGTGAGCTCAATGGGTCCTCAGCTTCTGCTACAAAATGCGCTGTACTCCAGAATAGGTATGTTTCCCAACACAAGAACTTCTTTACAGCTGATCTTCAATCACTAACCTTCATCAGGGGTGACCCACCTCGCATGGCTCAGTAACGAGATATTTCGCCAATGCTATGCGAATCGATCACCCTTCGAGGACTACCTCAAGAGCACATTTCGTAGCTGCGAGTTGGTATGCATAAGTGCCTCACGAATTCTTCATATCTGCTAACATAGAGTCTACAAGTTGGCTCAACAAGGTCGCTACAGGGATATTTCAGCCTTAATGAAGCAAGTTGCACCTGAAAAGCTACGATCTTTGAAAGAAAATCAACATTGGACGTTCTTTTCAGGCATCCTACAACTCAAGCGGCAGATATGCCGGTGCGTCTATCCTCACTCTCTACAGTCAGCAAATCTAACACAGTAGTAGGGATGATAAAGTGGCAGCAGACCACCTTCTTTCACAACTTGAAGCAATACAACTTCCAGGCAACGATGCCTCACTTCTGCTATCATTTCTCTCCATAAAATACAAGATTCGACAAGGTGACTATGGCCGAGCTTTAGAGATCGTCGAGCAAACGGCCCAATCCATACACCAAGACAACTTCGATATATACTCTCAGGTCAGACTGCTTTGCTTCAAGGCTCGAATCTTCCAGAAGACAGGAAACCCGCAACGAGGATTCTCACTCGCAATGAGAGCCGCCAGTATCGCACACCGCTCGAGACTTCTCCCTGGTCTTTGGGAAGCGATCTGCGTACTGGGCGGGGTCCTCCTGAGCCTACGCGAATTCGAAGCTGTCCATGAGATGATCGAAAGTATCATGCCTCAGGTTCTCGAAACCGACGATTGTGACCTAACTGCACAAGCGTATTCGCTCCTCGTGGATGCGAACATGGGCATGGCAGGTAAACTGTGGAGCCAGGGGCAGAACACGCCCGCCAAGACGGAATATATGAACCGTGCTTTAGGCTATCTCGACTGTGCCTATGATCAATATGAGGAGATCGAAGATATCAAGGGCCAGTGTGAGATGATGGCCAAGAAAGCCACCGTGATGCATCTTACGGGCGACTTGGTCCTGGCAAATGATTATGCGGCCAAATACCTGGACCTTCAGAAATTATCCGGGGTAAGCATATAGCAGGCATAACAATGTATATTAATGAGCTGCGTTATGATGAAATCGTTTGTGAAGATGTCTCGCCGACCGAAGATCTTGCTTTGCAAGATTTGGTCGAATATCGGGTCGAACCAACACATTGAGAGTGCAGACCATATTTGAACTTTCGCAATTCTCCGAATCTGACGCTTGGTTCGATGTCTACTCGGTTTCACAAAGCTTAGGATGAGACGAAGATTTTGAATGGAACAAAGGGAATTCAATAATCAGCATTGTCTTGGTAACTCCTATTCAACTTCATCAAAGAAGCCCGGCCTACACTCCCACAGCGGCTTTCGCCTCATTTTCGCAGTAAATATACATGCATCCGTCCCGTTCGCGGCAGAGCCGAGACTAGTCAAAGAAGCAGTTATCCCTAATCACTGAGAGTAATTTAGGTGGCCTTCTCCTTGTTGTGGTAGTTGACGTCGGAGTTCCAGCTGCATAATAGTTAGCAACACGAATTGAGATGATCCGAGTCGACGAAAGGTATGGAGCCAAGATGGAAGAAAAAGGAAACTTTGACGGATGTCGGCTTGAATTCATCCAGTGAGATAACTTACAAGAAGGTCTAGAGAAGATTTCTTGATTAGCAATTGTAACGATACAAGCTGTCGTCAGAGAAAACACTAACCTTGTCTCCGTCACCCCAGGCGAAGTTCTTCACACGGATGTTCTGGTAGGGGTACTCGACACGTTCCTCAAGAGGAGGCATGTGCTCCCAGTGCTCCCAATGCTCGTTCCAAAGGTTGTAGGCGTTGAGGCCGGCAAGGATCAGGCAGGGAACGACGGCACTAGGTAGTTGTGAGTACAAAAGCGGGTGTACTTGGTAAAGAGAATATCAATTGCGTCAGGCAAGACATACTAGGAGAGCTTGCGCCACAGGTCTACAGAGCCATTGAGTCAGTACCACACATATAACAAGCATTCTTAATCATGCACAAGGTCGTCTGAAAGCCAATTGGGGGTATACGCACCACTGGTGGCAGCGGCGTGGTGCTTGACGGCAGCTCTCTCGCGGTTGAACTCGTTGTCGACCATCCAGGGAAGCTTGGAGTCGGTGCCGTTGAAGCGGCGCTGGAAGGCAGAGCGGACGGGAGCGCTGCGCAGCTGCTGAGCAGCGCGGAACATAGGGCGTTGAGGGAACATGGTTGCTGGAGGCAGTCGAACGGCTGTTGCGTCTTTCTTCTGCTTTGGCGGACAGTAGTGGGATTATACGGACGTCGGGCGTTCCGGCTTAACGAAGCAAAGCCGGTTTAGCGTCCCCGTGATTCGTCTGTGGGCGACAGTTGATGCCTTAGTCATCCATCAGGCCATCGCGTGATGTCACGGCGCCTTTGGGTCACGTGGAGTCACGGGATAACTATCCTGCAGCTCTAGGGTCGACAGTAGTAGGCGACAGCACATCTATTCCATGCAGTTTATGATTGAATCCACTTTATTTCGATAGTCATTGAAGTTCGTCCTCCGGGGGTATGTTCCCCTGCATTTTCACTCCAAAAGAACTGCGATGGGGTTTCGTATCACAACATGGAATGGTAAGCCCCATTGATATCGGAGACCTATTCCGCTATGTGCTGGGCTGAACCATGAAATGTATACTGATTCCTTAAATAGTAAATGGGATCCGGTATGCTCTATGAAAAATCCTTATTCTCAACTCTTAGTTGATGGGTCGCTGCAGTAATCCATTCTCTTATGAGCCATGGAGAGGCAATAGAACATTCGAGGTAGATAGTACATCGTTGTTCATCGTTGTGTTGAAGCCAGACACTCATTTTGTACAGTATATGTTTGACATCCTTGAGGCCGATATTGTCGTGTTTCAGGAGACCAAAATCCAAAGAAAGGACCTTCGTGATGACATGGTACTCGTTCCTGGGTGGGATTGCTACTTCAGTCTGCCTAAGGCGAAGAAAGGTGCACCCTCTTATGCTCGACCTATTACTGCGTTCTAACAATATACAGGCTATTCTGGAGTTGCAATCTATACGAGAAACGCCACATGCTGCCCTATCCGTGCAGAAGAGGGTCTCACAGGATTGCTGTGTCCCCCGAATTCATCAGTGTCTTTTCGAGAGCTTCCCGAAGATCAACAGATAGGAGGATATCCAACTCTCGAACAACTCTCAGAACTCGAGACAGATCCAGTTATCCTGGACTCCGAAGGCCGTTGTGTCATCCTTGAGTTCCCTGCATTTGTCTTGCTGGGTATCTACTCACCGGCCAATCGCGATGAATCGCGGGACAGCTTCCGCCACAACTTCATTGACTTGATGGATACTCGCATACGAAATCTGGTTGCCATGGGCAAAAGAGTCTTTGTCACAGGCGATATCAATATCGCAAGAGGGGAGATCGATGCCGCTCACGCCACAGAGGCTATTCGGAAGGGAACGGCGACGGAGGATGAGTTCGTATCTACGCCGGCACGGCGTGTTTTCAATCAATTGCTTTCCGATGGTAAGGTGCTCGGAGCACGAGATGAAGGAAGAGAAGAACCCGCCCTCTTCGATATTTGCAGGTCATTTCATCCCGAGCGAAGAGGGATGTACACTTGTTGGGAGCAAAGGATAAACGCTCGGCCTGGGAATTATGGGTCACGGATAGACTACGTCTTATGTAGCCTGAATACGCAGGATTGGTTCTGCGATTCAAATATTCAAGAGGGCTTGATGGTAGGTTTTCTCCATTATAAAAATCTCATGATTACAAAGTCCAGCTGACGATGTTTGAATTTGGACAGGGTTCTGATCACTGTCCGGTCTATGCGGTGTTCAAAGATACTGTGCGCCTTGAAGAAAGAGAAGTCAATATGCTCGATATCGTGAATCCGCCAGGGATGTTCAAGAACGGCGAGCGCCAACAGGAATATACAACGAAATATCTTCTACCCACATCGGGTCGGTTGATACCGGAATTTGATAAACGGCGGAGCATCAAGGATATGTTCTCGCGGAAGCCCTCAACCACCATGCCGACATCAACGCCAAGAGTCCCGACCTTGGAGCATTCTATGTCTACCCAGGAGACGCAGGTCTCAACCGCTGGTCTAGGAAGTCCAATCAAGACGGCAGCTGGCAGCAGTCAACAAATCAAAGGAGTTGTTCGCAAGAGGTCTCAGAAGAGTGAGGTGATAGCCCCTGTCTCAGTCAAGCGTTCGAAGTCCGGCACGGCCCAGCAATCTACACCTCCTACCGCTGGACAAACCAGTCTGAGAGGGTTCTTTAAACCAAAAAATGATGCAGTTGGTCGGACAGGGAGAAGTATATCCGGGAATCCTGAATCAGTGTCTAATGGCATAATCACAGAACAGTCAGTCGCGTTCCCTATAAAGTCTACAGAAGTAGCGACGTCCACGTCCTCAGAGGCAATGCAGGCGGTTCCGACAGACACAGCTACACAGGGAGATCAACCAGATCTGTCAAATCCTATCGCACCCGCTTCATCTCAGGATGGCGGCTTTGTCATTGATCCCATTGTCAGTAAGGAGGACTGGTCAAAGCTTTTTACGAAACGACCAGTTCCAAGGTGCGAGGGACACCAAGAACCATGTATCAGCCTGACAACCAAGAAACCTGGTATCAACTGCGGAAGAGCTTTCTGGATCTGTCCGCGGCCTCTAGGGCCTAGTGGAAACAAGGAAAAGGGGACCCAGTGGCGATGTCCTACATTCATCTGGGCAAGCGACTGGAACCCTTCCGCTTCGTGAGATATGTGTTTGTTAAGACTTCGGTTTTTTTCTTTTTCTTTTCAATTGTGCCACGATACCCTTTCTCTTCCTGTTCTTAGAATCCTAAGGAATGTGGTTTGATCTTATTGCGGACGAATGTTCGAGGCGTTGAGCCTTTTCCGCGATAGATTCACACACAACACAAGGTAGCTATCAGATGGAAGCGTCCGTCAGCAGACCAAATTCCATAAATATTTCTCACAGAGATAGGAACCATTCGCAACCTTGTCTTCAATCAATGGATCTACAGTACCAGCATCCACTTGAGTAACACATCTCAGCCATACCAAGGCCCCTGAAGGATGCATGTCGCGGATAGGAGCATTGGTATGACAGCCGCACGGTTCCTGAGCAGGTGCCACATGCAAGGGCCCGTCAATCCACGTCAAACGACACATAAGAGGCGTTGGTAATGGAACTAACGGGACTGCAGAATCCGTCGAGTAACCTTGCAGAGGCAGGAGGTCCGAATGCAAACGCGCTCAACTTTAGCTCGACCTCGAGGTTTGCTGGACTACCGAGTATGTGCGAAGCAAGACTCTAGCACCACGCCTGCTATTTACTTTCATTATTTGTATTTGTCTAAATGAGATGTGCTAGCTCGTAAAGCATTTAGAATTTGGGTCTTTCGAGGCAATGCCACGAATCAAAGTCGATGTCCTGGGGACACATGCTTCACGGGTGCCAAAGCCTTCGTGATCCCTAAGTCGAAGCAAGTAAAGGAATTGGCCACGCTGCTATGGTACAGTAAGAAGAGAGAAGCCGTGGTAAGCCCTCTAAAGGAGGGTTGAGATGTCGGATTGTACATGGGATGCTTGCTCAAATAACAACAACAAAAGAACAGTAAATAAAAGCAGAAAAAAAAAAAAGCTTGGGTATTGCTGGGATGAACCGGGCATCTCAGAAGCAGTCAGTAATAAAGTCGGAGAACTCAAAGGACTCCCCAAAAGGGCCCTCAGCAATGTTCAGCTGCTGGAAGAGGGCGGCTCTATTGTAATCGGTTTGCACTTGTTGAATGAAGTCGAATGTATTTGGTTCGAACTGGAACTGTTGTGTTTCTGGTAAGCCATGAGGGGTCATGATGATATTCATATCTGTATTATCGTCATGACCTCCATTGTATTCAGTGTCGCCCATTGTCATGCCTGACCCCATGGCTGATGTGAAGGAGCCAGGGATGTCGTTCTTTGGAGTCGACGCATTCAATATGCCAACAGACTTGGTGCTTCTGGGAAATTGACGTTATGAAGCATGAGGCTGTGCTCCTAAGCATTAGAAAGATTGACGAAAGTGATCCGAATGGTTCATTCTTTAATTGTGTTAACTTGGGCGTTCCTGTGGTTCTAAGATCCTTCAGCCTTCTTTCAATTCTGGCTTCCAAAGTTCTCTTAGTGTCTTCCCTAACCTCCCTGGTGGGCTTTAGAATTCATCTCCAAAATAATAACCAGGTACACAGCAATTCATCTGCCCCTATGACTTTCCCTCAGGGATTTGACTTGGATCTCAGGATGGTGCATACGTCAAGTGGTGGGTATGCCCGCTCTGACTTTGTTCTGGCTATACTTGGTAGCATCGACTCCTCCCCAGCACCTGCGGCATGGCATCTGGATATCCTCGAGGAAGTGCCAGAATCAGTTATTGCGGAATATTGAATTCCTCTGTATTATTTGGACCTCAAATCTGATGTAAGGAAATGAAGGAGCCAGAAAGTCAGGAGGGCGGGGGAGTGAATAAAATGTCTGGGGGGTCTTAGTGAAGGATAGGACTTTTCTTTGTTTACAAAGCTTCCCACAGACTCAACCTGGGACATTGTACCCAACCTCACCTATTTGTCGAGGACAAACACCAAATGGAATTTGTCTCAATCTTTCTCCTTTCTTCTTCCATATCATCTAAGCCTCTTTCATCTCAACAACCTTGAGAGCTTCCAAAGATTGCATCTTCGTCTCCCTTATCCTCCAATATCTTCATCTCCAACGACTTGTTCGGGCCTATTATACTAAAGCCTATTGCGGGAAACGCCTTTCCTGCTTCTCTTCATGATGGAGGCTGCGAACTCCCCTCTCGAGCGTGCCTTCAACACATTCTTGCTGAGTATGCCTGCAGAGCAGCTGGAAGAGCTTCTAAAGTACCTTCAGGACGCCAGAGCTCAATCAAATAACACTGTGTTGCTTCCCGCTGCAAGTGTTGCTGCTATCTCTACCAGCCCTCTTTCAGACAACCGTCGTGATGCCACTGTTACTCCTAGAGCAACCAGTCGTACTTCAGTTGTTCGTAGCAGACGGGGACAGGAAGGAAGGAAAAGACCACTCAACAGTTTCATTGCATTCAGAAGTGAGTTCTGTTGTATTTCATCTTAGTAGGTACACTGATTGATCTTGAATAGGTTTCTATTCCGTCATGTTCCCCGACCTCACTCAAAAGGCAAAGTCGGGAATCCTTCGCTTTTTGTGGCAGAACGATCCTTTCAAGGCAAAGTGGGCAATCCTCGCCAAAGCATACTCCACCGTTCGTGATAATCACGAGAACGAAGTTTCCCTCGATCAGTTCCTAGAACTTACCACCAACTTCATTGGAATTGTTGAGCCGACTCGCTATCTTGACGAGATGGGTTGGCAGTTGACCTTCGATGACCAACAACAATACACCATGGCCAAGGCCAAAGTGATATCTACTTCCGACGCAAGCACTTCGACTAATTACTCGGCGAACGATATTGTCACTCATTGCTACGACGCTGGTCTGGTGTCAAGGAATGAGTGTCGACACAACGAGAGCAATGATGACAAGACTGCCACAATGGCTTTTGCTGCCCAATCAACCATGGTTATCGACGAAAATCACAGTCTCCAAGTCAATTGCAATGATGCGATTGTCACCACTTATGGAAGTGCAACACCTGAGATGTATACCTCCTCACCCCATAAAACGGACGAGACTCCCTCACCGAATCCGATTGATGCTGACGGAATGGCTGATGACAATGCTCTGGAGATTGAGAATGTACCTGCTGTCCATAATAGCCAACATCTTGGGCTGTTTCCATTTGCGGGAAGTGGCATCAACCTCGACAGTATGCAGTTTCCTGGCTACAACCAGGGTGAAGCCTTGTCCTTCTTGGATCCAAATCTTTCAGCACCAATGGGGGATTTCGATCCATTGATGGAGCCTCCTTTTGGAGTCTTTGATATCAATCAGTTCATTAACTTCTAATTAACCATACGCCGAGGCCGCCTCATCTACTTCAGTGTCTCGCATATACTTCGTGGGACTTCTTCATCGAGGAATGGTGAGCAGGCTGGTCTCGGCAAGCTCAGATGTACAATAGTCGACTTTGTATTTGCATGTACTCAATTGATCTTCTGAAGGGCGTCTCAAGGCGGGTAGCGGTCATGGAGCAAACATGACACTTTTCCTGATGGACGCAAGGATTCTGATTTACGACAAGACCTCATGGATTGAGGTCCTCACGACATTACACTCAGCACGAATCAAAGGGGTTTACGGGCTTGTTATTCTGTTTCGGTTTGGGTTTGCTATCTTGATTTTAGAAGGGACTGGCGAAACGAGCAATCGGGGACGGGAGCATTCGTTTGTTTGTTTGTTTGTTGTTTTTTTTCCCTCTTAATATCGAACATTATCTCATGGTTGGGCTTTGTCCAGGTGGCAAGCTCAGGCAGTAGGACATACTTAATTTGAAAGCTATAGGAATGCAAATAATCTTTGAAGCACTTTGTCATCCTTGCGACATGATCTACAGCTGTAGGTTGGGTCAGTTTAGGAAACCCATGTGTAACTGACTTGCACGATGATTCTGTGCTTACAGCCTCATGAAGTATACACTCTGTTCTATCTTGAGTGCAGTGGTGGCTCTGAGCATCAGTTTTCCTAGGGCATTTACTTCGACCGTCGAACCCCCAGGGACAACCTGAAAGTAGTACAGCATGCGACGCCCCTTCACAATCTAGATTCAAATAAGAAATGAAGCTGACAGCAACGATCCACGATAGAACGGAACTAGCCATCAGTCTGAGCCTGTTTCTCTCCTGCCTTTCCCCCACCGTGACATAACAGAATTCAAGAGCATTTGTGAATTACCATCTCCAGCCACCCTTTCAGAGGTGCTGTCATTCACGTATTTCCACCTCCCGCCAGGGAACCGCCGATATCCCTTCACTTCACTGTGCTGGGATCATCGTCGCCACCAGCCAATGCACAGAGGGAACCAAGGGAATGGACTCGAGCTCTGAATCTCTTTCGTGGCAAGATATCTTGTCCTCTCTACTGCATCCCCAGTCACAAAGAGACGACGGATCAATCTGCTTACCTTCGCAAGCGCAATGACTCGAGCACATCGAGTCCTGGACAAAGATAGAGAGACATACACGCCACCCAACACAACCATCTCCTACCGTCCATATCGTCCGATGCCTCGGACGAATCCAAGTAACACAGAGACAACACCAGAGCTCATGCTCCACGACCAAAAGACAATGAGACAAATCACAACCAAACCCCGCCGGGCACGCTTATGCTTATCCCATCATCCACAGCATAAGGTAACTCCATCCAACGCAAGGAATCTAGAACACCCACAGAAGGCCAACAAACTACGGTGCCCACCATCAATCAACCCACATCGCTGCATCAGGAAACTCGAAGTCCAAGCTCCGCTAACCCCATTCGGATTCAGACAGACGGTGCGACGCGATGAGGGGGGAATCCCTGATTCTTCAATCCAGTATCCACCCCTTCTCCCTTTCCCTCCTCGATTCATCGACGTCACCGGCGAAGGCTCGCCCAGTTCGCCAGTTCGCCTCGTGGGTACGAAAGTATTGCCTTGTTCGTAGCCTGTGGCCCGTGGCCCGTGGCCCATGCGCAGCGAACAAAGAAAAAAAAAATGAAAGCTTAATGACGATCTATGCGCATCTAGCCCTAAGTTGTGCACGACTCACGAATCACGATTCGACCAGGGTACTCTTTCGCCGTCACAATAAGATTTGGGGGTGGAGCCGGCGCTAAGACGAACCGGTGTCCTTCTTCCCCCTGTCAGGCTGTCAGTGTCCTACTTCTTGGGGTTCCCCCGGGCCGTGGTGAAGGAAACACGAGTAATGCATTACGCATGGCTGCCGCCAAGAGGCGCCACAGGTCCAATGAGGATTGGTCTGGCGGCGGAGTTGCGGGAACAAAGAAAGTCAGGTGTGAGCAAGGGATGTCGTTAACTCGCTCGAGATAGGCGAGATTTGGGTGTCTGTGACTCCTGTGGACGAACATGTGGAGTGTGATTTGCGGGATTGCAAGGTCTATGGTCCGCCACTTGAGAGTCAGTCTCAGCTCCAGGGTTCCTTGGGCGTTGGGGCGGTGGAAATCATCTGTCCTTGATGCTTGATGGACGACTCCGTACTCTCAGCTCTGGGATTCTTGGTGTTCGTGACAGACAAAGATCGAGAGGGGACCATGGTTTGCTTCTATGCATATGTATTGAAGTGGAAGCTCTAACTCCATACAAATGCCGTATCTGAAAAGGGAAAGAGGATGGACGAGAGGAAAATAAAGTGCATTGCTCCCTAATCTTGGTATATCCAAACACATCAAGAAGAAATCGCACAACGAAAGGAAAATGGTCGGTGGAATAATAGGCGCAAAAAAAGGAATGAAAAAAAGGAAACAGAACGACCGGAAGGGAAGTTTATAGAAAGGAGAAGGGTGCGCGGATTGATGGATCTCCTTTCCATCCTCAATTATTAACAATTCCCAAAAGCAATCATATACGACTACATCGCCACTCATGACATCTCAAATCAATCGCATCATGAGCACCCACCCCGACGCAAGGCGACTTCATCGGCCAAGCATTACAGACGTCGCAGAAGAGCCTTATTCCTCCTGATAAGAGATCTTCCGCATTTCGCCAAGGCGCTGGCGAGCACGGGCCAGATTGTTCTCGAGTTGAAGGATTTCGACCTGCGTTGCAAAAAAAAAAAAAGAAAAAAGGAGAGACCAGTCAGTATCAGTGTAGACAAGTGGACAACAATTTGTAAGAATCATGCAAAACTTCAAAACTTCCAAAATAAAAATAAAAAAATAAAAACTCACCTGCTGCTCCATTTCTCGCACTTTGAACTCGTGCGAGCTGAGTTTCGAATAATCCACAGCCTCTGTGTCGTCCCGGTTTCTCTCCGAGATGAGGTCCTGCACCTGCCGCACCAGAGCTCGGCAGGCAGCTCCGACCGCCTTGCTGGCGGCTTCCAGGCGATCCTGTGTCTTGCTCATAAACGTGGCCTTGACTCGGCTAGCGGCCACCAGCTGGGCAGTGCTGGCTGCCACATCGTTACTGGCCACGATGAGTTGCTCGGGGGAGTTGCGGCCGGAGATGACGCCGTCCGCAGTCTCAATCAAACGGTTCGTCGAGGTAGCAACTGCCTTGGCCGCCGAAATGAGACCTTCCGTCCACCGATTGTTCTTCTTGTAGAAGGCTGTTCTCGACGAGCTGCCGCGACCCTCCCGCACAATCTCCTGCTGGGATTCCGTGGCGGCCTTGATCAGCGCGGCAATGGCATTGGTCACGGCGATAGCCGCCTCGAGAATCACATCGTTGATGCGAAGCTCATATGTCGAGTAGCCCTCGCGAGGCTTCGTCTTAAGCTTGGCCAGGCGTGCTGCGGCGGCCTCAATTGCGTCGGCTGCCTTGCTCAACTCCTGGTCCACCAGATCGCCCAGATCTCCACTGGTGCTGATCTTGCTTCCCTTGGGAGCAAACGCATCGACCAGCTTGGACAGGGACTGCAGATCCTTCTGCACCTCCAAATTGTTGTTGATCACGACATCGGTCTTCTGCAGAGCCTCCAGACCCTCCAGGCGGAAGGACTGAAGACCCCGGAAGAAACGCACGGTCGCCTGTGCAGACTTCCGAGCGGCGTTGAGGAGCTGATCCGCGCTCTTGTCGTCATTGGCAAAGCGGGTCAGACCCTTTGTGTTGCTCAGCACATCCGCAACTGAACCCGAGAAGATGGATACGGTTCGGATAATTTCAGCATGGGGACTGTTCGGGCCGTCGGCGATAAAGTTGTTGAAAGCCGTCGAGAATTCCGTGGCGGAAGCCGATGCCTTTTCGATCTGAGAGAGCACGTAGGGGGGAGAAGCATTCTGGTTACCAGCTTGCATGGAGGAGTCCAATTCGTAAAGAGCGTCGTCAACACGCTGCACACCGGTCTGGAGCACCGAATCGATAATGTCATTGATCTTGGATACGGTGCCTTGAAGAACAGTGTCAATTTGGGAGTCAAGCGCATGGTCGACGTCTCCTTGGCTCTAGATATGTCATCGTAATCAGCCACAGTCACAGCTATTAGGGTTTACTGGGAGATAGCGAGAATGAAAAACGTACCAATCTCAATTCCTCAAGCTCCATGAGCGCCTGTTCCATTCCAGACTTATAGACCTCAATTTCCTCGTCCTTCTCACGAAGGGCAAGATCATGATCTCCTTGGTGGTCCATAGTCCGCGAAGAGAACTCCTCTAGGGCACGCGTTTTTTTCTGCCCAACTGTGTCAGCAGAGTTCGGAACAACTTTATCAAAATCGCGGGACTCACTCTCAACGATTCCTCAAGATCCGCCATCTCACGGTTGTACTTCGACAACAGGGAAGAGATCTCGGTGCCCTTTGAGCGCTCCGCATTCTCAGCACGCTCAATAGCAAGACGGAGCTCGCGCTTGAGCTTCTCCAGCTCCTCTTTGTTCGTTCCCGTCAAGCGGTCTCTGTCGTGCAGAGCACGATCCCTTTCCCTGATCATGTCCGCCAGCTCCAGATTCTTGGTCTTGAGCTCGCGCTCAAGCTTCTCCCGGCGGTCAATGGCTTCTTGTGCAGATGCAGCCTTGAGCTTGAGGCTCTTTGTTGTCTGCAGAAGGTCAAGATGTTCCTGGCGTAGTTGGGAATAGAGCTTGGCGAGAGCCTCGTATTTCGATCGCCAGGTGTTGACCTGTTCCTGGAGCGCGCGGATCTGCTCGTCCTTCGAGGCGTTCTGCATGTTCAGGTTTGTGTTGAGGTGTGCCATCTGCTCCTCCAGATCCTTTACCCGGCGGTCATACTGTTGCAGCATCAACTGATCGCGCTCGTATTGCGCCCGAGCGTTCAGGTTCTCCCGCTCAAGCTCGGCCAAGCGGCCCTGAGTCTGCGTCTGATATTGCTCACGCAGAAGTTGCTCCTGGGCTAGTCGCTGTTGCTCGGCCTGTAAACGCTGCTGTTCCTCGAAGTCCCGCTGCGCTTGCTGCTGAGCGAGAACTTGCTGTCGCTGTTGATCCTCCCACTGTTGCTGGAGACGCTGTTGCTCGGCTTCGAACTCTTCCTGCTGACGCTTGGCCTCGTTCGTCCAGAAGTCGTTGATCGGTTCCGGCTCGGCCGCTACTGGCTTCGGTGGCGGAGATGGCTGTTTCTCCACCTCCTTCGTCGGCCGCTGGGGTAGCGCTGGGCGGTCTTCATCTTCGCCCAGCAGACTGGGAGGATCCTGAGGCAGCTTGGGGACTGTAATCAGACTTGTCAAATAACGCAGATTGGAACATTCGTAGTAGAACCGGACGAGGCGATAGTGCTGGGCATCGTATCGGCCGCGGAGTGGTTCGAGAGCGTCGTTATCACCCGTGGCTGCAAGTAAAGGAGGCGTGTTAGCTTCAGAGAATGCGAAGCCATCTCCATTGCAGCACAGTAGATCTTACTGGTATGCATGGCCCGCAACATGCTCGTGATGAACTTGTAAATGCCATAGCTCTCCTGTACAAGGGGAACCAGAGCAGAGATTCTACACTCGTTATTGGTTCCCGATTGGAAATGCGAGAAGATCAGCTTCTGGAAGGCATCAATCTGATCCTGTAGGGTCATGAGGTCGGTGATGGTCTCATATCTGTAAATCGTCAGTGCCGAGGACTCCAAGGGCCGGATCAAACGCTTTACCCTTCGTTGGGGTCGTTGATGGTCTTCAAACTGATATACTCCTCATATTCGAACAAACCTTGAGAATGTCAGCACTCGCGTAGGAGGTTTGGCCGCCGTCCAGGGATCCCATACCATTGAACTCGGGATGATTCCGATGAAACGTCAATTTCGACTCGAGGAAGTAAACATACTCCCGGATGAGCGGGCCGTATCCTGTCCATGCACACATTAACTAAATCGCTCTGCCCCCAGACTCCTGGCCAGAACTCCCGCATACCTCTAATCCCGTCGCCTCCGACACCTCTCATCAAACTATCAATCCAATTGACATGCTGTTGCGCCTCCCGGACAACGATCGGGTGGCCTTCCTGCAAAACCTTGTGTATCGTGATCAGGGCCTTGAACGTCTGGACTTCATCGGCGAGGACAGGTTGACTATGACAAGAACACGAGCGCAACGAGAGTCAGTTCGAGATAACCACCAATCGTAACGAGCAGACTGCCGGAGGTAATCACGCACACTTTCATGCCGGCCCAGAAGGCGGCAGAAGATTTGTGGTCCCATGTGTAGACAATGCAGCTCCGGACATGTTTCCCTGGCGGACAGAACAGATATCAGTGGCGAGATCATAACAGAAGAGGGAGCCCGAGGGCGATTGCGCAAAAGGCGTCTCGGCGGGGTGTGAAGCTGCATACGTTTTGGAGCGGTTTCCTCTATTGACAAACATCTATCGTCAGCCACAGGATGCTTTCTCGCATTGGATTCATGCGATATACTCGGGGGCCCGACATACCGATACTGGTGGCTTTACGGATGTTGATTGCGAGATCAGCCTCCGTGCTATATGAGATAGGTTAGTCTTTAATTTCCTTTCGCTTCTGATCCGATCTCTCGTCGCTTCTCGACAACACTCACCGACTCATCTTGACGGCGGGGGTGTATTTCTTGGTTCGCGGGGATCAGGGGGAACAGAAGGAAGACCGGGAGCCGGTGGGCCCGAATCCAGGAGACTCTTGAAGCAACAATGGGGCGCTAACTAGAAGAATAAGCAGAACAAATCGATGAACAAGAGAGGACTTCAAAGAGAAGGAAAAGAAAGCCTGACCCGAAGACGACAAAAACAACAAATTTGACTGTGAGAGAGGAAATTGGGAAGCCAGAGTCCAGAGACAATGACGTTTTGGGCGCCTGGCGGGAAAACTGGCGCCTGCACTGCGTCCATCGCGGGTCTTGGCAACGCGTCGTCCTCCAAGCTGGTTCCAGTGGATTGTAGTATAGTTCTACCGATGGACGCAAGGATTCAAAAGCTCAATCCGATTATCCAAACTGTCTAGCATGTCAGATGTCTGCTGATGAACCCATTTCTGGCTGTGCTTAAATAGGAGATACCTCCAAGAGCTTTGTGTCGGAGCTTCGACTTCGATCATACAGACTCATCTATTTCACTACAGACGACCTTGGCGACACTATACCAGTATATAAGAGCTAGAGATGAATTTCATTGCCTTCTAAGAACGATAGCATATCAAATATACTGCAGGCAACGCTCGGGAAATCCAATCAACACCGAACGCCCATTTGCTGATCAACGTACAGAGACTCCGCACTGCAGAGCTGTCATGACGAACCAGGTATAGAGATGTAACAAGGAATTCGGGATGTCCGACAATGATCTATCCTCCTCGGGTCTACCGTCAAGAGTGATATGATCCCGAATCATGGTATAATTCCGTCAGTTGCCGACAGTAACTCCATGTCATGCTTCGCGATATCAGGTACATCCCGAGCGATGGGATTCTGTTCACTGAGTTTTCGGTCGTCCTTATTATCCCAGTCATGACTGTAGCCTGTCTCAATCAGCTCAGTAGGAGCCGACCCAGGCGGAGTTTGCGAGGTATTCTGCGTCACGGCCGGGCGCATGGATTCTATGTCAGACGCAGAATCAGGGGCAGGGCTATTGGGTGTCGAATCATACGGCGCTTCGACCACCAATATTTCGTCCGGACTGCTTTCGTCCCCTTCTTTTTTGCCTAGAGCTTTGCGTTTCGGCAATGGCGCTTTGGAGACAGGTCTTTTGTTTTCCTTTTTGGGTCGCTCGGGAAGTTGTGGCGGGACAGGCTTTCGTCGAGGCAGGGGGTTATTCTTGATTCCGAACTTCTCAGGGCGCGGTAATGGGGTTCCTGGTGGTGGGAGTGGATGGCCGCGTCCGATCGGCTCATTAGGGGTACCAGCAGGTCGAGAAGATTCATGTCCGGCGTGGGAATCGCCCTTCCCAAACACACTCCAGCTCCACTTCTTAGCTACAGCGGTCGCTGTGCCCAACGATAGCGAGCTCTTCGGTTTTTCCTCGGAGCCATTCGAAGAAGCAACTGGCTTGGTCAGAGTCTCTAGTGTTTCCAATGTGCTCCGTCGCCGCGATCTCTCGCTGTTGATTGATGTACTTGAGCTGCCCCCAACGCTTCGAAGGTTCAGTGACGAATCACTAGCCAAGTGGGCAGATGTGGGACGCGCGGGGGACTGATTGATAAACTCGCTAACACCCTCGAGAGATTCTGTAAAGGAGGAGCCTCGACTGAATGCCAGCTTTTCCGGGCTGATATTGCTCCCCGTAGGCGGCGATCCGTTCGGCGTCTTGTTTGGCGAGCCAGAAGGTGAGCGATTTGATATCTCAATCATGGCACTGGCAGCACTGCTCTTCTCCTCGCCTTTAATGTCAGTCGTGATGGCTTCAATCTTGATATTATCTGCAGTAACCACAGGATCGGCAGCGTTTGAGAAGGTCTGAGAACGTATCGCGCGTGGTAACGATGGTTCACCTGTCCTGTCAAGAGCAGATGATAGGCTCTTTTCAGAGTCTACTGTGATCGACTTGGAACTTTTGCGAGATCTCAAGGTTCCCGATGTGCTTTCCAGAAGGACAGGCATGCTCAGCGCACGATCATCCTTAGTCTTCAGCGCATCGAGAGGATCCCTCGTGGTCGGCGTCTGTGGGTGACTGACGGATTCGTCTGGTATTTCAGCCTTCGAACCGGGCCTAGGGATCTCTCGCTGCCAAATTCCTCCCCGGAAAGCCTGAGAAGCAGTGTCCAAGAAAGGAATGTCGTCCCAGAATGGCTGGACGACACTTTCCGCAACAACCTCGCGGATTCTACTCTCAATGGTTCGCAGGATGATCCCATAAGTGATCTGCTTTGAGCTGACAATCGGTTCAATGTCCATGACGATATTTGGCATGGTTTCGAAGGAGATCCACGCTCTGTTACTGGGTGGAGGCTTGAAACGAATCAACATATGCCCCTCGAGCTTCTTGAGCACCACAGCAAGCACAATATCCACTTCTCTAGCTTTGAAGCGAGGGCCCAGGTCAATGCGGACAGTGGCTGAGATCTCGAGACGGAAGTTACCGGCATACTGAATATCGGTCTCAATGCAACAATTTCCATCGACGGTCAGATCCTTGAGCCTCGGGTTAGTGATGAACGGAGCGCCCTCGCCCATGTCAATCCGTTGCAGACCAATTTTGCTGATAAAATTCGGCTTATTAACCCGAGAGATCTTCTTCGTGATCTTCTGCCGTATGAATTCTTCCATCTCAGGGGTCTTGTACATGGCCAAGAATACCCTGCCCAGGACAGCATTGATCCAGCGTGTCTGTAGTTGTTCCTCGGAGGAATGCAGACGCTGCACGAGCGTGACGATATGCTTGACTTCGAATTGTTGGTGTTTGGGTGGGCAATTTGGAAAATCGCCCATTCTCGTCTGGTTCTGGAGCATGGCGAAGTAGAAGTCCTCCTTTTCTGAGAGATTCTCGGAGAATAGGTAGAAAGGGGGTGTCGGCCCTCCAAGATCCCCAAGTGAATCCAGTCGTCTCGAGAGACAAATGGCGTTCCGCTTCAACCATAGCTCACCCTCCGGGATCTCCCCTTCTCCTCCCCCATAGATGCTCACATCATGATGGGCGAGGGAGATGACGTATCGTACTTCCACCTGGTTCGCATCGTCGTAGAGCATCAAATGGCCATGTCTGTTTGCGTTGTTAGTTCAGTATTCTCAAACTACTACCAAGATAATTGACGCAGCGAGAGTCAGAAGCGGGGGGACAAGAGGGAATGACATACCGCAGAACGATGTAGAACACATTCCGAGCCCTTTTCCCATTCTTCCCATTACTCTTCGCAGGCTCAATGGTCGGTGTCTGCTTCCTATCAAACAAGCTCCTATACATAGTCTGGTAGACGCTGGGGCTCTCGGCGGCGATCACCTCACCCGCCGGGGTGGTTCGCTCGGGAGGCTTGCCATTGACACCACCAGGAACATATTCGCGACAAACCGCGAAATAGCCAGCAGCGACATCGGACTCGTGGGTACGGTGAAACTTGTCGGCCAGCTCATCCGTGCCGGACTTCAAACTATCGGAATCATCGCTCGGGTGCCGGATATCATCTGCAGCTCGTTCGTTTGGAGCACCGGATGGTGGGGAAGCGCGCGGGAGCGTCAGATAGGCGTGAAGAAGAACCAGCGACAGGACCAGCGGAATGAAGGTGAGTCCGCCGAGGAAGTATACAAACAGAAAACTACCAAACGAACCCATCGGGACCTGGTCAAATCAGAGATGCAGCAGCAAAGACTCCATCGTCGTCGTCGCGGCCGTGGTCATGTGAGGGGAACGCCAGCCAAGGGCCAGGTAGCGATAAGAACGAAGTGCTTGTATGATCGCGCGATATACCAAAATGGCCGAGGGTAACGAGTTCGCGAAATAGATTAAAGAATGGGGGAGAGAGAAGAGTGTCAAAGAGGAAGAAGAGACTGTTATGGACACATGGAGGAAAGCAAGACAGGACAAGATACACTTTAGCCGTCCCTACGGTATCGTTGGAGCTCACTCACGTGGAACCGATAGTTACCTAGCTCTCTACTCCGTACCTTGGAGATTCCCAAGGTCAAGAATGGATAGTATTTTAACTCAATACTGAATAATATAGATACCAAATAGCCACTGCTTACTGCTCGAGTTCTACTGATGATTTTTTTGTTCGTAGGAATGCAGCCGATAACCACTTCCGGCGTCAGTGTGTCTTTGTCTTTTATTATTTTTGACTATATTCCACTGTCCTCCTCCGTCCCTTCCGCTCGTACCAGCAGATCCTATGAGGCTATGACGGCACCTGACGATACCTGTCCATATCGGGTGTAGCTTAGTCAGTGAGTCTGCAGATGGGGAACTTTGAGTGGCAGTGGAAAATTGTTTCCCCGTATGCTTAGTCATGGGATCTGTGAAGTGCATTGCTCCATTGGATGGAACACCATATCAGGGAATCAACCTGAAACCTCCAAGACATCATGATCCAATCTGAGGCGTCTTCGAGCCACATTACTCGATACCCCAGCAATCAAGGAGTCCCTCTAGAAGAGTCTTGGAATCTCGGATCCCCTGAAGATGTAGTCGAGTTGACCTAGTTTGTAAGGTAGATACTACATCCACACAACGGCATCCTTTCGTCCAACAGGGCGAACCAGACCAAGAACGTGATAGATTCATCGTATATTGATTTGCAGAAATATTGTACAGCTTTCGAAACTCCAGCGCAAACAGACCCCTGTGCTCCGAGAAGTACTCAAAATGCATACGCCAGCAAGCACTCTCTATTCTTCTAAAGCTTCGTTGTCGTACTTGTACAGCCTTGCTTCATCCAATCCGCCACATGCAGAACAAGAAGGGAGGGGGAGGCGTAAGGTGGTTGAGAGGGGACACAGAAAATCAGACACTCTAAGAATCATACAAAAAGAAGGTTATTGATACACAAACATTGAATAATGTGACAGTAGGTTTGGGGTGCTTCACACGTGATCGATGTACGTCTGGAACCCGTTCTGTGGGACAGCATATAGAATGTTGCTGGAATTGGAGACGGATCAATCGACAAGCTTCCTACTGTAGCTTTTGTCTTCAGGATGCATTCTTTTGGACCAGTCCCCAAAAGTCTACTTTCTCCGGTTCATGGCTTTCTCGCACATTTGGATGAGACCAGCCTTGGCTTCACTGTCAGGGAAGTTGCTGACGGCGGTAATGGCCTTGTCGGCGTACTCCTGGGCCAGAGCGCGGGTCTGTTCAACGCCATCGCTCTTGTACACCAGTTCACGAGCCTAGAAGATTGTCAGAGTCCGGGTCTTATCACACTATGTGTGAGTCGATTGAGAACTCGGCAAGTTCACTTACCATTTGTACATCCCCCTCTCGGCTGAACTTCCGACCGACCAAGGGGCCCAGCTCAGGGTTCTGCTTCCAGGCAAAGAGCAGCGGAGCAGTCGCAAGACCCAGCTCCAGATCGGCTCCGGCAGGCTTGCCTAACTCAACCCCACTCACGGTGTAATCCAGCAGATCATCCACCAGCTGGAATGCCAGGCCCAGGTTGCGTCCATAGGCATAAGCAGCATCGACAACCTCAGGCGTACTGCCACCTAGCAATGCCGCTGCACGGCACGACTTGCTGATCAGACTGGCGGTCTTGAGGTACGTCTTTTGCAAGTAGTACGAGATGGTCTCGTCGGTGAACACGGGGTTCTTCTCATCCGCGGCGGTATTCTTCAATTGCATGAACTCTCCCTCCACCAGGTTGGCAATGACAGTTGCAAGCAGTTCTGTGACCTCGGGGTCTCTCAGGCGCGCCAGGGCGACGGAAGCTCGGCCGAGCAGGAAATCTCCGGCCAGGACGGCCATCTTATTTCCAAACTGGAGGTTTGCGGAGTTAGACGACCTCCGAGTAACAGCGTTGTCGATCACGTCGTCGTGGAGGAGCGAGGCGGTATGGATCAATTCCGTGATCTCAGCGAGTCGGCGCTGCGTAGGCAGGATATTCTCATCCCCCGCAAAATCATATTGCGCTTCGGCCGATTTCGAGACAAGCGGGCTGAGATCCGGGTTCGTATCGGCGAGGACGGAAGGCGAGCTAATGGGATCATTGACCATCTGTGAAGGGGTGAAGTTTGAACGACTCTGCCGCGGAGTCAACGCCGTCGCCTGTGACATGAGCAGGACCAAAAGCGGACGCATATGTTTGCCCTCGCTGCGGGTGTAATATTTGGCCACTTTATCAAGAGTCGGGTGGCCCGAACCCAGCAATTGGCGTATATTCTTCGTCAAAAACTTGAGCTCTTTCCCCACGATCCTCAATGGATCTACCGAGATCCCCGGAGGAGCCTTTGGCAGGCCTTTGAAGATGGTCTGCGCTGCAGAAACGGCGGCACCGAAGGGAGAGACATCTTTCCGGCGGGTGGGATGGTATTTTCGAACGTGGATTTGAACTTGATTTGAGAGGAGATCTTCACGAAGGCATTGCCAGCATATCGAGGTCGAGGTCGTCGTTCGCGATGAGAGAATGAGGCCAGAGGCCGAGACCGTTCGAGCTCTCATGCTCGTTCAGGGAGAATCCGTATCCAAATTATTAGTCTTCCCTCTCGATTTAAACATACGAGCCCCAAATTCAGGCTGTATGAACACAAGGAATGTTGACAAGGCGTCGGTGTGCCTCTCTCTGCGAGGTGCGTAATATTTCCACAGATCCCAGAACCGCCGAAGATTTCGAGCTCGCGGAGCTGCGCTCGGGCCGGAACGGGAGACGACAGCTTCCAAGGTCACAATGACCACTACAACATGGAAGGCTAGGCAATGAAGTACAACTACCACATTTGGAAAAGAAAAGAGTACTCCGTAGTATCATCGGAAGTAAAACACATATCATGAAATCAAACTATATTGAAAGGACTACGAGTATACGAAGAGGCATCTGTACAAGAAACATAGCGAGCTTTCCTTGTCTAAAGTATAGATGGAAATTACAGAGAAATCCGGTAACACGACCAGCTTAACGGACGAGATCTACAGAACAAATCCGTTCTGGCAACCGCAAAAATGAAACGAATCCCTGAGTATCGAAAACATGCAGGATCATGCTCACAAGTTGACCCAGCAGATTTCCCCTCATAGACACCCCGAGCGACAGAATTAGCGAACCATGACGCAACAAAAGCTGCGAAGCCGATGTGTGCATTGTCCCGAAGGACCGGGCAAAGTCCAGTTGCCGCAGAATCAAAGTCTTCGGGTCAATTAGATAGCGTCGAAATCTCCACCTGCATCCTCATCATCCATGTCCCCTTCCTGGATCTCCTTGGCGAGTTCTCGTTCCCGTTCCCGGGCTTCCTGCGCGCTCTTGAGCTCCAGGCGATGTTGGTTCATAGGAAACCTCATAGCCTGAAGATAAGACAGAGAAGTATTAGCAAGAGAATCTGGAGCACAACTGGCAGGTGCTTGTAACACAGGAAACACCTACCTTGACACTTTCATCGTGGAGAGCCAAGCAAGCTTGAATGCGCTCGTGGAAGACCTCTCCAGGCTCACGAGTGGCATAGATATCCCCAACCTCCTTGCTCTTCATGTAACCATGCTCGTGATCCAGAGTAGCCTCAATCACACCGTCACGGATTGCCTTGGCCACAATGTACTCTGCGGACTCCTCGCTGTCCAGACCAAGCCGTAGGCAGATGTCCCGGAGAGAAATGCGAGAGTAGGAGAGAGACATCATGCGAATGCCGGTCTTGATGACGTTTTGTCTCAAGCGCAGGATCAAGGTGTAGGTTCCGTCCTTTCTGAACGTTGCACTGTGCGTATTTACAATGTTCAAGAAGCCATCCAGATCACCAACACTAACGGCCTGAACAAGTAAGAAGTATGGGTGCAAAGCGCGCTCAAGAGCAGGCTGACGGAAAATCGCACGGTCGGGGATATCACCCATCAGCAGCTCAACAACCACAAGCAGCTTGTGGGAAGCTTGATAGAAACCCCGGGCACTTTGACTCGACGGAGACTTGCGCGTGGCACCGATCAGGTGCCCATGAGCATCCGTATATTGCAGCTGAATTGCACGGATGCGCCCCAGATAGTATAGGTACCGAGCAATCTGGTTGTTCGATGCTGCGGATGGGAAGTTGTTGTGGGAGATGAGCAAGTCAGCCTGCGAGATGTGGGAGGTAGACAGGTAGTTTCGCAGCAACAAGGTCATCACTGTAGCCTGAGTGTCGACATCTTTTCGAAGGACTGCCGTTCTGAGCGCCGCGAGCAATGGCTGGCGGATAGACGTGACGGCTGCAGCGGGGGATGGAGGAAGGGGGGCGATCTGCTCGTAGAAGAGGGAGTAATAGAAGTACACGCGAGCAGCGAGAGAGTCAAGAGTACGACGGTTGAGAGTCCGCAGACGCTCGATCAAGGCAGTTGAGAACTTCGCACCCCTTTGGAAATCCTTCTTATCATAGAGATAGATCTGAACGAGGATAGACAAGTAGGTATCTATCTCGGGCAAAATCTCCTTGGGTGAAGGTTTGTTCTTCTCCGAGTCAACTTCCATCTTTGAACTAGCTACCGCTGTATCGAACGCGCCAGATTTATCGATGGCCTCGAGCAAGAACGAGGCGGTGGGGCTCGATGGCGGGTAGGTCTCAACGATGACTTCCGCCAGCACATCAGGGGTGATGTGCTTGCGCATTGAGGATATCGATCTCAACACACGCAGTGTAAATCTGGGGTCGAAGTGGGCGACGCCTCGTTCGAGAAGTGTAAAGTTGGCCTTGATATCTGTACATGTCGATAAATAGTGTGTCATTAGGCATGCATCCAGCAACAACAATAAGCTCGAAAGAGACGAACCTTGAACAGCCTTGACCTTGGGGTCAACCTCCGGTTCGGCCTCATTCTCGGCGCCCTCCATGGCAACATCACCCTGCTGATCCTGGCCCTTGTCTCCGGATAGCCTCGAACCCTTGGAGGGGGGCACTACAACAGTCATCTTCTCGTCACCTTTCCGATTCTTACTGGTGTTGGATGAGGATGTAGGCCCACCTGCCGTATCCTCTTCCATCTCAATGTCCTCAGAACCGTTCACGCCATTAGTATGCGGCTGGTCACGCTGTTCACCCATTCCGGAGTTGGATGCGTTGTTCGACGAAGCAGCTTTCGTAGCCTTGCTGGCGGCGGCGCGGGCTGGCGCGGCCTTGTCCTTGTTGGAGCTCGAGCTCTGCGAGCTGGAGCGCGCTTTGTCACCGTTAGTAGACGAAGAGGTATCTGACTTGCTATTGGATCGCAAAGAACGTCTCTCGGTCGGCATTTTTCCTCAGCGTGAAGCTCGGCTGGGCAAGAAGCAACCGCAGTACCGGAGAACAGAGGAAGGGGGATTAGAAGCCCAATGAACGTCCTCGGACACGAACAACGGGTATAAACAAACGACCGATGAGAAAGGAGACGAGCTCGGGAAAGCAGGAGAAGAAAGAAATGATGGGATACGGTGTTTTGGGGAGGTGGGAAAGATGGTTGATGAGGTGGTGATGTGATGTCAAGGTTGACTTTGGGGATGGACAACGAGAGAACCAGCACAAGGCTTAGTCAGTTGAAGGGTAGCTTACTGGGAGCGGGCGGCAGCTGATGTGACGACGGAGCTGGGTCAGCTGCAGAAGAATCCTCGCCTCACTATTGACAACGAGTCGCAGAATTGAAGAGAAGTATAAAGAAAGAGACGGAAATACAGGGGGAAACAAATTATAGCTTGAACACGAGGAGTCGTAACTCAAGTGGCTTGTGTTTTGAGAGACAGAGAGAGCTGTCGTCTGTTATTTTTCGATCTTCGGCCACAAGAGCGCGAGCGTTGCCACCTCAAGCCCCGTTGGCCTGAGGCAGCCAGCAGCTTCGCGGCCAGCTTCGTTTCTTGGCGGTCGGAGTTGGTTGTCTCGCTGATAACACGACCCAGCACCACCGCCATTGGGTGTTTACATGGTTGCCCGGCTCCCAAGCGCTACCTATTTTGACATACACAGTACTTATTTTGAGCCTTGCTGCTTTTTCCTTCATTTCTGAACATAAATTTATATACGCTAGCAGCAACAATGTCGTTGCTTGAAAACCATCTAGAGCAGATCCAGCTCTCCTCCAATGCGATCGCAGAATTACCGTGAGTGCGCAATGTCTCTGGTTTTGCTCTGAAGATAGGATGTTGATCGACGTCCGTTGGCAGTTTCCCTCAGCCTCGAATCTTCACCAATGCCCTCCTAGGTCCTCATGATATTACAGCTCTGATCCGTGATACTGAAGCTCATGAGCGAGCGCTGTTTCAGACCGATCCGTCGGCTACGTCCCAGCGACGGGCAACAAGGCGGGGGACAATGTTCCAACCTGACGCAGAGGGAGAGTCGATGGCCAGTCGGATCTATGCGGCACGGAACAATCGAAATCAGTCAGCAGTCGCCAGAGTCTTAGGGTCTGACATGATGGAAGAGATCAAACGCTCTGCGGGGACCTCTAGCAGAGGAACGCGCGTTGAAGTCAACATCGATGTGTTACTGCGGGGTGCGGAGATACTCTGCAATGTTTAGTAAGTGGTCACTCCCCATTTATTGTTCCGTTTGTGCTGATTTCTTTGAAGTCCTGTTGCTGGTGCGCTAGAAAAGATCGCGAGCCTACGCTACCGTCACGAAATAATCAGCGACTCAGTTGCCAAATTGGAGAACCGTGTAGCAAGGAACACTACAGAATTGGAGCAGATGAGCCACTCATATGGGGATGACTATGATGACTATGACAACACACCAGCCTCCCAAGCGGATGGCGGTGGTGTCACTGATGCTGACATTGAGAGGGAGATGGAGGAGATCAGAGAACTTGAAAGAAGGAAACGGGCTCTAGAAGCCCGTGTCAGCGGTATGGAAAGAGATCTGGGTGGCTTGATGGGTTGAGCTCCGAGGCCTGCCTTACTTGTTTGCCCCATCGACCGCACCATAAAACGCTCTAGGCTCTTCAAAAAGGCTCTAGAGGCTGTCGCTCATCATACGGGATTGAGTTGCATCTGTTGGACTTGCTCCTGTGTCTGAGAGGTAGTGCAGACCCGCGTTTCAGTAACCGGTACCCACTCACTTGGACTGAACTTAAGAAAGCGCTTTTCTAAGTTTAGCACTGGAGTTCTTGATTCTTGACTGATCAAGAATCAACCTACACGCTGAGCTTGGAACTGTAGCATGGATTTGGGTGAAACCGCCACTTGCCATGCATTGGCTATCCCCAACAAACGCCACAAAGCTTTTTGGGCTCAAGCTCACTAAAGGGGACATACGGCTGCTGGAAAACTCCACAAACACAAGTGTTTTCTCTTTGCGTCGCCTTACATAGCAGGTTTCGGGCCAATGTGCCATCTGATCCGTGGCTTCGAATAAACGACCTAAGAAGAGAGGGATAGGTTTGTGGCCTAGCTCGCACCTTCAGCCCATTAGTCTTAAACGAGGCAGTTTTCTTCTGGCGCTGAGATTGCACTTCGCCTCTGAGAGTGCCATGAGACATAGTCCGCAGAGCTTCTATGTCTTTACACCTTGCATCCGGAAACTTTCTGCTTTGCAGATGTCTAGCAAAGAAGACATTTAGCTTGGGGAACGGTTTGCACTACAAGCATTAAAAAAATGAATTTGTTATATCCGTTGGGTTCCTTAGATTGAGACTCAGTCCTCTGTAGAAGACCACGCTCAATTAGTGCTTCAGATGATAGACACATGTTGAGACAGTCAATGAGAATAGATCTCAACATTTCCAGAACAATCAATCTCATCAATAGAGACCATGATGAGCCTGTAATAAAACAATACAAGCAACACCAGCGAGGACCACAAGGGCATTGTCAGTTAAATAAGGCATCAATGCCAAGCCTGAGGCTTGCAACTCTGCCCTTCCGCTTCCTCTCCGCCATCACGTCCCCCAGAACGACCATCAGCCGGCTTCACTGATCGGAGACCACCATATCTCGAGGGTTTGCACAGGAAGATCGCGTTTTCCGTCACATCTCCACTCCTTCGCTACGGTTGGCATCTCTTCCTTTCGGTTCTCGAGCATACTGCACGCCTATCTCCGCGAGTAAGACGCGGACCAAATCTAATACATCATTTTATCCTCTTTTTATCAGCCTCCACAAATCATCCTCGATTCCGCCTATTCTTGCTGCTTCGAACATCCCCTTTGCCTATAAAATTCCTATTGATTTCAGTCCCTTGTTCCTCTCTTTTGTCCTGCCCAGGAAGATCCCTAGCTATTGACCAGTATGGACGGCTCTCAGGCCCCGGCGAATCAGCCGATAGCTACTCCTCAACAGCATTCGAACCTCATCCGGACGGACCAGGTCCAGAAATTACCGCATCTCAATGAACAGCAGAAGGCTCAGCACACCCAGCTGGTGCGCAACTTCTGGGAGATCCTCAACAGCCGCGAGCCACAGAGTGCGGAGTACCAGAACGCCCACATGAGACTCACGCAGCTCTCTCAGAATCTGATGAAAGGCATGCGTTTGTTCCAACATAATCGCCAGCAGGCGCTGCAGCAACACCAACAGGCCCAAGCGGCTGCTGCGGCTGCTCAGGGACAACCTGTACAACGCACGCAGTCCGCCAACCCACAGTCTTTCAATCAGCTCCTCCCGCAGATCCAACAGAAAGTGAACGGTCTACAATTCTTCCTCCCTCCCAATATCAGCAAAGAGCAGATACAAACATGGCTTCCCGAGGCAAGGCTGCGATACGGGATCGCGCTTCAGAAGCAGGAGATTGGGCGGGTGCGCATCTCAGAGATGCGCGGGCAGTTTGCTCAGCGGCAGGCTGCAGGAAACTTGAGTGAGGAAGAGGTGCAGGATTTCAAAAACCGGCAGCTAGCGGCGGAGAAGCTCTTTCGGGAGGGTAGCGAATTCTTGAACAAATTTAAAGAGCAACAGGAAACGTTCAAAGCGCAGCAGAATCAACAGCTCAATAGAGCTGGCCTACAGAGCGCCGGGCAGGCACAAACTCATCCGCCTCAAGGGACCGCTGAGCAGACTCCCGCTGTTACTGCGGCTGCGACCCCAACTGCTGCTACGCCCGCCCCCACCATTAGTGACAAGCGCCCAGTGAATGTCCCTGGGCAGATGCACCCAGGACAAGCACCCACTCCAGCACCACATACCATCAACTCTGCAGTAAATGCGGCGCGCAACCAGGTCGGTCAGGCAGCCATGTCTCCAACACCTCAACCAGGCCAAGCACCCACTGTACAAACTGGAGGCACTGCGCCTGCCCCTTCTGCCGTGCCTCCCCAGCAACCACTGCAGCTACAGCAACAGCAACAACCACCACAACCACCACCACCACCACCGCCGCAACAGCCGCAACCTCTTTCGCAGCAGGGTGCCTCAGGCGCACAAGTCACATTTAGCCAAGCACCCAACCCTGACGGTTCCACGCCCACCCCCACTGCTCCACAACCTGTCAATATCCAAGGTCCCCCGCGTCCTTTGTCCCATCAAGCTGCTATGGCCCAAGCTGCCCAGAATTACACCAACAACACCGCCAATAATAATCTGGGTCAGCCGAATGTGTCACAGGCTGCTGCCAATCCCCATGCGCACCCTCAAGGATACATCCCTAACCGAGGGGCTGAGAACTCAGCGCGGAACATCAACATGGCGATTCCAAAGAACCTCAACGTTCCGCCCCCTGAGCCGATCAGCATGGCGCCAGCGCGACCAACTCTATCAGGAGGCCCTAGCCATGGCGCGATGGGTATGATGGGTCAGCCGGCGATCCAGAAACATCCAGGCTACGTCCTTGAAGGCGAGGGTCAGCGGGTTCTGAGCAAGAAGATGCTGGATATTCTGGTCCGCCAGGTCACCGGAGGAGGAGAGGGCGAGGGGCTCACACCGGATGCTGAAGAGGTAATACGCCTTTTTTCGGCGTCTTCCACTCCAGAAGGATTTCACACGGAGTGCTAACCTACCATATAGTTCATCCTGCAAATGGCCGACGACTTCGTCGATGACGTGATCACCGCTGCATGCCGTCTTGCCAAACTGCGCCCGTCCTCCACGCTTGAGATCCGCGACATCCAGCTCGTCCTGGAGAGGAACTACAACATGCGCATCTCCGGCTTTTCCACCGATGACCTCCGCACCGTCAAGAAGCCCCAACCCACCCAAGGCTGGACCCAGAAGATGTCCGCCGTCCAGGCCGCCAAGGTCACGCAAGGAAAGGCCGAGTGATCCCATCATCACTATCCTTCCCCCTTCTTCTTTCAACTTCCTTTCCACCCCATGCATCAATTACACTATGGACCCTGTTTACATAGAGATATGCTTTTTCTTTTTCTTCTTTTTTTTTTAAAACTCAGAACGCCTCACCCTCACACACCATCTCACATTACTGCGCACTTTTTGACTCGGCGTCAATCGGTTGGGAAACAGGCGGGACCGGAGGAAACCGTCCTCTTTACGAATGGACGGAAATTTTTTTTTTTTAATCGTATTTGTCTTGCTGCGCGGGAAATATCAGATTTGCTCAATTGGAGTTCTATTTTTTTTTTTTTTTCTTTTTTTTCCGCCTTCGTTTCTTCTCTCTTTCCGTTTATCGTTTCGTTTTTCTTTTGCATCTATCCCGGCGTCGTTTGATTTGAGGATCTGTCTTAGGCTGTTTATTCGTTCCCTTCTTTTTGCCATGATTACTTACTTCCCTTCTCGAGATGTACCATTAGGCCAGGGATGGGTAGAAAAATCCGATTCTGCTTGTGATATCTGACTTCACTTCAGACTTCTTCTAGTGGGATCAAGACTGGTACCTAGCTAGACCTTTGCACTTTCCTGACATGGTCTGTATTCTTCCAAGGAAGGTGCAGTGGTGATAGGCTATATATCTCAAAGACGAAAGACCGATCAACGCTGTATGTACTAATCTCGAAGTAGAAGGCACAGCTGGAACTGGATCCACGTCAAGAATACACTCGAGAATCATGCGGAATGGAACACAGGATCAGAATGAGATGTAGGTATCGATTGATGTTCTACTTGGCTGCAATGTAAAAGAGCTCTTCTATCGGTCTTTTGCTAGGAGCCAAAAGTCACAAAACAAGAAACATACTGGAAATGAAGTTGCGATGCGCTCAAAACTGGCTTTCTCACACAAAGGTAAAACAGGCTTCTCCCAGCCATGAGTTCAACAGTAGGCGATCGATGTCAATCGAGTAGCACCAGAAAAAAAAAAAGGGATACAGATAAGGAAAATAGGAGGTACGGCTCGTACCAAGGAGTGTCTAGAACAATGGGTAGAGTGTTATGGGGCCAGCATTGGGCGTATTTAGTTCCAACAAAAGGAGATAAAAAGAAACAGTGGTAACAAGAAAAAGATATACGAAGTAATTGGTACAGGGGAATGGAAAAGAAACAAAACAAGAGGAGTAGAAGAATGGAAACTTGGAAGGGACTGCAAAGATCGTAGTCAGTCCCTTGCAATAGAACACAACTAGTTGAAAGTCGATATCAACCAGACGGAACTAAAAGAAAACAAAAATGATGGTCAAAAGGAAAGGTACACAAAAAGGAAAGGGCGAGATGATAGTCTCTCAAATGATGGTCCACATGATCAGAAATTGCATGTCATGCTGAGGATAAGGGGATATGGAAAGGCGTATCTCGTCTATGAGACACTTGTTGGCCCAAGGTATGGTGTGATCCAAGATAAAAAGAGAGCGGGGGATGGCATCAAAGTCCCAAAGAGTCAAATGGGCGTAAAAAGCCCAGGTGCAGCAAGGAAAATCACGTCAATCATGGTAACATGGGCACTATCACGGGACCGGTCTTCCTAGGAGAAGAACCCAATGATGGCGGGAGAAGATGCGTGGCTCGAACATGCAAATGGAAACGATCTATGGCGCCGAAGAAACAGAGCGTCATCGACTGCGAATGGGGATATCATGAGATAATCGACCGGAAAACAGCACGCCAAAAAAAAGAGAGCAATAAAGAACAGATAATGTCGAGGTTCGCATAGTTGCAATGGCGGTTATCGAGCTGCTGACAGAGGTGAGAGGCCATTCTGGCCGTGGTGAGACACACCTTTCCCTTTTGCGTCATTTGGCAAAGGAGGTAGGTCCTTTTCTGTTGAAGGGGGTCCTTGTCGACTGTTGTGACTCACTCCACCAACACTGCTGCCCTCGCCGGCTTCATCCACGATCGGCAACGTCGACGTCGGACCAGGTCCATTGACGTCCACGGGATCCCAGACGGTCGATAATGTCCGAGGATGTGTAACAGAGACGTCCTTTGAGGCCTCCTTCTCCGCCGCCTGCATCGTACGTTCCACGGAGGCCGATCGTTCAGCAGAGACCTTGCCCTGCGATCGAGCCTCCTGATGTCGCGCAGCCTCCTCTTTGGACATAGTGATGCCCTTGATGAATTTGACGAATCGATCACCATAGCCCTCAGGTGGAATCGGTGAGATGTGATTTCGGTCATGCGAGAGACCTTTGAAGAAGTTTTCTAACTTCTTCACAGTTCCGTACTGTCCCAATGTTAGCCATGGCTCCAAGATTCAAAGAACATAAAGGGCAAAAAGTGCCGTTGCAAGATTCACTTACATGAGTCAAGCAGTCAATAATCCCAAGGTAGTAAATTTCGTCGCCAGGATGACCATTCTCATGAGTGGCCCGGAACCCGCCGTCATCGGCATAGAAGATGTGATACTTTCGTTCATCGAGAATCTCCTCGGGCATCTTTGCGGCAGCTTTATCGAGAGGCACTGGACGTTCCCGCTTGATGAGCATCCGCAGCTCACGGGCCTTGCGCTCGTTTTCCAGCTTGGACGGAGTGCGCATCAGCATATTCGGGCTCGCCTCTTCCTCCCGATCGCCCCCTGGTTGGAAGACTTGCAAGGTCTTGTCGCGAAGCTTCTCCTCGTTACCTCTGCCAAGGTCGTGGATACCGACCAGAAGAGAGTAATCCATGATCTTGAGCTTTTTCAGTAACTCCACATCCCGTTCGAGCTGCTTGATGAAAAAATCCCGTTTCGTCGGCCCACACTCGAGGTGACGACCCCGCCGGAGCCAGTTTAGATCCTTCAGCGTAGCTCGCGGGTTCCGTTCGAGGTCATCCTCCCTCAGATCCCGACCGATTGTTGACCCCTTCAGGTCGAAGGTCTGGTGGATATCACGGTGGGGCGGGAACAGATTGTTCATGACAACGAAGTGGATCTTGCGACCATATGCCATCTTGACGCGATGGAGACCGTAAAATTGCGAAATCAATGTGTTCGGGTTTTGTTCCACGTGCTTGTAGTACTCGGGGAGGATCTTTCGGAGCAGTTTGTGTTCGGAATGATGGATGGTTTTGATGATGTATTTGTAGTCCCGGGAGAAATAGAAAAAACTTCCACTCTTTCCGGGGGAGCCCAGCTCCGAGAGGATGTACTTGCTGGTCAGGGACATGAGATAGTCGGCGGGATCCAGACGGAACTTGGCTCGCAAGTGCCGGAACACCCAGGGCGCATAATCCTTGAATTTGAAGTCGTACTTGGCGGAAGGTGTTAACTCGTTGCCCGTACTGTTCGCAATCGACGAGTCAGTATCGAACAAAAGGGCATTATGGGGGATGGGACAGGGGCTGTGGACTGTACATATCAAAAGAGAATTTATGCTTGGCGACAAAATCCGCCGGCGTCAATTCTCGGTCCATCTTCGCGTTGATCCTGGAGACGGTGAAGCGGATTCCCGTCAACATATTGTATGCTGTCACCCAGTTGACATGGTTCTGATCGACTTTAGTCCCAACGATAACGCGATCGTCGTCGTCGTCGTCACGGCGTTTCTTCCGCGAAGCTCTCCGATGCTTGATCGCCTCCGCCCAACGCGCTGCATCGTCGTCCGGATTCGCCTCATCAGGGAACGAATCTGAGCGGTTGGTTTTTGTGGCTCGCCGTACCAAGCTGAGAGACGCCCGGCGGGTCGCCCCCGTTGTGGGAGATAAACGACCACTACTGTAGGCGATGTCGTCGGTGTGATCGCGGCTATTGCGACGGCTGCTTGTCGCTTTCGGGACTTGCAATGTGTGTCGATGGCGCAGACCTGACGCTGCTGGGTCTTGTGATTGGATACTGTCGCCGGCGGATGGTAGAGGGGGGGAAGAGTAACGGTAAGTGGTAGTCGTCTGTGACGCTGATAACCGATCGGGCTCAAAAGAAGGACGGTCGGTGTCTTCAGAATGCGAAATCGGCGAAACGTTTCCGTTGGTCAGAGCCGTCGAGTTCGAAGAGGCCAGCTCATCGACGGACGGTTGAGAATGATCTCCGTTGATCAAGGCCCTCCCATTGACTTGACGCGGGCTCGGTGACCTACCATTCAGCTGGTGACTGCTAGAGATCGACGGTGTCGCTGAGCCAACGCCAGCGCTGGCTCCCACATCGAAAGACTTGCGAGCGATATCTTTCTCCAACGTCATTGAAACTCGTCCTGTTTCCCTTGGGTCTCGCAGTGAACCGTTTCCTATTGAATGCATACTGCCATCTTTCGAAAGCGGAGGGTCTCGCGTGTAGGAGCTGGCACTTGATCGGGGGCCGTTGTTCAGAGAGTAGGCACTGCCATTCTTCAGGTCCGGAAGATACTGGCGATCATTCGAGTGAGAATCGATCTGGTTCGTGTCACCATTGGGCCAGTTGGTCCACAGAAATGTATTTCCCACGGAACCCTTATCGCGCGGTTTCCCTCGCGGTGAATCAAACGGACGAGGATGTGTGGCCGTAGCAGTAGCTGCCCCGTCATTGGCGAAGGAGGGCATGGTGCGCTTTGCCCGTTGTATTTGACTCCCAGGGGGGGGGGGGGGAGAGGCCGGAGAGGGAGAGTCCAGGGGTGGGAGAGAGAGAGAGGGGGGGGGAGAGAGGGAGGGGGATAGAGAAAAAGGCAAGAGGGGATCGGGGAATGTGACGTGAGGCCTGCGTGGGCCAATAAAGCTGATCGAGGGACGCTTGTCGGAGCCTTCCCAAGGATAAAAGTAGATCGACCTGGTTCCTTAATAATCGACAGTCGGAACCAATTGATGAAGGATAGGGGAGCGACAAAGGCGGAGAGTCAGGTGGAAAAGCGAGCCGATCAGTTGGTATCGGGGAGTGAAACGCATGTAATTTATTAGGATTAATTGTTTTCTTTCGTTTCGCAAAAAGGAGGAGGATTTTGCGAGTCGAACTGGAGCGGCCAGCCAGGCAGGGGCGTGGCAGAAAGTTCAGCGACCGATCAGCATGTTCAGGACGGAAATGAGGGAGGTTCAAACGACGCGAGACGACGTGGTCGGAAGCAGGCAGAGAAAGAGGGGGAGAGAGAGAGAGATCAATTCAATCGATCGGGAAGAGAGAAGGGAAGGGACTTTGATTAGGAGATTGATGAGATTGATTTGATTTGGGGGGGGTGGGGAGAGGGGGAAGTAGGTGGGAGAAAGAGAGACAGATAGAGAGAGGAAGAGAAAGAGAGAATGGAAGGACGATGATTATTATTATGAACCGGTTTGGATAGAAGAAGTGAAGGAAGAAGACGGCGTCTTTTGATGCGAAATGAACAGGGCCCGGTTGTGCAGCTGTATAATTAGGTAATCCGTCACCCTCCCAGTCAGCGAGGTTAATGCATGCTTTGGGTCTGTATATATTATGGTGGTTGTCTTGTTGATCTCTTAAGATATTATTCTGAAAAAAGAGGAGTGAAGTGTTGGATATGATTGTTATTATTATTATTATGATAATTATTATTATTGCTAGAGAGTGTGTGAGAAGGAGGAGTAAAGGACAAAAAACAAAAAAAAAAAACATAGAGGGTGCATCCAGTCAGTCCACACACCTCAGTCTCCAGGAGTATTTACTTTCTCCTAGGTTACTTTACTTCCAGGTATCTAGTCAGGGACAGGGACAGGTACGGGAGACTGGGGATTGTTCTTTTCTTAGACAACTCTAGGTTCCTAACTACCTAACTAACTACGGGATGTACATGACTTCGGACTGAGTTTCTAACTACCTATATAACTTTGGAGGTAAAGGGTAATGGTATACTCTAAAGGTATCCATTCCATATAGATAGCCATTGTTGGTTTCTCTCTGGTTGTTCATTTCATTTCATCGCAAAAAAAAAAAAAAAAAAAAAAAAAAGGGTTGGCTCAATGGAGTCAAAAAGATACACGGATCCAGTCACAGGTCCACTGTTCAGCTCGATGGCAACTTTGAAATTTAAATAATTGATCCTCCACAACTCCTCTATCTATCTGTCTATCCAACTGCTCTATGCATTGGGTGACAAATGACACACGGGTGGGATGCCCCAGTCTTTAAGGTATACCTGCCTATAAGACAGTAACAACTTACAAAGCATCCTGCAACCTAGCAATAGCAATTAAAACAGAATGTTACCAAAGTATTCTTCTGTTATAATCAAATGGGTCTTTCTCCTGACTCTCTTTCTCCCTCTCTCTCTCTCCTTTTTTTACTACTATTATCTAAAGATTAGCATACAAACAAGAGTATTGTCGAATGTTGATGCCTAGTCGAAACCACTGTGAACACCCTCCCCCATACCAAGTGTATCTGCATCGAACTATCGTTCATTTGTCTCACATGATTCGAATTTAGTTAAATGAGCTTCTATCCTACAACCCATCACTTCATAAGTAATTGATGTCTTAAGGACCATACCTTATGAGATACAACAATGCTGGTTCCCCATGTCAGCCACGAGCCACTCTCGATATCTTTCAAACCAGGCGCAAATGTAGGTACCCAAGCAGCCACAACACATGACACCTGTAGTCTAGGTATAACATCAACAATGAAGGAGAAGTCAATGATGAGATGAAATACCATATCCCATAGTCCATAGTCCATATTCTATCATCACTGCAGCTCCCACTGCACCTATAGATACTAGTCCAGTGCAAACCCCCAGGGCCTGTCCAGAGATAAGAGTCCGCAGTACGGATAGTCGGATATTCCGTAGATAAATGCAAATTAAAGGTCCGGATGCCGGATATTTCACCCTAATTCTACTGTAATTTGGTAGTGCCCGAAACCCGAATAGTTCTTTCTGGAGCTTGGTGAACTCACACGGTCCAAGATCGAGTCAATTACCAACAACCCAAATCATTATTATGATTACTCTACCTTTCCTGACATCCTATGAAGACTAGAGGTCTACGACCTATCTGCTCAAGGCTCATCGTCTGACCATGTGCCTAATCGGTTGTCTGTGCATCAACGCAATTCTCTTGGCCTGATCGGGGAAGGAAACTCACGAGTCACATGACTTGAAGATCACGCACCACCTCCGTCAGGTACCTAGGTAGTACATAGTACATACTACTCCGTAGATAGCTATACCGTAGTTTCTCAGCTCGACGAAATACGTCCTAAACACTTTACAACCAACCAGATTCAGAAATCATGGAGATAACATTTTCATTCCACAACATGTCCTCGAATGAGTGCTCCAAACACAGCAAGCAGATAAGACAGTTCCCCGTTGTAAAAATTCCACCACTGGACGCCAACCCTACCAACATTCCGAGAAAACAGCACAGCAAGAGAAGAAAAGAACTCGACAGGATATCCCAGGAAAGAGCCACGGCATCGGCCCGTAAAGACAGGAGGCGGCGGGGACAAAGCAAATTACAACAGAAGCGAAGATATGAAAAATGAAAAATAAAAAAAAAAACACGATACAAACCCAAGAGATATCACTCAAAACACACGTCACAGACGAGGAATCAAAAGGAGACGAACAAAGGAAAAGGGAGGAAAGAAAAATCGCTCAGAACAATCTCAACATGACGTTCATGTCTGGCTTCTACTCGGCCTTCTCAGCCTTCTCGGCCTTCTTGGCTGCTGTCGCCTTTGTCGCCCGCTTCTTGGTGGCCTTCTCAGCAGGCTTAGCTGTCGTCTTGGTCACTCGGCCCGACTTGGTCGTGGAGATGACCTTGGGTTGGTCGACAACGGCGGGGGCCTGGTCCCATATTAGCAAACAGAGGAATGGAGAGCTAGGGGAGGAGGTCACGGTCATCACATACGGCAGTAGAGGCCTTGCGAGGCTTGGCAGTGTTGGCCTTGGGTTTGCCAGGAGCCTTCTTCGTAGTGGCGGCGGCCTTCTTGGTGGTAGCTTTAGCCGCAGGCTTCTCAGCCTTCTCGGCCTTCTCGGTCTTCTCGGTCTTCTTAGCAGCAGCGGCCTTCTTAGGAGCGGCAGCAGCCTTGGTGGTAGAAGCAGTAGTAGCCTTCTGGAACGGATGTCAGAAATGTCCCTGTGCTAAACAATAGTAAATAAATTCTAGAAAACGCACCTTAGCAGCAGGTTTGGCAGCAGGTTCCTTCTTGGCAAGCTTCACGGGACCGGAAGTACCTAAGGGTCAAGACGCGTCAGTGAACTAAGGCCTGAGACAGCAGTACGCGCAGATGAGACACATGAAGGGCCGCGAGGAAAGAAGACAATGATCGGGAAGATCACATCGGAAAGGAATAAAAGCAATGCGCGGGTGGCGGCGACTTACCCTTGGGCTGAGTGAACTCTCCCTTCTCAACACCGGCCTTGATGGCCTTGTTGAACTGGCTGTCAAAAGCAGCCTGGGTGACAACGGCAATTTTGTTGTTGGCCAGGACATATTTCTTGATCGACTGGCGACTGTCAAGCAATAAAAATCATGCGTTAGTTTTGGGGGCCGCGTCATGGAAAGTAAGTCAAGGCAGACAGGCGATGGAAGAAGGGGGGGGGGGGTCGGCCACGTCGCGTGGGACGATGAACCTGTGCAGAGGAAAACAAAGCAAAAACCACGTACCTGCTGCCATTACGCTCTTTCAGCTACAGAAAGAGATGTCAGCGACCGACTTAAGATGAAACAGAAAGTGATCCGACGGGTCGTTGAGGAACCATCGAGCACCGTGCAGACGTGTCACGGTCGGGGGAAGTTCCCACCCGGCACCCTCATCAGAGGGCGGCTTAGAAAGAGCGTGATCTACTCACATTCAGGATAGCATCCTTGATCATATCTATATTTTCGGAATCAGCAGACGTTCGCGATTAAAATAATACTAAAATCACACAGGCGCGAAGCCGTGGTGAAGAAAGATCAGTGGGAACATACCACGATAGGAAGCGTGGCCAGAGGCAGTCTTCTTGGTCGCGCCAGCGGTGGAAGCTTTCTTGGGAGGCATGATGAGAGACGAAGGAAGGGGAGTTGGTTGAAGAGAAGCTATATATATATAAATCAAGAGATGGAGAAAAAGATTATCAGATCCAGAAGCCTCGAATTTGCTGATGGATGGAGTGGTTGAATCGAAGAAGAGAAAAAGCAGTCGACAACGGAAGGGGTGGAAAGCCGCGGGGCATGGGCGATTTATAGGGCAGCCGGCGTTGACACAGGATCACTCACTCGTAAAAGCAGAAAGCGGCACAACACGTCAAATCTCTCCCTCCTTTTTTCTCTGCTATCGCTCAATCGGATCTGAATTTTTTGGCGTTTCTTTTTTTGTGTGTGTAATTTTGGGTTATTGATTATTCTTTCTATCGGGAAATGATATAGTATCTCTGGGTTTGATAAGTGCTGCGAGACGATCAGGTCTTCGTATCTTGTAGGTCCATCATGGGCGAGTGCTGCTGTTCTCACGCGATTGATTTCATCGAGTCTGCTGTTTAACCCAACTTTTGATCTTGTGCTGTCGCCATACGCGTAGTCGGTTCGTTGAATTGAGTTGGATCGCTCTTTTGCCTGTCTATCATGTTCATATCGGCTATCAGAGATGTGTTGTCTATCTATGCGCGTCGTTTCAATCCAAGTTGGTCAACCGACTGATGGGTTTGTCTCGCTTGCGTCCCAACTCTCTCCATTGTCGCGTTGTTTTTGTGTGGCTTTTCCAAAAAGGCGCCTCTCCATTGCCATGATCCTGGATCGTCTCTTTGGTGAATCGCTTGCTCCTTGGCTTGCCAGTATATTGTTGGAACTATATTTCAGATTGTCTTCTTTCAGAACAAAAAATATCAACGGTTGACGTGGTCTACGTTTGGTTGGAAATCACCACCCGGTGGTGGACTAATCCTGATGCAATGGAGTGACACTTGACACCCACTGCAGTTCAATCAAGCTCATTCACTCCTCACATCTTGCACCGGAGCTATGGATCAGACTAGATGCTGAGAATCTGAAGTCAATGGGTCTGTCCCTTGCATAGTTGCAGTCTCTCTGTTGGTACTTGGTTAATCTTCTTGATTGGAGCGTTTTATGAAGCTTTTTCCTCGTGCTCTATGCTTGGATCACGAGGATCAGTCCATCCATGACGACAATACATTGGCCTTCGATAAGTATATAATTCTAAAAGACATCAACCCCTGGCTACTCGAGCACTGGTATTAAGAGAATACTCGGTTCATGTTTCTAGGACAGATCAGAAATTGAGTGATGGCCGAGCTAGCAAGAAGACGCTCCTGTCGTCCCTATGTCAACTATGGAGTATATCAAGCTTGTTGCTATCGCGCACTAGCTTCAGGGCAATATGCTATGATGAGTGATGACTACAGTAGCTAGCGAGTATTCAATTCAGGGAAATACTGTCATAGCCCTTGCGCTGGTCAAGCGTATCCTGGGTTGTGGCAGTAGAGATATATATTCCGAGCAGTTGAGATCACCACCACTATACTCCGTACCAGGCACCAAAGCCCTCTGAACAGATGATCACATCACAATCATATGTCTCTTTCGATTTACTCTGATTATCCGATTGCTAGAAGCTGGACGAAGAACACCGAAAAACATAGCAATCCTCTATTCCTTCTATCTAAGTGTCTGACGATGGGAGACTTGAGGGACCCTAATACATGATGTATGCACCTAACAAAGTCCGTCCGAGATTGACCACTAGGATTAACTCCAGGTCGAATTAGCAGGTAATATATTCATTCGAGGGAGGCACATCAATAATCTAAGCAAGCACTCTTTGCTCTGCACTAACGCTGCTCAGATGTATCATCCTTCACGCTCGTCCATATTGAGCAACCCCGCACATACAATCCGCGAGTGTGCTTCGACAACACCGTATACCTCAACACAACCTCCGCGCGCTCACACAACAACGATACATATGTTCTTTTCCGAGTGTCAAGATATTTTGCCCAACAATACACAACCTAAGGCGAATTGTTACATGTCATGATACAACGCCATGCCCAAAGCAGAAAACGCCGGGAAAATCACAACCCGCAATACAAACGACGCAATGCCTGCACAGCCTCTGATCCCATGCATTTTTCACCAAAAACAGCTGCCGCCCAATGAAACGTGCACCTATGCTGCACCGCGAGGCTTTGCCTTGGCCTCCTTCTTCGCCTTAGCCTCTTCCTTCTTGCGCTTCTTTTGCTCCTGCAGCTTCTCATCATGTTTGCGCTTGAGACTTGCCTTCTCTGCATCTGTTTTGGCAACTGGTTTGAAGAACCCTTCCAGCCGTGATTGTTGAGCTGTCTTTAGGTTCTTTTGTAGCCGAGCTGCTCCGTTGCGCACTCGGTCCTCATTGAAACCCTTGTCTTTGACTAGAAAGTCCACCAGAGCTTCAATATCGGGAGCCTCCCACTTGAAGTCACATTCGGGGTGATCGGCTGCCCTCACATCCGGATGATGGAACAATTCTCTTGCATCCTGGTAGGGCCAGTCTTCCGGAATCACGTACTTCTTCTTAGGGTCGCTCTCAATGGCCTCAACGACCTTTTCTAGGCTTCCATGCTCCCGAATTAGTTTCAAGGCGGTGTTTGGCCCGACCTTGGGAATTGGCTCCAAATAATCACACCCAAGAAGAATGCACATATCGATGAACTGAAATCACAAGGATTAGCATGGAAGCAGGGGTTGTACTGGGATGACATTTCGAACGATTGGATATTGTCATACCTGAGAGCGATCCATGTCAAGTCCCTCGAGCACACGATTCAGATGGATTTCCTGAATGGGCTCTTTTCTCTGTTCACTGAATGTAAGATGTCTGAGAAGGATCGGCGCCTCGAAACACAGGGTATCCATGTCCTCAGAGGCAGCAGCGTAAACCTTTCCTGCTCGCGCCAGCACTGCACATTGTGCCTCTGCTTCTGTCGGGGCATCGATGTACGGGACTCCCATCAACTTCAAAAGCTTTTTGCATTCCGCATTGTGCTCTCTTGTGACCCGTACTGTGCGGCGCGAGAACTTCTCGATCTCTTCCGCGGTACCTGTCTCCTTGGCCTCCTCGTGGGCCTCAGTGGCCTCGGCTTTCCGGGCAGTACGCTTCGCCAACTCGCCGGACTTGAGTTTGGGCGGAGCTCCATCGAAGACGTAGAGAGGTTTGATTCCGTTGTCGACCATGCGCAGGGTACGGTAGAACATGCCCATCAGATGCGACGTTGTCTCGCCGCTCTCGCTCATGAGCTGTTGGCCTTCGGAACGGACGGCGATGAGGAAGCTGTAAATGCTCATAGACCTGTCAGGGGTCAGTCAGTATACGCCAGAGTATTTCCACGAAGGTTCAACGCACGCATCCTATTTCACAAATCAATCATGTTAGTGATCCCGCAGCTTGCCAGCAGGCGCAGATGAGGATGAGGATGACGTACTATGGCGACCTTGCGGCCAAAATGATTCTTGATATCCCCTGACTTGACCGCATCCGGTGCATTCTCCTGGATCACCTGAAATAAGTCTGATATCTCCCGTCAGCATACTCTGGCTTCGAGCAATTCGGCGATCACCCGTGATCGGGACATGACGACAGAGTGCACTTCACATACGTTTAATACCCATTGTGAAAGGGCTAGATAATTACTGGCCTGATTCAAAGCAGTGAACCGATAGACCATTCGCTTCAGGAAGATTTTTGTTGCTGTTCAGGTGCAGTCAGAGAAATGTTCCAGTTGAAGCTCAAGGTCGCTAGCTCAACTCGCGATCCGACGCGCCGCGGAACGTTTGAGCGCGCCATACATCATTTGCACCATATTGGGCTTAGTGGCTGCGAGCTAAATTTACCACGTGATATGGCCAGCTTAAGGCTCTAAGGCTCCAAGGCTCTAACTATCTATCAGCCCCGCTAAAAGTTTAGCCTCAGGCCTTTAAGGCGGCGAGGCCCCCACGGCCCAGATTTGGGTCTCCGCGTGCGGGAATGGGAAAAGGAGTCACTAGCGGAGTAGGCGTTGCGATTCGTTGACGGCAGTTGTTGGTGTCTCCGTTGTCGGTCAGATAGATAACTCAAGTGACTGAGAAGGCCCCTAGGCAAGTAGACTAGGCATAGTTACTGGCCCCCAAGCTTGATTAATCAGTTTCCCCCTCAGGCTTCTTCTTCTAGTTCTACTAATGCCGGACCCCTCTTCCAACGGGCGATATCCGCTGTGGGTAAAAGACATAAAACAACGGTGTACTTCCTATGCTCTGTGCCCAACGATGAGTCTCTCTTCGTTACAATAATGAAAAGGAGCCGCATTCAGTTTGAAGCCAATGGCCAGACGTCGCCAGCCTCTCCCCAGGGCGCATACCCGCATACCGCTCCCGATGAAGACCTGAGACAGCAACAAAATTCGAAACACATTCCGAAGATATCGCGGCGGATTCGTGCCTGTACGAACTGCAAAAACCACAAAGTACGCTGTGATAAGGAGGGGGAGACGCCGTGTCAAAGATGTCGTCGCATGGGCTTGGACTGCGTTGTCAATAAGAGTCTCCAGACCTTGTTGGACGATGAAACAGAGTAGGAGTGGCCCATCCACAAGTTTATGCTCCGATATCGACGAACTGAGACGGGGCTGACTTTTGCTGGTGTTCATCGCAGATGGAAGACGGCGATTGAGCTTGCCATGACGGAGCTGCTCCGTAAGGCTCAATTACCGGACCTGTCATACTACCATGCCATCAACAAATCATTAACGGAGACACCGTCGAAAAGAAGAGATCGTAAAGGGTCGACGGCGTCGACGGACGATACTGGCAATGCGACGGCCCACGACCGACGACCAGGTTCGACAAGCTCCAACGTGGACTCTGTCTCGGCGGGGCCGAACTCGTCGTCAAACTATACCTTTCAACAACAACATGCGCAATACTCGTTGGACCGAGAAGAAAACGGGACATCTTCCTTGATTACAGCGCCGATGGGGAGCCTGTATGAAGTGACTCGGCTGAGCGATATCCCTCCAAGTTCCCCGAGTCGTCAGCATGCTCCCGACCGGGCACTCATTACCGATTTCATATCACGAGGAGTAGTAGAGCTTCGAGAAGCGGAAGAGTTGTTTCACCATTTTGATCAGGTGCTTAGTCGCTATCTGTGGGATGGCATTACGCTGGTGCACAAGGACCTCACATCTGTGCGGAATTCGTCCTCGATGCTTTCCGCGGCCATTCTTGCTGTGTCGGCGCTCCATCTGCCTAACAAAGAAAAGACGTTTGATATCTCCTATATGGAATTTGCGAAACTTGCTTCGGAATCGATGCTTGATAGGCATCATACCCTGGATGATTTGCGCGCACTATGCATCGGGGCATTCTGGCTTGCAGACGTTAGCTGGAAGCTTTCAGGGTATGCAGTCCGCATTGCGACTGAGAGAAATCTCCATCAATGCTATCGCAAGGCCATGCAAGGATCCCCAGAGCATACAGAACAAGTCAGGCTATGGTATCTTCTCTACGTATGTCTTCACCACTCCATGCCCTTGTGCAGTGATGACCTAACGCTTGCTAGACCTTGGAGCACCATTTCTCCATTGCGTACGGAAGACCACCCATCATTCACGAAGACCCGAGTATCACGAATCATAATACGTTCACGCTATCGCCGACCGTGCAGCAGTCCGATCTGCGCTTGCACAGCCAAGTCGACCTCTTTATCATCCTCACTCGGATCTATCACGCTTTTGGTCCCGACGTTGATCTGGAGGTTCCGGAGAGTGAGTTTTCGACGATCAACAAGTTTGACTCTGACCTTGGTGAATGGCGGTCTGCATGGCTGCCCCGTTTAGGTAAGTGGTATATTCTGTGCATCCCAGTCTTCCAGGACACTAAGGCGACGATCAACAACAGCCGGTAGTCGATATGTTGGCACATACCCTTACAAAGCTGTCTATCTGCATTATCACTTTTCCCGCTTGCAACTGAATTCCGTCGCTCTGCGGACCTATCACTCCTCGAATTCGTCGCGACCAATGTCTATCGAACGCAAGAAACATGCCAATCTGGCCATCGAATCTGCCGTCGAAACGCTTCTGGTGGTCCTTGATGAACCTGATATACAACGAGCTTTGATTGGCGTTCCTCTCTATCTTCACAGCATGATCACCTTTGCCGCTGTCTTTCTTCTCAAAATCGCAGCAAAGTGCTGCTCTGGCACTATACCCTGCGCACAGGGCCAGCAGAACTCCATTGCCGCCGCAGGACTGTCAATCGATGCGCCCTATGTGCGTGCCTTGGTTGGTAGGATTATCGAGCTGATGGTGACATGCAGCAAGCGCGCGAGTGAGCGCCACCTTACGCACCATATCGCGCGTGGCTTGCGTAAAATGCTTACAGGGCTCGAGGAATGGGAGAAAAGGAACTCAGGAAGCCAGCAGTCCCTTGCGCAACACTCTTACGAGGCGGCCGCCTCAATGTTCAAACCCATAATCATCCCTGGAGCACAACCCCTGGGTGAGCGAGATACTCTATTGAACCATCCGCCGCCCTTGCCTGGGATGGCTCCAATATCGGCCGAACGAAGCAATGGATACGAAGCTACCGCCCTGCATGGGAAAGCAAAGCTGGGTCTGTCTGAAGGGTCTCTCGATCCCATGATGGCGGATCTCTGGGGTTTCGACGAGGAGTATTTTCCTACGGGAGTCTTCGACTTTTTACAGTCGCAGATGCCTGCCTGATTTAGACTATGATACCCATATGTGCAGGAATCTTACGTTCCTAACTGCGCTGAGCGTGCAAGTTCCCCATCATGAGCGAGTCGGCAGGTTTCGTCCTTTTTTTTTTTTGAAACCTCTTTTTTTCCTGAAGCTCACTGATGTCAACTTCGACTGGAGTTCGGAGATATGGTCCAACACAGCCGTTGTTTGATCTCCATGGCCTGATTTGCCCTGTATTTCGAAACTACAGATAAGCTTCTAATTGCCCATTCCTGTCCTGATGGACATGATCTAGACGCAACCCATCGACGCATGCCATTTCCCAGGACTTCTCATACTTATACTCGACTAGTCACGGGAACAACAACTTCTTTTTTACATGGCCAGCATTGCAGTCTTCAAGAGAGCTGGACGATAAACTGCATGGCATAGACTAGTTGTACGCAGCGCTCGGACTGGTTCTAGAGATAGTGAATAGCGAATATACACATGCAGATACCCTGAAACTATGCTACATGCCATATCATCAAATAATATCTATCCGCATCTCTGAAGCTGTCTTCATTGATCGATCGCCATAAATAGAGATACATCAGCTCTGCAATGATAGGACAGGGATACATACCGACAGACGGAATTGATCCCGAGGCTTGTCCAGCAGCAGTTCGGAAGACCGAGAAACACCGAGTCGTCGGCCATGGAGCATGGGATACATATATATATCTATATCGGTAGTTAGCTACACACCTGAGAAGGTCAAGATTCTTTTACTCTTTTTCAATCATCCTCTTTCTATTATTGCTTCGCACGGAGTATACATCCCGATCCGTTGCCGAGGTCGTTTTATCCGGACAATCGGCCTCCCCGCAATCTGAGTGACATAACGTTCATTCCATCAGTGGCGCATTGCTTCTCAAATTGTGCAGCATTGAGACGAGAAAGATTTAGCGGCAATCGCCTGATACTGTCGCATTGAATTGTCCGCGCGACCTGTCTCATCTTCTCCTACGCCGGCTGTACTCTCAAAAACACCATGAACCGCTCACTCTTCCGCGCAGCTTCGCGCCATGTTCAGTCGGCCCATCGCCTCTACAAGGCACCCACAGTTTCACGTAGCACTTCGGTCAGGACGTATGCGACAACATTCAACTGGGAGGATCCCTTAGCAGCGTCAGAGCTGTATACAGAGGAGGAGTTGGCGATCCAGGACACAGCCCGACAGTATTGTCAAGAGCGATTGCTGCCCCGGGTGCTCGGTATGCTATTTCTAGAAAAAGCTGGATATTGTTAGAGCTATTCAGGATTAGACCGCTGACTCCACATGGCCTCGATAGACGCCTACAGAAATGAAAACTACGACCGCAAAATTCTGGAGGAAATGGGTGAGCTCGGCCTCCTTGGCGCGAACATTGAAGGATACGGCTGTGCTGGCGCGAGCACGGTCGCCTCCGGCTTGATCACAAAGGAAGTCGAACGGGTGGACTCCGGGTACCGGTCCGGCATGTCTGTGCAGAGCTCGCTGGCGATGACGGGTATCTACGAGTTCGGCACGCAGGAGCAGAAGGACCGATTCCTGCCGCAGCTGGCCACGGGCAAACTGGCGGGCTGCTTTGGCCTCACGGAGCCCAACCACGGCTCGGATCCCGGGTCGATGGAGACCGTTGCGCGCGAGCACCCGACCAAGAAGGGCTACTACCTGCTGTCCGGCTCGAAGACCTGGATCACCAACTCCCCCATCTCGGACATCATGCTGGTCTGGGCCAAGCTGGAGAGCACCGGCAAGATCAAGGGCTTCATCGTCGAGCGCAGCCGGTGCCCGCCCGGCACGCTGCAGACCCCCGCGATCAAGAACAAGACTGCGCTACGCGCCTCGATCACGGGTATGATCCAGATGGACGACTGCCCCGTGCCGGCGGAGAACATGCTTCCGGAGGTGGAGGGCCTCAAGGGTCCCTTCACCTGCCTGAACAGCGCCCGCCTGGGCATTGCGTTTGGCGCAATGGGCGCTCTGGAGGACTGTCTCGACCGCGCTCGCACCTATGCGCTGGAGAGAAAGCAGTTCAAGGGCAACCCGCTCGCGAAGTACCAGCTGATCCAGAAAAAACTGGCGGATGCGGCCACGGATGCTGCCTATGGAACTCTGGCTGCTACCCAGGTGGCTAGGCTCAAGGATGCGGGCAAGAGTACGCCTGAGATGATCTCTATGATCAAGAGACAGAACTGTGATCGTGCTCTGGCGAATGCGCGAGTGTATGTTACCCCTTGCAAAGCTTTCTGATGGTTCCACCGCTACAGGGGTATACTAATCTTATGGCTTCTTCCTGAACAGGCTCCAGGAAGTCTTCGGTGGGAATGCCACCAGCGACGAATACCACATCGGCCGACATGTCGCCAATCTCTTTGTGGTGCAGACCTACGAAGGACAGAGCGATATCCACGGTGAGTAACCCGCGCCGTTCATCCTGGGTTGGGCCATAAAGCTGATGCAGGTTTTCTTGTTTTAGCATTGATCCTGGGACGGGCCATTACAGGCGTTCAGGCGTTTGTCTAAGACATATCATATCGACATGGCATTCCTTTCCCGCGGGGTCCTTGGTTGATGATCTGTAGGTAGGAACTAGAAATCTTGACCATTGGAACCACTGTATATAACCGCGTTGCAGCATGACGATTGATGATAGCGCCACCTTCAATATGAGGGGGTTGATAAGTAGTCTGAGAGAGTACTATATTACAAATGTGTACAATGGATCTCTAGTCTAGAAGAGATATGTTGAGTTTATTGCTCCTTACCAGTTGCCACTCACTGTTCTAAGTACAAAAAGCTTATGAAGGCTTACTGTGGTCATGATTTGTAAAAAGTATGTAATCTCAATACGCCGCTGTAAAGAAATAAGCAAAGAATAAGAAAAAGAAAAAATAACAAGGCTGAAAAAAGGGAGTAAGGTACCTATCTGTAATGGCGTTTCCGATCAACCAGTCGGACTGTCGGAGGGGTAGGTAGATTGGACCCAAAATGAACCTGGAAAGTGGCGATGCATTGCCCGTTTCATGACAACAGAGATCCAATGTCCTTGCAGGTTATTGTAATGGAGATTCACTGCAATGGGTGTACTAGAGAAGAGGGAAATCATGACTGCCTAGAATGTAGGGCCTATTTGATATACAGTGAACTCTCGTATCTAAAGTAGTAAGGTATCTATCAGTATTCAGTAATATACAAGGTATGTGAGAAGGTAAAGTACATAGATGACGCAGTGTGGCTGGAGCAGCCACGTATTGAAATGAATCTGGTAAGAGGTGTAATACCGTCGTCACGTACTGTCCCGTCCTGTACGAAACCAGGTCGGGACATTCGCCTTCTCTCCCACTCTCTGCTTTTCTCTCTTTTCTCTCTTTTTCAGCCCAATTTCCCATCTCTCCCCCTCCTCTTCCTCTCTTCTTCTTCTTCTTCCTCTTCCCTTTTTCGCCCTCTCTGTTTCCGACGTAATCAAATTCCATCTTTTCCTGGTGAGTTCATCCATCAATATTTCCCCCCCGAGACCCCATCCTCCTTTTCTACTTCTTCTCTTTATATATCTTGTTGTCTCCATTCCTCAAAACCGTTACTGATCTTCAAAATCTGTGTGCGCAGAACTCCCGCTCGGAATTCGATACCTCTCTCACTGAGTGACTGATCTCCATCGACACTCTTTTTTTCCCACATCACACTTACCGTCGACATGGCTCTCAAGAGAATTAACAAGGAACTCACTGACCTCGGCCGGTAAGACCTGCATCTTTCTATCTCTCCTCATCGCTCTTCGTCTCTCTGCCTCTGGTTGCGTTGCTGTTTCGGTGTCTTGCCAACCCCCACCACTGCGGGGTGGCTCGGTCGCTCTCAGGGCGCTTCCCTTTTCCATCCTCCAAACGCCATGTCTTTCTCTCATGGCGTTGGTATTGACTGTGTGTTTATAGTGACCCGCCCTCGTCCTGCTCTGCCGGCCCTACTGGAGATGACCTGGTACGATATCCTATCCCCAATTGCTCGTGTTTTCCGTCTTTGCGATGTGTTTGCCGATCGCGGCGGGGCAATCTCGAAGAGTCAACATTGCCATCTACAACCAACTTGATCAACAACTCGTTTTGAAATCCCGTTACTGACATGGGTTTCTCTTGGATAGTTTCACTGGCAAGCGACAATCATGGGTCCTGTGAGTTACACTTCTCCCCCGGTCATAACCCGGTTGTTAGTTGCGGTCGCATTTGAGTTCTTGCCACTTTTGAGTCAGAAGAAGTGGAATGACTTCGAATGAACCGCTTGACTGTTGACCTGGCTAACATCGTCCTTGACAGAGTGACTCGCCATACTCGGGAGGCGTCTTCTTCCTGACCATTCACTTTCCTACCGACTATCCCTTCAAGCCACCAAAGGTCAACTTCACCACTCGCATCTACCACCCCAACATCAACTCGAATGGCAGTATCTGTCTGGACATCTTGAGGGACCAGTGGAGCCCTGCTCTCACAATCTCCAAAGGTTTGTCTCCACGGGATTTATTTACTGACGATTACCGCTAACTTTCTCCCAGTGCTGCTGTCGATCTGCTCGATGCTCACAGACCCCAACCCGGACGACCCGTTGGTGCCTGAGATCGCCCACGTCTATAAGACCGACCGCCCCCGGTACGAAGCGACGGCCCGCGAATGGACACGCAAATACGCTATTTGATTTCCCACAGTTGACTTTTGCACGGCCACCTTGGGTCTGCCCAACTCCTTCTGCGTCTTCTTTCGCTCCGTTAGATCAGATCCGAAGCCTGGCGTACCGTGATCGTAGATCCTTTCCTTGCTTTCCAGTGTGAACAATTCGCGTCTTTTCGAATTCGTGTTCCTTTTCTTCGCTTTTTCTTGACGGCGGGAAATGTCATATCCAACGATCATTATGACCAAATTCTCTTGATGCATTCATGGCAGTTTTTCTATCTTGACTAGATGGAGTCAGACAATCCATTTGATGAACATAAAAACCTTGAAAAGGCTGACGTTCTTGTTTCTCTTTCTACTTCTTTTTTTTTTCTTTCTTTTTGGGAGGGGGGAGGGAGGAGAGGAGAGGAGCCTCGGAGGATGTTGCTCGTATGGTTGGGAAAGGCGTGGAGGCAAGGATCGAGGAGAGTGGAAAGAGGAGGGCGACTCTCGGGG